CATCTTTGCATTCTTCGACATCGATGTCACGGCGACGAGTCGGGGTTGACCCGTCGAAAGAGCAGTCGCGGATCGTGGCCGGAAGTGGCACCGCCATCGCCATCATCCCTCCGCCGCGGTTTCACCTTTTCTTCCCAGTCGGAAGGAACATTCGATCTGAAGTTGTTATCCGGATTATCTGCCGATATCCCAGTTCAGGAATCTCCGAATTTGATTGTGCCAGTTGCCATTCTGCGCTCGTCTTGGGCAACCCCAACGAGCATCCCCGTTGACCCACAACCCATCAACACGGCACCAGAACCGCAACAGATCTCCAAATGCCTCGACGCGGGTGCTATTGATGTCCTAGCAACTCCTTTGGACCGGGCTAGGGTGCAAGGGTTGGTTGTTCATGCATTCCGTGCGCGCAAGTCGGGCCTGAAGGAACAGTCGCGCTTCATGTCCAGGAAAAAGCTTCGGAAGCACTCGTGGGTAGGCGTGCATGATGAACAGCCGTATGCCTACCTCAGAGAGGCAATGGTGTCCAAGCTCATGAAGGGAATCTGCAACCCCGAAGATGTGATCGAAGAGTTCCAGGATCGGGAATTGGATATCTCCCCAGAGCGAAAAGAATACGTCCAAGAGCAGATCGGGTATTGGAGCTTTACCGCCCACGAATTTTCGGAAGATGAGCTCGTCTTCGGGGCCTGCCAAATGCTGCAGCATGCGTTCACATTGCCGAATCTAGAACATTGGCAGCTGACACCGGGAGAGCTTCGCACCTTTCTGCTCGCTTGCCGCGCGTCTTACAACTCGTTTGTCCTCTATCACAATTTTCGACATGCCATCGATGTTTTGCAGTCGGTTTTCTGCTTCCTGGTCCATATAGGCGCCCTGCCTCCCTACGGGACAGTCGCGCCAGGGCTTGAAACAAAAAGCCCTCTGGCCGCCATCCTCACGCCCTTTGACACTCTCACCCTACTTATATCCGCCATTGGTCATGATGTTGGCCACCCGGGCGTGAACAATTTCTTCCTAGTGAAGCTGAACGCTCCTCTGGCACAGCTGTACAACGACAATTCGGTTCTGGAAGCCTTCCATTGTGCTGCCTTTTCCCAGATCCTGCGCCGCTATTGGCCCGCTGCGTTCAAAGACCGCCAGCTGCGTAAACTTTTGATCAGCTCGATCTTGGCGACGGACATGGGCGTCCACCAGAAGTTCATGGAGAGGCTGGGGTCGCTTCAGGAGAAGTTCGACGAGAACAACAGAACGCTGGACGGCTGGAAACCCCAGGATATAGAGATGTACAAGACGCTCGTCTGCGGTCTGTTAATCAAATGTGCCGACATTAGCAACGTGGCACGGCCGTGGGATGTCGCGGAGCAATGGACCAAGATCTTACAAGAGGAGTTTGCCAATCAAGGCGAGATGGAAAAAGAGGTGGGGATGGAGACCGCTTTGTTCGGTGGTCCACCTGAACTGGGAAATATCTACAAACTCGCCACGGGCCAGATCGGGTTCATGTCTATCTTCGCTCTTCCTCTGTTTGAGGGCGTTGCCGACATAATCCCAGACATGCGGTTCACTGTCGAGCATATCCGGAATAATCAGGCTAAATGGCATATGTTGGCCGACGCTGAAAAGAGGAGAATGACACTACAAAATGACAGCTTGACCGACGATATTATCTCTCCGCGTACCAGGAGCCCAGCCGGCAGCCTCAAGAGCCTCAAGGGCCTTCGGGCACCTTTGACCTCAACAGGTCCTGACTCTCCTGCCAAACCGTCGTTCCCGGCACATGACGCAACTCGGCGTTCAAAATCAGACTACTTCGGCCCTGTCCGCTCGTCACCGGGCTCCACCTCCCCATCATCGAGCTACAATGAAAATACCATCAGTCCAGTCGTGTCACCGGACACTCCGGGGCCGTCGATGGATATCACCGGCAGTCCGTTCCCGTCGGACACACCGTCCCGCAAGTCCTCAAGTGCAGTACCGGACCTCGCCATGCTGTCCATCTCTGGCGGCTCTCCAAACCGCAACCGAAGTGGGTCGAATAGGGCTGCATCTAACGGTAACCACTCAGGCGATGATGCTTCACAGTCGCGAGATCCGGCAGTGGTGGCGGCCGTTATATTTGCCAACTCGAAAGCCAGCGACGAGACCCCTGATCGCTCCAGCTATCAAGATGGCTCGGTAGACGGGGCTGCAGAGCGGCCAAGCAGCTCACGAAATGGGCCGCATGCCTATCGTCGCCACCACGCCAACACTGGATCTTCTGGACGCACTTCAGGGCCGTCAAACCGCAACAGTTGCACGCGAACCCACAGTGTCAGCACGTACAGCAACAACATGACACCTATCTCTCCTGCCACGAACGCTACCAGTTTCCTGGATAGCAGCGATGAGAAGGGATTTTCTCAGGATAGTGCTGGACGGAGCGACCATGAAGAAAGCGACCAAGACAACGTACCCATCGACGATGGTCACCACCTTGGCACCCAGCCCACTGTGCACTCGCAAATGGACGCAGCTGACAACTCCACGTCTCCACCACTGGCACTGGGCAGTGGACACGGCAGCTCCGCTCAATCCACGACCACCACGACTGGCAGTCTCAAGAACGAGGGCCGAGGCCAAACGGTTGAGGAGCCTGAGCACACGTCCCGCCGATTGCCCAAGCGTCGCAGTCGCATTCGGTTAGCCTTCTGGAAGCGCAAAACCCATCATTCACCCACGCATGAGCTGAGCGGTGAATCATGAACTGTTCGTACAGGTCTGACCCTGAACTAGCTCCGGCGGAATTGAAATACGCATGTGTATTGGATTCTTATCATGAATTTGGGTTATGATGAAATTGCACGACAGTCACGACCAGGTTGTGTACGGGAGACAGGCCTTCACTCGACGCCGTCCTGTTCACGATATCTGCGATATGACGATATAACGACACTATGGAGATGCGAGGGGCCTCGCAGGGATATATGGTCGGCTCTGACCGGACTCCCGGTCATCCGGCGTTGAATGATTCTGTCTGACATGGCTTCGGCGCATGCATGGGACATTTTGTTTGTTTGGTTCTTATCTTTCTCTTCTTTAAAAAATTTTTTCGATATACTTCACTTTCAATCAGGGCAGGCTGGATTGGGGACATTAGAGTCGGGGCGTGGCTGGCGTTTGGAGGTTTACGTGGGTGGACTGGACGGTATTTTGATTCTTGAAAACATGGGCGGCCGTTGGTTCTGAATTACTAGTTTAGCATGGTTGGCATGAGGTATAGGTATATATGTACAGTCTTCAATGAGCAGATCGAACAATAAGATCGTTCAATCCACCTTTTCATTTGCAGTCCTCGCATTCTTGTACTTGGCCCGTCCCCTGTCCTCCAGACGCAGTCTGAGCCTGACTCTGGCTCTCCTGACTCACCCCGGAAACACCTCCCTCCTGCACCGGCACATTCGCCGCCCGCAAGGCCCGGTCCGTATGTCCCAAGTCGCGCGACGGATCCACCACATTACGAACAAGCGACTTGAGCACTTTGACTTCTATACAGTGTCAGCCTATCTCGCCCCCGAAGGCCAGAAGGGGCAGAGAAAAACAAACCCGGAAACCCGCCGTTCGTCTTCCGATCCCATAGGACCGTCTGGTGAACGTCTGCGCCGGCGCTGTCGCTGTCGCCCGCGGCATGGTACATGGTCACGGTGAAGACGCCACCCGTTGCGGGGATGAGGGCGACTTCGCCGAGATCCGTGCTGAAAGTTGAGAGGAGTTCTTGGGCGAACTAGTCTGTTTAGTTTGGAGGCGTACGGGTATGGACGAGGGTCTGGGTATGGATGATGGGTTGGGGGTGGGAGGAGGACATACGTAGGCAGCGCGGAGCATCCATTTACATTGGGTGCAGTATTTGATTGTGATGCGGGGGAGGTTGATGGACTGGGTGAGCTTTGATGGTTGATCTTGGGAGGCCATTCTGTTGTTTTTGGTTCTGTATGGGTTTTGCTTGAGGGTGTGGTGTGTGGTGTGTGGTGGTGAGTCGGAAGTGCTTATCTATGTAGTAGGTCGGATGGATGATGTCAGCGCACCACCTAGGTAATTATTAATACATACTAGTTAACTAACTATGGATGCACCCTTATTAAGTTTCTATTTTCTTATAATCCATGCAGTATATCATATTCATCAGGAAGGAGCGTAAGGAGAGAGTCTTGGACGTAGAAAGATAGACCCTTGACTAAGCAACCTGCAACTGCAAGCGGAGCCACCCGGCAGAATCACATCACCACCTACCTCTCTCTCTACCTTAATCTCACCTCCTCCTCCAACCCACAACCACAACCACACGCCAAAATGCCACCCACAAAACAAGAAATCTCCCTCCTAATCAACCCGCTCGTCCCGGAAGCCGTCCAACACAACAACCGCGTACGCCCCCTTCCCGTTCCTCTCCCCGTCCTCACCCCCGGAACGCAACTAACAAAGACAACACAACAGGTCCTCTCCCAACTCCACAGCCTAACCTCCTTCCTCCTCGGCCTGACGGCCGGGATCCTCGCGCTACAATCGACCGCCGGCTTCGCGTTCTACCTCGCGGGCACGGTGCTCGTCTCGGGGCTCTTCCATGTCGTGCTGTTGAGCCGGTCGCGCGGCCAGGGCGCGGGCGTGTTCTTCCCCGGCTCGAGCCCGGGCGAGATCGAGGGTGTTGATATGAAGGGGATGATCTGGACGGAGGGCGCGCGGCGGGTGCGCAAGGGTGCGTGGAGGGATGTGTGGCTTGGTGGGGGAGTGTTTGGGGAGGCGTTGTCTGGGTTTGTGCTGGGGTGGGCTGGTGTTGGGGGCGTTTTGCGATGATTAAGGTATACTCCGGTTTAATCTTGTTTTAAGGGGGTGGTTACTTGGGGATGGATTGTACAGGCTTAGACAAAAAGGAGAACCATGCTATGAAATGTGCAATCATGTCCATAATCAAGTCTATCTATTTACAAGCAAGGGTATACCAGTGGACCAGTAATATCAACAACTCGCTCAGCCAAACATTAAATACTAAGAAATGTGAAGATCCAAAATCGAGCTCGCCCTCCAACCAGGGAGAACTGCTGCAATGCTCTATGCGTCAAGCGCATCCAGCGTCGGGTCCGGCTCGCCTGCGTTGGCCAGCGCGCTCTGCAACGCGCTGGTCAGGTCAATGTGGAAGAATGGCCGGTTGATGCCCTGCACCATGGCCACCTTGCGGCGATCCCGGTACGCCTGGCTATCCTTCAGGTCGCGCTGCAACTTGTCTTCCTGCGTGCTGCCGCCGTCCGAAGATTCGATGCCGTGCGTCTCGCGCTCGGTCAGCTCGGGGTCCTGCTTGAGACCAGTCTCGATATCATCATGATGCGCCTTGTGCTGCACATGCTCGTTGTTCACCATCTCCGCGTGCGCCGCCGCGGAAGCTTTCCCTTCAATCTCGGCCACGCTAAAGATGGGCTTCCATCGGTGAAACCCGTCCTCAGACGACGGGGTGGGGAAGCCAAAGCCCGCAGCGGCCAGCGCGCGCTTGGTCCAGCGGTTGTTGATGTGGGCAAAATGCCACTGCACCGACCGCGGAGAGGCGTACATATCGAGCTGGTTGCGCACATCGATGAGGTTCTGGACCGAGGTCACATCCACGTTATTCACAGAGGAGAAGTCGAGGATCACAGCCTTGAGAACCGGCAGGTGAGATTCATCGGGCTCAGACTTGCCCTTTCGCGGGCCAGGGTTATTCCACGGCCGATCGCCAGGGCTGCCGTAAGTGAAGGGGTTGGTGCGCCGGGTCTTTTTGAAAATCGTATCGACCAGATAATCAGTGTAGTGGTTGGCGTTGGGATAGTTGAAGCCTTCCGAGAACCGGTAGATGAAGATACCGGGGTACGGCTGCTCTACTTCGACCTCGGGGTTCGATCCATCGGTATGGTTGATAGGAAGGAAGATGCTGCGGTGGGTGGTTCCCGCATCACCAGAAGGATGATCGGCGCCATTTCCAGAACCGTATTTGCCATCTCCTTGCACCAGGTGGTCGCCGATGACGGAGTGGATGGTGACGCGACCGAGGAACTGGCCGCGGGCTTTTGCGACACGGAACAGCAGAACGGCAGCGGAGACCGAAACCGTGCAGTAAATACCGATTTCAATCGTAGTGAAGACGGTGACGATCACTCCGATAAAGAAGATAATCGCATCCAAGGGCGAAACACGCCAGAACTGATACACAGTGTTGGGCGGGGTGATCAGGTCACCGACAGCGTGAATAATGACACCCGAGAGAGAGGCTTTCGGAATGTAGAAGAAGACGGCCGGCAAGGCATAGATGGCGAGAAGGACAACGGCAGCCGTGATAACACCAGCGAGCGGAGTGCGAACTCCCGCCTTGGATTTGATGGCAGTACGAGAGAACGAACCGGTCGCGGGGTACGCACCAAGGAAAGGTCCGAGCAAGTTGGTCACGCCAATAGCGACGAGTTCCTGAGAAGGGTCAATGGTGTAGTTGTTCACACGGCCGAAGGACTTGGAGATAGCAATGTGTTCGATCAGCAACACAATGACAGATGCCGGGAGCTGGCTGGCAAAGGTCTTGATGATCCGAGCGTTGACCACAGGAACCGCCGCATTTTGGAATCCACGAGGGACAGTGCCGAGCAACTTGAACATCGGGTCATCTCTCCGATGCAGATTCACAGCAGCGCTGATCATGGTGTAGAACAAGATAACGAATACGGTGCGCAGAGTAGACGCGAAAAACCAGATCTTGGCACGATGCGGGTATTTCTTCGCTCCGTAGTTGCAGGCCGAACGAATGATATACAGCATGGCGAGGGCAGTCACGCCCATGGCCGCATCGATCGTACTAGACGGAAGATGTTTGAGGGTATTGATGATCGTCATGTAAGTCGCGCCACGGGTAGAGAAGTCTGCCTTCTCTCCGAGTAAGTCCTTGACCTGACCAGCACAAATGTTGATGGCCGATCCAGTCATGAATGCCGAGATAGCCGGAAGAGGAATAAAATCGACGATGAATCCAATCCGAATAAGCCCCATGAAGCACACAATAGCACCTGCAATAATACTCAAGCAGGAAGCAATAACGTGCCCAGGGACATCGGGATCTATTTTCTTGGCCTCCAGAACGACCTCGCCTACCAGGGTTGACATGACAGCGACGGGCTAGACAGAGAACATCAAGTCAGCGTTATTTCTCGCCCCTAGAGGGCGGTGGACCACTTACACCGATGGTGATATCCTTGGAAGTAGCAAAGAACCAGTAGATCAAGACACCCATGAACGAAGAGTAAAGACCAAACTGCACAGGCAGCTCAGCAAGCTTGGCATAAGCCATACCTTGAGGGACGACAACACAGCCGACGGTGATACCTGGATATTGTTTAGTTGAGAATTTACACGGTTGACAGCCTCGATGACTTACCAGCTACCAAGTCTCCAATGAGCCATTGCGTGTTGTATCTCGTAATCCACGACAGAAAAGGGAACAGTCGTATAAAGTACTGGGCGATTTCTCTGCGACTGGGAGTAACCTCCTTCAGCCATTCGGCGGAGGTGGGTTCGGGTTCGACGTAGGAGTATGTATCGATAGTACCAACGGAAAACATCGACTCGCCGCGAGTGACGGGATCCGCTTGGGCACCCAGAGGGTCACGGTAGGGAAGCTTGATCCCTAAGCCCTTGGCCAGGCCGTGGCCGACCTTGGTTTTAAGGTCACCTGGCATTGTGATCGAATCTTAGGGAGTAGTCCCGGGTGACAGGATGTGGTTCGGTTAGGGCAAGAAACACGCCCGGGAAGGACGACTGTAGATACTTGGAGTCCTTGCGTGCAACGACAATCGGAAGGGGATGTCAGGTAGCGAGACCGTCGTAAAATATATAGACAATGTGTAATGGACGTCAAAATATGTACTCAAGCAAAGTCCATTGCGAGCCGGTGGTGTGGTGCTGTCAATGGAAAGGAGGATGGGCGGGTGGTTTTAAAGTTGGACCCAGAAGCCAAGAGCGATGTCGTGATCCGAAGCTGGTAATGCGAATTGCTAGCTCTCCACGGCGGCACGGCTCAGTTCACTTTTCGAACAAGGATTGAGTGAACTAAACGAAGAGGCGCAAGAAAAGAAATGAAGAAGTGTAGAAGGAAAGCCAAAATAAGGTGGGTAGACAGCAGCAGTGATGGGGGTCTCGCAGGTGGCGGACTAGATATCAGACAGAAAAGACAAATTGTCCACAAAGTTTGGGCGGGACAGCAAGAAATAAGAAACGATCAGACCCCCCAGAATACTTTATGTGATTAGTGTGACTGGAAATAGTTAAGATGGGCTGCACCGTGGGGGGGAGAGACGGAGTGGAAAAGCTGCCAACGGAAATGGTGATGAACAATATGGAAAGGTTGGTGCTGATCGATCAATGGGCCGGGTCAGGAGAGGAAGGTGGAGAATCACCGGCAGAAATGCTAATAAGCAAGAAAATAATAGAGTAAAAAGAAAAGAAAATCACAATGCGAATTCTCCGTGGATATTGGCCGATGATCTAAGCCGGTGGGCAGGTGAATGGTCCGGGATAGATGAGCGGACGAGTCGAGGAAGAATCATCGACCATGCGACACCGAGGCATTATCCCCCCTAGTTGCACAAGAAGGACCATAAAATGAAAGGAATTGCACCAAGAAATTAATCCCGGCAGAAGAAAAAGTCCCAAATAGGGAGCTCATTCCCCGATAGAGGAGCAGAATACGCAGCGGATGGGGCCAGGTGATCCACCGGGGATCGCCAAGAACGCAGAGCGGCGTCGCAACTGCGCATCAGCGACACGAGTCAATCGCCGCAGCAGCGGCAGTCTCGAGATTGTCAGAGAGACGTTATGGTGGATCCAGTAACGAGGGCCTGGAAGCGAAGGATGACGCTGTGGTTGTGGAGAGCGGGCCCGTCCACCGCCTGGGCCCATGGGTTCCCGCGAACATCAGTATCTGCAATGGAAATTACGTGGACTGTCCCTCGTTAGTCCGTGTTTGATCCCGAAGAGAGGAGGGAAGAGGCATCTGATACTCTTCATGTTGCCAGCGATGTGATCGTCCTCCTCCACGCGACAACCGCGTGAATGTGCATCCGTCCGGAAGTGGAGGGTGACAGGGGCCGTCGAAAGAAGGACCATATACTGCCGAGATTGACCGCCTTCCCGCGCCCGTTCCGGCGCCAATCAACAGTGGCAAAGGGGCGGCGGGGCTCCATGACGGGGGTGTTGGCCAATAGGAAGGGCGGCAGAACACGCCATCGCTCAGACTGATGGTGAAAGCCGCCCGGTCCACCGCGTGGGAAATTTTCCCTTGGGTTTTCCCGAGCCAATATTATTAAGCATGTCCCGCAGACTTGATGCTTTTTCTAATTTTATACTCCGATTACTATATCTTCAGACAGAGTACTGTATATGACGGAATATCTCATGTTTGGTCTTCTCCTCTTTTACAATAAATATGAATAGATATTTAGATATTTCAGACCACCACAGCAGTAGAAGAATACCACTAAAAAAAAATAAAATCGATTTGATGATCTCCACCCAAGCGTGTCCTAGAGCCAGTCGTTTAGGTAGTTAACCTTCCATGCCTCTTCCCCAATAGGCTTTTGCATTGCCGATGACGCTTGGCATCCTGCACGAACAGGGAACCGCTGGGCCCTGCAAGACCCGACTCTTGTCCATAAGCTCAACGTAACTCACGGACGGGTTGGCTCCAACGGACCCCGTGGAGCAGAAGGAAACTCTCTCATGATGATCTATCCATGCAAGCATATTCCTCCACTCATCGTTGACAATGTCCCTTTCGGTCAGACCTGTCAGGTAACTAACTAACTCCCTAGCGACATGCGCTCAGAGGCTCCAAGGCCCCGTCCCCACTCTAACACCATCAAGATCAAAATCGCGTCATCGATCTTATCACTGGCTGTCTAGCGGCGGATATACTTTGCGGCCCGTCAACTCTCTGCAGGATGCTCGCTTGCCTGGTTTGATAGGATGGTCTGTTCTGCTCAGTCTTCCCACGGAATTCCATTGTAGTAATGATAATTCTAATCCCGTCATACTCCATACTACGTGCCTATCTAACCTTCGTCGATCTGCTTACTCATTCTGTCATCCTCGGGACTCTTCTCATGCGTGGACCACTCTATCCCAAGTATGAATCCTCGTTCCGCTCTCCAACTGACACTGCCTCACAAGCCGTCTCAATCTTACTACCCTCCTTGATAACGTGCGCCAGCCACCAAATGCTTTACCTCAAGCTAAGCACGGTCACGCCATCGGCCCACGAGAACATCGCATAACCCCCCTGCTACCTCGTGATGTGATGCTCATCCAGGATCTGATAGCGTGGGGTCTGAGACGCAGCCTGTCATCGCTTAGACTACTAGTGTTTACCACCGAGCTGGTTCCTGTCATAGTTCATGGACCCAGAAGGTTGTTTCTATGGGACTCCAGGGGGCAATACGGGGTGGAATGTTGCACATCGGATTCGTCACTTTAGAGGCGGATGAGGTCATTTTTAACGATACAGAGGGCTTTATTTCCCCAGGTTGAGAGCGCCACAGCTGGCCAGAAGTAATATAAAGAAGCAAAACCAGAGCTGGCCCGACCTGGACGAGCTAGAGCTCCCCCGATGAAAGGCAACCTGCTGGATTTGCTCTTGCGTGCTTTCTCCCATAATGTTGAGCCTGAAACAGCCGCGGTTGCCTCGGGACATGTCCCTTTCTCTTACGCGATAGCATTGCAATTCACCAGATCCCCATGATCGATCAGCACAATGAGTCGAGGGGACGTGAGGGAGAATCCCGAGAAGTGCAAAATTGGGAGAGACCGAATCGAGACAGTCCGGGATGCACTGCATATCGAGCATAAAGGGTTGACAGTTGACGGGCATAAAGAACGGACTTGTCCCCCGGACACGTGTCACATGGTCGAAGCCATGCCGCGGAGAAGTACCTCGAAAGTCTGAGCAACATGGATCCTACAGCAGACTCATGGTCGCGACCCAAGTATGTGGGTGAGCTCTCCTTGGATGCAACTGTGTGACCCTGTCGCAGATACCTCTGTACCGCCGCACAGTTCACCCAGCGGCCTGAGCAGCCAGCTCCAGTCATCTGCACAGCCTCCCATCTCGGCTACCGCCGCTCTTGCGACACAAGGAGAATATATCCGATGAGAATCAATGCAGAATGATATCATCCTCTCATGCCGAAGACGATACTAGCTTATCCAAGGTCTTGCCTGACATCATGCCACAGCACGCTCATTGCGGACAACATCGTTATCTTATTGATTGCCTGTACTAGGCGAGATATCATCCGAGTTGCTCGAAGTACCTGCATCTCAGTGTAGGACTCACGTGTCTCCTGTTTTATAATGCTCCGGCATCTTATGGAGATGGATACTTGGATCTACACACCTCAGTCCGTCCTCCCTGAATGACACCAACAGCTGGCAGTATATCGGAGTGGACCTTGATTATGTGTCATCCTCAGTTAACTGCTTGTAATATATACCCGGTGATTTATAGGCATGACGGCCACTCAAAGCGGAAATGGTAGTGGTGACACGGGGCATAGGTTAGAGTTTAAAGTGCCAGAGGCAAGAGGAAGACGCACCACATCGAGTGTTCTCTAGGTACCGCCTATACCTTGCTGCCCATGTGTTATCTGTGAAAGAGGTGTACTGATGGTCCGCTCCCCAGCAAGACATGGTCACCCTCGCCCTTCTGCGGAGTACAAACACAGAAATAGCCTGTCGCCGCATCTCGGCGAATAAAGCATCCATACACACTCAAAGATGGATCTTGCCAATACACCTCTGTTGTGCCTACTACTTTCGGCGTCAGATAGTCCGAGACCACTACCTAGGGTAACGACTCAAAGAGATCATAAGGTAGGTACCTTAGATACCTTATGCCTACCAAGGTAGGGCCCCTTTGGCGTAGGGCCAGTTAGTTGTGGTACATGTTGTGATGACGGAAAGAACCAGCTCCATGTTTCGAAGGCAGTAAACCAAACGGGTATGTGCCTGGGGCATTGCTTTCCTGAACAGGCAATAAGACGCAATGAGAACTGGAAAGTGTCAGCTGCGACGGTCCGTCGCGACGGCAAGAGATGAGAAGGGAAAGCAAGAGACAGCCGCTCCCAGTTCATACATAAACAACAGTGTCCTCCAACTTCCCCCTACTTCGTCAACACACCATCTTGTACTGGATCTCACAACGCCAAAGCATCGTTACACATCGTTCCACATCGACCCATCAGAGCATTCATTCCTTATAGGACAACCCATCTGAGCTTCATTCTTTACAGAGCAACGCCATCATGGACGGCCCAGTGAATACAGACGACAACCGGATCATTCCTGCGCCGTCAGAACACCCGCTCGTCATCTTGCTGTGTCTCGGCAGCGCTGCAGGAGCAAGTCAAACCAGAGCTCCGCCATCAATGCCTACAGGCAGTCCTGCAGCGGCCCCGACTCCTCCAGTCGGCGTGGACTTGCGGAGATTTGAGCCTCTGGCTGCGTACCTGAGGGACAGAGGGGCCGAGGTCGAGATCTGCCACGACACATTTACGGCCATCCGTTTCTCCTGGGACCGACGTCCACACACCATCATCGTCGTCGACGACAGACTCTTCCAATCAGACGTCCGCGAGGACCTTCTCCTTCAACATGTGGTGATTAGCCTAACAGCCTTTGCTATGAATGGCGGATATCTTATCTTCCGGCCAAGTTTCGGTAACCACGGGGCTCTTCAGCCGATGTTTCGCCAGCGGTTCGGCCTGGACTGGCAGATCAGGGGACATTTTACCCTCCCTGTCAGACGGGGGGGTTGGCTCGATCTCGTTCGGGAGGACCTCTTGGAACGTTTACCGGAAGAGTATACCGCTGCTGGCGCGTTTATCGACAGCGCCACTCCCGCTTTCCCAATGTATTTCTCAACGGGTATACTGGCAGACACAAACAGTAGGTTGGCCTCTACTGCCGCGGGCAGATTGGCTAATGGATTGGTGGTCTACTGTGGCGACGACATCACGCAGAGAGAAGCAGATCAGATTATTTCGATATTCTGTGGCGTCTAGAGCCAGGTCTGGACGGGTTGGTGATTGTTCGTTGGCGATGCCATGATGTTATGTGTTCTTAGACGTCAGTGATGGCTGCATCTGATATTACTATCTTAAGTTTCTTGTACTAGCATCCGTCAACGCCAATAATTGTTCCATCCAAGTGAGTCATCGATTCCACCAATCCGAGCATGGAGTTACTCTCACTAGGAACTCTTCGTAAGTTATTCAATTTCTTGTACGTTTGACCGCGGGTATGGCCCGTTTAGAATCTGCTTGTCAAGGAAAGGGCAGGTCCATTCCCAGACCCGTGCCTTCTTGAGCGTGCAGACAGTCACAGATGGTAGGCCCTAGGTGTAGTTCTGTTGGGAACAACGAAGTCACTCACTACTTGACGTAGTTTTTCTGGAGAAGTGCTTCATTTTCTGAGAGGCGTTGTCCGTACCATCAGGCATAGCTCGATACATTAGATGGAGGTAGAAGATACTAGGCGATGACCGAGTGAAGTTATTCTAAAGGGGGTCAATCGGGCGTCTGGGACTTGCATATGTTGGTCTGTCTGTGCTTATCGCGTTCTTCGACGTAGGCTAACCTTGGAGAGGACATGAGTACAATACAATGGTTCTTTAGTCTACTTCATCATTTTTGAAAGTCCGTGTGGAGTATATATATCTCTCTAGTATCTTCACCAGCTGCCCCAGTGTGTACCCCTTAAGCCTCCAAGAAAAGCAAACTACAGCTTTATTCGTATTTGTTCTTTATTTTCATAGATGACCATTAGAGAATTCGAACTTGTGCTATATTAAACGGATATTATCATACTACGACAGGTCGTAGCGGTAGGCGGTGGCCAACGCCGAAATGCGGGCCGAGGGCCTGAGGCGGAACACCACCAGATTGAGCTTGTCGGCGATGCCCCTCCCCCCTCCGTCTGCAACTCAACTCTTCCCCGCCAAGATGCAGCACCAATTTGAACCCTTGAAGAACGACCTCTTATTGAGGGCCGCAAGAGGTAACGCATCTACAATGCAATTGACACAGTCCCCGTACTAACGATAACCAGGCGAGAAAGTCGAGCGCCCTCCGATATGGGTGATGCGGCAGGGTACGTAAAACCATGCCAACTCCCACCTAAGACCGTCCTGTTCTAGAGCATAAGATCACTTGTTCAACGCTGACATGGCATTTCTTCAGCCGGACGCTACCTCCCGGAATACCATGAAGCCAAAGGCGGCCGCGATTTCTTCGAATGCTGTCGCAGCCCGGAGATCGCGTCGACGCTGACGATCCAGCCCGTGGAGCGGTACGCCGGGTTAATCGACGCCGCGATCATCTTCTCGGACATCCTGGTCATCCCGCAGGCGATGGGCATGACGGTGGAGATGGTGGACAAGAAGGGCCCGCACTTCCCGGAGCCGCTGAAGTCGCCGGACGACGGCCAGTACGAGCGGGTGATGGCGAAGGCGGTTGACGTGCAGGCCGAGCTGGACTACGTCTACAAGGCGATCACGCTCACGCGGCACAAGCTGCAGGGCCGCGTGCCGCTGATCGGCTTCTGCGGCGCCCCCTGGACACTGCTCTGCTACATGGTCGAGGGCGGCGGCAGCAAGATGTTCGTGCAGTCCAAGACCTGGATCTACAAGTACCCCAAGGAGTCGCAGGCGCTGCTGCTGAAGATCGCCGAGATCTGCGTCGAGTACCTCGCGCTGCAGGTCGCCGCCGGCGCCCAGCTCGTCCAGGTCTTCGACTCGTGGGCCGGCGAGCTCTCCCCCGCCACCTTCAAGGCATTCTCCCTGCCGTATCTCCGCCACATCTCGGCGAATCTCCCCAAGAAGCTGAAGGAGATGGGGCTGGAGCCCGTGCCCATGACCGTGTTTGCGAAGGGCGCTTGGTACGCCCTCGAGGACCTCTGCGAGTCGGGGTACAACGTTGTCGGGCTGGACTGGTTGCATGACCCCGCCGAGGCGATGCGTGTTGCCAACGGCCGCGTGACGATCCAGGGAAATGCAGACCCCGGTGTCCTCTACGGCGGGCGGGCGGCCATTACGGAGGCGGTGGAGATTATGGTGGAGGGTTTCAAGAAGGGTAAGCAGGGGTGGATTGCGAACTTGGGACATGGTGAGTTTATCTTCCCGTCGGGTTTGGTTAACAAAGTGATGAGGTGCTGACTCGGGCAGGCGTGACTCCGTTTGTCAAGCCGGAGGATCTCAAATTCTTCTTCGAAGAGATCCACCGACTTACGGCGTAAGGTGTTGTCGGAGATCATGGCATTGAGTCGGAACTGATACCTCTGATTATATACATGATGGGTTATTCTACGGTTGTCTTGTATCAAAAGTTGCGCGCTTATACAGAGATATCCTCGTTCCTGAAAGATATCACGATTAGCATTAGGATGAAAAAGACTCGAGTCAAACAATCTTACCAAAGCTCGGGCTTCTCTTTGATAAACGTCTCCATCAGCTGTTTGCACTCGGCATGGTCCAGCACAACGACCTCCTTCCCCTTGTTGAGGAGGAGCTCCTCCCCGCCAAGAAAGTTCTGGTTCTCGCCAATGACGACGCGATTGATCTTGTAGAGGATGCACGCACCCGTGCACATGTCGCACGGGGACAGCGTGGTGTACATGGTAGCGCCCGCGTACGCAGAGGCAGGCAGCCGGCCCGAGTTCTCGAGCGCCGCCATTTCGGCCTGGAGACAGTCAGCTCAACGTGCGACAACCACTTCTATTGTTCGCGGCACGCTCGTCCCATATAACAGGATCTGACTCGTGCAGCGACACCCAATAAGACGAACATACATGGAGCGTAGCGCTGCCCTTCTGCACGCGCATGTTGTGCCCACGGCCGAGGATCTTGCCATCCTTGGAGACCAGGGCCGCGCCGATGGGGACCCCGCCCTCGGCGGCGCCCTTCTTGGCCTCTTCGACGGCGGCGATGAATCCGGGGTCTTGTTCCATTGCGTTCGGGGTGGCTTGTATAATGGGTTCGTGCAGGCTGGTAGGAGGAGTGGCGTGTGAGGACAGGAGATATGTGGCGGTAAAAGTTGTGAAGAACTGGGAATGGAATTATCGCCCTCCGGTTTGCAACGGCTGCTTGATGTGGAGGGCGGTTGGACCCGCTTTAAGTAAGAAAAATGAGGTGGTGGATGGAGGCTGATAAGCTCCGTCGGGGTTTTGATAGTGATCGGACTATCCTCGTATAGATCTTGAGCTATGCTGTCCTTATCATATCTGATTGCTACAGGGATACCTTTTTGCTTTTTGGGTGGCCCAGGAGGCTGAATGTCTGATTACCTATCTGGGGTATTTACCGTCGTGGATGCTATCGTGGATGTGGATTTCTACACTTGCCATGACAATCAGGAACCACTGAGGTATAGGAACCTGTGACCGATGACTAGACCAAGTGATACTAAAGGATCTCTTTAAGTATGCTGTTCTAGACTGGAAGTAAGGTTAAGGATAGTCTCTGACGTTGAGTACCTTGTGAAATAAGGTGGGATCTTCTTGCGGAGAAGGCGTTCTTATCTGAATCGTATCGTAGCTAATCGGGACTTCGACTCTTCTCCTGCATGAGTAGAGATACTCCTAGTTTCGTATGACTGAACAAGATCATACCTGGTTAGTGCGAGTACTCCAATAGTGTGCAAGGCTGGATCCCTGTCCTCCAGATATTGATAAGCTATCTTATCGATAAGAGCCACCGCCACATTGTCAGGCTGGGACCGTTACAATGCGCCACAGGAGAAAAAAAAAAAAAAAGGACTTGGATCCAAGGAAGGCAGAGAATCTATTGTACTGAGCTACTTGACTGTCTAGGATGCGTCTCTAACATGGACTCAGCTCCCCAGCGTACAGAGTACGGAGTAGTGTATTGGAGATCATCCTATGGAGTTTGGAGTCGGGATAATCGTCGACAAAAATAAACGCGGAGGGCTGATGGAAGCCAACAGAAGATGTTGTAAGAGACCGATACGAACGGGCCATGACCAGACTGGACCATATAAAAATGGTAATTATCTGAGTAAGCCTTGGTAATGACCGGATTTGCCGCCAAGTGGAAAGGCTGGGAAGGCGATGGAAGGTCGGAGAAGTGCATGGAAACTTGCCAGTCGGGGCGGAAGCCATGGAACTCCGCCTCTCGAAACAACGAGAAGCTGGCTTACAATCGGAGGGGACGAGGAAAAAGTCGAGAGGACTGGATAAATGGTATTCAGTTTTCTCTTTCGCTCGGAATCTTCACATTGATCGTTGTTCTATATTCGCCATTCTTTGCAAGTTGGAAGTACCCAAGTCGGTATCTGGGTATTAATTACCGCAACGGAGGACCCCAACAGCCAAACTCGGTGCCTGCCCTGGTAATTCCGTTACCGTAATTGCCCGTTCGCCGCCGCCTGCAAAAGATCCTTTTTTTCCTCCTCGTCAATCAACAACAGTCCCACCTTCGATCCTCCTTCGCATTCAAGACTCATCTTTCCTCTCGTCTCCTCTCTTACCTCCATAGAGTCTTTTCTCTTCTGGCTTTTCCTTCTTTACCACCTTCCGGTCTTCCTTTCTCCTCCGTTTCCTCCCTTGCAGTGCCTTTCGCATCGCCCAGGTTACCCTCTTCCTTCCGAATAAAAAGTCTTGGTGGTTCATACTTTCGACGCTATCTTCCCCGTCGCCTCTCTTTTCATATTCCTTTTCTCGTCACTACCCCACTACTAGACACAATTCACAATGGTCAAGGATACCAAGTTCTACGATTGCCTCGGGGTATGCTCTTGGTCTCTCCTCAACTTGCTGGGTTAGGCATCTAGTAGATTATTAACCCTGCGCCCCTAATAGGTTCCCCCGACGGCCACTGAGGCTCAACTCAAGACCGCCTACAAGAAGGGTGCCCTCAAGTATCACCCTGGTACGTCCAGCCTTCCAACCTCTATCACCATGGACATTCCCTAATCTCCGCTTCCTCGCAGACAAGAACACGAACAACCCCGAAGCTGCCGAGAAGTTCAAGGAATTGTCTCATGCCTACGAAATCCTGTCCGATCCTCAGAAGCGTCAGATCTACGACCAGCTCGGTGAGGAGGGTCTCGAAGGTGGTGCCGGCGGAGCTGGAATGGGTGCCGAGGATCTCTTTGCTCAGTTCTTCGGCGGCGGCGGCGGTTTCGGTGGCATGTTCGGCGGTGGTATGCGTGACACGGGTCCCAAGAAGGCCCGTACTATTCACCACGTGCATAAGGTCAACCTCGAGGATATCTACCGCGGCAAGGTCTCCAAGCTGGCTCTGCAGAAGTCGGTCATTTGCCCTGGCTGTGATGGCCGCGGCGGTAAGGAAGGCGCCGTCAAGTCTTGCACGGGTTGCAATGGCTCCGGTATGAAGACCATGATGCGCCAGATGGGCCCCATGATCCAGCGGTTCCAGACCGTCTGCCCTGACTGTAACGGTGAGGGTGAGATCATCCGCGAGAAGGACCGCTGCAAGCGCTGCAACGGTAAGAAGACCGTTGTCGAGCGCAAGGTCCTCCACGTCCACGTCGACCGTGGTGTGAAGAACGGCCACAAGATCGAGTTCCGCGGTGAGGGTGACCAGATGCCTGGTGTTCTCCCGGGTGATGTCGTCTTCGAGATCGAGCAGAAGCCCCACCCTCGCTTCCAGCGCAAGGATGACGATCTTTTCTTCCACGCCGAGATTGACCTTCTTACCGCCCTTGCTGGTGGCACGATCAACATTGAGCACCTCGATGACCGGTGGTTGACTGTTACCATTGCCCCCGGTGAAGTTATCACTCCTGGTACGTTCCAACCCACTGCTCCTGTAACTCTCCTTCGCAACTTCTAACGTCCGGTTCATAGGCTCTATCAAGGTCATCAAGGGCCAGGGTATGCCTTCTTACCGCCACCACGACTTCGGCAACCTGTATATTCAGTTCGACGTCAAGTTCCCCGAGAAGGACCAGCTGCAGAACCTCAACCTCCTTGAACAAGTCCTCCCGCCCCGCATGGAGCAGCCTCAGCCTCCGTCCGACTCCATGGTTGAGGACTTCGAGCTTGAGGAAGTCGACTCGAGCGAGTACTCTCAGGCACGTGCCCACGGCGCGGCCAACGCCATGGATGAGGATGACGATGATGTTCCTCCTGGTGCTGAGAGAGTGCAGTGCGCTTCTCAGTAAGCGGAGTGACTTGTGGAGAGCAGGTTATGGAGGTCGATGTCATGCTGGGCTTATGATGATACCATGTGAGGGGTTCCTGGTCCTGCTGGGATTTCTTTTCTCTGTTTCTTTTTCTTTGACTATGACTTTCACGTGATTGGTTGATGATATTCCTCTGCGATGGCGTTTGTATTGAAAGATTCGGAAGATAACAAGGGAGATTTCGTTTACCTTTTTCCTTTTGCGCTCTTCCTGTTTCTCGTCATCACACTTTGATTCCCACCACTAATGTTCCCTTTTTCCCTTTCCCGGTGCCTGGGATTAGGGGGCTATGGCTCTTGACGACGAGATGGATGATGCCGCTTTTCCTTCCACATGCTTTCTTGTTACCCAGCAATCTCCGGCTGAATCTGGGCGGGTTTATGGTGGGACGAGCCGGGGTGAATGATCTTAACATATAGACTAGCGGACTTGGCTGAATTCATTCATGAATCATTCTCGGTATAGTAGAGATCTAGGTGGCTTCCCTTTTTTAAAACTCCGCTTATATCAGGTGAGAACATACTCGGTAGTTCATGATTTATTCCATTTGCTGTAGATCGTTCCTGATGGGCTCGTTCAGATGCTTCTAGAACATCCTGCACGGCTGGTGACGCTAGGCCCTACGATTCTCCTATCTTGTTGACTCTTATCCGCTTCATCTTCAACATGATTATATCACATCAGACGATGTGCTCCATATATAGTATCTTACTTTTAGACAAGTGGTATTATTGTACATGATTAATCCTATTCCTCTCCACCCCGTTTCCGCAGACTCCCCAGGTTATATAATGACTCATTCAGCTCCTTCTGCTGCTTCACATCAGTAGCTGCGGACACCTCTTCTGTGCCAGTGGAGTTGATTTTGGCAACAATCTCCTTTGCACATGGTCCCCACGTGACGCTGCCAGCTTCGGACTTCGCGGAAAAGGCTTCAAGGAGCGTCGAGGACGGCTCAGTGCTCCATTCCTGAGTGGAGTCTGCCTTGCGGATGGAGTCAACAGACACGAAAACAGTGCTGTCTTTGTCAACGGTGGCAACATCGACGATGTTTCCAGAGGCTTGGATAGATGCTTGCTCATTCAATGTACCGTCGGAGCCAAGCACGAAAGATCGGAGCTTGGAGGACCTGCTTTCTGGTTAGATATAGATCGTATCTCTGGAGGTGACTACATTTACCCTTCGATCGAAACAAGGATCATTCTCGATGCATCCGAAGCGCCGAGGGACGCCGCCCAGATTCCACGAACAGCAATCGTTGCGTCAGATTCGGGGTCGACCAGCGGAACTTTCTGCAGGACCTGGCCCTCGGCCCATTTCCAGACAAGGAGGAAGTTGTCGCCTCCCCCGGAGATGAGGTACTCGGGCGCCCACTGCGGAATGCACAGCTTGGTGACGAAAGCCGTGTGGCCCAGGCAGTAGTTCTCGATGATGTGCGCCTGCGGAGGACCGCGGGAGACACGGATATGCTCGTCGCGGTCTGCCGACAAGAGGTAGGTGCGCTTCTGGCTCGACGAAGGCAGCGAAACGAACGCGATGTCTGTGAGCATGGACACATGGCCCAGGACGATCTGGTGCTCAAAGTTCAACGTTGTCTTTTCGTTGGCCTGCTTTTCTTGTTTCTGCTCCAGCTGCTGTTGCAGCGATTTCAGATTGCGCTTCGTATGCACAGTCAGATTCGTAGCCGCTGGTCCTTCCGACGTCTTCCCCCTGAGCGACACAGCCGGAACGTATGGCTTGTCGCCGGGAATGAGAGGCAGGGAGTAAACGTCGCCAAACTTGTCGCCCACCAGGATGGTCTCGTCGTTGGCTAGGACGACAGCACATGGCCTCTTGGGCATGCATCTACAGGGAATGAGTACAGTGTGTTTCTCTGATTATCGTTCTTGCAGTACGAACCTCTCGCTCAATTGTTTGAAACGGCCATCTGGGCTCAACTGGAATACGCGAATGCATTTGTCCTCTGATGTAACCGCAACCACATACTCTCCATTAGAAGAGATGACCACGATGGGGATATTCGACCAGGCCAGTTTCTTGGCCGAGTCGTTAGTAGTGGATTTCGAGCTATCCACAGCTTGCGCTGAGGACTCGGAGACTTTTCTTCTCTTCTCAGGGGGCCCTTGGCTTCCGGGAGACACTTCGGCCTCCACTGCCTCAGTGCGATCTGCATCTACATCCTGGGGCCAGCTTGCGAGCCGTTCTCCGGTCTCGGCCGCATAAGAGTAGAGCTTTGCGCTGGCGGATGTTACGAAGAGGTTTGTCGCATGGCCTCTCTCCACGAAGTTGATGGTCTGGAACGGCTGTTGGAGGATTGCCGTCATGGCGCAATTCGGATTGAAAGATTCAATGGGAGAGAGAAATTCAAATAAGAAAAGACTTGGAGCACTCCTCCGGTACAGTGACGCTCTGGATGGATTTGATATCGCCAGGGCCATCGGCTGAGTCAGCGCTATCGCACGTGACCACTCGCTAAGCGCGAAACACACGAAGTTTTTCCCTAAAGCGAAAATCGAATTCCCGAACTTCTCCAACGTCACGATCAAAATCGGACACCACCCGCACTTTCACACCTGAATTCCTCTTGCCCTTAAACATCCTATCTTCAGTGAAATAAGGAGACATGGGGGGCAAGACTGCTACCAAGGCCGCTTACTTCGAGAAGCTCAAGAGCCTTCTCGATGAGTACTCTACCGTCTTCATTGTCGGTGTCGACAATGTCAGCTCTCAGCAGATGCACGAGATTCGTCTGAGTCTCCGTGGCGAGGGTGTCGTCCTGATGGGCAAGAACACCATGGTAAGGCGCGCCTCTTCCCTGCGACGACGATGCACAGTCAATTGACCAGTCAATTATAGGTTCGCCGTGCCATCAAGGGCTTCGTCACCGACAACCCGGAGTACGAGCGTCTGCTCCCTCACATCAAGGGTGAGTCGCACAGACCCAATTCCCTTCCAAGACACCGAACCCGGACATATAACTGACGAGTGATCCAGGCAACGTTGGTTTCATCTTCACCAACGGTGACCTCAAGGCCACCAAGGAGAAGATCCTGGCCAACCGTGTCGCCGCCCCTGCTCGTGCCGGTGCCATCGCCCCTGCTGATGTCTGGATTCCTGCGGGTAACACCGGTATGGAACCCGGTAAGACCTCTTTCTTCCAGGCTCTCGGTGTCCCCACCAAGATTGCTCGTGGTACCATTGAAATCACGACCGATCTCAAGCTCGTCGAGGCCAACACCAAGGTCGGCCCCTCCGAGGCCACCCTGCTGAACATGCTGAACATCTCTCCCTTCACCTACGGTATGACCATCTCCCAGGTCTACCAGGAGGGTCAGTGCTTCAGCGCCGCTGTTCTGGACATCGAGGAGCAGCAGCTCCTTGACGCCTTCAGCGCCGCCATCAAGACCATCACCACCATCTCCCTGGCCACCAACTACCCCACCGTGCCCTCGGTCATGCACTCCCTGGTCAACGGCTACAAGAAGGTGCTGGCTGTCGCCATCGAGACCGACTTCTCCTGGCCCGAGATTGAGGAGCTCAAGGACCGCATCGCTAACCCCGATGCCTACGCCTCTGCTGCTCCTGCCGCCGCCGCTGCCCCTGCTGCCGGTGGTGCTCCCGCCGCTGAGGAGAAGAAGGAAGAGGAGGAGGAGTCTGACGAGGACATGGGCTTCGGTCTGTTCGACTAAACTTCTCGTGTCGCTGCGCGGGTTGCAGACGCCATGTATTAGATATTTTTTATGACCAATTATGAAGGTTGGGAAATGAAAAATCATTGTCATGGTGATTTTGTCACTTCAAATAGATGTGGAACGTAGAAATACGCTCCATCATCTTTTTGATCTTTTCAGGTGAGCAATCCTCTTCTCTTTTTTTTTTTCTTTCCTTTTTCCCTCTACACCGACCTGTCATCCGAGCGAATGATGATACTTTTTAACTCGTAGCACCATGTGGGTGCGTTGAAGATCAAAAACACGCAACAACAAACACTCTAATTTTTTGCTGACCGCTCACCTATCTTACTTGCTTTTGTCACTCATCTGTTTAGCAATATGGTTGCTAACATGACTCCAGATCTGATCTATGCACGTCGCTAAGCGACTCGGATTGCCGTAAGACGTAGGGCGTAGATGGTTACGATTGATTGTTAGCGGGAAATGGGCTCGTCCATGTTACTCTTCATCAATGTATTCTAGCTGTCTTAACACTACGAATCTACTCTGAGCACCGCATCTCCGCTGTAAATGCTAATTGATTCTATCGCACTGCTTGGTATCGTACTTGCCCGTCGGCACTCTATATATACCCATCCTACAGCCAACATCCCCATCCTCGGTCACGTGCACAACCTTCCAACACAGGAAATAACATAGGTGCCAGATGCAACCCCCCTAACTACCATCATGATCACTCCGCCCAAACCGACCTCCGAACCCACCCAGGTCCCGCCGGAAGAACTTCCCGATATTCTTCAGGTTCTCGTTCAAGTTTGAGCCGACCTCCGCACTAACGCCCTGCGTTTGGCCCAGCGGCCCCGGCGCAGAGGACACGGGCGTCGCAGATGCAGACCCGACGCCACCACTAGAGGTGCTGGCGGGAGTGCCGAAGCGGTCGACGCCGTCTTTAGCGGCGGAGATGAGCGCGGACCCCAGCATGGACGGATCGAAGCGCGTGGGGAGATTGGCCGTGGCGGACGAGCCGAGGAGACCCTGTGAGACGGAGGTGGAGGACGCGGCGGGCGTGGTCTGCAGGGCCGTCAGGAAGGGGTTGCTTTGCTGGAGGTTGGGCGCGTGACGGTCGGAGGCGCGGTGCACTTGGAACAGCTCGACGAGATGGTTCTGTTCCTGGCGGCTGCGGATGCCCTTGAGATCGAGGATTTTGCGGAAGTTGGCGTTGCTACGGTCTGCGATGTGGAGCAGGTATGCCTGCACCAGGGCTTCGGGCGGGGAAGGTTGCACCTGCAGGGTTTTGAGGAGGGTCTCGATCTTGGTGAAGCTGGCGTTGACGCGTTTGACGAAGCCGGCTGGGGCTGGGGCGGGGAGGAGCGAGGACAGGCCGGTTTTGAGGGTGTAGGAATCCAAGAGCATCTGAGCGGGTTAGTGATGCGGTCGTTTGGGGCAGGGGAGAAAGGGGGTTGCTGACTTGTTCGGCGCCGGTCTCCGAGACAGGCTTGCACTGGAAGATTGTAGAGACGAAGGCGTTCGTGACCAGCTCGACGACGTGGTCAGCGAATGCTCGAGCGTACTGTTGCTTGTGCAGCAACTGCAGGATCTCAGAGGACCTGGTCTTCGTCTTGGACATTAGCTCCCCGACGTAGGAACTCTGGTCGCTGACAGCCTCCAGTCGATTCCAGGGTGTATTGCGCATTTCACGCCAACAGGGTTCCAGGTCGACTTCGACCTTACGGACGAGTCCACGGACAGCCGCCGACGCGATGCCCATGAACGAGTCCGCTTGGCTCTGCAGGTCCACATTCTGCTTTAGGTTTTTGTCCAGGCGGCCCTTGATTTTCTCCTCTAGTTGGTTGCAGGTTGTGTAGCAGTAATCGGCGGTGTTGAGAACAGAAATGAGATCTTCCAATGATGGCACGTTTGACGGCGTGTGGCCGCTGGGCCGTTCGCTGATGTAGTAGAGGAGCACCTGCTGTGCGTATTGGTCCAGATACTTCGCAAACACTTTAGCAAGATCAGCAAGGCTATTCCCCGTCGAGAGTTTAGCGCATTGCTGCAAGGAATGTCTGTAGAAGGTAAACAGTTCGGTCGAGGATGATATGACGATATTCGAGTCGAACTCTTCATCAGGGGGCCGCGGAGGCTGTTGTCGGTATTTCGGTATCAGGGCAGCCAGCTGCTTGTCCTGGGCCTCAACCCACACACTGAGATACGGCTCGAAAGCCTCGGAGATGGCCTGGCTGAAGACGGACGTTTCCAGTGCCGAGGCAAAGGTATCGGTCGACGGACGGGAGGGGGCGACGAACCGCCGCTCGAGGGAATGCTCAAAGTCCAGCGTTTCTTGCAAACACGAAAGTAACAGGTTGACGTCAATCGTTTGGCCGTTTCGCACGGAGCGAGACAGTATCCCCTTGTAGTCCTCCCTGGTCCCCTCACAGAAGACATTCGCAAGGATTTCATTCACCCTCCAGGATGCCGGAAACACTGCCGCGTATTCCTCGTCGTAAATCTTCAAGATCCGTCGGAACCACGAATACCGCCGCGAAATATTATCGAGCGACCCCGCCTCCTCGTTGTTCCGAAACACCTGTCGGTACTCGCGGAGCTGGAAATTGCAATACCACGTCACGAGTCGCGACCGCGCATGTTCGCCCAGCGCATCCATCACCAAGCAGCCCTCCGCAAGCATGGTCCGTTTCTGGCCCACCTCGCCCTTGGCGAACGCGAGCTCGAAATCCTCACACACCTGCTCCAGCAGCTCGCGCTGGATGTCCGCCACATTCCGACTGAGTAGGGCAATTTGGTCGATGGAGCGGTACGACTTGAAGTGGGCCATCAGCTGGATGACGGCCTGCAGCAACTGGGCACAGTCGCGGTATTGGCGGGTCCGCCCGAGGGCCCGGAGCTGGTCGTACGCGGTCGTCAGCATCTGCAGACGCTTGAGGGCAGTCATCGACTGTGTCAGGTTCGTCTTGGCGTTGTCCAGCTGCTTGATGTCGGCCGTCATCTCCGTGATCGCCTGCTCGGTCTTGGACGCGCGGTCGCGGACTTCGTCGATCTTCTTGAACAGTTCGGTGAGGTCGGCCTTGGCCGCCTGGATGCGCTCGACGCTCTCCGCATTGGACGTCACCTGGTCTTCTACCAGGGCGTTGATGTCGTTGTCGAGCTCATCTTCGTACTCGCGGAGGCGCTGGGACACCTGCGACACGGAGGAAAGCGTGGACGGGTGGGAGAAGATGGCGTTCAGGTGGTCGATTGGGTCGTAGTCGGCTGAATTAGATCGGTTATATTAGCACAGCTGGTTTGGATTATCATTCTGGGGCCAATGCTTCTCCTCACCGGCGTCTAGAGGATCGAGATTCGCCGCACCGTTGGAGGGCATGATCGGAGCAGTGGAGGTTGACATTCCATTAGATCTTCAGGTTGAAGACAGGGAACATGCTGTAATTGCAATCGCAATACATGCGCCAACACGCGCAACCAATGCAAAGCTCCGGGATTGAAGGGGGGTTAAGTTAGAGGGAGGAGATCGTGAGTTGTTCGGAGTTCAAGCGGGAGTAGTTGTTCATTGTTGGAGAGTTGGCGGGTTCGCTGAGAGGGGTTTAGCGTCCGCCAAGAGGTCCTTCATTATCAACAGCTTCATCTACAGCAATAAGAGCAGTACAACTACAAGTACTGTATTACTCTCAGAGCACACGGAAGTGATGATGATGATGGTAGTGGTAGTGATACTATGTTCTGGGGAATGATAGACTCCCTCGCTTCTATATAGACATGATCTTCGTGATCTTTAGTAGTAATACACCCCGCTGAGGGGGACAAGACGCAAAAAAACAACATTCCGCCCAAATTCGCCCAAGCAATGCAAACAAAAAATGTTTTTTCATGGTACAGGAAGTAACATCGTACACAAACGGATCCGCACCTCGCAAGGTGGAAAGGGTAGGAGCGGCTAGACTGCCGCAGGGAGGAAAGCATCGGCCGGAATTTGCCCCTGTGCCTTCTCACTAGTTAGCAAACTGGTCTGATAGACATGGCAATTCACAGATCACTCACTTTCAGTTCCTCGAAATTCTTCAGGGCAGCCTCAATATTCCAGCCGTTTCCGGAGAGAGCCGCTTCAGAGTACGGCAGCGTCATGTTGGTGTTCGCACTCATCTGCATCACCAACTGCTCTTGTTGCAACTGGGTTTCAGGCTTCCCAGGAGCCGGCATGCCAAAACCCTCCGGTGCTGAGACAGGGGCACCCGGCGCAGCAACCGGCGTCGCGGGTTGACCAAGAGGAGCCAGCGCGGAATCCTCCACGGACCAAGCCTCATGTCCACCGTACGCTCGCAGACAGAGAATGTCGTTGACGACCCTGAGTCCACCTATCCCTCCGCCAGGTCCAATGATAAAAGTCCGATCGAAACTCCGTAGCTCGATCTTGCCATCAATCAATTCCTCAAACTTTCCGTGCGTCATGATAAGAAACCCTCCAACGCCCGTGGTACTTTGTCCAGCAGAATCGGGAAGTCCAGGGATCGGAGAACATTCAAGCAGCCACTCGTCACGGCTCGCCACGATGTCAGGATGCCTCGTCGGGGGCAGCGAATTCCATAGCTCTCGGATCTTCTCCACGCCATGGTAAGTGCGAGACATCCGGGCAGGGAGGTGGCTGATCCTGAGAAGATTTCTGCTCTTCTTGATGTACGGATCCCAACCAGCTGTCTCGGTCTGTTGGGCTCGTGGTGCAGTAGTGTTGACATTAAGTGAAAAAATGGAGTCTTTGTCATAGACTCCGTTGAGAAGTTCGTTCCGGTTGTTGTCGTAGCCAACGAAGAACGACTTGATGAAGTTCTCGGCGATTTGAGATTCGTCGGCGAAATGCGGTGCCTGAACTGGAATAGGTGTTTTCTTCTGTGCAGCTACCTCTTCCGCTGTCCGGACTTCCACGTTATTGAGGATTCGCAGTTTGGGATACCATTTGAGCATCGTATCCTTGAAGGTAGGATCCGCACTGAATGGAGTCCCCGTCAGATCGAGGAACTCCAGATTCCGGAACTTCCATCGCCAGGCTAGCAGGGACTGAACGTCTTTGAAGTTGTTGTTCGACATGTCCAAGTTTTTGAGATCCGGGAATGTCTGAGCCAGTGAGGTAACGGCGGATACATTTGCCAACTGATTGTCGGCAAGGCTGACGCTTTCGACGGCCTCGCGGCGGGCCGTCGAGCTGTCGAAGTTCAGCTCCCATACTTTCATGAGAGCCGGGAAGAACTTCGATTCGGTTGATGTGCTGTTGAAGATGCCCATGGCCAGTAAATCGGGGTCGGTCCCGAGATTGGACAGGTTGAGCAGTTTGGTAGGTTGGTAGTAGCGTTTCTCCAAGATCGCCGTCATTTTCGCTTTGGTGTCGGCGGTGGAAGAGGATGTGCCGCCATTCCGTGATATCTCCGTGAGCATGGGCTGGTCCATCCCGTTTGCGGAGGGGTCGTTTCTTTCGATTGTGAGAGGGGCGCCTGCAAAAGTATACCCATTCATCTGCAGCATTCTGTCCAAAAACTCCGGTTTGATGAAGACTACCAGAGAATCGCCTTCAACCCGGGACTATTTGAACGTTAGCAAGGCACTAGAGACCTTGAGAACCCCCAGCCATCCGCATGAACAATGATAATCACAAGAAGGGGGAATCTGGGGCCAAGTGTCTCTCGATGGTCGCCGTTCTGGGAAATCTTGTCTACCCATCACGCGAACAATGAGGGTAAACCGGGAGGGAGGGGTTGGGGTGGGGGAGGACACGACGTTGCGAATTTCATGGAGTCGGGGACGGCCAGTTTCTGGTGTTGTGATTCACATACCTTTGTGATCCTTGCCCGGCCCCCAGTTTTCGACTCGTGGGTGTTGAGCTTTTTCTCAAGGAACGTGAGGAGACTTTCGAGTCCGCCGTCACGATTCGACGCCGCCTTGCTCTGTTTCCAGCCGTGGACCCGGACCTGTTCTAGAGTGTTGCCGGCCTTTCCTTGCCGGATGTTCGCTTGGGAATCGGATGTGTTGCTTGTGATCGCTTTCTGGATCGCATTCAGGGCCCTATCGCGTGTGCCCGTTCGGCCACCGGTGTCGCCCCGGGCTTTCTTTCCCCGACCTCTGGTAGCGTCGCCATCCATGGATAAATCGCCGTCTCGATCAACTCGCTTCACAGCCCCCCTTTTGCGGATACCCCCGCGGTCAGAACCGCTCGAACGGCCGGTGGCTCTTTTGCCTTTCATATTGAGCGTGGATAAGATTTTTCGGAGAGTAAAGAGTAGAGTTCAGGAGGAATAGTAGAATATAGAGAAGAGTATAGTAATGAGGAATGCCGATGTTTAGGCAGAGACAAGGTCTTCGAGGCAGACAGAGCGCAGTGCGCCTCGAGTGTTCCGGTCCGATACAACCGTCATGCAACAAAGGACATGCGGGATGAAAAGAGTGTGGGGAGAAGAAAAGATCGAACAGAGAGCTGGGACAGCAAATGCGCCGGTGATTTGAGAGAGTTGGACAGAGTAGAGACCTCTGGTAGCGAGAGTTCGGTGGTGGGATGAGTAGCAGAAGAGGAGGAAAAGTGACGTGAACAATAGCTAGTTGCAGAAGAGCCGCAGACAACCTTGTTCGCACGTGACTATCCTTAGTTTTGTCACGTGACCGCGTCTCAGGAACTTCGGCTCTGGCCAATCAGCGGCTGCGGTCTGTCCTTTGGCATTGTCCTTCACGCAAAACATTCATGTTCCTCGTCCTTCTCTGGTCGACTCCGAGCTTCACTCGCCATATCAGCTGTAGGTACGTTCTTATATACCGATTGAACTCCCTGTTGCTCAAGAAAAACACCCCCAATGACCCAGTTCACTCCCCATGCATCATTTGTAAGCTTGTTGCTGATTGATATAGATCGGTCTCCCCGCAGGCGCTAGCTGGCTGCTCCTTCGAACCCCGTTTCGAAGGACTGTCCTCTCCTTGACTTTGCTGTGCGACTTGATTCATACCCCCGAATGATCGTCGACCAATCGAGAATATGCCTGCGAAATCGCGATTCACGAGGTTAGATGCGTTCGCGAAGACGGTCGAGGATGCGCGCATCCGCACGACCTCCGGCGGCATCATAACCATCGCCTCGCTGTTGATTATCCTGTGGCTCGTCTGGGGAGAATGGGTAGACTATCGGCGGGTGGTTGTGATGCCAGAGCTAGTTGTGGACAAGTCTCGAGGTACGTCGAGCCATTGTTGCCAGGAGTGGCTTCCGTCCAAAGGGAGATTGAAGCTGATGGCCCGGTGAACCAGGCGAGAAGATGGAAATCCATTTGAACATAACCTTCCCTCGACTGCCTTGCGAGCTCCTGACTCTGGACGTCATGGACGTGTCCGGTGAACAGCAAGTGGGCGTGGCACATGGCATCAACAAAGTGCGCCTGGCCTCGCCCGCCGAAGGGGGCCATGTCCTCGACGTCCAGGCCCTCGAGCTGTAAGCTTACGGCCCCTCCTCGCTTCCCCTCCCCGTCCTCTAAAATACTAACGCTCCCCTCAGACACTCGGAGCAAGAAGTCGCCAAACACCTAGACCCGAACTACTGCGGCGAATGCGGCGGTATCCCACAGCAACCGGGCGAGCCGAAGCGGTGCTGCAACACATGCGAGGAGGTACGCGAGGCCTACGCGGAGCACCAATGGGCGTTCGGCAAGGGCGAGAACATCGAACAGTGCGAGCGCGAGGGGTACGCGGCGCGGATTGACGCGCAGCGGCGCGAGGGGTGCCGCCTGGAGGGGGTGCTGCGGGTGAACAAGGTGGTGGGCAACTTCCACATCGCGCCGGGGCGCAGCTTCAGCAGCGGCAACATCCACGTGCACGACCTGGAGAACTACTTCGAGCTGGACCAGCCAGCCAGCGAGAAGCACACGATGACGCACCACATCCACCAGCTGCGCTTCGGCCCCCAGCTGCCGGACGAGCTCTCCGACCGCTGGCAATGGACCGACCACCACCACACCAACCCGCTCGACGACACGGTCCAGGAGACCGACCTGGCCGCCTTCAACTACATGTACTTCGTCAAGGTTGTCTCCACCGCCTACCTGCCGCTCGGCTGGGACCCCCGCGTCTCCTCGTACATCCACAGCGCCTCCTCGCACAACGTCCCGCTCGGCCGCCACGGCATCGGCTACGGCCACGACGGCAGCATCGAGACGCACCAGTACTCCGTGACCTCGCACAAGCGGCCCCTCATGGGCGGCAATGCCGCTGACGAGGGTCACAAGGAGCGCCTGCACGCTGCCGCCGGTATCCCCGGTGTCTTCTTCAACTACGACATCTCCCCCATGAAGGTGATCAACAGGGAGGCCCGTCCCAAGACGTTCACCGGGTTCTTGACCGGCGTCTGCGCCATCATCGGTGGTACGCTCACTGTTGCTGCTGCCATCGATCGCGGCCTGTACGAGGGTGCGATCCGGGTAAAGAAGCTCCACGCTAGCTAGACGCAAGCCGAAGCTCTCCTCTAGAATGAACATGGACATTGCATCATACAATCAACAAAGAAGGAAGAAATACTACCATAAACGGAGGCCCCTTTCCTAGGGTTCATGAAGGTTCTCCAAAGAAATATCATCGGTGGGAAGAAATTTACAGTTACAGACAGACCTGGAAGGTCATGGCGTTTCGGCATATGTTATCCTGGACAACCTTTTTGCTTAGTCTTATGTTTTAGCACTGTGTGATATCTACAATATTCAGTTATCATTTCCCTTCCTCAAGACTCCATATCTTGCACTACTGTAATGCTCTACGGCTCCTGAGGCATGGGCGCAAAGATGTCTTTAGTCGACCTCTATATCTGCATTCTGATCCTCAATATGCAATGAGTTGGTATCTATAAAGCAGATAGAAAACAACCGAGGTAACAGCGTGAAATAGAAAGTCTTCCCAGCAAACACTTCTCCCACAGAAAGAGCTAAATACTCAAGACATACCAAAAGAACAGCAAGTTGACAGTTAACACCATGGCGCCAGACCTAGTCTTGAAACTCCGTGCAATGTATGATGCAACTGCTGTAGAAGGACCGACAAGGGATAAAGCAACAAAAAATTTTCCAAGCAGATGGGGAATGTAAAGTCTAGCTCTAATAATGCGTCGTTGGAGCTTGAAAGTCAAGAAACGAGGAAATGAAAGTGAAGGATCGGCCGTAGTGCTCCCCCCCCAAAAAAAATCAAAAACATAGGAAATCGCAAATGCTAATGAGAGGGATGCGGACAACAGGACAATGCAGATGACTTAGTAGTGCATGGCGTTAGCATTGCTGAAGTGGCTAGGGTGTTGGTTGAAATATGGGCCTTGCTGATACGTCTGCGGCTGCTGTGCTGCAAACTGTCCATACCAAGATTGGCGTCGTGGCTCCTCAGGTCGGTACGCCTGGTTGAGAGCGTCCCACGTGTGGCTCGCCGCAGGGAGATTGTACACACTGTGATGTCCACCAGCTTGGATTCCGTACTGGTGAGTTGGAGGGATGGGAGCCGGCTGCTGTTGATGCTGCTGCCAGTGCTGCTGTCGCTGTGCAATAGCATGCTGCACCATCTGGTTCGACATGCCATCCATGATGCTCTTCTTTTCCCGCTCACGCGCATCAATCGCACCCACCAAACCCATAGGGTTGACTTGAGGCTGATGCTTCTTGTTTTCATTGCTGAGATTGAAGAAGGATGACCCTGTCACACGAGCCACGTGCTCCTGTTCGCGGGCAGAGAGATGGGACGAGATGTCGTTGTAGCTCATCATGCTGTTGGCGCCGCGGGAATGAGGTCGCGCGGGGCCATCGCGAGTGATGGTCATCTGCGAGGCAGAGCGAGAGTGGGTCATCCAATCACCCGAAACCGGGCGAGCAGGCGGCAGTGTGGGTGTTGTAGACGGGCTCCGGTGGTGCATAGCAATAGGGGTATTGGAGGTTGCCCTCTGTTGCACATATTGTTCGGGAGTCAGTCCACCAGGAGTCACCGGGCGAGCAGCAGCCATACCCGGCTGCCACAACACGCTTCGTCGGTATTCGTCCTGGTTTGGCGATCGGGAATGGGCGCGGTCCATGGGGTGAGTGGGAACAGAGGAGCGATTCTTATCTAGCGCGTTGGAGTCGTTCTTGTGGCTGGCCTTTTTCAGAGTGTCTGAAGTGGTCGGACGACCAGTAGTAGGCAAATACGTCAACGTCGGGCCGAAATCCACAGATGGAATATCCATGTTTGCATCCGAAGGACGATCCAAGGTGTAGTGAGCATCACCAATGACAAGGTCCTTCTTGGGAGTCTCTCCAACAGTTTTCATAACGCCCATTCGCGGTCGAGTGACTGACTTCGCCGAGTGTTTGCTATAGACCGACTCATGAGTACTGGCATAATCAGGGGACGTTGTAGAGGCGTCGTCATAAACACTATCCTCATCTTGATGGTATTCTTTATCAGGAGAAGGGAGATGACGGGACCCAACACGATTCAAAGCGTCTTCGTCGACGGTATGGCGAAGGTCATCGTAGCTAGGCTCTGTCCCCGTGGGACTGGTGATTGCGATCCCGCGATATTGTTGGTGTGGAAGGGGCTTTCGCTTCACTGCTTTGGTGTCCAGCTGGAGACTTTGTCTGTTTGGTTTAGGTAAAGGTCCTCCAAATGTGTCGTTGGTCCGATGTTCCGGCGGCGTGGGCCCTTGATTTTGATGTGCAGCGGTCCTATCAGTCGAGCTGGCAAAGACGAGACCGGGCTCCAACTTCTCCGAGCCATGAGAATCGATCCGGGTCAGCTCATACGGAGCTGAGCCATTCAACTCTTTGGCTCTGCGTTGCTCAGGCGTTTCGAAAGCACCAGATAGATTCAGCTTCCCAGATGCAGCAGCCAGCTCCGTAAGGGTACCGTGAGACATCCGGTTACGGGCTTTTGTGAAATCCGGTGAAGGCTGTGGTCTTGTCGATGGTAGCTCTCCAGGTCCATGGGTGAAGGCGGGTGGCATTGTAACAGGCGACGGCGGGGAAGGAGACCGCAATTGCTGTGCGATAGGGTGGGTATGGACATCCGATTGTTTCCATTCACCATCAGAGCTGCTCTGTTCGTTCGAGTCCTTCGTACGAGGACGATCTGTGGCTGATGGTGCCAATTCCTGAGCAGAAGATGAAGGGGAGCTCTCCACAATGGAGGTTTGCGGTTCATTCTTCATGGGAGATAATCCAGTAGTATCCGAGGCGCCACGGGAATGATAAGTTGAGGAAAGGGAATCGTCCTTGGGCACTTCGTGGATAATGGCATCGGTGGACTGGTTGAACCCAACCTGACCGGTGGGGAGCACATCGTTGTTCTGAAAGGCGACTCGGCTATACCGACTTGGCAGGCTCGCCCGGAAGCGAGGCTTTCCTCCCGACAAACTGCTGGTCCGGCTACGACCAGACGCCATGCGACGTGCAGTTGCCTCCTTCAACTGCTGTCTCCATTCCGCTTCACTCCAGTTCTGGCTATTGGGCGACTGCATCAGGCTCGCAATATCCATGATGTCCAGGTATCCATAACGACGCTGGGTAGGGAAAGCGAACATGATGCTTTTGATATGATTTGTAGCAGCGATCAGGCGAGTAGGGCGACCATATAGGTTGAAAGTGTCGAACGTGGGAATGAGGAACCGGAGCATCATCTCAAAGCCGGGAATCGCGGGATGGACCTCAGGCATGACGAAAACAAATCCTTCCGATGTTGACGGCTGTTGTGAGTGTATCGTGATCTGTCCCTCAATCTTCACCAATGTGGACTGTTCAATCAGGGCCTGGGATTCGGGATAGATCGCGAAAGCACTGTAGGCATCGGTGATTGTTGCGATGGGCTTTGCCTTTTTGGTTTTCCGTGTCTCATAAAATTTGATATTTCCAGTGACCAACTTGGGCGCTCGATCATAGGCAGATTTGTTCTTCATCGACTTTTGCGCCTTCTTGAGCTGCTTCTCATCGGGAGGAGTGATAACAAACCAGCACCGTCTCCACGGTGTGCCCGCTCCAAACCTCACTCGTGCCCAGTCTTCATACTTGAACCGGCTGCGCTCCATGATAGCGCGAATATTGTTAAGGTTCTTTCCCTTTCCTGCAATGATCGACCCGGTGTACGCTTCGTACAGAGAGGTGTGCTCGAATAGAGTCAAACGAATGGCCGCGGCCCATTGCGTGAGCGAGTGGAATGAGTTGAAGTGTAGCAGATATCGATTTTGGCCGGCAGAACAGATGCTCAGAACATTTTTGAGTGGCTCCACGCCCTGGTTGCGTGTGGGCAAGGTTTCAATCTATGAGGTCAATCAGACAATCGAAGCCATGGCAATTTAACGGAATACCCAGAGTTCCTTACCACTTTGATCGAGGCGTCCGCTAGGTTGATAAAAGTCGGAGGGACCTCTGCCTCTTCGCCCGCCGCGTCCAGCGCAGCAGCATCCCATAAGGAAAGCGCAGTTCCAACCAGTTGCGCATAGCATTCCACCCACTGTCGGTCAGCGCAGGGCCGTCCATCTGTCACGAACATCGGTCAGTTCAGCTTCAGCGACCTAGAGGATGCGCGGGTAACTTACGGATATCCAGGTCGTTGAGCTTCAAGAAATAACCTTCATGGTAGAGCTTGTTCGCATGACTGTTGAGATAACCGAAGATAGGTTGGAGTTCTGGGGGCGTATCATTCGCCAGCTCCATCAATGGGGGATTGTGAGAGAAGATCATCGACCCGGGGCGGGATGCCCTCCGCTCGTTGATGGCGCTCATTTCTGTAGGCGACGCATCCGGAGGCGACGGAGTGTCGGTGGACGGCGTGTCTACGCGGGACGGCGGGTTGTTTAGAGTGAAGGAAGCTGACGAAGTACGGTGATTCTGGCCGGCGCTTTCTTTGCGGGACGAGACCCCAAAGGCTGATATAAAAGAGCGCACTAAGCACGCAAGGGGGTCAGCCGTCATAAATTTAGAAGACGAGGAGGGTGGGAGAGTTTGCTTTCTGGTTACTGACCACGCGAACGACCCATGATGTCTGAACTTTATTCGACAGCGGGGATGTGCGGAATGGAGAAAGACCAGCTTTCCAGTCCACTCTGGTGACCGGGCTGTATGTGTCGTCGAGAGACGGAAGGAATGAGGCACAGAGGGCTTCTGTGCGAGAGAATGGGCGGACGATAGGAACGAACGAGGGAGGAGAGAAGAGAAGATTGGAGATGGAGATTGAACCCGGGAGCTCCGTCCGGAGATAGCGATAGAGGGGGGCCAGGACCTGCCAAGACTAGATATGGCAGTTGGATTCCATGGAGCGGTGGCCGGTGAACTTTAAAAGAGGTCGAAAGGGACAGAACGAGCGAATGGTGGCGAAACAACGATTTCCGCCGGGCCAAGTGACAAAGGCGACTAGGTCGGAGGGAGGCGCCTGACTTTGCGATGAGGTCAGTTAGCCGGACAGGTGATGTCTCAGTTGTCGGCGGTTGGTCGCGGGAGAGTGACGGAGGGGCCCAAGAACGAGAAGAACTGGGTGAAAGGAAGTCGGAGTGAAGGAACGAGCGAACGGGAAGAGGGGGAACGAGAGACAAGGATGAGTGGGAAGAGAAGAAAGAGGAGGAAGAGAAAGAGGAGGTCAGGATGGAGCAAGCAAGCAGAACATACCTCCTACTCAACTCTCCAGGCTCCCAACCAGACGTGGGTCTGGAGGACAAATGTGTAACACAATTACCAGACTTGGTGCCAGGCTGGGTCTGAATGTGGATTACGTCGACAAATAACAGATTGGGGGGGGAGGATGGATTGAATGGATCGAAAATCATACAATCAAGCCATTGATGTAGTTATTCGGGGGTTGGAATGTGGGAGGAACGGGGGTAGATGGGAATTAAAGATAAAAGAGAGTCAATGTAGGTGGTACCTTAGTTCCTTTAGGTAGATGCAATCTTGACGGAATTCCCTACGGCCAATACTGGTTTTTTATTTTCCTGGGTTCAGTCCACTCTTGGGGAGTGAGAGAGAAAAATTAATATTTTGGCAGGCCTAAAGTCAGAGAAAAGGTAAAGGCTGGCGTCATCGCATGTGTGGCTACCTTTTTTCTTCTTCTTTTTTTCTCATTGATTTAAAAATAAAAATATCATCCCTGCTGGTTTTTCCCCGAGGGGCTGATCACTTTGCTCATCCGTTGATGGATCGACGTGGATCAAACAAATCGTCTTTCCTTTTCTTGTCACTGAAGAAAGAAAATACCCAGATAATCAATTTGAAGAAACTCATATCATCTGAGGACGGGGGGGTGTTGGTTTCTGGGGCTCTTTGTTCTCCATCTCGCACGGAAGAATTAATTCATCCTCAGGATTGAATATATTAACCTATCTCTCTCCCGCTAACCCATTCCTACCTAACCATCGTCTTTAGAGGGTTTCAGATCCATCCCATACAGTAGTTACCAGTCAGCAGCTGTATCTGTTTACTCTGGAGTAAGCGCACTCTTCTCACTCTTCCGTACCCTGAATACTGTTCTCTCCCAACCTCCTTTCCCCTCTCGCTTGTCCTCTCTCATAAGTACGCGGAGTACACCCTTTGAATGATTATGCAATCGGATGGCAACAGATCTCACCTAGTCGCCAAATATAGCAACCCAAGCCCTGCATGTCTTAGCTGACTGCCGTTCATCCCCTACTCCGTATGGAGTACTGAGCTATCTATTCTTTGTTCCCCCTTTTACGATCCTGTTGTCTCATCCATTCCCACGAGGTAAGGAGGGGGACAACTTCGTCCCTCCGGAGTAGTTAGTCTACCTATGCATGTAGTTAAGACGCCAAGCGCCTCTTCCCCATCAATGGGGACCGAACATGTCCACATCAGGAAACAAATGGAACCTGCTAGGAAGTGTCGATACGATAGTACTAAGTAGTAGGGGGTTCCCTACGAGACTAGTAACAGGTGTCCATCTCTGTGCGAACAGAGACGGAGCCGTCGACACCCGAGTGGCCATCTGCCTCCGAGACCAATACAGACCATTGACGGCACTGCCACACATTCCTGCCGTGCCACAGCATTATTGACCACACTAGCGAGGTTATTAATAATTTCCTCGTGCAGAGAAAACCCACCGCGCGGGCGGCTAGCCCGCGCCCGCAACTACATAACGTCTATCGCTTGGGTTAGGTCGAATTAGGTATTGGGCACATACCGAGGCCATACCCCGGGGGTAATTAATTCGCATTGACCCTTGGGAAACGGCAGAAGTGGCAAGAACTGTTTCGGACCGCCCACTCACCGTGCCTGACAGGATCCATGGATGGTGATTCGGTTCAGGGTCGCGGTGGCTCTTTGCCATCAGCACTCAGATGCGGAGTCTGCATAATCCCGACAGATCGTAAAGTAAGTACTTACCTTGGGCAAAAGGGCTCATCTCTGCCAGACTTGGCTCTGTGCTGAGCCAAGAGAACCCAAGTGTCTCCCACCGCTATCCCTCCAATCGCTCCCACCTACTCCAACAGGCCGTCCATTTACTCGGCCAGAGAACGACGGCCACTGGTGATGTGCGTGTGGCAGCAGCCCGGCCCACCCGGTCCTAGGGTACAGATGGAATTGAACTACTCCTAAGGGACGGGAATAATGGGTCCGGACGGTTGAGTTAAAGAGACCGCGGAGCTTGGAGGACGGGACTCGGGGCTTGACGCGCACTCCAGCAGCGATCCCTGCTCAATCGATCGCGTCCCGCCTGCACCGATGACCTCAGCAGTGGGTGAATCGTGCTTCATCCAAATTCTTGGGTTGGCTCCAGGATACATTCTTTTTTTTTTTTTTGTCCCCACGTCACCATACAGCTTGCCTTGTAGATCAGATCACCTTTCTTTTTTCTTGTCTCCTTCTTCGGTCAGGGTCTTGCGGTGACGGAGCCAGGACACGGCAGGTTGCGCGGGCTTCCTTAATTGTCAATGTGGGGTGGTTCAACCCATCGAGATATAGTAGCTTTGTCCATTTCCCCGCAGCTATAGTATACTGTATATTATTTAAGACGACGCGAATCTGTCTGTGTGGGTTGTGCTTCGTGGACAGTCCATCGCTTGCGCATACCTCCACAGCCCTACCCATCTATAATCTTTCGTGATATACCGACACCATGAGAAGACCAGAAATCCCTCCAATGAAAATACACTAGTACTTCGTAGTCAAAATGGTCTCTTCCTGTTCTCTTGATATTTAACCAGGCCGTCGGTACATAGTATCTCTCCAGAGGCAAGATCTGTCACCGACCTCGGCACTAGACCCACCGCGACCTCATACGAAGCGTCCACTAGAGCATCTCCATCAGATCAGATCATCTCTGCTTCATCTCGTATCGATCGCTCCAGCCTAAACCTTCAGCTACATGCAGATCCGCAGTTCCTGCCCTGGCGACCTCTATCTTTCTACTGCAACTTGAAACCGCCCTGTCACAGACCCTGGCATATGTTAGCTTAGGTGGCTTAAGTGTTCGATGGCTAGGAGCCTCGCGGGAGGCATGTTCTGTGAGAGACACTAGAGCCAGAGATCATCCTGTTGACGAATCTAGCTCACCGCTGTACAGTAGATAGCTTCCACTCCATGCGGCCCGACCGCTATCTGAGATGGGGACTGCGTGACTTAGACTGATGTGTTGGTGGTAATCATTCTGATAATGAGTCTTGCCGTCTAGAAGGGGAAAGAAAAAATACAAAAAAGGAAAGGCGAGGTCCTGCCCGGGATCGAACCGGGATTGCTGGAATCAGAATCCAGAGTGATGACCATTACACTACAGAACCGATTACGATACGTTGTGCAAAATTTGACTATATGAGTCTGTCATATGTTGTGGTTCCCAATACTCTGCTTCTGAACGAGCATGTATTTGCCATCTCATCATCACCCCTCTCATCTTGTTGCTATCTCAGTCATTCTGCATTCCACTGCCAATGGAAGAATACGGCGGGTGTCTTTTGGTGACATGACCTCTCTTGAAGATATATTATAGGGTCAAGTAGATCATTCATACGACTGCATTCCGCATGTCAATGTTATGTGATATGGTGTCATCACCCAGCGCCATTTATGCCCATTCGATCAGGCACTCCCTACCAATACACCCGACATGATTTGTTTGCCCATTACGAGTATTCTTTGGCGCTCACTAAGACCAAACAAGATAATTAGGTTGACATCTGACAATGACTTACATCCCCACGGCCCGTTGCTTTGATTGCACCCTGACTCTCGTCGGCTCGACAGGGGGAATGCACGCTATACAAACGTCCATTGTACCGGAGCGCTAGGGTTGCTAATGGAAACATCATCGGCTTCTAACCCCCACAAGGCAAGCTCAGTGTTGTACATAGCACGCGAGGTTAGGCTCTGTTAAACACCACGTAGTAGCATCTCCCAATACCATGCAATTCCCAAATGGGCTGAAAACAGGAACCCATGTTCAACCGCTCAAACGCCGGAATAGCCAATGACAACAACCGTTTCACCTATCACCGAAGCCTTTGCTTCTGACAGTTTCAGTGCACCACGGGCCATACTCTAGACGCCAAGCTACGAGCACATATAATGCAACCATGGAATGTGAATGTGACTGCGAAGCGTGTGAGAAATCACGTATGTCTGACAGCATACTTCCTGTATGAGCTAGAGGCTTACGACCCTCCGTAGCTAAACGATACACATAAGCCACGCCTCGCCCAAGACATAACGACTTTAACTACTATACCCCAAGAAACGAAGGCTTCAAATAAACACGAGGAGGTCCGGCTTCTCAGAGTGCCCCAGACAGGATTCGGGACGCTGGGAAAACTGGGCACTCGCCAGAGGTAGGCCAAGGGAGCATTCTACTTGCATCAGGTAGGATGTGACTGTAGCTCGACATCATGACAACGGAAGCAGATGGGCATTTGTAACTAATAGTCGCTTTGATGCCTTAAATTGCGAAGAGCGGGCTTTCAACGTTCGGTGTTTCTCTTCCTGGGGTGTCTTTTCATATGGAGTATCGTGTTATACATGTAGTCATCCAGAACGTACTACCTTGCCTATATAAGCCAATAAAATCCACAGTTTTTTCATAAAGCCATATACAAATCGGAATATCAAGCACTGGTTCTGTAGTGTAATGGTCATCACTCTGGATTCTGATTCCAGCAATCCCGGTTCGATCCCGGGCAGGACCTCAGCGATTCGTTTTTTTGCTCGTGCATTATTTATCTCTGGGGGCTCATCATCAAACGGAAGAATGTCCGATTTCCAGGACATTATCCCGGTGGTTTTCTTTCCTCTTTTTTTTTTTTTTTTTTTTTTTTTTTTTTTTTTGACACTATTTCAACCTCACGCAGAGTAAAAGTGACATGACGTCCTTACAACATAGGCCTGATGTTAGTTATCTCGACAATTGTGGGCCCAGCCTAGATCGAAGGCCAAAATTATGGGCCAAACTACTGCTGAAATCTCTTTGCAAGCAGGAAAGTCTCCAACCCATCACACGGTTCTGTGGTGTAATGGTTATCACTCTGGATTTTGATTCCAGCAATCCCGGTTCGATCCCGGGCAGGACCTTTTTTTTTTGCTCCCTTGACCTTGCTTCATCTTAACAATAGTTTTTTTTTTCTTTTCTACTTTTCTAAAAACTAGACGAACTTTGTTATAGTCGGATAATCTCTGTTCAGCCAATTCAATTCCCTCAAGGGGCAGATTCGGATGGACTGTCTTTTGCGACGTCTCTCTTGGATGGTATGTACACTCCGCCCATACTAGATTAAGAACACATTCGACAGCCGTAACCAAAGCATAGCAGGATGGGATGGCCACAATGAGGCGAAGTGACGGTGACAAGGTAGAGGAACGTAAGTAGTGGTAGTTAGGTAGTTATACCTTGTAAGTATTGGTAGTCATATACATATCAGTTCAGGGTCATATGTAGCTAGTAACTATTGTTAGTCATACCATGTAACTATCGTTGGTCATGTAACTATTGGTAGTCATGTGTAAGCTCTGGCAGTGAGTACCTAGATAACAAACATACGAGCTTGTGTTGTTCGCTACCTAAGTATGTCTCCTTCTTTGGCCTCTGAAATGGCCAGTCTATGTCTCTGTGTATGTGTGTGTTTTCTGTTCCGGTTCGATGTGCTGTTTCCTAGCTTGATATGTACCTGGATGGCCTTCAGGGGTCTTCAAGGGCCATGAGGAGACCCGCAGATTCTCTATTAGAATTTGTTGATCCAACCCTCGGCCATACCTAGGTAGTATATATGCGGTCCACACATCCGGGTTCAATCGAGTGTCATGAGAGATCAAACTCCTACCTATATGAAGGCTAGCCTTGTGCGCTATTCCCTTCCCTGCCTAGATATAAGAGAGTAGGTGAGGGTAATTCTCATCTTGCTAAGACTGTGAATAGACAGGCGGCTACTACAGGTATTGGAGAACCGGAAATCACAACAAAAATCATTGAGCCACCTTGTCTGTTCAGTATTCAGAGTGAATGCCAAAGGAACATATTCGGTGTTGTCACAGGTGTGCTGGTCTCTCCTATCCTGGCCGACTAAGCAATTCACTCACATTCGACCATTCATTCACCCTCTGTCTCTCTTCGTCTCTCCGCCATCTCTTCCCACTTTCAACCCTCTCCCTCGTTCATGACCCCGATTCGCCCCCTCCAGCGATCCACTATGCAGTCAAACTCGATGATAATGAGCTAACCTCCTGCGTACCTCTTGCCGGGAATCCATAGTGATTCGCCGGATTCTAGATCTCTTTATCGTCTTACTGTGACGTCCCAGTTATTGTTTTTTTTTACCTCCCCTGTTTGTCTGTATCTCATAAACGAAAAAAAGAATACCCCAAAGCACGTCCAGAGCTTACGACATGGCTTTCAATATGAATATGTTTCCCCTGTCTCCTGCAGATGTTCCTCGATCCCAAGATGGAGATATCACCGCACCCATCGATATCCCGTTCGACGAGGACGGACGCCACTATCCCCTGACAGATGAGAAGGCTAGGGAGGTTGCGGAGGCGCAGTTTCAGAAACTCGAGGAACTAATGGACAACTTCACCCGAGGCTTTGATCCCGGCAATTTCTCCAGAGAAGTCATGTCTTTGATTCCCATGCTAGCTGAGCGCGCGACCCCTGGCTCATTCAAGCACCTCCTGGTCCTCTTGCTGGAAAACTGGCCAAAAATGCAGAGTATCCAGGCGAGCTTGGAAGACTGGCTGCGGGGACATTACCAGCGTTGGGCCATCACTCATCCCAGCGACACCAGTATCACTGACGAGATGTACTTTGGCTCTGAGATTGAGATGTTGAGAAAGCTGTTGGCTCCCTTGCGCGGTGAGGACACGGGCAAAGTCTTCTGGATGAATACCAGACTTCCCGACTGTGCCAAGGTCTGCAAGCAACTCGAGGCGTCAGCAAAGGTCATCGAGGAGTTCAAGAGAGACATTCTGGCTTCGATTGAGTCTCGCGGGGAAGACAGTATGTGATGGCTAATTCACCTCCCAAATATTTCTAGACACTGACCATAGAATTTTATTCACAGGAACGATCTATAACTCTCTTCCCGTCTCCCACGAACGCACCGTAATGATCAGCATGAGACAGCTTCGGCTCGATGCCTGCAAGGCGACGCTCAGCTGGGACGGCTTCAGACAATCCGACATAGAGCTCACCAGGTTCTACCAGTTCTACAAGGAATACGTCTCCACCTATCAGCCTGCCAAAGCTCGCGCGTCCGGATGGTTGCCCCCCAATACCCCCCAGGTGCCTCACATTTCTGTCAATGTGCCCCGGGAAGACGATCTTGTGAGCTGGCCCCCCGCTTATCGCCAGAATGCTTCACTCGACTTGCTCCTCAAAACTGCCCTGTGGCTCAGTGTAGCTCGAGGCCTCGCCGCTGTGCACCTCTTCTGCGACGTTGCCCGCATGTTCACCATCCACAAACCTCCCCAGGGCGCCAGGGACTCTCTCATTTCCTTTCTTCTGCATCTGACGCAGATAAGAGTCTCCGCTGATGGAGTCCAGTCACGCCTCGCAAGCCCCTTTCCGTACCGTGACGAGAAACTGGCTGAGTACAACCCGGACTACTTTGATGACGTGTGGAAGTCGAACCGCAATCTGACAGAAGGTCTGGTGGAGAACTTGTCCCTGCTGGATAAGAACAATCCAGAGAACTTCAAGTTGGCCAAGGCGCCTCGTGGAAATCGACTCCTGCGCAAGGAGCTTCGCAGCATTGCTCAAACCGCCGTCGTTCGTGGCAGCCTTGCCGGGACCTGGCCTCTGAAAACTAACATTTTTGGAAGAATTCGCCCTAAAGACACTTTCGTAAGTCTCTATACAACGTTCTCTCTATCTAAATGCTTTCACTGTTGCCACGCTGACCCTTCGTCCACAACCCAGCAGTACAGCGAGAGCTTCCATCCCGTGGAAACTGAGCACGCATCTTCCGCCCAGTCCCTGGAAACTACGCGTGATCTCTCGAAGCGCAAGGCCCGGGATCAGCGCGATAGGGCCGTGTAGGATAGTGCCGGGGCGACTCATGTCGGGTTTGATGTCCATATCAAGCGATCAAGCTCGTTGTGAATCTGCAATCTCCCATCTACCGCTGTTTCAAGAAAATGTGAAACGTCGGCTTGAATAACGACGACTGAAAATACAGAGAAGGAAAAAAAAAAAAAAGACTTGAGTTGTTGGACAGGAAGGTTCATATCGATTGTTGGTTTGAGAGTTTGATACTAACTCAGGCGCGGGATTGTCATGGGATTCCTTTCGCTTCTTTGTCTGACTGATTGCATGTCGTTTGCACCTCATCGGCGTTGTCTTTAGTGGGCACTGATCAGCTGGACTGCGCAAGCGTCTGTCTTTGGCATGTTGGGTGAGGGCAGGTCAGGCAGGTCAGGTCATATTGAAAATCTCTTCTCAATGACTAAACCCAATAGAAATAGAAAAGGATGTATGTATGCTCCCTCTTTTTGCTCTTTTCCTTTAAAGAGTGAGGCTCTGTTGGTTTATCCTGGCTGTTTGTATTAGCGATAACACAAGGCGACTGGGACACAGCTAATATCAATTCCAGACACTGACCACTCTACTCTCCTGATGGGATCTCGTTACAGGCTGTACCACTCATACAACTCAAGATAGCTCTGACGATATGAATATGGGCCTGTCGTACTGGGAGTGGTCGACATACACATCGAGCCTGAAAGATCTAACAAGATATATCTCAGAGGTAACTGCACTTCTTTCAAATCATTGACACCATCTCACATAGTATCTAGGCACTCCTGCAAAGACTTACCTGATATCTGTATGATTGATATGTTTGAATAAACGAGATGTAAAATGCTACCCATGACCAGCAGATACAGTGGACATTATCAAACCAAAAACTTTTCCCATTCGCTAGATGCACTGCTCAAACCGGACAATAATCGAATACGAATAACTCATTTCAGGACTCCATCATGTTGTACGCCAGCAAAGGATCAACCATCACCATATCATCAGAATCGGGTATCTTAGGATCGACGTTATCCATCATCATGTCAAAGTTATACTCCAAATCACCCCCGAAGTGTTCTGCACCGAGGCCTGTGCGCATATCAGTGTCGCCGTCGCCGGTGGTATTCTGCTCGGCAGCCGACGGCTCGCCCAGGACATATGGCTCGTACGAGGCGTCATCATCCAGATCAAGGCCATAGATACCGAAGATATCACCGCTGATGGGCTCATTGTCTTCAGCCAGCAAGGCGCGCTGCATGAACATGTCCCGGATCTCATCCTCGGAGCAGTGATGTTTGCTTCCCATATGGACCCAGAGATCGTAGTTGCGGTGGAAGCGATGCGGGCAGCTCTCCACGAAACAGACAATGCGACGGCCACTTTCCTCCGCATATCCCTCACCAGTGAGCGCAGCCAACGCCGACGGCGCAGCGTACCTCGCCTTGGGGGTGCTCTGGCCGCTGGCCAGGCCCAGACGTTGTCGGCGCTCCGCTTTGGCGTTGGGAAAACCGAGGTGTGCGGTGCGGATATGTTCTTCTAGGGCGAGCTTGCTGCCATACCGCTTTCCGCATCCGTTCCCATCCCAGCCGACAGTCTTTTTGGACGTGGATACGTCTGTTTCGCCGCAGACAAACCGCTTCTCGCCTTCGTGGACAGTCCGGATGTGCACGGTCAGGTTCCCCTTCTTCGTAAAGCTGCGATCACAGCCCGGGACAGTACACGGGAAGACTCGGCGTTCCTCGAGGCTCACGTTGCCGTGGGCTACCTCGAGATGGCGACGCAGCTCTCGCTGTGTGGAGCAGCTGATTGAGCAGTGAGGACACTGGGGCGGATGCGCGGTTCGGATGTGGGCTTGCAGCAGGGCATATGTCGGGAATGTCACAGCCATGTTGGTCGATGTGTCCGCGCCCTGCTGTGTAGACTGGGAGCATTCTGCGCAGGTGAAGCGCTTCTCCGTGTGGATCCGGCTCTCGTGCGCTCGAAGGTGACCCGCCGTGTCGAAGGCCATGGGACATTTTTCGCCCGTATTTGGGTCGACATGGGGACACGGAAATGGCTTCTGTTTCAGATGCGTGGTCATGATGTGCTTCTGTAGGGTCGAATGCTTCCGGAAGGTCTCGCTGCAGGGCGGGTATTCCGTGCAGCGGTACTTATCGCGGCCGTCGTGCGCAGCGAGGTGTCGCCGCAATCGGGATCCGGTCACGAAGCTCTTGCCACAGCCGGGGCGATCGCAGACATAGTCGCGGACACCTGTGTGCGCGCTCTTGACGTGGTGGTTCAAATGCGAGGCTCGGAGGAACGTCTTGTCGCAGTTTTCGTGTGTACACGGAAACAGCCTCTCATTGTTGTGTGACCGGAGGTGTTCCTGGAGCCGTGCTGGGCGATTGAATGCCTTTGTACAGCCCTCAAACGGACACAGATGGGTTTTCAACTCGGACGGATACTTTGTTGAGGTCGTCGAGAACGGGGTAGCCGGAGTCTCATGGAGACTGTCGCTGGCTACGCTGCTGGCATCCGAGGCTTCATACTCGGCATCGGAATGAGGCTCTTCATAGATCGGATCTACAGTGGACAGACGGGGTCAATGTCTTGGTCTTCGATGTTGGAGTAAAGATTCCTACCGTTCGCATCTAGCGCGGATCGCTTCTGGGCCTTCTTGCTAGGAGACAGAGAGCCCTCGGAGGCCTTCCGTTTCAGGGCCATGGCTCAACCACCACCAGCACTCAGAAGACGCAATGCATAGGAAAGATGAGTATGCTCCGTAGGCGATGAGTTCATCCGATGCCGGGAGAGACTTCGATAGAGCAAGATCTAGGCAAAGGTATAATTGACGTCGCAAAAAAAATAATTTTGCCGGTAGAGCAACAAGGCGGTGAGGGTGACCACCCAAAGCGGTCTAGCGGCCCAAGGAACTTTTTCCGCCGCCTTCTTTTGATGCGTCGCAGCCCTCATCTTCTTTTTGCTCAAAGAAGTCGTCGCAGCGCCCGTCGTTTCGCCCCGCCTGATTCTCCGGGACGTGTCGTCAAAAGTCCATTCGCTTCTGAAGCTTGAGTCGCCATTGATCTGTCTTTCTCTGTTACGACTGCTTTGAATTGGCACGATGTCTGACTACGGTGACCACGACGCTGAGGAGACGTAAGGCTTTCTTCCTCTCCAGAACCTTAGCCCCAACCCTGGAAGCATCGCTGCTCAGTCTCTCATCCACGGATGGTTTTTTCGCATATGTGGTGATTGTCTTTCTGACTCGATTTGCCGCACAGTTATGACTACGAGCCCGCGGAGGAGGTGTTTGACGAAAATGAACCCGAGGACTACCTGAACCCCGAAGACGTCGAAGGCGCGGAAGGAGGAGCCGAGAATTATGATGGCGAATCGTATGCGCCAGCTGTCAACGGTGATCGCGTGGTCGTTTCGGGCGATCCCAACGCTGGATACTCGGGCCGGGTGATGGAGCAAACGCGCGAGAAGAAGGTGCCCAACGACCAGCGCACGACGACTCCCTACATGACCAAGTACGAGAGGGCGCGGGTTCTGGGTACCCGTGCTCTGCAAATTAGGTTCGTGCGAGACATCTGACTATAGCTTTTTGGAGGATTCATTTTGACTGGTGCTGCTAGTATGAATGCTCCCGTGCTTGTCGATCTTGAGGGCGAGACGGATCCCCTCCAGATTGCCATCAAGGAGTTGAACCAGAAGAAAATCCCTCTTATCGTGCGGAGATATCTGCCGGATGGATAGTGAGTTACCCTTCTACCCCCCAAGCCATGAGTTTTCTTGTTGGGGCGGAGTCTAACATTGCTACTTAGTTACGAGGATTGGACGTGCGAGGAACTGCTGTAAATTTGAAAAGACGAGATGGGAGGCTGTATCAAACTGGGCTTATGTTTTATTTATTTTTTATGTATGTTATTCTCAACCCCCCCTTGTGCAAGCATAGCGTTTGGAGTTTCGGAGTTGGAAAAGGGACCTTGATGGCTACTACAGCTGCTCAGGTCATTCGAAGGGCACAGAAAAACCCCAAAACAGATAACGCAGTGCAGTCCTATCCTATCCAATATAAATAGAAAAAAGTTTGTTGTTAGCTCTATATCAGGTTACTGATTCATCATTTTCCTGCAGGAATGATATAATGACGAGGGTGAACTTGTATGACCGGTTTTCATGCATGCTTGGAAAATCTACTCCGCATAAGAAAGGCTTTGACATGTTGCTTCTATCAATTCATACTCTGACTATTTCTTGAGGAGGGTTTTGCTCATGTTTCTTTTTTCCTGGATGTGCATGTCGATATCCATGTTGTTTGCCATTACCTATGACAACTGCGTTATATCCCTCACTTCATGCTGTGGAGTGAATCATCGGTGTCCAGATTACATTTTTCATGCTGTCACGGAGAGGACATGCAGATGGATAGATTTGAGGGAGTATTTTAAGGAAGACTTGAAGCAAAAGCAGAAACAGGATTGATATTTATTAATTCCCTCAATATTGCTCTAATCATGGAGAGTCTGGGGAAAAACCATACATTGAAAGGGAACCATACCGCCAGGCCATGACGCCAGAAGCTAGCTGTCTTTCAGTTCTGAGTGAAGAAAGACGAGAGTACTCGTAGTGATTAATTGTCTATTAGTGTAGTGAATATACCCACTACAAGCAGCTGGAACTGCAATGATCTGAAATGGGAAGTACATAAAGGTGTAAGCTTCCCATCATGGATCCTTTGCAGTTCAAACCTTCAGTCTTGAAGCTGCCTCGAAAGGTCCTTACGTATCTACCACACCGATCCATCTACATATCCCACACTATCCACGATGAAGCTTAACATCTTCCCTCTCACCCTCATGCTCCTGGCCCTCTTGATCCAGGGGGTGATGTCGAAGGTGATCGATGCTGATGCCAATATCGACTCTGATGCGGGTATCGAGCCGAACGTCCCAGCCATGAATGACACCGATCTGGATGCGGCCAACTTGGAGCCTGCTATGTCTGTCCAGGTCTGTTCTGGTGTACGTAAAATATGTAAATTTTCATTCCTTGATCCGTACACTGACGTTGTTCTCGACATGTAGAAATGCAAAACCGGAATTGACAGATGCCTTGTCTATTGCGACCACAACATGGAGGCCACCACATGGGCATGCAACAAGATTACTCCGGTGTGTGATACAACATACTCAAATGACGATACTCGACACTGACTAGCTGTAGTGTCGCAAGGATAACGCCGAATGCATGAAACTGGCCAACAGCAACGACGCTGTCTGTCATTGATCGGGGTGAGGAGGGTTCGGTTTGATGGAAGGATATTATGGGAATGGATATTGTATCTTGTTGTATTGGAACTGGATCTGACTGAGATGCTTCAACACTCTCAGAGACCAGAGACTACTCCCTCCCTAGGTCTATAGTTCAATTTGATTGATGACAAACCAACCACAGCCCACCGGAAGCGATGTAGTGCGGAGGGCGTGCTTAACTCCGAAGCCGAGCCTTCTTGTTTTTCCCTTTTCCACCTCTCCGCCATGCTTCCGCCATGCCAGACGGCTCTGATGGCATGTGGGTTAGACCACGCCATTCAGGATGCCCGTGATGGATTCTGACAGTCGGTTCAACCCGGTATCCGTGGTGGTTCACTTTACCATTATAAATCAACCCCGAAATCCTTCCCCGCTGGATAAATCGGCACGCTGAGAAGCGAGCCCTCTCCCCCTCGGCCAATTATCCACCACCTCATCTTTGGGCATCCACTTCGACTTCAACTTCTGATGCAGCCTTTATGAAGGATCGTCGCAGGTGCATCGTCACCATGACTTGTTCGCGATACATCACCAGCGTCTTGTTCTTGCCTTCCTTCGGGGCGAGTCCCCTGACCGATCCCCGACTCTGCTGACCGATTCCCGACTCCGAGGCCAACTATGGAACCCACCCGCTGGTTTCGGCGCGCCAGTAGGGTACATTCCGCTGAATGGGACTACAAAAAAAATTTCGGTTACTGGCGTCCCCTGTGCACTTAGTGTCGTAAAGTCCGTTGGAGACCATGGCTGGCCCCCATCAGGTGGAACCTCTTCTCTCCAGTCGGCTGCCTCTTCGGGTCTTTAGCCTACAAGCTTGGCCTGCTAGGACCCCCGCAGGCCTTCCAGACGCTTAAAAATTCGAGTCATTCTATAAAACGTCCGGTTTGCCGCCTAGTTTCCCACTGTAGTGGCTTTCATCTGTCGACCCTGTGCAGTAGACCCCAGGAAGGGCTCCCTCCCGACTCCAGCCTGCACTTGCCAGCCCGCCAGCTGTCGTGTTCTTCTTCGACACACTCTTATCGTTTGTTTGTCAACATTCATATCTTGGAAAGCCACCGGTTGTATTCGAACCATGGCAGAAATGGGGACCAGTGCTGATGTACAAGACAAGGCCGTTGTGGACAGCCACCCCTTCCACGACTATGACGACGAGAGCCAGATCAGTTCCGCCAACTCTTCGCCGGAGGAGAAATCTCTAGATGAGGCGGACATATGACACTGGGTTGGTGGGCATGGTCGCAAGTGATTGGCTCTTTCTTTCTCTTCTTCAATTCATGGTATGCACTCCTCATCGGAAGTATACAGTAGCCCGCTAACCATGGCTTCATAGGGGCGTTATCAACACATGGGGTGCTTTCCAAACGTACTACGAGCAGAATCTACTGTCTGATATGTCCTCCTCCTCCATCGCTTGGATTGGATCCCTGCAATCTTTTCTTCTGATGCTGTTCGGTGTTGTGACGGGTCCGCTTTTCGATGCGGGCTATTTCCGTTACCTCCTCTCTTTTGGTGGCATCATGCTTCCTTTCGGCCTGATGATGACCAGTATCTCCTCCAAATTCTGGCATTTGATTCTCGCCCAAGGCGTGTGCATTGGTCTGGCCGCCGGATGCCTCTTTGTCCCGTCGGTGGCATTGTTGCCCCAATACTTTAAGCAGCGAAGAGGGCTGGCCAACGGTCTTGCAGCCTCGGGAAGCAGCATTGGTGGAGTGATCTATCCGATTATGTTCAACCAGCTCCAGCACAGCGTCGGCTTCCCATGGGCAACTCGTGCGGTGGGTTTCCTGTCTTTTGGAACCTGTTGCATCTCGTTCTGCCTGATGCGCCTGCGGTTCCAACCCAAGGAGAAGCGCAAGCTGCTCCAACTCTCGGCATTTAAGGAGCCGCCGTTCGTTTTGTTCTGCATTGCCATGTTCCTAGGATTTCTGGGATTCTATAACTTCTTGTTCTACGTGCAGTCTTACGCCATCGACACTGGTATCGTCGACGCGAAATTGGGCTTTTACTTGCTCTCGATGCTGAATGCTGGATCGACTTTCGGACGAATTTTGCCCAACTTCCTCGCTGACCATATCGGCCCACTGAACGTTCTTACGCCTGCCGCTACGATAACGTCCATCCTCGCCTTCGTCTGGATCCGTGTCCACACTGTGCCGGGCATCATCGTCCTGTCCGTCCTCTATGGTCTCTTCTCCGGTGGTTTTGTTTCACTCCCACCGGTTGTGATGGCTAGCTTGACCAAGGATATCCGCACCCTGGGAACCCGGCTCGGCATGGTATTCGCTACGACCTCAATCGGATTGTTGATCGGAACCCCGATTGGCGGTGCCATCCTGAGCGATACGCACCAGTATTTGGGCGTTCAGCTATTTACCGCCTGTTGTCTCATTGTGTCTAGCGCGGTATTCTTGTCTGTGAGGCTGTCTCGCACTGGGCTTAGGGTTGTCATGAAAGCATGAGTCTGCTTATTTGCGATTCCTGAAGACGTGGGTCATGAACCCACACCGGCAATAGAAGAAGCCGTCCGGCTAGGGCCACCTCACCGGGCTTTTACCTGCGAGGGGTTTCAATCTTGGAGATTGCTTCACAGGAAATGCTCTGGACTCCGCTCAACAAGAGCGCCAGCCGCCAGGATTGAACGTGGCGGAGTGGATTCATAAAACTTAATATGCATTTCAGGGATATAGACCGGAGTTTGTGTTCAAAAATGTTGCATTTTGATATGTACGTTGTACATACCGTGAGAATCGATATACAGTTGCATTACCGAAGTAGCGATTTGGATTTTCCATCCATACTTCTATTCATATATATTTTCAGGCCCAAGGGTAGTGAAGTAAGAGAGACAAGCAGTAAACCATGCACACCATCATTGCTAGAACGCCCAACACCCAAATGCTAAACTATGCACCCAATCGACTTTTGACATCACCAATACAGCCTCACGAGACATCCTCCGGGTTGACCAGGAACTCCTCTCCCTTCTCGCGAACATGCTGTAGATCCTTGTCTCGACTGCACGGTTTGCGCATGTCGAAGGCGTCTTCACCTGTCTCTGATAGCCCGGAGGGGTCATCGCTGTAGTAATTGACCACGCGGCGGAAGACGGAGTACCTGGAGAACGGCAGTTAGCAAAACAGTCCTCAGCCCAAAGGACGACGAAGCATACCCCATTCCCTTATACATCCCCACGGCTATTTTATTGCTCGCCCGCACATAGAGGTCCACAAACCAGGCGTCGTTGATGTCAGACCCCCGCTCGAGACGCTCGGTAAGACGACGCGCATGTCCGAGCCGACGCCATGCCGGCGCCACGGTTAGAACGGTGATGTGACCGTGCCAGGGGGTGTAATGTTCGGAGTGGCGCATCGAGGCAGGCTGTTCTTCAAGCTTGCCCATGACTGTTGTTGCGAGAGGACTGAGTCAGTGGCGTGAAATGGTCGCGTTGGACATGAGAGAAGGATATGTCATGTATTATTTCGACGAGATTACATACTGTAGCCGACAATGCCTTCCCGGCGGTCTTGCACGCTGCTGAAGAGGGAGGGCCAGCGCATGAGGTAGTTCAGGTAGAAGCCGATGTCATAGTTTTCGGTGAGGGGATCGAGGTTGGTGAGGTTGAGGGAGAAAAGGTCCGTAGGGGACATGCGACGGATGGAGGTCATGACGACGGAGGGGGAATTGAGCTGGTCGAGAGGGAATGCAGTGGCGGAGGAGCAGAGATGTTGTAGATGGAGGGGAAGTTTTGCAGAAGAAACCCAAGTTGGGGCTTCGGCGGTCACGGGGAAAATAGCGGATCATCATCGTCAACGCCAGCTTTCTTTCCTCCTCGTCTCGTCACATCCCTCGCTGCCGCTCTTTATTGCCTTCGCATCCGTCGGTCTCATTGTTTTCGTGGGTCGACTTCTTCGTTTCGGTCATTTCCCTGTCCTCTACGGTCTTTCCACGCATCCTGGCGATGCGCTCCCCTATCCAGCGTTGATTTCCTTCCCCTCCGCGTTGAAAACCTCCGATTTCCGAAACAACCGTCGCTCGACGATAGACACCTACAATCTCCCTCGATCTGCTTCCCGACTCTGTTATTGTCTTCCATTTATTTTGGAAGGATTGTCTCCCGCATCCACGTGCTACTGTCCCTCTCCTGGAGCTCCATCCGACCCGACTCGATACCGTCTTTCCCACCCTCTCCCCTGAGGATGATGTCTCACCGCCATAGTCAAAGCCAGTCCAGCTACGACGCCGATCCCATCTCCCCTGGGACGTACGCTCCAAATGGCTTCGTTCATAGTCCTCCTCAATCGCCTCGCTTGTCCGCCCCGCCGTCCCCTGGGACTCCCCGCCGACACCATGCGCAGAGTCTAAACGGGTCCAACAGGATGTCGGCGGACTACAGCGCCGCGACAGGCATGGGTGGTGGCCTGGGAAACCTCGCCGACGAGCTCGCCGATGCTTGGGAGGAGGAAGAAGGTGGCTACGGCTATGCGTCGGGTCAGGAGATTGACCAGATCCCCGCGGATACGCAACCACTGGAGCACAGCGACGCAGACGATGACCATCACCACCACATGCGAACCCGCCGGCCGTCCTCGGGCTACTCCCCGGACCGCTCTCTGCAACCGCCGAAGCCGAAGATCCGAAACGGCCACCGGCATCGTCGGCATGAATCCCACTACGATGGGTCCGACTACGGGAATGACTCCGATTTCGAGGAGGCCGCCGATATCTCCCCCGGCTTGGAGAGCCAGATGGCGGAGATTGAGAGTCTCGCTCGGCGGGGGATCGAGAATAACGGAAGCGAGAATGACTTTGTCATTCAGCGCGCGGTGGAGGCTCTTCGAGATCTGGGTGCCCAGAGTGGGATTGAAAACAACGCCATGAGGTATGTCTATACTTGGATGATCCACTCCCTCTATCAGATAGTAAGTCCCCTGACTTGTCGCAGACTCATCACCGCACACTCCTCCATCACGTCACACCTCACCCACCAAACCCGAGCCCTCCAGACACTCACCCACCCGCTTCTTTTCTCTCCGTTCCCGCTCCTCTCCGAAGACGCCATCGACGCCCTCATCCCTCTCATCGACGAAGAACTCCTCCCAAACCTCCCGTACCCCTTCCCCGATCAGGCCCGCCAGTCACCCAATGCAGTGAGCCGCTCGCAGTCGCCCGCCCTCGACCCGCTCGTCTCCCTGCAGACGCTCATTTCGCAGACCTCCGACATCACCCTCTCCCTGCGCGGCCTGAGCGATACGCTCTACGAGTCGCGACAGCTGACCTCGACCGCCTCGCGACGCCTGCGCTCCGCCCGCGAACTCGTCGCCGAACTGCGCCGCGAGGAAGAAGGCCGCGAGGAAGGCACGCGGTGGATCGAAAAGGGCGACTGGGACCGTCGCCTGCAGGACCGCGAAGCCGGTCGCGAGTGCGGCGACGTTGTCAGCGGCTTCGAGGCCGTCTGCGGCGAGTGGAGAGAGAAGCTCTTCGGTGCGGCCGGGGCCGAAGTCGCGGCGGCTTAAACTTATCACGACCTTTATGGATCTTCTGCTTTCCATGCTTTCCTTTCTGAGAGTATATATACCTTAGACCTTGCGTTTGTCTCCAAGACGATTGGTTCCGGTGACGTGACGTCACATACAACCCCGTCTTCATCTACGTGTTGTTCCTTGCTCATACCCGGATATTACCTATGCAAACATACAGCCAGACACTTGCTAGAATTCTTCTTCTCTTTCCTTTTGTGAATCCTTTTCAACTTGCCGCACTTTACGTCGCAGGCCAAGACAGCATTTCTTTTGTACAGTAGGAGCAGCAATCAGATTGAGCGTTACGTACGTATAGTGGCTACAGATATAATTATGGGAAGTCGGTCAAGCCGGTAGATTCAAAACGAAAGATCGTGACTAGACTTAGGTACTACTCTACCAACATCATGAGAAGCATAACCGCAATAACAGCTACCCATGAAAGAATGCACCAGAACAATTCAGATCAACGCATACCCAAGTCCGAGGAGCGGATATCCATACATTCGGCAAACGCCCGTTTGCCAACGACGAACAGAACAACTATACTTAAGTCTGCAGTTCATAACGGAGATGGATAGAAAGAAAGGACGGCAGAATAAACAACACTAGATGAGAAATAACCGTAGTGATGATGATCAAGAGAAACTAGATGCAAACAAGGAGAAAAGGAAAAGGAAGAGAACCGCATACATCGTCATTATTCTTTCCATTCACCCTTCATTCAACCATGCCAAGAAAGAAGAAAAATAGCAAACTTTTGGTTTCGTTTTTCTTCTCGTCTTGTCTTTTCCAGACACACACACAGACTTCATAAGTTCATCCAGGGAATAGAAACAAAAAATCAAAAGATGTATTTACTGGTTCTGCTGCTGCTTCCAGCGAGGCACCCATTTACCGGCGCTACCGCCCTCGGAGGGCTTGTCGGAGCCGGGAGTCTGTGTGCGGGAGGGAGGCTGAGACGAGGAGCTTTCGCGGGCGTGACGGGGGACATAGCGTTCGGGGGCGCCGTTGGAGGGGGGAGCAGCGGGAGCAGCGCTCGAACCAGAACGGAGATGAGGCGGGACGTAGCCACCGGGCCTGCGGGCGGGCTGGGGCGCCTCCTCCTTGGGGGCAGCTTCAGGAGCAGCACCGCCAGCGGCCTCCTTGGCGGCCTGGCGCTCTCTCCAGCTGGGTCCGCCGGTGCGAGGAGCGATGTTGAGTCGAGGCGCAGTGCGTTCGGTGGGTTCAGGACGGGCAGCCGGGGCGGCGGGCTCGAGTCCGGCCTTGCGGGCGGCACGACGAGCTTCGGCTTCTTCTTCACGCTGCTTCTGCTTGGCGGCGATCTCATCGAGTCTCCTGTAGACACGTTAGCAATTCGATCGGAAAGACAAGACGGGGGAATGGGAACGGAAACGTACTTTCTCTCCTCTTCACGCTTGGCCTTCTCCTCGGCCAGAACACGCCGGCGCTCTTCATCGCGAGCTCTCTTCTCCTCCTCCTCACGCTGGGCGCGCTCCTCTTCCTCCTTACGTTGGCGCTCGGCCATCTCACGCTCCATCTTCTCGCGACGGCGGCGCTCCTGCACCTCCTTGACACGCTGCTTCTTCTTGGCCTCGAAGTCGCGCTCAGCGGCCTTGCGGCGCTTCTCGAACTCCTCGTGGCGCTTCTCGGAGACCTCCTTGCGGAAGCTGTTGAAGTGAGGTACCAGACGGCTGAGACGATGCTTGAGGGCCACGGCCTCCTTGTGCTTGAGCTCGGCCTCCTTGAGGGTCTCCGCCTTGGTGGCCTCGTAGATCTCCATATCCCGCTTCTTCTGGGCCTCGTAGTCCTCGGGGATGTGCTTCAGTTCTTCACGGCGGAACGCACGCTCCAGATGGTCGATACGCTTGCCGGTGGTGCGAATGCGGTCGTTCAGCTCGTTCTTCTCCTTCTCGAGCTGGGCGAGCTTCATGGCACGCAGCCGGTTGGCATCCAGATCCTGCAGATCGATCTCGTTGATGTCAATGCCCTTGACGCCGCTCTTGAGCTCCTCCAGCTGCTTCTTGAGCTCCTGCTGGCGGATGCGGTCCTGCTCATCCTTGATGCGCTTCTTCTCACGCTCGCGCTGCTCGTCGAGGAGACGCTGCTTCTCGGCTTCCTGGAGCTGCTGGGTGCGAATGCGCTTGCGAGTCTCCTCCTCTCTCTGCTTGCGCTGGAGGGCATCCGTAGCAGCCTCCTTCTTCTTCTCGATGATGACGCGACGAGCCAGGGTCTCCTCGTGTTCCTTGGCCGCACCGGCCAGGGCGCGAGCCTGAGCGGTCTGCTTGGCCTGGATACGCGACTCGTTGTAGGACGGGTCGACATACATGCAGGAGACGTGCAGGGTCTTGGCGAGGCGGGTGAGCTGCAGACGGGCAATCTCGGCGGGAGTGTTCTGCAGGCGCTGGACGGAGCCAACCTCGCTCTCGGCGGAGCCAGCGGCGCTACCGGGGTGCAAGGCCTTGGCAGACGAGAACACATCGCTGTCGAAGGTGAGGACACCGGAGATGTGGTCCACGCGGATGGCGAGATCTCCCTTCTTGCAACCGTTCATGATGAACTTCTCAATCATGGCGGGGGTGATCTGGAAGGGGTCGGGGAACTGGGCCAACTCGTAGACAAACTTGAGCTCAACCGACTCGTAGACCTGGGACAGCTGCTGGAAGAGGCGGGTGAGGATGACCTGCTGCAGAGGCACCACGTACTTCTCCATCTCGGGATCGGAACCAATCTGCTTGAGGATGGGAGTGATCTTCTTGCAGATGGACAGAGGGTGGAAGTCGACTTCGAGGATGTTGTACAGCTCGCGGATCTCGGGGCGGGCACGCTTGAGAAGGCCCTTGTTCATGGCATCCTTGAACAGGACGGCACGGGTCGGGGGCTGAGCCATGCCCAGGAGGTTGGTGAGGCGAGTGTTCTTGTTCTTGCGAACCTCATCCACATCGACCAGGGCGCCCCGGGAACGAGACGTGCTGATGACGGGGATGGCCAGGGCCGACAGGAGCACAAAGGAAGCGGCCTTGGTCATGTCGGCCTCAGTGACGGAGGGGTTCTCCTTCTTGGTACCCTGGCCAGCAGCCAGAGTGGCGGCGGACTGGCGGAGGAGGTTGTAGTAGCGGCTCCAGGCGGCAGCATGGAAGAGATAGTTCTCGCTGACGAGGAAGATACGGGCCAGCTTCTCGTAGTAGTTGGCCATCATGACGTTCTTGGCGGGACGCTTGCTGAGGCTCAGGAGGGTGTGGATGTCCTCAATGCTGCGGAAGGCTTCCTGCCAGAGTTCGAGCTCGACAGCAACGTTGAGCTGCTGGAAGCGGGTGTCGAGGTGACGCTGAAGGGTGTCGGGGTCGCTCAGGTTGATGGCGTGCATCTGAGCGGAGTACTTGGCGGCGTTCTGGACATGGTTGCGGAGAAGCTCACAGAGACGGCGGAATTCGGTCTTGCGGGTGTACTTGAGGCAGAACTGGAAGGCCTGGAGGGCGGTGGTCTGGTACATGACCTCGAGACGGGCGTTGTTCTTCAGGATTTCCAGGACGGTGCGGTAGGTTTCCCACAGGAACTTGAGCCACGGCGTGACGACGGCACGGTCGGTGCGATCGCGAGACTGTTCGCCGGAGACGGTGGCGAGGAGAATGGTCTCGGGAGTCTCGATAGCTTCGAGATCCTCGACGTTGGCCGAGGGAGCGGCGGATTCCAAGGAGGACTGGATCTCATCGGCCTTGGTCTGGGCCTCGGTGACCTTCTTTTCGGCGAGCTCGATGAACTTCTTGAGAACGACCTATTGATGCGTCAATTTTCCCGGTCCCGTGTGTGTGTGTGTGTGTGTCGATAAGCAAGGTGGTTGACGGGACGTACCTCGATGGTTCCCACGTTGGTGTTCTGGGCGATGTTTTTGTACTGATAGAGTCCATCCTTGGCGGCCTTTCCTTTGCGCATATCGACACAGAGCTCGACAATTTGCAGCATGACGGGTTCGAGGGAGGAGATAGGGCTGCTGCGCGTCCGTTTGGAGGTGACATGCTCGTGGAGGACGTTAAGGGCGGCGGGAGCCTGGCCCACGGCGATGAGTTCCTGAGCCCGCTGCAGACGAGTTGCGTCAGTTGATGTCCTTGGATCTCGCGGAATTCGCGATCCCTCATCTCTATGCATCGCACGAAGCGATCCGCATCCAAGGCACGACTCACCTTCAGGACATTCTCGGGCTTGATATGCGGCGGAGGCGGCATGGTGGGCGATTAAAGGCGATCTCGGTAGGACACGACACGGTAGGTGGGAGTGAGAGAGAATCGCACGACGACGGGCGGGCAGCGAATAAGTCGGAGGCGGGAAAAGTCGCAGAAATTGAGAAGCGGCTGCCACGCGACTGTCGGTGAAGAGACCCAGGACGTTCCGTCACGATGGGGTTAAAGGAGGGGGGGGAGGAGAGACGAGAAGTGGAGGAAGTCGTCGTCTTCCAGCGTTGTGGGAGAGAATCTCGAGAAAAAAACGCTGGGGTTTCCCACTTTGGGTTAAGCGATAGGGTCACGTGAGGCCATCACCAATAACGCAATAACTATACGGAGTACAAAGGTACATGCCTAGATAGTGTTATGCAGTCTATTAATTGGATTATCTTATTATTGAATAAGATCCATGCCATCACGAAACATGCCACCGCCAGCTGCATCTGGACGAAACATGGCGGAATGATGGATCAGTCGGCGAGGACGCTGGAGGGTAACAGACCGGTCACCGCGTGCTCCGAGACAACGAATTGGGTGTGTTGCGAGTGTTCGGACGGGTAAAATTACGCCGAGGTATTGTACCCTGTATACTCCTGATCGACTGATCGCATCAGAATGTATCAGGGTGGAATGGGACTGGGACAGAAGAAGAAACATCAGATGGAATTGATAGATCATTCTGCTATTGGTATATTATAAGTTATAATATAGGATCCATGCCCAGCAGAAGGTGGACCGGGAGAACTCTTCTACAGCACACAGACCACCCACTCTACTAACTCTGTCTAGTACGGAGCGCCCTCTCACTCAAACTCCTTCATCGTCTCTCCCTCTCCCTCTCTCTTCTCTCCTCTTAGTCTCTCTTTTCTTTTCTTCTTCTCCCTCTTCTCCCTCTCTCTCTCCCACCTCGTCATCCCCCCCATCCGTTCGCTTCATTCCTCTCCTCTGGGGTCGTTCCTTACCGTCCCATCCCCATCCCTTCTCCGGAACCGAATCCCCTCCTTTTCCAGGAGCTCCGATCGTCTGTTCCCCTTACTCGCTCCCCCTCTTCCTGTCGTCTCCGTCCGTCCGTCCCGGCTCGACGCGCAAACGAACCTTAGTCTGAGCTTCAGAATCTCCTCTTCTACCGCTCACCTCGCATCAGCCCTTTTCCCTCCGACCTTCCTCGAATTAATTCGTCGCACATTCGCACCTCCCCCCCCAGCAAAATGCCTCCTTACGAGCTCCGATCGGGCGGTGACGTGAAGAACAAGAAGCAGAGCGTCGCCGATCTCAAATTCCGTCGTCTCACAGAGCTCAATGCCCGTCTGAAGGAGGACCTGGACCGGCCCCGAGTGAAGGTCTCCGAGGCCGCCATGTCGTGAGTTGCGCCCCCCGTCCATGCGGCCGCTTAGTCCCCGGGTTCGTCACTAACCCGCCCCCGTCCGCTAGTCTCATCAATTACTGCAACAACACCCGCGACTACATGGTACCATCCGTATGGGGTCAGGTATGCGACACATCTGCCGTCTGTTCATGTCGCGACGAATGTCTCTAATCGGGTTCTTTCGCAGGTCGACAAGCGGGAAGACCCCTATGCGCCGCAGCAGCAGGGCGGCTGCTGCACGGTCATGTAAAAACCCTCACGATCCCGATTCTCTTCGCGATGACCCCGACTCGGTTTCTTTTCTTCTTCACTTGACTTCTCGCTTGTCGTTATCCCGGGTGCCGGTAGGAAAGATCAGATGGCTTTCCTCGCAACGACCGGGACCGCCCGAAGGTGCGCGCGCTGGACCTGCAGTACTTCGGACATGGAGCGACCAGCGGGAAGCTTCTTTTTTACTTCTTTGGGCGTCGCATGCAGCCTATGTATGGATGAAGGGCGACCGCTTTTTTATTTTACCTTACTACTATTATCTTTTTTTCTTTGTGGAAAATTTCCTCTGCCCCATTTTCACCCCCCACTGTCAAGTCTATTTATTATAGTGACCTCGATATCAGAATATTTCCTTTGTTCGTGCACGCTGTGGATTTCCTTCTATTTCCTTTCCTTTTCTTTTTTTTTTTTTTTTTTTTTTTTCGCTGATGGACACGGGGCGCGTATGGACCAAAAAGGCGGTTACTTCCATCCTGCTTGTAATATAGAATTGTCGATCGAGGATGGTTGTGGACGACGTGTATGTGTTAGTTGCATGAGTGGACCGTCAATTGAGTTTGTATCCCGTTTGCACTACGACATCGCACATGCTGATCTAGTCGGTTGGATTCTTGAGCTTTGCATCGGATAGGTACATTATCGGACTGCACGCAGGTGCCTCGTGCTCAGAGTGTACTGTATGATATAAAAGCCATCCATGTGCTAAGGAGCGACTGAAACTAACCACAGAAAACGACCGCATAAGCATACCCAACGCATATTGACTACCTAAGTACCTGCAACTCATGACTCGAAACTCATCCCAACTCGAACTCATCGACTACCCTCTGTACCACACAGTATGGGTCACCCTAGCGTTGCACAGACTGCAACCCTCGGCAACTCCCCACGCACTACCTAAAGCTCACGCATGACGGCCGATGCACGCACCGTGCCCCCAACACCGCCGCCTAGGCATTGCAGGTCACCTTCGCAGGACAGTGCTGCTCGCGGCCGCGCCCCCAGACGCAGCTGTTGCTCGCGGCCTTCACATCGCACGGCACCTCGGTCAGCTCGTACGGCACGCACATCTGCGGGTCCTGCGAGAAGAACGTCAGCGCGGGCGTCGTGGCCGGACAGGCCGGGCCGATGCCCTGCTCGACGCCGCCGAGACAGTACTTCCCGCACGGCCAAGCGGTGAGCGCGAAGCGGCCGGCGCGCGCAAACGTCTTGGTCTTGCCGATGTGCGCACCGTCGCGGGCGTCGTTGAGCCACTGGCCGGCGTTGGCGCCCGTCTTGGGGTCGCCGGTCAGATCGCGGATGTACACCAGCGAGCCGGGGTTCACGGGCGCGTTGGCCGTGCAGTTCTCGTCGGCGCACAGCTGGAACTTGCCGTAGTGGAAGTTCATGTCGTCGTCGTGCGCGTAGTAGATCCCGTCGGCGCCGGAGCCGAGGGTCTTGCCGTTGGAGCCGGTGAAGAGGTAGCATTTGCCTAGCGGAGTTAGGGTGTGAATACTGTGCAGATAGGGACAAGAGGAGGGGCGTACCAGTTGTCAGGCCAGAGTCACAGAGCGCATCAGTCGCCGCCACGGCGGGGGCCTGCGCCTGCGCCTTGCAGGAGCCGTCGGCCTGCTCGGTCTGGCCCGCCGAACAGACGCATTTGCCATCGACCAGCACCTGGCCGTTTTTGCAGACTGGCGGGGCGGTGCTCATCTGGCACAGCCGGCCGTCCCAGGTCCAGCCGGTGGGACAGCAGTAGTAGCCGGCGGCCGGGGAGCCCACGAGGTCGTGGCCGATGGCGCAGCAGTCAAAGGCCGTGTCCGGAGAGCCCAGAAGGGACTGGGTGGGCATGCAGCACGCAAAGTGCTTCTTGTCCGCGCTGAGGGTGGGCACGGTGCCCATCGCGGCGCAGGACCGCGTGGTCTTGCACTGCAGACTGGGGCCACAATCCGGATCGGAGTACGAGATAGTACCTCCGACGATGGTTGCGTCGCTGCCGACCTCGAACGTGGGCACGTTCTTGAGGTACTCCTTGGCATGGATGGAGGCTGCCTGCAGGGCGACGGTGAGAAGGGTGAACTGGGCTGGGTTCTTCATTGTGGATTGATTTGCTGTGTTGGTTTTGCTGTTGTGTTGCTGTGTTGTTGATGCTGATGGTGAGTTGGCGAGTAGTTCTTGGGCTTTATATATCCTATCCTGGCACGATCCGGCTCATGCTGACGACCATCGCCGTGCGAGACAAAAGGGCCAGGACACCTCAATGCAACCATCCTTCTGCGATGATCAACTGACATCGGGGACCACTCTGGTGGCCGTCTTGCGTCCGGAGAGAAGTCGGCGAAGACCGACGCGACTCCCAATTCACGAGAAGTCTGTGGCCACTATCACCGCCCAGCTCGAAAGAGGGGTGCCTGCTCATGGAGTGAAGCTGTGGTCGATCGTCGGCTGGCTGAAGAATTGAGACAATGTACAGGGGATTGAACCTCTGGTGACCTGACGATCGCCGTGCGTATTGGTTCAAGACCTAGCGCCTGTGAAGAGAGCAGTCAGCAAGAAATCCATCCACGGACGAATGGTAGACCAACCTGGTCGGCGCTCGGTAGCACACACATAGTATAGGGAGGGAGTGGTGGTAGCTGTAAGTAAGGTTAAGTCTGGATCGTCGTCACACATGATCACGCGGACCGTTCGGGTAAGCATGCAGGGTCGGTCCCCTGCGTCCATCATGCGAACTGGAGATGGCTCCGACCACCGACCAGACCGTGGGTTTGCTTCTTCGGCAGAAACGGGGATGGTCACCTGGTGCCACTCTGGTCGAGATCAGAATGCAGGTCTCTGCATAAGACATCAGCGGCACGAACATGATTCTTTGTCTAGAGAGGTCGATCAGCCAGCCACACGGTATCCGATACAACCTCAGCAGGTAACTAGGTAGGTAGGTAGGTATACAATCGGCCGAACTACGGTAATGCAGATGGTACATGCAAATGGTAGTCGTCAATTAATCACTAATGTACTCAACATGAACATCTTGTGCTTCAAGCCAATCAGTCAAGCCTCGTCTTTGTCGTAACCCATTTTCCTGGCATCACGGCATTTGAGACACAGCCTGGTCCCCCAAATGCGTGTCCAAGGCAGTGTGCTGCCGCTGGATGGGCAGCCCCAGTTCACATATCAAACACAAACATGGAAAATACACACACACACATAGCTAACCAAACAAGTACGTTCCCAACCGATGACTAGATGACCCTGCGCCCAATGGTCATCCCAGTACATCGCTCGTAGAGGAATGGTCGGATCCTGCCCCTGATGTCCAATTCACAATCTAGCGGATTAATGCAATAGAGAGAATGGTAAGAAAGAGAACGGAAGGATGTTGGGCACACGCATCACAGAATGTTATCGAGCTTGCCCTCGGCCTTGGCTTCCCTCACTTGTTCAAAGACCTATCCGTCGTTAGCTCCATGTCCGGCTGAAACAACGGCGCAACCAGCACCACTCACCTTGAGCATCTTGTTTCTCGCCCCGAGAGCATTCACACCCCGCTCTTCCAACGCCTTGTCGTTGAGTTCCACCAATTCCGTCCACTTCAGATCCTTCAGGTTCTCCGTATACTTGTGCAACCGCAAAGATCTCAGCCAGCTGGGAATGTCTTTCAGCAGGTTCGGGTCCGTGGGATCCTCTGGTGGCTTCGAGCTACCACGGCGACCGCGCGGGGAGCGTCCCCGGGCGACTTCCGAGTGATCGGACAGGTAGCCCTCGTGACCTCCAAGACCAAACTGTCCTAATCCCAGGGCTCCCAGGCCATTGCCCATCAGCGGGTTGTTCGGGTCATAGGCCGCCAAGAAGCCGTTGTTCTGGGGTGATGTGAATCCCATCGCTCCGAGAGCACCACCCTGCATGGCGATGCCAGGAGAGGTCGGGCGCGAACGGCGGCCAGCCATCGAGGCTTGCTGCTGCGCCTGCAAGGCGGCGAGCTGCTGAGCATTCAGAAGCTGACCAGCAACCAGCTGATTCGGGCCCGGAAGACCAGGGCTCGCCAGGCCTCCCTGAGACATGGGCTGGCTGACATTGACATTGGAGTTCTTTCCTTGCCCGTCGTTGGAGCGAGCCCGCCGGTACTTGCGAGCATCGTCCAGAGCAATCCGATTGTTCACAGTGGACAAAGCTGCCAATTTCATGGCCGTCGCATTAGCCACCATATCGGCATGCGAGTTCTGCTGCGGTTGCTGCTGCTGTTGGCCGAACGTCGCCGTCATAGGGGTGTTGGTCATGGAGGCCCAGCTGGCATTTCCAACATTGTAGGGCGACAGCAACGGCGCTTCGATGTCGGGAGCGGGAATCGTGGCAGTCTGCGTGGGCAGAGGAGAACGCAAGCCAGACTGGCTGAACTGGCCCATAGGCTGATGACCCGACGACGACTTGGGCCGAGCAATGGGAGGCTGGGGTTCAGAGCCTCGCTGGGTCCAAGGGGATACCGGGGGTTGTCCCAGGCTGTCCGCACTATTGTCCGGAGCAGAAATGGTCGGCGCAACGAAAGAAGTCCGATCACCAAAAACGGCACTGTTCCGGTTCGAGGGGGGTGCGTTGCCCGTCTGCTGAGTGAATTCGGCCTTCTTCTTGGCGATCGCGGCTGCGGCATCGGGGAACATAGCGTTGATGGTCGAGGAATCGAGACCAGAATTCCGCTTAGCGCCAGGAGAAGGGGGAGGGCGTCCCAGGGAGTTCCGGGAAGTATCCACGTTCAGCTTTGACATGGCATCGTTCAGGCGGTTGGACATGGCATCTGCGCAACGGATAACGGTGTTAGTCGCCATTCGATTGTTTCACCCGATCATACCGGGAAGAGATGCATACCTTTTTCACCAAAGTTGGCCGGAGACAACAATCCCGACATGGGATGGCTCTTGGCCATCTGCTGCAAGACCTGGATGAAGAAACGAATCTGCACCTGAGTGGTCTGCTGCAACAAAGCATACAACGCAGCGGTTCTCTCTGCCTCGCTGAGGACACGGAACCACTGTTCGATGGCGCTCAGTTCATCCTTGAAATCCTGGTCCAGCGTAGCGGCCGCCATCTCTTCCAGTGTGGTTTCATACTGATCGATATCAGCCAGCCACTGCTGCGCCGCCCGATCCAGAGGGTCCTCTGTGTTGTTCGGCGTCTGAGACTGCTGGTTAAAGAACACTTCAGACGAGGGACGGATGCTGCGCGAGGACAGCGGAGAGGGAAAACCCGACATATCGGCGGAGGCTCGAAGCTGATGTGTACCGAGGTTGCGAGACGAGGATGGAGGTCGAAGGGTGGTGGATTTGGTAGCGTCCGGAGTGCTGTTGCGGTTTCCGATGATGTGGCTAGCCATGAAGCGCGGAACGAGGACGTCGTCTGACAGAGAATGTCGAGGTAGGATGTTGCGGTTTCACAAGACTCGGAGGTATGTATAATAGATACAGAAAAGAAATATTACTGCAAAGCACCGGCAGCACCTGCTGAGTTTGCGTGGAGAATTCGGTAAAGGACCTTTGTCGAAAGAGGACCTCTTGCACGATGATAACCAAAGAGCCGATTTATAGAACGAAACACAAGAGTCGAATCGGGAGCAGACAAGAGTGAACAAAAATCCCTCTCTAAAGATGGAGACACTTTTTTGTTTAATGATCTTCCTTTCGATCGGATGAGGAATCCAAGCGCAACGGCTCTAGGCGATGGCGATTGGGGGAGCACAGACCAGGCCAGTGGCTGCACTATCTGACTCGAATTCTGAGGCCGGAATCGAATCGAAGGAGCATCCAAGAGTAACGAATCTCGACGACCGAGGGAAGAGAGAACGCGGTGGATTCGGGATGAGTACAGTATATTCAAAGTGGACAAAGCGGAGCGAACAACGGAATATAAATTAGGAAATGTGGGTTCCTTTTTTTCCCTTTTTTTTTTAACGAAAGGATGTCGGAATCAACTGCAGTAGTGTGTCAAACACAGCAAGCAGAGAATCCGAAGCATCAAGAAGAAGAAAAGGAAAGTAAGAAGAAACAGGGAGGGAGATGGGGGGGAGCAGGGAGGGAAGAGAGAAGAAGATGAAGTGGAGAGAAGAGAGAGTGAGAGAGAAGAAGAGGAGAAAAAAAGCAGAGGACGAGAGGAGGAAGCGAAGAGACGGCGCTTTTCCGTTTGGGGAATCACTGGACTTTTCCTCCGACCATCAATTCAACAACACCTTCTTCTCCCCATGACTCCTACTACTGTGTGCTGAGGGTCTTTGACGACTTCCACTTCAATCATATTGGATTCGATACTTTCTTCTGGATATTCCTACTCGGTTATTCGGATTCCTTTGGGTCACCCTGTTCAGTGTCCCGTTCTGCACCCTCTGCACGGACAGCTCGAGCCTCGAGGCCTCGGCTCCCAGTGGTCTGAGCTTGGCCCTTATTAGACGATAATATATGCGCACGATCTTCAGCAGACCGATCGCCTTCTTGAAATAATTTCCATGCCATCTAGCAACACCTTGTGGCTGAACCCCAGTTAACGCCATCGCGGCACTCGGGCTAACTAGGTGGACACCGGCGACAAGATTGCCTGGACCTGGTTCGCTGAACCCTTAATTCCGAGACGCTACTAAAAGCACCTGTGATCGGCTTCCACGAACATCCGCATTGTATATGCATGCTAGGATTTCCTACCAGCACCAGTCTCCTTGAACCGACTCTCGATCACATATCTCGAATCTGAGACATTTGATGCAGGATCAGCTGACGTCACCGCATCATGGATTATCCAAACGACGGCCCGCCGGACCACAACGCTCCTGGAGACCATTCTATGTATCCTGATATCGATGAGTCTATGCAATATCCCTGGCAAGGGACCCAGACAACGACGCAGGGGGACTCGTCAATTCATTCGGTCATCGACCCCCGGTTGTACAAGGACTTGTTCCCAACCAACGCAACCCAGTCACCCGATCAATCAGAGGCGGAGGAAGAGGTCGATGACATCTATTACGGAGCCCAGTTCTCTGACGAAGGCTCGGAATACCAGTACTCCGCAGAGGAAAGCCAAAGGTGAGTATATCGGCACTTCATGTTGATCTTCTTGCTCCTAGCTAACGAACCACGACAGTGACGAGGACCTCTCAGATGTCCCAGAAGCAGATGACGATGAGGTCTACGGGGGCCGGCGAAGACGCCGTCGAGGCACGGGCCCCTTTTCTGGTCGCTATGGTGCTCGGGGCGGAAAAGGAATCAAGAGAGGGCCCCGGAAGCCTGTAGAGCCTAGCCCGGAGTTCAAACTGTTGCATTCAGAAGCTACGTCTGCCTTTATCGATGGTGACTATGACCGTGCCATTGACTTGGTGAAACGTGCCATTCAAATCAATCCCGAGATGTTCGCCGCCCACTCGCTGCTGTCTGAGATCTTCTTGGCTCAGGGTGAGAAAGGCAAGGCTTTGACTGCACTCTTCAGTGGAGCTCATACCCGTCCGAGGGACCCCACCGTATGGGCCAAGGTGGCGCGGATGATACTCGCAAGAGCGGGTGATGACCGTATAGACGCGTTGCAAGACGTTATCTATTGTTATAGCCGAGTGCTTGAGATCGACCCTCGAAACTACAATGTCCGGTTCCAGAGAGCAGCTCTCTATCGGGAGTTGCGGTATAATGGCCGAGCCGCAGCGGAATACGAAAGAATCCTCAACGATGTACCGCACAGCACGAGGGCTCTTCGGCACCTTGCAGAGGCTTACATCGATCTGGAGAAGGTGGATAAAGCTGTCACTCGCTGGGCTGAGAGTGTCGAATACTACATCTCTCTTGACCCGGAAGAAGCGCCCGACTTCTCTTGGTCTGACGTCAATATCTATGCCGAGCTCTATGCCTTACTGGGCCAACATGAAAAAGGGTTGAAGGCTTTGAAACAACTGGCACGATGGCTTTTGGGTCGCAGGGATGACACGATGTGGGAAACCTTTGACGAAGATGACCGCGAATGGGATGCCGACGACTCGCCGCGTCGAATCAAAGTCGATGGCTACATTCCCGGACAGTGGCCTCGGGACTCCTACGGGCTCGGACTTCCGCTGGAACTTCGCATCAAACTCGGTCTCTTTCGCCTGAGAATGGGCCCCGAACACAAGGACGAAGCTCTGGTAAGCGGTGAGCAGAGAATTTCGATCATGCAAATCGCTAACACAATCCCAGTTCCATTTTGAATGGCTGAATCCCGAAGATACTGCAGAGGGAGCCCGGCTATATGATTACGGGGACCTTTTCCGGGAGGTTGCCGATGCGCTCAAAGACATGGGTCTGGCCGAGGAAGCGCTGCGGTTCTATATGCCCCTCCAACAGACCAACGAATATGCAGATGTCAGCTTCTTTATGGCTATGGGTGACTGTCTTCGACAGCTCGACAAATTGGAGGATGCAGAAAACTGCTATCTTACTGTTGCAGAACATGACTCGAGACACATCCAGTCCCGTGTCCAGCTTGCACGGTTGTATGACAGCCTTGGCATGGCTGAAGAGGCACTCAAGTACGTTAACGAGGCCGTCCTGCTCGAGAGACAAGAAATCAGAGGTGATCGTCGACGAAAGGACACAAGGCTGGAACAGCTGGTGTTGGAATTCAAAACTGCCGATATGGGAGTAGATGTGGGTGCAGCGCCGTTGAGGCCGCTTGCCCCGAAGCCTGCAGGGGATGAGGGGTCAACAGTCACACTTACCACCGTCGCAGGTCGGAAGCGCTCGGTGGAAATTGGAGCTGACCGGACAGAGAACGTGCTGTACCTCTATAGAAAGCTATCGCAGTTACAACCAAAGGTTGAAGAAGGGAACGCGGAAGCCACGGAGGATTGGTTGGACATTGCTGATGCTCTTCTGCGAGAGTTTCGGTCGAACCGGGCCTTCTACCCTGCTCAACGGAGCCTCACTTTTCTGGGTTATTCGCGCGATGCATACAAAAAGGGCGCGAAGACGAAAAGCGATACCATTATGGATGAGATGCAAGAAATGGCCAGCCGCCTCCAAGAATCCCTAGGTAAGATCAGCTCTACACCGTACGTTCTGATGGCCTCTGACTTTGTTAGGCAATGTCCCGGAAGAGCCTCTCGAGAAATGCCGTACCGACCGATTACCATGGGATATCGTTCGATGAATGGCTTGATCTGTTCCTGCAGTATGCTCTTATTGTGGCGGGACAAGGCGAGCCAAGTGAAGCATATGATGCTCTTGGTGCTGCCGCTGATGCGAGCCTGTGGTATCATTCAAAGTCCAGCCTGCGTCTGATTCATGTATGCTGGTTCTGTAAGTTCTTGACACCCCCATACGGAAGCGCAAACTGACATTGTATAGCATGTGCACTGCGGGCAGGCGATGGGAAGACACTTGTGAACGAAGCTCGCTGGTTTATCAAGAAATATCAGTTTGTGACAGATACATACCGTCTACAGGCCATTTTGAGCCGCGTGTCAGGCGACCCGGTGTTCTATTCGCCGCCAGAAAAGAAGTTTATGCTCCGACAGATCCGGGCCGTGGACTACAATCTTCCTAAAGAAAGTGCACGGACCCGGCCCAGCAGTGAGCCGGTACGACCGTCAGTGTACAAGGAGCGCGCATCTCTCACAACCCGTGACGAATCTGGAGAGCTGATCATGGCCGAGGAGATGGATATCACCCTGCTTTACTTGTACGGCCACATGCTCTTCTCTACCGACAGTTTCACGGAGGCGCTGAATTATTTCTTCCGTGCGTATGCGCTAGACGACCAGAATCCAGCGGTTCTACTCTCGATTGCGCTCTCCTACATCCATCAGTCTTTGAAACGCCAGTCGGAAAACCGTCATTACCAGATTATGCAGGGTCTCTCCTTCATGCAGGAGTACCGACGTGTTCGGGAACGAAAGGGTTGTTCTCTCCAGGAGCGACAAGAAATGGAATTCAACTTTGCACGCGTGTATCATACCTTGAGTCTGGCGCATCTTGCCGTGGAGGGTTACCAGCGTGTCTTGGCCTTGGGGGAGCAGATCCGCGCCGAGCGTCAACGAAAAATACCCATCTCCCGGGTCACCCAACCGGCTGGTGGTGAGGACGAGCCTATGATGGCTACAGAGTCTGAGAGTCAGGACATCTCTGTGGAGGACTTCTCCGTGGAAGCAGCAATGGCTTTGCAGGGTATACATGCGCTGAATGGGGATTTCAAATCTGCCCAGGATGTCACTATGAAGTGGCTTGTTATTTGAGGATGGATGATTGTGATAGGAGTTATGGCTGGGGAACGTTGAGATACCCTTTTGGATTAAAAATAGTATGGGCATTGATTGCTATTGAGGTGTTACGCATTGTTCGTTGCCACTTCTGGGATTAATGTTGTACATGGAATATGCAGAATGACGTGCGAGGCTGTTCTGCCACAGACCTTAGGGCGCCACCATTTAGCCTTGGTGGACGAAGGCTATACATCTTTGAGCTTGCTTTGCTTGCAACTTGTTGCTAAGCTAATGATCCATTATGGTGGATGTCTTCCACTTACGCAGGGAGTATGTTCTCTGGATTGAACAAAGAGCACATTAGATCTTCTCATTATAGAAACATACTCACGTGTTATGCCGGCAATGGAATGAAACATGCAGCATATGCACGTCTACGATCCAGCACGCGATACTACTTATACTCAATGTATATATAGTACCATCACGCTGATACTGTCCTTCATGGTTAGCACACATGTGAGTCCTCTGAATGACTCAAGTATGGAATGTCAGACGGGTCATACTACATGCCTTCGTATACATTCTTGATTCCAGACTCGCAGGGGATGACTTTAAAGAACCCCCTTGCTCCTTCCCCAGTATTCTTCTCTAAAAGCTAAATCCAAAGCATTACAATCATCGTATTGTATGCTTTCAGCTTATTGCTGGGGCCGATCTAGATCCTGAGCGGCTATCACCACAAAAAACCACAGACCATGCCAGTGGCAGCAGTCCTGCCCCGGCTGATGCGCGCTCTGGTTGCCCTCAATCTCTGCTTTGTATTTGGCACAGCTTCCCTGCAGAATGACGAGGCCCTCCCCGACTCGCTTCAATCATGCCTGAATGCAACAGGATCATCGGTCTCGTACCCCGGCAGCGCAGCATACGATGCGCTGAACAAACCGCAAAACGCCAACTACAGCCCACAGCCCGGCGCTATCACGACGCCGGCCTCCTCGGAAGAGGTGTCGGCGATTGTAAAATGCGTAGCCGCCGAGGAAGGGCGCATCAAGCTCAGTCCCCGAGGCGGCGGACACAGCTACGCGGCGTACAGTTTCTCGGGGCACGTCGTGATCGACTCCAGCAACATGCGCGATGTCACTTTCGATGACGAGACACGACAAGTGACGGTGCAGTTTGGCCAGACGCTCGGCCCGTTTGCCGAGGCAATGGGCCGCAAGGGGTATGCGTTGCCCCATGGGACGTGTCCTGGGGTGGGCGTGGCCGGACACTCGCTCGGCGGCGGGTATGGGTATACCTCGCGCAAGTGGGGGTGGCTTGTGGACCATAGTGAGTTGTGTTGTGTAGGGACTGGTGCGTACGCGAGAAACCTAACCTGCGCCTGCAGTTGTTGCTATGGAGCTTGTCGATGCTCACGGGAATATCAAGAAGCTCAATATCGGATCCACGGGGACTGAAACCGAGCTCTGGTGGGCGTTACGCGGAGCAGGGGCGAACAGCTTCGGCATCGTGACTGCTTTCACATATGCGATGGAGATGGCCCCGGCGGCTACTGTGAATTTCAATCTAACGTTTGCCAACCGGCCTGACTGCTCCCAAGTCCTGCTGAGTCTTCAGAGTCTTGAAGGGAATGCGACGAGTGATGAAGGCCTCCCTGTTGAGTGGGGAGCAGATCTTGTCATCACAGGACGCGGACCGGGAGATACAGGCTTCTGCAGCATGGATGGGCAGTTCCTCGGCACCAAGTCGGAGTTCTCCGGTGTCATGGACAGACTGCTGGATGATCTTGAACAGCGCGGAGTGAGACCAGTAGAAGGGGAGGTTGATAGCCGCGAATTCACGGACTGGGTCGAGGCGCTGACAGACCTCATGGGCCCGCTGGACGAGCCAAGTGACCCTCATTCTTACTACGCGAGATCTCTGCTGGATGACGGAGCTCCGGGCTATACAGTGCATGACGCAGAACGTATAATGGACGCCATCCAGGCGGCAAGAGGCGTCAATGGCACTGCTAACCATGTAGCGTTCAACGTGGAGGGACCGAAATCCATGACCAACCAGCCGCCTCCCACCGGCGACATGTCGTTCATCCATCGACAGAGCCTGTTCATCGTCCAGATATACTCTGATCAATTTCCTGGGTCTGAGCGTGAGGCTGCTCGCTCGGACGTTCTCACCAAGCTTGACCAGGTCACAGACGCTATCAAGGGGAGCCGGCGCGAAGGCATGTGGCATGCTTATCAGAACTACGTTGATCCTATTTTGAAGGACTTTGGGAGAGCGTATTATGGGTCCAGTCTGGAGAGGTTGCAATCGCTGAAATCATTCGCAGACCCGAATGTGGTATTTGATTTCCCACAGGGCATAAGCCACGCGTGATATAAGCTGCGTGTCGCAATAATAGCATAGATCAAAGGAATATATTCACGATGTTTCTGTGTAAGCGTCAGCTTTATATAACGATCTCTTGGTTATTGCTTCCCCTGACAGACAGTGACTTACATCGATAGTATCATCACCAGCGCTATGAATGGTAACCCGTCGATAGGTAATTTGGTGTTGAACGAAAGTAGGCGAGCCTGATGAATTATATATTCTAGTGCTGCCACTTCGAGTTAGTGATTGATATCTCATGCTTCGACCTCTTCTAGGCTATAATCTCGACCTTGCAGATATCTGTCTAGCATGCATATTAGAGTCCGTCCTATAAACACTCTTTATGTCACAATTTAGGAAACATCTAGTATAACAACACTAAAAATACAACACAGAATGTACCAGAACCATCTGAGCAACTCTGTACGACGATAAAAATAATCACTGCCCCTTCCACGTGTCACTATCGACATCATCGAAGAAAACCGCCGACTGTCGCTGCATCTCAACCAACATGCTATTCCGGCGTGGGTGGCGAGCCTCACGCAGGGCCGACGCCGTGGCGGAGTCAACGCCAGAACTATCGGACATTTCCGCAGAGTTGGCATCGGCCTCCTTGGAATACTCCCCCGTCCGTTCGGGAAGATTCTGATCCAGACGTTCGTCTATCGGGTTGACGGGCCCGTTGCCATGACCGTTGCGGAGACGGAGCTGCGTTGGGGACGTGGCACGGCCGCCGCCGCGCGGAGCGGTCTGCTGCAGGCCCTTGATGATCGCGTACTCGATCTTGAGGCGGTTCTTGATAAACTGGATCTTGGGGAACGCGCTCTGCTGGCCCATATGGATCATTCGGGCCAGGCGCTCCGGGGTCGGATCAGAAAGGATGTAGTAGAAGTCGGACGGGACGGTCTTTGGCCAGATGGTGACGGTGCCGCTGAACTTCTGCAGCCAGATCTCGCTCCAGTCTTGGCCCATCGGACGGGGAAGGAGTTCCAAGTGGCGGAGCACGCGCAGCCATTTATTCATGTCTAATTTGATGTACTGCTCTATGGCTGATCCCAGGAAGCCGCCGCGCCAGCCTCGCCCTTTTCTATGGGTGACGGGTCGCCCGACGGCGCCTCGGGAGCTGAAGAAGAAGAGGTTGATGTGCGGATTTACCTGCAAGGTGGAACGGTCAGTGGTACGTCTCGTGTGTATTGGGTGGGCTCATACCTGTGAGACGATCGTGAAGTTGACGTTGAAGTGGAGATTCAGCGCCTTGATGGGAATGTCAGTCCGTAAGCTGCCGTCCTTCCACTTGTGACCAAACGAGTACGGTGCCAGTGTGCCATCGCGCTTCTTGGTCATCAGGACCACGGGGTTCAAGATACCGGGGACGGCGGCAGAGGCGAGCACAGCACTCCAGATGACACAGTTCGGGGATGTCAAGTAGTTCGCCAGGATCGTGGGTGAATGAGGATCGGAGGGCACGCATGACACGTTCAGGATTCGACCTGTTCGCTCGTATGCCTCCCGAAAAGTGGTGGATCCCCTGCAAAACCAGCTGCATTGTCGTGCCCACTCGAGGGTGTCGAATCGCGCTCCTGTGCGCCACCACCGCCGAACCCACGTCGTGAACCCTTCATGGCACGCTCGAATGCGGTGTGCCAGGGCGGGCACGAGTAGCTGCTTCAGTTCTTCGTCCGTTCGCGTAGCAACCAGCGCAGCTACCAGTGCTCCCCCCGATGTGCCGGTTATGATCTCGGGCAAAACGTTGTTATCCAGCAAAGCCCGGACGACTCCAAAATGGTAGTAGGCAAAAGTGGCGCCACCCGATAGACAAAGCGCGGTGCGTCCAAAATTTGTATCCAGGTGCTTGAAATGATGATATTTGTCTTCGTCGCTGATCTGCTTAGATTCGGCAACCAACTCCAAGCAGGCCTTCACCTCGTCAACGTATTCCTGTACCAAAACTTTGGTCCCCGAGTATGTTTCGCTGTAAAGACGGGGGTTCTCTACACCGGCAAAATTGTTCTTGACACACGCTTCGAGAATAGTGCACAGCTCCTCGACCGCCGGCGACTCTGCCGCGTTGACCTGTTCGTGGTGCATCTCCCACTCCGCATCTTGCCTCAGCTTCCGCAGCTGCGAAACCAGCTTATTTATGGTGATATGGTCATAGTATGCGTTTTCGTCGATCTCCTTCCACGCATGGTTTCCCAGATGGGCATCGAGTGCCTCCGCGGCCTTGAGCCAGTCGCGATAATTAGTCTGCACATAGAGCTGTTTCCGCAGGGACTGCCGCTTCCCGCGCCAGGACACCCACTGCTCGTAGATAAAGATGTAGAAGCGGGTCAGGATATACGCTACACCCAGGAAGCTGATCCAGCCCAGCACAAAGGCCAGAAAGGGCCACTTCAGAACGGTGTACAGCACGCCTTCTCTGGTCTCATCCTTTGTTCGCCGCGGCTCCTTTCGGCGGCCGCGGGTCTTGCGGACGCGCTGGTAGACGGGGCGCCAGTCGTTGAGGGCGACGAGGGGGAGCACGTCCTGGTCATTGAGGGCGTTTTCGAACCGTCGCAGATCATCCGGGTGGATGAATTCGCGGTCGTAGTCGGGGAGGGCACGAGGATCGTAAACGTTGCCAATTGCAGAATCGGTCATGATCAAGAAGCATTCATGGCGGGATTACAGGGACGTATTTGTAGGGATGGATGGGCATCCGTACCATGGCATTGGCAGGATTGCGAGATTCGAGTTGGATGGAGAGGATGACATCGACGTCACACAATCGGAGGCTACACCGCCACAGCGGCTGGTCCAGCCACAGTAGTGGGGTTGATACATGACTCAGCAGTGGCGGGAGACCCCGCGCCAGAGCCGAGATAAGAAGAACCATGGGTCCACACCCCCTCCCGCCAAATCAACAAGGGTTTAATCTTCTTTCTCAACAGGGAATGTTTCATGGCGGACTCCGACGTCCCAGCCGCTAAGAGGGTTTATCCCCGCTATCTCAGTTCTCTTTATGCTTTCTCCTTAGTTTCTGTTGACTTTCCATTACAAGTATTATCAAGTGGAATTGGATCTTCACCGACTTTTCGATGCAACCACGGGATATCTGAACAGATATCTGAACATCGGAACACCCCTCGCAAGTAAACAAAGGTCTCCGTATCACCTGAATAGGTAGAATGTAGGGGGTCCGGAGTATGTACCGACTGCTCGGTCTGGGGAACATTGTAAATGCACGGAGGGCCGTCCACATGCTTCAGAACACGCGGCCAGCAAGTTGATCGGCTGTGGGTGATCGTGGCATCTGTACATGCCTACGTACACCATACATCCTCTGGGACCGACATGTCGTATGAAATCCACTCCAGTGGCACAGAGGCAACGAAAGACTCACAACCTTTTCTCGGCGCCTTCACCACCCGGATTGAATTTCGCCTTCAGCCTTCGAAAGAATGTCGCGCGATTAGCGGTCAAAATCTCAATCATGGCTTGCTGAAGGGGCGATATATGAGATACCACTTGTGTCATCACCTGAGGAGTGGCGAGCGTCTACTTCGTAGGGAGCCGACTGATTGGAAGGAAGTGAATATCAACCAAGCCACTTTGACCTTTAAGCATTGCGGGGTAAATTCCCAGCCGTCATGTTCGTAGTCCTGAAAGGGGAACCGGAGACTACCTACCTTCCGGTGGGATGAAACGGATTCTCGACGCTGTTGAGTGGTAGGGGCATGGAAGGATTCAACACGAAGTCGTATGCGCGAGGACGCTCCATCCGATTCCTCCCGCTGAAGGGGTCAACCTGGCGATGATTTGCAGCTACCGCACGCTATGCGAGTTGGTCTGGCAGGCTACAGCTTCCCCTAGCACGTTTTTGTCTGCGCCGCGATTCCTTTCGTAGGGGTCGGCTGCACGCGGGCTTACTCGAGAACATGATTATGAACGCCATGGATCTAACTGCAGCTTTAGTGAGCTTGGATTTAGCCTTCTCGGTTAGAGATCGCCGAGGGGCATCATATGGCCGATGTAGGCGCTCAGAGGCTGGCTGGGGAAAAAGGAATGAGACTCAATATCCTATCGATTGCCCCTCCTTTCTTGGATACAAGATAGCAGACACCTACTGTCCACCGTTATGTCGGTGATAAATCACCCCTTGAACGGGCCGTTACTGAACCTACACAGGCCACTTAGACCGACGGCCGAGATTAATGTTCTCGCGCGGTTGCCGCCGCGTTGGTTTCACGGTGGCATTTGGGGTAACGTTATTGGGAAGTCGCAAAATCCTTAGCCCGAGGGTACCTCTACAAGTATTCTGTTAGTCAACGTCTGGCGTCACCATGGGAATGGATGGAATGGAAGAGTTCAAGTAGGGTTTCCCGAAACAGGAACCTGCAGGAGGGGGGCGCGAGTGAACCTCGCTCATGGAGTGTGGGAGGAAGAATTGAAACAGCCACCCTCCGCCCGCGATGGTGACTAAACTTTGCCCATCCTCTTCCGAATTCTCTCTAATGCATGAAGATCGGGCAAATCGGTGCTTTTTCCTTGGTCCGTGTGCGCCGTGCGCGCGCGCGATACATCCAACATGCATGACCGACCTTTGCAAACCCCCTTGAGGACTGACCAACCACCCCTCCCCGTCCGAGTCTACTCCATACACGATGCTTGCCTCACACGCGGGATCGCAACATGCAAATGGTCGCCATGGACACGCTCATTGGCAGGAGAATCGCACCTTCGCTGATCGTTCGAGCGGTTGACGGAGTGGAGTCGTCACCCGCCCTCGCACCAGTCGTTCGATCTCCATATCCACTTTTGGCTCGGGTTGGTCGTGTCTGATGCGTTGCTTTGTGTGTCCGAGCCGGTACTCGTCTTGCCGGCGCGTATTTCCCGGCGTGGCTCCATGAGCGCATCGAGTGGAGATGCAAGTCCCATCGTGCTACTCCATACCGCCTATGTGGATGAAGTAGCACCGTTTGTTCGCAAATGGAACTGCCTACTTTCTTCACGATGTCATTCTGCGGGTCATGTGCGAGGCGACGCTTGGGCTAAATCTGATTATCGTTCCCAAGGCCCTCCCCCAATGACGAACTAATCCCCCGTCCCGTTCTTTGTCCTATGTCGGAGACAGCAAGACGAATGAGCTCTTGCCGGAGTCGCCGCCAAGAAACCCGAGCTTGCATCGTGTGAGACACGATTGATTCAGGGATCAAGTGCACCGCATCGTCGTACCGGCCGCTCCCTTACGTCGTGCATGATATAAAAAAGTTTTATACATGCATACAGCTATATGCCGTCGGTCGCGGGCTTGCGCGCAGAAGCCTCCTAACATCGCAATCTACATGCGGCATAGCTGCGCGGCAGGCAGCAATTCGGTTCGCCGGGCGATGGCGCAACACTCCCTGCCTCTTGATAGATATAAAACTCTCCTACCGCGGGAACGCCGTTTCAGACTTCTTTATTTGCCTTTCCCATCCGGGGCAAACTGGGCAGGGATTTAATTTTGTATGATACCCGCGGTTCTGAGCGCGTATTGCGTTCGAAACGCGGTGTACCGGGGTACCGACACTGGATCGCCCTCCGATCATAACATCGTCTGCTATAATTCGAGGCTGACCGTGGCTATTTATTCTGTATGGTGATTCGTATGTCCCGTCAAGCCTGCAGACGGGGATTGGTGGGCAGCCGCGAGGCTGTCGGTCACCGTACCATCCACAATGATTCATGAACGTCATTGATCTAAGGCGCGGGGCCAATGTGCGTGCAGCGATGGATGTTTCCGGGCGATCACAAGAACGTGGGGCGTGGTGGATGAAGAAGAACACCAAGAGGGGATGAAGGTCGGAAATGAACAGGACGGATGGGAACCATGGATCGAATGATGGAGAAACGGTCTATCTGGCACGGCAGGAGGGGACTCACCGAAGAATGTGAATGGTGGTGGTGTGATGAGGCAGGCATGTGTATGTGTGTTTGTGTGTGTGTGTGGGATAGAGCGGTGTGACTTTTGATAGTGATTGATTTTGATGGTTGGTTCGGACCACCAAACTTAGTATACCGGGTCGCCTATTGTAATGCTTGTATATCGAGGCGACTGAGAGGATGATACTGGGTGAGGAAAACAGTCATCCTGAACGCGATTTCCGAGTCATCCCTATGAGAATCGTGATGATGACTCGGTCATATCCTGGTCAGTTGATCGGACGGAGGCAAATTTGACGGTCTCCACTTGAGCCTCTCAGGGATGATAATATCATATCAGGTTTACGGTCAGTGCGATATACTTACTATAGGGAGTAGACACAGTGTCTTCGGAGAAATGGTTATCTTCCGGATCTTAGATAGGCCGTGCACCAGGGACGGGATCGATCAGAGGCGGCATGGATCCAGGATGTTCTACATGTACGTAGCATACGATGGACTGACTCTTGTGTCCCCTGAATAGGGGGGTTCATTCGAGCCGTTTCTTTTCTTTTTATTATTATTACTATTTATTACTACATATGTACTGTCTTTTTTTAACCCTCGTCCTTTGCAGTGCCTCTAGAGCCTCTGCAGGAAAGCGTCATGCAGGTGACCCAGAACCGGCGGTGATTCGCCTGTGATGCCTCCGCCAGGGCGCTATCAGCTGCACGTTGGAAGCCCCACTGCCAATCACGGGTGGTGTTGATAGCGAGAGAAGGTTGCATCGGGTAACAGTCGAGCTCCGCCCCAGCACGGGTCACTCCTCCCCTCCGATCATCGTCATTCAGCTAAAACTTTTCTTTGCCCGCTCTTTCACCCGCCCTGCATCCTGTGGGCGGTCTTCATGCTGCTGCTGATCACTCCATTATCATCACTATGTACTATTATTATGACCGCATCAGAATTGAATTTCTTTCGGCCAAGCGTCCGCGATCGGTTTACTGTACACCCGCTTCACTCTCGTGTTGTCATTCAGAGTACGAGTTATCTACTCCGTAGGACTCCACCGCCTGTCCGGGAGCCGAAGAATGTCATGACGGAATCCCTTGGGTCCAGCGTTGTTTTGATCTGGCAATCAATCATATCCCGCTCTGATCTGAAACCGTCCAGATATTCACCTTTCTCGTCATGTTCAGGAATGGTTCCAGGGAGGGGTAGAACCTTAAGGACATTATCCTCATTCCAGACGGTGACCTCTCATTTATTGATCCCCTCATGGAATTGTGTACCAGGGGTAACACTCCCCAGATGAGTCTACCCCGAAACAGCTGTCCCGAGGACTAACCCGGTGGCTGACCATGGTTCGGCTCAAGCGCGATACTCCGTAGATTTTGATAGGGACGGCAGCAACAGGAGACTAAATCGAATGGAGAGGTTGCCACCGGTATTGTAGTAAAGGAGGAACGAAAGGGACGGCGGGAGAAGTTACCATCATATAATGGAATCACGACAGGAATAATAATAACGGACATATTAAAGCGTCTGTTAGTTTCAGAGGATCAGCTATCGAGGCAAATTTCCAACCCTATATTGGACGGGACTAAAGATGAGTGGTCCCCGCCATACCATACGATACCGGTGCACGTACGTACCTCGACTCCTATCCCGATAACAACCATCACCAGCGCCATCATAATAAGAATAATAATAATAAGCGAGCGTAGTCATAACAACCAACTAATAAGCGTCCGTTCCGATACCTTGGTCTTTTGTTCGAACACGATTCTTTGACAGATGACTTGGAGTCCTAAATTAATATTAAATCCTAGACGTCTCTATCGTCTATCAACCTTTTTCTCTATCTGAATATTATCAGCTTACCGTCCGCCTAAGCCCCTCCTCCCTCAGCTGATTGATCCAGTGCACATCCCATTACCCACCCTTGGCTTGCCCCCCCATCGTGCATACCACCACTAAACTGCTAGCCTGACTAGCCTCTGGTGCTTGCATATTAGATTTACCTTCCCCCGGCCCTGTCCTATCCTGTCTGGTCTGGTCTCACTTTTTTTTTTCCTTCTCCCTATCCCGTCCTATCTACTCTATCGCATCTCATCTTCCCTCCCCTTTTCTCCAACGACCTTCCTCCTCCCCTTCTCTCAGTACGCCTCTTCTCTTTGCATTGTCCAGGCGACAAGCTCCCTGCAACACGGGATTGGAGGGTCTGTTCCTATTCAGCTTTCAACATCACCGCCGTCGTGGGAGGTTTCGTGAATTCATTTCGTCTTTCTTATTGTTCATTTCTCCTCGGTTCTCCATTCTTCTGTAGACTGCATTTTCATTCTATCTATTTCGATATTTCCCAGGTATGTCCGTCGCTCGTGCTTGTCCCACCTAGACTGACCCCGTTTGTCCCAAGATCCGCGCGTCTCTCCATCCTCTCCTCTGGCCTTGAGCAAACAAAATGTCGACTCCTGTCTCCAACTTTACGAGTATCCTTTGAGCGTTCCTCTTCAGAGTTCGCCTGACTGGACCCTGTCTTGTTGGGCAAAGCATTGTCCGTAATGGAGAAGCTGAACACTGAAGATGGACAGCTTTTCATCAAAGTATGTCTTCCGGTCTCGACGACATCTCCGAGCTACTAACAAACCCCGCAATCTAGAATCTTGCCAGTTTTGTACGCACGCACGAGAAAGCCCTTGCCAATGCTCTGCAACTGCGCCGTCAACCCTCCAAAAATGGATCCTCCTCCCATACCCAGTCCGGCTCGTCTTCGAGCTCGACTACCGCCACTCTCGCCGCCGCTCTATCGTTCGGGGCAATAAAGTTCACCTCGCAAAATATCAAACCCGCGAAACTGACCCTCACCCCTCACCACCTCTTCTACCTTCTCTCCCGCTTCGAAGACTTGTCCATTTCCGTGGGTCCGATGAGTGTCCGTTTGGAGAACATCCAAACCGATGTATCTCAATCCTATGTCTCCTTTCTGAATAAGCCCCAGCGATCGCGGGGTGACCGAGACTCCATTCATTCCGTCTCCAGTGTCCGTAGCGTCATGTCTGGTATGAGTGGGCTCTGGTCATCATTCGGTCTAGGAACAAAGGACTCCGTATCCAAGTCGGAAAAGGCCAAGGCAGCTTTAGAAGCAGACCTTAAATACCTATACTCCGCCTTCACCAAAATCCCCTGTCTCCGTCTAGCCCCGGATCGCCGCGCGCGCCTGATCCGCGGATATGAGGAGTTCCCCTTCGACACCGCTGTTCCTCTCCACTCCTTCAAAAACCTGGGTGCTTTGGAGATAATCGACATAGATTTCCGCTCGTTTTTCGGCTGGGACCGACTCTCCGAGCAACTGAGAACATTGACTGTGAAAAGGGCCAACCTCGAGGATCCCGGCGACTTGCTTACCGGGATCGTGCTTGACGATATTGATAAGCGTCGCAGACGGTCTTCCAAGCACCAGCCGTCACCGGTGTTGGGATGGAATGGAAATACGCACCCTCAGCCGGTCCATAAAACTGAGATGTCCGGATCGCTCTCTGCGCCGGGGTCTCCCGTGGCCGATGCGCCGTTTGGTTCGAGCGCCAGCCCCAAAGCCGCTCCGATGATCCGAGGTGCGTCCGAGGGTGCCAAAGGCCGGCCACGGACGGGAAGTATTTCTCCATCGCGTCCGACCAGCTCGAAGCACTCGTATCGTCACAGCCGAGGGAATCCTTCACACATACGCCGCACGGGATCCGGCAGTTCGAACTCCAGTGAAGCCTCCGGACACCGCAGCGGAAGTTCGTCGAATCTCCTGGCTGGGATCCTCCCCCCGATGAAATGGCGATTCCTGCGACATCTCGGTCTCCCGGACAACTCGTTGACGACCCTGACGGCCGCCAGTCTGGCCCCGGTGGCCAACACGCTCCAGTCCCTCGACCTGTCCGCCAATCTGTTCACCGAAGTTCCGGATAGCTTGGCCTCGTTGGTCGCCTTGAGAGCGTTGAATCTCGCCAATTGCATGATTGAGTCTCTGCATTCCCTGTCTCGCAACCCGCTCCCCGCCATCACCGCGCTGAACCTCCGAGGCAACCGTCTTCGCTCGTTGGCCGGCATCGAACGACTGCTTTCGCTTGAACGGTTGGATCTCCGTGATAACAAGCTGTCTGATCCAACGGAGATCGCCCGACTGACCTGTCTTCCTGAGATACGGGAGATCTGGGTGTCGGGCAACCCGTTTGTGAAGACCCATTCCGGGTACCGTGTGGTGATATTCAACTTGTTCCGTCGCACGCCGGGGTACGCCGAAGACATCATCATCGATGGTTCGGGACCAGGGTATACGGAGAGGAAGCAATTAATCGAGCGGGTGGCGGAACCCGAAGCCGCACCGGTCATCCGATCCGCCGCCGCGGATCATTCAGCCGTTGTCAGCAAGCCCACGATCTCGGTTATCCCAGGGAGTCATCCGCCCAAAGCTGGGGAAGAGCAAGAGCGGCCCACGCGGCGAGGGACACCGGATGTCAAGGAAGTGGGGTCCAGTCGTCGCAAGAAGGGTCATCGGCGGAGGATAGTGGACCTGTCTGTCGAAAAGCCTTCCACTGATGGTAATGAACACCCAGGTGCAGTGGTGCCTTCTGCCCTTTCCGTTCCGCACCTTCAATTACCCGTTGATCCGTTTGTCACGCCGTCTGCCGACCGTCAATGGAAATCTGATGGTGGACCTCAGGCCGGACCTTCGAATACGCACGTGCCCCTTAGTGCTCGAGAGCTGCCTCCGCTGCCCGTGGAAGAAGCTCTGCCGATCCCCCGCTCCCTTCAGGGAGCAGACTGGAAGGTCGACCAGGAGTTTGTCCAACGGCAGCTTGAGGCTCTGAAGCAAGACGTGGGCAACGGCTGGCTGACTACGTTGGGGGAACGCGGTTGGGAACAAGCGTCGCGAGATCTCGGCGAGCCCGGCATGATTGCGACGGATTCCCTGGCTCGACCGAACACCCAACCGATCCTCAGCGGTGGTCACGCGCTCGGTTGATATTCATTGGCATCATGCCTACTTTCAAAAGTGGATTTTGACCCGTTTTCTCACATAAAAAAGAACCCCCACTCTTCATTGATACATCGATATACACAACCACCTCCTCGCGGAGGACTGATCATACTGCACTGCTGGTTGAGCACGTCCTTGACCAGCGGTTTGCCGATTCCCGGCTGCATTGTTGAAGGCGTTTAGTGATCTGACGAGATTGCGGGCCGGATGTATGAACGCTTGTCATCGCCTCCGCTTTCCCCTCCCATTTGTTTCCATCTGCACTCTTCATTCGACCTTTCGGCTGGTCCATACTATATGATGGGAGGCATTCATTCTTCCAAGAGTCTTTAGACCACTTGTACTGTACTGGGGTGTACTGGTGTTGCAGGCGTTTCTGATTGTTTCTCTTGTTTCGACATGGTTTAGTTGATGATGTCGCGGGATGATTCCTCTTTGATGATATCTTGGGGGGATATGGATTTCCGTTTTCGATTCTGTTTTGAGTTTCTGGCGGGATGTATACCTTTGGAACCTTTTTTGTTCTGTCTTTCCTGCTCCTGTTTCGTTTTGCCCTGAGAGCAGTGATGAGTTTCGGACCTAATGCATGAGCTACGAAGATGTTGTGATGATATTCTCCCATGACTCGGGTACTAGGATTAGTCGAATGCAAACCGTTTGGCGTTGAATTGTTGATGTCCACTGGTATGATAGATGGTAAGGAAGTGATCTATGGAGGGGCTCCTTGCAGCTGTCCATGGCCGGAGGAGGTCGAAGCGCCGCGATGCTTATTTTTGGGACGGACTGGATGGGAGTGGGACGTATAGGAGGGAGCGGGGGGGTAAGCTGGTAGAATATAATTCAAGTAAGAGAAGAGAATGTTTCAGTGATGTTAGAAAGACTTACTAGAGAGAAGAGTCTTACCCTGTAGATAGAACCTAGTAGATGAAGAGACGGTTGTCTACTACCTCTACCGTCCCGTAGGTAGGTGCGGCAGACCGAGAGGTGGAGGAGAGGAGGGTATTCAATACGGTAATATTACGCCTCCCTTTTTCTCCTTGCAAGCTGAATTCCCTTCTCTCGCTTTCTCGCTTTTCTCCTCCTCTCCTCCTCCTCCTCTCTCTCTCCTCCCAACCAATCTCCATTTGGTGAGTCTTTCCTCCCTCTATCTAGTCCGTCCATCTTCATCATCCTCTGCTCCCGAACTAACCTCGTATTTCTCCTTCGTTTCTTCCCACTGCAGAGCTTGTGGATTTGTTGCAAATTTTCCCTCGCCGCCCCAAAACACAAACAGTCCGACCAGCCGACCGCTGCGAAGAAAAAGATCTCCCTTGATTGCCGACAACCGTTTCCATCGCCTCCTCGTCGTCGTCGTCGTCTTCTTCTCAATCTTCCGTGGTCGACAGCTCCCTCACGCCACCTTGCGCTCGTGTAGAATCGGTTGACCGTCTCTTATCTCTCGTCTTTTTCATCCTTTGTCGCATCGTTCCCATCGCGTGTCTGTCGCCAATCCGTCCCGGAATCCGAACCACTCCTCCCCCAACGAGTTTTTCCCCTCGTCTTGCACGCGCGCCTTATCTCCTTCACCACCATCCCCCATCCACCAAAGGTAGTGGGAGTCATTCACAACTTTCTGGCGTCACCGCCAGATCCCTCCGTTGTCCTCAAGGCCATTCGGCCTGTTTCCGCCGCCTTTTACTTTCGGTTTTCTTAGATCCCGTTTGGTAAGCCTTCCGCCCCTCCTCCCCCATCCGCCCTGTCGTCTCCCATCATCCATCCAGAGAGGGAAAAAATTCTCCAGGCGGTTGATTCACGCGTTTCTCGCGCCCTCGCCTTCAATACTAGTTGCCGTATCTCTATTCTTGAGTGATCCTAACACCTTCCTCGCCACAGTCTATAGACGCCGCGTCATCAATCGTGCCGAGCTCTTCGCCAGCGATTCTTCGCCCTCTTTCTCTTCTCTTTTCTTCGTCGTCTTTCTTTTGTCGCCCCGCGCCTGTTTTAATCAATTACATTGCCCTCCGTCTCTTTTCTTCTCCCTCCCCCTTCCCCATCTCTCGCTAAAGCCACTTCGTCATGGCGGACCAAGAAGTGGATCTGGACTCGATCATTGATAGACTGTTGGAGGTGAGAGGCAGCCGCCCGGGAAAGCAGGTTCAGCTCCTGGAGTCGGAAATCCGCTATCTCTGCACCAAAGCCCGTGAAATTTTCATCTCTCAGCCCATTCTACTGGAGCTGGAGGCCCCCATCAAGGTAAGACCAATCCACCATCCGGAGCCGCCGCTTCGTATGAGAATTGGGTTCGAAATCGTGTTCACTAACTTCCCGGTGCGTTCAGATCTGTGGTGACATTCACGGCCAATACTACGACCTCCTCCGTCTGTTCGAATATGGCGGCTTCCCCCCAGAGGCCAACTATCTGTTCCTGGGCGACTACGTCGACCGTGGCAAGCAGTCTCTAGAGACTATCTGTTTGCTTTTGGCCTATAAGATCAAATACCCTGAGAACTTCTTCGTCCTTCGCGGAAACCACGAGTGCGCGTCAATCAACCGGATCTACGGATTCTACGATGAGTGCAAGCGGCGGTATAACATCAAGCTGTGGAAGACCTTCACGGACTGCTTCAACTGCCTGCCGATTGCCGCGATCATTGACGAGAAGATTTTCACCATGCACGGTGGTCTGAGCCCCGATCTCAACTCGATGGAGCAGATTCGCCGGGTGATGCGTCCTACGGATGTAAGTCCGGCTTTTCTTTCATTACATCCCCCAAATTCCGCCCCCAAAGTAATGCGCGCCGGGAGGTTCCCGGTTCTTTCCGAGATCCCACCTACGCAGATGTACAACAGAATCTGCCGGGCTCCGTGAAGCTCAAGGCTCGACTTGCTGACTGAAATAGATTCCTGACTGCGGTCTTCTGTGCGATCTGCTGTGGTCCGATCCGGACAAAGATATCACCGGCTGGAGCGAGAACGACCGAGGTGTGTCGTTCACGTTCGGTCCGGACGTCGTATCACGCTTCCTGCAGAAGCATGATATGGATCTGATATGCCGTGCGCACCAAGTCGTCGAGGACGGATATGAGTTCTTTTCCAAACGACAGCTGGTCACGCTATTCAGCGCGCCCAACTACTGTGGCGAGTTCGACAACGCCGGCGCGATGATGAGTGTTGATGAGAGCTTGCTTTGTTCCTTCCAGGTAAGCCGGACGCCGAGGTGTGACTGGGCCGAGCTAATTATTTTCTTGCGATAGATCTTGAAACCAGCAGAAAAGAAACAAAAGTACGTCTACGGGGGCACGAGCTCAGGCCGACCCATTACTCCTCCGCGAAAGCAAAAGAAAAAGTAAGAAATCATACGAGCTTTTCCATGTGCAGCAGGTTCGGGCGGAGATAAGAAAGAGCGGCATATACCCATCCACCTTTGTCACCACACGAGAGACCCCTATCGCAACGTACGACATCGAATGGCCATGCATTAGACGACCGGAAGCAGCAGAGATACCGAACCACGCGAGAGAGAGAGATTCTCCTCACCGAGAGGCAGACCGTCACCTCAACCACCTCCCCGCACATGAACGCAGCGACTCGAATAGTTTCCCTTTCTTCCTCTTGTTCCTCTCTCGGCTTTAATGACTTTTCTCTCTGGAAGGCACTTCTGACAGTAGGGGGTTGGTGTTGTTATTTTATTGTCTTGTTTCTCGCCGATTTCCATGTTTATTTTCCCATCTTCTTGTTCCATTGTTTTGTCCGATTCATTCCATCGTCCGGGAAGGGAAGCGACGGGCTGCATCTGGTGTTCTCGTTTGCTTGTCTTTTTGAAAAGAAAATCTTCCTGTGAGTGTAATGCCAACCAATAAGCAACGACTGTTCTCTTGACCTTGTGCAATGAGACGAAGCCGACTAGGATTGGCGGTATCCTGTACACGATGGATGGCCGTACACTATATGGTCCTGTATTCTAGATCATATTGGACATATCGATACTGCGAAATGTGGTAGGAGAATCTACGTAGATACAGGTAGAGATTGACGCTATGCTGCATTCAAGCTAAAGAGACGGACGGTACGGTGGTATGAAACAAACAGAACAAGCAGGACTTGAGACGGATGGATCGGTCTAGTTTTCTTCCCCCAATGATCCAGCGATCGACACATGTTTCTTACGAGAGTCGACGACAATGTTTAGACATACTGCGACAACCACCGGATCCCCTCACCGTAACCTGTCGAACATCAGCATCAGCACCGCGCACGAAACAACCCGCAAGGGAGTAGAAGAAAGGAACGGCAAAGAAAACATACCCTGTCTCATGACAACCGAACACATAAACACCTCGATAGGCCGGATACCCTCAAGCGGCACCTTGCCCTTCCCTGTGGTCTGGTACAGCCCGAGCTGGTGGCGCAGCTCGTCCTCGCTGACGGCGTCCGGGTGGTCGATCTTGTTGCCGAGGATGAGGAAGGGCACCTTGGCCAGCTCCTCCATGGCGAGGAGGGCGTCCAGCTCGGCCTTGGACTCGGGGAACCGCTCGTAGTCCTTGGCGTCGACCAGGAACACGATGCCGCTGACTTCGGGGAAGTAGTCTTTCCAGAGGCGGCGGGCTATCATCATCATTATTGTTAGTTTTGTTTGTTTATTTGGCTGGGTTTTGTTTGACGGGCGGAGAGGGTGAAGGGAAGGACGCACCCTGCTGATGGCCGCCGAGATCAAAGGTGGTGAAGCGGTTGTTGCCGATGGCGAGCTCCTCGGACGCTGCATGTGCCGTTAGTATCCAGCTTTGTGTTTGCGGTGTCTGATGTAGGGCCATACTCGGATGGGCGGTCGGCTGCAGGATAGCGACGCGGTCGTTCTATCAGCAATAATTAGTATTAGCATGTTGTCTGGGCCAAATCTCCCGTCCAATCCGCGGAACCCACCTTGAGCATGTGCAAAAGGGTCGTCTTGCCGGCGTTATCGAGACCCAGGAACAGCAGCTTGGCGTGCTTGTTCAGCAGGCCCAGCGAGGCCAGAATGTCGTAAACTGTCATCCATCGTCGCTCATGTCAGTCTCCATCTCGGAACCGATTATTCTCCCCGTCCCTCTTTGCTGTTTGTTCCCCCTCCGGAGTGGTGGGTGGACTTGAGTCGACGGCAACAGGCACGCGAACTTACACCAGTTGATGATCCACATGATGGAAAAGCGATCGGTCGAAGCGCAGAAACGGAGACGACTGCGTGGGTGGTGGCGGGAGGTTGCGATGGGCTGGCGAGGACAGAGAAGCGAAGAGAAGAGGGAGACCGTCCGGGACAGGTTGACTGACGTTGAGTTGGTCCGCTCGGTCGCTAGACGCCCTAGCCGAGCGGCTAGTTGCGCGTGTAATATTGGTGCCTCAGGCAGGATTCGCATCATTGCCACATCACGGAACCATGCCGACTTTGCTACCTTTGCTACTTCAAGGTTACAGTGCAAGTGATTGAGCTCAGGTTGACTGCATTGACTTTACAAACAAAGGGGTATACTCCATAGCCGCCTCCATGCAAACGAATGCGAACAATATGTATACGGGAAAGAATGAAGCGACCGCCTGTAAATGCAGACAGATGTCCTCCATGAGGAAAGGCAGATAGTAAGGAAATAAGACCGTTGACACGTCACGTAGTTAAAAACAATAAGCAACTGTAGCGAATGGCGCTCGCTCAAATGTACACCAATCAACCCATGATGATCAGGGGGCAGAAAAAGAAAAGACTGGGTGACCGTTACAATCAAAAATATGTACAAGAATGACACGGTCCACCGGACGAGCTTAAACAGATAGGACGAGCTGCGCGTTCTCTCCAACGCCGTAGGCTCGGCACCTCTCAGCAACTGCGAGGCCCAGGTCCTTCATCCGTTCGGCGCCCTTGCCGGGGATCGGTCGTCGCTCCATCTGCTCCTTAGCAGCTTTGCGACAGTGTTGACGCCAGAACTTTTCCTTGCGTTTCTGGCGTTTCTTTTCGAGCCCCTCGACGATGTCGATCGGGCCTCGCGTATGCACCTCGCGCGTACGGGAGGACTCCCGCTCTGGGGATTCCCGGAGCGGGACGATGCCTGTCCACTGGTGCGCCTTGGTGAAGAAGGGGTTCGGGGTCCGGGGAAGCGACTTGGTCCGAGTCATGGGAGGCCGCTGCACCAATTCACTGATGTTCATGCCGCGGGGATCGAGGCGAGGCACGTCCTTGGTAGCCGCGCCTTCGCTCTTGAAGGGCGACTTGAACTTGACCGGCGGTGGCGGAGAACGAAGGCGACGGGGAGACAAACGAGAATGGCGACGAGTCGGCGGCGGCGGCGAAACCATCCGGCGCGGGGACGTCCGGGGCGACTGCTTCCGTGACTGGTCGGCACCAGGGCGTCCGCGAGGCGCCTCATCGACCACCATCGACTCGGCCAGTCCATCGTCGTCTTCCTCATCATCTGGATCCGACGTAGGGAAGCTAGGGTCGATATCCTGAGGGATGACGATCTGCTTTGAAAGACGACGCTGCTCCATGCACGACTTATAGGCGGCTTCCAAAGGCCGGTCCTCGTCAAACGTGCCGCAGACGAAATCCGTGCTGTCTGGCAGGTTAGGAGTGCTGGGGCGCATCTTGGGAACCTTGGTCGGCCGGCTCACGGACTTTCCGGAGAGCGCAGGCGGCCATCTTCGACGACGGTCCTCCTTGGCAGAGTCAAAGGACGTATTGGAATCGCGACGCGGGAGAACGGTGCGGGGGATTTCGAGAGTCTGAGGCGTCGTAGCAGCCGTAGTCGACGTTGGGGCCCAGAATTCGTATTCCGAACCATCCTCACTTTCATCTGAATCGGCGAACCCGGCCTCGTTGTCGGACTCGTTCCCATCATCAGAGAAGTCGTGAACAGTCGAGTCGTCGTCAGCGTCCTCATCCTCCTCATCCTCATCTTCGTCATCCTCGTCCTCGTCCTCGTCCTCTTCAGCTTCCTCCTCTTCCATGGCTTCCTCAGCCTCAGCTTCTTCACCGAGCTTGCGGATCGCATTTTCTTTCTTCATACAATCACTCAAGGTGATCTTCTCTTTATAATCGGAAGACTTGACGACCCATTCGTCATCCTCCTCAACGGAGCTAGCAAACTCATGGAACCGGGTAGCCTCCGATTCCTCGAACTTACCCAGTCCACTCGGAATGACGGCCCTGCGGTCCGGAGCGGGAGACTTCTGATCCTGGGGCGACGGGATGGACGGGGCGGTCTTCTCCGGAGAAGCCTTCCGAGCAACCGGTGCGGGCGATCCACGAGGCCGCGCGCGGCAGGCGGCTCCGCGGAGGGGAGAGCGCTCTTGGCGGGTGTCGGGATCGCGAGCCGGACAGACAAAGGTGAGAGTCGTCTTCCGCTTGAGGGGTTCGGAAGGAGTGGGTTCACTATCCCTACCCTGTGCGACGGGTCGTTGAGGCGTAGGGGGTTGTTGTTGAGGCTTCGGTTCCTCCGCTTTCCGTCCGCATGCGAAGCTGATGCACCTCTTGCGTCCCAGGTTGGCTTCCACTGCAGACTCACCCGCTTGACCAGCGGCAGCCTTGTTGTTTTCCATCCGTGCCGGAGAACCTCTGTTGGTGAACTGGGCCGGCAGTGGAGGGCTTGGGGTGTTGGACAGGGAGGGACTCGTCAGACCGCCATCACTGGTGAGCTCGGCGGTGGACATGCCACTGATGCTGTAAGGGTAGGAGCGGCAGAGGGGGTGATCCTGAGACGGGTGCTGCTCCGACGGACTGAGAACCGGACTGTGCTTGAGGGCCCGGGTGAGGAGGGATTCTTTGTGGTCGGTGACGACGGTGGGGGATTTGACGTAGACTAGGCCGTCGTCGGCATGCATGGTAGAGGTGTCGATAAAATGATGTTCTGGGGGTTCGTCCACGTCCTCAGCCATTTCGTTGTCCTGTTGGACAGGCTTGTTGGACTGATGAGGTGAGAGTAGCATCTTCAATAGGTTGTGCAGCGAGGCAAACGGTCGATCACCACCACGGAAGTGAGCCATCCCTTTAGGAGTCCGAACTGGAGATCAGATAGGGAAGACCACAGAGAGGGAGAGAAGGAAGAAGAGGGAGGTGTGGTGTGGTGAGAAGGTGATGAGGTGGTGGGTGGCGGGATGATGAGATGAGGTCTTTCAGAAAGAGGTAAAGATGAAATCACAAATATCCGATAAGAAGATACTCTCTCAAGAATCGATCAATCAAAGAGATAACCGATCGACCCAGAGGACGACAGAAGAAAAAGGGGTCCCGTCAAGGACGCAAATTGTCATGATATAAAACGGCACATGATGGGAAGGCAAGTATAGAAGTAGTCGTGGGCGGGAGGTATATGTGAGGGGGCCGGTGGAAAAAGGAAAGGGAGCGTTCAAGTATGCGGGCCAAGAGGATGTACGCCTTCTTCAGAGAATGGCAGCTCAGAGAGCGCCAGAAGAAGAAGACGCGTCGAGAGAGATAAACTCCCCAGTTGAATGAGCTGGCTGTGTGAGGTGGGAGAGGAGAGTGGAAAATCGAGATGGAGGAAGAGAGGAAGAAGGAATGTTCAAGTCGGAGAATAAAAAGGGAATTAAAATTATTATTAAAAAATCAGAATAAAAAAAAATTCATTAGAAAAATAATTTCCCCTCCCTGATTTATCGAGATTAAATGATTTTTAATAATACGACTGCGGGAAAGAAGAGGGGGAAGAAGTCATGGAAGTACTGAAAGATTCCCGTCCGGCGTATTGCCACTGCGTTGAGATTTTCAAAACCCGACTGCAAATGACTTCCAGCCAATAGTCATCCACAGCAAGACTCCACTTTCGTTTTTGTTCGTTTTTTACTTTCCAGGTAAAAGCAAATGTAAGTTCTCCGTAGTCATCGGTTCCTGCGGCTACTCTGTCTTCGTGCAGGGAATAGACCCCAGGGATGTTGAAAATAGCAACATGCATCGAAACCGCACGAGAACAAAGGTCCCATGTTCACAAGAGATTCTGATGAAAGAGACCTGCTGTGGAGGGTGTCTTTGTAGGAGCGAGGACTTCTCCGAACGTTTTGACGGTTGGTAGAAGTCGGGGACGAGCCGGTTTCATCCATCGGGAGGTCGAGGGAGAGAAAATACTATGAGGGATTTTGCGACACCTTCTGCATCGAGCAACTGCGGTGTCTGACTAATATATTACTGAACCGTCCATTACATGACGTTGAACCCCCAACATTTTCAACTTCTTATCGTGACATTTTACCTAAGAACAGTCGCTCTTCCAGAATCCACGACGCCGGGCTCGCTCGGCGTCGTCCTACACTCCATCCGGGGTCAGACGCTGTACCACCCTTTCCGATCGGATCCTAGATTCAACGAGAAAGTACGATGCAGATGGGGGGTGCCAATGCAGTCACCCCCGAACTCCATCCACGAGGAAGCGGCACGAGTGGGTGTCAGAACGCCGTAATTTACCGGTCTCCAGACGGCACGACTCTCCCGACCAGACCCTCCCGGAATCAGCTACTGTACATCTCATCATCATTATCAGGATCCAGTTGTTGGAGGAATATGGATAAAAGAGACCTCGCTATTATTATTATCCTCTAAGGGTTTGTGGCTACTCTGTATGGTTCCTTACATCTGAGTTATTACGGGCTATGATCACGCTCGAGCGAACCCCTACAGGGTATGTGGAGAGTCCACTGGCCTCACTATGAACTAGCCTTCTCCAATTACCCGGTGTAGGTCGATCCGGCGCTCTACGCGCTTCCTCGAATCCTCCCTCCGTTATTACTCCGTGGGTTGGCGTACCCCGTCATCCTCTCTATCATCCATTCATGGTCTCCGAACTGATAGCGAAGACTACGAAGTACGCGCCATGGAGACGCTCTTTTTGCGCGTTCCCTTCGCTTCACCATGCCCTTGAGGTTCCTGATCCGGTCAATTGTGTGGGCTGGGCGGGTCTGCCGTCTCGATACCCTAGGTACACCCAGGACTAGTCAACAGTCGTACCAAGAGCCATCCCACAAAAAAAAATAGGAAAATAAGAAAATATGGAATGTTGGTGGAGCCCCAATACGATACAGACAGAGGGGAAACCGAGAAGTATCTCGTATCCATCTGACGGAATGGAAGCTGCAAAAGAAGCCTCAACGAAGAGGACCAAGTTTTCTCGGACCGATGCCCCCTTGCGTAGGAGCGATGAAGTGTACACTCTGACCACTGCCAAAATAACCCCCAGCATAGTTACCTGTCGATCCTACCCTCGGTCCAGCCATGACGCTATCGACTTGGCCAGGTACCTAAAGCAGCACCACCACCACGCCAGGAGTGGGATGGATGATGTCGTTCACTCTGGAGGCTCTGATTCAATCCATAATCCATCAATAGCTCCAGAGTCCTTCGGGAATCGGCGGATTCGTATTATTGATGGCAACCTGCGACATCACCCCGTCATTCCGACACCTCATCCCTCGTTGTAGGCACCATCACATACTATTGCAAACTACAGACTCGGCGGAATAGTCTTGACTCTTGGCTGTGTGACATGCACGTAGATCATCCTCTCTGCACAGTATCTGGCACCCTTCAGACGAACAACATCTCAGCACATTCCATCTTCGATCATAGCCTTCGTCTTGGCAAACAGGGAGATGGACAGGTTTGTACTAGCAGCATGGATGCCCAGAATCGCACAATGCGAGCGTCTCCACAATTATGATCACCTCAGGGATAGGGAGATTCCTAATGTCTTGTCTGCTTCTATATTCGGATCACCATCTGCCCAGGACCAGTAGTTCGCTCTCTGGGATAAGGTTGGAAGGCATTCATGACAAGAAAGGCGAAGCACAGCAGAGCAGCCCAGAGAGGCAGTGTTGCTGTAGGCTTGCGAAGATCCTCCTCTGACGCTCTGCCTCGTCGATGCGGGAATCTGTGCCAAGGCTTTCCCTGCCCCTGTGAGAATGAAACACAAAAACAAGGGCAATACGGGCAGCCAGTACAATTCTCAAAACAGAATACGCCCCAGACGGTTACCAAATCTGAAACCAATCCTCGCGATCAATGTTCAAATCTCATCGCATAAAAGAAACTCGACAGTGACGACATCCATGCCCGACCAGTTCATCCCCGATGAAGCGGTCAAGACAGAGCCGAGCGGCAAAACGAATACTCCTACTACGATGTCGGCGAGAGAAGGCCCTGGACGAACCACACACGGCGCCAGGCTGGCGTCTTGGTCAAGCTTCACACGACTCAGGGATCCCCCCACTTGTTCCATGTCGGGAAGGTCAGCTCGACTCCTACAAGAATTTAGTGTCTTGTCTTTGATGTTTTTCTTTTGCCGCGACTGGGCGACGTTCGATCCTCCCAGCAATCAGGATCGACGCATACGGAGTGCATCAGCCACTCAGCATGTTGTGCGAGAGAGAGACAAACCCAACCCTCTTTCCCTCCGCAGCTCTGCGACGGTGGCCCTCGGGCTTCCCTTTTGTAGTTAGGTCGTTCAGCCGCCTCGTGCGAACCGCAGGGAACGGTCTCCGAGGGTGGTCAGCCCTCATAGGTGAGTCCTCAACAAAGCTGGCGTCGCTCGGGCTGTGAGAAAGAAAGCACAAAGAAAAGCAATTCAAGGGTTTCCTTTATGCTGGCTGCACGCGACGCCTCACAAGCTTCGCGTGCAAACTCACCATCGGCCAATACTATCTATCTGGCTGGTGCTGCACGGAGGTTTATGGGGCATGTGGCGGAAGACTCGCGGACACTGCAGGAGCCATGGAGCTTCTTTTTGAGGGCATCCCCAATCAGTGCTCGACTGATCGGTCACCGGGGGACCGAAGGAGAAAGGCTCTGTTGCCTCCATCAGGGACGTCCCGTCTCTCTCCGTCCATCGTTCCCAGCGGGCGGCGTCGGTCGGCCTCCATGCGCACGGCGAGATAGTCTTTCACAGGTGTTTGGGGGTGGGTAAAGCTGCATCCAGCCACGCCATCCGAGAGCACATAAGTGTGGGGAGAAGAGTGACTTGTACATGGATGGGTGGATTCACTACTTGTATGGTGGGCGTTGTATACGCGGATTGTTTAGCTCCGCCGAGGAGGCGTTGCGGATAGGCCACGCTCGGGTCAAAGGATGGGAGGTGCACAAATGTCATGCCGTCTTTCGTACAGGCGTAAGGCGTAGTAGCTATAGTAGCTTACTACTAAGTACGCCTTGGATCAGTTGCCTCACGCCCCAAGGACCACAACGGAGGCCGACGTCGGCGGGCCAGAGTTTGTATGAGGGATTTATGGGCGGCGCACGGACTAAGACGGGATTTTCTGCCGTCGAGCAATGGCTGGCTTACCGTTACCGCCCTGGCGACGCATGGCACTCCTGATCGGGTAAGTCTACTCGGTACAGCAGACGGACTCTTCATGATGAGAACAATACTCCGTACATACTAATATAATATTAATGCTGGCACGGGAACTGCTATCTATCAGACACAATCCCCATTGCCAAATCAATGGCTCAGCCCAGACGCTAATTCTCCCCCTCGACGGACAACTGCGTCTCTGCCGTCCTGACATATGTCCTTCGCTGCACCAAGACCATGCCATTGTTCTTGTCCTTGTCCTTATACCCAAGAAAGGATTCCTGGAAGCGGGGGCAGAAATCCTCCCCAAGTCCCAGCCAGATCGATCAATTGACGGACGGAGAATGTCATTCTTTGCAACGCGATCCGAGTATTTCGAATACCGTCTGTTTCGAGGCAGGTATGCTCAATACGGAATACACGACCGTCCTGAAGGAACCTTGAAGTCAATGGTTACCCCGGTGTAACCCCAGCTTCGCACATGGACGTTGGCCCTTGCAGAGGCCAGAATCGTGACGGTGACCCTTTTTCCAGAACACTGTACGGAGTACGCTGTCGGCCCCTGGGGTTGGGCCAAGCATTGCACCCCCACGATTGATGAATCATGGACAGGCAGAAAGGACAATAGGGGTGGACACTCCCATGATCGCATGATCGACGACGTCTGTCTCGCAAAATGGCCTGGCACCCAGCAACAACGCAGCATTCTAGCAGATCAGCCAAGAGCCCTGCGCCAAGAGCCCGCCAAGCCGCAGAATATCACCCCCATGCATCTCGACCAAGAGCACACAACATCCACAACGACAACAATAAGGTACAGTACAGGTAATCATTTTTGTGTACTTCCCCCCTTCCTTCCTGCTCATTCCACAGCAGCGCTTGGCAACGTCTGCGTCTGCTGACTGCGCCTCCCCCTCTCCTCCTCCTCTCCCATTCTCGCGGCGTACGACCCGACGAACGGTGGGAATCCGCCAAGAACCGAGGGGGAAGCACAAGTCGGCCGTCCGGATACCGCACCGCACGGAGTAGAGTCTCGTTCCCCCCTCCGGCATTCTTCCCCTTGCGCAGGAGTGACCTTCGTCGACGGCCGCGCCCCCAGCGTGACACAGCCAAGACCGCCGCCAAGACCTATTGGATTCCTGCCCTGTTTGACTTCGATGGTGTTGCTTTGCCCTGCCCGGTCTGGCTGGTCGGGGGGGCCCCTCCGGAGGATGTGTCCGTTTCCCGCCGGCTGACCTCCCCCTTGTACAACACACACCCGCGGCGTGGCTGTCAGAACTGCGCTGCGCAGTGGGCAAAAGAAAAAAAGCCTGCGGGTAGATCATCGTCGATCATCTGCCCCTACTTGGTGAATGCTAGGTCTTGGCATGTAGTGATGAGACGGAGGGCTGGGCTTGTCGGCGCCAGAGTGTCTAAGGAGTCTCTAGACCATCGTGCAGGTTCCCTGTCGCTGGGATGTGACGTGCCGTCCCGTTGCTCAGGGTAGGATTTGAAGGCAGCGGTGGCGGCCTCGGAGTAGATAGGCCTCCGGGGTTTCTCGGTGCAGACACAGGCACTCAGGCACGCTACGGAGCACGTAGGTTTACTAATCGAATCATGGAATGCAGTACGGAGTAGATGTAACACAACGTTCACAAGAAATGAATAAACTCATAACCTCGGTGGGTGGTTGTTGGCAGCAGGTACATCCCCAACAAACCGATATCCCATATGAGCAGTCAGTCCGAAATCCATCCATACCTGCATCCATATCGGCGTCCTCCGCAATGTAGATATTCACCCAGGACAGTCGATTAACCCCATCGAGTGAGTTTCTCGATCTCTTCCCCGCACGTCATCTCCAACACCCCCCTACACAACAACATATATAGATCACATCGATCCCGACAAATTCTCTTCCTATACACCTCCGACCTCTCCCTCCGAACCCTCCCTCGGGATATTCAGTCATGAGAAGAATACCCACAGGGCTGAAGGCGTCATCGTCATCTTCGCCTCCCTCCAAAGCGCCTGACCACCAATAGTATGAATGCCTAGGCAATCATCTCAAACACCAACCACCATTCTGCAACACGCCCATCCGTTTCTATTTTTCTATTAGAAACACGGTCCCCTCACCGACTACTCCCTATACACGGCTTTGAGGTGTTGAAGCCGCGTGTCGGTCATATGGACGCGTAGGATGATGTCATCTCCTGTTGCTGGTGCGCTTGGGGCGGTGATCGCCGTGACTTCGGTACCTAATCACCGGGACTGACCTGCTGCGTTAATCGGCTGCCTACGGAGTAGAGGAGTCGTTGCGGCGATGAATGTATGTACGGACAAGGGTATTGTTCTATTTATGGAGGCCATTTGGGCATGGTGGTGGAGCTTACGATGATCGATCTGCCGCTGCAACGGCGACGACTGACCGACTTCCCATGCAGTATGTATACGTGGAGGGCATACACGCCTCATGACGGCAAGAGGCTAATCCATTCATCTTGAAACGATCGACCGAACCAAGTACTCCAACCGTAACCGTAATGCACCCCAACAGAGGAATCCCTGACTGATATTCACTGATCATCCAAACTCCACCATGCCCACCCATCCATAATGCAATACAAGATATCGGAGTGGCCTGCTCCAAAGAATGAAATAACTCAATAACGATGCCGTTGGCTGCTTAGAGGGACCAACTTCTTTGCAGCGGTCTGTCCAGTGCGACCACCCGTTTTAACCCTGCGACGCTGTCGTCGGGCCTTCATGACTCGCCACCAGCGCAAGATGACGCCCTTAGCCCAGAGGATCCGATCTTTGGCTCGCACGACTGCGGCGCATTGTCTCGCAACGTCCCGTGCGAGGGCTCGCCGTTGAAGATCCCGGCGGGTCAAGATGCGTCGCCATCTCCTCTGTAGCACGGTTGCTGCGCGCGCTCGCTTCGTGGCCGAGAGTAGCCGCGAACAAAGGAAGGCGAGGGCTCCAACTGTGAAGTCACTGTCAGGGATATGTGATTTGGAACCAGACGAGGCGATGAGGTTTGCTATGACTGCCGCGTCAGCGTTTTGACGTGAGTATCCTGAAACAATGTCACTTACCGAATGGTGCACTGCAGCCCAAAGCTCTCAAGCGGGTCTGTAGCGACGAGGCAGTGCTGCCTTTGCAGGATGAGTTATTTTGATTTTGTCCGGCGATGTAGCTCTCATATTCGTCCACGATACTTTCGTAGATCTTGCCATCCGCGAAACTCGTAGTGAGGTTCTCGGCACGCAAGCCTCTGAGCTGCGCGAGGATCGTTGCCCACTGCTTCAGCAATGTGGCAGCATCGTCTTCGGTGCCGTAGTCCTGGGCCTGGAACCACTCTTCGTCCTTGACTTGTTCATATCCAAGTTGACTCACTGCTTTCTGCTTCAGTCGGTCGACTTCGTTGCGCACCTCGTCCAAGTCTACTAGCCCGGACAGGTCCCATTTGCTAACCAGACCCCAAAGAAGGGCAATGGTCTTTTCGCGATGTCCATCGACAACGTCTTCGGCGCGCAGGTGATCAGCCAGGTTTCTGTAAGGAGTAGAGCACAATGCTTCCAGAGCAATTTGGATGTTGAAAAGCTTCACTGCTCGGCTCAAACACGGGAACTTCAACCGCTTGGAGAGGGGTAGCTGACTGTCTAGATCCGCAGACGGGCTGTGAAGGAGCAGTTCCACAAGGCGGGTCAGTCTCACACCGTCCCTCATGTCGACCGCGAGGTTGTCCACAGCGAAACTGTACTCTTGTAGCGGCTGCTGCTCATAAGATAGCTGGCAGCCCAAATGTCCAAGAGCCTTGATGATGTCCCCACACGATGGTAGAAGGAACCGGGCGAGGCCTTTGAGAGCTGCTGCTGACGACTTGAACTGGCTCGATGGTAGGAACAGGCGCGGGATATCGCCATCCGCACCCATTCGTCCTTGATCCAGAAGAATAACAATCATAAGACTGCGGAGGACCGTCCGAAGGTAGGCACGGCCTGCTGCATCAGAACCCCCCTCGTGGAAGTCCTCTGCTAGATCCATATCCTGATTCTGTAGCAGGAATGTGTCCAGGAAATGCTCCAACTTTCGTTTCAACATATTATCATTGCTCGGATCGGCAGAAAAGCCATGGATATCGTCCTGGTTAATCTTGAAATCAGGGATTTGTCGCCCAGTGATTGTCTCCACAGCGGCTCTAAGCGCTCGCATGTCGTAGGTCTGCAACCAGAAATCCAAGAATTTTCGCTTCATGCCCACGTCTTGCTTCAGACGCATATTGCGGGAAAGGACATCCCTGGGGATGCTCATGGCGCCGTATAACAGTGACGCTTTGACTCGCTTATAAAGATGTGTAAAGGACGCGTCTTGATAGATCGAGAGAAGCTCGTGCCTCAATATTGCAGAGTCACTGGACGAATTTCTCTCTTCGGCGCGACGGAATAGATCATTGATCAAGTGGGTGATGACGAACTCTTGATGGGAAAGCCAGTTATCTTCGTACATTGAGGAATCTGTGATGTTTTCGGAGATCAACGGATATTCATCCAGCAGTTTCGTGCTGCTCCGTGACACAGTAGACCTGGAAAGAGCCGCGTCTGATCTGGATTGCTTCAAAGACCTGGAGATGGTGGAGGCTCCCAAAGACGGTGCCGCTTTGAGCACTGGGCGCGTGTCTTTTCTCGACATCCGTTCCTTTTCTCGCTCAGTATGCAGTGAGCGTGTCTTGACGTTGCTTCGACATTCGTTCATTGCCCTTTGCAGAGATCCATTGGTGGTCTTTGCAGCCAAAGGCTTGGAGATACTTGCACGTGAAGGCGGCACTGTTCGTTTGCAACTCGACTTCGTGTCGTCAGGCTTCGCTGGCCATACTTTACTATCCTTGTTTTCTGCGAGGCCCGTCCCTGGGGGGATGTTTTCTTTCCCGCCATTCTTCCCAGCAACGTCAATGTGGATAGAATGTTCTTGGGCAACTTTTGAGCTCGGCTGTAACGGAACTCGGTGTGCGGATGCTGCCAGGGAGCGCTTCGCTTGCCGTTTCTTCATGATCCGGGACTCCAAAGTGTTGACCTGCGTGGTCTCGTCCACCTGGTAGCTACTCGGGTCCGACTTGAGCGGACTGAAGATTCCCATGAATACACTCGCAACAGTGGTATCATCCGGGGGAATATAAACAGTGTTGCGTCTGACATCCTTCTTTAACACGTCTTTGTTTTGGGACTCCTGGACCTTTCCATTGATCTGCATCAAAAGGTCCTTGTTCTTCTCTGGCTCCACTCTCTCACTCTGTCTTCTTCTTTCCAGGCTGTCCTGCTGCCTCACGCTCTTCGATGTCGAACTCGGACTTGGTGCAAAGCTAACCTTCGGACGGAAACGTTGGGCGGGCTGAGCAAGCAGCGACGACTTCCGATTCGAAGAAGAAGTGGAAGTTTTCTCCTTTCTCAATCTACCAGTAGCCGGTGCAGGCTTGTTCTCGCTTTCGTCGTGAATTGCAAATGCCGTTGTGGCCTTGGTCTTTCGTTTGGGCTTGGCGCCGGTCAGGACCGGGGCTTTGATTTCGGTCGTGAAGTCGACATTAACAGTGTCTTCGTAGCTGGACAGGCTATCCTCCCACAGGCTATTAAACGAGTCGCTCCCGTTTCGACTTCGCTCGAGTCTCGAAGTGTTCAACCTTGACGGACATGGCGTACTGACTTCTTCCAGTAAACCGGACATGGTGTTGAGGTTTCGATGTCACACACGGGTGAACCCTGACTTTGTGTTCAGAAGGGAGCCGCGTCCCTTATATCAACATTGCTTGTATCGTTCGTTTGAACGGTTGAGGCCTGCGTCTCGGCGTTGTCGAATCGAGGGATGACTAGCCGAAAGCTAGTAACGCGGGGGAGAACAAGCGGTGACGATCAATCAAGGATGGCGAATGGACGGTGGTGTTGGGTATATCGCTATGGAATGGGTGATTAATTTTGTTAACTGAAGATCGTAGAAGAATGTACTAGTCAGCGTTTGACGTGATTTAAATGTTGGAGGACGAGTTCTGGAGACGCGATGTTGATGGTGGTGGTTGCCCGTGCAACAGTCCTGGTGCCTGAGGCATCATATATACATCCCATACATCGTCGCTTCCCCTCCAATCAGTTCGGAAGATACTGGGTGCTTTCATGATAGCTGGGTACTAGGTAGGTAGGTATGTACGTTAGATGGATAATTCTAGAGCTAATAGGATGGATGTGACAAAAATTTGGGACAAGCCCTTCTGCAGTGCACAACATGCTCTGCCATTTTTGATATCAAATTGGCAAAAGCTGAAACCAAGAGCCATCGAATTCGGCCAAATGGTTGGAAGGTATAATGTTAGCGAATTCTGAGATCGAATGCTTGAGTTCAAAGTTCAAGTCCTGGACCCTGCATGCCAATGATCCTACACCGATCTCATCAGCTAGTTGTTGATGTCGCCATTATATATTACCATGGCTTGGGTGTATCGCAATTCATTTCACAATGTAGAGCGGCTTGCGGCCGCCAGAATAGTTCGAGAAGGAATTAGCAATTGGCCATAGGTCGTTGAACCGGCGAGACGAAGCACATGTATGTTCCGTATGAAAGTGAAAAGAATACCATATTGTATCATCTGTAAGAGTGCCCAATGACCTAGGGGAAAGGCCTCCAGACTTCTCCCCCGCATGTAGCACATGCAGTGCGGGGTGCAACCCTTACGCAGTAAGGTTTGATTGGGATCCTCGATCGCATGAGCCCGTTATCTCCCATGCATGTACAATAGTTGCATGATGAGACGCCGTTCAAGAACCGAGATTGAAGTCGCAGATGCAGGCGCAGCCAAGTAAGGGGTCGCAATCGCAGCCAGAATTGACCACTGGGCCTAGGTACTCAACAAAAGGCCCAAAACATGCGAGAAGTTGGAAACAAAGCAAGTAGTATATATCCCGTGGATGCCGCCGAGGTGCTCGTCCTCATTGTGCTGGTGTCCATAGTGGAGATGGTCCATATCTGGCACGATCACCGAGGCTCTGCATAATTTGATTGCCAGTTCGGAGAATCGGCCCTGGTAGGAGACCCGAACCTGTTAAAGGTGTCATCTAGCGTCAATCTGAAACGCCCTTGTGTTGAAAAGTCCGAACCAGCGAGCGTTGCACGTTAGGTTAACTAGTGCCCATGGATGTTGCCTGGACCTCGGTCTGGCACGCTGGGAGATTCACAAGATACGGCGACAAGTAGTAGCGTTGGTGCCGCGGTCGGTCTTCAAAAGAACCATAACAAAGAGGCTCTTCTAGCTCCTTTCGTGTTTAGTCTGAAACCAGTGTCCCTTATGATTCCAAAAGGTGTATCTGTAAACAAAGGTTGAGATTAGAAAGAAAGAAGTGGGTCGGGAAAGCCCTAGCGGAGAGGCCGCCATCTCCGATCAGCCAACGCGTGATGCGAGTGCTTCCCCCCTTCCCCAGACCCTCATGCATCAGCGTCATCTTCGATCTTCAACGTGGCCCCCCTCTGCTCTATTTTTACCCTCGGTTCGCCAGGGGTAATTTCATCAATTTCATCTTCACCCCTCCGCCGTTCACCAACCCTCTCCAATCCAACGCCTCCTTTAGACGCCCCCGATTAACTTCGCGACGAAACCCCAACCACTTCGGACGACGCCGCCTCCCTTGCACCAGCGATGGGCCTGCTATAACTGATTCTGGAGCTCTTTCCCTCTTCCTACTCCTCTTCCCAGATCATCGCATCCACCGTGAGCCGTCGGATCGACCTACTCCCTGGAGCGCGTCTCCCCGCGATATCCGTACTCCCTACCCCTCTCCTGTCGCCAAAGGAATTTCGTGAAGGCATGTGCACTGGTCATGGAATCTCTCGTATATGAGAACTCGCCTCTGGCCGATTATCTCCAAGGTGAGTTCCCGAGCTCGACCGTGGCTCTCCGTGGTTTTGCAGAGGGTCTAATAGAGATATACATACAATAGGGGCCGGAGAACATGATCCAAATTGGCCAGTTCAGGAAACCGATCATAACGATGACGCATCCGACTCGACAGCTGCGGATTTTGCCCCGCGAGGCGCGTCCAAATTCCGAGAACGAATTCGGAGCAAACTCCCCAAACCACTCGACCTCAAATCTTCCCGTCATCGTGCCCTTCTCCTTCGGCTCTACGATGCTTGCATGGTATGTTTGGCATCATGTTCACCTTGCCTGTTGCTCGCCTCCTGCTGATGACATATTCCGATAGGACGCCTTGAATGCCCGCGTCGGACGAAGTGACAATGAACGATTCTTGGAACAATTTGGCTATGTGATTGTCGCATCGCAGTTGCTGAATGAGCATAATGCTCCGTCTTACACATCGGCCGCCGACATCCTGGCCAACTCTCACCCTGTTGACCTCCCTTCAATCTCGACAACGTTCGGCTTGCAGGGTGCAGTCGTCACCGCGTCCACATCCTTCTCCATCGCCTGGCTATTACACTGGAGTCGCTCGCGCACAGGATCCGGGCTGAACCCTCGGAAGGTTGGCGTCTTGTTGGTCCTTGTCCCGGTGATCGGGGTTCTCTTCTACGCTTTTGCGAAACGGCAATGGCTGAAGTACCTGCGGCATCAGGCAGTCGAAGCCGCCGTATCGTTCATTGGCAATGCTCAAGGATTTGACTCGGCTGCTTCCGCATCGGTTGTCTTCATACAGGAGGTTGAGCTGGTGTCCAGAGGTTATCGCATGTATGTCCACTTCTATGAGTTTGGCGTGACTCAGTGTACTGACTATGCGACAGAAGTACCCCTTTGCCGCCGATCTCGAGGCTCGAGGATCAGGCCCAAACCCGCCGCTGCCTGCGACTACGTCGCACCGTGTCCGAATGCTTCTATTCAATGCTAGGACGCTACATTCGCGCACAACACATTCTCCAGCCTCTGACGAACCATGCTGATTTGGCCAAATACTACGATATTTACGACATCGCCGAAGCGGATCTCGCAGAGGTCGAGTCTGCCTTTGCTCAACGGGCCACCGAAGACCAATATTCACTGCGTGCTCTCCGAACCCTCTTTGGACGGCTCTATATCGTCCGAAAGAGCGTCCTCTGCTGTCTTCTCGCTCTTGGCGCTGATGGTGGCGGCTCTGATATTTCCAGGTGGAGCGTTGCTCTGGAACAAATGCGGGACATGGCCTTTGTTACGGGAGAGAACACCCAGAAGATGACGAGCATCCTCAATGAGGAAGACCGTGAGTGCTCCAACTCCTTCCGCCCAAGAAAAGGAAAAGACCATGTGGCTAATTGAAACCAGGCGATGTCATCCCCCCGTCTCCACTGCCAACTGCCTCTCCCAACAGGGAGAATCTTCGCTCGCAATACCGGAAGCTCAACTCTCTTTCCCAAGGAATTCGCGCCTTACACGCCAAAATGCATGTGATTAAAGAGCTGTCGAGCGCTGATGTTGAGCGAACAGACTCGGGCGACCTCGAGGCAACCCTTCTTTCCCAATACGAGTCTATCGGGGCCGATATCAAGGGTTTACTCGATGAGTGGGAAGCCGGTAAATCCGCACTAACAAATAGCTTCGAAAGACAAACGGCCATGGACCGTCTTTCGCGGCCACCAAGTGGAATGAAGTCACCCTTGTCTCCAACACCGAGCTTGGGCGGCGCCACAGCGGTTGAAGGCAGTCCTGCCGATGCTCTGAAGGCACTGAATGGCGAGCGGCCGGATTCGAGCATCTTCCAGAGCCTCGAGGAGGATGAGGAGATCTTTGAAGCTGTGGCTCCTCCGTCCCGAAATAAGAGGTCATCGTTGACTCGCGAGGAGCGCATTGCCCGCGTCAGGGAGGACCGAGCAAAGCAAGCTGCGGCGAGAGACCGCCTTGACGCGAATACCAACATGCTCAAGGAGCTCGAGATGGTGATCAAGCAGCGACCGAAGACGACTGCTTCCAAACGTGTCACGAGCATATAGTTGGTGATGAACCGCCCTTTATCTTCTGTATCCATATGTTTTGCTGAGCGCCTGGACTATATTGGAACCGAACTGCCGCCAGTCATCGACAAAAGTGCCGGTTGATACCCATTATTTATAGAGTGGATGGTGTCTGGTGTTTGAATGGGGTTTTGTTTCCTTCTGCGCTTTGGGTTGTTCTTCCTATGGGGTTATATTGTACTTTGATGTATATGTGTTGTTTCGGGCGTGCTTTGGACCCTGTTTTGTTCATAATTGCTAGCCTGTATACTGGGAGGACTGGAATAATTTGAGCTGACTAGGTGTTCGATTAGGAGAGATGTATCTATATAAGTGAATGGAGAGATGAAGCATTGATGAAGCATTGAAGGACAGTTGGTGCCTGCCATCCAAGGCAGTCGCACGCTAACCGCATCGGGTGATATCAGCCTCCGCCATTGACGCGACCGCGAAACGCGTCGGTTCCCCACTAAAGCAACCCTCGAACGCGATTTCACTTCCTGCTCTTTCACCTCGCATTTTCTCTCCCAATTCAACCCATATCAGCCTTTCCACTCCTCTCAGCTCCCATTCTCCTCTCAACCTGTAGGTCTCAAGCCTCTGCTCAACTTGTACTTATCGGTCTATCCTTACTCACTCTTTAGAATTCGCCTGACGTCAATTCTCTTCCTTTTTCTTCACCGCTACACATTACCCGATCCATCAAGAGTGCGTTCTCCAGACCACTACGACTTTGCTATGGCGAACGAATCCTAACCATTTCTGCAGTGTTGGAAGCCCGCCTAGAGCAAGCCTCCCTCCTCAAGCGCGTATGTGCATCAATCGCTACTTCTGCGTGCCCTGTGATTGACATTTCCTCCCCACCTAGGTCGTTGAGGCCATCAAAGATCTTGTGCAGGACTGCAACTTCGACTGCAATGACTCGGGAATTGCCCTCCAGGCCATGGACAACTCCCATGTTGCCCTGGTGTCCATGCTTCTGAAGGCGGAGGGCTTCTCTCCTTACCGCTGCGACCGCAACATTGCCCTGGGCATCAACCTGACCTCTCTGACCAAGGTCCTGCGCGCCGCCCAAAATGAAGACATTCTCACGCTGAAGGCGGAGGACTCGCCCGATGCTGTCAACCTGATGTTCGAGAGCGCTGAGACCGACCGTCTCAGCGAGTACGATATCAAGCTGATGGACATTGACCAAGAACACCTGGCCATTCCGGAGACGGAGTATGCCGCGACGATCGAGATGCCGGCTGCAGAGTTCCAGCGCATCTGCAGGGATCTCAACGCCCTTTCCGAGTCGGGTTCGTGGCATCTGCTCTCTTTTCCATGACCACCACGTAGACTAACGCGTTCAATTCAATAGTCGTCATTGAGGCCACGAAGGAGGGTGTCAAGTTCTCCTGCCAGGGCGACATTGGCAGTGGATCCGTCACCATCCGTCAACACACCAGCGTCGACAAGCCCGAGCAGAACGTCTCCATCGACCTCTCCGAACCCGTTGCCCTTACCTTCTCCCTCAAGTACCTCGTCAACTTCTGCAAGGCCACCAACCTCTCCTCCAAAGTCACCCTCTCTCTGTCTCAGGAGGTGCCTCTGCTGGTGGAATACGGTCTGGGCAGCGGTCACCTGCGGTTCTACCTCGCTCCTAAGGTGAGATCTTGGTTGTTTTGTCACTGGACTGGAGCTAACCTATGCACTAGATCGGCGACGAGGAATAAGCGGCTCACTAACGTAACACCTACACAACTATTACCAACATCATGATGACGAGAGGGAGCATTCGGAGGCAATGATTTCTTTTCTTTTTCCTTTGTTCTAGTTCAAAAATATCCCAGATGATGTCCAGTCCTACAATAATATTCGACCTAGATATCAAGCGAGTTGTTACATCTCATTGGTTATTGCAAATTCTTGGATGAGCATGCTCGTACAAATCTATTTCACACATCTGATCCACTGATTCTCCCCCACTAAGGCCCCGTAGGACCCTACCGACCAAGACTCCTAAGCCCACCAGCCAAGCCCACACAAATCAGCATGGGCAAAACTCTTTCCAGTTGGGGGTTGAGAACTACTGACCTGCGGAGAAAAAAGATGAAGCGCCATCCCAGCCAGAATAATCGGAATCGAATGATACCATTCCCCTCCCCCGAAGGGAAGAAGGAAACCCGGTATGCTGCGTATTGCACTAAAGTGTCATGCAGGCCAAGCTGCACACACAATCTTCGCAACGACTCTCCCATGGGGAAACCGCACGGGACCGACGGTCCCGGCGCCCCGATGTTTCTGATGCCAATTGCAGATGTGTCTGTCTTTCACACCAGGCCCTCACGGGCAGTACCGGCTCCCGTGGATGCCACAGGCACCCAGCGAGAGCGGGTGCTGGTAAGGTGAAGATTTCTCCGAATTTCTCATTTGCGGGCTCGGCGGCCGTCGGGGTGACGGGCCGAGGACAAGACGGGGGTCTTGTCGTGTGTAGCAAAGAAACGCAGCATTGGTTGGGATGGCGCTTGGAGAGAAGAAAGAAAAGAGAGCGGGAGAAATTTGTTGTGGTGAGCTTTTAGCTGTTGCGGGATAGAGTGACTCACCGCTTGCTGGTTTGGGACCAGGCCTTTTTGGGATGGCGTGGGGTTGGCGGGTGCTTTGCCCTAATTGACTAATCGGGAAGTGTACAGCAGCAACGACATGTTTTGATAACTTCATCTTTGATTCTGTGATTATGCTCGAACTAAGGGTGCAAATGGCTGGTTCTAATGATGATTCCCAGTTATGCTGTCAGCTAACAGTGGTTGAATTCCTTAATGGATCTACATACATAGTACTAATGGATTGCTGATTCTTCGTCTTGTTCAATTCTGCAACATCTCGACTCGTCAATCCCATGAGACGTCCTAGTGAGGCTCAGTCCACTGTCTTTGATAATACGGGTGCCTAGTGGAGAGACTTGAGTCGTGGCTGACATGAGATTAGATCGTCGCTTCTGCAGCAGGATTCATCAAAGCGCTTCTAGTATGGGGCAGTGCAAACCACCGCCCAATGGATCGGCTGGGTCTCGCTTGTTAGATAACTACCAGCAAGACAAGCAATAGCCAAGTCGCAACAAGATCCACCTGCTTAGTGCAGGGGGTTTGTGGTGGCTGTATTCAGCGATTTAGCCTCAAGCGTTTTCTAGTTCTGTCTAGTATGTGGTTGCCTGGCATGCGTCAGACATCCATACATATGCGGACGCTGTCCAGATATTCTCATCGCATTCCACTTCACCTTTTGACTCGCTTGGTCTCCGTGCTCTACGGTCTATACCGACTTTTACAGTGTCATAATGACTCTCAGCTATCGCAATGCAGTCGCCGTGGCGGAGACTGTCTTTTATTCGCCCGCATTCCTGATTGCAGGCCTTCTCATGTTTCGTCATGGGTAATTGGCTATCTAGTCTTGGAAATGCAGAATCAATGTTTACTGACAGCTACTCAGATGGCGAAGGAGCGCAGGATGGCTATTCGTCGCTATCTTCACGCTTATGCGTCTCATAGGCGCCTCGATGCAACTGGCCACAATCCACGACCCGAGCAATGTCAGCCTTTATGTCGGCACAGTGATTCTCGACGGCATCGGCCTCTCTCCTCTCCTGCTCTCCAGTCTGGGACTGCTCTCCCGTGCTCTCTACAGCATCAACAAGACCAAGCCGACCAAACTCCATCTAGCAGCAGTCCATCTCATCGAGATCCTGACCATCGTCGCCCTGATCCTCAGCATCGTGGGTGCAACCTCCGTGCCGTCTTCCAGCTTCCTCTCCCGCACCCAACAGACCAATACAGAGATGACCGTCGGCATCGCCCTCTTCCTCGCCGCGTTCGGCCTCCTGTGTCTACTGGTGCTGAGCACGTGGCCCTCCATGCGACACATCGAGAAGGGTGAGAAGCGTCTCCTGTTCGCCGTCACCCTCTCCCTGCCTTTTATCCTTGTCCGGCTCATCTACTCCTCGTTCTCGATCCTCGGCGAGAACCCCGACTTCAGTCGGACTACGGGGAGCACCACGATCTTCCTCTGCATGACCCTGCTGATGGAGGCTTGCGTGGTGGTCATCTACGAGGGGACAGGCTTGACGCTGCAGCGGCTGTCGTCGGATGAGCTTTCGCAGATCTACGCTAGTCGGCAGGGGCCGCGACGAGATGATGCGCAGGAGAATGGGCTTGGTGGAAAGCTTGCCCGCATTGGACAGAAGACGCTTATTGGACGACTGGTCATGGCGATTTCGGGCAAGTCGTCGCAGAGTCGTTATTAATGTCCTGTTTCCTTGGCAAGGATGAAGAGGGGGTCAGGGCGAGAGAGCTCAGCCCACTTATAACACCGGGTGTATGGCTCTCCGTCATGCCAGGCTTGAGATCAAGGGATTTATTCTTTTTAAGCATCGGCGTTTAATGGTTATCACATCATATGGAGTGTCTGATACTATCACAACCCTCCAAGGAGAACATAATAAGAACAAATAAGCGGGAACAAGGTATCAAGTAGCATCCACAAAACTCCACTGTTGACCTCCCATCCGAACCGGAACGCCATGCCTTCAAAAGCAAACACCAAGCCAATCATATCCATAAATCATAACTGCCGAGATGCTATCAGGGTTTAAAATCCTGCATGCTTTTTGTTTCACCGACAGCAAAGGCCAGCCACCACTGGCAGAGCAATTCGACAAAGTTCCTATCGTACTTTTTCAGATCGTACAGCGGAGTCTGCCGAACTTTGCCGTCAAAAGACGTCTCCAAGACACGAAGATGGTGAGGTTCCACAAAGAAGGACACCATTCCCTAAGGCTGGTAAGGCATTAGTGTGATATTCTCAGCCAGCTCGAAGACGACGCTAGGACTCACCGGCGCGACTATATGCGGACCCCAACCTGAGTCCAAGGGATATACTCCGGTCTGGATTATGGCCATCCCGAAACAAAAAGACAAAACATACAGCAGCTTAAGTATGGTGGTGCTTACTAGGCGCTGCGTGGGCGGCTTGTCCCCCTATTCAGTCTTCTTGGGTTGACCAACGCGTTATAGGAATAGTAGGGTTTCACCATAGTGCAACAGTTATGTTAATTCTATAAATTACTTCTGTTTAGGCGGCAAGTAATTTATATATCTATGTTCCGGTGAATATAAATGTAGAGACTATTATCTATCTCAGTCTTTAAGCTAGCAGCCTGATTGTGGTATAGTACCGAGAACTTGTTATAGTTTATTGTTTTGATCTTATTCGGCGAGAAGGAGTGATTTTATTAAATATAGATCTAGACGATGAAGATTTAGTAGAGACGGTATATTATCTTCAAGCTTTTAAGCCTCTATTTCTATATATATTAGAGCTGGACGCCCTTCTATCGAAATCACTAAAGACTTTAAAATTCTTTTAAAGGTTTCATCCACAAAAGACTCTATCCTTTAATCGACAGTACCAGTGACCTATATACGTTGTATTATCTATCATATCCCAAAGATAGACCAGCGCATAAACCGAGCAATTTATCTATCTTTCACATGCCACTTTTTCACGTCTTTAACCATGTTCTCCTTAGATATCTTCGACTAAGGATTGGCGAGCGGAATATTATGTACCAGGAGCTCGAGAATCCCCTCATTAATCACCATACAGACATAGTATCTATTCTATCAATCCCGTTTCCATCTACGATTCGAAATGCGAATGTACTACTACTAAGCAATATCCAATCAAGAACTGTCGAAGCCTTTATAATAGTCAGACGGTGATGTGCCTACAGTTGATTGTTTCATGTAGGATTAGGATTTTAATATACCGGTTATATTGTAGAGATTACGGTAACTCGCCTACTTAATCTAAGAGCTAATGATGTTGGTTTCCCTCTGGAATATTGTATCGGATTTATACGTGATACGATAGACGACCTAGCCCCATGTCTCTTCTCGAAGATATGATGATGACCTTCCTGGTGTCCTTGCTAACCGATCAGTTAAGTTCATAAAATACGTGAAGGCGATAACTGGAAAGACCATCAGATCAATCTTTCGTCGCAGCCGTTTCTCTATAGCCGCTTCTTCCTGCGTGAGATATCCATGATTGGGCTCTTCATGGCAAATATCAGGTATCCTTGACACCCATTACGAGTCGATGAAGAACATGTCATCACGACAGTGAAAGAAGGGATGGCGAGCGTCTTTTAAATCCCTCCAAAACGCAAGGGGTCAGAAACAGACCACGGATATTTGCAGCTCCGGTATAACGCCATAGAGTGCCGCACGTGGCACAAAGCCCGAGTCTCCTCAATTTTATATACCACAGCAGTCGGCGCTGAGATTTGTTGCAGTTCCTGGAAGTTGGCATGTACTGCACGGGACCATTATCATTGAATCAGAAGACGTATTATACAAACTATTTATCTACAGGACCACGATGCCTCTCTACATAAGGTAAAAATGGTCCTCTGACGGCCTTCTCTCGTATTTAAAATGCCATTTCCCCACTTCTTTTGGTACGAAATCTTGACTGGATTATTCATGAAACGCTGATATCTTTGTCGAGGAGTTGCGGATAGAACCTGGGTCAGGATATGAGGTAGGGCATTTGCTATAGATATAAATCTATGAAAACTAGGCAGAACTTGCCATCTAGACGTCACCAATACGGATGATTGTAACACCATGACAGAAAACCATAGTATTGTTTTGAGCCAAAAATGAGGGGCTTTACATTACAAAGGAGCGCACCTTGGACTCGCTAGTAGTTCGGATCGAGTCCGACAGCGTCTCACCAAGGCGGACGTGTCCGATGCCCGAGGAGTTCCCACAGCGATCAACAACCCCGGATTTTGTGAGTCTGGGGTAGGTACATCCCATGGCTCTATCGGCACTTTGTATATAAGGTCCCTGTATGATGGACGATTCGAAGATTTCTCCATCCATCCTCCCATACCACATTCTCTCAAAATGGCATTCCCAAAACATAAGAAATCTTTCGACGACACAGAATCCAAAATCGTCACAGAGAATGTCGAGGATGTACATGCCGAACAGTCGCTGGCTGCGTTTCCCTTACTCCAGGGAAAGACCCCTGCTGAACTCAAGGCTCTGAACAAGGCTGTGCTCAAGAAGCTGGACTACTATTATCTTCCCTGCGTGACGATGATGTTGCTCATGAGGTCGGCACACACCCCCTTTTCCCAGATCAGCAGGAATACTAACAATGTTGATATCTCATCAGCTACCTGGACCGAATTAATGTATCTAATGCCCGCCTTGCTGGCATGCAGAGCGACCTACACATGTCGGACACCGAGTGGTCCGCAGGCATCTCCCTGTTCTATGTCGGTTACATCATCTCCCAAGTCCCAGCCAGCGTGTTCATCGCAAAAGGCAAACCGAGCATCATATTTCCAAGTATCATGCTTGCATGGTCCGCTGTGACTATCTGCATGCCCGCCCTGACCTCTGCTTGGGGTTTTTGTCTCTGCCGTTTCCTGGTTGGCGTTGCGGAAGGTCCATTCGTCCCAGCCGTCTCCCTGATAACTTCGTCATGGTACACAAAAAAGGAATCCCCACTGCGTATGGGCATATGGCACGCCGGAAATATTGTCTCGAATATATTCTCCGGGCTCCTGGCAGCAGGCATCCTGACCAACATGGACGGCATTGCAGGTCTTCATGCTTGGCAGTGGTTCATTTTGCTGGAGGGGATAGTGAGTATCTTGGTGGCCTGCATCGCGTTTTGGTTCATTCCGAACTTTCCGAGCAATACGAGCCGCCGGTGGCTCACTGAAGAGGAGGCTGCCATGGCGCAATACAGACAGTTCGTCTCTGCGGGAGGGATCCATGAAGACGACGAGGAAGGTCGCTGGAAAGGAGTATGGCTGGCAGTTAAAGATCCATTCACGTGGCTCTTTGCTGGGATCCATTTCTCGCTCATCATTGCTCAATCATTCAAGGACTTCTTCCCTTCGGTAAGGAGACACCGCGCGTCATTTTGCCAAGGCTAATTATAAAAAGATCGTTGCGACACTTGGGTTCACAGATGTTGTGACCTACCTTGTCCAGGCACCTCCATACCTGATCGCATACATCGTAACTCTTGTTGTCTCGTGGTCTTCCGGTCGGTTTTTGGAGCACTGCTGGCACATTGTCGTGCCAATTCTAGTCACTCTCGCGGGAGCAGTGTTAATGATCTCAACGTTGAATATTGGTGCGCGCTACTTTAGCCTGATCTTGCTTTGCACTGGTCCATTTGTTGGCCTGAACGTAAGTGTTCGGATTATATCGTTTGAGGATCAAAGAATTGACGCGGTGTCTAGATCCAAATCTCATGGGAGACCACGGTCGTCCCACGCCCACGTACAAAAAGGGCCGCCTTGGTTGCAATTGCAAATTGTGTGGCATCAGTATCTCACTGGTTCACGCCTTACTTCTTCCTCACTTCTCAAGAACCACGTTATGAGACTGGAGGCGGTATCATCATTGCAGGCTGTGGACTCACGGTGATCCTTTGCTTGGCTACTAGGTGGTGGTGCACCAGGAAAAATAAGGCACTGGATGAGGCAGAGGCAGTGAGTGGGAATGTAACTGAATGGAGATATGCAGTCTAAGGGGGTGCTTGTCCATAGTGGAGGATCACGTGGATTTGATGGAATCTGTGATTTGATTCTGTTTTGACTGCTTCCTACTCATCTTAGAAGCTGGTCCGTCACTGTTCGAAGACGTCTCTACTGGTAAGACCTTGTGAGATACACCGAAATATAGTGAGGGTAGTCATGGTTATACAGCAGACAGTTGGACTATCTACCCGACCACTTCTATATGCGTCGCTCTTTCGGCCTATTTGATATCACAAAATAAATTCGCAAGATCCACATGGTGACCATAAAGGGAGAATGCACTATTACTAAACCGTCTTTCGTTCTAAGGTGAATCTCCGAAGGCCGAAGCGAGGCTAGAGTCGATCGGATATTCTCCGGCCACCAATAGTTTGTGGGATGGTGTATTCCGGAGGGGCAGGATAATCGGACAGTATATAAAAGGCTGGTAGTATATTTCATCGACACAGTGCTCCTAACGACTTCAATTATACATCGCGAATTCGATCCCCTTGAATCTATACCGGAAAATCGTCTCAGTCTCAAAATAGGTTCTATCGGACACTCTTACACGATTTCCAACCTCTTCCGGACTAGAATCCTCAATAACCAAGTCACCTCTCTAATGTCTATTAAATTCGTCACTAGCAATGAAATCCCTATAATATATAAGATAGCTAGTATTCACGCCGTATTCATTAATATAGAATATTCCGCCCTCGATATATATACAGTAACTTAATTTATTCTCGCCTGTAACTATGCCGGTGTATTACCTATTATCCGGTCGCTATCTAAGTCTTACTAGCATATCAGCCGTATTCTTAACGCAGGAGCTTTTGCAGTTATTATTCCACATATAGAGACCGTCCAGGAAGTAGAAAATATTATTAAGTATGCTAAGTTTGCTTCTCTAGGAACCCGCGGGTATACAAATAACTAGGCGGCGTTTAACTTCCAGCATATACCGACACTGGTGCAGAATAAGATATTAAACTCGCAGACCATGCTTATTCCTATAATTAAGACGCCGGCGGCGGTAGATCTTACTAAAGAGATCTTTACGGTCAAGGGTGTCGATAGAGTCCTGGTTAGCTCGAACGATCTGTGTACGGACCTCGGCATCCCTGGAAAGTACGATAGCTCGTTATATCAACATGCGGTTGCAAAGATATTCAAGGCTGGCAAGAAGGCAGGCAAACCAGTACTCACATCTTCCTATCTTGGACAGCTTTTTTTTTACGGACCCTCAAAAAAGCCCGTTACTCCACTAGGTCTTCGACCTCCCGAACTGATTCTTACCGGAGCCGTTGATAATACTATCGATGTCTGGAGTTTCGGTTGCCTTTTCTTTGAACTTATCACCGGACAGCCACTTTTCTGTATACCGGGGTCCGAGTATGAAAATAATGATCATCTTCTCTCTCTCACCGTCCGGCTCGGCGCCCTCCCGGACGAGCTTTTCAGGCACTGGGAGACTTCGTCGCTCTACTTTACGCCAGACAGGCAGCTCTTTAACTGTCAGCTTGGAGGAGTCGCTCCAGGAGAGGAACCGCTTATGGTGGAGCAGACGTCTGAAAAGTGGCTACAATTCCTAAATCTATATTAATCTAGTTAAACTCGACTTTCTAAAGAGCGCTTATACCGAGCGGTTTATTATTAAAAGATAAATCAAGGCGTGACTTATACTTTCTAATTTTTTTGTTGCCTGACTATGCTTGATGTACGTCGTAGGAGCCAATTTTTTAAGATATATAGTATTTTCCTCAGATTCCTGCTTCTTCTGATAATCTATAGTAAATCTACGGGAGGAAGCTAGGCGATGCTATTGTTCCGCAAGTTCCTAGAGTTCCTAGAGTTCTTGGTCGATTATAACTATGGCGATGTCACGTACTCTGGATAAAGAATTAATATAAAAGAATAGGATACCATAAGACGGACCTAGCGCCCTAGGGCTATTTATTATTACTTTAAATACTTTTCGCCTCTGTAGCAGCCTTTGTCTGTCTGGATAGTTCTACGCACTACTAGTGCGATGCAGTATCTAAAAAGGGAAGGCTATTGCACTAGTGGTGTTAATATTGCACCCCCTAGTGTTAGGAGATATAGAGATCGCATCTCTATTACCCGTACCTAGCCTACATCTTAGTTTTAGAGAAAAATTAGAGCCTAGGGTTTTTTAAGAATTGACCGCCTGGTCACAGGTGGCTTAAGTACGGCTGAGCGGACGGGAAGCCCTGTTTTCCACACCCTATGGTCGTATGTACTTGATTCGGCGGTCAGACAGAATATAACCTCATTACATCAATGTTCCTCTCACGATGGGACATCTTGATATCAATTCGCCGGTTCGAATTACGCCGACCCATTATAAGATTCTCGTCGTACTATCATGGATGGCATAACACGGTAGATCCATAGCAGTAGCAAATCATCATGTATTAAGCTAACATTCGTCTATGGGGTATATGAAATCCGTCAGCTCCTAAAAGCTCTCCCTCGGCCCCAAGGGCCTCGACGACGCATCCGACCTTTGGTCGTCCTGGTACGTCACCTTGACATGCGTCACCTGGGTAATCTCACGATTGTATGATTTGTCGGTCTCCACAGGGTACATTTCAAACCGGTGAGTCGACACGTTGTTAGAGAAACTGCTTCGGTCCCCGCGGAACCTCCTCCAAGCATTGCCATCAGGATCTTGCAGGTTACCCTCAGACAAATCTGCGGGTGTCTTGCGACGAGATTTGCCCCCGCTCGGCGGGCCGGTATTCTGCTGAGAATTGCCGAAAAGCTTGGGGAGCAGATATTGAAGCGGCTGTTTGTAGACCGGGAGGCAGGCACAGATGATGCCGACATTAGCCTCGATGACGCTCCAGATCGTTGCGGGAATTGGTCCGCCTGGTTCTGTCAGTCAAAGAATTTGCCGGTGGGATCAACGAGGATTCATACTGGTTGGGTCTGTGCTCTCGGCTGACTCGGCGAGGGTCGTGGTACGAATGATGCTCGTGACACAAACACTATCATCATTAACATGGGGCGCAGTAACACATGGAAGAAGTGGAAACTTACAACAGACCAAGACCGAAAATGACGGCCAAGGCGACCTTTTTCGCGCGGGAGAGCCGCAACTTGGAGATTGGGTATATGGGCAAGGTGAGGATGGCCACATCACTGAGGATGTTGATGATGGCATAGGACATCCATTGCGCCTCGAGATCGACGCACTTGGGGTTCTTGATGGTTTTGTCCCAGAAAGAGGCGACTGGGTTACATTGGAATATGGTGACCAAGGTGTAGGCGAGGCTCCAGCAGATGACAAAGATGATGCCTCCAAAGCAGATTCGGCGGATGTTGGGTTGGATGAAGATGCGCAAGTACAGGCACAGGAAAGAGACCTTGCTGATGCCAAGGACAAGTTTGTACATCACCTGGGCTGCAAAGAACCACTGCGCTGATTAGACGGAAGCGTTGCTCGGGAGTTCTGGGAGCATACCTTGAGGGCGATTACCTGATGATGCTGATCCAGGTCTGCAGAGCGTTTTCCATAGCCATAGTGCACCGCTGCGTCGGGTTAGATATGAGTGCCAAAAACGAGCAAAGAAAGAGTGAGCTAGCTAACCGGAACATTCGGTCATGGAGAGGAGCACGGAGCTGATCTGGAGTCGGTGGTCAGTGAAGCTCGGATACACGAGTGAACCGCGATGAATGATCAACCTACCAACGAACCGAGAATAGTCCAATCATCCACACCTAGACAGCGATTGTGGAATCGGATCAACAGTCTGGCAAGCACAAAGAGGCCGGCCAGAATGACCATGATGACGCTCCAGATCCATAGGGTGAAGCCCCGGTTGGGCACGCTGGGCGTGCTCAGTCCGATCTCGTAAGGCATGTTGAGCTTGGGCGGGTTCGTCGCATGGCTGAGAGCGCCGCATGGTTGGCAAGGGACATGGTTGGTATGCAGAGGATATAAGGGAACTCAGCCTCGTAGCCCCCATCGCATCCGATCAAACCGACAGTCTGGACAATGGCCACGCGAAGAGTTCCACCGAGGCATGTCTTTGTTCGATTTTGATGGAGTGGAGTAGAGGGATCGCATCAATTGGCCCCCAGGGACGATTGACTTTGGGTGCAATCTTGGACCGGCGGGGCGGTGGCTTGGCTGAAGAGTGTCCACGAGGTCTTTGCAGTATAGAGATGACTCTGGTGGCTGGAAAATGGCTGATGGAGTCACTGGAGAAGATAGCAATGCACTTGAAGTCTTTGTTCAGGATAGAATAATACTTGGTAGTGGAAGCGATGCATGCATCTTCATACTCCTATTGTATAGTATGTATATGGCTGGGGTGATGTCACATTAGGTAATCGTCGACTGGATGCCCCAAAGAGGAAGGTGGCCGAGAAACGTCTAGTTAGTCTATACTCGCTCCGTCGTAGTTCAATTAGTTCATTCATCCATCCGGCTGCAATGTTTATATCTGTCGGCCAATTTCCAATCCCTGTCGCTCTGCTCAGTCTCCCCAACCCTCTCCCCCTTGCCAATGAAGTCAATTGCTTCCCTTTCCCTTTTGGCAACATGCCTCGCCTCAAGTCTGGCATCTGGTCTATCTGTCGGAGCCCGTGTCTGGACCAGTAGTGGCCTGATCGAGGGCCATCCAGCGCCCCAGCGACCCAGGGTCGCCGAATACCTGGGGATCCCTTATGCGCAGCCCCCAACTGGAGATCTGCGGTTTGCGCCCCCCGTAGCTTATAGTTCCAACGCCACCATCTCTGCCAATGCTTACGTATGTGCTTTCAAATAACTACGGAGTTTAGTTAACGATTTCAGCATCTGACTAACTATGTTCGCTAGAGCCCGTATGTGCAGCAAACTACCATTACCCCTGTGAGGTTTCCATATTGACAGTGGCGTAGCGATTGTCCAGCGACTATCGGCAAAACCCCGGATAATTTCCCGGGTTTCACGCCCCAGGCCCAGCGCATTATCAAGGCCTTTGCCCAGCAGCTGGGGACCTCTCAAAGCGAGGACTGTCTCTACTTGAATGTATGGGCGGAGCTGACTGCGAAGCCGAAGCCAGTGCTTGTGTTCATCCATGGTGGTCGTACGTGATTGCTCCGAAGGGTCTATACAAGTAGCTAAGAAATTAGGGTTCACCGTCGGCGGCGCCAACGGCCCCTACTATAATGGCCAGGCTTTGGCGGACGAGCATGACGTGGTTGTCGTGACCTTCAAGTTCGTACCCCCCAACATACTCCCTCCTTTCCGTCATATTGACCAACTGCAGCTACCGCCTCAACATCTTCGGGTTTTCAGGTGCCCCCGGACTTCCACAAAATGTAGCGCTGCTAGATCAGCGCTTGGCCGTTGAATGGGTTCACCGCAACATTGCAGCGTTCGGCGGGGATCCCACGCGAATCACCATCTTTGGCCAGTCCGCCGGGGGTGCATCTGTCGACTACTATTCCTATATCTGGACGGAGAATCCTCTCATCAGCGGTCTCATCTCGCACTCTGGCACTGCCCTCAGCTTTAAGCCAAACACTGCGGAAGAGTCGGCTAGCTATTTCTATCACGTTGCGCAGACCCTGGGATGCGGAGACAACACCACCGATTCCCAAACTCTCGTTCAATGCGTTCGCAGCCATTCGTATCAGGATGTTCTGAAAGCCGTGGCCAAGGTCCCTCCCGCCGAATCACCCGCTCTCCCTCAGCCAGTCTTCCACCCCACCGTGGATGGAGTCACTGTGTTTGATGACTATGCGGACAGGTCTGCCGCTGGAAAGTATGCCCATGTGGTCAGTCCCCTCCAATCTGATGAGACCCAGCGTTTGGCAGACTGACGTGAACAGCCATATCTCCTGACTAGCAATGATAACGAAGCGGGATACTACCGTGTCAATGCTTTCTCTGGGAACATCTCCCTCAGCGACCGCGAATGGAATCAGTTCAACCTGGCGGCATTCACCTGTCCGACTGGCGCAGAGGCCAAGAATCGCGCGGCGAACGGAGTTCCAACCTGGCAGGCCCGCTACTTTGGTGACTGGGACAACTTGCGGATGTATCCTACCAGTGGCGCTTATCATGGGGTCGATCTGCCGATGGTGTTTGGCACTGCCCAGTCGGTGAGCGGCCTGCCTAACTCTCCGGAAGAGGACGAGTTTGCAAAGTATATGGCCTCGGCGTGGGTAGCATTTGCTAGTGACCCGCAGAACGGACTGACCGAGTTCGGTTGGCCTCGTTATCAGCCCGATGGTAAGTGGTCTTTCCAAGTTCCTCTAAAAGTTTGCGTATGTCTGATTCGAACTAGATAAATCTCTTGTTGGACTCGCCTACAAAAACAGCACTGAAGCTCGGTTCTTCCCTCCTGCCATGTTTGAGCATGGGTGTGCTGTTTTGAACGGGGATACTACTCCTGGAAAGGGGGCATTCTAGTTGTATAGAAGACATTTGGTTCTTCTCAAGGCATGTATTGTTAGAGTTCTAGTGAAGACCATAATCATCGCACAACGATCTATGCATATCCTATCCACAATGCAGTAGACGCACTTCCTCGTCAATGAGTTTGACCCGGCAATTCCACATACCACGACAGGTCATTCTTCTCATCCATCTCCCACTCCGTAAATCCATTCCCCAAAAAGCGGAACGAGTTCGGGCTGTTGTATTCGATCTCGAAATCCTCCCCTCGGATTTCACTGATCAGCCGATGGAACAGAACCGCACTCCCTCCAAACAGCGCCGTCACTCGCCCATCCACCGTATTCCGCTTATACCAACTCTTGCAGCTCCCCGTCCACACCAGCGTCTTGTGCACTTCGTCTCCGTACCGCACAAACGCCTCTTCCCGGCACCGCTTCGGCATGACATACTTGATATCCTCCGTCGCGATCTTCCGGATCCATTTCACAAAGTAGTCGCCGGTCCAGTTGAGCGATTCCACCAGCGACCCATGGCCGCCGAGGTTGTTCGGCCCCGTCATGATGAAGTAGTTGGGGAAGCCGGCCGTCGCCACGGACAGGTACGATTCGGGCGTTTCGGCCCATTTGTCGGCGAGACTCACGCCGTTTTGGCCGATGATGGGATATCGCGGGCAATGCGAGACATCGAAACCCGTAGCACAGATGACTATCGCGTCAGTAGTGCATTCCTGACTCAGGGTTGGGTGTATACATACCGACATCGCATTCGAATACCTGTCCATCAGCCGTGTGCACGGCGTTTTCGGTGATCTCCGTAATGGGACTATTGGTCAGCTTGCAGTTCGGCTGCGCGAACGCCTCGAGATAGCCCGGTCCCGGGGTGATGCGACGACACCCGACCTCGAATTTAGGGATCAGCTTTGCGCAGAGCTCAGGGTCGTGGTTGAGCTTCTCGGCCATTTGCTTCGCGCCGAAGCGCATGGCGGCCTCGTTGTTTTCGCCTTTCAAGAACTAAGCAATAGTCAGCCAGCTGTTCCTTCCGGCACATCGGGGAGCGCGTGCCAGGCGAAAGTTCCGGTTTGTCCGGTTGATGATGCCCTTGCGGTACTGGCGGTGCTCTTCGGGGTCGCGGAACCGCGCCTTTTGCTCCTCCGTGTACGCCGGGTTGGGGTCGTCGTCGTCGTTGCCGTGGTGCTTGGACGGCGGCACGCGGTAGTACACCCAGGCGGGGGAGCGCATGAAATTGACGACCTGCGTGCCGGGGAGCTTGGCCATCGCGGGCGTGATCTGGATGCCCGAGGAGCCGTTGCCGATCACGGCGATGCGCTTGTGCGAGTAGTCGTAGCTGTGGTCCCAGGCGGCTGAGTGGGTGGTGTGGCCCTTGAAGGAGTCGAGGCCGGGGATGTCGGGCCACGCCGGATGTCTGTCGTACGCTTAATACGGGACCGATGTTGAGCTCGAGCTCTGTGGAAAGGGGGAAACGTACACCAGCAGTCCTTGAGCGGAGAATAGAATCTCGCAATACTCGTCTCGCTGCGTGCCCTCATGCTCCACCGTCACCTTCCAGTGCCCAGGACCCTCCTCCCAGACCGCCGAGACGACTCTGGTGTTCAGATACAAGTCGCGGTCGAGGTTCCATTTCCTGACGGTGCGCTTGATGTAGTCCTGGATCTCGGGCCCGCTGGAGTAGAAGCGCGTCCAGTCGGGGTTGGGGTCGAACGGGAATGCGTAGATGTGCGAGGGCACGTCACACTGCACGCCGGGGTAGGTGTTGATCAGCCATGTGCCGCCGACATCGCTGCGCGCTTCGAACATCTTGTGTTCCACGAAATCCTTCAGATCGGGGAAGCGATGCTGGATTTTGTGCGCGATCAGTAGGCCCGAGAACCCGGCGCCGATGGTGATTACGCGCAGCTTGCGGGGTGTGAAGGCGTATTCTGTGTTTAGGGGGATGCTGAAGGGATGCGTCGAGCTAGGTTTGGTTTGAGAGTCGTCTGTTGTTGGGACGGGCTCAGGGACTCCGTTCTTTTGGGATTGTGCCTGCGCATGGCCGTTCAGGAAGAGATGGTTCGTCTCTTCTGTTGCGGTGGGTGCTGTGATGGAGGGAGCCATGTTGCTTGGGTTTGATCCGGGATGATGATGGCACTGGATAGCGGAGGGTTTCCTTGTATGCTCTTATAGATAAGGTAGGTAAGTGGGCTTGGAGCTGGTTCTCAGCCGAATGTGTGCCATGATGTGGCTGCTTGTATGCCCGATAACCAGGCCGGTAGACCGTCGGCAAGATCAGTCTCAGCGGTTACACCTGCATCCCGGCTAATAGTGATTAAAGGCAGGTATCTCTAGGAAGGGGGAGCTATTCGGTAATGCTCGGGTTACCAGATTAGGAAATGGTTATGTGTAAGTAAATAGTAGACTGAAGTACGATACCGCTATCAACTGTAAATCCAGTGTTCCAAAGATTATGTACGACGATATAGTGCGCCTTACGTGTAGCGTGGAGCAGTCAGAATGTTTAGACTCATTTCTTCTCTAGTATGACGTACACTTAGGTTGAGATAGAAGTATATCCATAACATAAACTACTTCTCATAGATACATGTCAATCTTAGGCTAAAATCAAATCTTCATAGTTCCTATCCGCCACGTCCTGTGCCCTCTTTCGGTATCCTGGGGCAGGTCCTTGGTATCTGGCAATGATCCGTTTCTGCTTATGCGCCAGGTTCTTGTTGACACCGGTCATCCATGAATCAACCTCGTTAGCTAGTAGACCCTCTGCACACTGGTGGACATGCTCTGTCCACTTCTGCATTCCCTCCTCGGTAGCCTCGGCGTAGGTGATTCCGTTATCGCGACAGAAACGGATGAAGTTTGTAACCCATTCGACCGCGTACTCGATACTCCGAGGAATGTTCCCGAACATCTGATGCGGCCCCAGGATCATTGTCATGTTGGGAAACTCTTCAACGAAGAGTCCCAGAAACGTGCGAGGCCCTTCACTCCACTTGCTCGTCAACTTGGTCTTGTTGCGTCCCTGGAAATCTATGGCCGTAAAGGCACCGGTAACCGCATCAAACCCGGTGCCGTAGATGACCATGTCGAACTCAAATTCCGCATCGCGCGTCTTGATGCCTGTCTCCGTGATGCGCTCGATAGGGTCCTCCTTCACATCGACGAGCCGCACATTGGGCTGGTTGAATATCTCAAAGTACCCGCTCTCCAGCGGCACCCGCTTCGTCCCGAACCCGTGGCATTTGGGAATGAGTTTCTCCGCCGTGATGGGATCCTTCACGCGCTGGCGGATCTTATTCGCGATGAACTCGCTGAACAGGGCATTCGCGTGCCTGTCGTAGTGGATGTCTCCAAAGTTGCCGAGCCACTTCCCGAACCCGCGGGTCTGGTAGAGCGCCTCCCAGAAGGCCTCGCGCTCCGCAGGCGGGACGTCCAGCGTGCGTCGCAGGTCCGCGGCATGCAGGAACCCAGAGGATGTCTCGCGGCAGCGCTGGAACATCTCCGGGTATCGCTTGCGGAGCTCCTTGGTCTCCTCGGGTGTGATCTTGTCGTTGCGGAGCGGCGCGCTCCAGTTCGGCGTCCGCTGGAAGATGGTGAGGTGGCCGGCGGTTTTGGCGATCTCCTGCGTGGCCTGGATGCCTGTTGCGCCGGTGCCAATGAAGGCGACCCGTTTGTTTGCGAAACTGACGGGGTAGTGCGGCCATCGCGCGGTGTGGTAGGCTTCGCCTTTGTAATCGTGGATGCCGGGGATGTTGGGCATGGTGAAGTTGCTCAGGACGCCCATGGCGGTCACCAGGAACCGGGACGAGTACTGCGTGCCGTTGGCATCGGTCAGGAGCCAGGAGTTGGAGGACTCTTGGAAATGGGCGGACTGGACGCGGGTGTCGAACTGCATGTCTCTGCGGAGGTCGAACTTGTCACAGATGAACTCGCAGTATCGGAGGGTTTCATGCTGAGGAGCAAAATGCTCGGACCACGTCCACTCGTCCAGGAGCTCCTGCGAGAATGAAAACTGGTATGTGTAGCTCTCCGAGTCGAACCGGGCGCCGGGGTAGCGATTCCAATACCAAGTGCCGCCCACCCCGCTCGCTGCCTCCAGCACCTTGACCCGAAGGCCGAGTGTGCGCATCTGATGGAGGGCGTAGATTCCTGACAGCCCAGCCCCTATTATCAGGACCTCATAGTCCAGATCTTGGTTCAGCTTGCTGAATAGTGGTTCTTCGTTGCTGCCCATATTGTTTATGTGTGAGTGATGAAGGTGGTTGCGTCCGCATGCATGCTGTGGCTCTGGTCGTAACTACCTATATATAGACCTATTATACATGAACCCATTACTAATCCAGGTGAATACCTAGGAGTTGCTCGGTAGTAGCGGTAACAAGACGAGTAGGTATGTGAATACCTACACTGTAATCTAAACGAGTGTATAGAGCCGGAAAGATGTATATCGGCAGTAGGATAACCTTAACCGGCTCCCCGCAATCTACCCCGGATTGCCAAAGGAAGCGGGGATTCTACTGTGTCTATATGAGTGTCTACTATCCATGTGGCGTTGACTGATGTGTCTGAATGGTACCCCTCGTAGCATATCATGGAGACACAGGCTAGCCCGAGGGTATTTTAAGGGCCTCGTAGACAGTAGAACTGCAATTGATCTCCATTGTTCTTCCCCGCCGTATCATTCCAGTCCCCATCATGTCGGACCTGCAGAAGTCCATGTCAGACACCTTGTCGGATAAGCCCAACGCCTCCGAGATTGAAAAGGCCGAGGGGACTATTCCCATTGACACGGTTCACAATGACGAGGCCATGAAAGTGCTCGCCAACTACAGCGGCGATGAGTCCTGGACAGAAGAAGAAGAGACCAAGGTCAAGCACAAGATTGACCGGAAGCTGCTCCCATTGCTGTGCTTGACCTACGGGTTGCAGTATTACGACAAGGCCATGCTCTCTCAAGCTGTATGTCCAGTTGTTCTGCTTACAGGCCGTCTACGATGTCTAATCTCATTGTAGGCAATTTTTGGCCTCCGTGAGGACTTGAAGCTCATGGTTGGTAATCGTTACTCCTTCTCCGCGGCCATTTTCTACCTAGGCTTTATCGTGGGAGCGTATCCTGCCATGGTCTTGGCCCAAAGATTCCCAATTGAGCGCGTTGCTTCCATCATTGTGGCCCTGTGGGGGATATGTCTCATTCTCACCCCAGCTTGCCATAACTACCAGTCTCTGTATGCGCAGAGATTCTTCTTGGGGCTGCTGGAGAGTGGCGTTAGTCCCATGTTCATGATCATTGTGGTAAGTCTCTTCACGTACAGTTCGAATCTGGTACTAAAAGCCATAGGGTGGCTGGTATAAGAAGGATGAACAGGCCCTGCGCATGGGGTAGGTTTCATCCAATTTTTAAAATCAAGATATTAACATGGCTAGGGCTTGGTATTGCTGCACAGGCTACGTCTCCATTTTCTCCCCTCTAATCAACTACGGCCTGGGCCACATCAAAGGCGCGCTCTCGCCATGGAAGTATATGTATCTCGTCTCCGGATCCATCACTATCCTCTGGGCTATAGTGATCATTTTCTTCCTCCCCCCGGACCCCATCCGCGCCAAAGGCTTTAGCGAGCGCGAGCGCTACATCTGCGTCGCCCGTATGCGCAGCAACAACTCCGGGGTCCGCAACACCCACTACAAGAAAGGGCAGGTGTGGGAGCTGCTGCTCGACGTCAAGTTCTGGCTGATCTTCTTCACGGCCTTCTTCTGCATGATCGGCAACGGCCCCGTGTCCACCTTCACGCCCATCATCATCAACGGCCTCGGCTTCAACACGCTCACCTCTCTGCTGCTGGTCATGCCGGCTGGTTTTTATGCGGGGACGCAGCAGCTCCTCGTTCCATGGGCTGCATACAAGTGGGCTAGATATGGTATCCGCTCGTGGCTCGTGGCGGGCTGTCAGCTTGTCACGACTCTTGCCTCGCTGCTGCTGCTCCTGCTGCCCATGTCGGCGAAGGGGGGGATGCTGTTCGCTTGCTATATCCTGCCGTCTCTGGGAGGGGCGTATGCGGTGCTCATGGGCTTGCAGATTGCGAATATTGCGGGATACACTAAGCGGACGGTTGCTTCGTCAGGGATCTACATTGGGTATTGTCTGGGTGAGTGCAATGGAATAGTCGTGTTAATATCGTTCCTCCGCACTAACAGAAGCAGGAAACTTTGTTGGGCCGCTCGTCTTTGAAGAGAAAGATGCGCCACGCTATGTTCCGGGATTCATTGTGTGTGTGGTCACATCCGTGCTCGCCGCGGTGCTCGTCATCGTCTACCGCTATGTCTGTCTCTGGGATAATCGGAAACGAGATGAGAGTGGGATTGCAGAGGGCTTTGGGAATGCTTACCAGGATGATTTGACTGATAAGACGGTGAGTTGGTGCCAGCGCAAGATACAAGCATGGTCTAATTCTTTAGAACCCCGAGTTTAGGTATATCGTGTGAATTGATAAGTGGTGAGGACAGTGCATGGTGGATTGTTCATAGTCTAGATTAAACATGGCTAGTTTTAAAACGTCTACATACTGCAATATTGTGTTCTTCCAAGTGCATGATGCATGCGTACATTGCATGCATGCATACATCTCGCTTATTCCACCTTGACCACGAACTCGTTCGCTACCGGATTGCTGAGCGTCCACTTGATTCCCTCGCAGATAACGGAATCCCATCTCTTGGACTCCGATAGTTTGTTCCCATAGCGTCTGAAGCCATGAGGGAGTCCGCTAAAGACATTGACATCGGTTGGAACACTAAACGAGCACAAAGTCAGCTCTCTCCCCCAAGCACTGGAACACACCTACCCATTCTCGCTGAGCAGCTGCGCATACAACAGCCCCTCATCACGTAGTATATCGCGTCCCGCGATTCCAAACGTCGCAGGCGGCAACCCCTTCACCTCGTCGGCAGTCGCATTCCCAGGACTAAGACGTAGATCCCGCTCCAGCTCCTCACCACCCGTCACTTTCAACAAATCCATGAACAACTTAGCCCTAGTCACCGGCAAGATCGGCGCTGTCTCATTCTGCACGTAGCTGGAGACGCTGGGATCGCGCAGCCTCGCAAGAACCTGCCTATTAGTATGCCCCGAGAACAGCACACACGGGATCATCAGGATCTGGCCGCGTACGCGCGGCCGCCTTGCCAGCGACTCGTCCTTGCCCCGGTGCTGCGCCAGCACCAGCGACGCAGTCAGCCAGCCGCCGGCGGAGATCCCGCCGACGACAACGCTATCGCCGTCGCCGCCGATCTGGGCCAGGTGCTCGTGCACCCAGTGAAAGGCGTCTTCGGCGTCGTTCCAGGCCGTCGGGTAGCCGTGCTCCGGCGTGTGGCGGTAGTTCACGTTCACCACGACCACGGGGTGTCCGGCTGCGGCGAGGGGTGCGACGACGCGGGAGCAGATGGCGTCCTCCGAGCGCAGGGTGCCCAGGAGGAAGCCGCCGCCGTGCAGGTGGATGTACACCGGTAGACGCTGGGTCTCGGGGAGCGCGGACGGGCGATACGTGGCTGCTTCTATGGACTGGCCATCGCGGGTTGGAATGGCATAGTCTCGGATTATGACTTGGGGGCTGAGGCCTGTACAGGGGATGGATTATGAGTCAGTCAACCGACGACGGACCCCCGGTCAGGCAGCTCACCTTCATCCACCATGGCCTGCGCCGCGGCCTGCTCCCGAAACTTGTTGCTCGCTGCTTTCAGCTCCTCCACGCTCAGGTCTGGAGGTGCTGGGAGAGTCGGCTCGAGGGCCACCCATTCCGCACTGGGGCCAGTGTACTCGGAGAAATCGGCCATTTCTTACTCTACAGCACGGTGGAGGGTGTTAGAAGGGAGCTCGCCGAGGGATCGGACCTCGGCGGGGGGAGGGGAGTCTCCACTTGGCGTAAAGGGGGTATATCAGCGTCTCACGAGCAAATGCGGGGATAGAGCCCGATTACTCGATGCGGATAGCCGATTAGCCTGATCGACAGGAATACAGCATCTCCTTTAGGATGTGCATACATTGTTACTCCCTCCGGGAACTTACTAGGCTTCATGAGCGCAGCCGAGGTCCCCTCGGTTAAGCGTATGGATGTCTTGAGTGTCTTGAGTATGGACATCAGTCATGTCTTTTCTATACAAGTATGGGAGTGTCAACAATCAGTCCTGACATAACCAGGCAATCCAAGGGTGACTGGATATCTCTGTGATAATGTAGCAGCTCGTAGACAGTACCTAATGGACAAACTATCTATAGAATCAGACACCCTAGTGCTTTAAGACAGAGGGACAGCTAACTCCACCTCTTTCCCCGCATTTCCCTGAAATCCCAGACTCCCATGCCAAGTCAATCCTGTAATGTAAATCGTACAATATCTGCCGTTGAACCGGTGGCTGTGAACGTCGGTATCAAAATGACGGACAACTATCGTTTCCATGCGTTCAAGACCCACCAAGTGCGACGAAGACGGGCCGTAGTTGTGTGCATCTGGTGCCATGAGAAGAAGGTAAGCCTAGCCAGACCACAGTATGTATCCATCTAACCCCTGTTCCAGATCAAGTGTGATCTCCAAGAGACCAGTGGAAAGGGATTCAGTAAATGCACCAACTGTGCCACTACCGGCATTGACTGCAGGTAAGCGACAACCATAGCCGGCATCAGATGGCTGTGCCTGACATCCGCAGTGTTCGGCCCTCGAGGAGATGCAAGCGACGGCAAACTAGGGCTCCAGATGGTAGCATTCCCGACAGCTCCCGATACAGGCCTCCAACTGGCGCAGAGGCGGATGGCAGCTCTGTCAACCCGCTTCCAGTTGCTACCTCTGGTGGTGATAATGGAGATCGTTTTCCGCTCTTCCCACTCAGTGATATCTGTGATCCGTCGCCCCATTCGATGAGTGATCGGGAGCCTTTACCACGGCCCCAGCAATCAGTCCAGCCGACGCAAGGCGATCTCCCCATTGGTGATTCAGTCTCTGGCCCCAGACCGGGAGACGCTGCAGACAGCTACCTGGGCGAGCCGGGATACGGGGTGGTCTATGGATCGGAGATTAGAAACGATGCAGATGGTCAACGGAGACACAGTAATGTCCTTCCTGAGAGCGTCGATCTTCCCCCGCCTGAGCTGCAGCAGGGCTTCAAAGAGACATTCTTCGAGTATTGCTATACGTGGTGCCCAGTGCTCGACCGCGATACGATCCAGTCTGACCTGGAAAAGTCACCTCTCGTGGTCAACGCCCTCTCGTTGGCGACCAGTCACATCTGTCCGCCGGTGATCAAGCATGCAGAGCCTGCGACGTACTACGACAAAGTCAAGCAGCTCTTCTACGGGGACAAAGAACCGAACCTCTTGATGTGTCTCAAATCAATTGCGTTGGTGTATTGGTGGAGCCCACGGCCCCCTTCACGGGTGCACAGGGACTCGTCATGGTGGTGGACGACCGTCGCTATTCGGCATGCACAGCACGGCGGTTTTCACCGTGAGCCTAAGCAGGGACAGTTGGTCCAATCAATGATCAATCCTGGACTGCGACGCAGGCTCTGGTGGACTTTTTTTGTGCGTCTCATTCTCTACATCTGATCTTTATCCGCATTGTTAACTTGTCCAGGCTCGCGAGCGATTGACTGCCATATGCCAATGTCGTCCCTGCGTGATCGATACAGAGGACTGCAACATTCCGTTTCCCACTTTAGATGACTTTCCAGAAAAAACCCTCCAAGCGGAAGTGTTCATCCGCTGGGTGAAGCTGTGCGACACCATCGGAAACATCGCCAAACACCTGCAGCGCACAAGTAATAACATGATATCGCACTTCCCAGTCGATCTGGCCAAGGAACTCATGAACTGGGCGCAGTCCCAGCCGGAACATCTCTCTCTACCCATTGCGTCCGATCGGACGGTCACCTTCAATCGCGACATCCATCAGCTGCATCTCCCGTATCTCGCCGTGGTGATCGTCCTGCATCTGAGCCAGACGCCGCTGCCGCTGCCTCGGGCGTACCCGGCTGCGATACTCGCGGCCTCGTGCATTGCTCGCATCCTGAAGGATTGCCTGATGCGAGGCCGGGTGCGGTATCTCATGGGCATTTCCTGCTGGTACTGCGGAATGGCCATGCTCGCGTTGCTGCATGCCCGCCAGATCAAGCACCTCTCCCGGTATGCTGACGAAGACATACAGATCGTGCTTCTCGCGCTAAATGAGCTGAAGCTGATGTGGCCGACGGCGAATATTTTCCTGCAGGGGTTTGACCGTCTCAACAAGAACCCGTCTTCTGATGTAGGGCAGGAAGAGGATCTGTTTGACTTGGAGGATATCAGTACGCTGCATGGGATTGACTGGGCCAATTACTTCCCCTTCGCTTCGCCCCAGACAAGTGGGCTGGCGAACATCCTGCTGGGGAACAGACAGATGGAGCTGCCGATTGATCAGACGGGGCTGGAGTTGACGGCGTTTGATTTGACCAATCTGTTTGATCACTTTGATAGTTTCTGTAGTTCTTTTCAACCGGTGGTGTGATATAGCATTTTGTCAATCCCGAGCTTCTACCAGTTCTAAAGTAGTACACATACTTCTACTAACATACAACCCCTAAGCCCAACTAATTGACTATCTAATAATCCCAGGGCACCTGTAAAAACCCATGTCCCGACCCACAATCCCCCTGTATAAACTCAACAGAAACAGCCCGACACAAGTCTTGCAGCAGCATCTTCACCTCGGGCTGCAGTACCACGACGCGGCCCGCTTTCCACAGCTCCAGCTCCAGACCGCAGGAGACTCTGAGAATCCTCAAATTCGGGACATATGTAGCCTTCTGGGAAAGGAGGTCCCTGACTTCAGAAACGAGCACTGGGATGTCCACCTCGCGGCATTCGCAGATGTGTAGTGTTTGCAGGGACACAGGTAAAACGTCTCTCAAATGAAGTGTCCTCTCCACTGATCGCGCCTCTTCTACCTGGATGAGAGAAGGAAAGCGTATATGCAAGTCCTCCAGCACACAGAACTCCTTGAAAGAACTGGCTTCTTGGTCTGGGTAGAACTCCTCGTCGACGTAATATGTCGAATTGGCGCAATAGTCAAGCCGCAGCTGTCTCAGACACCCTTTGAAGCCCGCTATAGACTCCTGGATCATGGATGTGTGCATCCCATCCATGAACGTACGGTCGCCGAACCGGACCTCGAACGACTCTAGACGCCTGCAGAACATGGTCCACCAGCTTATTCCTTCGTTCGAAACGCCACAGTCTACTTCAAGCTGTGTCACCGACGAGGAGTGGGGCGTAAGCCCGAGTCCGTCCGTCCAGCGTTGCATACTCGCATCCGAGGGGTCTCGCACGGAGGATCCCGCGACCTTGCGCATAGACGGGAGTTTGAAAAACGGCACGGCGCAGGCGGCATCTTTCTCGCTCTCGAACGCGTCGTCGGACGTTTGAGTGATCAGCGACACAGAATGGAGTTTCGAGAGCGCTGGTGTGTTGTCCACCTGGATCTTCGCATTCACCAGCTGGATCAACGTCTTCCGGAAGAAGGTCGGATCTTGCTGGGGTACCGACAGGATGATGGTCTGCAGATTGGGCAATGCGGGAAGCAACAGCGCAACCCACGCGTCGAGGTTCGCCCGTTTCAGATGGCCCATCCATTTGGTTTGCTCCTCGGGGTGCGGGCAGACCTTTTTCAGGACGGTGCGCATCAATGCTTCGTCGACGGTGGGTCGCTGCCGCCTGGGTTCGTCATCGGAGTGGGGGTCATCATTGTCACGGAGCTGGTCCTCAGTGCACCACTTTGTTAATCGTAGGTGTTTTGCGTGCCGGGCCACGTGTGGCTTCCTGTAGAGGGCTTGCACCAAGGCGGCCATCAAGCGAGAGCATTCACCATGGCACCACCCGCATTCGCCAGCTCCGCATGGTTCGAACTCGATGTTGGAGTAGAGGATTGGAGAGAAGAGGTCATAGAAACGGTGGTTGCATTGGCTTAGCCTGGACAGGTGGGTGGAGGGAGTGTGGAGATGGTCCGCTATCATGAGCAGGACCTCGTTCGATAAGTACACCATTCGGAGAGAACAATGTATGAGTGAGGATTTCGTGGATGGTATCAGCCAGCATCATGGAGACCAGTCGTCGATAAACTGAGACGAGCACTTAAGTGGCCTAGGCCGAATTAGGAAAGCGAATACTAGGCTGACGATGCTGCCTTTGCTTAGTTCCATCTTGAATGCGAAATGGGTCAAGGATATTTTTGCAGTCATTGAAATTGTCGTTGAAGGTACATGTCGACTGTATAGTTTTGTTTTAGGCTTATTGTAAGCCATGCATATTTGGAGTAGCGGTGATGACGTTGCCAGTTGGTCGGCTATTCGGTTGTCGGCTTCATTAATTACCAGAGATATAGTCGGAGTTGAGACTGTCCAGGTTGTTTCTATGACTACCGAGTATAGTTGCCTCTGGTATATCCAGAGTCTATATAAACAAAGTATATCTAAAATAACTTCATCCTCCTCACTCGCTAATAGACAAAGCGAAATCTCAATCTCGACAAAATGACAGTCAACCCAATCGTGACCATCCCTCCTGGGCAGACGACCATCTCCGTGAAGCTCATCAATCCAGTCAACGCCGGACCAGCCATCCTCAACCGATTCATGGTCCCCCCTGTCCCAGGTCTCGACACATTCAAGAGCTTCCCGTCCTTTTCATTCCTGCTTGAGCATAGCTCTGGTCGCAAGTTAGTCTGGGACCTTGGAATTCGAAAAGACTATATGAATTACTCGCCCAAGATCGCGAGCTACATCCCAACCACCAAGTACACCCTCGACGTTGAGAAGAACGTTGCTGATATCCTGGAGGAGAATGGAATCAAAGGCGACGAGATCGAGGCTGTCATCTGGAGGTGAGCCTGTCGCCTTCCACAGCCATCCATCAACTTATCACTCTCCAGTCACTGGCACTGGGACCATATCGGCGACCCATCGACATTCCCACCAACTACCGACCTCATCGTAGGCCCAGGGTTCAAAGACGCCCTACTACCAGGAGCGCCTGCAAACCCAGACTCTCCCATTCTCGAGAGTGACTATGCGTGCGTGCATGCAGCCAGTACACATACACAGAAACCCACTAACTGCAGACACTAGCGGCCGTAATCTTCGCGAAATCGACTTCGACGGCCCCAATGCAACCAAGATCGGACGCTTTCGCGCATTTGACTACTTCGGCGACGGGTCGTTCTTCCTCCTCGACAGCCCGGGCCATGCAATCGGCCACCTCTGCGGCCTTGTCCGGACCACCACAAGTCCCGATACGTTCATTCTCCTTGGCGGCGATGTCTGTCACTACGCGGGGGTATTTCGACCGTCCAAGTATCTTCCCATGCCTTCTGAAATTAGTCCTCATCCTATACGGCCGTCTAGTTCGGTCCCGTTCTGTCCGGGCAGTGCCTGGGAGGAGCTCCAGCGCTCCCGGGACAGACGGCCGGATCAGTCTCTTTATGATACGACCTTTGCTCACGATATCCCGCTGGCTATACATACAGTGGGGAAGTTGCAGGAGATTGACGCTGACCCGAATGTGTTTGTTATCATTGCGCATGATGCGCAGGTGAGAGATGGGGTTCCTCATTTTCCGGCGAGTCTGAATGACTGGAAGGAGGCGGGCTGGGGGGATGCTCTCAAATGGGCGTTTTTGAGGGACTTGGAGATATTCTGGAGGTCTAAGGATTGTATTTAGTACCAGTGAGCTCTTAGTATTATATCACGATTGTCAATGTCCTGACGAAGCATGATCAAGTGGTACGGACCATCCAAATCATAGTCCATTCATACACTATATATACTTCGACTAATTTCTCAGAGCTCCTTCAGCAGTCCGCCCCTTGCTCCATCCTGGCACCCATCGGTCCTCGATAATCCTCAACTGCAATTCCTGCGTCCGTTTTAGATAGCCCTCCTCTACATGGTCATCTAGACCAGCATCCATAAAGCCTTCCTTGGCAACCGACTTGGGCGTTATCATCAACGAATGTCCTGTGGGGTCAGAATACCGCCTACTGAAGAACGAACTTCATGCACTCACCGTTGATGGACTGATCGGTCGCAAGCTTCATCATGCACATTGCAACGTCCTCCTGCGGAGCAAATTCCACCCCCTTACTGGTGAGCTGGGCTTCGTACTCGGGAGACCGAATAGCACTCTTGATGTAGCTGCGTCTGTCAGTACTACCTCTATACCTAGATCCAAAGGAAATGCAACCCACCATGGCGCCACATAGTTGATGCGTATACCTTGCTCCCACGAGCTGCGTCGAGCGGTCCTCATCAGCCCACGCAGGCCGTACTTGCTGCATGTGTACTGCCAGTTGGCCTAACAAACCCATTAATAAAGGCCCAAGTATAACAGTAAAGCTTCTGTCCGTACCGGCGAATCGATCCAAGTAACCATACTCCCCGTGATAATGAAGCACCGATCCCGCTCCGGGACATCAGGCTGCTTCCGGAAATAATGCACCGCCAGCTTCCACGTATACAAGCTCCCAGTCATATTCACATCGATGATCCTGAGGTCAGGCTTCACCGGCGGCCCGCTAGGGTCTGCTGCAGTCAGATACAACCACAACAGCACACATCGCTCGAGTCCACGAAAACATACCATCCAACGGCCACAGGTCATCGCCACTCGCCCGGCTGATGCCCGCGTTCGCAATGACAATGTCGCAGCTCTTGCCGGGCGAGTTCGCAATCGCGGCTTCGAACACGCGCACCTGCTCGTCCCAGCTGGTGATGTTGCACTTTACGAACTGCGCGTTCCTACATGCCGTCAGCGGTGGGCGTTTCTCTTGCTAGCTGCGCGGGCGGGCGTCATGTTACGCACGGACTGAGCTCCTTGGCGACTTCCTGCCCGCGCTCTTCATTGACGTCGGCGATGGTTACATATGCCCTGGGGCTGTTAGTGGTGCTTGTTGACGGTGGCGGAGAACATACCCGGCCTCGGCGAAGGCCCGTACGGTGGCTTCGCCCATGCCATTTGCGCCTGCGTCGTCAGTGCCGTGCCTTTTGTGGGGAATAAGTGGACATACCTCCGGTGACAATGACGCTCTTGCCGACTAGCTTGGTTTTGTCTGGCGGGATGGTGCAGTCGAGGGGGCCGGTATAGGAGTATGGGGGGAGCGGTGGCATGTTGGTTTCTTCTGTCTCGAAAGGATATGGCATTATCTGGGCATGAAAGTCGTGAACGAGTACACGTATTTATTATCCAGTGACAGTTCCATGCATACCCCTCATAGTGCATATGCCGGGAGTAGGCTGATCGGCGGCTTTCCCAATATGGTTTGCCGGTGCTACCAGATGCCGAATGTATACAACATCATTGCCGCATTGTCCTATGGAGGAGTATGTGTTTGGGGTATAGGATTACCGAAGCATCACTCCCATGGCTGATGCTTGTGCATTCGTATGGCTAAGCATATGGCCTACTGGCATGTCAAAGCAACCCTGTCTTTGATCTTGCCATCACAGAGATCTTTCAGGACCTGGGAAAACTCCAAAAGTCCCTTGGTTTCAACCTGCGGCTGTATCACGCCCTTGGCAATCAGATCCAGCACCTCCACCAGATCATCATATTGACCGCCGTAGGAGAAGATAATGCTGAGCCGTTTCCTGATCCCGATCTTCATGTCCAACTCGTTCTTTCGGTCCAGCGTTCCCACGCAGAGAATTTTACCGCCGCGGCGTACTACACAGCGCACGTTAGAATGCACTTAATTAGAGGCAAGAGAACCATACCGATTTGCTGGGCGTCACGGAACGTCTGATTCGTGCCGGCAAAGTCCAGCACCGTATCAATCTTCCCCTCCAGGCCGTGCTGAGACACAAATTCGGGGATGGAAATCTCCCTCGGAACAATGTCCATCTGCGGAACCCCCTTTTCCGCCGCAGCATCCAGTTTCTCCTGTCTGAGATCCGACACGATGACTCTCGCGCCGATGGACTGAACGACCTGCAGCGCATTGAACCCCAAGCCCCCAAGCCCGAAAAGAAAGACGGTCTCGGATTTCTTGACCTCCGCGCGACGGGTGATGCCGTGGTAGGCGGTGTTCACGGCATCGGTCGCCACGGCGGCGGCCGCGGAGGACACCGCTGCGATAGTCGTCAGCTTTGCGACGCATGCACGCGTCAGGGTCGACCTCACCGTCTGGGACGGGGACTGCGGCCCGCGCATCGATAGCCACGTAGTCGGCGTAGAAGCCGTCTTGTCCGATGCCGTGGTGCTGGCCGTTCGGACAGAGTTGAGACAGGTCGCGCGAGCAGTCGGGGCAGTGGGCTTCTCCGCATCCCGGGACTGCGAGGAGGGCAATCCGGTCGCCCTGGGGATTATTAGCGGGTTGAGGAGGGGGATTGCGGCTGACAGACCAGGTGGAATCTTGGGTCATTGACTCGGTCGCCTATCTTGACAATCTCGCCGCATCCTTCGTGGCCCTAGATGTGCGGTCAGACAGGATTTGATTGTGTAGGATGGGTAAGGCTCACGAGGGTGTACTTTTCGTCAAAGTGAGGTCGATCCTCGACGTCCAGGAGAGCTTGATCACTGTGGCAGACTGGCCGGTTGGAGGTTGGAGATCAATTGATGTGTCCTGGATGGATGGGAGGTGGCTTACCACCTGAGGCCAGTAACTTGACTAGGAAACCGGATGGCGGTGCATCGGGGACAGGGACTTGTTCCAAGACCTGGGAGGGAGTCTGAGCTTCACTAGAGTGTTGGGGTTCGGGGTCGATGGTCTTACCGGCGTGGGATTGCCCTTGTGCTTCCGCCAGGCGGTCATGGTCGAGGGAAGAGTCACCGTCATGCTGTCAGACTTCTATAAGGTATTTACCGGATGATGATGGGATTTTCCGAATTAAAGGACTGAGAGTTGTATACATTTATCCTCGGAACAATGCAAGCACCTGTAGATACTTCGGCATTATCCCCGCCTCAGGGACTACCGGTTGCCGCTGGTTATCCCAATTCGGCGGGGAAGGCCACTGCGTGAGCTGCGTGAGGACAGTTGATCGGCGACTGTCTGTACTGGTCTAAGCATGGCGGTGAGTACGGCGTATGTGAAACAGTAGAAGGGGCCATGATGGATAGATTATGTCTGTCATTGGTGGCTGACCAGACAACAATGCACCGCCACAGCCACCGAGACAGCCTTGCAGCCTCAGGCATGACAAAGAGGTACGTACGTACCTGTACCGTCTGTCTGGCCTCCGACCGACTCTGGGTTTCTCCCGCTTCCGATGGGGCGCCCCACACGACACGTCGGTTCAGGAGTTTCATCTTTCTGCTTGTTGTGGTGCTGGTGCTGGTGGTTGTTATGAGATGTCGTTCTTCTATAATTCTGATTGTTATAAGCGTAGGTTCATGCGCGGTTTATGTTGATCATAAATAATAATATATAGAACAGAGAACACTAGTCTCCTTAATTAAACTGTCAACATGTACTACAGTAGTTACTATTAATACATGCTAATATCCACGCTGCTAATAATAATCATCATCCTGGATCACAATATTGTGCCCGTCCTATTATTACGCGGTGCAGGAACATGTCCAGCTTCTAGAATTCCATCATCTTATTCTGATTAATCCCCCAGCCCACCCCATCCACGAAGGGTCCTACCCAGTTACATTCCTCCGACTTTTTCTCCTCTTCCTCTTCTTTTCCCTTTTCCATTCACTCTTTCGTATCCCTCTTTCAATTCCTCCTCCATCCTCCTCCGTCTCTCGTTAGCCTACTCAGCCTTACTCCGTACACCAAGACAGATCTTCATCGATCGGAACTGTCCATCCCCGCCCAGCAACCCGTTTCCCGTTTCATTTGTGGCTTGGCGACTCATCCGCCTCTTTTTCCCTCAACAGCCTCACTCCCGTGCTGCGTCTTTTTTCTCTCTTCCTGTCGCTCTGCTCGACCTCTCTCGTTTCTCTTCTCTTTCTGTCCACCCGAGCGTCTCTCTCGCTACATCTTCACGTCCTACACTCCTTCCTGGAGTGCACCGAGAGTGATCATTCGTTTCTCCCCCTCTCTCTTCCTCTCGATCCGACCCCTGAAACGGCAACGGCCAACGGCCCCGTGACAAAACGCCCTTGACAGCCGCTCCGCACCGATCGCCAACTCTGCCTCTCCTCGTCTTCCTCCTCCTTCCCCCGACGCTCGTTCCCCTCCCGCCTGCTCGTCCCCCGTCAAGACCCTGGGCCTCCGCCGTCCTTCGGTGGTGAAACCGACATATTGCATCCCCAGGCTGACCCTTCGGCGGACTCGAGCTCCGTGACGGAGCATTTCGTCAAGATTTATTCCACCACGTCACGGGCCTCCCTCCTCGGGGGATCCTTCGATCCTTCGTTTCGACGGCCGACTGGCGGCTTTCGAGCCCGAGAAGGATACACGAATGTGCCCCCCAACCCACCCCGCCGTAAAATGTACAAACCAAACTCCCTATGGACGTGGTCCTTTGCCATCGTCAGCTTCGTCCAGACCATCATCACCCTGGCTCTAGAATGGTACCTCTCCTCCCCCGGCCAAACTACCCGGTCGCTGACGCCCCCGCAGTTATATATTTGCCAACTTCCAGCTCCAAATCTATCCCAAGGCCAACGCCGTCACCTCCTCCAAAACCGTCCCCACCTTCCTGGCCCTCTACAGTTTCGGTTTCATCTACGAGCTGGTGCTCGTCTACGATGCCCTCCGACTGAAAAACACCATCCAGGTCATCGGAATCTGTCTGTGCAATCTCGGTCTTCTGATCTATGGAGCCGTGCAGGTCCAGCAGATCAAGGATGCCGTCGCCAACTTGACCGTCAACAGTGCCATCAATCCCGACGTGTGGGGGGAGACTGAGCCCTTCCTGATCATCATTCCCATCGTGGTCGCCATGGGCACCTTGCTGATGATGATCGTGGCCTGGAAGCTGTACGATGAGTTTGCCTGGTCCATCTACAAGCACATCAGCGCCGATCTGCGAATGAAGCGCCGATACCTCACATATCAGGTGGGCACCGCCGGTCCCGGATGTCGTCTCGTGCCATGCTAACGGAGCGTCAGATCTACATTGCACTGTTGAAGTTTGACTTTTTCTTCTTCCTGGGATTCACCGTCCAATTCGTCGTGATCGTCACCAATCGTCAGGATGCCGAGTTCCCCCTGACCCTAGCCGCGATTCCGGTGACGATTATCATCCTGGTGTGTGCGGGTTTCTTCGTGCGTCGCGAAAGCTCCATCGGCATGATTGCCATCATCGTACGTCTCCATCCCTTCTTCTTTTGAAGCCGCCACGCTAACCCGTTCAGCTTCTCTACTTCGCGGCCATGGCCTACTTCATCTTCAAACTGGTCCGCATCTACGATCCGCGGACGTATGCCGAATATCTGCCGGCGCAAAAGTCACTCACGTTTTTCGCCGTCATCACGCTGGTCCTCATTGTGATGACCATTATCAATGCGTGCATGTGTATGCACAACTTCCACAAGGGACTGAAACCGCACGTCAACAAGAAGAAGGCGGACAAGGAGGCCGAAAAGACGACGGAGCTGTCGTCCAACATCGCCGGCCAGGTGCCGTCGCGCATGATGATTGATTGAGCGGGGTTCCCAACGACAGATGCCCCAACATAACAATAACATACTTGCGGGGAATTAGACTTGGAGTGTTTTTGGAGTTTCCTATGATACCTTTGTGCGGATTGATTCTTTGACGACTTCCCCTTCTCGGTCCTCGATCCGGGTCTGTTCTATACCACCTTCGCCTTTGATTGAGACGGCTCTCCTGTGGCTATGTGGATTTGACGAATGTGCATTTCTTGTCATGTACTGTATCTATTTAATCGGAAATGACGACCCTATGTATTGATTCATACCTAACTTAGACCCGGCCTCTCTCAAAGATAGGTACCTACCTAGTACCTATGTAATAGGTACCATGATGATGGTCTACCTAAGTAGGTAAGGTACCTCCTCCGTAGATGGAGAGAGCCCCACCAATCAGACACGGCAAATCTCTCGCTTACACTAGCGCGACTTTCTGGTCTTGGCACAGATATAAAATCTCCCGTCGCCCGCCACCCTTTGAGAATCTTTTTCTTCTTTCTTTTCCCATCCTAGTGCAAGGGTTTTACACGTGTCAGTGAGGAGACATCCGAGACCGTGTTTTTGCTAGTTGAAAACTACCTAGTTTGACCGCTCCAGATGGCCTTCGGGTCGTCTGGGAATTTTTGAAAAACACACTGCCCTGACTCCTCGTTTGTGGAGTTGGATTGCCTCGTCGGGTTTCCCATGAGGTTGGAGAGTCTTCTTCTTTTCACTGCTGTTGTTTCCTATATGGAGGCCTGTAGAGAAGAGAACACCATTGGTGCCTAGTAACTAGATTAGACTACTGTAATTGCATAGACTGTCCTGTAGGCTGCTACCACTTTGTACCTGGTACTGTCCTTGCCCTGTTGGCACGTGAACCCTGTGACGTCGATGATCTCCGTCCTTCTCATGCGAACTTCTCGTTCTCTCCCTTCAGTCTTCTTTTCTCTTCACTGTCCGCTCCAGTGTTACTAACAACTGGAAACTATCCATCGCGTCCTCTCTGACTGAGCCTTACGTGGTCTCCCAGTCTCACCGTGGATATGTCCTGCATCATCGGTGACTCCGCAAGACTACCGCTTCTCCACGTCCACGTCCACGTCGACCGGTTTTGACCGCCCCCAGATTACAAGTGCAGGCTTGGACTTTTCAGACTGAATCTAGGACATGCCTATCCCCTTCGTCTCTCCGTGGTAGGAATCACCTTCCATGCCGCCATCCTCCATCCCCAGCAGCGCACAGGCGGCGCCTCTCTCCACCTCCGCCTCCCGCGAACACCCCCCGTCACAGGAGAAGGCCTCTGTCGGAAGCAGAGAACCCCTTCCGAACCCACCCCAACCCTCCTCACATGGCCATCAGAAGCTGGTCTTCACCGATCCAGTCGCCCTCCGCTACCTCGAAGAAGACCCGTCGACGCTCGTCCTCCACCGTCGCCTCGCCCTACATGGCTACGACATCTACATTGTGGAACAATGGGCTTGCTCCCGTATCCACCCCACTTTCATCATCACCACTTACACCGGCGACCCGTCGCACAAGGTCATGGCGGGCGTCCTCAGCGTTCCGACGGATGAGTCCACGTGGTCGCCGCGACTGAAGCTATACTTCAGCGCCGTCACCCAGTGCCAGGCCCGCAAGCATGACACCCCTCTCGGCACGCTGATGGTCACCGACCTCAATCAGTTCCCATCCGCGCTGACAGTCATCCCCGTCCCGGACGGTGACATCCACAAACACAAGGATGACTTCGTGGTGAACGAAAACCTCAAGCGGCTGAACTGCGCCGGTCGCGCCGGGCTCAAACTCCAACCGCCCACCGCCGCCACTGAGGCCAAATTTCACCAGCTCTACCGCACCAGTGAGCGCGTTCCCCTCTACAGTGCCGTGCCCGAGCTCGTCAAGCAGTGCCAGATCGCCCTAATGATGTTCGGTGTCCTCGCCCCGGAATACGTCGACGGACTCCTCTGCGACGTCACCGAGGCCGCCATCGGCGATTGGTGGACAGACATCGGCATGGATCTGTACAACATCGAGCCGAGCGACGGCATTCTGGGCCCAACAACGGTGGCCGCCCTCCTGGGCACGCTGATGGGCGCCCGCAATCGCCTGCACGCCTTTGGAGCCCCCGTCGCCAAGGACCCCTTCGACATCGCCTCTCTCAAACGCGGCATCGCCAGCTTCCAGAAGAGCCAGAAGCTCCCCCGCACCCGCCGTCTCGATCGCGCCACCCTCGACCGTCTGCACCGCGTCACCGCCAAAGCCGCCACTGCTGACGGCTGGACCGACGCCGTCAAGTCCACCGTGGCCGAGCTGAGCGGCCACGGCGGTGAGATGGTCATGGGCATGGTGCGCGGCCGTGAAAAGGCCGGGATCGCTGACGTCGAGACTTTGGATATCGATATCTTGGCTTCTTTGGTTGCCGGTGAGCGCGCTAAATGGCTTTGGCGGGGAAAGCCGCGCAAGAGTGTCGCAGCGACGGCTACCCCCAGTGCTGCGGATGGCTACGCCGGTGGTCCTCCCACCGCGGATATGATGTTCACCACGGACGACCAGGGCGGGTATGTCTGGACCAGTCGCAAGCGTCGTTCGACAGAGGATTTCGCCGCAGCGGAGCCGCGCCCATCGCATGGCGGACAGCCGGAGACGACGCCTACCGGTGGCGACGACAAAGATCAGAACCTGGGCAGGATGGTGCGCCGCGGCGTCAGCGGCAAGGTCTCGGACGCGCGGATTGGGTTCGGGCGATTCAAGGATGCGGTGGGGATCCCGGGACTCCGATCGCATCTCCAGCGACAAAAAGATGGACCGGAAATGGTCGACGCGGCGTACATGCCTCCCATCGACAGTGACAGCGAGATGCCGAAGAATGACGGGAACCAGACGGAGTCGGAGAGCGTGCACGAGGAGAGCCCGCTTACTGCTGATGCTGGTCCTACCGAAGACACGCAGGCCGACTCGTCCTCCGACCCCAAATCAAATCCACCACCCGCCATTACGGTTGAGCCAGCGGCAGAATCCACAGACGAACCCGCTGAGTCATCGCATAAACCGTCCCTTCCGCGGTCCGACGAGGAGTCCCAGGACCTGGAGCGCTTCAAGACGCACTCGAGCGATACGTCGGCGGCCGACCGCGAACAGGCCTCGGTGCTGGGCATGATGTCTTTGCGGCGGCCGCAGAGCTGCGTGGAGCTGGCTCCGGGCGACCCGATGGAGCAAATGAACAGCTATTGGCCCCGCCATCTCTCCTTCAGCACGGTCGAAGAGGTAGTCCTGGGATGGGAGGATCTCCGGGACACGGGCGAGGAAGACGACAGAGCACCGCTTGAGGACGCCGGGGCGCTGGGTGATGCCATCATCCGGGAGGATTTACTGGCGACAGACGCGCGGATCTTCAGCGCGCAGATCCAAGAGCTGAGCGAGCGGACAGTGCCGTGGGTGGAGCGACAGGTGGATTCGGTGGACGACTTAAACCGTGTTCTCTACGAATCCCACGAGAAAGTGAATTCCGCGTATCTAGAGCGGCTGAACCAGTATCAGGAAATCCGCGACCAGTCGAGCGACCTGTTGACGGAGGAGCATTCCTCGCTGACGGACCACATGCGACGGGTGGAGCTGATTGGCGCAAAACTGGACTACGAGCTGCATGTGCTGGGGTCGAAGGTCGAAGACGTCGAGACAGGTCTGGGCGAATTCGAACGACATGTCGACGACATCGAAGCGCGGATCAAGACGCTGATCCGCGGCGATGAGGCGAAGCAGAATGACTCCTGGCTGGGCTGGTTGGGGCGCTGGGCGGGATTCTCTACGCCGTAATGGAGATTTCGAGTCAAGGAGCTCTGTATATATCCGAATCTAGTGTACATAATGAATAGATGACCCTAATGCCCGTCTCAACCCGAAAGAAGAATTCATTGATGCATGATCTTTCCCATCCTAAACAAACACGAAGCAAAAGGTACCAGTTTACATGCCGAGGCCCATGCCGCCCTGCTTCTGAGCAGCCTCACCCTGCATCTTCTCGCTGACCTTGATGTTGACGTCGAAGAACTTGGACACGCAGCGGTCGAGACAGACGGATTCGCCCTTGTTCAGGTCGGCTTCGCGGTAGTCGGCGGGGATGCATTTCTTGGTGCAGGATTCGGTAAGGCTGCGCCGTTAGTGTGATTCGGAGGATAAGGGCTGTCGACTCATGCGCTCACCGGTTGAACATGTCGGAGATCATCTCAACTTCTGTCTCGGCGGCAGCAATCTTCTCTGCCGAGGACATCTTGGGGGCACCGCCAAAGAGGAAAGACATGATGTGTCTGCGCATGTTAGCGTGGCCGTTTTTGTTTCTGTAGCAAGATATGAACTTACGCTTAGATTAATGAAAAAGAGGAGGAAGAGGGTATAGCAGTAGTAATGGTAGAAGTAATGGTGACGGTGGTGATGATGATGAATCTGAAGTCGGCAGCTTTGCTCACCGCCCGGAGGCTCTCACCGCCCGCCAGGGTTTTTCTTCCTCTCCTCCACCCGACCTGCATTTTCTCTTCCACACAACTCCTTTCTCTTTCGTCTCGTTCAGATGCTCGCAATTCGCCCCCGGTGGGCTTCACAGCTCAGCGTGGGGAGACTCTCCTCCAGGTAAGCCACCCAACCATTCAATTCCCCGACACTTCCCCGCCTTCGCATGACGAGACATGCCCTTTTTTTTCAGAACCGCTGCAGTTGAAGCTTGGATTCCAAGTAATGAACGCATCCGGAAGCAACATACTCTGATTGCCACCTTGTCTTTATGAATATTCTCACATAACATGGCGAGCTCAGGCTAACAGCTCTCGCAGCTCCGCTGGGTCCATTCCCTGTATAAGACACGCGTTCCCTAGACATCAGATTCCACGCTCTCTCCCTTCTGTCCTCCCTCCCCTGTCCCGCAGTAGCAGCAGCGCCGCTTCTCCGGAACGAGCCTTCAAAGACCGGCTCGAGGAGATTCACAAAGCCTGTGCGGATCCATACCCGCGTCTACCGACGGACTCCCGCACGGTGAGCTGCGCGGACTTCCGCACGCGATATAACCACCTAGCCAATAATGAAACAGTAGAAGACGACTCGGTCGTCGTGCATGGTAGGTCCCGGCCAAACACCGGCCCTACCTCGTTGCAGCCTTGTACTTAGATCCAGTAGGGAGGATACGTACCTATAGACTGGCCGGGAGCAAACTGATCTTCTTCGATCTCGTCCAAGACGGCCATAAACTCCAAGTCATGTGCAATCTCCGCCAACTGGAGGGTGTCTCGTCGCCTGAGTTCAAGCAGCTCTACCGGCTCCTTCGCCGCGGCGATGCTTTCTGTAGGTTTCCGGCGGCCGCACAGCCCCTGTATGAACCGTGACTGAATGTTGGCTTTCTCCCATAGCTGTAACCGGTAAACCGCACCGTACGGGTCGGGGAGAGCTCACCGTCGTCGCCAGTGAGCTTCCGCGACTGCTGTCGCCGTGTCTGCATGATGTCCCGCTGGACGCGACGGCGCATGAGAACTCGCCTTACCCGCGACATGTGCAGTTCCTGGCCGACCAGACCACGGCCGATATCATCCGGGCCCGGTCCGCCATCATCCAGTATCTGCGACAGTTCTTTCTCGACCGGTCGTTCATGGAAGTCAACACCCCGATTGTGGCGTCGATTGCCGGCGGCGCCATTGCGCGGCCGTTCTATACGGCGGCCACAGAGTTCCCCGAGCGCCAGCTATCGCTGCGAATTGCGCCGGAGCTGTGGCTGAAGCGGCTGGTCGTGGGAGGATTTGACCGCGTGTTTGAGATTGGGCCGTCGTTCCGAAATGAAGGTAAGGCTATCGTAGTAGAGCAGCCATGACAACGACGCAACTGACATCCGCAGGCCTCGACAAAACCCACAACCCCGAGTTCACGACCTGCGAGTTCTACCACGCCTACGCCAACCTGGAGGACCTCATGTCCATCACCGAGACGCTACTCTCCGGCATGGCGGGGCACCTCCGCCAGCTCAACCCAAACGGCACCCTCCACCCTCCCGACGTCGACTTCACCGCGCCCTTCCGACGCATCGACTTCATTCCCGGCATCGAAGCCAAGATCCACCGCAAACTCCCTGACCTCGCCGCCGCCGACGCCCTCCCCCAGATCAAACAGCTCTTCGCCGACCTCGCCCTCGAGCTCCCCGCGAACCCGAGCCTCCCGCGTCTGCTCGACGAGCTCTGCAGCACATACGTCGAACCCGACTGCATCCACCCGACCTTCATCATCAACCCGCCCGAGTGCCTCTCCCCACTGTCGAAATCCTTCACGCACCCGACGACGGGCCAGCGCGTCGCCGCGCGCGGCGAACTCTTCATCGAGGGCCGCGAGATCGTCAACACCTACGAGGAGGAGAACTCGCCGTTCGAGCAGCGGCGCAAGTTCGAAGACCAGGTGCAGTACAGCAAGGAGGCTAACGAGGCGGAGGAGATTGACGAGAGCTATCTCGAGGCGCTAGAATGGGGCTTGCCCTCGACGGGCGGCTGGGGCTGTGGCATTGATCGCTTGTGTATGTTGTTCACGGGGGCGAAGCGCATCGGCGATGTGTTGCCGTTTGGGAATCTGCGCGCTGTTACCCGGCGGAGCTGTTGATACCTACCGGGGTAGTAGTTTGTACGATAGTCTGTATGATAGTGATACCATTGTTGCTTGTTGTATACTGATCAAGATCCGTGGATAACCGTATCGGAACGGCCCGACAGGCGGGGAACCTGATATCAACTGATACTAACCTCATTCTCCTCTTTCCCTCTTCCTTCTCCTCACTATAGCACAATGGGTCTGGACGACGTCGTGCGAGTTGCACCGGTGACCGTGAGCCTGCAGGAGCTCATCGATGGTGCGTAGTATCCCACCCAACGTCTTGTGTCCACAGGACTAACAGCTCTGGCTACGACAGGCACTGTCTCCTTCGACACCCTCACCGCAGCCTTCGGCCCCTCCTCTCTAGGAATCATCGTCGTCAAAGACCTCGATCCCAAATTCCAATCTCTCCGCGCACAGGTCCTCTCCAACGCTTCATATCTCGCCGCTCTCCCGCCAGATGAACTAGGCACGTCCCTGACCCCGCGCCTCGCTCCCTACTCCAACCATCTCTAACCAAGTACATTGAAGTATCCCTCTCCGCCCCCGAAGCAAAATACCTCGTCGGCTGGTCCTGCGGCAAGGAAACCCTCCGCTCCGGCCACTTTGACACCCTCAAGGGCTCCTACTACGTCAACTGCGCCTTCTACCACGACGCAACCCTACAAGGCGCCCCCGCCGCCGACTTCCCCGATCTCGCCGAGTACACCGCCCCCAACGTCTGGCCCGCACCGCAGCGTCTGCCCACCTTCCGCGACAGCCTGCAGGAGCTCTGCACGCTGATCATCGATACGGCGGCGCTAGTCGCGCGCGCGTGTGACCGCTACGCTGTCGCGAACGTTCCCGAGTATGTGGACGGGTATCTGGAGCGCGTGGTGAGGGGGAGTTTGACGACCAAGGCGCGGTTGTTGCATTATTTTCCTGCTGCGGGCACCGCAGACGGGGATGCGAATGGGGAAGGGGAAGGGGAGGACGACGACTGGTGCGCAACACACCTCGACCACGGCTGTCTCACCGGCCTGACCTCCGCCATGTTCGTCGACGAGGCGGCGCACCCGCCCGCAGCTGCTGACCCCTCCGCGCCGCTGCCGGAGCTGCCGCACTCGCCGGACCCGCGCGCCGGCTTGTACATCCGCTCGCGCACGGGTCAGGTCGTCAAGGTGAATATTCCTCGCGACGCGCTGGCGTTCCAGACGGGCGAGGCGCTGCAGCTGATTACGCGCGGGCGGTTCCGCGCCGTGCCGCATTTTGTTAAGGGCGCAAGGACGGCGGCGTCGACGGGGCGCATTGCAAGGAATACGCTGGCGGTGTTTACGCAGCCGAATCTGGGAGAGGAGGTCGAGCCCGGGAAGTCGTTTGGGGAGTTTGCGAGGGAGGTGGTTGCGAGGACTTATTAGCTGTTCTTTCGGGTGATATTATGTGTAAAATGTGCATGGGTATCCATTATGCGGTGCTAAATCATGTAAGAAGAGAATAAGGTAAAATGGCTATCAATAAGGCCCTTGTTTGCCGTCCTGCGCCTCCGGAGTGTAGTCGCCTTCCTCGGTCTCTTCGGTTCCTCCGCGGAGCTGGTCGATACGCGCAACGTACACCTCCTCGTCGACCTCGGACGAGGAATCGTTTCCGCCCGACGCCCCCTCCTCCGAGCTCACGGGGTTGCTGGCGTCGGCGGCGCCCAGCCCCGTGCTGACGAGCTTGCTGATCTTGCCGACGCCGCTGAAGCCCGAGCGTGCCTTGGACGGCCGCCCAATCTCGCCGCGGATCTTAGCGGCGCGCACATCGGCCGGGTTGGCCGTGCCGTCGATGACGCGCAGGTTGGCCCGCCACATCTTCACGTCGCGCGTCTCGCTGTAGTGGCCGACGTCCTCGCCGTTGAGCGTATCGATCGCCAGCGTCTGCGTGCGGAAGTCGCCCCAGAACCAGTCCTTGCCCTCGGCGATCCGCGCGTCCGCCTGCCGCGAGTATGCCCGCCCCTTCAGCACGCCCGCCAGGTCCAGCCCGAGATGGCGCGACCCGAAGAGCAGCTGCATCGCCTCCGGCTCGTAGCATCGGCCCACCACCATGTCCTGCGACACCTCCACCGTCTGCCCCGACCACATGCGGTACCAGTCGCCGTACCCGCTCATCCCAATCGACTGAAATACGTCCACGACTTCGTCTGCGCCGAGTGGATCGGGCAGGCCCGCCCCCATGCCTAGGACCGACCGCGCGCGCTTGTAGTTGTTCGTGTAGATCTTCCCTGCGATGCGCACCCGGTACTGCTCTGCCAGCTGCGCGGCCTTAGGGTCGTCATTACAGTGGACCAGCTCCAGCCAGACCTCGTCGATGACCATCACGTCCATCACGGCGCAGTACGACCGCTCCTCGGGATAGTCGAATGTGGGCTTGAGCCGCACGGCGTCCCCGACGAGGAGGAGCTCGGCGCCGATGAAGATGCCGCGGCAGTGGATGGACGCGTTGGGCCATGTGCCCTTGAAGCGGTGCTTCCCGAGCAGACTGAACGACGACGACAAGGTGAGGGCATATTCGATGGACGGGTGGAGGTCGGCGCGCGCGACGCCCTGCAGGAAGTATTCGTACGCGTTGAACGGTTTGATGCATTTGAGGTACAGGTAGTGGTACTGCAGCGAGTAGCTCTTGTCCGAGGCGTTGGGGTCCGGCAGCGTCTCGACGCGGAACCCGGAGTAGTTGACGGGTGCGGCTTTAGGTGCCGTGTCGACGATATCCTGCAGGACCGTCTCCTCGACGGGGATCTGCCCGACCACGCCGGCGCGCCATTCCGGGCGTCCGAGCCATTGGTTCTGCGCGGGATTGAAGACCTCCACGCAGCTGCGTTCCGCGTTCCAGAGAAGTTCGCCGTCAAACGACAGCGTGTAGAGCACGATTTCGCCCGCCCGCGGGATGAACGCCGGCTGCAGGCCCGTCCGCTCGAGCGTCTCCTCGAGCCCCGAGCGCTCTGCACGCCAGTCCATGCTTTCCGGTTCTGTGATAGGCTCGTCTAGCGTCCCGCGTGCTTTTAGCCTGAGGGTCGCCATTTTGAAGACGTCCGGCGTGCCCTCGCTGTCGGTGATGACGCGCGCCGATGAGGTCGCGCCGGCCGGCCGTCCCGGTGGGCGTCCTGGTCGTCGACCAACGGGTCGGGCGACGTTCTGGGTGGGTGGTCGGCCGACTGGCCTTCCCATGGATGGTCTCCCTGGTGGCCGTCCGACTGGTCTTCCCGTGGACGGTCTGCCTGGTGGCCGTCCGATGCGCTTGACCGGGATGCCGTCTGGGGATGTCAGCACGTGTAGTTTAGGAAAGGTGCGCAGGGTGACGAACGTTGTTGTACTTTTGCAAGTTTGGGACAGTGGACGCAAGTGCAGGGTTCAGTGGCCCCGGTCATTAAATAGTAGAAGTGTGGGAAAAATTGCCTGGTGGAGTGGAAGTACTGGCCGATGGGGTGGCCCCAGACAAATCTATCTCGCTGCAGATGTATTAGAGGAGACTATGACTGAAGACGTGTCTGGGCTTACTATCTCGTGGTTTGTGCCACGGGGTCTGTCGATTAGGGCATATCCTTCTGGTAGGCTGTCGATCATGTAGCGTTTTCCTTGAGTGTATGATAAGTAAACAAAGCCCCCAAGGAATACATGTCCAGCAATCGTGGAAGCACAAAGAGCATGACGAGCTTAAGAGTCCCGCGTCAAGATAAAGAACATACCTGGTTCGTATGCCCCAGTCTTCTGCAGCCATAATTCGGCGAGTTTCGTGCGGTAGAAATGGTCATCTGGTCTCCCATACTTTTCGCCTCTTGGCCAGGTGCTTGGGTCTCCATCGCTGAAGGAGCGATTTATCGGGACAACGATCACGTCGTCGTCTTCCTCCGGCGACAGGGACGGTTGTGGGAGAGACATGATTCGCCCGCGAGGGCGATCCAGGGTAGGTGACCTAAGACTGGATTGAGACTATCCTGTACGAAGGGGTGTACGGATCATCATTCTGGAGAAAGCGAATGAGGAGATCTCTGCTGAGGTGGTGAGGATATGGTGGTGATTGAGAGGTGAATGAATTCGGAGCTTCTTTTGGAGCTCCGCGTGTATTTACTCTTGGCTTAGTCAGCGCCTTGCTGAGAGCCGTCGGATGACGCTCGCTTTCTCGTTCTCAGATGACTGGGTTTATTAGGGAGTGGAAGGATACTGTGTGTGGAAAATCTAGTTACTTCCATATCAATTACCTTATTGTCATGTTGGCTCAAGCGGCACTCGGGGAATATTCTGCGCAGGCAAATGGTATCTACTAGTGCCGAAGGATCAGGTATATATCTTGCGTATACACTCTCAAATACTGTCAGTCTGACCCGAAAAATACCACAGCTGGAGTATTAATGAGAGAAGATGGCACAGCTTTATGCCTTCCTATCGAACGACTCGCAAGATAGAGCTTGGTAGATAGGCAGAGGATTGTCATAATTTCCTGAGGAGGATACTTTCCATTGATATAGTCAAAAAGTGCGCAGCTCTTCAACAAGTCCGGTGTGGTGTAATGGCTAACATCGCTGTCTCTCACACAGCAGCTCGGGGTTCGATTCCCCGCACCGGAATTATCTTTTTGTTTTGCTACTGGTTTCTTTCTTTTTTGGGTCTAGTCGAGGTGATACTGTAAATAATAGCTAGTAAATTTATATCCTTCCTCACACATACATCATAAATAACTATCCTATCTACTCTGCACTTCTACGCCCCATCTATACCCTGTATAGCCACACAGAGACAACGAAGTGTCTCGTGAAGACTGAATGAACAGCCAAGTAACAATAATAGTACGTACGGCCTGTCTTGATCACATAGATCAAGTGTCGACCCTATACTATGATATCCCAGGCAGTAGATTATATATTGAATTTCTCATGCACATACCTGTTTGCCGTCGCAAGGCACATCTAGTATACACCTACATACGAACAGGAGCACCAGCGATCCTAAGAGACATGCCCAAATACAGGGATGAAACAGGTCAACTAGAAGCGCACTAAGTGTGTGTCCATGCACGATATCCCATATAGTCTCCTAGAGGCAACATAGACACACTGATTAGCCACCTAACAATAGTAGAGTTATGTGTACAATGCCTCATACACCTATCGCATCTTATGTGAGGACCTTATCAAACAGACGAAATGAGAAAGATTTTGCTCTTAGCACCGAACAACAAAAGTATTAGTTACCTAACTAAAAGAAGAACTGAAAGTGAGAGATGGGACCCAAATCCTGCTTAAACCCCTCGACTTATTCACTTCATTTCTTCCTATAATCCTTCCAGAACCCGCTAGCCCAGTCCCATGATACCCATAGCACCCAGTGCACAATGTTGAGTTACTATGCAAGACCACAGCTAGTGCAATATGCGGTGCTGTGCAGTGCCTCTACTCCTACTAAGCCCATACGCAACTTGCAACATATTAGTCCTTTCTCTGCGATCAGCGATGGTAATCCCTAAACCGTCTTTAACCTCAGGCTTCAGAGCATAAGCCATCCAAAGATTTGCCGCAGGAAAAGGAGTGTTAGACATTCTATCAGGTCATTGCGAAGGTCCTACCTACTATCCTGGTCTACCGAATAGGGCAATCTTGTGCAAAAATAGGCTTTTTCTTATGATGTCAAAATTGGCCGCAGCTTCCAACAACATCCGATGTGGTGTAATGGCTAACATCGCTGTCTCTCACACAGCAGCTCGGGGTTCGATTCCCCGCATCGGAATTATTTTTTTTCTTTTTTGCCCTCTCTCTCTTATCTTCTTCCTTCATACGGGCAGAAACAAATAAATCGTTGAAAAACCCCAGGCCCAGTTCATGCACGGATCTGGCAGCTTATTGATTGTCCGTAATTCCAGTAAAAAGACACTAAATCACAAATCCACCGGCTGCTACATTACCAAATTCTATCGTGCCCAGTATAAAGTACTCCAAACGGTATACTAGAGCCCTAGAACGGCATCTGTACTTGCACTAACATTCCTGGCTGCCAAACGCTATGCAATCCTAAATCATTCTTTGAAGATAGTCTATCAAGTTACTCATGCTTCGACAGCGACGGGCCTCCTCAACTCCCTCTACATACGGCGGGGGTGCCAACTCCCCATCCTCCACCCACACCTTGTTGAGCTCGTTCTCAATCTCCTCGCGACGCTTCTTCCAATCCTCGACCTTGTCCAGCCTCTTTCGTAGTTCCTGCAGCTCCTTCTCAACCCCGAGCTTCTCCTTCTCCGTGCCGATGCGCTCAAACTCCCACTGGTCTCCCTCTGGACCAAGACCGAGCGTCAGACTATAGGTGTGGTACTTCTTCAGAGACGCGCGGGTGGAGATGGTGATCAGGGTGATGCCCCGCTCCTTGGCCCGCTCGTAGAGGAGGCCCTCCACGTCCGCCGAGACGGCCGAGGTGCCCTCGTCGAGGAAGGCGTAGTGCGGCTCGTGGTAGTAGATCCGGGCGAGGGCCATGCGCTGCTTCTCGCCGCCGCTCAGAACGTCCTTCCACTCCTTGCGCGCGTCCCACCCGCCCTCGCGGGTGGGCAGATAGCCCAGGTGCGCGTCGTCGAGGATCTTCTGCAGCATGGCGTCGGACGTGCCGGCCTCGCGCATGTCAATCTCCGTGTGCGGGTAGATGACCTGGTCACGGAGCGTGCCGACGCTGAGGTAGGGACGCTGCGGCAGGAACATGATCCCGTCCACGCCGAAGCCGCGCGGGCGACTGACTAGGCCCCGGTACACGGGCCACAGGCCGGCGACGATGCGGGCGATGGCGGACTTGCCGACGCCATTGGGGCCGGTGATGAGAAGGTGGTCGCCGGAGTGGACGATGAAGGACAGGGACTCAAGGAGCTCGTCACCGCCCAGAGGGAACAGGGAGGGCGCGACGATGGGGACGGATTCAAGGCGGACGCCGTCGAAGCCGTTGTGGATGGTGCCTTGGACGTCGGCGAGGGAGTATAGTTCGGCGGGGGCGCCCGGGGGCGGATAGTATGCGTTGGCGTGGACACGGTGCAGCGTCGAGATGAGGGTGTACACGCGCGAGGTGTAGCCGGCGAGTTCGGAAATGTCCTTGATGCTGTACATCATCCGGCCGCCGGCGTCGGCCAGCGACAGCATCAGGCGCTTGTTGGTGATGAATTCCTTCATGCGGCCTCGTTCCCGTCCGATCTCCTCGGGCGTGTCGGCCAGCTCCATCGCTCCGCCTAAGCCGCCCCAGGCGGGCAGAAAGACGGGGAGCGAGGTGATCAGGTAGCCAAAGGCCGACCAGGCGTATTTGAGGATAACGTCCTCGAGCATGTTGTAGCGAATCTTGAGACTGTAGATGCCCTCCATCCAGCGCTGGAGATCCTTGAAACTTCGCGTGAGGAAGACGCGCTCGATATCCGCACCACCGTAGAACGAGATTTCCTCAGCGTTGGCGAGTAATCGAGAGTGTAGGCCCCGGAAGTCTCCCTCTTTCTTGCCCTCGACAGCTTTGAGCTTTCCAAACGGCGGGGACAGCTTCCGCAGGACGATGGCGGTGCTAAAGTACCCAGTCAAAATCCCACTGAGGGCCAAGGGCCCGAGAGAGCGGTAGAGTTGATAGTTGAAGACGAACAGGTCCACCAGGGGCTTGCCCATGGAGGAGTAGAGGGCGGCCGCTGCGGAGCAGAAGAGCGTGAGGTCTTGGGTGATAAACTGGTCGGCGCCTTGGCCGATCCCGCCGTCGAGGTTCATTAATTTGTAGTAATTGCTGTCACCCGTCAGGTACAGATCATGGATGTATCGTGTGAGTCGCGTCCGGAAGGCAATCGACACTTTGGACTGGAGAAACTTGATCATGGCGTTGGTGTACGATGCCAGCGTACCGATGCCACACCATTTCAGGATGCCCCAGGAGAAGGCACGGCCCTTTCCGGCAACAAGATCTCGGACGATCTCGCCATCCAATCTCGCAATTAGGAGGGACAGGTACGTGCGCAACAGCAAGAACACACCGTGACCCATCAAGAGGCCGGTTTCCTTGCTACTCCATCGGGGCACCATGATACTCCAGAGACTCAGGAACTGGTGCAGGAACGCGAGGTTCAGACCCGGTTTTGTCGTCGGCGGAGGGATCTGGTTCGCGGCCTCGCCGTTCCCATCGCGGGCGGAGGCCGGGGGGTTGAGGAACAGCCTCCGATGGGCATCAAAGGTGGTCGGTTTGGTTCCGTAGATGGTGACCTTGGAGGTCAGGTTGTCCTTGTAGGGGACATAGACGGTGCGGGAGCCATCCTTCCCGCGGATGCCTGAATTCCGTCGTAGTAAGCGTTTCCCGCGCGCTCGCTCCTTGGACCTTTCTCGCCACCAGGAGTAACCCCCATAACCGGATCCTACGATGGACAGCAACAGGGCAAGGGTCGCGATCAGCTTGGTGACTTTCGAGGTCCGCTTGACACGGGAGCGGAGGAGGTTGACGTAGTTGTGGTATAGGGCGAGGAGGGGATCCTCTCGGGGTCGGAGTGTGGACTGCGCTGCCATGATGGCTTCTCTTGTTCGATTCAGTTCAGGTAGGGTGGTTGGATCGGTCGGAGACTGCCTTTGGCAGCTACACCCTTAGACGAGGGCGTCTAGGGCCATCAGGACGCCGTGGACAGGGCGTGGAGATGAAAGTCTGAGAAGTAAATGGTATGAGGTCGGTATGGGAGAGAGGAGGGAGAGAGAGATGTAGAAGTGGAGATCTGGGGATCGATTGAGAGAGACGTCACATTATCGAATGGATGGGAATTGTTGCATGTGAACCTCGGGCCCCCAAAACATCCGGGGATACTCACGTGGGGAACTCATGACGTCTGTTTGCTTCTGTATTTTCATCCCCAGGTCTTCCTTCTGTCCTACTATACGGAGTACATCGTACGAGATATTTATTCTGCTCACCTTGACCTCCTTTTCTCAGTCAGATGCTACAGCGATACAGTCTTCTACCGGTTCTGTAAGTTTCCATTACATACGATTAGCATCCCAGCCAACTGGCAACGTGACACGACAGCCAGACAGAAGCACTGCGGACAGCATCCTCCAAGCGAAGCATGGTTAACTTCCCCCAGCCCATGAACTCTGCAGACATCGGCCATGCAGCTCATGCTGGATCTGCGCGGAACGGGAGGTAAATCCTAGCGGATTGCTGTATCACCACCATCCCAGAGCGACCTTCTCCAGACGGCTGCACGGGCCTGCTCCGACCTGCAGTTTGATTCGTGGCTGGCGATGATCCACACCTCGCATATCACTATTATTCTCCATCACACCTGAACTCGATGGACGATGGGGGGACCAGCCCCGACTAGTGGTCTTGGTGGCATGGATCACGACCGGGTATTGGATGCCGGGCGGTTAAAGTAGACCAAAGGGGGAACTTGGAGGAGAGACCGAAAATAGGAGGGAGCATTCTAAGGGGTATCCGTCTTCTGTACTACAGAGTCCTACAGATGACGGGGTGAGCCCTGGAGTAGAGGAAGAAACTAGGTAATTATCGCCATCGTAATAATAAGTTGGATGGTAGGTGCCTCGTTCGTAGTGGGAGATGCACCTCTTTGAATGTACTACCTTAGTATCCCTCGATCACCCTGGAACCACGTGACATGCGCCTCCTCTTCCCTCCAGCGATCAACACGATTTCCCTCTTTCTCTCCTCCAACTCCACCGGTCCCCCTCTGCTCTTGGATCTCTGTCGCTTGGTTTGTTTTCGAACGACCTTGACCAGGCCTTTCCTTGAATTCTCTTCTGCCTTCTGAGGACGACCCGTAGTGCTGCGCACTAGCCTCAATCCAGGCGGTGGTCCGGGACCCTAAAGCTAAGCAACCCTCCCCCCCGACGGTTCATTTCCAGGCGCCCTTCATCCCAGGAGGTGACTCTCGCCCATCTCACTCCCCCCCTCTCCTCTCGGCGGCTTCCTGGTGATCAAATCCGATCCACCATTCGATCTCCGTTCAATCCCCATTTAATATCCTCGTCTTTCGCGTCCATCGGCTGTCTGGTCCTCGTCCCTCTGCGACGCTCGCTACAACATACCCTCAATGCTCGGAGGGAGCTCCGAGACAGATCCCTCTCCCGCGACTCCCATAATCCCCACAGGAGAAGCGTCCATGCCTATCGCGACGAGTCACCTCGACTCGAGTATGTTCTAATCCGCATCGTCTCGATCGAGATGGCCACTAATTTTCACCTAGATCCGGGATCATCGCTGCAGGACCATGTCGCCCCGACCGATGTCTCGACCCCGTCCAAACAAATAGATTCCTCCGAGGCCTCACAACTTCCCCAGGATGCGTCGACCGCCGCCAACCGCGCCGATCGGCTGCATGTCCCTTCGCGGACGTCCCTGAGAGCCGCCCAGCAGATCAACCCGGAAGATGCCCCCGATGCGACCAACAATGATTCCGAAAAGACCCTCCGGAGCACGAGACGAAGTATACTGAAGGGTCGGAGGGACAGGAGCAAAGCGAGCAGTATGAGGTCCCGACGGCAGCATCAAGAGGCAGCAAGTGTGGAGGAGCCTAAAACCACCAGCCCCGACCTGCGTGACACGACCGGTTCGGAGAAGAAAGGCAAGGCGTCTTATCGCTTCTTTGCCTTCTTGAGTTGTTGTTCGTCCACCGACGTCGATCCCGATGATACGGCCATTCCCGCGAAACGCACCGCCCCTCGGCCGTCCGCACCTAACACCCAGCCGACTCCTGAGAAGGCGGAGGTCCACGCCGGGGATTCCAGTACCGCAGACTCGAAGGATCATCCCAATGTCGATGAGAAGGCCAACGCGACCGTCATTCCGGATCAATCGCAATCGCAAGTGGGCGAGGAGACTGCCGCGGGTCAGCTGGGGCCCAACACCCAACTGGACGGTCCCGCGTCGACTATCGTCCAGCCGGACGAGGTTCCCCCAACGTCTTCCCAGAAGGACACGAGCCATCTTCCCGAGCGAAAAGGGCAGCCGAGTGAGCCGGAACCCCAGGTGACGTCGGAGAAGTCTGAGGCTCTGGCTCAGAAACCCGCCGACCAAGCCACGGTGCCGTTGGATGTCGCCCCTGAGCCATCTCCCGAGACAAATGGCGACAATGTGCCTGCGGTGGCGGAGACGAGCCCCAAGGACGAGCTGAAATATTCTACTCACGATGAAGAGGCGAACAAGGTGCCGACCACCTTGCCTCCTCCGCCCCCTGCTCCCGGAAAAGAAGTCCAGACGGGGCAGCCAGAAAGACAACAACAGTGGCTCTTGCCGCCACCCCTTCCTCACCTGCGAAACCGGAAATGTCTGGTGCTTGACCTGGACGAGACCCTTGTTCACAGTAGCTTCAAGGTGAGTTGGATCGTTGTTTTGAGTACCACCAGACCACCAAACTGACTTTGCCTGTCTAGGTGTTGGAGCGCGCGGACTTTACGATTCCGGTGGAAATCGAAGGCCAGTATCACAATATCTACGTCATCAAACGACCGGGTGTCGACCAGTTCATGAAGCGCGTGGGCGAACTGTATGAAGTGGTCGTGTTTACGGCATCTGTCTCCAAAGTAAGTCCATCAGCAGTAGTGCATTGGTACTGGTAACTAACGCGATATTAGTACGGTGATCCCCTCTTGGACCAACTAGACATCCATAATGTAGTCCATCACCGGTTATTCCGGGATAGTTGTTACAATCACCAGGGCAACTACGTCAAGGTCGGTTCAAAAACTCTGCACGAGGAATACCGCGAGTGTCTGCTAACCGTGATCCAGGACCTGTCCCAAGTCGGCCGCGACCTTCGTGACACCATCATAATTGATAATTCCCCCACGTCTTATATATTCCATCCTCAACATGCGATACCCATCAGCAGCTGGTTCTCTGACGCCCACGATAACGAGCTTCTCGACCTGATCCCTGTCCTCGAAGACCTTGCTGGTACACAAGTGAAAGACGTTAGTCTGGTTCTCGACATTGCATTGTAATGTCTGTACTCTAGCCGTCTGGAATTTTGCAGCGTGCTTGATTTGCTTTTGCCTGGATGTCCCAGGTCCTAAAAGATACCGTTCGACCTTTTCTTTCGTCTGCACGCAGGAGCTTATGGGTCTTCTCTTCCGGGAATACTCTGAGACCCATGTGTCTACCATGTGTGCATTCACTTCTTGATCTTACCCTTCCTCTGCCTTTGTCCTTTTGCCCATGCTCCTAGTGAGCGAATACCTTTTGTCTCTTTCCATGTCTGTCTCCATTATCCCCTCGAAATCTCTTTTTGCATTCTGCAGGCGTCTGTTGGCCATCAGCTGGAAATCTTGCTGATCTCATGTACACGCACTCTGATTTACACACTCTCTTCTATATTTCATCTGTTTGTCCCTCCATCTGTCTGTTACCCACTGCCCTGTAAGGCTTGACCGTGTTTCTTTTCTTTTCGATATCGCGTTTGATCCCCCGAACCAGCGAGTTTCATTTCCTTCCATCTGACAGCCATGATTGTTTTGGAGACTACCTAGCGATGGCATCGTCATATAGGTCCCTTTCAGCATGGCACTGCTGTGCCTCTGATAGTTCTCATCGGCCTTGAATATATGTATCATTGGCTACAGTCTTCTACTAGTTTCCTGACGAGAGTAATATTCTAGATGTGTATGTATACTATGTAGTTGCTAGTTGATGGGTTAGAGTCGGCACCATCGATGACGGAAGACAAGTGCGGAACGGACCACCCGATCGATGTCATCCAAGCACTATTTTCTCTTCCATCCACATCCAACATTCAACCTCCTACACCGAGCGACTCTCCCGATTCACACTCCCACACTCACACTCCTCATCTAGAATATCATCTCGAATACAACCCTCGATTACCTCTCGTCCCTCATCCCGAGATCAACCCCGCACCGCCCCCCACCATGAAAGACAGCAAAGGCTGGGACGGGAAGCTCCGCGTCGAACCCCGAGCGACCATCACGAATCCCGAGGCGCTCGAGGACCCGGAATACTCAGATTCGGATGCGCCGCCGGTCGAGGAGATCGAGGCCGATGAGGGTCTGTCTGTCGATTCCTTCCCGAGGCGCTTGGACGCGACGCGATGCTGATCTTGTTTCGTCTCGACCTTAGATCTCCTGGAAGAAGAAGATGAGAACACAGAGGTACCAGTGTTGCAGTTTAGCGAGAGAAGACTCTGTCGCTAAGGGAGCCACTAGGATATCGATCTCCCGCATTTCCGCATCAGTTCCATCCCCGCGTTGCGGCTGGAGCGGTTCCCCAAGTTGCAGGTTTGTGTCCGGACGGGAGACGGTGGGATTCCCTCATGGGGCGAGGCGAACTGACGACGGACAGCGGTTGTGTCTGCGACAGAACCAGATCACGCGCATTGAGTTCCCGGCCAGCGTCGCCGCGTCGCTGACGGAGCTCGATCTCTACGACAACCTCATCTCGCACATCAAGGGACTGGACGAGTTCCGTAACCTGACCAGTCTGGACCTGAGCTTCAACAAGATCAAACATATCAAGAATGTGGCGCATTTGGTGAAACTGACCGATCTGTACTTTGTGCAGAACAAGATCTCGAAGATTGAGGGCTTGGAGGGGCTGAGTGCGCTGCGGAATTTGGAGCTCGGGGCGAATCGGATTCGCGTGCGTTTCCCGTTGAATTAAGGGCCCGTTGGATTTAGGTGGAAGCTGATGCTGACGCTGATCTGTGCAGGAGATTGAGAATCTGGATACGCTGACGTCGCTGGAGGAGCTCTGGCTGGGGAAGAATAAGATCACGGAGTTGAAGGTATGTTACTGACTCTGATTTGACCAGATCTGACTGGCTACTGACGTGTGTAGAACCTTGATGGGCTGCAGAACCTCCGAATCCTCTCCATCCAATCCAACCGACTCACCAGTCTGACCGGCGTCTCGTCCCTCCGCAACCTCGAAGAACTCTACCTCTCGCACAATCTCATTAGCGACCTGAGCGGCCTCGAATCGAACACGTCGCTGCGCGTGCTCGACTTTTCCAACAACCAGGTCTCGAAGCTGGAGCACTTGGGCACGCTGACGAACTTGGAGGAGCTGTGGGCGTCGAACAACCAGCTCTCGAGCTTCGACGAGGTCGAGCGCGAGCTGAAGGACAAGAAGGAGCTGAAGACAGTGTACTTTGAGGGCAACCCGCTGCAGACCAAGGGGCCGGCCGTGTACCGGAACAAGGTGCGGCTGGCGCTGCCGCAGATTATGCAGATCGATGCGAGTGAGTGTTCCTGGGTTTGTGGAGAGGGTTGTGCTAACAGAGACAGCATACGTGCGAGTTTAGTCGGTTACGATATACGATACATGCATATAATGGTATAGGACATATTGATTCTCCTAGTAAGGTAGTCGTAAGCGCTAGCTTTTGTTGCTAGCATCTGATGCCGGCGTATATCACCAGTGTGACTGTAGACCGGCGATACTCGCCGTCTCTGCGACAGCGACAGCTGAGCGCATCAAGCTCTCGTCGCAGAACGGCCGCAGCTAGTCGAGAGCTAAGCTCAATCGACCAACGCCGTCAGCCCGTCAGTCCGTCGTCTCAACAAGACAGTAGACGTAGATAAATAGACAGGTATTCCAACACCCCGACTTCACCCATCTCGCTCCCTCGCCCGCATCCCCTCCAAATACAGCGCCTGCAAACTCCCCGCACCCAACCGCTCATTCTCCCTCCGCACACGCCGCCGCACCGCCTCCGACACGCCCTCTTTCCTCGCCATCGACACATCCCCCAACGCCGCAACCGGCACGCCGCTCGCTGCTAGATCGCGAAACACATGGCTGTCCCGGTCGACGCGGAACGGCCCGTGGAACGGACTGCGCCGCATGGCCGAGTGGTGGTTATGTCTGGCTGGCTGGATGTCGCAGACGAGATATCCCTCGCTCTCGCTGTTGCTGTTGCTGTTGCTATCGGCGTGTGTCACGGAGGTCGGGGTGGAGGCGGAGGCGGAGGACAGCGGAATGCGCAGCGGCGATGCGGCGAGAGCGCGGTGCGCGGCGTCGGCGGATTCGAAAATGGCGATTGTGGCGCGCGTGCGTTTCGTCGAGGTGTTTGTTGGGTCATACTGTTCTCATTAGACTGGCTCCTGATGACTGGTATGGGGGAGGGGTACTTTGAGATTGCGAAAGGTGACGACTTCGCCGAAGCGCTGCAGCGCGGAGAGGACGAGTTTGCTTTCGGAGAGGTTGCGCGGCATGGGGGTTGTGGTTATGTGGATGGAGTGTGCCTGCGCGGCGAGGCGCGCAAGGCTGGAGGCCATTTTGGCAGTGGTTTGTGGGTGTGGTGGTTGGAGGTTGGTGAGAGTTGAATTGGTGGTTTGGAGATGGATCATCGGCGGGAGTCGGTCCGAGGTCGTATACTCCGATATTACTATATTACTACCTACGTAGTACCATCTACTACAATGGTGCCGTTCTACGTGCTCTTGATTGTTTTGTCATCATTCATTTATATACTGTATCTGTATGTATATACGTCATAACAGGGCATCCCTATTCATCTAGAAGATGGGCACATACATGCCGTAGCCGATAGGATCGTTGAAGCGCAGGCCGATGTCGAGCGCGCTGATGGCGTCGATCTCGCTCTGCTCCAGGTCCCAGCCGGTGACCTCGAGGTTCTGCGAGAGACGGGTGGGGTTGTTGCTCTTGGGGATGACGGCGATGCCGCGCTGGGTGGACCAGCGGAGGAGAACCTGGGCGGGGGTCTTGCCGTGCTTGTCGGCGACGGACTTGACGACGTCGTGCTCGAACAGCGGCGAGATGTTGGTGGCGTTGGGAACCTGGAGCTCGAGGAAGCTCAGCGGGCCAAAGGACGAGTAGGCGGTGACGGCGATGCCCTCCTTCTGGGCGTACTCGACGAGGCGGGGCTGGGTGAGGTAGGGGTGGTGTTCGATCTGGAGGGTGGCGGGGCGGACGCGGGCGTAGCGCAGCAGGTCCATGAGCAGCTGGGCGGAGAAGTTGCTGACGCCGATGCTGCGGGCGAGCTTCTTGTCGACGAGCGTCTCCATGGCGGTCCAGGTCTCCTGGATGGAGGCGTTGCTGAACTCGATGGAGCCGTCGCCCTTGGCGCTCCAGCCCGGCGGGTAGCGCACGGCCGGGTCGACGTACTTGAGCGCCACGGGGAAGTGCACAATGTACAGGTCGAAGTAGTCGACGCCCCAGTCGGCCAGCTGCTTGCGGCAGATCGGCTCGACCTTGTCGCCGTCGTGGAAGCTGTTCCACAGCTTGGACACGATGAAGAGCTCCTCGCGCTTCACGATGCCCTCCTTGATCGCGCGCGCGACACCCTGGCCGGCCTCGACCTCGTTGCCGTAGTCTGTTTGGCTGGTCAGTAAATGGTGACTTGGTGATCGCGCGATCTCAACGTACCACAGGCGCCGTCGAAGAGACGGTATCCGGCCTTGATGGCCTCGTAGACCTGGTCGGCGCAGGTGTCGTTGTTCACCTTCCAGAGACCAAAGCCCACGAGGGGCATGTCAAAGCCGCTGTTCAGCTTGATAGTGGGGGTGGCCATTTTGAATGAGGGGATGGACGTGGTATGAAGAGGATGGAGAAGAGAGAATGAGTGAAGAGGAGGAAGAGGAAGATGAAGAGAAGACGAGAGCGAAGAAAGAAATAGCGGGCGACGAGAAAAGACCACCTCTTCTTTGGAAATCTTCGTCTGGAGCTCCACCACTTTGCGCGAGTTGAGGCTAAAGTTGGCCGTCGCGGCTGTTTTGCTCTATCGATAACGGCTAAACGGCTAAAGGCGCTTGACATTTTTCCGCCACTCACTCAGAAGAATACCGAGGACTATAAGAATAGCATGAATAGACGAATAGTGGATACTATACATTGCTATCAACATGGAAAAAATACCCTTCCCTCCAATCGCCAAACTCCCATGTCACCCACCCAAACAAGCCAAATGGATATTAGTTGAACAAGTACAACTTTTGCAGCCATAATTATCATTAAACAGAAGATCATTAAACGAGCCCCCAAATACATAGCTCTGGTAGGCCGATATTAGACATTAAACCGCCTCAACCGTGCTGTTCTCAGGGTACGCGGATGTGGCGTGATCGGGGCCTGCCCCATTCAAGCCAGGATCGCCCGGCATGTTGCCCACGAGCTTGTCCATCAGATCCGTCCCCATCAGGCCCTCGAAGCCGTTAGACTGATGGGGCTCGCGCGTCGCCGGCGGGTGCTGGTCGGACTGATAGGAGAGATGGCCGTAGCTGTTGGATCCCACGTCCGACGGGAGGGTCGTGGACGGTCCCGACCACGCCGCGTGGCTGTTATGGCCCAGCTCCTCGAACGACTGCGGTCCGGAGGCAAAGATGTTATTCAGAACGCTGTTGTTGTCGGGGACATGCACCCCGTGTTGCTGCGGTGGCGGCACGTAGTGGTGGCTCTCGTGGCCCATTGTGTATCCGCCCAGGTTGTGGTGTGACAGCGACATGTCCGGCACGTTGAGCATGATCGGACCGCCGTTGCTGCCATTGAGGTTGGGCGGCTGGCTGGTCTCATGCTGCTGCATATTGGGGAAGGGGTCGATCACCGACGAGACCGCCGTCTTGTCACCCAGGCCGTCCTCCGGCTTCGAGATCGAGTTGAGAAGATCAAAGCTCGCCGTGGGGTACATGTGATCATGCGGGGGTGGGTACATCTGCCAAGGAGGCTGCGACGCGCCGTGGTGGTGCATCAGTTCGTGTGGCTGCGGCGGAGGCGCTTGGTAGACGTTGGGTGCGGGCTTGTTGAGCAGGATCGAGTCCAGCGACAGCGGGGGGAGGTCAATGCCCGTCGCCGGACGAGGGCTATTGGTGGACGTGCGGTCCGGCGGCGGGAAGAGTCTCCGCCAGGTCGTGGTGCCAACCTCCCCAGGCCGCGTCTGGCGGAACTTCCAGAGCAAGATCGCGACCCGCTTACTCTCGTCGCACGAGGAGCCGCCGTAGTGGCTGGAGAGTCGACGGGAGTTGGGAGACGTAGCACGGATCTCCTGCACCGCAGACATGGTCCGGAAGAAGTGCCGCGTGTGCTCGTCCGCCGCATGATGCTGGCCCGCCTTCTCGGCCATCTGCTTCTCCTGCGTGAGCTGTGTGAAGAGTTTGGCCCACCAGAGCGATTCGAACGGCGGCTTGACTTTCGTCGAAGCCGGCTTTGAAAGGCTGTGGTTGACCTCCAGGATCTTCTGGCTCTCCTCATACATGTAGGTGCTGCAAGACCAGTTGTCCATCTGACTGACCGGTGCATCGCCCACAGCGGAATGGGCAAAGTCCAGCTCCAGCTGGATCCCCAGCCGCGAACCGGACGGAGGAAAGTCGTCCATCAACTCGAGGTTGGCTTCGAGGAGGATGATCTCGCAGTTCAGGGAAGCAGTGGGGTCCGTCATCAGGGAATTCAGATAAGGGAAGTAGGTCCGCCACCCGACGACGTTCTCCAACGGCATTGAAGGGGCCACGGGATGGCGCTGGTCGCCCTGCAAGCGGGTGTACACATGGAAAGCATTCTCAATGCGGTCCGGCTGGTTCGGTGCACTGACCCACATGTCAAAATTGAGACCCTGGACGGTGTTGATGTTGGCATCATGGACGTTGGGGTTGGGGGCAAAGGAAGGGGGAGGCAGCTCCCCCACGTAAGGCTGCACAGGTCGCAGAGGATCATGGTAAGGAGCGTGGAGATGATTGTAGTGACTTGACAGGGGGTGTTCCATGGAGGTCCGCCACCTTGGGCCAGCTGCTTGAGGCTGGGCTGCAGAGCGGTCTGTCGGCTGTTCCCGTACCAGTCTTTCCCCTGTAGATAGCTGTCAGAGGTTGAACGAGTCAGGGAGTGCATAGTCTCTTACAGTCAGGGTCTCCCTTGAGGAACGAGTCGAGCACCTGCAGGTGACTGGACACTTGTTTCCTAGTTCTCCTCTTGCCCGTAGCCTTGTAGATAAACTCGGCAATCAGCTCGTTTCGACCGTAGGATTTGCCCCGTTCGGACCACTTTCTCCGGCCCATGGGAGGGTTTGCCTCAAGTGCTATTCTTCATTAGCATCGTCATCACCATTACTGTGGGCCATGCTCACCTTGTTGGAAGGCATCCTCCAGCTCATCCGACCAGACAGGCTCCCCATCCTTGCCCGTGTCCCGTCGAGGCCGCGCTCGGTACTCCAGGTACTTCTGGGACTTGAGATAGCTTCTTCCCCGACGGGGACCAACCAGCTGGTTGGGCCCCAGGGACTGAAGTCGACGGAGCTTCTTCTGCTGCCATCGGTTGGCTAGGATGTGTTGATGGTGCAGGCTGGCCGCAGCCGAAGGGACAGGATGGGCAGGGATTGGGAGCGGAGGAGGATACTTGGGAGCATACGGCTGCAGATGTCCACTATCTCGCCCCGTAGCGTCGTTGGGGGCGAGATTGTCTGAATAGGACTGCACGTTCCCAGAGGTATTCTGAAGAGCCCGGTCCGTATGAGCTCCTACACTCTCTAGGGCCGGTGGGTTCGGAGGTACAAAGTCGGGCTGCCAGTCAGTAGTAGCCATGGAGCGGACCACCCAAGATAGGCTCTCGAAAGAATGACAGATTCCAAAGAGTGAGAGCTGTAGATGACCGCAAAATGCTTGCTACTGTGGAAAGAACGCAGCGGTACCCAAAGAGCGGATCAAAGAACGTAATTGCTCGAAGAGAATGTAAGAAGCTGGGAAAGAGAATGTGGGAGCGAAGGCCATGGTGTTTATAGGGCCCCCATTCCGCTCCCCTCGAAGGGGAGAAGCGCGCAATGTGGTGCCTGTTAGCTACATTGCTCGATCACGCTGCTTGTTGAGAGGGTCCCTACCCCCTCGAGGGCAACATCCCCAGGACCCAGAGCTTCACGCGTCCCGGATGGTGTCAAAGGGGACAAGGCCGCCCTGTGGCAGCAAATCAGGAGCACAGGAAGTTCACGATGGACCAAACGGGAAACCGATGCAAGGGGGCTCTCAGGGAGCACGATCCAGTGAACGTCTGTTCGGAGATTTTACGTCGCACCAGACGAGCCTCGAGAGCTCGCAGGGAATCAGGTACAGGCGGATGAGTTGGGGCAGAGACCACTCGAGGAATGCACAGCGGCCAACAACAACGCTCGTCGGGATGCCTTCGGAATGCAGACATTGTTTACAAATAGAGCCCAGGAATGCAGGCGGAGACTGTTGGCACCCTGGCAGCGCGTCGAATCCAGGGTGCACAAATGGTGCTCTTCGTGGGTATAGAGAGGCCTAGGGGAGGTAGGGCGTACAAAAGCCTAGATCAGAAGGATATGAAAAACCCCGAGATGGGATGGAAGATAAAGGTGTGAATTAATCTGCACGAGATGCGGCCCTTTGCAGGACGCGTCTGCAGGTGTCGGGCTTGACGGCGGAAAACGTGTTGCTGCTGCATCGGCCACTGGGCCAAGCAAGGGGGTTAATATCTCCTCCGTCTCGCCCTCAACCCGCGCGCCAGGGAGAAGGGCGCCCGCGGCCTTTGCCTTTAGTGCTCGTCGTCCTGGGCCCCTACAGTGAATTTCTTGCGCCCAGTGCCCGTGAGTTTCTGTAGTCTGACCCTGTCCAGCTGCTCTCCTACTTTCTTTTCGATCTGTTGGATCTCCTGCTCCGGGTCGATGGCCTCCTCGTTGGCAAACTCCAACACCAGTCGGCGACCCAGAAGATGCGTGTTCTTGAGCGCGTCCATGGCATTTTCCGCTTCGCGAGCGCTTACAAAGTCCGCAAAACCGAAACCGCGAGCAGACCGGTCAAATTTCTTAGGTACCCGCACAGAGCGCAGTTGCCCATAGGCGCCAAAGAGCGACCGGACATCCTTCTTGGTCGCCTGGAACGGCAGGTTCTTGATGATGATTTTCGTCCGTCTCGCGGCGATCTTCTTGGCCGTGTCTTCGCGCCGTCGTTCCTCGGCGGCATCCATACCTTTATGAGATGCTCTAACTACCAGTTCGTGTTGATCCAGCTTGTAGCCGTTCATCGCAGCCAAAGCCGCCTGGGCCTGGGCCTTGGTCCTAAAGTCCACAAAGCCAAAGCCCATGCTGAGGGTCTGTCCGGGCCGCTTGGGATCGGGCTTGGTTTTGAGCTTAGCCGACACAAAGCCGTCCAGCGGGCGGAAGACATCCACGAATCTTTCGTTCGTGGTGTTGAAATTAAGGTTCTTTACGAAGAGGGTTGCAGTAGGTCCAAGCTCTTCAGCTTCATCCGCCGCGAACGTCTCCGCAGTCGAGAATCCTTGCGAGATAGCCTTGGGCTCTACAACGGGTTTCTGCGGCGCCGTCGTGGAGTCGAAGAGGTTCTTGGGAGCCTTCTCTAGGAAAAGAATGGAGTCTCCCAGTTTCCGATATGCCAGGCCCCGGAAGGCCTTTTGCGCTTCGTCGGGTCGGGCGAATTCAACGATAGCTATGGTGCCACTGGGGGGCATTAGTAGTCTCGTGAGCTGTCCGTACGGCTCGAACAGCTTCCTCAGGTCTTCTGTTTTCACGCCAAAGGAGAAGTTCTTTACTAGGATGGCGGTGTTTCCGCGTTCGCGTTGCTTAAAGGCATCTAGGTTGACGCCGTTGGACGTGAAGTAAGCCTTCGTTTCTTGGATAACGTGCGTTTCAGCATGGGCTTGCTTTACGGCAGCATCCGCGGAAGTTGGATCGAGCAGGTCGGATTTCGATACGCCGAGTCGCTCCGCCACCGAAGACATGACTGCGTCGGACTGGGGCTGTTAGCAGGTCCACCTAGACGTTCGATTGTGACCCACTTACATTCATGTAGAGGGAGTTCCAGGAAAATGTAGACGAGGAAGCCTCCTGCTTCCGCTTGATCTGTTTTTGTTTCTTGACGGGCAGCTTCGCCAGGTCCTGGTCGTCAAGTTTGTACGTCTTCTTGGCCGTAGCCGGAAGAATATGCATCAAACGACCCTGGAAGTTCTTCCCATCCAGAGCCTTGTAGGCCTCGACAGCCGCATCAGGGTCCACATATTGGATGTAAGCAAAACCCTTGCTGGAGCTAACCCGAGTATCAAAGGCAACGTGAATCTGAACAAATCAGCTTTGTCCATCAGAATGAATATTCAACAACAAGGCAAATGAGGGATTAATCGCTCTTCAGACTCCAAGAAGCATCTACTAAAATCTCTTGTCCTGTTCACATCACATGCTTTGCATCGGATGTCCCTATCAGGATGATCATCATGCGAGCGACCCAGCGCGAGCCGGGATAGGGAGGATGTATCGGAAGGGGAAAACGCAAAGGCACTAACCTCTTCAACCCTGCCAAAGGGGCCGAACACGGGTTCTAAATCCGCCTCCGTCGTATCGTAGGGCAAATTTCGTACAAACAGACGGGCGGAAAGACGAATGTTTTCAATATTCGTGTCGACCTCCGGTGCTTGAGGTGGCTTGGCAGTATCCTCCGGTGCTGGTTCAGCATTTTCAGCATTTTCAGAACCGGTATCCGAAGGCTCCGCAGGCGGTGCTCGCGGAGCCGAGTCGAACTCAGCCTGCTCATCCTCATCCAAAAGACCGAGAAGACGACTCGTCTTGGACCGAAGCCAGTCGGCATCCGAAACGGGCTGTTCTTCTGTCTGAGCGGCGCCATCTTCACCGGCAGCAGCCTCAGGATCAGGAGCGTCTCCCGAAGCATCGACCACCATGGGCTCACCCTCAACCTTTTCAGAAGCGTACGAGTCCTCCGCACCCCCAAGCTTCGCCTTCTTCCTTTGTGCGTAGGTGAGGTCTTGCGGGGCATCTTCAGCTTCAGCTTGAGCCTTTTCCGTGGTGTCATTGGCCGCGGGGGGAGGAATGTCATCGTCATTCGCCCATGTCTTGGTATTAGACGAATGCTGGATCACAGAGAGATATTCCTGCACCTTCGGGTCCTGCGCAACCGGTTCACCATCACGCTTCCGCTTGAGGGTGTTCGTAGACGGTTCATCAGGTACACTCTCCTTCCTGCGCTTTTTCGGTTCAGGTTCGGAGTCGACCTATAGCCATTCTGGTCAGTTTCCAGACCACCTTGATCGGTCAGCGAACGCAATGGGAGGAAAGACAGAGGGGTGGGTAGAGGTGCGACGAGTAGAGCACATGCACATACCGGCTTCGCGATGTCCACGGAGATCTTCGACAACTTTATGTATGTCTTGTTGAAGTAGGCCACTGCCTCCTTGGCGGCCTCGGGGCTCTTGAAGCCGACGAAGCCAATCCGGCGCTTGGGCAAGACATGAGCGTCGGTGACTTGGAAGCGAGTGGAAAAATGCTTCCGCAGTTGATCATTGGAGAAAGTAGGCGGGAGCCCAGAGACGAAGACTCTGGTGTTCTCCATTGTGAGGTATTTTGGAGAATGCCTGTGGCTCCACCTTGGCCAGCAGGGAGAGTTGAATGGAAAAGAAACGAAAAGAAGTAGAGAAGGAAAAAAAAATTTGAAGCTTTTTATTTTCTGAAGCGAGAGCCGAAGGCGGTGAGAGGGAGAGGCGGGTGGTCCGTGCCCCTTCATAACGCGGAGCTCCTCGTCATCGCGCGCAAAACATCGCTGTCGCTCGATCGCGTCGCTCTATTGTTTGCTGCAAGACTCTTCCTGTGCTAGTACCTTCATCCTGCTAGATTGAATCCTCCTCCTACCCGACACAATGGCCACCGAAAAGAAGGACAAGCTCGAGCGTGAGTGGCCCCGCGCAAGTGACCAACTCGACGGCTAACACAGGTGCAGCGCAAATCAAGTCCGTCGACATGGTATGAGATTCTGGAGATATCAGTCGGATACGTTTACTTACAATATGGACCCTAGACGGAAGATATGCAGCAGGAGGCTGTTGAAGTTGGTATGGATGACCTGGGTTCCTGGACGTGACCGGTGGCTAATTGAGTAGCGATTGAGGCAATGGAGAAGTATCACATTGAGAAGGTGAGTGGTGGTTCGCCGTTGTTGATGGAAAGAGAATGCTAATCGTTTATAGGACATTGCTCAATACATCAAGAGAGAAGTCCGTTGATCCCCTCGGCCTGGCGGTTCGTCGCTCACGTGTATCCAGTTCGATTCCCGCAAAGGCGCTACATGGCATTGTGTTGTCGGAAGAAACTTCGGCAGCTTCGTGACGCATGGTACGCAGGCTTGTCGCTCACTGTTGACGAGTATGCTGATTTGCGACTAGAAACGAAACACTTCATCTACTTCTACCTCGGACACTGCGCCATCCTCCTCTTCAAGACCCAATAGGTGCGAGATAGGTTGAATGCCTCTTGGTGATACGGAGAGCTGCGATGTGCCGACGACACTGTCGAAACAACTGTCGAACACTCGGTGAATGCCGTTATTCCTGATAGCGATAGCCACGGGAGGGTTGGCGGTTCGGGATCTAATCATGTTCTCATTTCGTTCAGCGATATATTTACCCATACTTTAACAACTTTTCGGTTCAATGTGAATTTTTAATTGACGTACATGTTGTATCGGGGCATCTACATTAGGTGTACTCGGGATCGGCTTGGGGGCAGTTATATATATCGAGTAGACGACTATGCGAAGTCCATGTTGTATACGACCGGGTCCAGTTCCACAGAATAAATCACTCCAATATATTCCGGTATATTGGTGCCTAAGTATCCTGCGTGACAAACTATGTACATCCTCTCCCTAAATATTTGTTCTGGATATGGGTGTATATCTGGTAGAATGACCACGGGTACACAAGTAGCTATTTCAACAACAATCCACCACGTTGGATACCCAACCCAACCCAATAAACACCACTCGTCGTCTACACAGCACTGATGAAATCCATATCACAAAAGGAGACTGAATGAATACCCAATCCACGTGACGCGCCAAGATGCCAAGCCACAGCGCCACACGTCAGCTCCGAGCGGCAGTCCTCCCCTTCCGTCCACTGCCACTGCCACCATCTTTACATCGCTGCCTCCTTCACCACCGTTCCCTCCAGACGCATTCTACACGATAGGACCATCTTCAACACGGTTTACGATACTGGGGCCCCATCATGGCTATCTGCATCACCTTTGGCACACACGGTACGTCAGTTGCATGTCCTTCCATAGTACCCGAGGAACGCTCCACCTCCGCTCCAGGCACTCCCGCTATCCGTGAATCCATACGGAGAGGACAGGACACCCCTAGTTGGGGCAAGCCAGAACGCAAGATGGAAGAACCACGCTGACACAGGCAGAATTCTCGTCCATGCTGGAGGGGTATGAGAATGTCCGCGCATACTGCTACAACTGTAAGTCTGCACGCGAGGTCTTAGTCATCGTCCCTGTTCCTGACCCGTATCTAGGCCAGCACTGGAATGGACATTGTCGGACTCGGTGGTAGGTTAACTTCTTTCTTCCATATGGGGGTATGTGCTGATGGTGATCTAGGCCGTGGTTTACCGTCTGCTTTGTTGTAAGTGGGATTATTCTGCATATGGTGTACTGGACTTCGACCATGCTAATCCACCTCAGCCTGTGATTCCGCTGGCGACTCATAAATACAAGGTACCTATGCGTCATCGCTTCTATCTATCGTCGAACGGCGAGATAGTCGATCATCATAGGCTAACTCCCACCAGGAAGTCACATGCTACACATGTCGCTACACCCAAGATCTACGGTATGCATCTATCCCCTTCTTGGGTTAACTGCAGACTAACGACACAGGGACCGTCCCGACATCACACCGGACACAAGACCACCCCCCGGCATTATGCCTGGTCCGGCGCCGCCGCCGCAGGCCTACTTCGGGTATCCGCAGGGCGGCGCTCCTCCGCAGCAGTACGCGTCGCCGCCGCCCCAGCAAAACTACAGCTACAAGTAGCGGCGTTCGCCTTGATGTTCTTCGTTTCTCCTGCTTTGTTACCATTAATGATGTCCTACGAGATACTTCGTCTAATCAATGCAATCCATCAATTAAAAGCTATCAACGAAAGGGGTATAGGTAGAGATCAATATAAACATTACGTATACAGCGCACGGCGTCAACCACCTACTCCTTGACACCCACCTTCTCCGTCGGCGTCGCCACGCCAGAGGTCATTTCATCGGGTCCACCATCCTCCTTCTGCCCGTGAATCTTCCGCGGCTTGCGGCCCATCGCATCCAGCGCCATCAGCCGCACGGTCCGCACAATGCTCTCGCGGCCCTCATACAGCGGGAAGATGACGACACCGAACGCCGTGAAGAACATCCAGATGATGCCGACGACCACCCAGCCCGTGAAGAACTTCTTGCTGAACACATACGACGAGCCGTACATCGGGATCGGCCACAGGATCAAGAAGCAAAACACCATGCCGATGGTGAGCGTGCGCGAGTACAGCGCCGCGCGGTTGAGCTTGCGCTCTTCCTCGGCCGCAGCGGCGGCATCGGTGATGGCCGGCGCCTCGCCCGGGATGAGCTCGATGTCGACGTGGGCGGCGGCCGCGACGTCCGTGTCGTCGACCTTGCGGATCGCGCGCATCGACTCGAAGTCGTAGTTTTGCGGGCCGAAGGCGTACGTCAGGACCGGGGAGAACACGAGCGGGCTGAGTAGGGCGGCCACATTGCCGGCGAGCATGGGGTAGCTGGGGGCGGTTAGCGGTGGGGTTGGGAATGTGTGAAGGAGGGAGAGAGGGGACGTACTTTGCACCGGTGGTGGTCACGGTGAGCACGCCGTACTCTTTCTTTGCGGTGACGAGCCAGGCGATGAGGGACATGGCGAGGCCGAGGACGGGAGAGGCCGCCGCGGCGACCCGGTTCTGGCCCTTCCAGACCAGCGTCATGGCGCCGGGGAACACGGCGGACGAGATGATGACGCCCATGAGCAGGTAGAGGTAGCCCATGCCGATGCCGGCGTAGTACAGGCCGGTGGCGAAGGCGGCCATGCATACGGCGAAGATTCCACAGGACATGTGCGAGATCCAGACGAGGCGCTTGCCCTTGGCGGAGGGGTTAATGTACGCCTGGTAGATGTCGTAGGTGAAGATGGAGGACACAGCGATGAGCTGCGCGGAGAAGGCCGAGGTGACGGCCATGAAGATCATGAGCGTGGTACAGACGGCGCCGCTGTAGCCCAGCAGCTCGACAGCGGCAAAGGGCAGCACGAGACCGGCGGTCACGTCGCTCTGGCTCATGCGTCGGGTGCCTTCGAGAGCCAGCGCGGAGATACCCATGGTGCTCGCGCAGAGCCAAGGGATGGCGAACCAGCAGAGACCACCGATGACGTATCCGGGGAAAGCGTGGACGGGGTGAGCAGCGATGGCTGTGATGGTTAGACTAGGCTAGAGTGGGATGGAAGGGGGACGTACCCTTGTTGTAGTAGCCGTTGTCCAAAAAGACGGTGCTGTAGTTGTTAGTGGAGAGCTTGAATGTGTTCTGATGGATGGACATACCCAAAGTTACCTAAAGATATTAGCATTAGCATGATTCAACGTACGCGATTGGGCGACTTACCAACAAGGTTGATCACCCAGAAGATACCACCCTCCTTCGATCTCATCGTGAGGTAGCTACCCTGCGCATTGCCCTCGACAGGAAATCGGTCAGCCGCCGCCACCAACGCATCGTAGACGCGGCTCGGCGATCCGAGCACGCGGTTGGTCGCATAAGCCGAGAAGGCATAGATGAGAATCACAACGATAATCACCACAGTGTGCATGTAGTCGGTGATGAAGGTAGCCTTAATACCTCCGAAGATGGTGTAAAGGACGACACCGATTGGGAGGAGGAAACAAGCCGCCACAGTGTTGACTCCGGTGAGAGAGGTCAGGACGGCGGAGCCGCCGGTGAGCAGCATGGCGGTGACCAGGATGTTGGTCATCAAGCAGAAGACGATGAAGACGATGTGAACGGGGGTTCCGTAGCGAGCACGGAGGGCTTCGAGGAAGGTATGCGCATTGGGGGCTCGTCTTTTGAGTTCGATAGCTAGCGTCGCGAACAGAATGATTTGGACCGTGGCGCCTGTGCATATTAGCCATGGGAGCTTCAGGAGCAGCGTTCTTGACGGGAGACGTACCGGAAGCATAGAAGAAAGGACCGGATATGCCGTACTGGTAGGCCACGGCAGAGGACTGGAGAAGGGTGGCAGCCCAGGTCCAACTACTGACGACGGCGGCAGCAACCAGACCGGATTTGACAGACCGTCCAGCGGTGGAGAACATCTCGGAGGTAATCACTTCATGTTGGTATCGCTTGAGAGCCCATGTGATGAAGATCATGACGAGGGCAAAGGCGAAGCCCAGACCGATAATAATGCCATAGCCGAACCCTTGCGACAGGGGGGCGACGAACTTGACCTCTTCCGCCATGCTGGTGGATGAGGTTGAGGATAATCACCTCAATGAGGTATATAAGCAACAGCAGTGGGTACGGGAGCTCCCGATAACCAAAAATTAATCCACAGCTTAACACTGGGCGTTCTAAGCTTGTCTCTGCTGGAGAAAGATGGAGGAGAAACGGCAATAGAGGGTGGACCGCCGATTGATATACCCCGTGCACGGGGAGACCAGCGGAGAGAGAGCTCCGACCTCGCAGACATGATGACGATCAGGATGAAGGGAAGAGGATCCTTTGTTTGATACCGATAGAGAACGTTTAGTCATAGAGCGGGTGGTGGTAGAGCATGGGGAGTGAACCGGGTACGAGGACTGATAAGGGCCGGGGATAGCAGTGGAGGACTCGGGACAACACGCGGGTGGAATCTCGGGAGGGTCTAGTCTCCAGTGTACCATGCAGTCCCAAGGTACCTAACCAAGAGCACCAAGAGGACTGACTCGAGGAGAAAGAGGGAAAGTGGAAAGCGACGAAAACACAGGAAATGCCCTGCAAATAAGCTTATCTCAGCGCTTTCATTGGTCGGGGCAGCTTATCTACGGCCGAACGTGGTGATTGGACGATGCGAGAAGATAAGCTGATATCCATCTCATCCTACAATTGGAATAACAGTTGGAATAACCCAAGAATGATAATAGGACAAGAATCATTCGAATAGAAGGCTGACCTCCGCATCCCCATATTTTTATCCAGGACGATCTTGATAACACTTACTTAAATCTCCGACTAATCGATTCATCATCCACTGCATCTGTCCAAGCTCCCTGACGCCAGTTTAACGCCCACAAAGTCAAATCGAACTCTGTTTGATCCTCACAAGGACCATCGTGAGGGAGCCTAGTGACGGAGATGGCCGATACTAATATATCCTGCTTTATCTATCCTCAAAGCTCGTGTTCGATCCGACCTCATGGATCTTAGCCATACTTGGCGACGAAACCTCGCTTACCGCGCAAAGACATTCAATCACAAGACTACGACGTTCGCACAGTGGCGAGCACAATTATGTCAGTGTGGCCGAATGGATGGGGCAAAACATGACCATTTTCTCCATTATTTATACAGATGCATTCACTTCTCCCCACGCGAATTGGCCATCTCCTTGATTGTTCATGGCAACTGTAACCGAATCCACCAACTCATTCCAACCTATGCTGCAGATAGGTTCAAATAGATTCAACGCCAGTATTGCAAGAATCGTGAAACAAGACACAGGGGCCAGAAGACTCAAGCGAAACCATCAGGGATCGCCTGCACGGAGAGAGTAGGTTAAGAGACACTAAAGGGGGTATATGATTGAGAAGATTAGACAGGTAGCGGTCGCAATTCACCGGTCCATTGGGGAAGAATCAACGGGACCAGGTGCAGATCCACCGCCCGTCTTTCTAGATGCTCCATTCCACCGCACCGACCACCTTCACCCAACTGGCATAGAAAGGCGGCAACCAGACGCGACCGGAATATGATGGCGCTTTACGAGGAGAACTTGCGGGTGATCTTGGCGATGACTGCACTCACGTTAGTATTAACCGTCCTTTGAAAAACCGCACGCAAAGCTATAATCGCACGTACCATGCAGACCAACAACGGAGAAAATGAATCCCAAGCTCAGAACCAGAACCACGACGGGGTCGACGCGCAGACCGGGGCTCTCGTCAGTGTAGAGCTTCAGCATGGTGCCCGAAGAACCGCCGGCACCGGCCGCGCGAGTCGAGCTGGGACGGGCATTGCGGAGGGACTCCTTGTGGTCGGCGGCCGCGCGACGACGCATAGCAGCCCGGGGACCACCAGGAGGAGTCGGAGAGGAAGGGCGGTTCACGGAAGCGGCAGATCCAGAGGCGACGGCGGCGCCGCCAGCCTTGGAGTCGGGACCGGACTCAGCACCGGAGGTCATGGGAGAAGCAGCACGAGGAGAGGCCTGAGGAGATGGGACGGTATTAGCGCTGGGGTTCCGTAATTGATGGCAACCGCGAGGGTTGAGGAAGAGCGATGATCTTTCTATGGAATCGATGGCGCGAGCTTCCTGGGACGATTCTTGGGGTCAGGATACTCACCATTGTGAAGAGAAAACCGAAAAAAGAAGGTAAAGAGTGGTCAAATTAATTAGACAGCGTCAAACAAGATATAAAGGTTCAATGGATGAAAGAGAAGGAGAGGAGACACTGGAGGAGGTGAAAGGGGAATCGACGGAGTGGATGCCGAGTGAGGTTGAGGTCGCAAACGAAGAGGCCACGCTCACGCTTTCCCGTATCGTCACGTAATGTCATTCTGTCCGGCCCCAGGTTTTTCAGCCAACCACCAGCCGGGATTGATTACATCCATTACCACCAATACTGTTGGCTTGGGAGATAGTACGGAGTATGAATTTTGAGCTACTAAGGGGTGTAAAATGTTATTGTCTTATGTCCTCTATTGGCTCTATTAACCCGTATAAATTAGACGAGGTGGCGAGATGACAATGGTTGATCGAGATCTCGTACCAACTTACCCAATGCAGTATTAATAGAGAACACTGCTCCGCATTATATGTAGGAGTCTCAGAATTTACTGACGTTGCTAGGACCGAGTCTCTTCGACCATCGAGTTGATTGATAACATATACAATAGTGATTTACAGCGTGCTCACCCGATCCAACACCGTTGCAAGACTTTTGTCCTCCCGCAGGGAACACAGACAAACAGATAGGTAGGTAGTAGATACATCTATGAGCACCGACGGATGCAAAATCATAAAAAGAAAATGACCAGAGACCCAGTAATACAAGACTGTGGAACATGCCCGCAGAACGTAGAAGAGATGAGACAAGAATATAGGAGCAAAAGATATCATCGAGGTATTAGTACACATCTACCGCCGTCTCAGATACCACGCAAAGGCGGCCGTGCCCACGCTCTCGCCAAACGGCGTCGGCACCTCCGAGTATCCGGGCCGGGCCACGGGGTGTCGCAGGTAGACGGCGGCGCAGATGTTGTGGTTGACCTCGAGGTATCGCGGGATGAAGGCGAAGGCACTCATGTAGTCCCGGGGTCGCCAGGGCGTGGCGTAGGGCTTTGTGCTGTCGATCGGGTTGTCACGCATCTGGACAAGGGCACGCTTGAGCACGTCGAACTCCTCATCCGTCAGCTCAGAGGTGTCGACTTCCTCCTCGGGGTTCTCTGCGGCCTGGCGGAAGGCCTCGGACAGTTTCTCACCCGGCTGAGCTTCGCTGGCGGTAGCGGTCGTCGTGGATTCCGAGGCGGGAGTCGAGGCTTCCTTTGACTGCTGGCGCTTGGACTCCTTAGCTTCCTTCTTCTCAGCCCGCTTGGCCTTGAGCAGGGTCGTCAGCTCGGAGAACTGGGACTCGAGGTTATCGGTAAGAACGGCGCTCGATTCGGAGCGGGAGAGCACGCGCTTGACAGCCTTCTGGAACCCACGCAGTTCCTGCTTGCGTTTGGCGGGCAGGACATCCTTGTTGCTGGCCATGATAGTCTTGGCCTGGGCCAGTAGGGCCTGTAACGTCTCCCGGGGGTTCTCGTTCTCGGCTTCCTTGCTCTCCGACTCGGACTCCTTCTGTTCCTTCGTCTCCTCCGCAGCGGCGGCGCCCTCTTCCGTTTCTTCGGTCTTCTCTTCCGAGGCCTTTCTCTTAGCCACACGGCTCTCACGACGCTCGTATTTATCCTTGGGGGCACCGGTGGCGTACATGACCCGCTCGGGCTCGACCTGGAACATATCGCCGGGGTTGAGGAGGTAACCGGGGTATCTCATCTGGGCGGAGAGCAAATTAGCCATTGCACCTCGGGAAGTCCTCGGATTGATCGACATAAGATTGACCAACCTTCTTTCCATTCACCGTCACCGCACCGTGGACCACGAATTGTCTTGCCTGTCGAGCGCTGCTGGCAAACATGGCCCGGAAGATGGCGACGTCCAGGCGACGCTCCAGGGGAGCAAAGGTCATCTGCGTGAAGGGGGTCAAACGTCCGGCGGAACGACCCTGATCGGCGTTGGCGGCGTCGTCCAAACCGGCACCACGGCCGGCGGCCATGCCGGAGCCGTCATCCTGGGCCAACTTGACGGGGTTCATGGGGACGACGCTGCGGATGCGGCGCGAGAACATGCGAGACCATTGCGACTCGCGGACCTGTTCACCGTGGTAGGCGCGAGCCATGGACTTGGCGGTCCATTTCTGTTGGAAGAAGGTTTTCGTGAGGGTCGGGGGGTTGCGCAGACGCTGCAGGTTAAACAGGTTGTATTTGCTCCATGATTGTCGGATTTTCTGGGTCGACGGTGTTAGCTTCGGGGGTTGCGGAGGGGGGTGCAGAGAGGGTAGGGGGAGATAATTGGGAGAGGGAAGAATTGAGAGAGAGACGTACAGGCTTGCTCAACGGCGTGGTGGCCCGGTTCCGCATGATGGCGAGTGGGAGGATACAACAATACTGGTCTGGCGGTCTTGTCCATCGAGTGTTTCTGGCGTGCACCCAAAACTTCGCAGGCACGTGACGCGAGTAGATGTCTGACTAATTTTTATGCCTGATTATCCAGGTATACAGGTACAGGCAACTTCTGCCCTGTGATTGGTGGGAGCTCCCTCGCTTAATGCTAGCGTGGTCTGGACGACCCCACCCAGACTTTAAATACTTCGGCTGCCCGCCCTTCTTTTGGACTTTTTTCTTCTTTCTTTTCTTCATACTTACCTTGTTTGGGTGGCTGCGATCAAGAAGGCGGTCCACCACGGATTGGTCCCTGCATTGCACAGCGCGGCGGAACAGTCCGTTCAACGGCCTTCGGGTCATTGACAGGCGTATTCTTTGGCACTTTCCACCCTGTGGATTCTATCTCTTTTCATCATTTCTTCGCCTTGTGCGGGGGTATGGGGAAGGGAGCTCAGCCAGTAGTACTGCCATAGATACCGTAGTTGCTAGACATGTACTTTGTATTGGGCCTGAATGCAAAATGCTAGTGATTGCCTCCAGTCTGATAAAGGTAGTCTATCTAGCCCTGTCTGTATGTTCAGGGGCCTGTTGATGCTAAAGACGCCCATTAATAAGTCGGCTCGATCCTTTGTTCGTTTCGTTATTCTTCCAGTTCTCACCGAGGGAGACCACCCTGAATAGGGCGATGAGCTCTTGGAGGGTCCATCCTCTGCTGACTTCATTGGACGGCACATCGGCCAGGTACGCATAGCAAACCTCGGCCTCTGGAGTTGATTTCTTCGGATAGCTCCGCATTGCTGGTTTTGTTGATGCAGCAAGTATCTATACAAACATACCTGTTCAAAACCGTCGGTCTTAGCCACAGAGCAGCATTGCTTGATTTTCTCATAGCCATGTTTACTGACAATCAATGAGGTTGACTCAATTGGATATGGGGGTACGTACTTCGTTCTATTAATTTTGTTAGTACGGCCCACCCTGCACGCCGAACATCCCACTGCCCGCGTAAAGTGATCATTCGACATCCTGGTCGCGTTCCTCAAGTGCGTTGGATAAAGCTCTTCGGAAGTCCTGCCTTTGCCTACTTGACTCCTTCTCTATCTGTCACCCATGGCCACTACTCCACCTTCCACACCACCGGGCTATTCCGGCCGCTTAGACCGCGATATGCGCCTGCGTATATTGACCCTACGCGATGTTGGCTTCACCTACCAACAGATCGTCGGCCACCTAGGCGGGATCACCTACCGCCAGGTTCAATATACCTGTCAAGCTCAAACCGCCACGCCTCGCAAAGCTCGTGGCCAGCCGAGCAAGGTTACAAGCGAGCAAGTAGACGAAGTAATAAAGCTTATGAATTCGTCTAAAGGCGGACGTCAGATGTCCTATAGAAAGATCATTAATGAGCTGAACCTGGGCGTTTCTCCCAATAGTCTCGCGCGTGCACTGCAAAAACGGGGTATATTTAAGGGTAGGTAGCTAGTCGTCGCCTACGTGTACAGGGGTTCCGTATGCTCACAGGCTCTAGGTAACCGCCGGCGATCTACGGGCACTAGAGAGAAAGAGTCAGTTAGGAGCGAATCCGGCAATTCATCTTCCTCTCAGAACGTACCGTGCGCTCCCTCCAGGCCGGAGGTTGCACAAATCGACACCTCAGCTCATGTTTACCAAGGACCTACGCCCCATGGCCTCCAGGGATATAATCCCCGGGAGGCACCATTAGCCTAATATATTTGCCTAGTCGCCTCCAACAATTGAAGACTAGCAAAGGAGCTTGTGGAAAGCCTGTACCTAGCACCACTAATATTGTATATTGTTACTTATATATGTCTCAGCGACTCCTTACTCTCTGTAATAATGCACAACTCTAGCAGTGGTATCGTATGAGACTAGTAGGAAGCATGCTATCTTATTATATCATGTTAGTGGGTAGTTTGACTGGTCTTGTAGACGCCGCCTGATGAGCCGGATTATAATGTGTTCAACTCTAGTTTATAGTACTTCCGAATAGGACAAACACCAATTTTCGTAGCTCGAAAGCCTCAAGAAGCCTTGAATGCACACTTCAGGATTTATCTTGCTTGATCCGTGTGCATACGCATCAAGGGATAGATACTGACTTTGGCGCCAGCTGTACAGCGGCCAAGTTTTCCTTCTCATGATGGGCGCTTATGCGCCGACTACCCCTCCCTCATGCTTCCCCTTGCTGGGAGTCAGGAATTATTCTCAATTCTTCATCTCAACATGCTCAAACCCGTCTAAAGATGACATCTCGGACCCACCATGACTATACAGTTGCATGGATCTGCGCCCTGCCGCTGGAAATGGCAGCTGCGAAAACCATGCTGGATGAGATCCACGACCCTCTTCCTCAGCCACTGAATGATCAAAATACTTATACCCTCGGCAGAGTCAGTGGTCACAATGTGGTGATCGCCTGCCTACAATCTGGTATCTTTGGAGTTACATCCGCTGCTATTGCGCTGGCGCATTTCTTGCCAACCTTCCCATCCGTCAAGTTTGGGCTGTTAGTAGGCGTTGCGGGTGGAGTCCCCAGCGCAACTAACGATATCCGCCTTGGTGATGTCGTTGTGAGCAAGCCTACCGGATCCTCAGGGGGTGTGATTCAATATGATTTCGGAAAGGCGCTGGTTGGCGGTCGATTTCAGCAAACCGGTTTCTTGAACAAACCACCCCAACTCCTACTGACTGCGATGGCTCAAGTGGAGTGTAATAATATGATAAGGCGGACCTCTCTTATAAAAGTTATGTCGAATGCATTGGACAGGAACCGAAGCATGAAGGGTCACTTTCCACGCCCAGATCATGACCATCTCTTCCGCGCAACATACTCTCACCAGGACGGGAGCTCTGACTGTTCATCGTGCAACAAAGACCATATTGTGTCTCGCGCACCCCGGTCTACAGAAGAGCCCCAAGTGCATTACGGCCTAATTGCGTCTGGAGACCAAGCCATGGACGACCCTCAGAAGCGAGATGCTATTGCACAACAACTGGATGTACTGTGCTTTGAGACAGAAGCTGCAGGCGTAATGAATCAACTGCCGTGCCTCGTCATTCGTGGTATCTGCGATTATTGTGACTCTCACAAGCACGAGAAATGGCAGGGCTATGCGGCTCTCACAGCTGCTGCCTATGCAAGAGAGCTTTTGTCCGTTGTTCCGGTCCACCAGGGAAACAGGGTTCTAACCGAGCTTTCCTGGCACCAAAAGAAGGAGTTGGAGGAGCGCGAAGCATTTCTGCATTGGATTCCAACCGATAACTACGATCAGATGTACGAAGCGCTTCTGGAGAAAAGATCACTGGGAACTTGCGAATGGATTATCGAAACGAAAGCCTTCCAGACTTGGCAACAGAGGACGTCATCCAGTCTGCTTTGGTGCTATGGAAAGCGTAAGCACCGATATCAGCTTCTATATACTCCGATTCTAACGTTCTTTCATAAACAGCGGGTATCGGAAAGTCGGTTTTATTGTATGTGCATCCTTTGTATCTGTCCCATAGACGCTCTAACCAGAGCCTTTAACCAGGGTCTACCTTACAAAACTCTTCCGGGAGCAATATTGCACGTCAACCGACGTTGGGGTCAGCTTTTCCTGCTATGATTACAACAGACAAGATCTGGCCGAACCATCTCGGATGGTGTCGGCCATGCTTAAACAACTTTATCGACAGAAAGGAAGCATCCCTCAGGAGCATCTTCGGTTCATGCAGATGTCGCTTCGCCCTTCGCTAGCCGACCTTTGCGATATTTTCACATCCTACGCATCGTTGTCGTTCGGGAAGGTCTTCCTTCTGGTCGATGCACTGGACGAGTGTCCGTTTGAAGCAAGACACCGAATGGTCCGCTTCTTATCCCACATCCTGCAGCATGTACCAGGCATCAAAATCTTGGTCATGTGTCGAAAGGAATTGGACATCCAAGAAGCCTTCCAGGAACATCCGAGCCTACTTATTGGGAAGCAAGACGTCAGCCGCGATATCAAAACATATATCACTACGGAGGTTAGGCGACTCAGAAGAGGCTACCATGGAAAGAAACTGTATATCGAAAGCGATTTCCTTGAGGCCGAAGTAATCGAGAACCTCATCGCCAACGCAGATGGAATGTACGTATAGTCTGATGGACAGCCATACCTGCAAATACTGACTCGTATCAAGGTTCCGCTGGGCGAATCTTCAATTGGAACATATTCGAGTCGCAAGCAAGGCGCGGAACGACGCGCTTGTTAGGTCGGCCTTGTCCGATACCCCCCGAGGCCTGGAACCGACATATCACCGAATCCTTTCGCAAATTGAAGACCAGCCTGTGTACATGAAGAATCTCGCCGTACGAGCTTTCCGATGTGTGCTGTACGCGAATCATCCTCTCAGCTCGGATGCCCTACGCGACGCTGTCGCCACACCGGAAGACTATGGAGAGCCCGACCCTGCTCCGCTCGATGTCATACTGGACGCCTGTGCCAACGCTATCACAGAAGAGGATGGAACCGTCCGCCTGATTCACGGGACCCTGCGGGTGTTTTTCTTAACCCAGTCTTCATCCGGATCCGGCTCCATTCTACACCAGTTGCAATATTTCCCGACGAGCGACACAGCGTCAGCGACCGCTCCACTTTCACATCCTCGTGACAGAATCCTCGAAGAGGGACCTGCAGCGTGTCCTGAAGACCTTTACCCTCATATCAAGCTGCACCAATTCCTGTGGCACAGCGCTTGTTTCTTCGACCGTCATATGGAGGCCCTGCGACAGCTTATACCTGCCATCGAAGAGTTGATGGCAGCGCTACTTTTGCAAAGCCCATTGGTGCTCGTTGCAATTCTTCTGATAAGGGCGGTTTCTCTCCCTGGCTACTTGCTTCGCAGTTCCCATACGGGATCTCAGACTACTTCATATCCGGTGGATGCCAGGCTGTTTCGGTCAAGCACCCAGATGCACGACGGCCGCGATTCTACCCAGAGTATGTCTACGGGGTCTCGCAAACAGCGTTGATTGCGGATGGGATCGATCGTTGGAGGCCTGAGTCCCTCGTACCAATCGTGCACCGCAAGAATCCTGTAGGTGTATGTGACCTGGTAAATTTCAAACATGGCAGATAGTGTACATGTTATTCGTAACTCAGATGGAATCCTAACTCCGTATATGCAATCGTCTCTTCCATATATCATGCCTCATCATTCCTCTCTTTTCGAACTCGAACTGGAAAACGCCTCCTGCAGTGCCTCGGCTTCCTGCGGATTGACCGCATCGTCTAGAATCTCATGCGCCATCTCCACGGTTTCATCCTCAATTCCAGCTTCCACCACCAGTCCTTCACTGAACGCTAGCCGAGTGAACACCACCAAGAATTTCTGCTTTCCGCCTGGCACTCGACAGAGTTTCGACTGCAGGTCGATCTGGCCCTGGTGTCGTTGTATCACCCCATGCACTAGCCGCATCAACCCGTTGACCAACGCTGCATGTTGATCCTGTTCAGGGGATGACGAATACAGCGCATCCAACTCGTCATGCATGGCTCGGATGAGCCGGGCGAGGGCCGTGGGGTGGGATGCAATGACTGAGCTTCCATGTGTGCTGGAAGGGACCATCACGTTGAACGCGATGGACGTCAGGAGGGACAGGGCCTCCAGTCGCATTTCACAGACCTCAAAGGCCGTGCAGGGAGGCTGGCCCTCATCGACCTGGAGCGTCTCACTCAGGAGATTGGCGACGCGGTCAACGATGTAGTTCTCGTTGGCGATTTGGTCTTGCTCTGTATCTTGGATCGAACCGAACGATTGGGCTCGGATGCTGGTTGACAGCAAGCCGAGTGTTAGGGTGATATCCTTCGCACGCTGTGCGCTGTTTAGCATCATTAGGATGAAGTCGTAGCGTATGTGACGCCAAAAGTTCTCCAGGTCTCGGCTGACATGGAGACATCGGCATGCCATCTGATAGAGCAAGCCCAGTGCTTCGGTCGAATCCACGAGAGGTTGCAGCTCAGACTGGGGTGTTTGTCTTATCTGCCAACTCTGCCGCGATACGGGAGAATGCTTGAACCGCGGGACACCGTTGACGTCCCCTGACGCCTGTAAGACTGGCACTAGATGTTCGATCAAATCTGAGATCGGCGCATCGAGTGCCAGCATGTACCTGAAGATTGACATGAAAATGGGGATTGGCTGCCAGAACTTCTCTCGCAGGGCACGAGACCATAGAGAGGTTATGACTTGAGCGTACTCCACTATGTAGTTGCCGACTTTGAGACTTGCTGTTTCTTCCAAGAGAATCGTGGAGAGCATGCGCTGTGGTTCGGATGGGAATGCCATGCGCGCCATTACCTCAATATCACGCTCCTCGTGAGGAAATGTTCGATGGTTCAGAAGATGTTTCATCGACAGTGGACTTGATACTTTTGGAAGTTCGCTCTGCTGCGGAGGCTGTTCGAGCGCCATGTCCACCATAAGGTCGTCGGAAAAGTCTCCTGGACCGGGTTCGGTCATCATACGATCGACCTGTGGACTTAGTTGCAGTTGGGTGAGGCTGTCCTGACTCGATCTCCTCTTTCTTTTGCCAGGTATCACGGACGCGATCTTCTTGGACCGAGCAGATTTACTTGGGGAGATTGCGACAATCTCATCATCGTCGAACCCGTCGCGAAATGGGAGGACTCTCGTTTTCTTCGGAGTAACAGGTGGTGCCTTTTCCTCGACTCGCCCCTTCATCTTCAAATTGTTGTTCCGGATGGATTCTTCGGCCAAGTCCTGTCTGAGGAAAGCGTTTTCTGTCGCTAGCATTTTGCCTTCTGCGCGCGCAGCCTCGACCTCTTCCTTATGGCGAGCGGCTTCCTCGGCGATCGCCTTTCTCAGTGCCGACAGTTGGCGGTCATAGTTGTCGATGAGCTTGGCTTGGTTGGATCGGATGATGGCAATCTCCCCGGCTTTCGTTTCCGCCATTGCTTTTGCGGCGGCGAGATCTTCCATCAGCTGTTTGTAGTGTTCGTCCTCCCAGGCAGTCTGTTCGGCGCTAATTCCACCGTCACCCCCAACAGGTCCTTCTTGCATGACCATGGCGTCCTCGTACGATAGTTCGCGAACCACGTGCATATCGGAATGATGGGTAAGATCTCCATCGACCTCCATGCGTTCAGCAGGCGCCTGCTGCATATGATGGTATTGTTCCACGTGTGCTGGCCCATTGTACGGGTCATCCACCAAGCCCGAAAGTGACATATCCTGCTCCAGCGGAATTGTTGAGGTGGTCTCATCATTGAGGACCTCTGCGTCCAATTCGCCCACATCCAAAGCATTATAATCGTTCGTTAGTCCGGTGTGTAAACGCGCGGGAGGCTGTAAGGTAGGATTGGGAGGGACGGCGCGGTCTGCATGTTGAGGCTGTGCTGATCGAGACACGTAGTCACCAACAGCGGGACGAGAGTCTATGAATTCGACACTTGGTTCTCGTGTGGTGGGCTTCTGGGCCTGGGTTGCGCGATACGCGTCTTGTTCCAGCTGGAACAAGGTGCCGGGCGGCAGATCATCGAAGCCATCGTCGGAAAAGAAGTCATCTTCGTTGTCTTCCATGCCCTCAGCCGCGGGATCGCCATGAAGGAGTGTGGGGGGAGGAGAGCAATGGAGATGGTGGTGGTTGGGGAAGAAGAAGAGGAAGAGGAAGAAGACTCTCTAGTTATACGAACGCCTGACGTAAGTCAGCTGCGGCCGGCCACGGAACTTTGTCAACTCCTGCTGCGCTTCTACTTCACGACTTCTTCTACTACTTCTTACATCTATCTTCCATTCCTTCTCGTACTCCGCCTCTTCAATGCGACATTCGACAGGACGTGTGCGGCGTTACTCGAATCTCCCTTCTCCTGATCTCTCATCCGTTTCTGTTGGGATTTGTTCCCCCCCGACCGGCTGCTTCACATGAAATTTTACTAAGGACGATCACTCGTGCCCATCTTCGCCCTCGTCTCCCTTCTTCGTCTCCTCCCTTTTCTTCTTTTCTGACCCTTGTCGGACCCGTTCCCCGTACCCCAGTTCTCCCCTAATAATTTTGGTCCCTGATTGACCCCCTCCTTCCCCGCGTTTCCGTTGTCGGCCTTCCTCCCTCTCTCCCCTAACCATCATCCTCACCATGTCCAAATCACGTCGGAACGTCAGGTTTCAACACCGGGGATCCAACGCCTCCGAAACTCGTCGGCTGAGTGTCTCGGAGGGCAGTGACGTCCCATCCGAACCCGGTAGTCCGTCGAGAAACGGCGCTGTGGCCCAACCCGCGACAATTCCCGAGGAGGTGAGCACCCGAGTCGTTCGTGTTTCCCCGAGCGAACACAGAGAATTGGTGTTGCCTTGCGATCTGGCTGGACGGAGAGAGAGCTGACCACGCGCGACCAGAAATCCGAACAGCCGCAGTTGTCCGATTACGAGAAGAAGAGGCAGACCTTCATCACCCGCACAATATGGACCTTCGTGATGATTGCCGGGTTCTTCATCGCCATGTTTTCCGGCCACATTTACATCATCGGCATCATCTCCGCCGTCCAGATCGTTTCGTTCAAGGAAGTCATTGCTATTGCCAACGTTCCTAGCAAAGAGAAAAACCTCCGCTTCACCAAGTCGTTGAATTGGTATTTCCTGGCGACCACCATGTACTTTTTGTACGGCGAGAGCGTCATCTACTACTTCAAGCATATCCTTCTGGTTGACAAGGTGCTGCTGCCCCTCGCGACTCACCACCGCTTCATCAGCTTTACGCTCTACGTGATGGGTAAGTTTCCGGTTGTTCCGGGCGAATAGTGAACCGCTGTTGAGACTGTCTAGGATTCGTCTTCTTCGTCGCCTCGTTGCAAAAAGGTCACTACCGCTTCCAGTTCACCCAGTTCGCGTGGACCCACATGGCGCTGTACCTGATCGTCGTGCAGGCGCATTTCGTGATGAACAATGTTCTGGAAGGCATGATCTGGTTCTTCCTCCCGGCTTCTTTGGTCATCACGAACGACATTTTCGCCTACGTCTGTGGTATCACTTTTGGTCGCACGCAGCTGATTCAGCTGTCCCCCAAGAAAACGGTAGAGGGATTCCTCGGCGCGTGGATCTGCACCATCATTTTTGGTTACTTCATGACGAACATCTTGATGCGCTACAAATACTTCATCTGCCCGGTGAACGACCTCGGTTCTAACGTGCTAACCGGCCTTGAGTGCAACCCCAACCCGGTGTTCGTGCCCCATGCGTATTCGCTCCCCGAATGGACTGGTCTGAACAAGACGTTCTACATTGAGCCGATGCAATTCCACATCCTGGTGTTCGCCACGTTCGCCTCTCTCATTGCTCCTTTCGGAGGTTTCTTTGCTTCGGGTCTCAAACGCACTTTCAAGATCAAGGACTTTGGCGAGTCGATTCCGGGACATGGCGGCATCACCGATCGCATGGACTGCCAGTTTATCATGGGATTCTTCGCCTACATGTACTATCACAGCTTCATTGCGGTTTACAATGTTACCGTTGGGGATATCATTGAGACCGCCATTAACGGTCTCACCGTGGAACAGCAACTCGAGGTGGTTCGCGGTCTGGGCAAATACCTGTACAACCAGGGCACTGTGTCTGAGACGGTCAGTACCTTATCACTTTATAACCATCTTACGCTTACTGACGATAACAGATCCTGGAGTGTCTGAATACGGAGCTCAAGCGCCGATGATTCTTTGATTCTTCATGACCCACCTCCATCCCTCCATCTTAAGATTCCTGTCTTCAATCTGACACATCCGGCCAATCTTCCACCATTTTCGTTAATACGCTGAAGGTGCCGCTTGGACGGCTACGTTGACTAGAGCGCGCCCCACCACACTTCCTCTCGCTGTTGGATGCGTCTGTTCCTTATATCCGTCATCGCATTGGGTCATTGGTGTATACACAGGACACGGCCAGGGACAGTTGGGAGGAACGGCGGTCTGTCGAAATTGCTTATGTCTGCTGTTTCTATCTGGGATGGAACAAGTATGCCTGTAGGCAAGTGTAAGAACAATATATATGAACGAACTGTCTACTGCTTGGGACTGAATGTGGCTTTCTTGTATGGCAATCGACATTGCTAACCAATGTGTCTGATATATACTTTACAGTAGTTTGCATCGGGTGTATATGCTCTTCGTAGCCATCGGCTATACCCCTTTCTTCCCGTGCATTCGTTCATCCCCTGGCATCCCCTGACGCGAGACTCCGTCGTTCTCAACGTCGACGCAGCCGGACCACCCATCTACCATCTCTGTAGTCGCCGTGGCGAATCCGTGGTAGGTATCCGGGGAGAGGCTCGAAAAGCGCATGCGCGGCGATCCGATCCCGCACATCGCGTAGCAAAATTTCTCAAGACGCCGTAAAAAGCGCCAAGCATCTTCACTCCTCAACCTCATACTCCTCCATCTCGACCTTGAAGTACTCGGCAACGAGGGCCTTCTCGGCGTCCGCGCGCTCGGGGTCAATCATGAACCGCACCGCGCCGTCGCGGCCCTTCTCGCCAGGACGAGGTCTCTCGCCGTTCGCAGCGACAGGGACGAGCGGGTGCAACCGGGGCCCAGGCGCGACGGACGGCAGTCTGGCGCCGTTGGTGCTGGGGCGGTCATCGTCGGCGTGGGTGAAGCGCGGGAGATGCTGGGCCTCGGCTTCTTTGTTGAGCGGGATGCGGGCAGTCAGGAAACGGTCTGCTGGGAAGTGGGGGCCGACGGTTGTCGAGCTGCGGTTGTGGGTGTAGAGTTCGAGGAGGTCGAGGAGGGTTTCTTAGATCAATTAGCCTAGGGTTCGTTCATGATAGGGATGGAGAGGTGGGGGAGGGGAGCTCACCCATGACCTCTTCGCGACTCGTCCTCCACTTCTCGTAGTCTGACCCCGTCTCGACGGCGTCGATGCGCTGGTCGAGGAGTCGGCCCGCGAGCTCGAGACAGGCGAACGCCATGGTTGAGGTGGTCTGTTTGAGGGGCGCGTAGGTGCGGTAGAGGTCCTGCGAGATGCGGTATGCGAGGGTGGACACCTCCGACTGCGAGGTGAGGCCGTAGTGGCGGGCCAGTTTGACGAGGGTTTTCTGCGGGTGGCGCGTGCGGAAGTCGAAGCCGGAGGACTCGAGCATGAGTCGTTCCAGGCCAATGATGCCCCGTGAGGGGCCTTCGAATACCTTGACACGGTTAACTTAATCTTCCTGCGCCGGCGCTTGGGGGGCAGGGCCTACCGGATTGTCGGGGGAGACGTGCTCCGACGCGGGTATCTTGAGGTTATACGCGGCGCAGACGATGTCGCGGGATTTCTTGAGGGTGTCTTCGATCTTGCAGGCTGTAAAGAGGGCGGCGGCGGCGGCGTCCTGTGTCCTGTTAGTCGACAGTCGACATGTGTATAAGTGCAGCGTGCTCAGCGTACGGTGTAGCTGTACTCGTTGTCCGGATGGACGAGCCGGAACTTGTGATAGTACACGACGGCTGTGTTGAACGTGCGGATGGGCCTGTAGGCGTCAGTCAGCGGCACCGCCGACTCCAAACGGACGGAAAGCGTACAGATTCAGCGCCCGGCGCACATTGTCGATCCACGTCACGCCCTGCAGTCGCAGCGCCTCCTCGCGCAGCGGATTCACCCCCATGGCCGCGATGCATTTCTGGATGGTGGACTCGAAGATGTACGGCTTGGCGACCTGGATGAACGACGGATGGATAGACGGCGGGTCCGGGATGGCGTCTGCACCCGCCGGACGCGGTGACGTCCCGTCCAGGTGCTCCGGCATGATGTGTTGCGGATGTCGCAGAGGGAAGTGTTTGTTCGTGACGGTGGTTGTTCAGGATGGAGATATCACGTGATGATACCGGGGGATTGTTCTCCCGCTTGAAGTTGATATCAGCCCTCAATTGACTAACTATGAACACAACTGAAAGGTAGAGCCACTTCTACCCGACCTCCTGCAGTCTTAAGTCTCCTATCCGTTTTACATGACATTTAACTTGTCTCTGGTATCAACTTGTGACACAAGTATTTCACCAAGTTCTTGAGCACTATGATCTTCTCCCGGTCAGTCTTGCCATCCGCCAGTATCTCGTCAGCCTTTTCGCCGAAAAGACCCCATACGGGGACGATCTTTTGGTCATCATCCCATTTTGAGTGCCTGTTGATGGCACTAAAAGCATCCTTCATGCACGAGAAGTCCCGTAGGCTGAGCGCAAAGCTCCGATACTCATCGCCAGCCCCGCACGCATGAACGCAGTGAGCACAGTACATGATTAACGACGCAAGACCTGCCGCAAGAGCTGTTGAGACAGATGACCCTGTATGATAGACGACGGGATTTGTTGAGTGAGCCCTCTGCTCCTCGGCGACCTGGTTGCCTGGGAAATAGAAGGTGATGGAGTTTCCACTGCCGGAGCTTGGATCTCGATCGGCGAAGTGGCCGGCAGAACCGATGCGAAGAATCCTCTTTGAGGCCGCACTATAGGGGAGGGTGTTCTTCCCACTAAGCCGGAGGTCGTCTGCGGCCGAGCAGATGAGAAGTCGTTCCATAGGGTTTTTGGTGGCTCTTTCGATGGCTGCCCGAAGGAGGTTCATGTCGCTTTCTCCTGCAGGCTTCTTGGTGCCCTCCACGTCAGGGCTCTCACTATATATGGACGACCTCCGGTATCCTAGATCCGTTATCGTCCACGACATCGAGATTATATCGGCTTTGCGCTTGATTGCGGCATCAATAGCATCAGCGGCACTTCGTGGGTCGATACTGCGCGCTCCATTCCCGTGTATGTACGACGGGCTGCTCTGGATTTTGATCACTTCCAGGTCGACCCAAGGATTGATCCGGCTGATCATGTTAGCCATGATGGTACCGTGGCCGCCGGTGGATTTCCACCAAGCGTCTTCGCCGCGCCCATTGCTGGGACAGTAGCTTACGCCCGTATAGCTCGTAGTGTTGTTATAATGGTTAACTTCGTGGAGGTCAATCCCGTCATCAATCAAGGCTACCTGCCGAGAGTCAGCATAGAACTGTGGGAACATGTAAACCTTCGTGAAGTAGCCTACCTTGACTCTGGAGGGCCGACTACTTGGTTGACCAAGTAGTCCACTTTTATGCATGCCGAGCAGTGCTTTTCGGAACCGTTCCATCGCCCCAATCCATGCATCCGAACGGGGCTTTTCGAAATGCTCCCCATAAAGGGGATCTTGTTCACCGTCCGGCCTTTCTTTGACGATGATACTTCTCAATACCGGGTTCGTAGTCACTTTAACCTTCTTGTCAGTCCTCTTCTCCACCAGACTGGCATACTGGTCAGCCATCACGTCCCTACGCTCCATGCTCTCCAGGCCCTGAACGCCTGTCAGTAGGTCTCCTCGACCACCTCTTCATAAGTGGCTCACTTGATAGGCATGCAACGTAACGTTGGATAACAATGACCTCGGATTCCTCCAAATCAGAGGTATTCCATGTTCGCTGCTCGCCCAGCCGTAAAGGACAGCTTGGTTTCCGCTCCAATGTAAATGGATGTGTTGCACAGACGGCGCTGCGTGCTTGATTACATCTGTGTTTATATCTGGTTTGCACCAATCCCTATTAACCCCCGAGTAAGCCTATGGATGATGATGTCGAAGTCGTCTCGAGGCAAGCTTACCATTCTTCAATTTCCAAGGCTGCCCTAGAGCCTGCACTGGAATACTGATCATACCCCCTGATAGCTCGTTCAATTGCGGCGTCTGTATGGGCCCGTTCGTCGGCGTTGTCCTCCACGTGAAGCCGCAGAACCTTGCGAACATGCACTTCGACTAGCTTATCGAAGACCTTAACGAGTGTATCTCGCCCCTTAGACTCACTGTCGGCAGAGCCCTTTGTGAGTTGTCGCTTTTCATTTGCGAAATTTCGTCTCTGCGTTGGGGGGATAGCTGGAATCTCGGATGCTAGCTGAGGAATCCTCACGTATGAAAGGGTATCTCCAAACCCCCCTGCTTGATGCAATTTTTCGATTAGGAGGACGACGTCATCAACTCTCTTACCACGCAGATGGCTCGCATCGAAAAAGAGGTTCTTATCTGGAAAGTAGAGACAGTGTCAGCGGTCATTCGAATGCAAATGGACCGTACCCACCGGAGGCAACCCGCCCATACAAGAAATCTTTCGCGTCCCTGTCAGTGCAGTTTCGGATGAAAAAGCACTGAACATAATTCAATAGCTTCTCTGCAGCTTCCGTCTCCAGCCTTGGCCACTGGAATGGCTCGACGGTTCTCCCAGATTTTGAAGCTTCTTGGTTTGTAGGGATTGAGGAAGTTGTGGTTTCAGGCGAGGTTTTGGGCTGTACCTTACGCCGTATAGTGTCTGCGAACCCTGTAGGAGTCCTAGCTAAAGGATAGAGCTTCGCCTGTCCAGCCTCATTATCCTTAGTCTTGTCTGGTGGTGTTGCAAATGAACCAAGGCGATGTTGGGGCTCCGTTAAGACAGGACGGACGTATGTCTTGACTGAAAGAGTTGTCTGCAAGAAGTCTTTCTTCATCGAGATTGATAGTCGATCAACTGACTCTCCGGTTGGGTGCTTTTCGGGACCCTTAACCAGGTCATGGTGGTCTTCCTTCATAGTCTGCTTTGCGTTTGGTTTTGGCTCCTTCCCTGATGACCCCGGCGCGTTCGCCTTCATTATCTGTTTCAACCGCTCGTGAATCTGGTCTTTGAGACGGAAATAATAGCGATAAGGAGAATCCCCAATACGATTGAACAGAACATCCACGTTCTTCAGGACCGATTTGTTCTTGGCCAAGGGCGAAAGTAGCTTTCTGATGATTTCGTCATAGCCATGCGTTTTCCCACCATACTCGTATGTCGCGGAGATATGGCACAGTCTGTAATCCATCGCATAATGAATTGGGGTGTTGCCGGAATTATCTTGTGCAGTGGTAGTCGTTAGATTCGCATGCTCCAGCAACGTCGTGATGGTTGACATGGTCGATGTTAGGTGACCCGATGCCCTCTTTTGGTGCGCCCCCCCAGTCTGAGAGCAGGACGCTTTGAAATGCCTTGTGCAGACAATTCTTTCCTTCGCCATCTGTGGACAAGAGGAGGCTTGGGAGCAGGTCTGACTGCTTCGTGAGGATGAATTCAATGAAGTCCGCTCTGTGATAGCTGATCGCGACGGTGAGGAGTGGATCTGCCGGTCTCTCTGCGTGCCTGCTGAGTTGATTTAACAGAAACAGAATGATCTTTTCACGTGTTTCGATAGCCAATTCCTCGAATCCAATGAGACTGGGGTCTTCTGTCAATTTATGCAGTAGCGTGGGTCGCGATACGTTTTTATCGTCATAGTATGCCAGCGACAACTTGTCTTCTTCATCCAGGCTCTCCCAGTCACTTTCGCCAGTAACCAGAAGCTTGAGTACATCGCTCCAGAGCCTTTTGGGCACAGGTTCTGGCGACAGCCCAAAAATTGGATCCTGGCCGGCTTCAAGGTTCAATTGGCTGAAGCCATCCATGAGCTCAGCCGCCGACGTTGAGAAATCCATCGTATATGGTGGAATGGGTGGAATCACGAACAAGGGCAATAATTGAGATTGAAAGTATTCTGGCCCTTTTCTGCCCTTGAATCCCTACAGATGAGATCAGTCTCCCCGCTTATGTCCAGCAGTTGCAGGCCTGGGGTCAGCGTGACCAAGCCACCATAGGGGTGCTGGGCTCTATCGTTTCTTTTTTCTTACATGGATGCCATGTCAACCACAGTTCTGCGAGAGTGCAGCAGCCATGGTGAGAGCCAGCACGTTTTTGCCCAATCACTCCCATCGGAACATAGCATGGGCGAGGCTGCATTCCTTCGACTACATGTTTGCTTCTTCTACATTAAATTCGCTCGGGCCGCGCACTGCAGTCGGCAACGAATGACATTCGACGCCTGCTGGAAGAACCAGTACCGCTGATCCTCCAATCCTCGAAATTCCCGCCCGTCCAGACTGACCCCCGGTATTTATCCAGATTGATTCAGCTTGGATGGCTTGATTGCGCCTTGATAGTCGTTGTACAAGGTGCAGTCCCACAGGTCATCCAAGTCGGTGGCGCCAAGGTTATCTCTGTCTATCTTTACCTGGCCGTCCAGGTGATTAAAGGGAGGCTCGTCAACGCTAAAGTAGACCGGGTCATCTGGATCCCTTGTCGAGAATAGTGTAGCCACAGTGGTCAGGAAATTTGGCTTGACGGAGACAACGGGGACGCAGAGAAAGTCTTGATCATCGTCCCTCTCGAGGAGAACGCACACTGTGAGCTTGGATGGGATCCCGTCTTTCTGGGACTGGTTTTCACGTAGTGAGAAGCGAGCCTCGTAATAATCTCCCCAGTCATCTTGTGGTCTGTCACCCGTTATCACCGTGTGGCACTTGGCCACTTTCTCCATCGAATGGCCTCCTCCGACATCGACCCCGACCATCTGCATGAACCCAGCATTGATGCCTGCGTGGATGTCCTTGGCCTCTGTTTGTTCAGTTTTCTCCATTTTGTGCACCCCGTCGGGTCTCACTTTTGCGACGGAAACGCGTCCCGTCGCTCCTGGCTGAGGCTTAAACTCGAAAGAGATATCCGCCTCTCTGAGGCGCGCCCCTCTGTAGGACTGGAATTTGAGCTCGTACACGAGCAGCGTCGCTTTCTTGGAAGAAGGGCCTCCTAGCTCCCCGTGTATCATAGCTTTGGCATTGCAGCTGACGGTGAAGGCGGGCTTCCTTCGTGACATCCCTCCTCTGAAGACGGAAACGTGCGGCCGCTGGCGCTCGCCTGGTCGGTTTCGAGTTCTGAACTCTGATGATTTGTCTACCGTCAGGTCGGATCGCATCAGCCTGAATGAAAATGTACATAGTATACCTCCTGGTGGGCCCTGATAAGTTAAAGCCATTGTAAATGAGATTGGATCCGTGAGACCCTGACCCTCCTCCTCCTCTTCCTCCTCACTCAGCCAGAGCTCGTATTTGTTCATTATTCTTTGCGGAAGAAAGGCGCTGGAAGTACGATGTTTGTGTGGTAATGTGTAGAGGGTGACTACTGATACTTTAGATCTTCGTCATGGGAGGGGCACCTTGTTGTAGCAAAGAGCGAAGAGCAATTCAATTAACATTCAATACGGAAAAATTCGTTTGAGCTCGAACAGCCCCAGACTGGGCATGTGGTTTATTGTGGCTGCTGACTGCTTCGAATCTGACGCAGTGTGACTGTAGATCAGAGACAAAGGGCTCGACGGGGACAGCAAGTGCAGTGTGAAAACAAAGAATCCCCGTTGTTGACTGGCAATTATCCTGGAAGGCTCCATGCTCTTAGCGAGGCTGACGTATCATCCAAACACAACCGAATGCATCCCTCAAGTTTCCAATTTTAAAAGGAGGAGATTTTGTCGAAAGGCAGACAGCGATTGCATATGCCGCAAAGGAAGTCCGGAAGTTCCTGGCTCCCCAGTTGCGACACACCTGCAAACAGTTCTAGACTGATATGATACCACGACCTTCTGTAGATGTTTCGTCCATAACCGGCTTGTTGACAGAGTCGCAGCAGCCCAGGATGTCCGTTGGTGAGGTGACCCCCTCCCATCTGGTGTTGGTGCATACCATTGTACCTTCCCAGTCGGACCCCTATAAGCACCCAAATCTTGAGTAAGACCTGCCCTTGGATTCCTTGCTCTTGTGCTTTCTGGCACGATCTTCCAGATTCCCTGACAAATGACAGTGTCATCCATGTTGTCGGGGTAAACCCAGAGCGACGGCTGGGACTAGACACCATAATCGGAAACTCGGTGTCTTCCAGGACAAGAGAGTATGTCTTCGAATGCAATATCGCACGTCTACTTCTTGGCGACTTAGCCTTCGGTGAAATTGAGGATCAGGCACTGCAGTTGTTGAGTGATCTAGTGGCTGCTCATGACGAAGGCGAAGTAGGTCCTCCACTGCAGCACAAGTTGACATCGACGCAATATGGCGAAAAGATACTCACCTAAACAGGATTCCTCCAATCTGGCTCGGATATTTGTTGCTTATGACCTGGGTGCATTGATCGTCAAGAAGGTACCTCACATGCTTACATTGGTCTGACCGTCCTCAGACTTCTGACATGCAGGATTTAGGCTATCGCGATCGCGTCATCGCAGGACTCGCAATGGCAAGAGATCTTTTACAGCACTGTGCAGTTTGTACGTGACGTTCCTCGGCCAGTTCTGAATTTATGAGCAACTGACCGAGGACGCAGATATGGTGGAGCTGCTTTCAGCGGAGTCGAAATGTCCAGACGTTCGACAGGAAGCTCTCGCGGTTTCTGCACGCGCATCAACAAAATGCTCCATGGGCTTGTCTGGCAACATCCATGTCAATTCAAGCTCTCGCAGAGGCCTCGATTGAAACGACGGAGGCATTCCTTGCTTCTAGGGCCTCCCTACGTACCCGGATGGTTAGCATCTATACCAATGAGACTACGAACGGAATGGATACTGTATGTTTACTTAGCGAGAAAGAACGCATTGTTTCTTGCTGCGTACCCTTCTGACATAAATACAGGCTCTTGACTTCTTCACCGCTACCTTCGGTGTATCCACTGAGATCGCCGTGCAGGAGAATCCACCTGGTGAGGACGGATATGTATCTAGCTTGGAAGAAGTCGTGAGTTATCGAAGAGAAAGTGGGTGTCACCATAGTTCAGGACTCACGTTCATCGCCAAATACCTGCTAGTTAAGACTACTAACCGATGGCACTCTCTGCAGATTGGGCAACCCACCCACAATGGATGGCCTTACAGCGAATGCTTTTACCACTGGCAATGCCGCAGCACCAGCATACAGTTGAGCAACCGGAGACCTCGCCAAGAGCGTTGGAATGTCAGGCGTATAAAGACTGGGCTACAACACCGAGGACACCAGTCTTATACATTCAAGGCCGTGATGGGGCCGCTTCCAGGTTTCTAGCGGACCACTTGGCTCTATTCGAACAGAAAAAGCAGCAAGAGAAAAAGAAATACGAGACTCCGATACTATCATTCCGTTTCTCGTCCGACAACCCCATGCGGGCCACTATGCATTCTGTGATATGCTCAGTCCTCATCCAGGTCCTCACTGCTTTTGAACCTGAAAATCTTCATCTAGGTACTGATCTGCTCCTGGACTTGTACCGCATTCAAAAGGGATGGACATTGAAAGACCTTGGTAACATCCTAGCAACTGTCCCAATACAACGTTTACAGACCAGTGGCTTTCTAGTACTCCATGATGTCGATGAATGCGACGTGGCAAGCCGTAAATACCTTTGGGGCCTAGTCCAGGGTCTCGCAGATCGCTCAGATTTGCCTATCAAGGTTATCGTGACAAGTCAACGCAGGCTGTCGTTACTGATAGATTCCGACAAATCTAGCCTATGGAACTTGTACGACTATTCTGAAGACACCCCGGATGTGCCTTTGATCCCCAGGCTCTGCCCCGCGGGTTATGGCGAGACTCGAGTGAAGACAGCTCTCCGTCGACTAGCCGATATGAATCAAGCAAGCTTAGAACAGATTGTCTGCCTCTTGCGGGGATATACGGGTTGGCCAGACAACCCATCTTCGGCTGCATGGTTTAGTTTCTGCACGCTTCTAGACACAATCCAACCATCGACGTCGCCGGCCACCGTGTTAGACCAGATCCTCAGAACAGTCTCTGACCAAATTTTAGGCCTACGATGGATTCTCCAATGGCTATTGTACGGACATCGACCCCTAAGCGGCCCTGAACTCGGATGGCTTTTGCACCAATGTCACTGGGGCCCTGAAAATCGGTGTATGTCCAGTCCTGCCTCGAACGAGATAGGGAATTCTCTCCAGTTGATGAAATCAAAGTTATCAGCATTTCTACACTTTGGTTACAATCGAGTTTGTGTCAGAGATTCTCTCCGGGATCTTCTTCTTGAAGATGATCCGATCTACATGTGGAATGAAATCAAACCTCTAGCCCACGAAACGATCGAATTTCTCACGTTCTATCTCACACGCCCAGAAGTTCGTGAGCGGTTGACTAAGTTGTACGATGAATACACCTTGCTGTATAATGCTAGTGACAACCTCCTCACGCCTTCACTGCAGCCAGATGGTACCGATTTTATTTTCTATGCCGTAACGGCATTTCCATACCATCTTGACAGACACCCTGAATTTCTGCAAAACCTGGGGCCTATTTTCGAGTCACAAGAACAGCCTCTCACCCCCTGGGCACGGATGTATTGGGCAATGCACAACCCTTTCTCACGGCCTTCGGAACCGATAGACTCACCCGTCGCTGCTCTTCTCCGGACGACTCTCAGTGTACGCCTCCGTGAAGCATTAATCAGCGCGATGGATGCCCGGTTGATTCGCACGGAAGTATCCAACGCACCTCAAGAGTCGAACGATGTCACTACGATGCATCTTCTGGCTCATGCCATGTCTGTGGGGCACGAAAAAGCTGCTTTGGAACATGTGCGGCGTACTCTCCCTAGCAGAGCTAGTCATGGTAAGGCCCCCGATGATGAGAGCATCTCAGTTTCAAAAGGCGCGCTAGAGGATCATGCTTGGCACTCGAGGCTATTATGGAGAGCAACGTGGCTCAATATGGATCAACTCGTTGAACTTCTCCTAGAGACTGGTGTCCCTCCGGACCCTGAGGACGTGGTATTCGCGCGATGTCACTCTCCCCTGTATGTGGCGTCGGTATGTGGCCATACTCGGGTTGTCCAAGCATTAATCCAGGCTAAAGCAAATACACGTGCCTTAGAAGTGGGCGAGGTAGGTGTTATGTACGCCGCCGCCGCTGCGTACGGGCACAGCGACACCGTCCGCGCTCTGGTGGCTGCAGACCGAGCGTTTATGGAGCTGCATCAGCCTCACACTGCTCTCTACATAGCAGCCAACTGGGGACAATGGCGAACAGTGGAAACACTTCTCGACTTAGGAGCCAAAGCTGACACCAACACCGCAGCGGGGGGTTGGACTCCCCTTATCAGCGCATCTTGCTCCGGCTACATCCAGACAGTCCGGACTCTCCTGGAGCATGGGGCGAATCCTAATCTCTGCGATCTCGAGCAAGATCCTCCTCTTTGGTTCGCTGCGTTGCTCGGCGAAAGCGTCGAGTGCGTTCGAGCCCTCCTCGAGCACGGCGCAGACCCAAATCATGAGCTTCTGCAGTCTCCATTGGCGACTGAGATCTGCGGCGCGTCCGATATTAGCACGGAAACACAGATTGCACTTTTGGATTGCCTTGTCCATAGCACGCCGGGAATTGACCTTGACAGAGCAGACCCGGACGGAACGACATGCTTGATGTGGGCCGCCAGTGGCGATAACACTGCTCTGGTCGAATGGCTCCTTGCTCATAACGTCGATGTGTGCGCCACAGATGAAAAATTGCGTACCGCACTATATTACGCCGTTGTGAACGGCAATCAGCAGACTATCCTCGCGCTCCTCGCGAAGGGGTCCCCAGTGAACAATGTGACCAGTGACGGGGAGACGCTGCTGCAGCTCTCCGTGGGCAAGGGTGTTGAGCAAATGAGTCTGCTGCTGGATGCTAAGGCTGACATCGAGCTCGAGAATGGGAACAACCTGACTGCTCTCAACACAGCGGTTGTCGCCGAGAAGCCTGACGTTGTGAAACTGCTTATCGAGAGAAAGGCTAATATTCACCATCGGGATGGCTACGGTTGGAGTCCTATTCACGACGCTTCCTATTATCGTCCCAACGTCGAGGTCGTTCGGCTCCTTGCCAACGCAGGTGCGAATCTGACGGAAACAGTGAACAGTGGTAAAACCCCTCTGCATCTTGCTGCCAGCGACGCCCGGCCGGATATAGTGGCAATCTTGCTAGAGTATCACGGTGCTCTCGATATAGAGCAACGTACCGAGAACGGCGAGACTCCACTTGTCCACGCCGTGCTGGGTAACAACTTGGAATGCGTTCGGCGTCTATTGCAAGCAGGTGCAAATATCAATGCACAGTGCCAACAGGGTTGGACACCACTCATGAATGCCATATACCACAGCCAATCCGACGAGATGACAAGGCTTCTTCTGTCTCAACCCGGGGTAGATATACATCTTTTTTCTCCGAAGAACGGAGCCGCTTTACATTTTGCCTGCACGGTCCTTAACTTTACCATGGTCACCGAGCTCCTTGATAGAAGGGCGGATGTAAACCAGCAGGTTCTCGGCCTTAGATCGACGCCTATCAGGGCAGCTTGTCTACCAGAGAATGCACCGGACTCCGATTCTCGCCATGCGAACCTCGACAAGATTGACCAAATTGTTCGAACCCTAGTAGCTCACGGAGCCGATGTGCATGCCATGTCTGACACTCCCATATCCACTCTTTTGTGTGCCGCTGCTTTGAATTCGGGGCCCAGCACAATAAACTACCTCATCAGCGAAGGTCTTTCGCTCGACCAGCAAGACTGTGTTGGTAGACTCCCCGTTCAATACGCCGCCGCCAATGGCCTTGAGAGTTTCGAAGCAGTACTTCGTGACGACAGCGAGCTCCTGACGGAAGACATCGCAGGGAAGACCGCCCTCCACTGGGCCGCCCAGTTCGGGCATGTGCGAACACTGGAGTCAATCCTGGCCCATGCACGCTCACCACAGGAACGGGCCAAGTGGGTGAACCGACCCGATATTGATGGCTGGACTGCACTCTGCTGGGCGCTTCGCCCCTGTACAGTCGTAAGTGTCGTACGGTCATACGGTGAACCATACGATCTCACCGGCATCGTGCAAGCCCTGCTCGATGCCGGTGCTGATGTGTCTATCTCATGTCGCATGGGTCGAGAAGACGAAAGATTCACAGCTTTGGAGCTGGCCCAACTACATGATGTCCCGGCGGAAGTAATCCGCCTTCTCGGCAAGCCCGAAGTCACGGATTCCACGGAAGACAAGACCGTACGCTTGATTGCACCGTACTCAAGGCAATATTACGATTGCGATATTTGCCTAAACGTCAGTGACCCTTTACTGATGGTGGAGCCGAGAACTACTAACGCAACGCCATTAGACAATCTGGGGACCTGTGATAGAGTGCCAGACCTGCCCCAACTTTTCCGTGTGTAAAAAATGCCATGGGCGGATCGACCTCTACCACGGGCATGTCAAGCAGGAAACTGGAGAGCCACATGAGTTCAAGGTCATCATTGAAGCGCTACCGGAAATACGAGAGCAATCAAAAGCTAGCGATCAGCCGTTGAGTGCCGATGTAAGAGTTGGCCCCGAGGGAGTCAATGCGCCGGATGGGACACAGCTTGATCAACCCACCATAGTGAATGACAGTGTCATGGATGCTATTATGAGCTTTTCGATGGACGACAATATTGGGGGGATTGAGACGGCCTCATCTTGATAGTATGTTTCAATACACGCAGTCTCAAATTGAATCTCCGGATCCAACTTCACACTTTCCAGCGTGCAAACTCACAACAGTCTCGAATTAGTATAGTAAGATTCAGATCTAGCAGATTAGGCAAAACAGCTAGGGGCGAAGGATAAAGCCATTTGGATACTGGGTAGCTCGCGAGTTGCGCAACCATCTAATAGCCCTTCTCTCCATCATCTACCCTATCACCACACTCGTGCGAGCTCAGGAGGCGGTGCTCGCCTACGAGAACTGGTTGCTCAGTAGCTAGATATCATGAATGACACGCAGGTGTAAACGACTCAGCCATTGATAGTACAACTATATTAAACGATTCGGCAGTGGACTATCTCTACCAGGGGAATAAGGCAAGAAGCCAAGCGCTCTCATTCTTGTCCATATTTCTTGAGCAATTTCTGCATGATGGAGACCGCGCCAGATCGATATCCCGCGCCAAAAATGGCATGATGGTTGAGATGGTGGTATCTGTCGCACATCAGCTTCAATCCACAGAGCACACGATAACATAAAAAAATACTCACAATTCATACAACCGCACCCGATCATCGTACTCCTCAACCGGCTCCGTCTTGGGCACGATCGCATGATACGCCGAGAAGAACGTCGACCCAAACCCGCCAAACATCCTCATAATCCCCAGCTCATACTCACTATGCGCGTAGCACGCCGACGGATCATACACGACGTCCCCCGTCTCCTCGTCCTCGCCGCGACCGCTCCCAACAATCCGTCCGCGGTCCGCATTGCCGCTCCACAAATCCCCATGCACCACAACCGGCGTGACGCCCTCGCCACTCCCATCGCGGTCATACCCGAGATGACCATCGCGCAGCAACGCCGGCACAACCGTCCGCGCCGTGCGCTCCACCATCTCGCGCAGCCCCGCGTCCCGCCCGTTGCGGCGCTCCGACGCCTCGAGAATCATCAGCAGCCGCTCGTTGGCGTAGAAGTCTGCCCACGAGTCACAGAACCGGTTTGGCTGTTTCGTGTCGCCGCAGAATGTCGCGACGGGGAATCCGAACCGTTGACGGCCGGTGGCCGGGTCGACGGGCGCCGGCGTGCTGTGCAGTTTTCCCAGCCGTTGCGCTAGCGACGCGCCGGATCGGGTGCCCCTGCCGAGATCGAGGTACTCTGTCGCTAGGAAAAAGCCCCGGCTGCACTGGTTGTTGTTGCTGGGGGCGTGGGCGTCGTCGAGCGGGCCCCAGGCCAGCGCCCGCGGACAGAACCCCGGCACGCAGTTGGCGATCGCGTTGAGGGACTCGTACTCGCCGCGGAACATCTCTTCGGCGGCGGCGCCGTCGGCGGAGGTTTTGAAGAAGAAGCGGCGTTCTTCTTCGCGTTGGCCGTCGGCTGAGGGGACGGTCGCGCGGATGGCGCCTGTGTTGGTGAAGCCGGACCCGAGGGCGGCGGTCGACAAGGTGGCCTTGGATGGGTCTGGGATGCCGAGGGCGCGCAGAACGGCGGGAGGAACGGGCGCCATTGTGATGGACCGTTATCAGCAGGGGTCTGATCTAGCCGTTGCTGTTCGGTGTTCGAGGGCGTGGGTAGAGAATGGGTTGATGGATGGGGTGTTTGTTCCTGGGTACCTGAGGTGGTTGCTTCTCCCCTCCGGAAACGTCACCGCCTGATGACGTAGTAGTTCGTACCTTATCGATAAGAACTATAGCTTCTTCTTACTTCCGTTTCCTATTCAGTAACGCGTGTAGGTAGAGACCATATTGAATCACCTATGTAATGCTTTTGTACATTCATCCCAACGCCTGGCCCGTTCTTGTTCCCCGCTATGCATGGGTCAATGAATTCACCAAGTGCTGCGCTGTCTTCGTTCGCTCCCGCACATCCAGGTCCGGATCGTCTTCCAACGTCGCCAATCGCTCCGTCACTCCGATCGAGCGGAGTTTGACTGCTCGCTCTCGACAGCCTTCGCGGTCGCTGACGTCATCCTCGTATGTCAGATTGATCACCACCCACACGCAGTTGGTGCGTACATCCCGGTGCGCATGGTTGAAGTACCCCATGAGGTACCGCAGCAGGTCCCGATGCGAGACTAGCAGCTGCCGATGCCACGGGAGGCCGGCGGCCAGGTGAATGATGACGTACGTCACCGCGACGAGAATCTCGGTGGGAACCTGTAGAGGCTTCTGCGCCGAGGTATCTCGGCGGTTCGGAATCTGGATGGTGCGCGGTCGCAGCTTATCCGCCAGAGCATCCAGCACCACGTCCTGGCCGATCTCCTTGAACAGATGGTCGATCATCTCCGACGCGCCCTGTCCGCAAATCAAGTTGCGCAACAGATCGAATGTCTGCTCCTGTACGGCGATGTCATCCTGGCGCGCCTGCGTGCTTTGGTCGAGGTCCCCGTGCAGTGCCAGCTTGCGTCGGCGACTGGCATCCGGGAGGAACATCTCCAAGCTAATCTTCGACGGCGGAAGGGTATCCGCCATCTTCATATCATCGTCGCGTTCCTGCGAATTTTCCACGGGATTCAATAGATCCACTTGTTCTCCGGCAGAATTGGCGCGACTCATCCCGACCGACGCATTGGTGTCCATTTCCTCGTCTATCCCTCGCTTGGCGAGGGCAGCCGTGGGGTCCTGTGTGATGACCTGTTTAATCCAGCTTGGCTGTAGACCTTCAATTATTTTTATCTTGACGTCGTTGCTCGAGTTATACGCAACATGTTTCAGAGCCCAAAGCGACTCGATCCGGAGCTTAGTATTAGTCGAGTGCGCATGCTCACAGAGGACCGGGAGGATCTCGGCAGAGATGATCGCCTGCGATGTCAGTAAACCCAGAGAACACCAGATCGAGCAAAGTAACCTACTTCTTTCATAGGACTAAAGTCCAGGGCCAGGTTGCAGATGACCGAAGTAGCCGCGATCTGGACTTCAATGTCCGGGTGTCGAATCAAAACGAAAAGGGGCGTAGCAACGCCGGCGTCAATGAGGCTTGTCCTCAAGACGCTCACTGAGCGGGTGAGCATGCGAGCAGCACCACAGGCCGCTAGCAATGTAGGTGTCGGGTTCCCGTCCGCGGCGGTATTCTTAGGACTCGTCGTATCCGGCGGTGGTTCGCTGGGACACGGCTTTAATGAGTCAATTATGTATGGCACGACTCCGTATTCACAGACAGCCTTGCGGTATTCATCCTTGAACGGCACCAATGCGGCCAATGCTTTCAATATGTTCTCACGATATCGCATGACGTGGCAGTGGATCGGCGAATAGCCCGCTGAGCCGAGTTGACACTCTGGAGGCAACGTATCACAACTCTCCGTGGTCTCTTCACTTTCGGCATGCCACATCGGCCTCCGATTATCGGGCACTGGGTTGTATGTTTCCTTGAGTAGCTGGGACAGCCGTTTAATGGCATCTCCCTCGACTGCATGCTTCTGCAGCTCTTGGTCGTCAATGACAAGAGTTGCGAGCACCGCAGGAGCCTCCTCCCTTAGGCGTTCCGAAGACGGTACTAGACCGCCGTATTGAATGCCATCGTCACCCGCGCTATCATAGTCCTTGTCGAGCATTCGGATCAGGATGGGTATCAACAAGTAACACAGCATGGAGACACGGTGCTTCTTCGTGAGACCCAGACGGAACAGGACGGTGACAAGACGGGCGGCCATCAAACGAGCCATGCCATTCTCAGCGCGAATGATGTATAACAACCAGGGAACGACGGCATTTTCCTCGTCATCCAACTGCCAGGCGCCTCAAAGATTGAGAACGGCGTGGGGAAAGACTGGCTGTGATGACGATGTGAGGGACCCTGAGGTCCGAGAGGGGGGAAATTGGCGGAATTTGCCGGGGCCTTGCCGTGCGACAAGGGAACGGATGGCAATAAATATTCCAGCGGATTTGCCCCCGCGTGGCGCGGGACGGCCGAGCCAGAGAAGTATGTCGACCCCCATGGACCTTTCTTAATATCGGACGGAGCAAAGTCGGGCACCTGTCTGGGAAAGACAGTCACAATGCCTGGGGAGGAGAGAAAATGCTCTGCGCGCCATTTTGAGTGTTCAATGATCACCGTGATGGCGCGCAGGATGGGGCCCAATTTGGCGCTGGAAGGAGCCGGAGGCGGCAGCGCGCCGAGGGCCCCCGGCTCCCCGACATGGGCTTCTGCTCCTGGGAGGACGAAGCCCTGCGCAACCACAAAGGAAGCTACCTTCACCGCCAAGGCGTCCAACACACCGCATTCCGCCAGGGCTGCCTTATGCGTCTCCTCGGCACACAGTTTGCTGATCAGGGCCGCGGCGAGCTCGATAGCGGCCTGCTCATGGTGCGTTGTGTAGTCCTGTCCCAGAATGCGTGACAAAAATCCGATGTGTTGAGGGGAAAAGAGCAAGTCGGCCAAGCTGGTATCTTTCGGCGAGGGGGGTTGGTTTTGGAGCGGAAGGCGATCGGCGATGTTGTTGAGGGCCCGTAGGATAGGAAGAATGAAGGCGCGAGGGCAGTCATGGGTAGACAGGATGGTTAGGAGGATGGAGAGTATGTCACTTGCGAGGATAGGTGCCAGAAAAGATACACCGCCTAAACGGGGGGTTAGAAAGAGGTCTGCCAGCAGGATCTGAATTGTTTACCTTGAGCTAAGCTCCCGAGGATGATGATAGCCTGTAGACAAGCTTCATCCTGCTCTGAACGAGTACCCGAACGCCCGTTGTCCTTGAGCAATCCATTCAGGTTCGACGAGCCGGAGGAGGATCGGTTGGATTGGTGGGAGGCCAGGACCTTGGCGATTATTGGGATGATGCCCAAACGGACCCACGTCTCTTTGCGCTGGTCATGACCAATGGTCTCATTTTTGAGGTTGCGAAGAGCGGTGGCTTGGGCCGATATAGAATCTGCGGTTTGGAGCTGGTGAAGGATAGGTGGAGTAGAAGCGCGCGTCATCGTCGGGGAACACCGCCTCCCGCGGGACTGGACGAGTTAGTCGGACGGTGATGGACCGAAGGGAAACGGAGGATGACTCGAACGGCACTATGGGGCAGTCGAGAGCTCGATCAATCGGGGATATAGGGGGAGGATGGAAATGCGGGGATGAACGGGGCGGGGAGATGGGGGTCCCATACAGCTGGATAGCGGGAGATGGAGATGGAGATGATATCGGGCTATGGGAAGAAGAGCCACGGGAAACTCGATGGAAACCAAGATAGAACCCAATTTACCGAAGCAAAGCAAACCCGGAAACAAGCCGAAACCACAAATCACGCCGGAGGAGTCGAGGAGTCGGGGAGGAGAACAAACGACATGGCGGTGGTTCGGGATGGATGGACGGGATGAGAACATGGTCGACTGCCCGAAACGGTCATGGCTCCCGCCTGAGGCACCGGTTGCGTAGGTCATGTGACTGGGTTGTGATGTGTCAGCACCATCTCACGTGCTCAGCCCTATTGAGCTTAGTCACGGCACTACTAGTCCGTTGCGGTTTAGTCGGGCTTGTCTAGCTTGCCGGGGCTCGCAAAGTCCATCGCGATGACGTCTCGAGAGTCCAAACCGGGCAGAGAGGGGAAGAGCAAAGAGAGGGAAGAGAACCCCCTCTGGGGGCATCTCCATCCCCCTCGCACGGTCCACGGCTGAGGTAATTTTTGGCCAGCGATTGTCCATTGATCAGGAGGCGATTGCTTACTAGTGTGTGTCAGGCCAGTACCGCCGCAAAAGGAACGGGTAAGATTTCCCCATGATTTCCTGCGGGCGGCTGGTATTGGTACCGTATGGGATGTGTACCGCAGAGTCGTGATTGGTCGGAGTCTTCATCCTCCCAGTTTTCCAGCGGTAATTTGTAAAATACGACGAAACAGTCAAAAATTTCCTTCCCTTAGGTGTCTCTCTCCTATACCTCCTCTTCTCTCTTTCTCTCCCCTACCGATTCATCTCCATTCTCCATCACTCTCCCTCCACATGGTCTGATTCCTCAGGTACTCCCTCCCCTCGGAATCCATTCACCCTGGCGTGGAATCCCAGATCATGATGCGTCAGGGCACGCGGCATTCCACACTGTCGGCCGGTTACGCAGCATCCACCTCTCGCACCAACAACTCTCGTTCACTCGTACGCCCACGTGGTGGACTCGTTGGGCGGAGATGTTAGTTTCTTCGCCATCGCCCTCTTCCGCCTTGCGTCCTTCCCCTTCGTCGCCTCCCCCTCATCCTCTTCCTTCTTCATCGTCCGCCTCACTCCATCCTCCTCCTCCCCATCCTCCCCATTCCCATCGTCGTTCCTCAGCGCGATCTCCCGCCGTTGCCGCCACTCCACCACCCCCTAATCCCTCCACCCTGCATTATGACCCGGCGGCTCTCTCTGGGACGACTCATCATAATAAAAGTCACCTCTCTCCGCACTCCTCCCGTCGCGCCATCGAAGAGCTTCGCTCGGCTTTAAACCGCCATACCGTTGCCCCTTCCCCACCGGGGCCCTCAGGGGATCACCCGCGCGGCCGTATGTCCGCTGGGCTGACCTCCTCTGGGGGCGGATCGAACACCGCCGCCGCCGTCTCTTCCACCGATTCCACCATAGTCCAGGCACCTGCGCCTCCCATGCCCGCTCCTACCAGCGCCAGTGGCGCGTCCTCCAACAAGCGGAATAGCCCCAACGATGCCGCGACCACCGGTGGCCTTTCCCAGGCCCTGGGCCACGACGGTTCCACCCCTAAACGGTTACGCTCCAATAACCCGTCGGTCAAGGTGCTCCCGGCTCAGTACGAACTGGCCGATCCGCGCGACCTCGTAGTGTTGATCTCCAGCATGCTTATGGAACTCATCCGCTACAACGACAAGATCCCGTTGAACCAGGGTCGTTTGACACGTTTCCATTCGCGCACGCCGCCTCGCATCTCCGTTCAGGACTATCTGCAACGACTGACGACCCACGCCACGCTCTCCCCGCCCATCCTCCTCAGCATGGTGTACTACATTGACCGACTCTGCGCCCTCTACCCCGCCTTCACCGTGTCCAGTCTGACTATCCATCGGTTCCTGATCGCGAGCGCCACCGTTGCGAGCAAAGGCCTGAGTGACAGCTTCTGGACGAACAAGACCTACGCCCGGGTCGGGGGTATTAGCATGGCCGAACTGGCCCTCCTGGAGCTGGAATTCCTCTTCCGGGTGGAGTGGCGGATTGTGCCGCAGCCGGAGGTGCTGGTGGACTACTACCAGAGTCTGGTGGAGCGATGCGAGGGGTATGAGATCGAGCGAGAGTGAGCTGGGGATAGAAGAATTTCCGACTGTTTTAGTACATATGATGCACATAAACACGGCCGGAGTTGATCTTGGTACATAAAACACAAGAGTGGAAGGTGTTTTGATTGCATTGTTTGATATTGTCTGATTGATGATGTATAGCTTACATGGCGTTTGATGCTCGGCGTTGGAGGTAATGAATATTCTCTCATGATCTGCGGTAGCACGGAGTAGACGGATGTACCGAGTAGATTGTTGGTGCCTGATATTTCAGGCAATAAGCTTAGGTCATAAGCATCCAGTGCACCATCACCGTTCTTCACTTCGACTGATTCTCTTCTCGACACACCATGCCGTGCAATTGACACTCCTTATTCCCGATATCCGAACGTCCGTCCTCCTTTCCACCCATGGACATCGAAGTAACCCTCCGAGGCATCCAGCCTCTGCCGGGCCATCTCATCCCCATCAAGACCGTGCAAGAAGCCCGGCCACCAGAAGAATTCGGTACATCGCACCCCATAGACACGCACGAACCCATCTAATTGAAGCAGGAACCGCCTACGTCGCAGAGGTAAACGTCAAAAGCGCCTCTAAAGTCGTCAAGTACTTCCCTCTCCCTCCCCGATCTGATCCCATCAACAGAAGAAAAAATATTAACACCCCGCAGAGCCCTCGATTCCACCTTTCCCCGCGACCCCTCCCACCCTCTCAGTCACCTCCGCCGCTTCGCCAAATACCCCCAGCTACCACCGGACGTGCGCGCCGTGCTCGTCCCAGACGACCGCACACCCTCCCCACAGACAATCTTCGCGCTCATCCCGCCGCCCCTCCCAGACCGCGACGCGCTGCAATCCATCCTCACGCCGTTTGCGCCCGCCCCGACAGACAGCGCCAATGCATCGCATGAACCCACCACGCAAGACAAAGAACAACCCAGCACCAACACCAACGACGCAACAAAAATCCCCCTCCACACCATCCCCGTCCCGCTCCAGCCCCCGCTGAACCAATCCCAGGCCGAAAAATGGACCTCCACCATCTGGCCCGTCGTGTACAACCCGGCCGCGCCGCGCGCCACCATCGCCCCGCCGCCGCAGATCCTGACCCGCGTGCACGACAGTCTCAAGCCGCGCGCGGGCATGTACCTGGCGCTTGCGCGGCGGGTCGCGCGGGAGGCCGAGCAGAGCGGGTGCGGGCGGCGGGTCGGTGCGGTGGTTGTGGACCCGGCGATTGAGGCGCGGTTGGAGGCTGCTGCTGAAAGTGGAAGTGAAGGGGAAGGGTTGCGGTGGACGGAGGCGATTGTTGCGGTTGCGGGGGACGCGCGGTATGCGCGGCGCGAGGGGGGCGCGATGTCGACGGCGGAGGTGCGGCTCGGCGCGGGCCCAAACCCTGCGGCGCGGACGTATAATGCGGACGAGGAGGGTGGGCCGGAGCTGCATGCGCTGATGCGGGCTGTCGAGCTGGTTGCGAGTCGGCGGCGCGGGGAGAAGCTCGAGACCCTGCGGGTGAGTCCGCTGGAGGGGTATTTTCTTGCGCTGACGGATGGGACGGTGCGCGAGGGGGAGGAGGAGGATACGGTGCCTCCGGAGAAGTGTCTGAAGAACGAGGAGGGTCGGGCGGTGGCGACGCAGCGCGCGGATGGGGAGGGGGAGGGGTCCTCGACGCCGCGGATCCGCTCGCGCAGTGAGGGCGGGTATCTGTGTACGGATCTGGACGTGTATGTGTCGCGGGAGCCGTGTCTGTGCTGCTCGATGGGGATGCTGCTGTCGCGGTTTCGCGCTGTGGTGTTTCCTCGGCGCGGACGCATGGTCACCGGGGGGCTGGCGTCGGCGCCGGTGGTGGTCCCTGTTGCGGATGGGGATGAGAGTGACACGGTGGAGGAGTCGGGGCAGCCGGAGCGTTTGTACTATGGGCTGCATTGGCGGAAGGAGTTGAACTGGCGGGCGTTGGGGTTTGAGTATATCGAGGAGGGGGAGGATGAGGAGAGGGCGTATGATGAGGTGTCATATCATGCGTAGATAGATATACATGCTATAGATATAGACTGTACAGTAGGGTGAAGGTATAGATCTCATCTGATATCCTGGATGAATTTAAAGGCTCAAGCTAAACTACAACTGACCGGCGGTGGGGTGGGTAGGGTAAATACCTCTCTGTTCGTCAATTAGACACACTGAGTATACCTAAGGCTGTGCATGGGCTCCAGAGAAGCATGGCTTGGTGGGATGGACTGGGTTGGTCGTTTGAACGAGAGGTGGGATAGGGGTATACTGTCTGGGAACCCTCAGACTACCGGGCGACGTTGGCTATGAAGAGGCGAGAGGTTGAGAAGCCTCGCTACTTGCAGTTGACCTCTAGCAGAGGCATGGGTGTAGATGCTTGATGCAGGGTCACCCTAAGCTGTGTGGGAAGTCTACAAACTCAGGCTACCTGCGAAGTGTAAAATCAATGGATCATGGGAGTCATGCATATCGTAGCTACAAAATGCCCAAACCAACGGCCATGACCTCCTTGCCCACATTATGATGCATTATCGTTATTAACCATGTCCATGCCATATCGCCTTAAGTTACGCACGGAGGTCCCGGACCCGGCGCGAAAGCATGGCGATCTTGCGAGTAAGCGGATCGTGAGGATCAACCCTGACCACGTCCATGTAGAGTTCGTTCAGTCTCTGCAACAGAATCTCCATGATTCTGGGCGCAACTTCACGAATGTCCTTGTCCTGCAGATTGATCGTCTGAAGAACAACATCCAGCCACATTAAACGCTGCGCGGCATTGGTCTTCAGAGACGAAGTGACGGCCACGCCAACCGACAGCGTCACAATGGGAGAGAGACTGGTCAAGAAGGCTGGGTTTCGGCGGATGAAGTAGTTGTCAAACAGGTCGGCCTGCTGGGAGGATTGAAGCCACTAAATCGAGTCAGCAACATTATTCAGATAGACTCATCACTCCAACTAACCTTGATAGCTCCTTCTTCGAACTGTCCCCGGCTCATCAACGCTTCAATTTCTCTCAGCTCTGCGTCTTCGGGGGATGTGGTCTGCGCGGCAACTGCTGGGGCAGGGGCCGGAGCAGCGTTTCGAACCTCTGCACTTGGAGCACTGACGGGGGGAGGAGCACTGGCACCGCGCAGCTTCAGAATCTCACTCTGGAACTCATTTTGAGCAGTAGCCATCGACGCAACCGTGTCGGAGAGACCACGAACGAGGCTAGTCAGCTGATCGATCTTTGCAGAGTCGGCCTGGCGTTGGGCCTCCTGATGCTTCACCTGCTTTTCTAGGTCGGCAATGCGCGCAGTAAGGGTCTTGAAAGTGGGAGTAACTGCGGTGCCGACTGCTTTGGTGATCTCGGTATCGAGGTGGGGGGCGAGATTCTTGCCCACAGCTTCCGACAACACCTTGACGACCTCAGGTTGCTGCACAGCGCGCGAGACGGTATCAGGCAGAGACTGGCGCAATGTCCCGTTGAGTTGCTGCGAGATTGCAGTGTTCAGCTGCTTTCCAAGAGTGGGAACCACCTCAGCCTGGATACTGGTCGAAACAATACGAGTAAGGTTCTTCTCAACGTTGTCCGACAGGGTGCTGGAAACCAGACGGAGGACCTGATCTTGCTTGGCTGCGGACGCGGTATCCCAACTGCGCCGTTCCTCGTCAAAACGTTGGTACAGCCCCTCAAGCTCACGGCCCAGGCTCTTGCTGAACTCGGTAGAGACGCCGGTCTGCAACGCCTCCATTTGCTTAATCCAGGTGTCGACCGATTCAGGAGTAAGGGACGTGGCGCTGAATAAAGCACTGATGGGGTTGGTTGTAGGAAGGCTCGATTGCTTGTCGCTCTCAACCTGAGTGGCAGGAAGCCCCTCACTCGAGGCAGTGAATGAAGAAGTGTTACTCTCCTTCACCTTCTTGCCCTCGGTAGCAGCTGCACCCTTCTTCTTCTTCTTTTTCTCAGCCTTCTCAGTGCTGGTTGCTGCGGGCACCGGTTCGGCTTGTTCATCGCCCTTCTTCTTCACGGTCTGCTTCGTGGGAGACTGAGTGCGCGAGACTGAAGCACTGGTCGGCACGGCAGATTCGATGCCCAGATCAGGAGTCTTCTTTGCGATTTCCTTCGGCGCTGCCTTGGTGGGAGTCGGCGCAGCATCACCATTGACGGAAGGCTCGTCCGCGACATAGGTGGGGAAGGTTTGCAGCTCCGATATGTCAATCAATCCCTCTTCCAACGCGTTCACCGGACGGATGATCTTGTTATCCGCGGTCCATCCCAAGTCTTCCTTCTTAATGTTGAGACATGTGACTCCCCGCGAGTGCATGACATACAGCTCGAACAAGCCACTTTCCTCGCCTGCGGCCTTGGTGATCGGAAGGAGATCCAAGCTTCTCAGCTGGCCCTTCGAGGCAAAAGAGATTTCGCGAATGCCGCTCATGCATGCGGTCGACTCAGGCTTCGGCAGACTGCCATCCTTCTCAGCGGCGCGCTTGATGAACGAAGCCTGGGACATCGCCTGCAGATTATACCGGGGAGCGGAAAGGTGCACGAAGTAGATGGAGTTGCGGGTAGGATGGCCCACAACGATGATACCAGACCCCGGGTGGTACGCGACGCTGCAGATGGCATCCGATTCGTTCTCGTGAGGGAACTTGAGCTCCTGCACAGCCTTGCCCAGCCCAATATCCCAGAGCTGCAAGGTGTGGTTTTGCTTCAATCCCACCAAAACATAACGAAGAGCCATAGACTTGACGTAAGGGCGCAGCTTGTCGATAAACAGCACCGAGGTCGGCCAAGACTTCTCCGCAGGGGAGCCGGTGACAAAAGTATTCAGAGGAACACGAACTTCACTTGGGGTAGACCCGTCTGTAAAGAAGGACGGATTGTTTACGACCTCGCGGATATCCCAGAAACGCAGGCGTCCAGTCTTGTCCAAAGAAGCGATGACAGTGTCGTCGTCGCTGAACATGAAGTCCTTGCCGGCTTTGCCGGTCGAAATCTTGAGAGCACGCTCCTTGAAGAACTTCTCAGTGTTGACGGTACGGTGGTTTCCGGACACGCCATAGGCAGGATCAGCCGCTGCTTGAGGAGAGATCACGTAGATGTTTTTTCCACGACCGATAGCAAAGAAACTGGGGTGACGAGAACTCCGCTTGGCGCGCGTTTTCAGCTGGCCACCGGAAGTGTTCTCGTCAGAAGCCGGGAAAGGTGGGAAAATGAGGCTTTCACTCTCCAGAGCGTCCAATTCGAACAAGTCCTTCTCTGCCTTGGAGATGACGGCCCAGTAAACGGTGCCGCTGACACCGATACCCAAAAGAGCTTGTTCGTCGGATGAACCGCTCGTTGTCTGCGATGTGCAGACCGCAACATTGAAAACGCGATCACGCGTCGAACGGAAGATTTGTTTATCACTTCCATCGTCCTGGCGGATGATGCGCAGGCCTCCGTTCTTGGCAAGAGCGTAGACAATGTAGTCTGAAGTGGCCGACGTCAACGAACGGTCCAATTGATCAAACTCTTTCTTCAACCGAGAGATGTCCATGACCCCATCGTCCCGCAGAGTTATCAGCTTCCCAGAAGCGGGCTTCACGGAGATGGAGATGAATGGTTTCAGCGGGAAATTATGAACGGGAACTACACGGTCTTCATCCTTCTCAGCACTGTCTTCAGCACTTTCCCATGAATCAGCCAGCGCATCGCCGCTGGAGACATCTTTCGCAGGAGTTTCCTTCGCTTCAGCCGCGTTTTCGCGTAGCTGACCGACGGCTGTCTCAAGCGTCTCCTGGGCACGCACTTCCTCAACGACAGTCACAGGCTTGGCCTCTTCCTGAGTTGACTTGCTCGCAGAGCCATCCATGTCACGACAAATTTGAGTCACGAGATTGTCCACAACTTGAGACACGGCCTTCTTTTGCTCTTCTGCGAGGACGGGAGACTTGGCACGTTTAACTTGACCCATGACTTGAGCAGGTTCCACTGTGGTGGTGACGGTAGTTTTCTCCGTCACCTCCACGACAGGGCTCTCGCTGCGAGACTTGGGCTGTGGAGAAGTTTTACGCGGAGACGCAGCTGCAAGCTGGTCGAACGGGTTGACGTAGGTGAAGAGAGACTCCTTGCCCGGAGGCGACGACGGCTTCGAGGGAGGAGCAAAAGCGTCCGGCTTCCCGGGCACAGTCTCCTCCGCACGAGAACCCATAGCCATGGACTCCTCGATACTCTGAACGGAGGGTATCATTTCAGACACCGGGGATTTCTGAGGAGAAATCGAGGTGGGCCTGGCAGCGGGCCTGATCTCCATGGAGGGGTCGTTGCCAAGCTTCTGGCCACCGTTGAGGAGACGAAGCAACATATCCTGGGTATGTTCTGCGGTCGGGGCGGCTGACGAGGCCTCTCCGAAACCAACAGCCCCGGGAGACTTGGTTGACGGGGCACTGAACCTAGCAGACGAAGGGGCAGCCTGTTGTCCAAAGAGAGAAGCAACTAAGTCTGAGGCGGAGATGTTTCTCGCGTGAGAGGTGGTAGGCTCCTCGGAGGCAGTCTCAGGTGCCGGAGCGACCGGGGGCTGCTGGGGACCCGGGGACGCGGCAGTTTGATTGAATTTCAGCAGGTTAAGCAAATTGACGGCACGGTCGGGGTTTTGAGGCAGCGGCTGATGGTGAGGCATCGAAGTAGGATGCGGCGGGAACATCTCACCCCGGGGAGTTGGGACGTTGGGACTCAGAATGTCTGAACCGTGTTGAGGGGGGGTATTCGCCGGAGAAGGACTGTTCATCGCGGTCGACACGGACGGGTGACGATAGCCGTGAAGCTGGGGATGAGGGAAGGGCTGTCCGTCGTAGGGTGAAGGAGGCTGATGCTGGGGGCGCAACCCGACAGGGTACTGGGGTGGATACTGCTGACCCATGGGAGGGACATCCTGACCAGGGGTATTGGACGGCGATGGACGCGGTCTGATACTGGCCAGGAGGGCCTGGAGATCATTCGGGGTGGACATTTCTGTCACTCGCCGACACAGTGAGGCGACCCTGAAAGGAAATCCAAGCTCCGAAGTACTCTAGGGAGCTCTCTTTCGAGAGCAGGAAAGGAGAGAACCGCCGGAATTAGGGAAGCAATGAAGGATAGAGATAGGGGAAGTGAATTGATAGGGAAGGGAAGGGAAGAGGATAGGTATAATACAAGAGGGAGGTGAAGGGAAGAAGAGAGAGAAGAGAAGAAAAGGTGAAGTGGAAGAATAAAAGCAGAGGCCGAAGTGGGTGTGGCTGGAGATTTGTCTGTGGGTGTGGCGGTGTCACGTTACCGCCGCTGTTCAATTCATACTCCGTCCTCCGTAGTCCGCGATTATTCATTCCATCATGATCCAAGTCTGTCCGTCCATTTCATGACTGCTCTCCATGGACGACCTGACATGATCTCTTCATGAACATCTCTTCCTCTTCTCAGTCACACTCCTCAAGGCTCTCAAAAAACACACGTCACCACCTCCCTGGTGTCATCCCTCCACCATGTTCTGTCTTCGAAGGTATATCATATTCCCTACAACAACCACCCCTCCCCTCCCCATACCCATAAACCCTCCCATAAGACCCTTGCCTCGAACGCAAAGGAACCAAAAGCAACAAGCTAACCCATCCCAGCTGGCTCCCCCTCCTCTTCATCCCCACCAACGCCTCCCCCCTCTTCATCATCTCCTTCGTCACCCTAACCTACATCCTCCACCGACCCTGCATCTACTGCTCCGCCCTGCTTCTCATCCTCTTCATCTCCTCCTGCCACTGGTCCGACCGCTGTTTCTTCGATCTCCGCGGCGACTGGTTCGCCCCGCGCTTCCCGGCCCCTTCAGACGCAGACTCCACATTCCTCCAGACCGCGGCGGCGAACGACACCTCCCTCGGCGGATATGTTCTCGACACGCTGAACACGACGACCAAGGCCCTCGCCGGCGCTGCGGTCGAGGAGGCGCAGCGCCGGCTGCAGCCGGAGGAGTGGACGGGCATCGGGCTGGAGTGGTTGAGGAGTTTGCTTGGACGGCGCGAGTGGACGTTGCCGTGTGTGGATGTCAAGGTGCGGTTATAGAGTGGGTCTTTGGGTGATTTGTGGGCGTATTCGTCCTGTGGGCTTATATGATTCGTGTTGTTTATAGAGATTGGATTTGTGGTTGGAGTGGAGTTGTTGGTTGGTTGGTTGGCGGCTGGTGCACAGCCCTGTGAATATTGTATATAGGTGCCTACTTTGATTAATATTAGCATTGCGGGTTACGTGATGAGACAGTTCCGCTATGGTGTAGAGGTGGGTAGATGTACCTAGGTAGTGTAGATTGTAGCTGTGGTAGTAAGGTAAGGAACGACGTACTAATTACATATAACATCTAGCATATACGACACAGATGCTTTTACATCCAAGACAAAACAAGATCAACGTCAAACCGCCCGACGACGAAAACATGAACCATGAGCAGACAGTCATCGAGCCAACATAGAATCGTCAAACGTGAAAGGTATAGCGCAGAACATGGTATCAGAACAGAACAAGACAAACAGCAGGCTTCAGCGTGGGATGCGTAGCACATGGACTAACAAGCAATAAAGGGGATATGATATAACGAGCAAGAATGGGTATCAAGCACCAGCGTGCAAGGAACGTCAAGAAAAGAAATTAGATGTGGGTTGTAGTGGGCGGATAGTCCACGAGGACACCGCTCAGTTGTATCCGGTGCCCGGTGTCGCCGTTGGCATGGGCCAGTCGTCTTCCGTGATGCTGCTCCAGAAGACCCAGACCATCACGACGGAAAGAAGCGTGAAGAGCGTTTCGAACAGGGCGCCGTTGATTTTCCCGTTCGCGGCCTGACAGAGGTGCGTGCTGATGACGAAGTCGAAGATCTGGCCAATGGCGAACAGCAGACCAGCACCGGCGAGGTAGACTGTCTCGGATGTTAGAGGCATCGGGTCCTGAAGGGCAGAGGGCACGTACACATGGGCCGGAGCTCGCCCAGAATCCGAATGACCAGGAAAGTCTCCAGGGCGAAGAAGACCACCAGACAGACGAGCGGGAAGAGCAGGTACAACACGTAGAGCGCGATATTGCGATAGTCGGTTGCCGGGTTGGGGGCGAATTCGCCGGTCCAGTTGAAGCCCGTATCCAATGCGATGTATCCCGTTCCGATGAAGAAGACCAGGGCGGAGGCGACACAGAGACCGATCGAAATAGGGGTGCCGTCGTCGAGGAACTGAAACCCGACGAGGGCGTTCAACAGCAGGATCCAACAAGTTGCGGTGATCGAGGCGATATGCGCGGCGGAGAAGCCCTTTCGAACGGCGTCGTCCAGAGGGAAACTGCCGACGCTGAAAATCTCACAAATCTCAACGATGATGAAGGCGAGCAGGAACAACTGCATTTCCCTGTAGCCAAGTTAGTGTGATTCCACCTGAAATAGTCCCTCGAAATCCAACACGTACCGTCGCCCGACGGCGGCCTGTTTCCGTTCCGATCTCCATAGCAAGAAAAGCGACGTCACGATAGCGAAAAAGGCGAGGAGAATCGAGCCTGCGCGCGTTAAAACCTCTGCCGGCTGCTGAAATATCCGTGGTCCGGAACCTACCCAGGTTGCCTAGGTGTCGGTCATGGCTCAGCGGAATACCGGTGAGCGCACAGCCGCCGAACTGAGCATTAGGGGGTTGGTTGTTTTTCACGAAAAGCTGTAGCGAGCGCATTAGCAACAAAACCCAGAGCGAGGCATCGGCGCATCCAACGCAGAATGGACATACATTACAGACGGGTAATGTCGAATCCCGACAAAAATCCTACACGTGCACAGGCTCAACGGTCAGCGAACGGTCCTCGCGCAGGGTCATCATGGCCATTGGCGCACGCAGCACTCACATGGAACTTTCCAAATTGCGTCGAACCCATGGCGATTGCGGGTGGGAACCCAATACCATGCGCAGAGGAACAAAGGGCAGTGGTCGCAGAAGAGAGGACCGAGGCGGCGTGGTGGTTAAATCGTTCTCGGTCTCTTTATTTGGCCGGACCCACGCAATAGGCACCCGTTTGACGATCGGCTCCGTTGCAGATCGGCACTCAGCGAGCGGTGAGAGAGGAAAGACGATTGGAATGGTCGATGGCTGGTGGTGCTGTCTGCTGGGCGAAACGAGGTGACTGATATTCTTCCGGTAGAGAATTGGATGGGTATAGTGTCAGGGGTTGACACGTCGGACGGGTGGTCAGACCGGACCAGGCGAACGCGGATAGACAGGAAACAGATCTATTAGGATTAATTGAACGAGGGCGATGGTGTCAAAAGAATGCCGGCGTATGTACGGGAGGAAGCGTTATATCGGGATGTATGTATGTACGAGCGAGAGATGGGAGGAGAGCCGAGAGAAGAGAAGAGAAGAGAAAGAGGTTGAATTGACGATGATGATGATGAGGCAGGCGGGAAGAGGGGGGAAAGAAAGGATGGCAAAGGCAGAAACGCACTAACACCCGGAGGGAAACATCGCCGGGAGGATTCTGGGACAGACTATATAAAAGAGGCGTATAACCACGAGGCTGGAGGGGAGTGAAAACATGGCTGGGTCGGTAGGAGAATAGTGCCGAAGCAGGAAGAATAATTCACGATAGTCGCTGAATCCTTACTCAGTATCTATAGTTGATGTTGTTCGTTGCTATCCATGGATCTGGGTTTCTATTCTGGTTCGCCATGTGGACGCCCTAATTATAGATTCCATTGCCATCATACTAACAATCGAACTACTTACGATGGATTTCTATCCATTCAGTGCATGGAATTATACTGCCTAGGTACTTGGGTCCTACTGAGGTCAGGTAGGTGCCAGGTAGAAGGGGTACTACACTGCACAGCCTGTATCGGACGGTAAATACCCGCTTTTCCTGCGCTCCAGGGTGGCCCCCTGTCGTATCCATACCGTCACCGGTCGCCACCGAGTCTCACTTTTGGTCCATCTCCCCTTGCATCTCGACTCGCCGTCCACTTCATCTGCCTTACATCTGCCAGATCTATGGACAATGTCGTTCAATAGCGCTCAATAGCGCGCCTACAGCAGACGAAAGACCGCCTGCCGTCATCTAACACACATCCTCAATCTCCAACTTCTTCCCATCATGCTCTCCCAGATCCAGCTTCAGCGTCCGTCCGAACAGCTCCAGCAACATCTCAAAGCACACTTTGGTAATCGCCGGATCATACCGTCCCTTGCTGAGCTCATCGCGAATAAACGCATCTATGTACCGTCTGTCAGCAATTCCTCCGCCCGAAACGAGCCTGAGAACGAGTAAGGAAACCCACGCTGAGCCCAAGCCACCTCGTAAAAACTAAACAGCACGCCCTTGTCGTGCAGCGTCTTTCGGATCAAATCCCTTCCTTCCGGTGGAACATGGTTGTCGTTCTTCCCGAAGATCTGCATCCGTCCGTGAGTTTCGTGCAAAGGAGTAAGAGGCTGGGTACCATCTCCCGTCCAAACCGGACACAAACACAACCACCAGACATCAACCCGCAAAGAAAAAGGAAAGACAGTCTTACCATGATCAACTCCCCCTTGATATCTCCCGCCCGCGCCAGACTATCGTCATTCTTCCCCGCCGCCAGCGTCTTACTGTGGATATCAGTCGCAAAGTAGCACACCGCCGCCTTGACGCGGCTATCCAACGCACAGCGGTACGCCAGATGTCCGCCCAGGCACATACCCGTCGCGCCGACACGGCCATTGCACGTGGGCAGCGACAGTAGGTAGTCGACGCACAGCGACGCGTCCTCATCGTACGCGGCGAGTTTCTATTCCCATCAGATCCTTTCCCTTTCAAGGAATACCATGCGTGCACGGCGGTATCAGGACGGTACCTACCTTGGACACCTTCCACTGGTTTCCCTTGTCGGTGTCTTCGGCATTGTACGCCAGCGGCTCTGGTCCCGTAAATTCATGGTAACTCGACGGCGCCGCGCAGATGTATCCCTGGCCAGCAATCTGTCTTGCGAACCGCGCCACAGGGCCGGTCACTGTACAAGCAGAGGCACATGAGTTAGTAGGAGTGTTCGGCGGCGTTCGGGCCGAGTGCCTCTCCAGTCTGAAGAGACATGACGTCTAAGTAGTCTACGTCGGGGTACGTACCCTGGTAGATCTCGCTGAAGACCACTACGCCCGGAAAGCGCGCGTGGGGATAGCCGGGAATAGAGGGATGAAACACATAGATGCCTTGGATCGGTTAGCTGGGTCGGGCCTCCAATGCGAGCAATTCATATCATTCAAGAATCACGGGTTCGGCCTCGAGGTTGGGGGCAATGAAACATCTAGTGGCGGGGAATCAACATACGCATCGTCCCGTTTCCATCGGCTGTGGTGGGCACATCGTGATAGGACTCTTGGACCAACATGGTTTCGGTAGAGAGAGGTTTATCTTATTGCTGAGAGGCCAATTGAGGTTTGGATGTCAATATTGGAATAGATCGGGCCGATCGGATGAGCCGTACGGTGTCAATTGACTTGACTTCATGGCGGGGTGATGCTGATAAGATGAGGGCGGTCATGTGATTTATCCAAGAATACGCAGATTCATGTATTGATCGTGATTCTATATAGCACCACCTCGCGCTCACTATTAATCATTAACCTAGCAGCTGGGCAAATCAAACAGAAAACTCCCGTCCATTGACATTGTAGAAAAAACATGGCATGTCGAAAGATACAGTTCAAGCATTTACATGGAAGGGAAACAGAACAAATGCAGATAGACAATTAAACTCCCATCAGGGGAAATGAGACCGCCATTCAGGCAGTTATCACCTTTATCATCTCCCAATGCTCACTCTGACGGATCCAGAGGGGTCATATTACAAAATACACCGGTCGTCGCCAGTCGAGCTTCAGGATTTGTGCACCTAGGGTGTCTGGATGCAGCCAGGTGCTAACGACGCACCCTTAAAAAACATACTAGTCACCAGTTAGAGGGACTTCCGCAAGGAAAATTGATAAAACTTACAGGAATGAACAGATAAGGCACCTGTCTCTCATACTCCAGCCACGCCTCTCCGTACTTGTTACGGCAACGCTGGATATCGCGCAGGGCACGGTGGCTGATCATGCACGCGAAGAAAACGGGGTAGAACCAAGGGAACGGGCTGTTGAAGCCGGTGACGAGACCCCAGTTCAGCGCGAACCACAGGTCGCAAGTGTAATGGATCTTGCGAGCCTTTCCGTACCAGCCATCAACCAGGATCTTGGAGCCGTCGGCAGCCGTGATGGTCTTGGGGTTCGTCAGGGTCTGCCACGGGAGCTGGGGGAACGTCTTGCGGAACACTAGGGTGCCGCGCTCCTGCTGACGAAAGCGGTTCTTTTGGCTGTTCGTGGTGTCCCACACCCAGTACACGAAGAGGTAGGCGACGTAGAGGAAGGTCAGGAAAATGCGGTTCCAGCGGTAAGTCGCCGGGTCGTGGTTAGCAAGGTAGATGGTGCAGTGGCAGTAGCTCAACGGCACGCCAGCCAGGTTCCAGAAGATCAGCATGAAGCCCCATTTCTCATAGTACATGTCCCTGTCCCGCGTTAGTCTGGTTCATAGTGTTGTCGCCAAATCAGCTCAGGTGGTCACTCACCATGTCGAGACGATACATTCCTCGCCCTTGGAGCAGGCGTTCGCGTACAGGAAGTGGGCCATCAGGAGGAAGCCCACCTCTCCGGAAACATAACCGTAGACTTCATACTGCCTCGCCGCAGCGCCCATGGTGACAAAGAGCAGAATGTACCAGGGCAGACGGACCTCGAAGAACATCTTGAAGTCCAGAATACCAAACATTCTGGGGTTCAGCTCGGCACCCATGAAGAAGTCGTAGATTGGGTAACCGGTCATGCGGTGCTGCGCGCCCCGGGCCAGCGCGGAAAAGTAGGCAACAAACGACACCAGGAATCCGGAAAGGATGGCAACGCTCATGAGGTGTCCAAACTCATCGATGATGGTGTAGAGCTTGAAGATCCCGGTGAAGTGGAGAGTGAGAGCCAGAATGATGCTGGTGTAGAAGGACCACACGGCGGAGCAATAGTACGGCAGCTGTTTGCCGCCCAGATGAGGCAGAGGGCGGCCCATCACCGTGATACCAGGGAGATACAAGTAGCAAATGCCCTCGAAGACGAAGAAGGACCAGTAGATAGCCCACGCCTTGAGGGTCGGGAACGCGCCCTCATACGCCAGGTGGCCCAAATGCGCGACAAAATTCGCCATACTCTCGCCCTCCGCCGGACGAGGAAATTTGCCATCGTAATAGGTGGCCCCAATCCACATGTAGTACATGAGGAGGGGGAACCCAATCATCATGGACAGGACACCGAGCGATCCACCGAATTCAAAATGTCCGCTGTAGTCGATCTTGGGGTCCTTGCCCTCCTCCCAGCCGTCAATGATCCGCGCTTTCTTCTCGGCCGGTTCGGGATGCCCGTTGGTCGCAACAGGTTTGCGCTCGTCATCGGAAGGCTCTTCCGTCTTGACTCTAGCGGGTGTACGTCTGCTGCGCGTCGCCGACTTGGACCGTCCTCGAACATCGACCGCAGAATCCGACGCATCGTCTGTGTTTGTCTCGGAGGGCACCGCGCTGCTGCGAGTGACTCGCCGCCTGGGAGTCTCCACGAAGCCAGGACGGTCCATTTTCCTGTCAATTCATACCATTGTTAGAAGATATTGGGCACAATTGCATGGAGAGCAAGATAGTGTCCTCCATCAGGCGACATTGATTGTTGCGGGGAGGGAACATGAACCGTCGCAAAAAAAGGGATTTCTTTCCGCAACACAAACAAATGACTTACTTGGGGGTTTTCCCCGTCTGGGAACGTGTGACGGTCATGATAAATAAACCATAAGATAGTCGCAATTGAAATATTAGCGACTATGAAAAAGAAAAAGGGGTTAAGGAGGGAATTGAAGGGGTGGAACGGATTGGCGCGAAGAGCGAGGAAGTTCAAGGGGGAAGAAGTTCGAGCGAGAATGTTTTGGTGGCCATTAGTGACTTGCCTCCCACAGCGGATCGGCATAGTTAGCGGGAGGCGTCTCCAACAACCGCCACTTGAACCTGTCAATAAGGTGCTGACATGCACTCCCATTTACTTTCTCCAATCCTACTATGTAACGGGTATCTGCAGGGTCGCGCGGAATAATTGTATACATATTGTCCGAAGAACTGGGAATTAGAGATCTTGAACAGATAGATCATGCCATATATATAACGGGTTCACATCCCCTCAATCTAGGTATCCAGTCCAGGTACACATCCTGCTCTAGATATATCGCAGAAGTCGCATTATACTTGTACGTCGTGAATAGCTCAAGAGATGATTGAGTGCGTAGATATATAGTTTATGCTAATATAATGTCCAGACTCCGATTCCATGATACTCCAGATGCTCAATATCCACCATCCGCAACCTGAAACCCATGATTATGTCCAAGATTCTATCCCTCAAGCGGAGAGGTGTAAACAAAGAAAAGTAGAACGCGCTCACGTCATGCCCCTCTCTGAATGTTAGTCGACATTAAGGTGATTTTCTTGTTCTTTTTCTTCTTCCCGCCTGTAGAAGCAGGCGCATTACTGCTTTCCGCGGCGGTTTGGGCCAACAAGTCGCTCTCTCGCTGCGCCAGCAACTCCTCTTCCCATCCCTCACGCCAACCATCATGACGGGCCTGCTGCGAATTCATCGGCTGCGAAAGCGATGCTACAGCTGTCGTTCCCCACACGGTACGAGCCCCGGGAGGACTGCTGGAGGGAGATAGAGCGCCGAAGTTGGACGAGGGGCGAGGGGGCGACGCCGATGAGGAACCAGCATCGAAATGGGGGAAATCGGCACCGTTACTCGCCAATGGCTGGAAGTCATGATCGGAGAAGGGAGGGTCGTGGATCCCGATACTTGGCCGGCTACGGTGAGCGGTAGCCCACCGTTTATCGTCTTCCTTTTCAGCACGAATGCGGTCTTTCTCTTCGCGCGCTTCCTTCTCCTTGTTCCGCTTTCTTCTTCTCTCAGTCTCGGTACGGAATTTTTCCAGAACTTCGGGAACGACAACGTCCCTCCAATCGCACTCTAGGAAGTTCACCTCACAGCCCTGAGGGAGATGACCGAGATACTTCATCCGTTTGCGCAGTTCGTCATCAACAATATGTCCAGTGGAAATATGTTCAACGCGAGGGAGGATGGTCGCGGGGAAGGAGGAATAGTCTCCAAAAGCGGCCTTGAGAATGCGAATATCTAGCGGCGACAGATAGAATTGAGGCAGCGCTTGATAGAAATAAAAGGGATGATCCGGCGGTTGAGGCGCATTATCCTTCGCTCGGTCGAACCCTCGATTCGGGTGTTTCTGCTTCAGCTTTGCCTCAGGAGTCGGATTGAGATCGACTTCTTTCATGGCGTCGGTTAGAGCTTCTGTTCCGTTTGGTACATCTGAGGGGCCACCTGATGAAGCTAGCCCGGTCTCTGATGAATCGGGGGAGACCGTTGGCTCGGCTTTGGAGAGTGCTGGAGGCTGTCGCGTAATGTCAGGTGGGTTTCCAATCCCCTGAATCTTCGCTTTCGCTTCGTTGACAGCACCGATCGCTTTCTGCGTCCACGTAGTTTCATCGCCAAACAGAAGTTCATCCTCCACTTGCTGCCGCCGAAGATCTTCGATCTCGGTATCGTACTGCGAAATCATATAATCCTCTCCACCTTTCATGATTCGTGCGTAGTCGGCAACCTCAGCGACATGGTACCATGGGATATCTTCTCCTGGCATGATCCCTTCAGCGCCATCCCTGGGTAATGCCAATGTGCTGCCTGGCGCTCGCTTGACTAGTCTTAGCACGACATCACCGCCCTCAAAAGGCAAATCCCCTTCCTGACCGCGGAACCACCGCACTGGGCGAGTTTCCGAAACATAGACGGAATCCCAGCAGATGGGGCATTTCTTCCACCGAGGTCTCTTTTCCGGGACGGGACCATCCTCCTCCTTCGCGTGCATGTAGCGAATCAAACATGGAAGGCAGAAGATATGGCCACATCGCGCCATTCGAGGTGCTGTTGGCGTCGATAGGCAGATGGGACAACTGGCGGATTGGGTCTGAGCTGACACCAGAACCTGAAGAACCGAATCCCAATCGAGATGAACATCGGCATTGACCGCTTGCGCATGGTAGTTTCGGTTTGGCGTCACAATGAAGCGATAGTTTGCATGGACGTAACGAGCCTTATCCATGGCGTGATGGCCCGAGCCGAGTCCCCAGGACGCATAGCGACGAGGGTTCCGTGGGGGCGGTTGGTACTGAGGACGAGGAGGAAGGGAGAAATTCATCAAATGAGTAATGGACGTCTGTCCCTTACGACTGGTGGTCGACCTCATGATGGCCTGGAACCGTTAATAAGGGCTAGCCATATTGAACCCAGCAAATACCTACAGCTTCGTTATACTCGTCATCATCCAGCACTCGCGGGCGCCGCTGTCGCTTATGCTGACTCTTGCGAGACTGGTTATTTCTCGGCGAGCTTGTGTTTCTCGACGCCAATCCAGCACCAAAACTACCAGAGCCACCAGCGCGTCGCTGAGAGCCACTATCAACCGAGGGAGCCGAGTGGAAGGTCGCTGACGCTGACTGGTTCGGGATGTTCACCGCTTTGGACGATGAAGGGATCTGGCCAGGGTTCGAGGACATTGCTCAACCCTGTCGAGGAATTGTAAGGCTGGAATCGCGACCTCGAGCGTGACCATCCGACAGCGGGGGATGAAGCGGGGTGAACGACGTGAAGTCAAAACATTCGGCGATGGCAGAGGCGCAATGAGTCAATCACGACGCGGGGTGAACGGAAACAAGGCGAAAAGAGAGAGGGTAAAAACGACTCGAAATCCACGAGGAGAACCCCGAAGGGCAACAGAGGGAGAAGAGAAGCACCAGAATGGAGATCCGGAGCCCTCTCGTCTAGCCGTCGGAGAAGAGAAGGGAGAAGAGACGGAGAGAAGAAGAGGGAAAAGCGAAGAGGGGCGAAGTATGTCATTTTCTTGGCGCCGGGAGGGAGCCTCAGGCACGTGCCGCCCGCCCCAAAAAAACATCATCTCATCTTCACAGCTTCTCTTCTCCCCGCCGCCTCCCCCTCACCTCTCTTGCTTGCTGGTTCCTCGGGTCTCTCCTGAGGTATAGTCAATTCTCCATCCATCACCTCGAAGTGTCCTGCGCTCGGTTCGTCTTTATCGGTTCCCCACCCCCGGTCTTGGGTCGTTCGCGCACCGCTAACTTAGAATCCCTTCAGGGCTCTCCCACAGGACCACCAGCGCGATTTCGACCCAACTATCCCCCACATATCATCTCCTCGTCTGTCGGCCCTATACTTAGAATGGCCGCATAATCGGGTTCCTGCGACCTCCTCATCCCGATCCCTCCGTTCGATCCCTCGTATGGCTCCCATTGAGGCAACGCGTGGCTGAAGAAGTCAAGGCAATCCTCCTCTACCTGCCTAGACATGATGAACCATCATCTGCCCGCAATGCCCCATGGGCAGCCACCCATGCCCTCTCGACGACAGCAAGAGATTCCTTATAACGCGCCGCCGCCCAACATGCGTCCTCCCCCAGCGTATATGGGCTACCCGCCTCCGATGAGCGGCCATGTTCCTCCTTACCCGCCGCAGCAGTACCATCAATGGTACTCGATGTACCAGATGCAACCGCATCCCCAAATGTTTCCTCCGCAATATAGACCGCCTATGATGATGCATTCTTACCCTCAACCCCCAATGGTCTCTCCCGTCATGCCGCCTCCCGCCCATCCTATGCAGTCAAGGACCTCGACGCCCTTCCAGTCGACCATGTCTCCTCCCGTGGGACCCATCCCGGCGCCGATCCTCATGCCGTCACCTTCGCCCGCTTTCCACCCCGTCTACCCAAACCCAAGCCCTGTGGTGTCCTCTCCCCCTGTTGCTTTCCCGGAAAGAGTCGACGAACCTCGGGAACCTTTCCGTCCTTCGGTAAGTCGCGCTTGTCGGCAATGTCCACCTTATGATTTCTAACACTGCCCAGTTGCCTTGGCTTTCTGTCCCCGAAGCTCCGTTTCCCGCCAGAGTCCCCCGCAGACGCCGGAAAACCCGCACCCTTCAATCCTCGTCTGTTGCGGTTGAACTTCCTTCGAAGGATCCTCCGCAAGGTGGTCACGTCGAACAGAACCCCGAGGCCAAAGGAGTCGAGTCACACACCCAAACACCGTCGGAGCCGCAAACGCCGTCATTATCTGGAGCCCAGTCGGCTGGAACCTCGACCCAACCCACGACACCCTCGTCCGCCGTTCACCCCTCTGCTCGTTCCCAATCGCAGTCTAAAGGGTCGAAGCCTGCCGTGCCTGTAGTACCAGTGGTTCCAGTTATCCCTGGCCCGAGCGGCTCTCGCCAAGGAGCTAATGGCCACGCCAATCACTCGCCCGAGACACCAAAGTCTGCGGTAGCTTCTGCGGACTCGGTAAGTGGGACTGCTCAAGAAACCACCCCAGACGGTGCCACAGAAGCGCAGTCGGCTGCCGCCGAGGAAACGAAGCCATCTTCTCCCCCGCGTGCTACACCCAAATCCTGGGCGGACCTGGTTCGCTCTAAGGCGCTCGCTAAAGGAGCCGGAGCCTCTGGCGCTGCCTCTGCTGTGTCAAACGGTGTGATTAAGCCCAAAAGCGAGTCTCTCGCACATGTCTTGGCCACGCTGGGAGATGATGTTTCTCAATACAGTGATAAGGTAGCCTTCCTCGAGCCTCGAGGTCTGGTCAACACAGGAAACATGTGCTACATGAACTCTGTCCTCCAGATCCTTGTTTCTTGCGTCCCGTTCTATCAATTTCTGGACCTCGTTGGTCGTCGGGCGTCTCACAGTTTCCAAAGTGAGGTCCCGCTCATTGATGCTATGTAAGTATTACATGAAGTTTGGTTTGGGGTCTTTGCTGACATGTAACTCTAGGGTCATGTTCATGAAGGAATTTCGCATAATCGATGCTGCTCATTCCGAAGAGCAGCTGAGACTACGACTGAAGCCTAATGAGCTTGAGCAATATGGCGAGGCCTTCACCCCCGAGTTCGTCTATCAAGTGATCAGACAGTTGCCGCGCTTCCGGGACATGCGAGTAAGTACCTTTCTATTTCAAGGCAACGAACAGAGCTGACATGTAGTTCTTTAGCGGGGCCACCAGCAAGACGCGCAAGAGTTCTTGGGATTCCTATTGGAAGAGATGCACGAGGAATGTGCTCGTGTCGCCAAGGACGCGCCGGTGAAAACAGATGACGCTGCACCTGGCGATGAGACTGCTGCTGACGGAGAGTCTGGTGATGGATGGTTGGAAGTTGGCCATAAGCAAAAGGCCGCGGTGACCCGGTCGTCAGGTCACATCGCTTTGGAGTCGCCCATTACCCGAATCTTCGGCGGAAAGATCCGATCTGAGTTCAGGGTCCCAGGAAACAAGACGTCCGTCACCTATGAGCCTTATCAGCCGCTGCAACTCGATATCGGGTCTCCTGATGTTCACAACATTGTTGATGCGCTTAAAGGATTGACCAAGCCAGAAAGCATCCAGGGTGACTTTAACTCTCCTCGCGGACCCAATGTTACCGCCACGAAGCAGCTGTTTATCGAGGTCTTGCCTCCCGTCCTTATTCTCCACCTGAAGCGCTTCCAGTACGATAGCGTAACTCGAGGCACACAGAAGATCTGGAAGAAGATCGGGTACCCTCTCGACCTGGAGCTTCCTCGGGAGGTCTTCCCGCCCAACAAACGTAACATCATGATGTCTCAGGGCGGACTGCCCAAGTATAGACTGATCGGGGTCATCTACCATCATGGTAAGAACGCGAGCGGTGGCCATTACACGGTTGATGTCCGTCGACAAGACGGTCGTGAATGGATTCGCCTTGATGATACAGTTATTCGCCGCGTCCGAAGCGAAGACGTCGCCGAAGCTGGAGGCGAAGAAGACCCGAAGGTCCTGGCTGCTGCTCTGGAACAGCACAAGCGCGACAAGGACCCCAACGCGAACATTTATGATCATATCGATGAAGCTGAACACTCCGACAACGAAAGAGGCTGGAGCCAAGTCAACGGATCCGGATCTGGTGGCCACTCCAGCAAGAAATCTACGTCGGCAATCCCGAACGGAACACCGAATACTTCTTCGGGCGTCAGAACGCCCATCGGACGGTATGGTTCTCGAGACAACCGAGTGGCGTACCTGTTGTTCTATGAGCGCGTTGCATGATCGCAGAAAGACTCAGTCAATCTGCAAGTGCGCCACTCGACAACACAAAAAGAACCAAAAGAATCTTCATTTGCATTGCTTCCGCCCATTCTCTTCGTTGATTGATTATTACTACACTGCTCAAAGCCTAACTGGGTTTGAGTACCATCGGTCATGCCATAGACCGTCTTCCTGAATATGCCATTTCGTTGTACATAAAAGTGACATGCATGGCGGGTACGTTCGGATGGTTGCATTGCCAGCGAATCTAGCTGAAGGCGTTGGGGGACATGGCCTTTAGCAAGAACGCATCGACTTTGCAGCCCTCCTTTGCTGATTTCCTTGCACGCGTTTTGACTGTTCACCTTCACACCCGACACGCTCCCCCTTTTCTATACCTGCACACTACTTTTCGACCCCTTTCTTTTCTTTCCACCTCTTGTTTATTTCGTGATGATATTGCTGCATTATCTCACCCCTGTTGATCTGTCTTGTGTGTCTGTATCTGGTGAGAAGTTGCTCTGATATATACCCCAGTTTCCTTGCATAGCCCTTGGTTTGCCTCGTGGATGCAGATGGGATTTTGAACGTGTGGGCATATGGGACGGGATTATAACGACTGCATGAATCTTCTTATTTTTTGTTACCTTCCCCTTTCCGCCCATCTCTTGTTTTGTCTTTGTTTGCTGTTGATAGACGTGTCGAGCCTGAAGACGGGGGCGGGGTTCGGCTTGCTTATCCTTATGAGCGTTGCTTCTTATCTTCCTTTGGCCTGGAAAAGCGTGGCATTCGGTTTCGGGTAAAAGGATCTTGTGGATGGATGGGACGGGTCGGTTGTTGGCGGGATTGATGGGCCGCGCCATTCTTGGTTGCTGTCTCATCCTGCTTACGAGGTTTTCTTTTCCCTCTGCACCTATTAGTAATGACAGGGGATGATGGGTGGTTTGTGCCTGGTGGAAATATGTGGGGGTGGGTGGTGGATGTTTGGATGAGATGGGATGGAGTTACGCAGACTCTAAAAGCGTGTCATAGGAATGTGAAAATTACTTCTAGAGTTCGTTCTGTATATTCGGTGGTGTAATATGTCTAGTTACACTCTAATTCTATGTTCGCTCGTATGTTCAATCAAGTAGATCTGACGTACTGGTCCAGACGACCTGCACCCTGTCTGGACCACACGGCACACCTCACCTACTCACTCATCCATTCGCGCCGTCCCAGTCGCCGACACGCTCTTACTCTGCGGGTCATGCACGACGAGATTCACAGGGCGTTCGGGTTCCTCCGCATTCCCGGTACCAATCTGAACCTGCTCCGTCGACGACCCACTGCGGATGACGGGGCGGCCAATCTGGAAGACAGCCGGCTGGGGAGGCTCTCGCTCCGACGCGCGCTTGCGGCCGCGGGTGACACTCACGTCCGGGTCACGGGTGGCGGTGCTGTGGGTGTGGGGGACGTTGCCGATAGCGATGGACTCCGCGTCGACGGTGGTAGAGCTGGCGCTGAGGGCGTTGGAGATGGTGCGGGGCAGATGGTAACCCGCCTTGACGAGGGGGATGGACAGGCCGTGGACGACGATGGAGCAGATGACGAGGAACCAGACGATGACGTCGACGGCCTCCGAGACGCGGCGGGCGTCCTCGCGGGTTTGGCCGCCTTCGACGGTGATGGTGCGGAGGAATTCGCGGGTGACGGAGAGGTAGAAGATGGCACCGACGCCGATGGGGCCGAAGAAGCCCACGAAGGCGGCGTGGTAGAGGTTCTCGATCTGCGGGATGTACTTGTGCATGGCGAGGATGATGGGCATGCGGCGGACGAGCAGGATGAGCACGCCGACGAAGATGAGGCGGTAGATGGGGATGATCTCGTTGTGCAGGAAGGCGGACCAGGGGCACACGGCGCCGAACCACATGAAGACTGCCAGGTTGAGGAGCATGTCAATGGTAGGTTGGAGGGAGTCGTCCATTGTTTCTAGGCGAAACCAGTCGCTGTGCTGATGGTTAGTAAGGAGGGGGTTAAGAGGGTGGGGGTGAGGGCGTACTCTTGGGTGAAGACGTTACCGGCAACGAAACAGGCGAGAAGATCGTCTGTCCCGATCATGCCGCAGGTGCCTAGGATGAAGAGCTGCGGGAGTCAGTGAGGTGCACGGAGGAGAATATGATACTGGGGGCGAAGGACGTTGCATACCGCTAGAGCGATGGCAAAGACTAGGAAGCTCTCCCGGTCAACGTAGCGCTTCTCCTCGGCCCAGTGTAACATCTCTCTCGAGATCCAGCCCACCGTCGCACCGTAGACGACGCTCAGAATGACGGTGTAGACCCAGGTCTCGTAGAACCAGAGACCGATGGCCTTTCCGGCCCCGCCGTCGTACCCGGCCCCGCCCATGCCGGTGTACTGGAGGAGGTAGAGGCCGAAGAAGAGAAACGGGTAGCCGAGGCCGTCGTTGGCGCCGGACTCGGCGACGATGATTCTCTGCAAGGGGCGGGGGACGTTCTTGTCGGCGAATTTGCCCTTGACGATGGAGTTGGACAGCACCGGGTCGGTGGGGGTGACGCAGGCGCCGACCACGAGGGCGTGGAGAAACTGGAAGTTCGGGACCAAGGCCCAGATGATCAGGCTACTACAGAGCCACATGGCGGCCATTCCGGGCCCCAGCAGCAGGGACAGGCTCTTCCATTCTAGCTGGAGATAGCGCTTGGGGAGCTGGACTCCGGCGAGGACTAGCTGGACACCCAAGACGAGTCTGGTGAAATACAGGGTGATTTCTTCCAAATTCTTGTCGGAATTGAGCGCGTATTCCTGGGGACGGATGAAATTTGCTGCATGCGGGGAGAAGACGATGCCCGCCAACAATGAGATCACTGAGTTGCGTTAGCGAGCGGTCTGCGACTTGGCAATCGCACTGCCAATGTAATCGGGGATGGGAACGAACGGGCTTCCGACAGATAGAATCGCTCCTTGAACAGGTAGGAGACGAGGCCAAAAACTGAGATGAAGCCGCCCAGCGTCGCACAGACGATGTTGAAGTTGATTAGGGAGAGGGTCGGCATGTTGTCCCTTGCTCTTGGCTGTGGGACAGATCTCTCCTTTGGTCGGTACGCTGCAGGATGCCTAGAATGCCTAGAATGCCAAGTTGATGCCAAGTAGAGACAGACTCGATCCAATAAAGGAGAATTGAAGCAGTTCCAGCACGTGTTATTCAATCATAGTATAGAGGAGTCGGCGGGTGGGAATTGCGGTCATCTGAAGAGGGGGTCTTCAGCGCGAACTCGGGACGATAGGGCGACGGGATGGTCTCAACCTCGTGGAATCGAGACGAGATGTCTGAGAGGGAAGCCGGTGGGCTAAAGTGACGATCCAAGTGAGGGTCAACAGAGAGGGTCGGTGGTGAAAGAGGGGAAAGAGAAGAAGCAACGAAGCTGAACTGGCGACGAGAGAAAACTTCCCCGGAGAGTCCCCCGCCAATCACGGGATGGCGCCTAATGCGGTAATCCTCCACCATTCTGTAGATAACTGTACATGCGGTACTATATCGATTTTAGACATTATACTAGCTATCTAGGCTATCAGAGCAATCTGGCTACATACAAGTCCAGTCGTTGTATTTCCCGTTGCGGTTGTCATATCCATATCATCCATACAATGTACTCCGTCATAGCCATCGGCGTCAACAAGGAAGATGCAGAAGAAACACGACTACACATACGAACGTGACATGAAAAAGGAAAGAAACGCCCTAAAAGTCCTCGTCGAATGTATCATCCGGGATATCCTTGGTGGCCTCCAAGGCCGCTGCGCGTTCGGACACCCCTTGCTGGGCACCGTTCACAGCTAGACGGTCGGCCGCTACGTTGCCCGGGTCGTCGTTATGTCCCTTGACCCATTGGAAGAGTGTCTTCACCTTGAGTTCTTCTCGCTCCTCAATCTTGCTGAGGATCGCCTCAATCAGGTCTTTGTTTTCCACCATCTTGTTGCCCGCCGTCATCCAGTTGTTCCGTCGCCATCTGACGAACCACACCGTCACACAGTTGATGGCATATTGACTGTCCGTAAAGATGGTAACATCGCGATGTCGCGGGGCGATATCCAGAGCCCGGAGAATGGCGGTGAGTTCCGCGCGTTGGTTGGTCTGCCGACTTCCTCTCAGAGGCTCGGAGACGTTCCTGCTGGGACGCTCGTGTCAGTAATGAGCTGGACTCGACAATACACCATCACGCCCACATCGTATCAGGGCAGGAACACCAACCTTGAATCTTCCGGACCAAAATACACCCCCACCCCCGCGGCGGCCAGCGCCTTACCGTTCTTCAGTGAACTCCCATCCGTGTAGATGTGCAACATGCCCGGCGGCCCGGCCGTCTTCGTTTTTGTCACCGTCTTCTGCTCCTTCAGTTTGTACACCACCTTCCCGGTGGTCGGATCCAGCAGGAGATTAGGATCGAACCCATCCTCTGCACCGGGGGGCAAAGGACCTTCACCCGGTTCCAGCGGAGCGCCCTGTTCGTTGCGGGGGACCTCCGTCTGCAACCCTGGCGCCCCGGCGAACGTGGCAGCGGGCGTCGCACCCCCCTTCACAAACGCTTCCGCCTCCTGCCGCGTAGCAAACTTCTTATACCGAGGGCGCGGAAAACCCTTGATCTGCTCTTGGGCCTTGGCCCAGTCCGTGTAGACGCCGGGGACCCGCCCGCGCTGGATGCCGTAGAAACGGGAGGGCTCTGAATTCGTGGGAGTGGAGGGCGTGGGACGCTTAGCACCGGTGAGGAAGGCGTTCGCTTCTTCGAAGGTCGGAAAGGCCTGGACTGTAAGGGGTTGTGTTAGCCAGCGTAGCGTTGCGATGGGGAGAGCGCGTCGCGCGGAGGGAGAGGAAGAGGGGAGAGGATTGGGGTCGGCCGGGTTCCTTACACACGGCGCCTTTGTACCCGGTGATCTGGGCCAAGCAGTCGCGCCATTCATGGTACACGCCCGGCTGGTAACCGGCCTTCACTGCGTAGTATTTGGCCGTCGAACCCCGCTTGCGTTTCGTGCCGGCGGTGGACGCGGGCGATGGTTTTGACGCTGGCGCGGGCGTCGGAGAGGGGGTGGTTTCGTTCATGGTGTCGCGGAGTGGGCTAGGGACGGTTGAGGATGAAGTCGACGGATTGTGCTGGAGGAACCGGAGGCTTGGGGAGGACGAGAGGGGTGAACAAGATGCAGTTGGCGCGGTGGACGTCGTAGGGATGGCTCGGATGAGAGGTCTCGGGGCGCCGCTCCAGGTGGAACTCGGCCGTCCCAACGTCGGAGGTAGGCGGCGGATGAATCGATAGAGACCCGTGGTGAGAGGATAGTAAGTGCAAACTTCTCGTGAAGGAGTTGGAGATGTGGGAGGGGAGAAGCTCGAGAGAGGAATTTTGCTGAGGGTGAAACAAAGAGGGGAGAAGAGAAGATGGGCTGGTGAGGGGTTCGATTATAAACATACGGTACTGTCCACTACAAGATTTCTATCTTTCTACACATGATTCATTAATATAGGATTCTGCTCGAATCGATTTAACAAATTGAGCTGATATTATGGTGGGTATGTCATGTTCGCTAGTTCGGACATGAGGCTCGCGCAATATATTCTTTGTAGCGGTACCTGTAGATATAGAAAAGAGAACGCATACTTTGCGTCTCGCCGGCCAGCGACTCTGAAGGGCTGTAACAACTGCATACTGGATATGCGAGACCTCGTCCTCGAGCACTGTATCATGACCTTTAGTATTGTGTTAAGTCTCGCTGAGTATATACTGTAGAATCTTGCAAAATGATCACTTCTTCGCACTCCGATCCCGTCTCAATTCCACCCCAGCTTGCATCCTCCTCGCATTCTCCCTCGCATCCAGGATCAAGAACGCTGGGTTCCAAACACACAGCACCAAGCTCGCAATGAACATCAATGCTGCGTCGAGAATAATCTCATACAAATCGTGCGCAAACAGATACCCCCGCCACCCATTCATCAACTCCATGCTCCGATACACACCGCGCGCCACCATATACGTAACCGCCATCATTAATGATAGCGAGATCCGCCGCAGGGCGTGATTCCGGGCAATCGGGACGAGGCCATGGTAAATCACGTATTCGAGCGAGGTAGCAAAGACACAGGTCGAGACAGTTGCCAGATGATTTCGGCCACCAGGGAGGGGCGATAGCCGAAGGGAGTGGGATTATTCGGGTTATAGGGGAGACGATCGGGAGTTTCCATCGCAGACTTCAGATAGAGAGCAGTATATGGAAGGAATATCAAGTCGGTTGACTGTATCTGTCAGAGAATGCAAGTGGTGTAGATGATGATGCTGACGGGGGATGGCACTAGAATCATAATCACTTTCTTATTAAATGTCAGCCTAGAACAATCTAAGAACGGCAGATGTTGGGAGAACGTGGCCGAGATGAGATACATGCCACTATCTCAGTATACTCCTCCATCGTGTCAGTTGCATCCGTACCGACAACAAAGCCATGATATTCCTCTGCCTCCATGGAATGCGAACCTACTTAGTGAGCACTAAACCAGAAAAAGTAGAAAAATCAAGTAGTATACATGTTCAATGAAAAGTACACAGCTAGATGTCACTAGTATCTGCTCCTACTCCACCAACACATCTAGATCAGGGAGAAACACAACAATCGACTCACTAGGCACGGAAGGCACAGAGCACAACGCTCTGGATGGCGACATTTGGAGAATCGTCCAGAATGATCACCTCTTGTGAGGGCTTCTGAGAACTCCTCCCAACGTCTCCTCCAACTGACCATATCATTCGTACCTCACCTCTGGCTTCACGATCAGACAGTTCCTGATGGCACGCCTACGCCCAAGCTATACAGGTGAGCCATTCCTCACTCACCACACAACTCATACACTAACCTACATCAGAACAGCAGACTATCCTCGACGCAGTTGGAAACACCCTCCCCAGAGAGATCCTAGACCTGATCTGCGCATATCCCCCACGCCCCCTGTACGGCAGCTTCGATCTGACCCGAGAACTACACGTCGCCTGTCTGACCGACAACCTGGACCGAGTCACCGATCTGTTACGCCTGGGAGCCGACCGCGAGTCCGTCAACCACGCGGGACTCAGCGCCCTCGACGTCGCCGACTTTCTGTACCGCGTCGAAGTGGTCAAGCGACTCATGGCGGACGTGGACATTGAGCGAGCCGGGGTGATGCAGCTGCTGTACGCCATTCAACGAGGACATTCGACGGTTGTGCAGGCACTACTGGAGATGGGAGTGAAGGAACACATGGATGAGGATCTATTTCGCGGCGTGTTCTTGATTGCGTGCTCGTTCGGCAGTACGTTCGTCGTCGATGCTCTTCTCAAATATGGACCAGGGATCAGCGTCTCGCCCTTCGAGAACATGTTCGTGCAGGTTGCGATGGCTACGAAGAACGTTGCGGTTGCGGCGCGTGTGCGGGAGATTGCTGAGGAGGAGAGATGGCGCATTGCTGCGGAGGCTGAGGTTTGTCAAAGTCGTTACTCTTGTTACTGTCAGTGCTGACCTGGTTTAGAAATATATGCTTCCTGAGGTGGACAATATTGCAGATCTGTTTTCCGACTTCTTGGACAATGTGGAAGCGATGAGCTCTGAAGATGTCTCTCGGGGGAAGAAGCCCGATAATACTCTGTTGCATGACGAGGGGCTGCAATGTGTATAACATGCTCCAGATTCATGGGAAACCAAGATACATAACTCGGATCATTGCGTTGGCTCTCCACATTATGTGCAAAAGTACCGTACCTCTTGGTGTGCATCCACTGCGTATTGTACGATGGCGTCTTGACCACCTGCAACTACCATCACCACAATCGCCCAACGCGGCGACTTCGTCCATTAAGAGTAAGACGATATGCGCCGGCGTGATGCCACGATTACTATCCTCCACTTCCGAGTGGGGGTGACAGGGATTGCGTATGTCTTAAGACTGTTTCTTACACCGTGCAACATCTTGGCCGAACCGGCCATGCAGACGCCACTAATTTGGAATTGGGTGCATTAGTGTGGTCTATATACCCCGATTCAGACGCCAGGTCTGACCCCCCTCCATCAAGTTCAGCTCGACACATCATGGCCGTGCTAACAGGCGATCCCAGCAGTCTGCTGGCTGTAGCGGTAGGCCTTGTAAGTAGAAACTACCCCCAAATGACACGCTGCCCTAACACCGTCCCAGGTAATCGTGCACATCACAGCCAAAGCCCTCTACAACATCTTCTTCCACCCCTTGCGGTCCTTCCCAGGGCCGCCCAGCCATGCCGCCTTTCGCTTCCCATACTGCTACAAGCTCCTCCGGGGCACCTTCCCCTTCGACATGCTCTCGCTGCATAGACAGTACGGCGACGTGGTTCGTGTAGCCCCGAACGAGCTCGCCTTCTCGCACCCCGACGCCTGGCGCGACATCATGGGCCACCGCATCGACGGCAGCGATGAGATGGGCAAATGGGACCAGTTCTACCGCGCGGTACCGCAGACGCCGACGAGCATCGTCAGCGCCGACCGCACCGAGCACGGCGCACTGCGTCGCCAGCTCTCGCACGGGTTCTCAGAGCGGGCGATGCGCGCGCAGGACCCTCTCATCACGGGGTATGTCGACTTGCTGATTCAACGGCTCCATGAGAACTGTCGCGGCGGGGCGCAGACGGTGGATATGACGGCGTGGTATAACTTTACGACGTTTGATATTATCGGCGATCTGGCGTTCGGGCAGCCGTTTGGGTGCTTGGAGAAGTCCGAGTATCATCCGTTTGTCCCGCTGTTGTTCAAGTCGTCGAGGATGGGGAGTGTGGTGTTCTCGCTGTCGTTTTACCCGATGCTGAAAAAGCTTGTTTTTGCGATGATCCCGAAGTCGCTGATTCAGTTATTTGAGGATCATCGGCAGGTGTCGATTGAAAAGCTGCGTGAGCGGATGAAACTGGAAGTGGAGAGACATGATCTTATCGAGGGGCTGCTGAGGAAGAAAGATGACCTGGTTTGTCTTGGATGGAGTGTGTAGGCTGTGGCTAATGGGCGTATAGGACTTGGATATGGACCACCTCGAGGCGAACGCCAACGTCTTGTTGATCGCGGGATCGGAGACGACCGCTACGCTGCTCTCCGGAGTGACGTACCTTCTTCTGATGAATCCGGAAGCCCTGTCGCGATTAACAGAGGAGGTCCGCGATGCATTCAACAGCGAGGCCGAGATCGATATGCAGTCTGTCAGTCGGCTTCCCTATATGCTCGCCTGTCTCGACGAGGCACTGCGGATGTATCCCCCCGTGCCAAACGGACTACCGCGAGTGGTCCCGAAGAATGGGGCGCAGATTGCTGGAAAATTCGTCGAGGAAGGTGTAGGTGCATCCTATGCTGGTTGTTCGCATGGAAGCTCACGGTATACAGACACCTGTTGCGATACACCACTGGGCCTCGTACCACAACGAAAAGTACTTTGCCGACCCGTTCAATTTCCACCCGGAACGCTTTCTTGGTGACGAGCGGTTCGCAAATGATCGGTTTGACATTCTGCAGCCGTTCCATGTTGGGCCGCGCAATTGCTTGGGGCGGAAGTGAGTATGAAGTCATCTGGTTCAGGGGTGACGCTGACTTTGCTAGTCTCGCGTATACAGAGATGCGGTTGATCCTTGCCCGCGTGATCTACAATTTTGATATGAAGCTCGCTGACGACAGTACGGACTGGCTGAAGCGACAGAAGGTGTGGTTCTTTTGGAATAGACCAGCCCTGAACGTGTATTTGACTCCGGTGAAAAGATAGCTGGACATAGATGGGGTTTAGGGACTGGAAGAAGGGAGACTTGATCTTTGAATATGTGATTAGACTGAGTTGATCTATCAGACAGAAGAAACCCAGACAGAAATATTATATCTCGTAACGAGATAAAACTTCACCTAGAGTTCCTGTCTGTGATGTAGTCAAGTGGCCTGGCCTACAAGGACCTTGTATATAGGTATACATGCTTGTTTACTCAGTAAACAGGCATCGGAACACCATTAAACTCGTAATGCCAGGTATCGATGGACTTCTGGTCATATTCACACTGCATCACACCTCCCTTCCACTTCGGTCGAAGGGGCCAGGCGCAGATCTGACGGTTCTCTCCAACATGCTCTCCCTGGAGGACCGTCGCATTGAGTGTCACCGGCTTCTCCCCCTTCTCGACCCAGTTGATCAGAACCTGCAAGTTCGTCTGCGGAAAAGGCCCATTCGGCATGTACGAGTTCGTAGCGCAGTGACCAGCCCCGGGAACGAGATAAAGCCGGTACCAATCCTTGAGTGCCTTCGCGCCATCCTGATACGACAGGTGGGGATACATGGTGCTTCGCACAGCCTCCCAGTACCGCACCGACGACCCGGCCGGGATCCCCGGGTCTTCTTCCCCGTGGAAATGAAGGACCTTGCCACCGGCTTCGTGGAATAGCGTCAGATCCGGCCAGTCCGTCTGCAGTGTCGACCCGTACTCCTGCATGCCGCTAATCATCCACGACTTGAGCGTGTCATATGTCACGCCGTCCAGATTCGTCGGGGCGGTGCCGGTCTTGTCGACCAGCAGCGCGAGGTACTTGGCGCCCAGCGAGTACACCGCGGGCTCCCACTTGCCCGTGGAGTTGTTGTACTGCGTCAACACGGTGTCGAAGGACGCCGCAATCTGATACGGGAGGTACACGCGGCGCCCCTGCGAATCATGTAAGCCGTCAACCACCTTCCTCGCCACGTCCACCGCCTCGGCGGCCACCGTGCCCTTCTGCTCTGGCGTGGCAGCAGACGCAGCGCAGTGGTACGGCTTGCCGACGACAGAGGCAAAGTCGAAATGCAACCGACACAGATCCGTACGGGCGACGACCCCGTCGGCCAGCCCGTCCAGCGCGTCGCACGCCGCGATGGTCTCGTTCAGGATCTTCTGCATCTCACACGGCGGCGGCGCATAGCCCAGCGTCTGCATGGCGACGGTGGCATACAGCAGCTGGACCTGCTGGAACGACCACCGGAACGCGGGCGCCCCCACCGCCACGCCATCGAACTGGTCCGCATACCGCTGCACCTGGCTCCAGCCCTCGCGGCCGCCCTCCGAGCACCCCTGGTAGTAGCTGTACAGCTTAGTGGTGTCGGCCATATTGAAGAAATTTCGCGTGAACTGCTTCCCGATCTGCCCGAGCTCTCGGTGCGCCCGGTATGCGAGCATGTACAGCGTGTCGTAGTTCAGCGTGCCGTTCGCGAGCAGCATGACTGCGTCTGACTGCACGGAAAACCCCCCGAACCCGCCGTCCGTGATGCCGGCCACCGCGCCATACATGACGCCGCCAGGAAGCAACTGCCCTCCTTTATTGATGGCGTAGCCGCCGCCGCCGGTGGAGAGGTACCGGTTCTGGAACTGGGATGGCTCCGGGAGCCAGTACTGGACGAGAACGCGGTCGTCTCGGCCGTTGTGCGAGTATGCCAGGGTGACGTTGCAGTATGAGAAGGTGGCTGCCGGGAAGAAGTAGCCATTCGCGGGCGTGGAGGCGTTGTAGACGATGTTGGTGGTGACCGAGGACGGGTCGAGCGTGATGCCTTGGAGGAAATTGGAGGCTGGGAGTTTCGACCGGGCGTATGCCGCTGTACAGACGTCCTCGAGGCTGGTGGCCATTGCTATGCATGCGTAGGAAACGGCGGCAATGGCCATTGCCCGGAGGCTGCGACCCGGTACGCGCATCATGAGGGGGATGCGAGAAGGATTGTCTACCCCTGTAGCTGGGAGGCATTGAGGAGGAATTATATACCCGCTGCATCGCGGGCCCACGGCGAAATCCCGCACTCGCAGACTACAGTGCCTATCCTCGAAGAGGAAGTAGAGCTCGCATATCTGAAGCACCCCACAGACCTAAGCTTCTCCGGGGTGGAGCTCCGCGGGGCCTGGCTCTAGCCCCACATATTCCCCCACAATCCATTACCCCGGATTTTGATGCGGAGATATACTCCTATCTCATCGTAGCAGTGTACGACATAGGGTTTCTTGTGACGGTATAAAGTGAATTGAGAACCTTTCTTGAAAGGACAAAAATCCACAACAGACAAGCCCTAAGGTATGATGCCAAATTTGCCCTCGGTACATGCGTTCTTAACACCCCCCTTTCAATTCTTCAAACCATACAACGTGTGTATAGCATTCTTAGCCAGAACTTCAACAAGTGTATATCAAATTCTTTCCACCCCCCGGTTTTCCGTATACAGATCATCCCCGTTCTAGGACGGCTCAAGGCCAATAAAATACCGAGGGGCTGTGTTTCTCCCTTTTGTACTCATCACCTGGACCAGAACGGACTTCGCATTCTTGACCAGCCGTTAGAGATGGGGTACAGACCGCCACAGTCCACTGCGAAATCGAGGGAAGAGAGTCAAGCTCCTCGTAAATTTCTTACCATGTGCCATCGTGGAGCACAATAAAAGTAAGCGTCACAATGGTCAGTGTCTGTCGATAGTGCCGTAAAAGCCTTAGCAAGTCCTATGTCCAGGGATTGGAGGCCGACGAGTTGCTGGAAGATATCGGGGAAATAGTATCCAAATCCCTCCACATAATCGACAACATCTTCATCAGATGATGTACATATGGGGCATAGGTTGCCGATTATGAGTTTCCGGATCCGGTGGCCATGCCCAGCCTTGACGATTTTACTTAGGTCATACAGTGGCATAGTAGGGGAAACCCCTCTGCCGATGGTAGCATTGAAGTATCGAAAGAGGAGACGTGTACCGGCGCGGTTAAAATCCTTGTTAACAAGGCGCAGATTCCTGAGCAACTGAGGGCTGAATTTGACTCCACGATCCACTGCAGCATAGAGGATCACCTGTGCAGTGCACATCGTCAGAGGATGGACAGGGTGGCGGATTTGGGTGTTATCTTACCTCTTCAAAGATCTCCTGAGGGAGAAGCGCGATGGGGAATGGAGATGTATTCATCTTGTTCGCTGCGTATGCGTACAATCTTTGGAACAGGTGCAAGAATAGAATAGACCCCACTATTGGGAAAAGGACTGTTGGTATAGTAGTTGTGAACTGAAAGAATGAGCCTATGGGAGATGCTGTGAACGAGCGTCCGGTACAGCCAAAAGAGTGTGTTGGGGTTTGCGGTGTAGAGACGAGTTCAACTGGAAGTAGCTGGCAAAAATACTTGTAGGATATAGGTAGACATCTCTCTAGGTATGCCTTTTATTAGATCATTATGAAGGTTTATGACTGGAACTAGACGTTGTTTATGCTTCTAGCATCATCATTGGATCATGGACGAAACAACCAAATATGCCACGGTTCGGTCATAGTATTGGAGCAAGCAAGCGCCGGACTTCTCCTTGAGAAGAATCACTTTTGAAAGTTCATATAAGAGCAAATCCAGCGCTGTAGACTCGTGTAGTATTCCTTCCAACCACCTACTGTCGACAGTGATATCCGAAGTTTAGTTTTTAGAGCAACGTCATTGTGACCCAGACGATATGCCTACAATAAGGCCAGCGTAGGTAATGTTTCCACATATTGCTCGTCATAAATTTACCCAAAGCCCACAGGATTTCCTATACCACACACTTACTGTTAAGCACCATACTTGCACCTACAATGCCTGAGCAATGGGAGCCACCATCTCTCCCAGGTGCAAATAAACCTACCACATCGACGACTGGAACTCCCGCGAATGGCGAACAGCATGGCGCCAACTCGTCAAGGATACCCCCAAAATCATCGATGCCGCTAAAATCCTCTTGTCCGGACGCCCAGGCGAAGACCCGACAGTACATGTCGAAAAAGGGATTTACATCAATGGCGACGGCGGTGAGGCTGAAGAACCTCTTCGGATCGAGCCAGGCATCACTGATTGGAGCTTTGAGACGCGTGGAAATCCGTATGATGCCATCGTTGCCTGTATTCTGTTGAGAGCGCAGTCCCTTGCTCCGGGACAGTTTAAGCTACGGTAAGGAGTCTTTTCCTGGTTGGGTGGCAAGCTAAGTGTGTGGTTCGAACAGGGAGTGGCCGAAGTATTGGGCGTTGCGCGTGGCTTGTATCTAACCGTGTGGCCGGACGAGTTTTTGAACAGCCCGTTGGAGGCTGGGATATGGAGAAGGAATGGTGCTTAGAGTGTTGAATCTATGAGAATTGGCAAGGAAGCAATACGAGTACTCTGTGGCTGTTTTGTTCTCACGGAACACGTCGATCTGAAATGCTGAGCTAGTGATAGACAATCTGTTCTGGCGCGATCCTTCCATTGACATAGATCAGGACTATGCGTACGCTCGTGGGAACCTGAGCTAACTGAGCTAGAAGCTTTGACTAGTATCCCACTAAAGCCAAAAGACGGGAGATGTCTTGGGAATAGCAATACGGTCTTATAGTTTGACGATGTCAATTACGAATAAACAAATTCAAAAGTATAGAGCAATAGCTACTGGAGCTGTGCTGGGGGCTTAATCAAAAACGACAGAATATTTGGCATTGTATGTACATTTTATCCTAGCTCATATACACCGAGGTCAACCGATTATACACTCCTTGCTCCACATACCTACCCATCCCGCAAAGTGTGTTCCCCTGAAAAAGTCTAAGATCCAAGCCTCATGGACACTTTACTCAGGCTCCCCATTGATGGGAAAGGCGGCGTGGCAGGCCTGCTCCGCGTAGAGACCATCCGAAATATCCTGGCAGGTAGCCCCATTCTCCCCAATCATGTATGCACCGTTGGCATAATTGATGGTGAAGCTGGGGGCACCCACGTCGAAGTTGACTTGCGAGATTGCGATGTCATAAGGAAGGCCAATGTCATTGATCCAATAAGTCACTCCGCAGTCATTTCCCTCATCGTCGGGCGAATAGATTCCGATGGGGATGCAGTCATTGTTGTAGACGATAAAGGCCGTGTTGCCCGCAACGCCCTCTAACGGGTTGTCTCCATCAAATGTGGGAACGGACACCTCACTGACGTCCAATGCAAAGGTCCAGCTATCCGGGCCCATGGTCTGGCAGAGGGAGGTTCTGGTTTCAGGCTCGGTCATCGGCTCCGTCAGGGTGTTGTGGAGGTCACAGTCGGCGCTGACGAGGCCGGAGAGGCCGCAGAAGGCCAGGAGGGATGCAAGCTTGAGGGTTTGAGAGATCATGATGATTGAGTAGAAGAGGTATTGAAGCTGGTAGAGTTTGATATCTTGATGATGATGATGGGGAGGTGACTTCAGCGAAGATTCTACCCTTTATATAGGCCACAGCAACCCCTGATGTAGACATCATTCTGTAATCGAGGACATACCACCTGTTGATCAGTCTGCCTACGCAGCTCCTTTCTGCACAACAAGAGCGTATATTGTTGGACTTGTATACAAGTTGATTGGAACGCATATTCCTCACCCCAGGCAAGGCGTTCTGGCCTCCCCAAGGGAGTTGAGATCATCCACCGGGCATACCCGACAAGGTCATCCGAAGCTCCTGTCGACTCCCCAACACAATATTGATGCCAAACTTGCCTGAAGAATGTGGGGGTTTTCTCCGCCATTGGCTTGCGGTGAGATACCAAGAACCAACACTGCCATCTTTTGGGGGCGGTTTGCCTGGGCGTTGCTTTTCTTCCTTCCGCCCTGGCTGCCAAGTCCACCGCCAAGCATCAGGATGCATATCCCGGCAAAAGGAATTGGGATCGGAGTAGCATCATCCAGAATAGGCGGTGGTGTCTGCGTCCTCGTCACCAGGACCGGGAACAGCCGTCTCAGCCACGTCGTGTTGGCCATTCAGGTAGCACACGTGCTGGCGTTCAGACGTCATCTTGTTAATATGACTTCTTGAGCTCATGGTTGCTAGAATGTCTCCAAGGTCTCTATAGCGTTGGTTGCCAACACCGCTTGAGAATCGGCATCTCATTAGTCCACCGGGAGAACTGTATCTGAAGCTGCCTGAAGGCATTCAGTCTTGAAGTGGCGAAACCACGGGAGACGGCATAGGAAGGATGAGACTAACCCTAGCGTAAGGTCAGGCGCTTTTCGGTTGTTCGTAGACCACCTTCTTGCTTGTGTTAGGCGCATTCCAGCTGTTCAAAGAAGTTCCCAGCCGGGTGTCGATGTTGACCAGGTCTCTTTACAGAGGATATATCGGAGAGCTGAATGGTGTATTGCCCTGGACCATCTATACACCATTTGACGCGTATGAAGTGATCGGGGGCGAATCGTTTACAATAAGCTACACGGAATCCTTGAAAAAAAACAGGACATAATTTCTTACGACGGCCATCTGGACGGTCTATACACAGAAGGCTACAGGGGATCACCAGCAACCCAAGCTGTGGCAAAGCCCTGCCCCGACTCCTGCAATAACGAATTCCATTCGTCCCGGGCCATTGTGGGAATTGTCTCGGACACCCAACTAGGATCCTCGTGCTCGGCGGACGTGTTGTCTCCGGCGTAGTCATCCAGACCCAGCAGGTTCAGCAACGAACCCGGCAAAGATGAGGTCTCACTGGACGCCATCGGTATCAGCGGCTCGGATGCCGGTTCTTGCGTGGCCTTGACGAAGAGCTGGGTTACTACATGCGCCCCGGACGCGGCCATATAGCTGACGCCAGCGAGCATCTGCAGCCGACGGAGCGCCTGCTCTGCCGCCTGAAGGGCCCTGTGGCGCGTCAAGCGTCCCGCTTTAACGCCCAAAAGCACAGTGCTTTCCTCCGCATGGCCAAAGATGCAGTCCCCGTGACAGCAGAGACCGAGAAGCAGCACTGCAGCCTCAAAGGTGTTGAATATGATGGCGGCAAAGCGTGTATGGGAGCCGCCAAACATGGTGTGCAGTGCTGTTACGGCCTCCAGAACCTTGAGGGCTGCCAGAGCTAGCCGCCTTTTCTGCGACTGCAGTAGCACCTGTTTATACGGGGCGAGGCGGGCGATCTGGGCGGACTTGAGCAGCAGCAGCGGCCGGAAGTTCCAACAGATACTATCGAAGATGGCAATGTGCAGGAGCTGTCGCTGCATCGGTAGCTTGGGCAGATCAGCGTCCCACTGGGTATCGGGCTCGATCGCAAACGCAGGGGACAGCGTGGGCAGATATTCCGCGCAGAACCTATCGTATCTCTGCTCACCCTCCAAGGGGTCATAGTCGATCTTTCGCCGCGGCCCGAAGCTTCGCCAGAATCGACCCAGCTGTACTTGCATCAGCCGCTCCGTGAAGACGTCCGGTGCATTGGGGTCGGTGCCGATATCTGGTGCGAGACGCAACCGGGGAAGAGCATTCGCCACCAGGTCGTCAGGCAGAAACGGGACCCGATCTAGCTGCCGGGACAGATGACTGTCTAGGACGTAAAGACTGCAGAGCGTCCTCCGCTCTATCTCCTTTTCCAAGTTCTGTGCGCCATCCATGGTCGGAAGATGCGCATCAGCGTGAATGCCCGCTTTCTGTGCCGCGCGACTGGACACGGCAAGACCCTCCCAGAATCGGTCGGTTCGGCCCTCGCACGAGAACTTGAGGGCAAGAAAGAGGGTGTGCTGAACACGTACCAGCGAACCTTTCCAATCCAAAGCCAGGCAGGCCTGCGCGAGGCTGTCGCCTACATCGCTGCACGTATTGCGGATGTCAGTGAGGGAGACCCCGCCGATACTGTCCACCGTGTGCGAAGGAGATGGGAGAAAGTGAGCTGCATATACACTAACGCGGAGGATCAGAACGGCAAACTCGACGTCGCGCACAGGCAACGGTTGCTTTTTGGTCCACCATAGCTGATACTGTGCCAAGAAGCTGGGGGCATGGATGACCTGCTTCATCCTGATGGCAGGCTGGATTAGCGAATCCTCGCTTCGGCCGTTGACGGTTCAGAAAGCGCATACCAATTCAACTCATATACGAAGTACTGCACGAGGAAATTAAGCACTGGACGTTGGGGCATTCGGCCGAGATCGCGCTCAATGCTCTGGAAGAGACTGGTTGATGTACTTGCTTCGCTGCCATGGCTGTCACTATGACTCCCAACGCCCCACTATACGACGAGACTCGGTTAGTTGGGCCAATACCAGCGGTATCCACGGGAAGTGCAATCTGACGAAGCCTTACCCGCTGGAGCAACGCCATCGTGTTGCAGGAGCTATCCTCGAAGTAGCCGAACGACTGGGCTAGGGCGGAGTGGCCGCTGCATGAGTCCGTTTTGGCCTCGCCCGGAACGATACAACACGGTTCATTGGGCTCGTAGAGGTATGCTTGATCACTGGATGGCTGTATCGCCCCTATCGGGCGACCCTGCCTCTCATTTCCAGTGGGCCGAGTCCGGGAGGACAATAGCTCCGGCGGAGAGGGACTATACAGACACTCCTCCGGTCTTCGACGACGGGTACAATGATTACATGGATATTGTCGGTTACACTGTTCGCCGCAAGGTGAGCGGGATGAACGCGAGGATGAACACAGTATTAGCCACTCTTTCGGCTCCGATGGCTCCTCTTTTCACGTACCTTTTGTTTTCGCGTGTAGCAAGGAACACAGGTGGTAACCCGACGTCTTCGGCCGCCAGGATGCATGATTGAAGGGGATCCTTTCTACTCCATTCGAAAATCACAAAGCAGATGACGACCGGCGGTGATAAGATGTGGGAATTATGAACCGTGCCACACCCGCCGGCTACGGACTAGGGTCATTCCGCAGCTCACAAAGAGAGCGGGACTGACTAGGATGCCCGGCGAGGGCCAATCCAGTTGCGGAAGAACCACCCGAAGGAACGCTAAATGCTTATGCATCAAGACGACCATGGGCACAGACGTGAATGAACACCCTAGGGAAGACTGAGAGCCGAAGAAGAACTTGAAGGTGCCTTTTTGCACACAAGTTTGTTTGATAAACGAGAATCCGTCCGACCCGGGCGGTGATTGTCTTGTCTACATACAGTTAACGCCGGCCGAAAGCGTACAGGACGTTAGATGTGGTTTGGTGACTGGATGAAGAATAGGATATCGGGCTGGTTGAGTGGACAATGCTGCCTTGAAAAGCTAGTGGATGACAACCTCATATAGCGACGATATTCCCTTTGTAAACCTGGGAACGCTTCATTGTAGTGATAGAAAGAAGAACAGCTTCGTCACATACATCAACCAAATGCGTCCATTCTGACTTTCTTTCTCTCAACGCTTGTGTTTTGTTCATGCTTCACGGCGTACTCTGTTGACCAGCAACACCATGACTGTCCAAACGCCAGGAGAATTCCGGCCGATCACCATCGGCGGGATAGGTCAGTTTTGAGGAACCCACGGTGGTGATGGCAACTAGGATAGTGGCTAACCCAGGCAACAGGTTGTCGATTCCTGCCTGCGTGCGAGATATTCCCGGACTATGAGACTTCCTCAGGGAGCAACGAGATGTGCGGAGAGAGTTCACTGAGCCTCGATTCCCGGCCAAGGGCTTCTATCATCCCATCGGGGACCGTCCAGGGACGGCGGTGGCCAGCAGTGGATTTCTTCTCGAGGAGGGCCCTTTGTTCTTTGACCCAGCTCTCTGCGGCATCACCTATCTCGAGGCGGAGACTCTCGATGCGTCTCAGCAGAAGCTGCTCGAGGTTGACAGTTGGGAACTAGTACTCCGGATTGGAGACGTCCTAATTTGTCATGAAACTTTATGCTTATTTTGAACTCCCGCGTTTGGCCGTCACGTAGTAGTCATCGCCATGCGTTTCCATCTGGTCAACGACAAGACCTCACCTACGTCCATGAGACTTCCATCAAGGTCTCCAGCATGTCTCCCACAGCTATCTCACCACTGCATTCTGCACTAGTTGACCAGGCCCGCGTCGGGTATGCTGGGTCCCCCGTGGGTCCGATAAACTTCGGCCGATGAATATCGGGTCAACCAACCGCTGCGGTGTTAGTTGGGCTAAAGTCCGCCGCCGCTCTCGATTCTCATTGTTCTTGATGGAATGATAATGGTTTGGTTCTCAACAGTCGGGTTTAACGGATATAGATCCCTTGTCACGGGGAAGTCCGCAGGCAGTCCTCGGCGTGAACCATATATTATACTACCTAGTACTCTATCTGTTTCCAATTGAAACCGGTCCGAATAGAAATACGCTCGATCATGCACCATTTAGAGGCTCCTTTTTCATTGAGACTTACCGCTTGACCTAACATCTGCCCAGAACACTGCTCCCTGTTGTTTCTCAACCTCGTCACGAAGTCATCCCCTCTTGCTATGAAGACCTCTCCAACTGCAGTGCGCGAGAAAACAGACGTGGAGGCCTCTGCCACCCATCCCTCGTCTATTGAGCTCACGATGCCGCAAGGTCTTCCAATGTCCGCCAGAAATGAAGAAAAGACCGACGGTCAGATCGATGCCAGCGCCAATGACGACGATGTCCGTAAAATCACCGGCTTTCGCTGGTTCCTCATCTGCGCCGCCCTCTACCTCTCGGCCCTTATGTACGGACTAGACACGACCATCGCCGCTGACGTGCAGGGGGCCGTCATTGAGACCTTCGGCGAAGTCTCTAAGTTAGCCTGGATCGGCGCCGGCTTCCCGTTGGGATCAGTGGCCGTTATTCTGCCCTACGGATTCCTCTATACGACCTTCAGCATGAAGTACCTGTACATCGCCGGCATCGTGCTCTTCCAGGCCGGCTCGGCCCTCTGCGGCGCCGCGCCTACCATGAATGCGCTGATTGTGGGCCGCGTGTTTGCTGGCGCCGGCGGCACAGGCATCTATCTCGGCGGTCTGAATCACTTCTCGGCTATGACAACGCGGCAGGAGCGCGGCACGTATCTTACGGGCACTGGCTTTGTTTGGGGGTTAGGCGCAATCCTCGGGCCTGTTGTCGGCGGTGGCTTCTCTGACTCTTCGGCTACCTGGCGATGGGGGTTCTACATCAACCTCATTATCGGCGCCATTACGGCCCCCGTCTACCTTTTCAACTTACCGGCTATTCATCCAGGAGCGGGCAAGAGCCTGCATGACCGCCTCATGCGGCTCGACTACGTGGGCTTCGTCCTCAGCGCCGGCATGTGGGTTATGTTCGCCATGGGCTTCATCTCGGCCGGCGGCGTGTGGGCCTGGAGCGACGGCCGCACGATCGCCCTGGTCGTTGTCTTCGCCGTGCTCCTGGCACTCTACACCCTGCAACAGTATTTTTGCGTCTTCACTACGGCCGCGACGCGATCCTTCCCGGGCCATCTACTGCGCTCGCGCACGCAGACCCTGCTCTACATCACGACAACTTGCGCCAACACGGGCATGTTCTTCACCGTCTACTACATCCCCATTTACTTCCAGTTTACGCAGAACGACAGCTCGTTGACGGCCGCCGTGCGGCTTCTCCCCTACCTGCTGGTCACTATCGCCTGCAACCTTGCCACCGGCTGGGCGCTGCCCAAGGTGCAGCACTATATGCCGCTGTGTCTGGTGTCGGGGGCACTGATGACGCTGGCTGCGGGACTGTTTGTCGGTCTACTGTCGACGGACACCCCGACGGCGCAGATCTACGGCTTCAGCATCCTGATGGCCGTGGGCACCGGTATCACGATGCAGCTGGGCTACGCCGTCGCCAGTTTGAAAGTGGCTCCAACGGACATCTTCAGCGCCATTAACCTACAGAACATCGCCCAGATCGGCGCTACGGTCATCTGTCTCGTCGTCGCCGGTCAGGTGTTCCAGTCTTTGGCTGTGCGGAATTTGAACGAAGTCCTGGCGGGGCGTGGGTTCAGCCAGACGGAGATCCACGGCGCGGTGGCGGGGGCGCAGAGTATGCTGTTTGAGAGCTTGAGTGGTGACCTGAGGGAGGCAGCGATTCGGGCCATCACAGCTGCTATGCAGAGGGCGTTTATCATTCCGTTGGTGGCGGGCGTCGTGGGGTTAATCAGCTCGTTGTTAATGAAGATGGAGCGGTTGTTTGGGTAGTGGCACGAGTCTGTATGAGTGTTGGTGGTTGGAACGGCCTCTTTCTCTTAGTCAAGGTTATGGGCGTGGTTCGGAGGACGATGTCGAGATAGATCCTTTTCTTTAAAATCTTCTACTAGCTCTCAGCTAGGTAGCTAATATAACTCAATGCTCATCATCTGATCGAGGTTCTACTACAGATCCTTACAGCGTACGCCAGCCCCGTAAGTAATTTCGCGGAGACTATTTGGGGATAGGAGTAGCATTATAGCAGGTCTGATGCATCAGGTACTATGCAAAGCACTTATGGAGCCAGAGGAGGATCGTTGTTCTACTACTATGTAGATTGATCTAGCGCCGATGCAAGCATCTACGAGACTAGATGACTGTTATTCGTGGAGTGCAAATCACAGAACAAGATTCTATGTGAGTAACATGAGTGTGATATTAAGGTCTTCTCTCGGTTGACAGCCTTCTCTGAATAAATTGAACATCCCCCCTTCCTTACACCGTCCAGAATCTACCCCTTCCCCCTACCTCACTACTGGGAAACGATGGCATACACATCCGCCTCGTCCAGGACACGCTCAGCCTTGTCCAGGTAGGTGTAAAATTTGCCGGAGTCCTTAAACGTCCGACTACCGACCAAGATCCAGTTTCCCACAACGTATTGGGCTATCCGCGCACAGGAGGACAACATAACGTTGGTCCTCTTGCTGGACTGGAGGAAGCCTGCTAAACCAAAATTACGCGTGATCAATACAATCACGGCGTCTGCCTCAGATCCCTGGGATGCGTCCACGGTCTGGATCCTGGGCCGCGTCTGTACTTCGGGATTCCTCAGCTCCCAGACTCTTTGTACTAGCGCTACTTGAGCGCGGTACGGGGACATGACCAGGATATCCCGGACGCCTCTGTCTAGAAGGCCCCGGGCCAGTGGCACGCCGAGCTCGGCCTCTTGAGGATTATACAAAGATCCCGAGGGATCCTTTTGCGTGTCACCTCTGATGTGGTCTAGGTGCACGAAGTGCGACAGCCCTGGAAGGGTCCAGGTCTGGTCGCCAAGTCGGACCACTAGCGGGTTTGTGGCATTGACCCCGATATCTCTGAGGGGCGCATCCCGGAAAGATTTGACTTGGCCGTCATAGTAGGCAGCCGACGTCGGATGGTACAGGATCTTGTGGGACCTATACGACACATTGAGGAGTGTCTGTTGATAGCCTTTTTTGATAAGGCGCTCGAATGCTGAGGCAGACCAAGCTACCTCTCCCTGCTTTGTAAACACAGGGGGCGACAGCTGCTTATGGTCGCCAACGAAGAGCACACGCGCATCAACCCTTAACTGGCCCAGCACATGGAAAATTTCCGGATCCCGGAAAAACTGGCTTCGTCAAAAATGACGAACTCGGGACTAAAATCCCGGCGAATCATCTCTTTAACGTTAAGTGATAACGTTACGACAACTTGAACATCTTTCATGACGTTCTCAACCAGCTCTCGCCACTGCTGGTTGAACTCTCTGAAGTTTCTTTTGACCTCCCCCTCCGAGTTACCCTTAAGCACGGGAATCCAGAGGAAACCGTGGGCTTCGATAGTGACCGGCTCCCCACGAGGCATTCTTGTAGATCTGGCGTGTCCATCGCGATCGAAGTCATAGGAATAGTTTTGGATCCGCTCCTTCGCGGTCAGGAATTTAGCTGCCATATAAAACACCTCCCCTCCCGGGAGTGCGGATACTCTGGATGCCTTCGAGGAACTGGCGATATTTGCCAGGTTTCTCTTTGGCGAGATCGACGAGTTGCTCGATGTCGTCCGAGAGCTTTTTGGTGGGCTTCCAGGTCGGCGGATTGTCTGGGAAACGAATTCCGCGTGCGATCCGCTGGGGATTGCTGTCTCCTGGTTCTCGAAGTCCCGGCACATTGCGTCGAAGTTTTCTTCGCCCCAGTGCTCCGAGAGCTTTCTGATGGCCTCCAGCATTTGCGTCTGGACCACAGGGTTGGCCACCGGATGGACTTTAACATCCTCCTCATTGACGTGATCAACGAATCCGACATCAACGTCGTTCATAAGGATCGCGTGGATGGGTGCGTCGATCAGCACCCTCCATTTGAGGGCTTTCCGTCACCGACGCTTGCCAGTCTTCAGGAGCCCCCTTCCTGCCAGGAATCCGATATCCTTTAGCCTTTTCCTTCAGGGACCAGTCCTTGCCACGGAAAACTAGGGTGCATCCCCTGTAGATGCGGAACAGCCGGTCTTGTTTAGGCCAAATCCCTAACAGGATTCAATCCTCAACTGCCGCGCTCTTGATGTCGCTTCCACGAACAGCGAGACACTTGTGTTCTTTTTCAGCCTCGGTATTGATCGCCGCGTTATTAATGGCGATGTAGTCCGTCTCGGCTTTGGACATTGTGAGTCACCCGCCACGAAGGGCCAGAAAAAGCAGCTCGGACTGACCTTCCCACAATTTGGGACTGGGGAAGAGGGATTTGAAGAAAGGCGCGCTCGTTGCCCGTGCTGGAGACGGAAACCGGGACATACTACCCATTGTCGTGGTTCGATCGTGGCGATGAGGGAAAAGAAGCCAAAGGGCTCGCCGTAATCCGATGGAGCTCTTCCTTCGACAAGAATAACTGTCAGACTTGCTGAGCAAAGTCGCTGATGCCAGCGGATACTTGGATGGCTCTGGGAGAGTGTCGCTTTTCGATATCCGCGTCACCCTTGAGGTCGACGTTTGACTTGAAGATGTAGAATATCTCGTCCTTCTTTGTCTCGAGCGAGACGGTTGTGATCTGGGCAATGTGGAACGTCACGTTCCAAAAAGGGCGACTGCATCCCGCTTTGACCAGATGTCGGGGGCAGCAACACGGTGATGGCGAGATCCGTTGCAATTTGTTGAGCTGCCGCAATCTCCTCTTCTATCCCCGGTATCTGATGGCCTTGGCCGGGAATTTGAGAGTGGATGGGCACAGTCAGAGGCAGAAGAGTAAGACATTTGTAGTCCTATGGCCTTTAGTGGTAATAGGCACTGCTGTCCACCCGCGCGAGGTTTGGAATGGGAAGAGAAAAGGAAGAGGGAGAGAGAGGGGCGTCGACCATCACTTTATATGTGGTAGTCAGCAGGGGTGGCGAAAGTATAGGTAGTGATGATGGTGGAAGGAAAGAATGAATAATGAAATCGCAGTGAGCAAAGAGGTGAAAGAATGGCAAATACGCTGTGATGACCGTTCTTCCTCTGCTAAACAGTGAATGGTCGAGGCCAAACGGAGAATACCTATTGGCAGGAGACTACCGGGGTCTTTCTGGTGTCTTTCTTTACTGTCAGTCATGTCCCATCAAGCCGTTGGTTGTTTACCTGATGACTTCCAAGTTTGATATAGATCACATGCCCGATTCGGACTAGGGCTAACCAAAATAATCGTGTGCTGTCTCAGGAACCAACCGACCTTATACAAGTCTTCTGTGACGCAGGTTCTCCTACATTCCATAACGCAAGGTCATTATCCTGATACGATTCCTTCTCAATGCTTGCTTTAGTGATTATGGATGATTGATTGAAGCAACGATGGTGATGAGGGTCTTGTCAATGACATGGCTTCGACCTAGTCACATTATCAATAGTGACGAAATTCATGCGATTTACATTCCTACAATTCATATCACTATTGTCGCTAGTCACAGGTGGTAGGTTATGGTGAGCGTACGAAAAGGCAAGCCGTTGCAGTGAGAGCTGGTCTGGGGTATATGAGTCCATATCCGTTCCACAATTACCCTCCGCATAGATATATATCTCCTGGTACGACGTCCCTTCGGCCTGCTTCACACTACCCACTGTACACTTCCTCCTCTCGGATAACTGCGGATTGTAAGTTCCTTGCCCAGGTATTCTCCGGAGAAACCTCGGAGGGTCCAGGGGTCCTAGCAGAATCTACAGAGTAGGACCTGTGCGAAAGAGCCTTGTATCTCCACACTCCAAATGAGGTCGTAATAGGACCGAACATTGCTCTCATAGATTGCCTAGTTGTAGGAGAGACCATCAAGCTCCTATCGGCAGTTCTGAGGCTTTCAACTGGTAGCGTGGTGTCCGTTCTGGTAATAATGTCGGACAATATCCGATCGGGATGTGGAGAGATGCAACTCTGCACGCTCATCTCCGAAATCTGGAGATGGCGGGGGTTTAAGCGGAGAAAGGAAGCCCACCCCACACCGTATACCAATCATGCAATGCATACAGCATCAAGACATGCTGATCATCCCTGAAAGACGGTTATTCTTCGGCATAGTCTTGTCGGTAGCTGGGGAAGAATTAAACCGAGCCCTACCGTAGCCGTGTATAAAATGACGTGCGAAGTCGCGCGCGCCATGGACAGCACTATGAGGTTGGATTCTTATGATAAAATTACGCAAAATGCGAAATTCTGTAATCTGCCTCTCTTTGTTAGCTGCATGTGCACAAGCACAGCAGCTGTACATTACGACGACGGGATATGATGAACGGCCTCAGTGTACTCAGCCGGCAGCGTCGCCGGAGTATTATTTCCAACCGTTTTCTTACAGTATGAACGAGACTGTTCGGTAGGCCTCCTCAATTAAAAGTATCAAGAGAGGAAATTCTAATAGAACAAGCTTCGCTACTTCAGTGCCTGCGCCGACTTCAACTCAAACATACGCTCCGCCGTATTCCGAGGCTGTGAAGCATCTCACCACGAAACCAGCGACCACGACATGGGGTAACTGGCTGCCTGAGCAGACAGAGATAACAGCTACCGATGGAGATGATCCATATGGACAGGCAGCGTGGTCCTCGATGTGGCAACAGGTCCAGCTTGAGAACTACACCACCACTGGACTGTACTCCACGACGGTCAGTCCCACGCCAATTCCCACCAGCGAGCTAGTCCTACCACCCCGAGACTACTTCGGACCAACAGACTGCTACAACTTCCCGGACGATTTTGTTTTTGGCGTTGCTGGAAGCGCAGCACAAGTCGAAGGCGCCGTGGCCCTCGAAGGACGCAGTCCTACCATCCTGGAGAAGCTGGTCGGTTCTGATCAACCGAAAGACTACGTGACCAACGAGAACTACTACTTGTACAAGCAAGACATTCAACGCCTGGCCGCAATGGGCGTCAAGTACTACAGCTTCTCGATTCCATGGACCCGCATCCTGCCGTTCGTGTTGCCCGGGTCTCCCGTGAACGAACAGGGCATCAAGCATTACGACGATCTCATCAACACAGTCCTCGAGGCTGGCATGCAGCCCGTCGTGACGCTCATCCACTTCGACACTCCATGGATGTTTGTATCCGGGGACGACAGCACCGTTCGCCCGGACATCGGCTACAACAACGGAGGCTACCAGAACGAGACCTTCGTCGACGCCTTCGTGAACTACGCAAAAATCGTCCTCTCGCACTACGCAGACCGCGTCCCAATCTGGGTCACTTTCAACGAGCCCCTGCTCTACTGCTTCAACTTCACCGGCGCGCAGAACGTCATCAACGCCCACGCCCAAGTCTACCACTTCTACCACGACGAGCTCAAAGCCACCGGCAAGATGGGCATCAAGTTCAACGACAACTTCGGCGTGCCCCGGGATCCCCGTAACGCGAGCGACGTCGCCGCAGCAAACCGATTCAACGAGATGCAGCTGGGCCTGTTCGCCAACCCCATCTTCCTCGGACAGCAGTACCCAGACTCCATCCTGAGCACCCTCCCCGGCGCCAAACCCCTCAGCCACCACGACCTGTCGTACATCGCCAACACATCTGACTTCTTCGGCATCGACCCCTACACCGCGACGGTGGTCTCGCCGGCCCCCGAGGGCATCGACGACTGCGCCGCCAACCACACCGCAGCCAATACGCTCTGGCCCTACTGCGTCGTGCAAGAGACCCAGAACGTCTACGGCTGGGACATCGGGTACCGCTCGGAAAGCTACGTGTACATCACCCCGACGTATCTGCGCGAGTACCTCGGCTACCTCTGGAATACCTTCCGGTATCCCGTGCTCGTGAGCGAGTTCGGGTTCCCTGTGTTTGCGGAGGCGGACAAGGAGCTTCCCGACCAGCGGTTTGATACACCGCGCAGTATTTACTATTTGTCGTATATGTCGGAGATCCTCAAGGCGATGTATGAGGATGGCGTGCATGTTATGGGGGCCCTGGCGTGGTCGTGGGCTGATAATTGGGAGTTTGGGGATTATGCGCAGCAGTTTGGGCTGCAGGTGGTGAATCGGACGACGCAGGAGCGGTTTTATAAGAAGAGCTTTTTCGATCTGGTGGATTTTGTGAATTCGAGGATGTCGTCAAAGTAATACGTTGCGGGCGAGGGAGTGGATGCTCAAGGTAGAGTAGTATAACAGAAATATACTGATCAATTGAACACTAGACAACATACTGATAATCAAAGCAAACAGATGAACGATCCTACATGTAATACGCCAAATCACCCGCTCCATGCTTGTCGTGAACACTCTCCCCGTTGCCCAAACAGTAGAACCGGTTCTTCGACCGGTACTCGATGTTGAAGTGCTCTCCGCCGATGTTTTCCAGACAGTCCTTGAAGTGCAAGATAGAGCCTGGATAAACACCCGTGACTTGGCCGGATGTCTTCCCATTTTTATACCAGCTGCGGCAGCCGTCCGACCAAACCGTGCGCTTCAAGAACTCCTGCGCGTAGATGTTGTAGTCGTCCATGGCCTCGCGTTTCACGTCGATGGACCTGTCCTATGTCAGTAGAGCCCAGGAAACCAAATGAATGCACAGGGAGGTACGTACTTGATGTCCTCAGTGGCAATCTTCTTCGCCCAGCGCAGGATGTAGTCGCACGTCCACGACACCTGCGTCAACACCGACCCGTGGGAGATCGGGCAGTTGGGCCCGTTGAAGATAAAGTAGTTCGGCATGGTATCGACCTGCACCGCGAAGAATGCCTCCGGGTCAGTCTTCCAGCGCTCATCGAGGACGGCGCCGTTGCGGCCGACGAGCTTCCACGACGGAATGAAGCTGGTGTCGAAGCCAGTCGCGCAGACGATCATGTCAAACTCCTGCTCGTCGCCGCCGACCGTTTTCACGCCGCGCTCAGTGATGCGCTCGATCGGGTCGAACGTCATGGTCGCGTTGGGGTTAGCAAAGGCCTCCAGGTATCCGTCGCCGGGGGTGAGACGCCGACATCCAGGGCGAAACTCCAGCTCGGACATCTTGGCCACGACGGTGGGGTCTTGGATGCCTTTCATGCGGTCGGCCATCTGCTGCTTGCAGGCTGCGGTCAGGCCGAGCTGGATAGGATGGTCTTTGTACATTCCGTAGAAGAATGCGTTGACGCTGGACCAGGTTGTTAGTGCGTGGTGTATGGGGTGAGGAAGGGGACGTGCCTGGCCTCTAGCTCACGTCGGTACTTCAAGTGCGCCTCGGGGTCTTCTGCGAACTGTCGCTTTTGCTCCTCGGTGTAGGCAAAGTTGTGGCCGTCGATGGTCTTCTCCGCGCAAAAGTTGACCGAGACCCAGGTAGGATTGCGGACAAAGTTGACCAGCTTGGCGACCTTGGGCTGCATGGCTGCGACGCATTGGATGCCGGACGAGCCATTTCCGATCACCGCAACGCGCTTGTCGGTCCAGTCGTAGGAGTTGTCCCTGAGCTAGTTCAGGAAGAGATATGGTGAGGTGGTGTGGAGGAGCTTACCATCGCGAGGTGTGGACTAGCTTGCCCTTAAAGTCGGACAAGCCCTCGATCTGGGGCCAGTTGGTTTTGCTAGACACATATGAGCATCAATGTCGAACACCGACGGCATGGTAATGGAAGGACTCACTTGAGGAATCCAGAAGCATTGACGAGGATATCGGCCTCGTCATCCTTGATGGTGCCAGCCTGGTCAACCCGTACCAGCCATTTACCCGCGTTGTCGTCCCAGATAGTCTCCTTGACGCGGGAATTGAACTGGACATCCTTGTCCAGATTGTACTTCTTCACCGTGCGCTGAATATACTCCTCGATCTCGGCGCCAGGGGGGTAGAAGTGCGACCAGTTCGGATTGGGCTCGAACAGGAACGTATAGGCATCTAGCAGGTCAGAACCATATGCAGCAACCGATTGGAGGTCATACGAGCAGGGATATCACTAGGCAATGGATGAATCGATTAGATCGGGATGCAATTGGAATCATCGGTGAACGACAAGCCACTTACCAGGCCACTCCTGGATAGGTGTTCTCGAACCAGGTGCCACCGACCTGGGGGTTCTTTTCATAGATGACGAGTTCGATCACATCGCTCAGCTTCAGCTCATGCTCGATCTTATGGGCCAGGGTCAGCCCCGAATAGCCGGCCCCGATGCAAATAATCTTCAGCTTTCTGCGAGCAAACGCCGGCTGGTCGCTGCACGGCATCCAGTTCTTGGGCTGGTTGCCAGCAGCCACTCCATTGGCTGGGGTGTGGCCGTTCGCGATTTCCGAGACAGTCATTGCGGCAGATGAAGGGACAATGGGGTTGTAGGCAACAGGGTATCTTTGTCTGAGACCGGGATTCACGAACAGTGATTCCTTTATAACCCAGCGTGGACTGCTCACTCCCCCGCTCCTGTCTGGTGCTTCCCACACTCACTCCACCCCCTGTTCGCTCTACGTATCTAACCCAAGTCTGCCTAGTGGGTGCCTTTACGAACGAGAGGAGGGATCAGAAGCCACCGGCATCCGACCCCCGGTCAGCTGGGTCTGCATCCATGTTTCCAAGCGAGGCAACGAGACGAACTGCGCAAAAGTACAGGCTGCCCCATGGGCGTGTCCAGACCGGCGCGGCACAGCGGGTCGCATCCCGCTGGCGAAATTAGCTGCGGACATGTCAGAAGCATGGGCCACCCGCCGTCGTGTCAGGATGCCATGCTCGGAAACTCTGCACGGTGCTATCCGGCTGTAAGTCGTGTGAGTGGTCCGTAGGAAAAAGAAAGAGGAGGTCTACGTCCTAGCGTGGGTTCGCCCATGGGATTTGTCCGACCAGCAGCAGGCTCCAGACGGACGTCCCGCGGCGGGCTAGTGCTTAGACCCCGGCCTAGCTGCAGGTCTTGGTGTGTCGTTAGTGGGACACTCCGTACACTCCGTAGACACGGCCTTGTCGCTTGAGTGACAGCCTGTGGGCCTCAAGGATGGGGGGAAGGTCTTCCCCGAGAGTTGGCGGCCGAAATTGCACATCACTTGCTACTCTAATGCAGGCTGTATCCCGTGCCGGTCTTGGTTGTTTCCGTTCAAGACATCTCGGGCATCAGCCGAGATGTGCAGTGTCTACCTGTATTGTGTGAACTCATGCTGTACTTTGTGCAAATGCAATTGCCTTGCCTTTGTAAGCCCTGCATACGAACAACAAGTCACATTCTACAGATCTCCGTGGCTTGCGACAGATATAAATGCTATATCACTGCGCCATGTGAAGACACCATGTGAAGAAGCTCAGACTGCACCAGGGGCAGAACCAGTCCAACGGTGATACACGCCGGTTATGATGATCCGAATCCCCCGGGCTCTTGACGTCCATGTCACTGCATCCTGATTTACCTGTCATACTCGCTAGCTCCCGCCATCGTCCCGAGAGACGTTGTCTTTGCGTCTGCGCTCTCCAGCATCGCGTGTATCGGGACCTATCATCGAACTCTTTGACAGGGGATAGGTCTATTGTCGCGCTCGGTGTTGGTCAGGGATCGAATCCTACGCGCGGATCCTACTCACATAGGACAAGTCGATATCAAACACTGTTAAGGCAAAAGTACAACCAGCTCCGCGGTGCAGTTTCCACAACAAGAGGGTCGAGTATATATACTGTACGTAAGATGAGCAGACGGTAGTTGGGGAGACAGTCGTTCGTTCAGTTCTTGAGTCAGCTTCATGTCCTTGCCATCTAGTTGAGCCTTTGCTGCTGCCGTTCCGACCTGTGCTTCTTGAATCTGTTCTTCTCCTTTTCCCATACACCATGCCGAGTGCTGTCGCAACGGGCGATTTCGGCCCAGCGCCCCCAGGGGTGGACTTGACCAAGAACCAGACGGGCAACCTGCTGGGCGCAGTGATTCCCGTCGCGGTGTTTGGAACGATTGCTGTCGGATTGCGCATTGTGGCTCGTCTGAGGACGAAGGATGTGACGCTGGCGACGGACGACTACCTCATTATCCCAGCTCTGGTAACCCCCCTGCCATCTTGCATCTGGGGCCATACTGATATTTGCGGGTATTATAGATCTTTTCCTGGGGTACTGCCATATCATGCTTTCTCAGTAAGTGCATCCAGCCCATCCTGACCTTCTTTGCTAACGACTGCAGGCATCCCATATGGCAACGGCTACCACCTGCAATCTCTGACCATCGAGGAATTCACCGTGGTGTGGAAGGTAGGTCGTCCGTCTGTGATTCGCAGTCCCCAAATATACTAACAAACAGCCTCTCCAGATCCTCTTCGCCTATGTCATGATCTACGCCACCGCCGTCACCTGTACCAAAGCCTCGATCGTCATGTTCTACGGCCGCATCTTCGGCTTCCGCTGGACCCTCGGGATCGGCCTGTTCTTGGTCATTGGATACTGGATCACGATCATCGTCACCATCAACGTGGCGTGCCGGCCGCTCCCATACTTCTGGCTCCTGTATACCGACCCCACGGCTAAGGGGGTGTGCATTGACGTGCCCAAGTTCTTCTTTGGCAACGGCATCGCCGCCATGCTGATCGATGTGATTATCCTCTGCATGCCGATGCCCATCATCTCCAAACTCCAGATGCCGCTGTCGCAAAAGGTGGCTGTGGTGGGTATTCTGCTCCTGGGAAGTTTGTAAGTCACTTCACCCTTCGCCCTTTATCCATGAAACGGCCGCTAATATGTTTGATACAGCGTGTGTGTCGCCAGTATCTGCCGCATCCTTGCTCTCAAGCGCAACACCGAGAGCAACGACGCCACCTGGACCATGGCCCCGGTGTTCATCTGGTCCTGCGTCGAGCCCTTTGTGGGCATTATCTGTGCGTGCCTCCCGACGTTTGGACACTTTTTCCGTCGCTGGTGGGCGGTCGTGCGGACGCGCTCCGGTGGCAGCAGCAACAACAAGACGGAGGAAAGCGCTGCGTCGAAGACGGCGACGTGGATTAAACGGGCGCGCAAGAAGCCTGCCAAGGATTCGCTGTTTAGCACTGTGAATGACTTTGGGTGTGTGGATGAGGTCCATCTGATGAATGACATTAACGGGTCGCGCTCGATGAAGGAGGGTGCGGGTGACAGCACGGATGTCGAGCAGCAGGGGTCGATCACGGTCAAGCAGGATGTGGACGTGTCGTGGGCACAGAAGAAGGGGCAGTATTCCCGGTTTTCTTGATTCGGCTTGTTGGTGTTGGTGTGTGGTTCGGTGCGTGGAAGGCGAGGGTCTTTGGTGTACTTCTGGCTGGCTGGCTGTCATAAAATTATTTCCTATGTTTTTCCTATGTCTGGATTCTAATTAACAAGATATCAAAAGATGGTTGCTACAGACAAACAAGAGAACCAAAAAACAGACCCATTATCACCAAAATCTTCTACTGAGACACACCCTGTCCTGAAGACGACCGCACAACCCAGCTCAGCTCCTTCTTCCCCCCAGATACGACCTCCTCCCAATCCCTCTTCCTCAACCAGTCCTCAAAGGAGTCCGTCTGCGGCGGGTTGCGCAGTTGCCGCGGATGGATGACATTCTCAATGCCCGCCGTGTACCCATACTCCTGGATGAACGCGGGACCGTCCAGCACTTCCCACGGGATCTTGAACGACGCATGCATCTCCGCTGGTGTCAAGGAGACAAGATCAGCCTCGACCCCAGTCACCTTCTTCCAGAGATCCACAACCTCCCTCATGTCAAGACAACTGTCGTACGCGAGAAGATTGGTCCTCGGCGCCTCCTCAATCAACGCCCTGACAAACGGCCCCGTCGACTCCGTCGTCGCGACGATGGGCATCTTGCAGTCCTCCTTGAGGGGAACGACGAACCGATACTTGTTGACCGACTCATCCCACCGCGGAATAAATAGCGGGTTCGTCGTATACGCCCCGAGAATGATATAGCTCGTCTTCGCCGCGAGCTCCGGCAGCGCCGTGTCAATGTACTCCTTGATCTCGGCCTTGGCGTCCCAGTGGTACGAGTTCGAGTACTTTCCCTGGGAGTGTTTCTTCATCGGGCCGAGGAGGGAGTACACGAACCGCTCCAGCGTGGGGATCTCGGCTGCTGCGAGGGCGGCGTTCTTGCCGTGTTGCACTTCGGTGTTGTAGGCTTGGAGGCTGTCGCCACAGGCTGCGTAGGGGCCCCAGAAGTCTGTGTTGGAGAAGACAACGTGCGCGCCGTCGAAGGCTGAGCGGAGGGATGCGACGTCCGCCAGATCCGCTTGGATTATGACGGCTCCTTTGGAGGCGAGATCCTGCGCGACAGGCGAGGATGGATTGCGGGTGAGGCAGCGGACGGTCCAGTCGCCCAGACTGAGGAAGGTCTTGGCGACGGACAGGCCCTGGTTTCCGGTGGCGCCGATGATTGCGATGGTCTTCATGGTGGGTGGTTGATGGGTTGGGATGCGCTGTCAGGAGTCTGAGAATTGTGATGCTGTGAGCTGTTGATGAGCTGGCATTGAGGGTAGAAAGGAGCCATTTTATATCTCTGGTGTGGAGGAATGGCTTACCTGGATCGGAGAAATTGAAGCTATCGCGAAGTAAGCCAGATGTGGCTTACGGTGGCTTCGCGCGCTCCGATTGGTGCAGAGGCCGTAAGCCAGTCCGCGATAACAACTTTCCTCCGACTTCCATCATCCTCATTCTGTTTCACCGGGCCCGATCACACCATGTCTGAGAATTGTGGTAGTGACCGTGCGCGAAATCGTCCGAAGCGCGTCATTACGCCGGCGCGCAAGGAACAGAACCGCATCGCGCAACGGGTTTATCGTGAGTTGCCGGAGATAAGATCGGACAAGTGGCGAAGCTAACCAGAGCAGGTCAGAGACAGAAAGAACGGTTACAGCGAGAAAGACAATGCACGGGAAAATTGAATACGGCGAAAGACATCCGGCCATCTATCCCCGATCACTCGGATAGTCAAGCGGAGCTTGTTGAAGACGTGCAACGGGGCGACTGGCCCGCTGTGGATCTACCGGGCGTTGATCAGGATGCAACACCGTCGCATCAACCACCGCCGCTGGTGATGTTGACGCTCGACCATCTGTTTCCTTCCGACAGTGCGGGTGACAAGAGCACTGGTTTCGCTGCAACAGATATACAAGAATACACAGACACCCCGATCACACCAGAGTCGAGTTCAACAGATGAACCCGATATCTTCTTACCAGACCCGTACGGAAGCTCACTCGAGCTCACCCATACAACGCTCCTCCGCGCATGCGTTGTCAACGCCAGTAGCCTTGGCATCAGCGTGGAGGAGTTTTTCAGCTACAAATGCATGTCTCTATGTTCGCCCTTCTACCGCCCAAACACCACCATGTCGGAGGATCCTCGCTCTTTAATTCTTTCCATCTCTCATCCTGGCATACCCGCACACCTTCAACCAACTTTGACCCAGATCCTCTTCCCACACCACCCACTTCTGGATCTGATTCCATTTCCGGCCATGAGGACACGGGCCATCATGTTGGCGGCCACTGCGCCGAATTTGTTGGATTCGGTGGACCTCAAGACGGATATTGTGGTCAGAGGGGGGATCACTTGTCATGGTGGGCAGCCGTGGGATAGGCGAAGTTGGAGGGTTGCGCCGTGGTTCTGGAAGAAATGGCGGTTGCTGTTGGGGGATCAATGAGCTATCGGGTTCTACGAGGAATAGTTATGAGGGAAGCGACACGATCATATATAGAAACGATACAGTGTTTAGTTGGCATCAGGGAAAAGAGAAATCTGACCCATAGAAGGTCTGTTTGAATCCAGATCATCGTGAAGAGTTTACAGTGTGTTTTCCTCCATCACAAGGAGCCAGGCTAGCCGTAACCCAGTAGCTGCCATCCGCGGTGATACTCGAGCATACACGCGTTCTACCTCTATACACGCTGGTATGACGACGCCCGCACCAACACGTATGGCGTGCATCCTCCGCAATAATGACCCAACCTGGATGCCATGAGATACCTGCCGTCAGTTGTCGTCGGCGTGAAACAGAGACGATCGTTGGGTTGCAATATAACAAGGGAACTGAGGTAACATGATCTGCGATATAACCAAGGTTGATTATTACTCGTATCTACCAACAACCTGAAGCCTACACCGTAGGATCCCGGCTTCATGTTGGACCTCTCATTTGGCCTGTCCTCTCTGTCCGGAGTATACTGGAAAGTGAGCAGTCCACGGCGCCAGAGAACATTGGACACTCGTGCTGGGTGAGACTTCTTCTATGACTGAGAGATAAACCACATGCCATCCCATTACATCACAAGGCAGGGCTGTTGTGACGACACTTGTGTTTGATATCTCGCTAATGGGACCTGAGGCCTCCAGGCCCTCATATTTAAAGCCCTACCCTGCCCTCTTCTTCTTCTCCTCTTCTCTTCTTTCACACACACACCCACACACACCCTCTCTCATCATCTCATTATTCCCCTGCCGCCTCTTTTCTCTGACTCCCCGGCAACTCTCACTCTCACTCTCATTCTCCATCTCATTCTCACACATTCTCACTCATTACATCTCAACATCCTTGATATCTAGATTGTCATCCTCTGAATGCGCTAACAGTGTGCAGATCCTCGTCGACAGGGGGGCCCCTTGGTGAACAGCAGTCGCTGGCGCCACTTTTTTTTTTTTTTCGAGAAGGTATGTCTCAAAAGCCTCAATGGATGAAAGGACTTGATGCTCAAGGTACAGCCCAGCCGTCTTCCTCGCCTCTCCTCTCCTCTCCTCCTCCTCCCCTTCTTGGCAAACAGCTGTCGCTGACGCCACTTTCTCCGAAGGTATTTCTTGAAACCGTCTATGGATGTTCAATCTGAATGCTCAAAGTACACTCCAGACAACTCGACCATCCCCCTCCGCACTGGGAGAACAGCAGAAGCTGGCTCCACTACAGTACGGCGGGGGTTTGGTTGTGTTTCGTGGCACACAGCAGATGCTGATGCCACTATCCTCCTCCGCACCCCCCTCCCTACTGGGCACACAGCAGCGGCTGATGCCATTACAGTAGGGCTGGGGAGGTCCTATCGATTCCATCTTCCTTGGTAGACAGCAGAAGCTGATGCCACTTACATCGGTAGGTATGTCTTGGATACACCTATGGATAACCCGGTGGAAGCTCAAAGTACGATGCAGACATCTTCGTCTCGCCTTCCGTTTACTGGGTAAACAGCAGATGCTGGTGCCACTACAGTGCGGTAGGCGAGTTTATATCGTTCTCATGTTGGCAGACAGCAGAAGCTGATGCCACTTTCTCCTGGTAAACAGCAGTAGCTGTCACCAATTTCGGTATGTCTCCAGAGCATCTATGGGTCAACAGCAATGCTGACGGAAATCTCATATTTCCCAGCCTTTATCGGGCACACAGCAGAAGCTGGTGCCATTATTGATCGTTGAAGAAGTATGTCACTTCCATTCCGCGGAGTAAACTGTACTAACAGCCACAAGACAGACCATTCCCCGCCTCGTGCCCGGGAAGTACATTTGTCTCCTGTCCACCAGGAAGAGCGTCTACTATTTGGTGACCCTCGTGACCTGGTTGCGACTCTTAAGGTATGTTCTTGTTGTCGTGACGTCCTGCAGGTGAGATGAGTGAGAATGAGAATGAGACTGCGACCTTTTCACTTCGGACCGAATGTCTTTCAAAACCTTTGAGATTTGTCATGCGCCGATATCATACTGCCAAGGCTGGGTGTGATGACGACCTAGGTAAGACCCCCTGAGTTGTTGCCAAGCTGACCAAAACCGCAAAAGAAGACGGCATTGTTGGCATCCAGGGATATGTTATGTGATGGTTGGGCATGGAGGGGGGACTAGGTGTGGTATATGACTCCATGTTGTTGCTTTACTCTGGAATTGGTTGCATTGGGGAATCTTAGCTCATGTTATGAATAACAGCACTTCGGTCCAGCTTCCATACATTCGCAATATCATGAACCGACCATCGATCCAAAACAAATCCAATAGAACAGATATCCTCATTTCTTACAGTCCCCTCGATCTCCGCTATCTGATCTCCCGATGCAAAATATTTTCGCATATCATTCAGATTGAGGACACATCAACCCATGCCCAGGCTGAAACTGACCACTTCTCAACCATACCGACTTCCACAACACGCCCGAAACCCGCCATTGATATACGCGAAGGAACGACAAGAGCAACTCCTGGTGGTACGACAGTCCCGGTGAAGATATAGACTGTGCTAGATTGTGTCGTGCCATCGAGGATGGCGAATTGCGGCACAGTGACACTACCGATCTCTCCCTATTTCAGTTCCAGGGGCGTCATATAATGTTGAAATCCTCCACCGGGACATGGATTTAGCCGAATGCCATCTCAAGACCGACGACCGGGAGTGGGAGCCCATATAATGAAACCACCCGACGCGTTTCAAGCATATCAACATGAAACAGGCCCCCCTTCAATATCTCCATTTAATTTACCCGATTGGGGGATACTCTCGCCCCAACAGCTAAGCATTATCAAGCTTTTGGGCCCACACCGATATTGTTGCAGAATGAGACATGGCGTTCGGAATAATGTTCCCAGACCTACGGGAGAATCTCCGTGCCGGTTTATCCTGCAGATTAACGGCTCATATGGGGGTATATATAGGAGGAGAAACTCCTGGTTCCCCGAAGAAACCACCAGGGAATCAACAAGACATTTTCAAACATGGCTTCACTCCTTCTATCCATCCTCATGGGTGTGTCGGCTCTGGCAGCCCATCACCACCACCTCCTGCCTCGATCGACAACAGCCACCGTCAGTCTCAACAAGACCTACCAGACCATGGACGGCTTCGGCTTCTCCCAAGCCTTTGGCCGTGCAAGCGATCTGTACAATCTCCCGTCCACCCAGAGAAAGTATGCTCTCGATCTCCTCTTCAACACCACGTCGGGGGCTGGCATGACCATCCTGCGTAACCGCATCGGCTCGGGCGGCGAAGGCGACAGTATCGAGCCCAACAGCCCCGGATCACCCGATGCCACGCCGCAGTATGCCAGCCTCGGCTCAGACTCCAACCAAGTCTGGGTGACGCAGCAGGCGGTACAGTACGGCGTGGAGACTATCTACGCCGATGCGTGGAGTGCCCCGGGATTCATGAAGACGAACAACGACCAGTCGAATGGAGGATATCTGTGCGGAGTGACGGGCGAGACGTGCGACAGCGGAAACTGGATCCAGGCGTATGTCAACTTCCTGGTGCAGTATGTCAAGGATTATAGGGACCTGGGGTTGAACGTCACTCATCTGGGGTTCTTGAATGAGCCGGACTACGTGTGAGTGTCTGTTTCCACAAAACTGGAAGTATTCCTTCTGACGACACAGCAGAACCTCTTACTCCTCGATGCAATCCGACGGATACCAAGCAGCGGACGTGATCAAAGTGCTCCACCCCGCCCTGCAAAGCGCCGGCCTCGAAGACGTAGGCATCACCTGCTGCGACTCCATGGGCTGGGACGACCAGAAAACACGCACCCAGCAGCTCATCTCGGCCGGCGTGGAAGACATGCTCTCAAGAATCACCTCGCACTCGTACTCGTCTGACCCCACCAGCCCCATGGGTGCCTCCATCCCCGTGTGGGAGACAGAGAATGCGGATCTGTCCGGCGCGTGGGACACGAACTGGTACTACAATGGTAGCACCGGGGAGGGCCTGACGTGGGCGAACAAGATCTACTCGGCCATCGAGGAAGGCGGCGTCAGCGCGTACCTGTACTGGGAGGGGATCGAAGTGGGAACCACGAACTCGTGTCTGATCACTATCCAGGGGACGACGGTCGTGCCGTCTGGGCGACTGTGGGCTTTTGGGATGTGGAGCCGGTTTGTGCGTCCTGGAGCGGTCAAAATTGATATCTTGGGGAGCACGTCGACGGTGAAGTTGATGGCGTTTAAGAATACGGATGGAAGTGTGACGGTGCAGATTTTGAATATGGGATCGTCTGAACAGCCGGTGAGTGTGGGTGGGTTTAGGGCTGCGTCTGTCAAGGGGTATGTTATGGACAGCGATCATCAAGAGATTGGAGACATCACTGCGTCTATCAGTGGTGGTGTTGCCCGTGTCAACGCCCCGGCGTACTCCATGGTCAGTCTTGTCTTGAGAGGCAGCGCCTGATGCAGTCTGATGCATAGTGGTGGGGGAGTTTGATAGCAGTGTTGCTGTTTGTGTATTGTTGTGGAATAAAATCGATGTTTGATATATCATCAACGGCCATGTTTATGTTATCTTGTGATGGAGGACAAGTGGAAGCATGTCCACAATGGATCAGGCATCCCCCATCAAGGCCTTTCTAATAACAACCTCTGGACTCTCCTCGACCATCCCAAGCAAACCCGCATCCGATTCTTCTCGCGAAGCCGCAACAACACACCTCGCCTTGCCCGGTTCGAATAACTGAGCAACAACCAAATCCAGAACCCAACCCCCAACACCCTCCTGATGCTTCCGTCGTCCACTTTCAATCAGGTCTTGAGTAGTAGCCCTGCGAACGTCCCATTCCTTCCCAGTCACAGACTGAAAAGCATCCAACAACGCCCGCTGACAGGTCTTGATACTCCGTACTTTAACAAAGCGGTTGGCCGTTTCTTCCGGATGCTGCAGGACACCCACGACAGCCTGGCCGATGCCGTCCAGGGTTGTCCCGGTGAACTCCTCAGTGCCGTCGTCGTAGATAACAGCCGAGCAGGTCGATATGTCGAACCCCATCAGGGGGAATTTTCTCATTGCCTTTCATCATTAGATCTCCAACACAAGCCAATCCAGTCCTGCAAGAAACACTCGGATGGATTCATACCCAATCAATCGGATTCCCAGACGTAATACCCGTCCAAGTAAAGCTCCTATTCTGCTCCGCCGTGGCCGCAGCATGGTCCCATCCCGCCTTCCGATGGGCATGGATCTCGTCGAATTCAGGCATGCCCTTGAAATCGGGGCCCCAGCCAAAATCGTTGATGATGAATCGTTTCACGCCTGCGGCTTTGGCGGCATCCACCATCGTGGCTTGGGCGCCTATCCCGCGGGGCCCCACGACGCAGACGACTGCATCGTGGCCTTGAAGGGCGGGAGTCAGGTCATCGAGGGTGTATGATGTTCTGATCACGGGGATTCCTGGTGGAAATGTCGAAGTCGACTCGGGGCGGGTGATGATGGTTATTTTGAGCCCGGCTTGTTGGAGGGCTGCGGTGATGGGGGCGCCGAAGTTGCCCGAGGCCTGGGCGGTTAGGGTTGCATCGAGGGTAGATGGTGAGGACTTACGCCGAAGATGGCGACTGTTTTGATTTCCATTTTGTTTCCAGGACGTATGTCCAGGATGATATTGAGATAGGTAGCTAGAGCGTGAAGTAATATGTTTCTACGCGCTGCGCTAAAATCTTACTCTGGAGTACACTGACTCAGAGAAACTATTGAGGTCCACAGCATCATCCAATGCCGGCTTGTTAAAGACGCCACTCATCTCTACACTGGTCTGGGCTTCAACCTAATGCAGCTTACATCTGACTTGCGAATCGCTTTTACCTTGACAGGCATAGTGTTTCATTGCAATGGTCTAGATATAATCACTAGCCTATCCTATGAATCATTCTGAATCATAGGCATCCAACTCGTCAGTCTAGGCACAGTAGAAGTTGACGTAGCAGTCTGGCTCTCCCGAGTCTCCAATCTCGCACTGGTCGATCAAGGGGAAGAAGTCGGCATTGGGACAGATGTCCAGGCACGTCTTGTAGCTACCACAAGGGGCGTCGTCTGTCGTATGTTAATACTGCAACTTGACTGTGACTATAGTTGGGACTTACAAGGTCCCTGGGCCTGGACCAGACCGATGGCTGTAAAGCCAAGCAGGGTGAGGACAGTGCTGAATTGCATTGTGATGATCTAGTCGTTGTTAGACCAGGGAACCGTAGTGGTTTGGACTCGGGACTTACGTTGTAAGGTATGCAGTGTTTAAGTTGATGAGAAAGTATAGATGGTTGTGTCCGCTTGCTGTCTACTTGGAGGCTTCGCCCTTTATACTTTGGGTTTATGATGCCGTAGACGAACGCAGCCTGAGCATCGTTACACAAGATACTCCAGACACATTCCAGTGACCAAAAGCATTGAGCTTGTCTATGAAAAAGATGGAGCACCATCCCTTGCCGCCGGTCTCAGCCCGGCCATCTGGTCTGCATTCCGTGACACATTCCAGAGACAGCCGCTGAAGACCATACCTCCACTGTCGCCTTTGTGGATGTATTAAATGCGGCCGGGTCTATCAGAACCACGACGCATGATGTAGTTGGGAATGATCCTTCCGGTTTCAGTCTCTGTACAATGTCCTCGAACGATATTTGGAATCCCTATGTTTGCGACGGATGTGCGTACCATGGGTGATACTACTACCAGACAGTGCTTTACCTCAATGTCTGACAGACGGATTCTTTCTATCTGTTGACTGCATTTGTTTTCACCTGTCTGCGTCCAGCCAATGCGGATGGGTCCGTTATTTGCTTCTACCACACTACATCGCAGAAGTATATTCGCCCGTTTTCTTGAGCCCCAAAGTCCAACCATTTTCTGTCCGACGGCCAATTGATCAGTAGTGGTAGTTATAGATGGACCTAAAGCAATTGCTGCCCCAATATTTGATGAGTATTTGTATATTGGTTGGCTGGAGATACTAGATGCATGCATTCTGGCATTCATCTACATCCTGTACACAACAGAGGGTAACACACCAGCCTGATACTAATTCGGGAATAACTTCCCTAGATCTCGCAATCTCTCTTAGATAACCCCGCATGCATGTTCAAAAGTACGCCGATGCAGCTCGGAACCTCGGCGAGACACCAACGCCCAGCGCGACCAGCGCGCTCTCAGCATGACAGCCCTGCCAAATCAACCATGTCCACGCGGTGGATAGTTGCTTTTTTGGACAAGGCGCGCATGGCCTGCGACTCAAACTCCTCCAACTAGCCAGATGGGGAAAGCAAACAGCCCAGTGTTGCATTAGACACTGGAGTACCGCCTGGATAGTCGGGGCGCTACACTGTGGGGCAGTTGTTCGACTACACCGGAGGGCCTGACGAGCCCGCAATGGCTCTTATGTGGCAGCAGCGCACGAGGTAGCCCCGTATAAACTCCTCTTTTATAACGGCACCATGTCTGCAGCAGCCGGGAGGAAAAGGAGGAAAAGGATACGCAGCTCTGGTAGCTGTCGCCATCACCACCATTCGCCCTCACCATGTCCCCCATCTCCGTCCTCATCGTCCGACTGGCGGCCCTAGCTGGTACCAGGCTCGTCTCCGCCGTGTCGCCCCTCCGCGCCTGCCTGACCCCCGCCGTCAGCAAAGTCGCCTTCGAAGGCGACCCCTTCTACCACCTGACGCACATCAAGCGCTACAACCTCGACATCGACGTGACCCCCGCCGCGGTAGCATACCCACAAACCGCGGAGGAAGTCTCGGCCGTCGTGCGCTGCGCCACCCAAACCGGCTACCACGTCCAGCCCGTCAGCGGCGGCCACAGCTACGCCAACCACGGCTACGGCGGCGTCAGCGGCGCCGTCGTCGTCCGCCTAGACCACCTGCAGCACTTCTCCATGAACAGCACCACCTGGGAAGCCACCATCGGCGCCGGCACGCTCCTCGGCGACGTGACGCAGCGCCTCGCGGACGCCGGCAACCGCGCCGTCGCGCACGGCACCTGTCCGCAGGTCGGCAGCGGCGGGCACTTCACGATCGGCGGGCTGGGCCCGACGTCGCGGCTGTTCGGGACCGCGCTGGACCACGTCGTCGCTGTGGAAGCCGTGCTGGCGGACGGGCGGATCGTGCGGGCGTCGGAGAGTGAAAATGAAGATGTGTTTTTTGCCGTCAGGGGCGCCGCGGCCGGGTTTGCCATCGTGACGGAGTTTACGGTGCGCACGGAGCCTGCGCCGGGAACCGCGGTCGAGTACTCGTACGCGTTTGACTTTGCGGATACGGCGCAGCGCGCGGCACTGTTTAGGAAGTGGCAGGCGTATGTAGCGCGGCCCGGCCTCACGCGCAAGCTGGCGTCGACGTTGGTGCTCCTGGAGCGGGGGATGCTGATTACGGGGACGTTCTTTGGCACGCAGGCGGAGTATGAGGAGTTGCGCATTGGGGAGGAGTTTCCCGGTGCGACGAGGCAGAGTGAGGTCGTGTTCACGGACTGGCTGGGGCTGGTTGCGAGCTGGGGCGAGGATGTCGCGTTGCAGCTGGGTGGTGAGATTCCGTCGCATTTTTATGCAAAGTCGCGGGCGTTTACGGCGGAGAGTCTGCTGTCCGACGAGGAGGTCGAGGCAATGTTTGAGTATATCGATACCACGAACAAGGGCACGCCGCTCTGGTTTGTGATCTTCGATTTGCAGGGCGGTGCGGTCAGCGATGTGCCCGCGGATGCGACGGCGTATGCCCATCGCGATGCCCTGATCTGGCTGCAGTCGTATGCGGTCAATCTGTTTGGAGATGTCTCGGGCACGACGGTGGAGTTTCTGGAGCGGCTGAACGAGCTCACGCTGGCGAAGAATGCTACCGATGCTTCGTATGCGGCGTACCCTGGGTATGTTGACCCGCGGCTGAAGGACGGGCCTGCGGCATACTGGGGGCCGAATCTGGCGCGGCTGCAGAGGATCAAGGCGGAGATTGATCCTCAGGATGTGTTTCATAATCCGCAGAGTGTGCGGGCGGCAGCATAGACGGTGTAGATATTGTAGACCGGTGAAGCATCTAGACGGCCTGAATACGAGATCACGAATACATATTACACAGCGGACGCAGCGAGACAGAAAATTTATATCATTAGAATTAAATTCGTAAACAGCATTCACAGCATATCAAGCCATATGCGACGTAGATCCATCATTAGAGGCATACGTAACTGCTCAGCTGAAACTCCAACAAAAAATCCAAACCCAACTCCTTCCTTACAGCGACTTCAGCAGCGCATCCAGGATGGGCAGCGCATCCGTCACATCGTCGATGAGAAGCGACGTCTCGTTGACGAACTTGGGCGTGAGGAGGTCGGCGGCGTTGGTCAGCAGACCGGAGACTTCGGAGATAGTCGAGGGCTTCAGCAGGGGCTTGAGCTCGGGCATGAGAGGGATGACGTCTCCCAGGATATCCTTCAAGTTCTTGACGAGATCGGGCGTGAGGAGCTCGCCGGCGGAGTTGACCAGCGACGAGGTCTCGTTGACGAAGCTGGGGGTGAGGAGCTTCTCGGCGTTGCTCAGCAGACCAGTGATGCCGTGGATGGAGTCGGTGGTGAGCAGGGGCTTCAGTTCGGGCAGGAGCGGCATGACGTCGCCGAGGAGGTCCTTGAGGTTCTTCGCGAGGTCTGGGGTAAGGAGCTCGCTGGCGGAGCCGACGAGCGACGAGGTCTCGTTGACGAAGTTAGCGGTCAGCAGGGCTTCGGCGTTGCTGAGGAGACTGGTAATGCCGTGAATAGAGTCGGAGGTAAGCAGAGGCTTCAGCTCGGGCAGGAGCGGCATAACGTCGCCGAGGAGGTCCTTGAGGTTCTTGGCGAGGTCCGGAGTGAGGAGCTCGCTGGCGGAGCCGACAAGCGAGGTGGTCTCGTTGACGAAGTTGGCAGTCAATAGGGCCTCGGCGTTGCTGAGGAGGCCGGTCAGGCCGTGGATGGTGTCCTCGGTGAGGAGCGGCTTGAGGGCGGGGAGCAGCGGGACGACGTCGCCGAGGATCTGCTTGAGGGCGCTGGCGACGGACGGGGTGAGGAGGCCATCGGCGTTGTTGATCAGGCTGTTGGTCTTCTTGACGAAGTCCGGCGTGAGCAGGGTGTTGGCGTTGGCGACGAGGCCCTCGATGGTCTTGACGTTGTCGCCGCCGAGGAGCTCGCTGGCGTCGTTGACGAGCGGGCCGGCCTTGTTGAGCAGGACGCCGATGGACTTGACGGACTCCGGGGTGAGGAGCGAGTTGGCGTTCTTGACGAGCGGCTCGGCGTTGTTGATGAGCGGGCCGGCCTTGCCGAGGACGTTGTCGATGGTCTTGACGGAGTCCGGCGTGAGCAGCAGGTTGGCGTTGTTGATGAGGTTGTTGGTCTTCTGGGCGAACTGGGCGGTCAGGAGGCCGGCGGCGTTGTCGATCAACCCGTCAACCTTCTTGTTGAACTCGGCCGTCAGCAGTTCGTTAGCGTTGTCGATGAGCGTGTCGACCTTCTTGCTGAACTGCTCGGTAAGCAGGCCGGCGGCGCTGTCGATCAGGCCGTCGACCTTCTTGTTGAACTCAGCCGTCAGCAGGTTGTTGGCGTTGTCGATTAGCGTGTCGACCTTCTTGCCGAACTCGGGGGTCAAGAGGTTGGTGGCGGTGTCGATGAGACCCACCACCTTCTTGTTGAACTCGGGCGTCAGGAGGTCGTTGGCGTTGCCAACGAGGACACGGATCTGGTTGTCAACGGGGGGCGCCAGACCGGTAGAGAGGTACTTGAAGGTGTTGGTCACGGTGGCGAGGAAGCCAGGGTCCAAAAGGCCCTCAAGACCCTCACCGAACTCCTGGAAGGGCTTCGTGATGTCTCCGAGGATGCTGTCAGCGCTGCTGCTAGACGAGGAAGAGGAAGAGCCAGACGAGGATCCAGAAGAGGCAGAGGGGGTTGAGGACGGCGCGGCAGCAGTAGCCTGGGCACTCGTGGGAGCGGCGGCAGCGCTACCCTTGGAGCTATCCGCAGGAGAGAGCACCGACGAGATGGCGCCAACCAAGCCGCCATTAGGGGCAGCAGCATCAGCCGTGGTAGCAGCCGGCTCTGGCGCCGCCGCAGCAGAAGTCTGCTCTGCCGAGGGCTTTGCTTCAGCAGGGGAAGTCTCCTCGGTCGAGGGCTTTGCTTCAGATTGGGCCGCCGGAGCCTGAGCTTGAGCAGCAGCGGTAGTATGAGCCGCCTCGACAGTCTGCTGCTTCACGGTGGGAGCCGGAGCGGTGGTCTCCTGCGTAGGGAGGATGTTCGCCAACGGGTCATTGTTGTTGTTATTGTTGTTGTTGGCCGTGTTGCCTCCAACTTGGCTGGAAACAGCCTCTGACGAGGGAGCAGGAGAGGCTTCGGCCACGCGCGCCGCGACCAGAAGCGCGGTGGTAGCCACCGACAGGAAACGCATGATGTAAGGGCCCTAGGAGCTGGAGTGGATTTTCTTGCTTGTTTCAACAGCAGCAACAGCAACAGCAATCACAGCGGCTTTCGAACTTGATGCTGTCTTGGGACTGAGGGCTGGACGATCGAGAAAAACTCAACAGAGGGTCCAGCTAGAGCGGGACCGTCTTTATGTGAATGCAGCAGTAGAGATCGTCCTTTTAGTAACGAGACTAGGAGAAGCTCCCATTGCTCATCCCAATAACCCTCCCCGTGGGGGCTGTGCGCCATACCGAGGTGGAGGTATATAACAGCCATGTGATTAGACGGTTCCTGGATGGGACCCCCGTCTAGAGGCTCTAGTTTCGCAGTCCTAGTAGAATTGGGTATGGTGGTGATGGGGTGAGTACGGACTATGGGGTATACCGACTCCATAGACCGCGTCCCATACAGCTCGAATTGGGATACGATGCAGTCACCAACACTGCCAACAGCTTCATACTCATGCCTGTGTCTAGTGTTATGAGCATCACGATGAAAAATCCTTTCTATCCTGGCCGTCCCGGCTGTCCCAGGTGCCTACCATCGTAGGAGTGCTCGTGGACGGATGGCGGAAGCGGGGATACTCCACATCGGAGCGACAATCGCAATTCCACCAGCAGACCGGTTCCGAGCTTCCACCCAGAGATCGGCAGACTATGGGGGCCACCGCGCACAAAGAACCCAGTCCGGGCAGCAATTCATCCCCGACGCCGAGATGCTGATGGGCGAGGGCCCAGCAACACCCACAAACCGAGCTCCGATCGTCGTGCGGCTAGCTCTGTTAGGGACTCTGTCCGAGTCGATCACTGGAACCCGACGAGCTAGTGGTAGCTTAGGGTGAGGAGGCCTGCGCTAGGTCGGGTTGGTTCCATGGCATACCTCATCACCCGAAAATGGGCCTGGTTCAGGAGAAGTGGCAAACCCAGATAAGCAATGGGGTGGATGGGTGGAGGAGTGCGGAATACGACTCCGTCCGAGTGCCCCATGGGGAATGGCTCTTGGCCGGGGAAAACTGGGAGGGAAACGTTGGAGCGAGATTCACAAGGGGAACTCGGCTGGACCTAGGTTGACGTATCTGGGTCTGTTCCTGAGGCGATTCACGGTTGCATCGAGATGGACCATGACGTCGAACCAGGGGTTTCTCCCCGACGCACATGCACCGGGGTCCAGTTAACCGACCCTAAGCATTTGGCGGTGGGATCCTGCATTGGTGTGTCGGCTGTGGCTGCATGGGTAGAGTATGATAGAGTGTCTGTCCTGGATGCTGTTGATGAAATTGATGGAAGAGGAAGTTGTGTGGCTTCTAGGGTTGATAAGTCACCTGATGCCTCCATACCCTTCTTCTCCTTCATCTCATCTTCATCATCTTCAATATTTTTCTATCTCGTGATGAATTCTTTCTTCCTCTGATCTCCAACGTCTCACTCGCTTAGATCGTTGCTCGGAGATTTCCGGTGGGGATGTAACTACTCCATGATTCCTCTCGACACGTAACTATCCTGTTGGTCCCCGCAACCATGCACCTGATCTGGTCTGGGGTGTCATATCAACACGGGATGCGTTACCAGCTACATGCGAGTTAATTCGCGCCTATCTGGATAATCATCGGCGGTTTCCGGATTGGCGGTGGCGTCATCGAGCGAGGATCTTCCACCTCGTACCAGTGCCAGTCAATACGAGGACTGTGCATTGTATTGCTGTTGCAGCCCGATGAAGATCTGCATCATGGGGGTACTATTTTGTGCGGTTTAATCTCGCAGAAACGGCTACAGCGGTCCATGGCTAAAAATATGCGACTGCTGTTACGCTACTCTGGGCTGTCACTGGCGTGTAGGGTCTGGGGTGCAAGGATGACTGACAGACTGGCTTGATGCTATGGATGCGACATTATCAGCTACTGGTATAGATCGTATCAGGCACGATTTTCTATTTGGATATGCGTCTGGGCATCTTATATAGACCGAGTTTGGATCCTAAGGTAGGGTGACACATAGCACTATGGGACAGGTGGAAATATATATCGTTGCCCTCTCCCAAGAAGTTTTGACACCATGAACTGTACTGTCAATATTTAAAATAAGCACAACAATTGTCATACAATAGTTGAGATTCAGTGTGTCCTTTCTATCCGACTATCTGCAGACGCTTTTGTTCAATGCGACGAGGCATAATCCGCAGAAAGATCCCGTGAATAACCCCCCGGATATGATCCACCATCGTATGATGAGTGTGCGGAGGATAAAGAGTGATCGACAATCCCCCGCCTGGATCAAAGTCAGCCAAGATGCTGGTGTACCGAGGTCGATCATCATGGGGAAGTCGTTCATGTGGTAGTCATCTCCGATCTCTCTTTCGTCCATGTCCCGCTATAGATATTGCTGGATATTGTTCTTTATCATCTCTATTACTTCCCTATTAGAATACAAAGCGTCAGCTGTCACTCAAAGGTCATCCATCCTCTGAACAAGGGAAAGGCCTGCATATCTGTTAGTTTTGTGATCTTTGTGATGATAATGTTAACACCGAGATGCCGTCCTCGGTCCGCACTGTAACCGCTCCAGACATTTCTATGCGTATATCAACCTGACCCTTTCTCACCCTCAGGATACTGCAGCACAATGTAGAACTTCATCAGTCATAACTATATACAACAATGGCAACGGAAGTGTTATCCCCCACCGCCAGCCAAGTCCTAACGGCCCGGCAGCCCAGCCGCAGAGCCTTCGAAAACACCCACATCTTCGACACCATCGCCGAACCAAAGGAACTAAAGTCAATCGTGGAAAACGACATCTACCTCCTTGGAGGCCAGTACGCTATCCTCTGCCAATTTCTCCAGCCCGCCCTCGCCAAAGGCAGCTACAACCACTCTGACTTCGCTTCCCGCATCGCCCAGCGCCTCCGCAACACCTCGCGCTTCATCAACGCCGCCGTCTTCGGCACTGAAGAAGAAAAGAAAGCCATCTTCTCCGTGATCCACAAATACCACGCCCGCGTCAAGGGCTCCGACTACGACGCCAACGACCCCGAGCTCCACCGCTGGACAGCCGCCACGCTCTTCGTGTCCGTGGTTGTCGTCCACGAGACCTTCTTTGGCAAAGTCCCGCCGGGCAAAAATGGGAAGCCCTGTATAAGGAGTCGGCGGTGTTTGGGACCTCGCTGCGCATGCCACCGGAGATGTGGCCTGCCACGCTGGACGAGTTCTGGGAGTACTGGAACCATAACCTTGCCACGCTGCCGGTGACGGATGAGGCGAGGAAGCTGTGTCGGGACTTGCTGTATCCAAAGGGCTTGCCGCTGTGGATGGCGATGATTTCGCCGCTGGCCCGCCTGGTCACGGTCAACTGGTTGCCGGAGCGGCTGGCTCGGGAGTATGGGCTGGCGCCGTCGGTTGTGAGTAAGGCGATGTATCACTATTTTGTGTTCAACACGCGCATTGTGTATCCTTTGCTGCCGGAGAGTGTGCAACAGTATCAGCATCGGATATATCTGACGGACTTGAAGGCGGCGGTTGAGCGGGTGAAGGAGACGGGGCATTGGGTGGGGATCTAATGGAACATGGGCTTTAGATGATGAATTAATTAATACGCTGTTCTTAAATCGTGCTATCAGGCTTGATCAATCGTATAACAGTATTTTGTGGTGTTGGAGAAGAGAAAGATGGAGTTGCTCGCAGTTTTAGCACTGCTGGCCCCGTTGCTCTACTAGCAGCACCATGCGTAATATCAACCCACTCCATCTAATATCGGGTTATTCTCTTGCGGGGAGCACGATCCCGGCCATTAATCAGGCTAAGATTGACACGGATGCATCTCCGATCCTGTCAAGCTTCTATCAAACCCGGGGTAAAATAGGCGAGTTGCCGAAGGATTGCTATGCCAATTAGCCTATACTAACGGGGATAAATGGACGCCGCAGCCACTTTCAATTACTTCGTGCTGCGACCACTTACTCTCGAATTTCACTAGCTCATGCTATGGCCTGATCCGATATGGTTCAGGACATTCGCTTGCTCGCATGCTTTCTGACGATCGCCTCGGCCAGAGGCATCGTCAGTCCGGATAAACTGGGGTCGGATGTCTCGATAATCATCAACAACGACTTACATGGTATGATTACTCTCAGTATAAAGATGGGTCGCTGACTGTTCAGAGTCGGAAAGTCCGCACAGTGACTCAGGGGTTCTACTTCTCGATCCGATGAGTTTCAATGATGCAGAGAGGAGCTGTGCAGCACTGGGCGAATCTCTCTGGGCAAGTACTGGATCGATTGAGGATATCAAGACCAATCTGGACTACATTGCATATAAAGGTCGATATTCTCGTAATCAGCGATACTGGATCTCCCCAGACAGTCATAAGACACCACGCGCGATCGATAGTCGGGGCTCCATCACCCGAGCAGCAGCAAAGAAGAAACTACCGGTGTTATGCACGCAGACGGCGCCATATTCCAACGAGACCTATCAAGACAAAAGTCAGCAGCTTCAAATAACAGTGTCCTCCAACAATGAACGCATTACGGGGTTGGTCACTAGCCCCCGTTTCCTCCACTGCAGCTGATGTGTCCAGGTTCCGAGATCGCCTGAGCTTCCGGTTTCAAGGCGTTCGATATGCTGAACAGCCTGAACGATGGACATACTCTGAGCTGTACACAGGGTCAGGTGGAGATGTGCCTGCCCTGGATTATGGAAGTATCTGTGTACAGAGCCCGACAGCCGGTAATGAGGACTGCCTCTTCCTCAACATCTGGACCCCATACCTACCTCACGGCCGGAAGAACAAGAACACCCTGAAACCAGTCATGCTCTGGATCCACGGCGGTGCCTTCACTGGTGGAGAGAGCTCTGATCCGACGTTTGACGGCGGCAATCTTGCATCCCGTGGCGACGTCGTCGTCGTCGCAATCAACTACCGTCTGGGCACGTTAGGATTCCTGGCGTTGGACGACGGCAAGACGAATGGCAACTTTGGACTGGCCGACCAGATCACAGCCCTGGACTGGGTCCGCAAGAACATCCACGACTTCGGAGGCGATCCAGATAGAATCACCATTTTCGGCCAGTCAGCCGGCGCAGGGTCCGTCCGAGCCCTGTTAGCATCCCCCAGAGCCAGGGGGAAATTCGCCGGCGCAATCATGCAGAGTAACCTCGGAGGACTGTACTACGGCACCACATACTCCAAGTACTACACCATCGCGGAAGAAATGGACGTCGTCGGCAACGCGATCCTCGAAACCACCAACTGCACCCATGCTGTCTCGCAAGTCGACTGTCTACGCAAGCTCCCCGCCGCAACCATCGCCGGCCTACCCAGCACCGCGCGCTTCCTCGTCGTCGACGGCGAGTACCTCACAACCCCCGAGCTGGACCTGACGAACCGCGAAGCCACCGCCAACGTGCCCCTCATGATGGGACTGATGCGCGACGACGGCGCCGCCATGATCGGATACCCGCGCGACAACGAGAGCGCAGCCACCTACCTCAACGGCTCCGGCATCCCACCATCCCTCGTGCTCTCTTCAGGGCTATTCCCCGTCCCCAACGGCCCAAACGCCACCCTCAACCTCTTCAACGCGACCTCGCGCGTCGCCACAGACGGCATCTTCCGCTGCATCGACCAGGCCACCGCCTACGCCGGCGCCATCAACCACATCTTCCCGGACGTGTACTTTTACGAGTTCAATCGCTCGTACCAGATGGCCGGGTACTCGCCCAACCCGCCGCTGTGCGAGGCACCCCGGACGGCGGAGTTTCCGGCGGGCGATCCCAGCAAGGAATACTTCAAGTGTCATTCCGGAGAGCTATTTTACGTGTTTGGGACGCTGCGACGTCAGGGACTTGCTCTTCGGGACGAAGGGGATCTGCCGTTCTCGCAGTTTGTGCTGGACTCGTGGGCGAGCTTTGCCAGGACCGGGGATCCGACGCCTGATGAACGGTTGCTGGCGGTTAGGGGGTATAGGAATACCGATGCGGAGATTAGGAAGTCAGGGGCTTGGAGGGCATTTGGAGGGGGAGAATATACGGTGAAGAGGCTGCAGTGGCCTGGGGCTATGGTGCCGCTGGAGGAGCTGACGCAGTGCGAGGCGCTTGGATTGCCGTTGGACTATTATCTCAAGTAGATCTATCTGTCGCTTTGTATGTTTGTGATCACGGCATCGTCCGAAATAGCTGTACATAGGTATCTGTGGCCGAGTTTCGTTAAGCCAGTGGGGTTTTATCCGGACATCAAGCTTCGATGCGGATACTTAGCAGAACGGAGTACATACCTAGTCTAGGTACTGTAGTGTCCACCTTATGGGGCTGCTTAGTGCTTGCTAGACGGATAATAGATCGGTCGGCACTGTGAGGGCCGAGAGCTGATATATCCCGGGATCATCATAGCCAAGATGGATACATCTGCCAGTCACGGATCGTGCACATTCCCCTTGGACAAGGATTCAGTCAGCATTTTCTCTATCCAAAACGTCAGCGAACGCAGTAAGCATGGACTCTGTACGACAGAAAACTCCGACTTGACTCGTCCAGCGGTGCCAATCCCTGCCGGATATAGGGCAGTGTCGGCGCCACCTCCGACGACGCCATCGCGAACTAATCTGGATGCAGTCTAGAGACAAGGAAAAATTGCGTCCCCCCACTGCGAACACGCTGCATAATTTCATAACCGATGGCTTATCCCGGAATCTCTCCGCACAGGAGCTTATCTCCTGGGCCGTAAGACCGAGCTGTCGCAGTCGTACCTGTATTAATATTAATAATTTGATGCGCCTGTGCCCGACTCCTGTTGTGAGTGAATCAGCTCATCAGCTCCATCTGCATTCACCATGGAGAAACCAGAGCCCGCTGGAGGGCCTGACGGAGCTGTCCGTCCAGGCACGAATTCGAGTAGTCGCTCGGCCAGTCTGTCGTCGTCGTCGAATACTGACGAAATTCGCAGCCAGTCTGACGCGGAAGCGGAAGCCACCGTGCCCGGCCACGAGCTGGACGTAGAGCTGGGCGAGGTACGTCGCACAGGAAACGCCTCTTGCTTGGCTATAGTGTTGTATCATTCTGACTTGTCCAGATCCGCGGCACCAGCGAACTAGAAAAAATCGGAACGCGCGAGAGCGCACGCAGCAAAATCTCGCGCATCCTCAGCGCCGCCAGCGGGCGAAGCAAAGGTGGACTGCGCCAGGAGCCGATTCCGATCACCGATCTCGACGCCGGCATTGTCGGCTGGGAATCGCAGGATGACCCTGCGTATCCTATGAATTTTCCGGCGTGGAAGAAGTGGCTGTTGCTCGGTCTGGTCTCGCTGGTCACCCTGACCACCCCGTTCGCGTCGTCCATCCTGTCGCCGGCGATTGGTAGCGTCGGCAAGGAGTTCCACAATACGAGTGAGACGGTTGGCGCGCTGACGGTCAGTATCTACCTCGTGGGGTATGTGATCGGGCCGTTGTTCATGGCGCCGTTGTCGGAGATCTACGGGCGTCGCCTCGTTTTGGCGTCAGCCAATGTGTTCTTCTGTGTATGGCAGATTGGATGCGCGCTGGCGCCGAATATGGCGGCACTGATTGTGTTTCGGCTGCTCTGTGGAATTGGGGGTGCGGGCTGTCTGGTATGTTCTTCTTGATATGGGTGTCGTTGTGTAACGTCTGACGCTGGTAGACGCTGGGCGGCGGAGTCATCGCCGATTTATTTCGGACTGATCAGCGTGGTTTCGCCATGGGTTTCTGGACGTTGGGTCCGTTGTTCGGTAGGTTGTTCTTGTATACAAGTATGGGCGCAGACTGACAACGCAGGCCCTGTTATTGGACCGCTCATTGGAGGCTTTGTTGTCGAGGTACGTCCTACACAGCGGTATACTGTGCACTGCTGACTTGTACTAGACCATCGGCTGGCGATGGGACTTCTGGATCGTGCTCATCCTCGGGGGTGTCATCGTCGTGACGCTGGAGATCTTCAACCGCGAGACGAACCACCGCATCCTCATCAAGAGAAAAGTCGCTCGACTGCGCAAGGAACTCGGACGAGACGACCTACGGAGTTGCTACGAAAACGGCGAAGCCCCTACCAAGCTCCAAATCCTCGTCCACGGTCTCGTGCGCCCCATGAAGCTCCTCGTCTTGTCCCCTCTAGTCTTCTTCCTCTCGCTGTACGTCGCCTTCGTCTACGGCGTGCTCTACCTGCTCTTCACCACCATCCCGACCCTCTTCGAGGACGTCTACGGCTTCAACGTCGGGCTCACCGGCCTCGTCTACCTCGCCTTGGGTCTGGGCAACTTCACCGGCTGGTTGGTGATCACGCTGTACTCAGACAAGTCCGTCGTGCAACTGGCCAAATCCAACGGCGGCAAATTCCTGCCGGAAATGCGTCTCGCCACCAGCATCTTCTTCGGCTTCTTCCTCCCCATCACGTTTTTCTGGTACGGCTGGTGCGCGTACTACAAGGCGCACTGGATCGCGACAATTCTGTCGCTCATTCCGTTCGGATTCGGTATCATGGGTATCTTCCTGCCGATCATGACATACTTGGTTGACTGCTATCCGATCTATGCTGCGTCGGCCATTGCAGCAAACACGGTTTTGAGGAGTCTCGTCGGGGCGTTTTTGCCGCTCGCTGGGCCGGCGATGTACCAGTCGCTCGGGTTGGGATGGGGTAATTCGCTGCTGGGATTCATCTGCGTGGGAATGATCCCGCTGCCCATTATCTTTTATAAGTTTGGTGGGAAGCTGCGGGCGTCGCAGAACTTCACGCTGTAATGTATTTCTGGTGATTCATCATTGCATGGGTTATGGAGTGATTGGCGACAAGCTTTTGTGCAACGCATTGTTCCAGCGATAAAATTTGGCACTGCTGGACGGGTAATACTCCTGAAGATAGAATTGACTTAATGAACATTGATATCCGTCGTACTCCATGTGTGTGCTCTCAAAGAGAAGCTGCAAATAGAACAGGTCCCTCATATGCATGCCGTCAACGCCGATTGTACCGCGGGATAGACAAAGAATACATCTAACACTTGTCCGAAGGATTGGACTTGGCCATATCCTTCCACTTCTTATAATCCCCACTCGTACCCGATTTGTCCAACACAGCAGTCCACGTCCCCGAGTGATCATGTTGTTTTAACGTCGCCTCCTTCGGACATCCGGCATGGCCTGGCGTTTGGCCGGAGTGCGCAAACCCAAGGTCCACCTCGCCGCTGCTCGTTGACGCATTCCCACTCGTCCCATCCTGCGACCAGTGCAGACAATCCTCGCAATGAACGATGAGCGAGTATCCTGAGGGGTTGACTGCATGCGCGATCTGCGTGACGGTGGCATTGCCTTTATACACCTCTGGCATGGAATACTTGGACGTGAATCGGAGAGAAGTCCTCATGTCGTCGCCGTCGGGATACGCAACAAGCAGCAGACAGTCTTTCATTGATCCGCCCAGGGCGATGCCGCTCCAGCCGTCTTTGCTGGATTTGCCATTGGCGGTGTAGTTCTGAGCTTGTTAGTTTGGGTCTGTGCTGAAGACTGGGGAGGGGAGCTCACAATGTAGCCGATGAACTCAGTGGCGTCGGTCTTGAGGGCGTTGCTGGGTAAGGCCATGCCGAATGTCAGGTCGCCTCCGTTGTCTTCTAGCGGGATGTTCCATGTTGTGAATGCGATGCCCGTTCCGGGGTCGGTATATGGGCTCGGCTTTTGCGCAAGACAGCTGCACGTTACTGGCGTGCATGTGTCAGATGGTGTTGGCCTGCTAGGGGGTGGAACATACATGTGGTGGCTGCGATTACGCCTAGGAGTGTGCGGGTTATCAGTCCCATGGTATCAGTATGTTGGTTTGTGATGACACTTTGTTTGAATAGGCGAGCAGACAATGTCGCTGTATTAATATCGGTTCACCCATTACGTATGATCATTCCATTTACGCGTGTTTATCCCTTGGTCAACCGACCAAGGCAAGGGGTTATAGCCTTGAAGCAGGTAGTACGACTACATATCGAGTCAACTGATGGGAGGGAGGACATACGCTTTCCGCCATGGTCTAGCCTTTTATCATCTATTTTTATAGTAATTGCGTCGTATTCTAGCATGAATGCTCCCGTGATCGTGGGATTGGGTACATTGTAACCCCAGGGGTGCTTGCAGACCACAAATTCCTGGGCACCTTCTGGAATGCCAGGAAACATATTGCTAGGTAAACGCTAGTATGTCAGTGGCTGCACAAGAGGTCACCGTTATATAGGTACGTCATTATAGCCACATGAAGCGTCCTACTTTAACGGGCTAGACAAGTGAATAGTGAGGTCTTACTACAGGTCAGGCTGCAAAGACGCTTAGGCAGGGTACACAGCAGACCAGTACTATCTCGATCTTATGGGTCCACTTTGTTCTCAGTAGACAGCTACCAAGGGATCGTAGCTCAGGAGATGCTAGTATGCCTTCTGAGAAATCTATAGACGAGACGTGCTTGTATTGTGGGTGGACGTAACAGGGTATACACAGAGTTGACGCAACCACCACCAACCTCCTTCAACATTCACTTCCAGCGAAGCGAATTCAGTCGAAATGAAAAGTGCCCTGCATATTGCCAACCGGAATACAATTCACCGCCTCTTCCACAAATTGTATCTCGCAAATCCGCCGCGGATGAAGCCCCGATTTTATTAGGGCTTTGCCTATGCGGGGAAGGTGTCGGCTATGTTCACCCTAATAGACTGAGTAGATTAAACTACAATTCCTACTGAAGTAAGTAACCATTCAAGTGCTTAATTATGATATAAGGCAATATAAAATTCATACAAGAGGCGTTCCCACACGGACGCACCGCCGTGCTGGATTGGCTCTTCTTCATCAAGCTCATTGCCAAATGGGGAGCGGGAGATATCTCCGTGCACCACAGTCATGCCATGGGCCTGTATAAAAGCGAGGAAGCTATTTGATGAAGTTGCTATCTAAGCTTGTCAATTTCACACCATGATGAAGGTCCCTCGCTTGCTTCTGGCCCTCGGCGGCCTCGCTTCCATACACATTGCCTCTGCGCTGCCACAAGGCGCCGTGGAACGAGATATGCATGCTACCAGTGCCGTCGTCCACGGCGGCAATGTGAAAACCAAGTTCCCATCGACAACCGGCTTGAAGTTCACCATAGACGGCGAGACTGGTTATTTCGCAGGCTCCAACTCGTACTGGATTGGTTTCCTGACGAACAATGCTGATGTCGATCTCGTCTTCCAGCACATGAAGGAATCTGGTCTCAAGATTTTGCGCGTGTGGGGATTCAACGACGTCAACACGAAGCCGGCTACAGGAACTGTGTGGTACCAACTCCATGCGAACGGAACGTCCACGATCAACACCGGGCCGGATGGACTCCAGCGCCTGGACTACGTGGTGCATTCCGCAGAGAGGCATGGCATCAAGCTGATTATCAACTTTGTGAACAACTGGAATGACTACGGCGGAATCAACTCGTACCTACAGGCGTACGGTGGCGCAAGCAATGAGGACTTCTACAACAGCGAGCCGATGCAGAAGGCGTATAGGGCTTATATCAAGGAGGTTGTGTCGCGGTATATTGACTCGCCCGCTGTGTTTGCGTGGGAGCTGGCCAACGAGCCGCGCTGCAAGGGATGTGATACTTCTGTCTTGCACTCGTGGATCGAGAAGACAAGCCGGTATATCAAGTCGCTTGATAAGAAGCATATGGTGACTACCGGTGAAGGTTTGTCTGCCTTTCTCAAACGTTATGTACTCTACTAACATGAAGTAGAGGGCTTCGGTCTCGACCTCATGTCGGACGGTAGTTATCCTTTCACGTATGTCGAAGGTGGAAACTTTACGGATACCCTGAGCATCCCAACGATCGACTTTGGGACTTTCCATTTGTATCCCTCTAGCTGTGCGTGCTCCAAACCATATTTAAGATGATGTATTAACAATGGTAGGGGGTACTACCAATGATTGGGGCAATCTCTGGGTCGAAGCGCATGGGGCTGCATGCAAAGCCGCTGGTAAGCCTCGTTTGTTTGAGGAGTATGGAGTCACTGCGGATCACTGTGCGCTGGAGAAGCCCTGGCAGACGACCGCTCTGAAGACAAAGGGTGTCTCTGGAGACTTGTACTGGCAGTATGGGGATACCCTCAGTACAGGACCATCCCCCGACGACGGAAACACGTTCTATTATGGCACGGATGAGTTTGACTGCCTGGTGTCGGACCATGTGGCGGCCATTGACGAGATGGAGAAGCATGGTCGGCATTGAGTGTGAGGGGATATCTTGAGATCTTGCTTCCGCGGGAGTGCAAGCCGACTGTCGTTGTAGATGAAGTGTTCTAGTAGGGAAGGGATATCCAGCTGATTCCGCTCTACCTATACATGGAATAAAGGGCACGTGTTCTCAAATATATAATTCTGTTGCGGTATGCTGCATCTAATTGAAAGGAGTTAAGAGACAATTTCCTCCGAAGCCGATAAACAGAGAACTATCGTGATATCTTTCAATCCTGAGAGCATTTACACTGGCCAAGCCTCCTAGTGCAATCCCTTACCCTTCTATATGCATACGCCTGTCGTATCCATCCACCCTAACCTTCAAGTGCCCCCTAGCCATAGGGGCATAGTAATCTCTCAACGTCATGTCATCCAGGGTCGTACCATTCAAGGAAAGGTCGAACTTGCGCATTACATGAGCGAAGATCAAATATAGCTCAGCATATGCTAGACTATTTCTGCGTGAGTCTCAGGCCTTGAGGAGAGGAGAGGAGAGGAGCAGCTTACTTGATACCAATGCATCCTCTGGATCCCCGAGAGAACGAGAGCATATATTTATCCAAGTGCTGTGCATTATTCTCGTCTAACCAACGCTCTGGCTTGAATGCAAAGGGGTCGTCGAAAATCTGGGGGTCGAAGTGATACACGTAGTGGCTTGAAGATACGATTGTCTACGGTGACGCGTTAGACAACCTTGGACTGGTGGATAGGGCCGTCAGGTCTACCTTTCCAGGGATGAATTCACCACCCAAAGTAGCTCCTTCTGAAGGGACAACCCTAGGAAGGCGGCCGGGGGCGCCCTGGGTGAATCGCAGTGCCTCCTTGACAACTCCTCTCTGTGGGAAGTTGAGTGAGCTCTCCTGGGACTGAGGGATACATCTTCGGCGTAACTTACGAGGTAAGGGAGCCTTTCTAGCTCACTGAGGGCAAGGCTCTGTCCATCTGGCATCGCTGACAGGAGTTCTTGTTTCAATGTATGTAGGCGTTCGGGATCGCTAAGTAGATGGAAAGTGCCGATAATTACCGATATTGCGGTTGCTTCACCCCCTGCAAAAAGGAGCACGACAGCCTCAGCAGTCAGCTCATCTATAGATAGCCGACGACTGTCGGAGATAAGCTCTTTAACCGCGGTATCGAATATCCGTGGGTTGGAATTATCTTCAATATTTGGCTTTTCGATCATTTCCCGCAGCATCCTGTAGCAGTCCTATCGAGCTATTAGGTTTGTCCGTTCATCCTGCCTGGAGGATACAAAACATACTTTTCTCATCTCGAGGATCGATGAGACTTTGACCATTTTGGCGATTGCTAGAGGCAACTGGAGGAGCAGCTCGAACACAGCTTTTCCCATATTGGGAAAGTGTTTGGCGATTAGAGAGCCGAAGAGAACATCATCCATATCTTCAGCCATCTCGCAATTAAAACTGCCAGCATCCAGACTTTTGAGGGACTTTCCAAAGCCGTACCGCAACAGCATATCAATCGTAACGGAGCGGTAGCCCAAGGAAAGGTCCACGCCAGGTTTATAACCACTAGCATTCTGTAGTATCCGCGAGAATTGGTTGATGGACTGCTCTAGGACGGGTTGGATTTGCTTGACCGACCTGTCGGACAGATGTGGCTGAAGCAGACTCCGCCGCGTCTTTGCAGACTCGATATCGGGCATGCTGAAATGGGAACCCTCGAAGGGAAAACCGTAGAATCTGCCTTCCTTTTTAAATGGTGTTCCCACTCGAAATATCTCATTGTACGCTGAAATGTCCCGAATATGCAGCTCATTTGGATGTGTGCGAACAATTGGCCCTTATCTATGGTGAGTTCATGATCTGTGGGAGTAGGATGAAAAGTATACTAACCGTATAGATCGTGCAACCATGGGAGCCGTTCTGTAAATGCACCTCGCTCGATCCAATTATGATAAGTTGCGTACAAACTCGAAGCTGCTGCTAATCTAGGGCCGGGAAACCTGGCCAACTGGTGGAACTTCAATCGATATATGTATTTGAACGCCTGTGCGAGGATGAAGCACGCAACTACCAGCATCAACATGTCGGGGGTGAGGAGAATCATTCTGCGTCTGGTAATTGTAAGACTGGACAAGTATGAATATGGGAAAGTACGAGTTGGGACATGGACTTCAGTCCGACAGTCGAGGGAATGATCATTATGTTATGATTGCTTTAATAGGCCTGGCGAAACTTGCTACGACTACCCTTCTTCTCGATTCAACATATGCATCTTCACGTTCTGGGAAAGCAATCATCATTCAGACACCTGCCTTATGGGTGAAGTATAGACAAACCTTGGCCGTCTCTCAGTGGATGGAGAAGATACGGCGAACCTCGCTCCTCATTGTAGCGGCGATATTCAATATGAAGGGTGCAACCACGGTAGGTCTCTTGTGGTAAGATTATACCTGGACTGGTTGTAGTTCCTGTTGGGTATCTTGACCAGGTTCCAGTGACCAGAGCATCTCTCAAATCTTGAGTTTAAGCCACGTCGACCCGCAGGATCGGGTACGCGTAAACCATTTCAGCTGACTTTGACCCTAAACGGCTATATTCCATGGCCAGCACTCTCCATGGGTTTCTAGGAGTGTTGTTGGGCCGTGCAGGCGCCCCGGCACTGGGGATGATCAGGTTGCACAAATCCGTACCAACACCCATCATGGTTTCGTGCAGAAGACATACAGTAAGTGGAAATGGCGTATCCTAAAGTATGACAGGGCTTTTACTTTGAACCCGTCCATCACGAGCGTCATTTGTGAGCGTATTTCCACATCAAATCATCAGGAAGCTTTCCGGCTTGCGTCAATCGATGTCCCATGCCTGGTATGGAAAAAGCTAGCGCATCAAGCTCCATATGGAGTATTCCTCAGGTTCCTCCTTTGTCGAGATGCTGAGGATGTAAATCATTAATATCTCAGCAGATTTGCCAAAGGACTCTCTCCTACCATTCATTCGGCATAAGTATAAGAGCAGCTGCACTAGTGTAAGTATTGGGATTGAAGTCAATTTATCCTTTTATCTGAGTTCATAAAAATTTGCATTGAGTACTTGTGGACCCGGTTTGCATATACACAGGAACAAAGCCGTTGAGCCATCGTCCGCGCCAGGTATTGCTTATCAACCGAATCTACCTCATTCTTTCAATTATGACGGGCACCAAATTGGATGTTACCTCTCTGTTCCGGGATGAGCAATACTCCTGTCTTGATTATGGCGACGTTTCGACCTTGAGTGCAGACGACAGAGAAGTCATTGTCGAGCAAATGTGCAATCTCCTCGAAATATTCCTTCAAGCCATCGGACACTGTCACACGGTCCCTGCTGAGAATTTGCGTCTTCGAAAAGAATTTCTTGAATGGGCGGAGCGTGAATTGACCAAGGCCACCTCATGTGACATGGACACACTAGACGCTCTTCTGGAGCAAGCGGTGTCCAGTTCTGAGGGCTATTACCCTCTCGGATCGTACGAAGTGCAGTTGATCATGGCAAAGGCGACGGCATTGGCGATCAGCCTGGACAACAATTTCCTCTCCCCGAAAGCAAAGGCCCAGCTCCCGCGGTCTCAGAATAATTTCTGGCGAAGAAAGCCGCCTTGTGATGAATGGTCCACTGTCTTTGAGAGCTTTCTCGCCGAATGTGCCGACTTTTTCGGTGAGATGCAGCCATCTGTTGGGGCACTTGCCGCTGCCTCTTGGTCGCAGTGGGTAGAGGGCTGCCTGATGGAGGATAGAATGTGGGGGATGCTTCGTGATAGCATCGAAGGAGAGGAACAGCCGCCAGTTGTGGATTTCTGCCCCGCCGAAGACTTTCCATACTATGTTAGGACTCTCACAGGGGCGCCGATGGCGTACTGCGTTCCAATATTCAAGCAGTCGCGAGAGAAAGAGATCCCGTATTCGGTCTGGATGTCATATGTACCGGCGTTGACAACCGTGATCAACCTCGGGAATGATTTATTCTCGTATCCAAAGGAGGTTCTCGAAGGAGAAAAGGTCAACTATGTGTCGCTGGTGACGCGCACCAAACGAGTGTCCGGGTGTCCATCCCGGTTTGTCGAAGGTAGCCTGTGGACGTTTCGAGACACGATCTGCGATCTGTTCCAGCGGGTGCTAGATAGCTGTGAAGCCTTGGATAAGGCTTTCAAGTGTCCTCACTCTCCAAATGGGGTTGGTTATCCTACCGCAGGTATGAACACATTGCGGACGGCAGACATGCTATGCTCTGCCTTCGTCCATGGATATCTTGGATGGCATGTCAACTCGACCCGGTACCGTCTCGATTCCCTACGTAGCCGTCTGGTAGAGCAGATAGTGCATAATTGAATGAGTCAGGAATCTACTGAATACGAGAAACCCGGCATCGAGGCGCTGTCGTTGATATCACCCACATGACAAGGCGGATGAATACGAGCTGCCCCTCATCCCCGCTCTCTATATTTTGTCATCTTTATGATATTTCTCGCTATCTCACTCCTCGTTCCTCTTCTTCATGCAAGCTATCGAGGATGTCGTCTGAGATGGAAACGCTCAAGGCATCCTGTCACTGCCGAAATGTACGGTTTGCCATCACCATACCGCTAAATGTGCTGCCACTGAAAGTACACCTGTGCCATTGCAACGTCTGCCGTCAGACCCATGGGGCACCCTGCTCATTCCACGCCCCATTGCCTTCTGGGCTGCAGCCAGAATTCATTTCGCCGTCTAGTCCAGCTGCACTGACTGGCTACGCGCACGCAAATTCCAAATCCACCAGGTTCTTCTGCACCAACTGCGGCTGTCACATTGGTGATCGAGATCACGACCATAGCGATTGGTATCTTTCTGTGTCTATCTTCGATCAGGGCCAGAGGGACGGAATATGGGTGTTCGATTCGCACGCCTATACCCATGCCACTGTCGATGGGGGACTCTCCGCTCTTCTCCCTCGCGTCGATGACCGTGAAATTCCCGTTTGGAATCCACCGCCCACTCCAAAGGAGAGTCACGGCACAGCCGAGAAGGCGGATGAGCTTCTGGCGCAATGCCACTGCGGCGGCGTCTCGTTCACTATCTCCCGGCCCAAGGCGGAATTTGCGACAGACCCAAAAAGTAAGGGCTGGCTTGATGCATCCGATCCATCGAAGTGGCTAGCTCTGGTGGATGTCTGCGACTCTTGTCGACTCGTGACTGGGACGCATGTCATCGCCTGGATGTTCGTTCCCACGAGCCACCTAACTCCTTCTCCACCGGCGGACCTGATAATGGGCACATCAAAGACCTATCGATCAAGTGACGATGTCCTCCGAAGCTTCTGTGGGACTTGTGGTGCGACCGTCTTCTATACGTGTGACGATCGTCCTGGCATAGTGGATGTGGCGGTCGGCATTCTTAGAGCCCCTGAGGGGGTCATGGCCGAGACCTGGGCGTCATGGAGGACTGCGAGGCTTGGGTATCCGCAGGATGGGCTGGGATATGATGCTGCGTTTACTAATGGGCTGGAGACGGGCTTGAAAGAATGGGGGGAACGACGAACTGGCCACAGCACCGATTTCGTTGTAGGGTCTGAGACAAAGTACTCTACAAGCTCCTGATCTCAATATCATCACCACATATGTCCAGCTGTCGTCCATTCTCTTTCCTGAAATAAAGTAGATATACTCAGTTGCCAACTCTCTGCAAAGCTTGAATGGCCGTTGATTCTGTATTTCTGTCAATCTGTTGTCGGTAAAGTAGACACAAATGCGCGTCAGACGCCCCTCATATTGTAGGAGACAGCAGTCAATACCAAAGAAGACACACGTAGTAGCAAATTGTCCAGTCTCCCGTCGCGTTTCATACGAAGATGACAAAGAAAATCAAAACAACCTTAATCCGTCGGTGTCCATTAAAAGACCCAACCCATTTCTTCCAATTCTTCGACTGAGATCGGCCCATCTTTCAAGGAACCAAGGTTGTAAGGCATCATTGCGAGCCCAAAGTCGCTGTAAAAGATAGTGTGGAAGAGACCCTCGATGTTGGTGGATGGGTTACTCCGCAGCTGAAAATCCGAGTGGACGTACCTATGATCGTGCGTGGTTAGCCATAATCACTACCTAGTAGGAGATATCAGGAGGGATGATGAATCTCTCACAGTTTCTTGGCGTCCTCGTCCCAGTAAAGACAGCTCAAGCCCCTCTCGGCAATAGAGACCTGGAGAGAATAAATGCTCCTAGTTGTTCATCCAGTGATTAGCAACGGTTTCCTCAAGAGCATAGAGAGAATAACTGTATACCTGTGTGCTGCTTCGAACTGCAGACGAATGAGGTCCCTGGGTCTCGCGACTCAACGTCCAGAAATATCCCTTCCACTTGAACATCCCGTGTTGAAGGTAGGACTGCTGGTCTCCCAGGGGGATTCCTGGGACCTTCGACACCAGGATATACGCGGCCCACCCGCCGGGAACATGATCCTCTTCGCCTTGGGCCTCCCGCTTCTCTGCAATCAGATGCCCGGTGACGTCGACATGATTGGTGGTGAGGCGTCTCCAAGCTTCGACGGTGTCACTCGGAAGCGGTGGAAGGTCCGACAGGTTCGCCTGTAGGGCACGAAGCCTACCGGGGAGGGTCTCGGTCCCCTGGTAGGGGACTTGCATGTAGATTTTCAAATAGGCTTCGCTAGGGCTCTCCAGGCTCCGACACAGGAACTCGGCGGTTGCAAAAGGGGGTCTTCCCCATTCGTCTGCCTCCTCTCTTGTTCGACTCCAGGACAGCTCCTGAAGTTTTTGGATGGGCTTCCAGGTCTCTGGGGTGTCTGGAAAACTGATCTGGCGTTCCTGCCATACGGCATCATGAAACCAAACTGGGTCAGACATTGTGGATGCGTAGTTGGGAACGGAGTATGTGATGGAATGGGAATGGGAAGTAGGCAGAGACAGAGGGTAGGAAAGGAGGCGAGGAAAAGGTGAGGGAGAAAGTGAGCAAAAGGTGAGAAGGAAGATGATGATGAAGTGAGGTGAGAAGATTGGGTGGCGGGGGAACGCGAGCACGTTTTATTGACGCAAGACGAACCGCTCGGTCGGGATTTCTGTCACTCTGTAGGTAGGTAAACAAAGAACCAAGGAATAGACGCCTACAATCATTTCAGTTGTCGTCTACCCCTATGTAGCCAACCGAGAACCAGGGCCACAGGTTGGACCAGGCAATCACCCGAGAGACAAGCCCAAGGATTGAAGATTTCAGAGACCGATCCTCACCAACCACCAGCTCTTCTACCATAATATCAGTGCGATGGCGTAACTATCGTAACTTTGTGGATGTTCTGTACCTAGGGGTCCTCAGGCACTAGGAACGGCAGTGTAGTCGAGAGCAATTCTGACTCCGTTTCTGCACTGGCTGGACAAGTCGTGCGTATCGATTGCAAGGTCTCAGAGTACGCTTTGGCTCCACCTGGATTATAACGCAGTTGACGCTGGGATTCATCATTGAGGTCCAAGCCATAGAGAGCTGGGAGGTAGGGGGACCCACTCACTCGAAACACAACAACAAGCGACACCCCCTGACCAGTTCGTGGTCGTGTCGAGGCCGTGGTGGGTGAGTTTTGTGGTCAGGTTTGGCATGGTGGATCGATACGTTGCCATGATTTTCGACTCGACAAAGACCTGGTTCTTTTACTGTTCGCCCTCAATAAACATTATGGATCTTATATAGCATGTAGAGAGCTTACTGGCATCCCGAGCCGTTGCAACTACCTCCACAATGTATACCCAAACCCATGAATACTCGGCCATGTCTCTCTCGAATTCCGTCTGATCACCAACCAAACTACGGCCCGAACGCCGGCCAAAAACATCACCAACTATTCTTACCCTTTCCTCTCTCTCAGATACCTAGAGATCATCACCTGTGATAGGTTTCGGGCTTGACATGTCTAGGGTAGTTCGTTGACGGACCCGTTCCTCGGGAAGATCCGAGCTTTTGACGTTGCCGATCGAACCAATCCGATCCCGTCTTGCCGAACGTCACCGGATGAACATCCAGCTTCTGACAGATATTGGAAGATACTTACGAAGTTCGAGGATGATTAACAGCCGCCGTTTTCACGGGTGACCTCGTCTCGCGTTGAGAAAGCTTCCACATCACGAGTCACCCACTCGGGCATCGCGTACCCCAGAAGAATCTGACAAGATCCCAAGCCGCCAAAGTCCAGCCCGAATACGGAAAGCAAGGTCACGGCATTGCCAGCCGCAAGAAAGCTACTTAGTAAGTTCCTCAGGACGCCGTTTGCTCGAATTCGTCGTTAGGTAGCTAATTGTTCATTCTAAACAGACTTCGGGATGCCTTTCTGGATACAAGCTCAAGACAAAAAGCAAATACGCCTTCCTCATCACGCACGATCAAGCCATCTTTTGAAAAGAAAGTCCCCTTGAGCGAATACTTCCTATACTTGATTACGCTTACCAGTTAGGACCAATACACTCAAGACTCTATACCGTATAAACGTTGGTGCACTCTGATGCATCAGGATATTTTTATGACCGACGACGATTACATCTCAGACAGCCATTTCAGCGGCCCAGATGAAGGTATGGGTTGTGAATATGGTGACGATGGCGATGGTACCCTTGTTGATCTACAACTGGTATTGATACATAGACAAGGCGTAGGGGGATCCAGGGGTTGATAGTCAAAAAATGCCGGATATGAGTTTGTTTCTAGTTGTTGCGTTTATCAGCTGCCATAGATCAAAGGGGGGTGAAGGCGTTGATAATATATTATCGGTTGGTAGTGTGCATTGCCTGAGCACAAAATTCATGGGAATTCCCCTAGCTTCGGCTGCCCTTACGTCGACAACACGTCTTATCCCGCAACCCAGTCTTCTCTCTTCCTCTTGCCACCCAATTTTCCATCCTTCCTCACCTTTTCTCTTGCGCTCATCTCAATTCACATCTCCATTCCATATCTTGTGCCTGACTTCGCGTTCACGATGCCTCGTTCTGAAGCGCCTCCTCCTGTTTGGTTCCACGAGCGCCAATGGGTCGCACGCGAAATTCGTTTCCCAGACAATCCGTTGGCTTGAAAGCCCATCAAAAAGCTCTCGGAAGCTCCTTCGAGAGAGACAAAGCAGGATGCAGATGAGTGGGGTAGACCCCCGTTTGGAGCTGTTGAATTTCTCTGCCAATCCGTGGAGAGCCCATCCACACAGGCCTATCTCACCGTGTACCTCCAAGTTCCTTATCTGGAGACCCAAACGGAGCCCGCTTACCTCCGTGCTGAGCAGGCCACGCTCGAGAATCTCCCCCGCGACCCAGCAGAAGAGGCAGAGGCTTGGAGGCGACTGAAAGCCAACAATGTCACTGCCACCGGACGCCTCCTCTCCCGGAAGCAGGAGGCCCAGGGCGACGATGACCCAGTGCCTGACGGGTGGTCTGTCTACCTTCTAGCCTCCAAGGTTCCGGGAACACGCCTGGCGGAGGAATCATCGGTCCTAAAAGACGGAATGTTCGTTACAGAAGTGTATTTTTGGACCCTAGATCGAGAAACGAGAGATCTAATTCGCCACCAGTTTGCGTCTGCGCACCAGTATGACATTATGTCCTCTAGACTGAATTCTTGCCAACAATTGACTAATATGTAGGAGCATTTATAAAGCCCAAGTTTGTCTTGAACGCCAGGACTTGTGGTCCCTTTACTGGGATGAAGCCAACAAGAAAGTGTAAGCGCTCCCGCCATCACTGCCTGATATGTCCGTTAGCATTGCGGCTAACCCTGAATAAAGCTACGTTCACGGACAGTTCAGCCTCCCTATTACGCCACACGTGGATGATGGCCGTCCCTTCTATACTGGATTTTATGGGGTCTACGGCCTCGCGCACTGCCCCTACCTCGGCTTTCAAGCATTTTTAGACAAACCAGTCGCCATCCAGGGACACGAACAGTCGCTCGAGCAGGGAGTTGCTGTATATCAGTGCAGAGAGTTCTCGGTCGAGGATTTGGAGGCAATGGGTTGGGTTTTCTAGTGGAGGGACGTCCTCAAACGACGCATACTCTTTTTTTCTTGCCTGTCTTTCCTGTGCGCCCAAAGCAGTGTCATAATTATTATCAAAGAAGGGACACGCACCCAAGCACCTCACGTCTGTCGTCTACCCGTACACATGCACCCAACCGAGACGGATTCAGAAGGCTGTCAAAGGCGTCAGCATGATAGGCTCTCAGACCATCGATATTACGCCACCTCTCTTCTGAAATAGACTAGCAGTGTTCTTGCCAACGAAAATGTCGCGGCTAGTTTGGGCAAATCGTGGGTGTTTCGCAGGGCATGCATTGGACCACCGTTTGTGTGCCACCGCATCACCGCAACTCTTGAAGGAAGATCCCTTAGTTGGCTCGATAAGCTTCTCCTACAACCAAGAATAAAATTGGAAATTTCTGGATTTGTGGAGCTCTAGTGATTTATCGACAAGTGTAACCGCCATCTACCACCACGTCAGCCCCTGTTGTGTACGTGCTAGCATCACTGGCCAGGTAAAGGTATACACCCTTCAGTTCCCGCGGGTCAGCGTCACGACGCATCGGAGTCAAGCTGTACCAAGCCTCCTTCATCTCAAACGGACAATCCCCGCTGATAGGGGTGTCAATGTATCCAGGGCTGACGCAGTTGACGCGAGCAAACCCAGCCCATTCAACGGCCAGTGATTTGGCCAGGTGGATAACTCCTGCCTTGCAGGCATTGTAGCACGCCTAGATCAGAACAGAGTTAAGGAAGGTGGAAGATAAAACGATATTATTTCTGTTAGGAAGACGAAGTGAATAGGACATACCTGTTGTTGTGGGACATTGGCAGCGTGGCCAGACATGGATGCGGTAAAGATCATATTACCGAATCCTTGCTTTCTGAAGATCTGACCAGCAGCTCGAGCACAGTAATAAGCCCCAGAAAAGTCGATGTCCACGACACGCTGCCAGTCTTCCAGGCGATCATCCAGCCCGCCCGCCTTGGACGGGATGCCTGCGTTGGCGATCATGACATGTAGCCCACCAAAGTCTCTCACGACAGCATCTGTAGCCGCTTGAACCTAAGGAAGAGTGAACATTGGCTATAGTTTATCTTTTTTGTTTGGAAGAATCATACCTCGTCAAAATTCTGTACTGAGCACTTGTATGCCTCTGAGCGCACTCCGAAATCCTTTTCAAGAGTGGAAGCCAGCCTAACAGCATCAGGCGAGCTGTTGTACCAAAGCGCGATATCGGCACCAGCTTCTGCCAGAGCTCTTGCAACCTGATAGCCGATACCGCCTGAACCGCCCGTTATGATGACGACCTTGCCGTGCATGTCGAACATCTTGAACACGCTGTCGGGGAGAGCTGGATTGGGCCACCGGATACTGTTTTTCACGGACTCCATTATGCAGGACAATGAACTTAGATCTTGATATCAATATGAGGGGATCAAGAATAGCGTATAGCTAGCTTGTAGTGAGAAGACATAGAACTAGTATCTTTATTAAAGCTATGAGGCCATATTTAAAGCCTCTCATACCGAACTCTGGCCATTTGTACTGGATCATGTCCTCGCGCAGAGTCCAACGGACGACTATACCCCATACCCAGTGGAGTAACGGAAACGATTACACGGACAGCAATGTCCGTCCTAGCAACAGACAGCATCTCGGGCCGAGCACGATCGTAGAACTGTCTATGACGGCCCCACAAGTCCGTAGAGCGGACAACAGGCGTCCGGCGCTTGAGTCTGGAGACTGGATCCGGCGACGGGGATTCCCCATGGGGTATACAACCCCTCATGTTCTAGGGGCCACTAGCCTGCTTGGGTTGGCGTCGTCGTGGATATTCATCCACCCCCGAGGTAATACCACCTTCGATTATCTGCGATGAATGACATGGTTTGTGGCGTTCTTTACTTGGAAGAGATTCCGTTCGTCCTGTTGCACTTGTCAAGCATGAGAGTCACGGTCCATCGCCCTGCCGTTGAGTCTGCTTGTTGATCTGTTTCCTGAAGTAGCACATATATATTTCATCTCCTGCCCGGGTTTCGACTGAGTTCATCCCCAACACTCGACCTATGATATGCATCCCTAAGCAACTTGGAAGGTGAAATAGGAGATCACTTACCATGAAAGACCAAGATATAGTGGGTGATGCGTTGGCATCTGCCCTTCCCCAATATAACAAGATCTGGTTTCGCGTGCCTCATCTACTGAAACTCAATCTAATTCTCTTGGTACCCCTGCTGTCTTCTGCAGTTGCTGGCTACGATGGCAAGTATCTTCCACGTCCCTTGATTCTATTCTGTTGTGTCTAACATTATCCTGGAAATAGGCTCGTTGATGAATGGCCTACAGTCCATTTCTGAATGGCGAGAGTACTTTGGAAATCCAACCGGTTCCATCCTGGGTGTTGTCAACGCCGCACAGTCGATTGGGAGTGTCCTCTCCCTACCCGTCATCGGAATACTGTCAGACCGCATCGGACGACGATTGACCTTACTGAGTGGTGCGATCACGATCGTGATTGCGTCGATTATTCAAGCAGCATCCGTCAAATATGGCATGTTTGTATTCAGTCGCGTGTTGGTCGGGGTGGGATCAATGCTGGTTGTGCAGCCCTCTCCGATGCTCATTACCGAGCTAGCGTATCCAACCCACCGTGGAAAATATACCTGGTACGTTGAGGCCTACCCGCTTCTATAAGCTTGAACTCTCAGCCACTGACATCCTCTATCCAGCGCCTTTTGGACAATGTACTACTTAGGGGCCATCCTAGCATCGTGGACATGCTATGGAACACAAAAACACCTACACTCCGAATGGACATGGAGAATCCCATCAATCATACAGGCTGGATTTCCCCTTGTTCAGATAGCTACTTGGTGGTGTGTTCCAGAATCCCCGAGGTGAAGATCAATCGTTCGTCTTAGACGCTGTACTATTCATTGCTGACCGATCCTCCAGATGGTTGATCGCCAACGGCCGTAAGAAAGAGGCAGAACAGTTGTTGGCCCGGTTCCATACGGCTGCAGATGCCACACATCCCCTCATACAGTTTGAAATGGCCGAGATCACGCAAACCATCGAGCTTGAGAGCCTAGCCAGCGAAACCCCCTGGTCTGCCCTCGTCAAGTCCCCTGGGAACCGCAAGCGGACGTTTATCGCTGTTTGTGTTGGCGCCTTTGCTCAATGGAACGTGAGTTTGCATATCATATCTGTCATCGCATGGCTTTTATTTCAGTTGCTAACTCGTTACTAATCAGGGTGTTGCTGTTGTCTCTTACTATCTCACACTCGTCCTCGACACCGTCGGGATCAAAGATTCAGATACGCAAACCCTCATCAACGGCCTTCTGCAGATATTCAACTTTATAGCTGCACTTGGCGCAGCTTTATTCGTTGACCGTCTCGGTCGACGGACCTTGTTTCTCTGGTCTGGTATTGGAATGCTGATCTCCTTCATTATCTGGACCGTTTGCTCTGCCCTCTTTGATCGTAGTCAGGTTCCCGCACTGGGTCAGACAGTTATTGCATTTGTTTTTATCTTCTATTTTCACTATGATATTGCCTACACCCCACTGCTCCTGGGCTACCCCACGGAGATATTTCCTTACTCCCTCCGAAGCAAGGGTATCACGGTGGACTTGCTGGCTGTCTACATCTCTCTCATTATCTTAGCGTTTGTTAACCCCATCGCTCTTGAGAACATCGGCTGGCACTATTATATATTCTTTTGTTGTTTTGACGCAGTTGTGGTTGCGGTGACTTGGTTCTGCTTTCCCGAAACGAAAGGACACTCGCTAGAGGAGATCTCTGAAGTCTTTGACGGGCCTTCGCCTATCCGATCTGGGGATCCTTTTGCAAAGGGCGAGGAAGGCGTGAAGGGCACTGCAGAGCATTCTGAACATGCTTAGTGATTTGGGTGAATGCTGTAGATTGACAGTTCTTTGAGGGCGACTATGTGGCTTTTCTGGTTTCCTTTCTTGCAATGTGGCCTATATTCATCCTTCTTGTCAGTTTCTTGTCTGTCTCTGTGTGTACAATTATCAACTGTTTAATATCAGAACATTTTTAACATGATAGCCGTCACGTTATGACCCCACCTGGGGCTACCATGAACCCCGAGGATCGGATGTCCTCCGGCCGATCCTCCTCCAAGCATCATGTCTGTCTGACTAGCAAGCCCTGAGACGCTGTATGTTGCGCTAATGTGCAACCTGTCTGTACGCCTCCTGCTACTCCGGACATCTAGTACAGACAATTCTCGAAATGAGGACCAATGCGGCCACCGGAGATGCTGCGGACGATGCTCACCCGCCCCACGAAGGGAACACAGAGCACCGCATAACCGCGGAGCAAGCATGCAGGGAATGCCGCCGGCGAAAATCAAAGTGCGACAGAGCCATGCCCGTCTGTCATCTCTGCCGCAAGTACAACCGTCGGTGCATGTATGAGAAGCTTTCTCGAACACCTCTTACACGCACCTATCTGTCCCAGGTGGAGTCTGAGCTGGCCCGGGCTAAAGCCTTACTCCGGCAATTTATGCCAGAACGAGAGCCGGATAGTTCTCATAGAGATGAGCCTTTCGACTACACTGAGCCAGGTACAGAGGATCAGGCAGCTGACGGAATGCACCTCCCGCACTTGGGTTCGGCCTCTCGACAAGACAACATTCAAGTACAGGATGCACGCACGACAGGACTTGAGGAGAATGGATCATCACTGAGTCAGGCAGATATTAGCCGCGAAGCCATACTCCGTCCCGCCCGTGAGGATCAGCGGCCCTGTATTCATGCCGGGACATCTGCTTTAATGGATCCGTCCCAGATCGTGCATGCATCGCGGCGGACTGATCGCACTAGCTCCATCCCTCGATCAGTAAGGACCCCAGCTCTCTCATTGGAAACGCCTCCATCGTCGAGCAACTTCGAATGGGACGAACGAACCGGGGCTGGAAATGGGGACCGGTTTGTGGACGGGATGGCCAGTTTGACGAGTAAATCGAACGAAGGAGGATACCTGGGTATGTGGTCCTATTCTTTTTCACTAACAAGGATACATAAGCTAAGACAACTAGGATCTGCATCTGGTGCTGCCCTTCTGCGTTTGACCACTACTCAATCCACAGAGGACATCCATCCCGACAGTGCAGATGTGCAAGGCAACTATCACCGTCCCTCAAGCATCACCTTTACACCTGCTTCAATGTCACAGTTGGAGCCATTTATCGACTCATACTTCAGTCTCTACCATTGCTCATACCCGATAGTCCATGAAGCGACCTTCCGTGCACAGTTTATGGAGGTTATTCCTCGACCGTCTGGTAGCACGTGGCAAGTGCTTCTCTTCGTGGTGGCCGCCATAGGTGCTTTCGCCAGTGCAACCCAACAGACAGACGTTGACCTTGCGCTTTTTGAAGCCGCGAAGGCGAGACTATCAATTGACGTGCTCGAATCAGGAAACCTGATACTCGTACAGGCTCTGACCCTGATCTCCAACTACCTGCAGAAACGGAACAAGCCCAATTCTGGCTATAATTATATGGGTCTTGCACGACGAGTTGCGATGGGGATCGGCTTGCACAAGGAATTCCCAACATGGGACGCTAGTTTACTGACACTTGAGATGAGACGGAGGGTATGGTACTGTTTATACATCTTCGACATCGGAGCTATCATTACATTTTCCCGGCCCCTTGATTTCCCACAGGAGGGGGTCGACGTTCAATTACCTTTGAATGCTCATGATAGCGTCGGTTGCCTGATACTCCTCATCTGTGCCACGGGCTAACTGTCACAGGACATCACTGCAGGAACAAAGGGCATCCCTGACCCTGCACATGAAACTACCATATACACCCATCTCAGGGCACAAGCGACATTTCACCAGGCCACCAGCCATATATATTTAAAAGTCATCTCCCTCCCGCTCCCATCGGCAACCGAGATGATGGAACTAGATGACCGGTGTATGGGGAAGTGGTTAGTGGAACTCCCTCCATTCTTCAGGGAAACGGCCATACAACCCCCCAAATTCCGTTTGTGTCACTCCATTCTCCGTTGGCGGTATCGGAACTTCCGGATCTTAATGTATCGGCCATTCCTCGTTGGCCGCCTTATGGCACGTATCGAACGGGGCCCAGAAGATCCGCAGGTCTGGGGAGACGCCTACGTTGGGGTGGCAATCGAGCGCTGTCTCAACGCGGCCCGTGAAGAAGTTGAGTTGATTTCAACATTCTGGAAACACGAGGAGAGGACTATGATGGCGTGTTGGTATGGATTGTATTTCCTGTTCCAAGCGGTCCTCATTCCTGTAATCTGTCTGCGTAACGATCCCCAGTCCGAACTGGCAGAAGGCTGGCGCAACCAGATACTGCAAGCTGTCGAGGTTCTGGAGTTGATGGTGTCATTAAACCCGACAGCAAGGCGGTGCCTGGGCGTTATTCAATCGCTGTGTGGGACATATCTCCATCAGAACGTTGATGGATGGGGCCGTCCAACTGAAGAGTCGCCGCAGACTCAATTGACGAACCTGTATCCGCTGATGTGGCCAACGTTGGATATAGGCCAGCTGGATGGGGCGGATTCGTTCATGTGGGTATCTCTATTGCAGTGTTTGACGCATGCTAATGACCTGCCAGACAGGAATCCACAATTATGGATTTCATGAGCCGGCTTCCAGGAATAGAGTAGGCTTCATTCGTTCCCTTACGGCGTTGGATATATACGCTGGATTCTTATCAGAACACTGTGCAAGGAATCCTTTTCATTATATTGTATGACATGCAATACCCAAGCACAAGCTAATGTTCCAATAAATTGCCTTTAAGGGAGGGTATATCCACCATCAATGACTATATTGGCTCCAGTCATATAGCTAGAAGCATCAGACGCGCAGAAGACATATGCCTGCAAGAAGGAGGGTTAGCGAAGATCTCATATGGGCTTTGGGGACATACGCCTTTCAGTTCATAAGTCTGCGCCATTCGTTGAGCTGGAATCATACTCATCCACTTCTCCCTCCACTCCTGTGGGTGGATGTCCAGGATTTCAGTGGCAATGAAGCCTGGGGAGATACAGTTGACTCGACAGAAGTCAACCCATTCGACAGATAGGCACTTTGCCAGTTGAACGACACCCGCTTTTGAAGCATTGTACTGTATATGTTGAGGTTAGCTAAATCCCATACAACGCCAGTAAAGACGAAATGGGATGCTATAAGGATCAGCCTTACCGCTGCTTGCTTCTGTGGCACATTCACCAGGGTCGCACTAACAGAGGCTGTGAAGATGACATTTCCACTCCCCTGCGCCTTGAAAATCTTTGCAGCAGCTTGGGCCGAGTAGAATGCCCCATCGAGGTTGACATCCATGATCTGCTTCCACTGCTCCGGAGTATACTCCTCAGCGGCGACGCAAGATGCAATACCCGAGTTTACGACCATGATATCGAGTTTTCCGAATTCCTTCACAATCTGGTGCACTGCAGCGTCAATTGATTCTTGATTTGCGACATTGGCTTGGTATGCACGAGTGATAACTTGGTTCTCTGACGCGATCTCGCTGGCGATTTTATCGGCAGTGGTAGAGGAGTTGTATATCAGTGCGACCTTGGAGCTCAATATCAGTACTGGTATGTAGATAATGCGCGTAGGTGAGTCCTACATGAGCACCTGCTTCTGCCAGTCCTCGGGAGACCTCGAGGCCAATTCCACGCGCACCTCCTGTTAGCTTCTTAGCATGGTTTTCTTGAGACAGGAGTTGGCATCCTGCATACCAGTCACTGCCGCGACCTTTCCTGTAAGGTCAAAGGCTTTAGACAAATGCTGGTTCGGTGGCTGAGCGAGGACCATTTTCGCGATGTAATGCTATGGTATGCGGGGTCGAAATTTCGATTGTACGCTCGCTTCTGGTTTTTGCTTATGTCGAGACAGAACCTAGACAATTACTTAACGCCTTGTAGCTTATTTGTTTCTAAGTCCCAGCCGTAGCATTCAGCGGACAGACAGGACGCTATCCCGTCTCCACGCCGGACGGGAATGTAGCCCGGACGGCCCCGTACAGCCGTACATCCTCTCCAACGGACGAGGAGGTCCGTATTTCGTCATCGGACCTCCTATGCCAATCGCAGTTCTCGCTAGTAAGTCTCCAGTTCTACCATTGTTGGGGATTGCCCGGTCCTTATGTTTAGGGATGTCTGGTATCTCGTGGCGTGATCTTTTGCGATCTAGAATGGTCCGTTAATAAATTGGTTTCAGTAGTGACAGTGGAGATGGATAGAAGCGCTCTATCTCTAACTCATTGAGAAGAATTGGACGATACGAGGGTAAACACAACTTGCTAAGAACCATCCTATGTAGACTGAACACTAGAGACAATCATGTCCGGCTCGATCCGTCTCTCAAGTATAGTCAGCCCATTGAGATAATCATTGGCATCCACTCTTCGAAACCCGTCTTCCAACGTCTTCTCGATGCCTGCTGCAACATGCCGTCTCGCTAGGCGGTCCCTGGCTACTTCAAGATCAACGTCAATAAAGACCCGGTAGTCAACCAGTGGCGCAACATCCTTCCACAGAGGCTCATTCAAGAGCAGGTAATTCCCCTCGATAATCACGACCGATACACCCTCGGTAATGCATACACCATTCTCGACCGGATCTTTTGTCTTATGATCGAACGTCGGAGCATAAATGGCCGCGTCTTCGTCCGTTTCGCTTCCCGAAGACGGTGACCGCGCAGACTGAGATCCCGATGACGACGAGTCTGCGTCTTTCCCGACGGGCCTATCGGCCCAGGTGCGTAAGTTCTTCATGAATTGCAGAAAACCGGCCGCGTCGAATGTCGACGGCGCTCCGCGTCGGATGTATGCCTCCTCGCGGTTCGGGAGCTGGTCTAGTGTGGAGCGTGGGAGATGGAATCCATCCATTGGAAGGAGTGCTGCGCGTGCGGGAGATGCATTTGAGTGTGTTGATGGCTCGTTGAGGATCTTTACAACTGTTTCGGCGGTGGTTGATTTGCCAGAGCCTGGGACGCCGGCGACGGCTACTAGGTAGCGGCTTTTAGGGTGTGCGGCAGCATTCTTGCGGATTGATTCTGCTAGATGGACGTATGCGTCGTCCATTATGATCTATAGGCAAGTTAGCTGGAGCGAGAGTGAATGGTAGAGTCATGATAGTATAACCTCGTGCCCTTTCCGTTTGTGGTATCTCAACAATTGAAGGATTTTGCCGTGAAAGTCACGCCTTCAGTTTGGTAACAACTGTCTACATCTATGATTTAATAAGTCTCCTCTGCAACATGCTCACCGTATCGCATTGATGTGCGCTCACGGAGAGTTGTACTCCGCGGCTTGGGGTGTCGGAAAGCAGTGCTCCGCGGTATCCTCTGCGCAAAGTTTCATGAGTAGCTGCTACGTAGATGTGGATCAAAGTGGATTCTGTAGATCTCCTGCTCCAGATCCACGTTTATCCCGTTGTCCGTGGGGGGTAGAGGTGCAAACTGGATGCTTGTATTAGAGACTCGTCCGCTATATGATTTGTATACCGCCAGTTGATGTGATCAATTCTCGATAGGCAAATCTATCTTTACCCTATCATGCTTCGTCATGGAAATAGTCTGCATGTTATGGCACTCTTGTGAGAACTACTAGCAAAGCCTACTACACGATCTGCTCTCGTTCATCAAGCTTTGCATTTGACAATCATCTTCGTCTATTCTCGATATCCATGGATAATCACCTTGATCACCTTCTCTTTCCCCTGTCGTACTAGCTCAAACGCGTCTTCTGCCTTTTCGAAATCGTACCGATCAGTAATAAGACGTTTCACATCGATCTTCCCACTAGCTACCAAGTCAACCGCAGTCGGATAACATCCAGTGGTGTAGCGGATGGATCCACGAATGGTGAGATCACGAATACAGGCAGTAGTGATAGGAAACACCACATTCTAGGTAGGACATGTCAGCCATTCACACGTATATCTACAGTATTGGGTCATCGACGTGGAATATCTCACCTCTTTCCCCATACCAGCCTGAACATATGTGCCCCCCTTCTTGGTCAAGTGTACCCCAGTCTGAATACACGCCTGTGCACCTGTCGCCTCGATAACAACGTCAGGACCCTCACCAAGCTCGAACTGCTCCTTGATCATCTTTGCAACCCGCGCACTCCATTCCGATTCATCGACACCTTCCGGCTTTGCCGGTGGGAGAAACACTCCGTCCGCACCAAAGGACTTGGCAAAGTCCAGCCGTGACTGGCTGATGTCTATACCGATGACCTTTCGCGCAGCGTACGCCTTACTGACGGCCTGGCATAGAAGTCCGATCGGCCCACAGCCGAAAACAACGATGTTCTGGTTCGGACGGACGTTCCCGACTTTCGTGATTTGCACTGCTACGGCCACGGGTTCTACCATGGCGCCCTCCTCGAGGTCCATGTGGTCTGGAAGGGGATAGCAGTAGTCTGACTGGGTGATGTAGTATTTTGACAGTGTTCCATCGTGCGGCGGGGTGGCAGCGAAGACGGTGTCGGGACAGAGATTGTAAGAGCCGCTACGGCAGTAGTCGCAACTAGGAGATGTCAGTTGAGATCGATTTCATCGCGGTATGAATGACGGAGCTTACTGTCTGCATGGCACACCTGGCTCAATCGCAACTTTCTGTCCAACCTTCAGATTCTTCACGGCTGATCCTACTTCCTCGATCACGCCGGAGCTTTCATGGCCGAGGACAATGGGAGATTCGAGGATAAAGTCTGTATTCCAGTGAGCAGAAATGCACCTAAAATAGATCCGCAGGACCTGGTCCAGTAACTAGTGCATCCAACGTACCCCCGATCCGACCTCGTTGCCAGTAATGTACATCGCTGCCACAAATGCCCGTCTCTGCGATGCGAACACGAACGTCCCAGGGGTCCTTGAGTGCAGGAACTGGTCGTTCCTCGAAGGAGACCTCTTTCACTGCTCGGAGGACAAAAGAGGGGTTGGTATCCTGGACCAACTGAGTCAGTCTGCTTGCTTAAGTTATGTTTCAGAGATGCGCGCTACCCACCGTCATATTGGATTAAGATGAATTCAGAACTATTCTCGGTGTGGTAATAGTTGGTATAGTTTGACTGAGCACAGTACTATCTCTCGGAGACAGTTTATATCAACGAGTGTCTCCGATGTGCTCTGCTATTCTCCGCTTGTTGACCCCCGCCTAGTGTGATATCACCAGACGGACCCCCGCCTCCGCTGCTGCGGACGCCGCATCCCGTCCATTTGCCGACTACACTGCACCTGAGGAGAGAGTATGAGGGGCACACAGTTGATGAAGAAAATGATCTAGAATCTAGAATTCTGTCACCGACTTGGTTATGGTCCATGAATATCAACTTTCTTAGATTTGCCGAGAATTCCTTGAGGTCAATTGAAAACGAAGATATTTCATCTAGAACTTCTCGTGTAAGACAGCGAGACAGAAGATGGCAGTTTTGGGGGACCTTCTCCTACAGTGTCTATTTATTGGCAGGCTTGGATCGAATGCATGATAAGAACGAGCCTACCAGGCTAGTCATGTCCTTGTCCAAACCTATCAATGACACTCTTCAGACGTTCATCATCCCTGTATAGTTCCAGCATATCTGCTTTCCAAGCTCCCCAATCCGTATCCTTATCGACTCCAAATGCAGCCCAGATGCCACGGACCAGAGAGAGCGTCTCAGCCCAAGGAAAGTCAACATCAAGTCCAAAAAAGAATCTCCGAAGTCTCTCATCTCTGCTCATAATATCAGCTAAATCATCTGCTCCCTTCTCTCGGAGGAATCGAGCCAATGCATAATCATGAATAGTCAAGGATGAGACTCCATTGTAGATGTCACCCATTTCTGCTGTCACTAAAGACGGTCCAAATGCCTCACTAGCGGGTACCACGCGAGCCATTTGCCAATCTATCACTCCAGTGATATTCAGCTGGTCGTCCACCATCAGGTGATCCCCCTTGTCGTCCACATGCTTGATATAGAATTCCTCGGCAGCCCCATCCAGTTCACGGGACGGGTTTGCTGCAAGAATATGGATCTGAGATTTCAAGAAGGAAAATACCAGGTAGGCATTCACAGGGAAAGAGGCGAAAAGCTGACCATCCGCAATGAGAGCCATATTTTGCTCCACAAATGAAGTGTAATAGTCACTGGCTGTATCAAAAGGCCCCGAGGGCGACAGGACGAGAAATCGTTCACTGGCTACGGCGGAGATAACTGGCTCTGAAGGCGATGGGCCTGATAGAAGAGATCCGGCTTTCGAAAATGGATGGCGTCTGAGCTCAATCAGGATGTCCGCCAGGCCATTCCAAACCCTCTCCTTATCTTTATCATCTGCGAACCGCTTCCCATGCGGCCCTTGCAGATTCCAAGGGGTCCCCGCCATTTGCTCCATAAGGACACAGCTGACGCCGATTTTGTTGTTCTTGTCGCCCACAAGGCCATAATCAAAAACGCGGGGAGCAGGCACGTTGGTTGTCTCTAGAAACTTAAGAGTGGCATATTCGCTGCGAATAAGGTAGTCGGCAAGCTGTTGAGGGGTACCGCTGCCAACTCGAGGTACTCGAAGGAGCCAAACGGAGCCATCATCGGTAAAGCGAATGCGAGCATGGTAGTTGGCCCAACCCATGAGGGAGCCCCGCCCCCACGCTGGCGGGTGCTCAATCTCGCATCTTTGGCCACCATTTAATTCGGAGGCGCGCTCGCAAACAGCCCTCTCATTGATTCTATCACGGATTTGTTTCACTTCGGTGTGTATATTGGCTTCGAATTCATCGTCTGGTAGTGGCTTGTGTTTCTGATTGTTAGGTTTGATTTATGTAGACGGTAAAGGCATGGACCGTACCATGTCACTGCATGTATGAGATGGCGGGATACGGTGAGTCGCGCAGAGCTGGCGATTGCATCGCTCACAGGCCCCAAGGCCCCGCACACTTGGCCCTTCACAGCCCACGAAATCACAGGTGAAAAATCTATGAAAAATCTATCAATCATGGGGTTATGGGGTGTTGGACGCGCAAAATACAGACGGGGAACCTCCCAGCTTCAAATAACCTGAGACAGCAGATACCCTTATCCCTGCTGAGATGTGCCCCGCCTGGTGTCTGTGCACTACTATCCCTAGTGCACAATCCCGCATTCCTACAGTGTCGGTTAACCGGGTTTTCCTCTGTTAGTAGTGAATGAGGGTAGTTTGAAGCCGATGAGATAGACATTTATCTGACTAGTGCATCCTCAGCTTCGAAGCTTGAGATAGCATTTGATGAGTTGCTAGACGGATGAATACTAGGTTCGGTGGTGCAGTTGGAGGGAACAGCTGTCGAGGATCCTAAGTAAAGAAGAAATCATTTGGGGCCTATTCAACTGCGATCTGACGCTGAGCTTGTGCCTTGTCTTGTTCTGGTCTCCTGATACTATTCGGGCTAGTTGTTATACTGTCAAGATATCATCTTGTTCTACCCAGGCGACACACTCTGTCCTATCTCTTAGACAACTGTTCCCGAATAGCGGAGATGAACTACACCGGTTAGCAACCCATCATTCAATCATGTGAAAAGACATACTGGAATTATTTGTGCCTTCTCGAGGTCCCAGACCCCACTCTTAGCGTAGATGTCTTTCATCAAGGTCTCCCGCACATCCTCAATGCTCTCCCCGGTATAGATCATCATACTTCCCTTGAAGGGCACGCCCTCACCTTCCTCGGGGTGTCTCTCAACCATTGCCCCTACATGCACGAGTAAGGTTTACGCTCGCTGGGGGGACAAGGACGGGGTGTCTCACCTCCGGCGACGACCCGGCCGGATGCAACAAGGGGTTTGATGTCTTCCAGATGTGCTCTGCACGGATCAACTCAGGAACCAAATCACTACGAAGAGAGAACGGAGGCATACGGTCTCACTTGCTTTCTAAGGTTCAGAGCATCAGGCTTGTCCGGCAGGATACAGAGAAACTCCTTCTTCTTGGAGTTTGCGGTGGCCATGCTGCGTTTTCCGACATGGCGTGGGGAGGCGACTCCGCGAGGAAGGGAGGCTTTGGCGAGTGGGAGAGTTGGAACTCCCCGGGAGAGTCTGTAGAACGACATTATTGTTGATGGTTTCTCTAAGTGATAGTAAATGCGATCAACGCTGGTTGAAGGCGAGGTGTGTCTGTCATTGACAGGGCGCGATTGTTTGCCGAGGCTTCCTTGGCGTTCGGGAAACTGTCCGAACCGGAATAATATCAATGGAGAAGAAAACTATACAGGCTTTCTGCTTTGATTGTGTTCTTTCTCCTGTTGGACAGAGGTTGGAATGTTTATCTTGTAGGTCAATAGTCTTTGGATGAGAGGGGCTTTCATAGGATGCCACAGTCAGACAGCACTATATATCCTATCATACGCGTAAGCTATATATGAGGACAGCCATAACTGAGAAGGAACCAGCAATCTCAGTATTCTCATAATGTGATCTCGATAACATCGGCTGTCATATACATGATCAACCAGTTATTCGTCTCAATGGATAAGCGCCCGTACACGCGGAGATCCCTCAAGCTAGCTCCAACATGCTGTATACTCCCCAGGAGGAACAGCACACTGCTGTTTGATCACATCCCATTGAAAGATATCCCGCCCACAGCCGTGGGTGCCTCGACATAGGTCTGCGGCCATCAATCTGCAGGTTGGAGTAAGTAGGTTTGGTGCAGATTTGCATTCGCTGCTCACGCTCAGACGAACAACGCCCAGGGATTGGAGAAAACACCCAATGGCTGCACGACAGTGATACGGGGTTCGCCAGCATGGGGAGCTGCTCTCTTTATAAGCGTCGTTTATCCATTCTCCCGTCAGATTGAGCATGTAGGCGAGGAGATGAGAAATCCGACCCCAATGCCAAGAGCAAATATATACGCTACTGGACCCACGCTCTCTCTAGTTCAAGCTACTAACAGGAATGGAGAAAATTTTCGCGAGGGAAATCTTCTATCACGGCGGTTTCCTAATGATGGATGTCTTTAGGAATACTCATATACAGTGATTGTGCTACTATTCATTCCTAGCAGCTGCTACGTTCTACACAAACGTATCAATTTACAGAGCTCTGAACGTAGTCTTCCTGAATAAAACGGAAGTACTATCAAAAGTATGAGTGGACCAAACCAAATACTTCTCTTCATGCAGACCACACATGGCCTTGATGCAGTTCTTCCTGTCGAAGGACTTGGGAGTTTACGTAAAAGCTACCAGTGCCTTGAGTTGCAATGGCGTGACCAGCAGATTCGACCCAACTCTGCTATACAATTACCACACAGCCGTTTCTGCTACTGATGTCGTTAAAGACGCCCCAGGTGATATGCCATGGCCAAGGGAATTGAAGATTTGAGGGGCTGAATGAACAGACCCCTATAATGCAGGACTAATCTGCAGGTCATTCTCAGATGTAACATAATCTACAACCGAGGTCCTTAGTGCATAGCGCACTATTGAAGCGCGAAGTAGATCTGCGCTGTGGGCCTATCGACGACTGCCGAAATCACCCACCAATGCACGACAGCGAGTTGTTGAACGATATCTATTCAGCTGCTCGTGTCCACCGCAAATGATATTGAGGCTTGTAAAAGACCCTAGTGGTAATATGCTTAGCTGGTGGGGAAGGGACCCTTCTTCGTGTCGCAGATAAATGCACACGCGCTCGACACGGGCCGCGTCAGATGCTCACGACTTACCTTCAACCTCGAGGCCGTAGAGGATGTCTACGACTCTGCTGCTGAAGGCCATCTTGGCCATCGCCAGTCTGTACATTGTTAAATTGTTCTTGTCGGGCAAAAGAGGCGCACAACCTCTTCCACCTGGACCTGTGCCGAAATTCATAATTGGCAATTTCCACGACCTCCCACCCCATGGCGTCAAAGATTGGGAACATTGGCTGCGGCATAAGGATCTATACGGTGAGTTAATCCTGGCCAATCACGCAGACACGTCCTAATCCCAATCGACAGGGCCAATCAGCTCTGTCACGGTCCTGGGACAGACAATAGTCGTGGTGAACGACGCGGAGTTGGCCGTCGAATTGCTCGAGAAGCAATCAGCAGCCACTGCCTCGCGACCTAGACTGGTCTTTGCTTCTGAACTGTTAGCTGCCCCGTGCATCACTTCTGCTTGTAACCCAGACTAAAGTAATTCAGGGCGGGATATGGTCTTTCATTGCCAATGCAGACCGATCTGCAGAGGACGCGCGCATACAGAAAAGCTATGCATCATGTCATCGGGAGCACCAAGTCTATGGCGGACTTCCATCCCTTGTTAGAAAGGGAGGTCCGGCGGTTTCTGCTGCGGACATTGCGAACTCCGAAGGAGTTAATTCAACACCTAAAGACGTGAGCGCACCCCATACTCTTTTGTTAGGATCAGTTTCTCAATAAGTCAACAGCCTGACAGGAGCCATCATCCTAGAGATTGGCTATGGATACACCGTGGAGCCACATGGCCCCGACCCGTTCGTTGACCTTGCCAACAAGGTCATGGCAGAGTTCTCAGTTGCAACGCAACCGGGGACCTGGGCTCCTGATATCATCCCGGCTCGTGGGTCCATGTTTTATCCACTTTCTCAAGACTCTACTAATTGAAACCGCAGTGAAATACATCCCTTCATGGTTCCCCGGCGCGGAGTTCCAACGCATGGCGAAGACATTCAACTCACGCGTGAATGATTTCTCGGGCAAGCCGTACGCATTCGTGCAGAAGAAGATGGCTCGTGGATCCTACAAACCGTCCTATCTGTCTCGTTTGCTGGAGAAAGACAATCCACAGCCTGGATCGGAGGAGGAGCTCGTCGCGCGATGGTCTGCTGCGTCTCTTTACGGCGGGGGCAGCGATACAGTGAGTGATGCTCTCAATATTATCAATTGCGACATATCTAACATCCATAGACACTTTCTTCTCTGGGCTCCTTCTTCCTCGCGATGGCCATGTACCCAGACATCCAACGAAAAGCCCAAGCGGAAATCGACCGGGTAGCTGGCAACAGACTCCCAACCTTCAACGACCGCGCCGAACTGCCGTATACAGAGGCCGTGGTGAAGGAGCTCCTCCGCTGGCTCCCCGTAGCACCCATGGCTCTACCTCACCGCGCTACCGATGACAGAAGCTGCGGCGGGTATCTCGTTCCGAGAGATGCACTGATCCTCCCGAATGTCTGGTAAGTTCTATCTTCGCATCTTCCGCAGTGGAAGGGCAGGCTAACAAGCCAGGGGTTTCCTACACGACCCCGAGGTCTATCACGACCCGATGACCTTCAACCCGGAGCGGTTCCTGGGGAGTACCCCTGAACCTGATCCGCGCAAGTTTGCGTTTGGGTTTGGACGGCGCGTGTGTCCGGGTAAGGCGCTTGCGGAGGCGAATGCTTTCCTCGCTGTCGCTATGTCGCTGGCTGTGTTTCGCATTCGGGATGCTAAGCAGAATGGGCGCAAGATTGATGGGTATCCGGATGTTACGGCTGGTGTTATCAGTCATCCGGTCGATTTTGAGGTTGAGATTAGTGCGCGCAGTGCGGCGCATGAGGCGCTGATTGAGTCGGTTGAAAAGGACTGTCCGTGGCAGGAGGGTGATGGCAAAGAGTGCGATTTCTAGACTGGTGATATGGGACTATTCGGTCATTCGTATACGCTCCCAGGGGGCTACATTATGATTAGACGCCTTTAAAACGCGTATCTCGCTTGGATTCAATGAAACACGAGGCACGCCACGGATGGCTACATAGTTGACAATCTTGGTTGCTCTAATTGTCCAGATATGATCATCCATGCTTTCTGCGGATTTTGAATTTATGTTATGCAGCACAAAAAATAATATATTCACAACACCAGTATTATTAGATCACTCCAACAACATCTGCCGTTCATAATGTGGCTGTGTCTAGCGCCAAATGTCTTAAAAGGCCCACGGAACAAGAGGCTGGTTCCGGCTAGGCTGCCGCAGGCCACCAGTGATGGCGCCTGGAGATGCCTGGCGATGCCTGAGCGATACGAGCCCCTAAATACGCCATGTCGCTCTCGCGACATCTTCGTACTTCCATCCACACCAGCACGAGGATAATCAGTACATATCTCAAAATGGGCTCGAAGCCAGCTACTATCAAGCTCCCGGGCTTTAACTTGCCGGTGAACTACAGGCCGCCCGCGGTAGGACAGAGCTCAGTCGATCGACACAACATGGACTGACAGAACCACAGAACCGTCAGAGGGCAAATGGCTTGTTCTTGAACGCCTTGGATTATATCCAAATTGATGGCGGCTATATCAGGTTAGTTATCCAGGGGGTGTCTTCTGTATTTGCTAACATTACTTGGTAGTCGCGTCAAGACCACGAGAGAGATCTTGATGATGCGGGTGATGGACACCATCAGTGACAAGCCTGACTGGACGCGGAAGGTAATTCATTGCCTTAATTGTCTGTCGCATGATGAGGTCTAACTGTGTCAGGTTTTTGACGAGGAGATCGTGGCCAGGTGGAGAGAAGAGCTCCTCGCAACTGGCCAAGATGTGACCCCCAAAATGCTAGACTGGATCATCAAAGAGCTGCAGTGGAAAGCCAAGCGCTTCCAGAAGACAGGCATCTTCGATGTCTTTGACGTGGGCGTGGTCAAGTCAGACACCGCCGTGTCAGAGGAACAGAAGCACGCCCTGCAGAAAGCGGTCGCCGTGCTGGAGAACGTCAAAGAGAGAGACTACCACCCCGGATCGGACGACAAGGTCATCGACCTCGTGCACCCGTCCCTCTTCCCAGTCGTCTACGGACGCACAAGAGTTCTCCCGGATCGGCTCATCGGGCTAGACGATTGTCTCCAGAGCATCGGTCAAGGAGAGACACTCAAAGTGCCATCAGACGAGGAAGTTGAGCCTGCTGTCCCGGGCGACTCATGGCTTTCAGGCTACGGGCGGAACCAACTCCGAGGCCTGAAGCCCTACAGCCAAAAGTTCCAGTGGCTGCCGTGCGATGTCAAGTTCACCGACGACGGATGCCACATCGCGTCGTACATCAACAACCTGCACCCGTCGAAGCACCGACCGCTCTACGACGTGATCGAGAAGATCCTGGCGCAGACGATCCCACTCTGGGATCAAACATTGACTGGTTCCTGGAACAGGGCCAGTGACAGGATCGTGTACAAAGAGGTCGAGTACCTTGAGCATACGGTCCCCGAGCCAACCGTTGCGGAAGGGGAAGAGGAAGATGACGAGTTCTATGAGCGCCATGACGAGTGGGAAGACACCCGTCCGGTCAAGAAGCCGGAACCTGGGGACTTCCATCCACCCGTAGTGGAGTATGGATGGGAGCCGATTGTTCTCCGCGAGCAGTTCCGTGACGAGGGGCTGCAGGTAATTGTGAAGCTGGCCAACATCGAGCTGACCCCCGAGAAGCCCGAGTACGAGGGGGGTTCGTGGCATATCGAGGGGCAATTGGTACGTGAGGCGACAATATCGTATATCTGAGCTCTTGTTAACGATCTCTAGAATGAACGCATCTGCGCCACGGCTATCTACTACTATGACAGCGAGAACATAACAGAAAGCACCCTCGCTTTCCGCCAACGGATCGACTCCGAGACGCTGGAGGATGTCAGTTACGAGCAGAACCGGCATTCCTTTGCCAACGAGGTCTTTGGCTTCGCAGGGGACACCTTCAACAACACCAACATCACGCAGGAGCTAGGGAGCGTCGTATGCCGCGAGGGTCGGCTACTTACATTCCCCAATATCCTGCAGCACCGGGTCGCGCCGTTTGCCCTGGCAGACCGCACCAAGCCGGGCCACCGCAAGATCCTGGCGTTTTTCCTAATCGATCCTCACCTGCGGATCATCTCCTCGGCCAATGTGCCTCCCCAGCAGGAGGAATGGGCCAAGGAGACTCAGACAACGATTGCACATGTATTGGACAGGAAACTTCCGGCCGAGCTGAGGGAGATGGTCAAAGAGAACATTCCTAATGCCTACATGACTTTCGAGGAGGCCAAGCAATACCGGCTGGAATTGATGGAGGAGAGGAGCGCGCGCAGCGAAAGACAGAATGCGCAGTTCGAGGAGGGCATGATCTCCCTTTGCGAGCATTGAGCTCGACCATCTGAGTCTTGACATCGTACAGTGGAATTTTATACAGTAAGGAGGTAGCTCATGTAATGCAATGTTCATTCCATGAAGGCTCGGTGGAGTGTATAGAGGGATGGCTTGCAACCAGTGTCCAGCCGGGCTGGGGTACCGCGCCAAACTATGCTCACCCATTCTATAAGTACGAAACAGGATAGCCAACATCCCCGGAAGCTAGACGGTCCTGTCAGGTGTTTTCATCGCTCGGAGAATTTCTGGGGAACCCAATTATGCCATAAGAATGGACTGAGCGCCATGTAGATCGTTCGAGATCCCCCCTTGACTGCAAATATACCATCGAATTGTTGGGCAAAGGGTATCCTGCCATGTTTACGACTACACATTCCGAAGGCGCATAGTTAATACCTCGCTATTTACGAGGTTAGCAACGACGTTGCGCCATTGCGAAGGCTACCAGCCAACCATCCGCCGGGGGAGATTTTATCCCTGTCTACGCTCGAGATGTAGGACTTACCCCACAGCAAGGGGAAGCAGAATGCCCACGCGAAGCATTCAGTGTCACCCCTTGCTACGCACGTCTGTACAGCAATCTCATAGTTGGATCATATTGCGTGTTGTAGGCGCGCGCAGGAGAGGCAAAGACATAAATACCACCTCTAGCCCCGTCCAGATCGTCGACTCGCAAGTCAAAACCAAACAATCCATCTCCAATCACCGACTATCTCACCTCAAAAGTCCCCGAAACAAGACATCCACGATGAAGATCCCCGTCGTCGTTGCCGCCTTCCTCGCCTCCGTGGCCGTCGCTACGCCCGCGGTAAGTCTCGACACGGCCCGAGTTACTTCAACAATGCCCTAACTCTCCGTCTTTAGGTCCAGGTCCGCGACAGGATGAAGGCTGGAGCTGGCGTCAAGCGCAACCCCCAGTTCCCTGGACCCGTTTTCGGGGCGCCTGCCGTAGGACCTATTCGGGTCCCTGGCGGGGGCCACGGGTTCTTCCCCGGTAAAGAGCATGAAGGTCACGATGGACACGACGGCCATGATGGTCACGACGGCCATGATGGACACGACGGCCACGACGGCCATGATGGACACGATGGCCATGACGGTCACGACGGTCACGACGGTCACGACGGCCACGATGGACACGATGGTCACGACGGCCATGACGGTCACGACGGCCATGATGGTCACGACGGCCATGACGGACACGATGGCCACGACGGCCACGAAGGCCATGGCCATGGAGGTCACAAAGGCCATGGGGGCCATGAAGGCTATGAGGGCCATGACGGCCATGAAGGCTATGAGGGCCATGGCGGCCATGACGGCTATGAGGGCCATGACGGCTATGAGGGCCATGACGGCCATGACGGCTATGAGGGCCACTATGGAAAGAGATATTATCCTGAAGAGGACCAGGACGACTACCGTGAGAAGGAACACGAAAAGCACCATGAAGGACACCCGGAATACTATGAAAAGGGACACGAAGGTCATGAGGGACATGAGGGTTATGAGGGTTATGAGGGATATGAGGGATATGAGGGCCATGAGGGCCATGAGGGACATGAGGGACATGAGGGCCATGAAAGCCACCATGGAAACTGATCTTTGGGTTTCCATGAAGACGACCCTGACGAACACCTAGACAAGGGATCCGGATTTGGCCTTGAATAGCCGGAAGTGTTTTGAAAGGGAGACTAAGGTTACCTGTGGAGGGAATAATTGAGAGTAGCCAGTAGCCATCTTATGGTCTGCAATATAATAATAGGGGTAATGAAATGAGAGTTCTTTACTTCGAGTCTTTGTAGCATTGCAGGTATCTACACAACATGCAGAGCTGTCTGCTTACTGCGTATCAGCTGGTTCTATCGTCTGTAAAACGTGACTATGTGCGAGTGATGGTGATATGAAATGGAATCTGTATTGTCTCATTGGAAGGGGAGACCTACAGGTAGGTATGAAGTAGGCAGGCCGAAAATATATACGGATCGGATAGATGTACAGTAAGACCTGCCTATAAGCAACCGCCTATATATGGAATCCCGCGATATTAGCAACAAAAATCCGCGTCTTCACTGATTTCCTATATAAACAAGCAATAAATCTAGATAGTTACAAGGTCGTTGCTTGGAAAAGACCCCTCTCCCATACGACGTGATTCATAGGAAATAGCTTAATTAGAAAATATACCTAGGTAGGTCTAAATAACCAATAATCTGCCTTAAAATAATATTTCATTACGGAGTATATAATAATTATGTCTGGTAGAGGTAGTAGAAATATATATCTTAGGGGGTCATCCCCCTAGTAAACCAACCCAGATAAAATGCAGCATTCTTGTTACAACATGTGTGATTTATCATACTGTAGTCGAGCTCCATACAAATCCCATTCGGAATAACTTCGTTGACACTGTAGCACTCCGTACCTCACAGGTCGCCGGCGATATTACTACTGACGACCCTTCGGAGCTGGATATACCGATCCCCGACGGAAAAACTCCGTCGGCACAATCCCCACCGAGCAGATATCACCGAATCCACGACGCCACCGTTATGGGTCGATGGGATGCAAAAGCAAATGCAAAAAAGAATGCATCATCCGTGAATCGAACACGGGCCTCATCGATGGCAACGATGAATTCTACCACTAGACCAATGATGCTTCGTTGAGGGATTCGGTCCTAGCTGGGTATAAGTCCTGGCGGCATAATAGCCACATTCAGACATCCATTCGAGCAACACCTAGTATCCATCTCTCCTACCCCCCTCGCCAGCCCCCTTCGCAGCCTCCAACTGCCGCATCATTCCGGCCTCCAGGCCCCCCAGATCCGTAACAACCGAGACCATGTCGAACCCTTGTTCCGCGCGCATCTTTGCCTGCGCGCCGTCGGTGCCTGCGTCATTAGCCACACTCCAACACAGCACAACTCAAACAAGGGGAACATACAGAAGATAGCGGCGGTCTTGCCAGCCGCCTTGGTAGCCTTCAGAATCCGCTGAATAGCCGCCTCGTGCTCGTCGCCACCGCGGACGACGCCCATCTGCTTGGCCAGATCGAACGGGCCTGCATAGCGTCAGTCCTCCGTATATATATATAAGGTATCACTTTGTGCACGAGAGGCGCCTCGTGCATATCGCCCCTTAGGGACAAACTCACCAATGAGCAACACATCCAGACCCTCCACCTTGGCAATCTCCTCGACATTATCCACTCCCGACCGCGACTCAATCTGCACCATCACCAGCAACTCCTTGTCGGCGTTGTTGTCGTACTGGGCTCCCGGCGTGACCTTGGGCAGCGCGTGCGCCGCATACATGGGCCCGTAGCCGCGGCTGCCGAGGGGAGGGTACTTGCAGAAGCGGACGATTTTGCGGGCGTCCTCCTGAGACAGTGTTAACATGAGTTCTAGTCTCTGTGGGGGTTGAGGGTTGTTCCCCGATGGAAACCTACGGCGGAATGACACATAGGCGTCAGGATGCCGTGGGCGCCCGAGTCCAGGGCCCGCTTGATCATCCATTCCTCCGGCCAGGGGACGCGAATGATTGGACTGGCGCCTTCGGAGCCGATTGCTGTCGCGAGCTGGACTTTGTCAGTCAATTGTTCGTGAGATGGGGTTTGGAGAAGTCTACGTCGTAGTATTCGCGGTCCGTGATCAGACCGTGCTCTGCGTCCACGAGAACCCAGCTGAAGCCGCCAACGGAGGAGGTGGCTGCACCTCGCAGAATCACACGAGCAGCTGGGGCGCTGGGGAGTCTGGAGCGCCGGGGGTGTCAGTGGATGGGTGTAATGGGGTGTAGAACGGGTACTGACGTGAGCCAGAAGCCATAGGCCTTGGATTGGTTCTGCAGGGCGGCGCGGAGAGGGAGTTGGAGAGACATGATGGTATCTAGAGTGAATGATTGAAGTGATATGGATTCGTGGGGGATGGGAGAGCGGGCATCTTAAGGGACACTCTCGCGGGGAATTATCCGAGGTGGGGGGTATGCGGAGTTGGTCCGACATCCACTTCACCTGCCAACGTATATACATGCTCTGAGTAGTCGACGTGTGTATTATAAGCTACTCTAACAGATTCCAGGCCTCAATGTACATATACCTGCTCTGCTGCACACCTCATTATCGAGCAGGTCCAAGCAACTTGACTAACAACACCGTCATCATTTCACCGGGTCCATCTCCACCAACCGCACAAAACTATCCGTATCCCCGTGCTGCGGCCTCGTCCCGTAATCCACAGAATGCGCCACGGTCTTGACAATGCCGCTCTTCGGCGCCCCCGTCGGCCGACTGTTGGCAAACGCGCCCCGTCCAGACGGCGTGGTCGGCTGCGGGTACGACGTCCCGGCTGAGCCGCCGATGATACCGGGGAAGAGGTGGACTAGCATGGCACGCGTGGTGGGCAGACAGGCGCAGAGGACGGCGATCTGGACCTCGATGACGGACCAGTGGACGATCGGTTGGAGCTCGACTGTTCCATTTCTTAGCCGGTGGGAGAGAGATGGAGGACGGAGTACGTACCTGTGGGATTACTTCCCCAGCGGTTGAACCAAAACACCACCACACGGAGGATAGCAACAAGGGTGAGACTGTCATCTGCATCAGCAACCATTCTCATCGACCCTCGCGGGATATAGACGCACACAAGACCCATAGCAAACATGACACCAACCCCGGCCTTCTTCCGCGCGCTCAAATTCAGCTTCAGAATCTCATAGATCGGCATCAACACCATGACGGTGTCGACGCCGATGTTGACGAACGCGTTGGCAAAGGTCGCCGTCATAAAGTCGATGCACTTGCCGGGCTCCTCGCCCGCCCAGCCGGTCCACGCGAGCCGCGGCGGCATGCAGCGCAGCGCGTCGGTGAGGATCCAGGTCACGGCGATGGCGGCGTTCAGGCCGATGATGATGAAGGTGGTGACGCGGAAGAGGCGCGACTGGAAGATGCGGAGCAGGAAGAGACAGACGGAGATTTTGGCGAGGGAGATTTGCGCTTTGTACAGGAGGACGAAGCCGTAGAAGCGCTGGGATCTTTAGCGTCGTTGGGAAACGAATGGAGCACAGGCAGACGCACCTTGTAGAGGGCCGTGATGTTGTCCATCGGGACAATGTCCCACATGTTGCTGCCGAAGCCGAAGTGGATCACTGGACGGTCAGTCTGTGTGTGTTTGTGGGAAGGTGATGGAGTGTGGTCTTACTAGAGGCGTTCAGAGCGAACAGCACGATCGCCAGGATCTATACTGGTTAGTTGCCTGCTGCACGGGCACTGGTAGCCAGACTCACCTCTGCTACGATAATGGTATAGTCGTCCGGTCCCCATCCGCCACCTAGCCCTATGCTCTTGGCCACCATGCGGTTCGAGAACAGCAGCGTCGCCAGAATCAGCGGCACAAGCGTCGCCGCCTCGACTTCGGGATGGCCCTTGTGATACGGCACATTGCACGCACGGGAGCTGGCACGTTTCGCCACTGGTGTCTATCAGCCAGGGCCGGAGCAGCGCGGAACAGATCAGACATACCCAAAGCTTCTCTTCCCGTGCAGCCAGCCGTCACGCAGTTCGTGATGGCCGTCTGGACAGTATCATTGGAACAGAGACACGACTTCTGCGAGGAAGCGCACGCGGCCGAATGCTGCGCCAGGACCTGCTTCTGACAGACAGCCTGCTCCAGTTAGCACGACCACCCCTTCGCCATCACCAACAGACAACCTACCGCACACTGAGGCAGCGCTGGATGTGTAGAATCGGAGTTTGAATCGGCACCGACGACACCCACTGCCAACCCCAGGATTCCCAATACCGCAACCCGGTGGAGCAACATTATATTGACAATGTAGAGAGGGTCGACAAAGCAGCGGAATGAAGTCGCGGAACTCGGAATCAGACCAGTTCCCCGTCCTCTCCAGATCCCGACCCAGGGACAGCTGTCAAATATGGCGGAAAGGGAGTCCGTGTCTCGGGTGGTGAATTTTTTCCCTCTCGCCATTTGTTGGCCCACCACCGCCGGACGTCTATCCAGTTGTAGAAGCGCCCATACTTCGGCAATCTTCCGCATCCACAGACCAGGCTGCTTATGCCAGTTGCATACAGCGATCGCCGTTTAAGGCTGCGCCTGATGAGATGATTCGCTTGGGCTGGTGGCGAGTGGATGGCCAAAACGGATCCGCTGTCACGAAGTACCCGCTTTTAATCTGTTTATTTCTCTTATAACCCCGTGTTGCCCCTGGGCCAGGGGTCAACTTGGCAGACAGCCGTAAACTGAGACCAGAATCCGGGAATTCGGGGGACTAGAATTTGCCTAGTAGGTGGTCGTTGACTTGGCGAAATTGGTTGTGGGACGAGCGTGTGTTGCTGGACTGGAGCCGAGGCCCATAACGGCATCCGAATTTGCTAATTGAGCACGCTTGATCGACACGATCTTCTCTCGGCATGCCCTCCCGCGTCCTTCAGGGTGCATTGAACGTGCCGATGGACGGTCAAGGCACGGGCATGTCCTGTGGGTATTATTAGCAGTACGATTGGCCCCATAAGGGTCTGTCTGGCATATGCGTCGAGATATAGGGGGTACCGTGCATGACAGGTGAAATGGATTAGAAGGGCCTACTGAAGAATGCAATGGATGGCATAGTATATCATTCAGGATGAAAAGAGCTGAAGAGCTGTGAACCTCTGCGTGGATCGCTATTATTATTCACTAGAGAAGTGACTAAAGACGCCTCCGTAAGTATTGACCTGCCAAGACCCCCTTTAGCGGTGGGTTCAGTCGTCGGCTGTGGCCGCTTAGGGTATTCTACGGAGTGCTCGGTAAGCAAGCCGGCCACAGCCGAGCACTAAATGAAAGGAAAGATGGAATGTATAAATCAAGTACTCTAGGTACGATGTATGTCCAGTCCTAAGTATCTCTAGCTAGAGTGCTCACCACGATCCACTAGACGTTGCTATGCTGGGTGTGGTATAGCTCGTAAGTGGTGCTTTCGCTGGAAAACCCCTTGTCGAGCAGTTCCTTGCTCGACTGCGCGGTTTCCTGGCGATGCAGACGGTCTTTAAACCGCCGCTGAGCCACGTTGAACAGCGGTCGAAGGTGTGCGAGACATGCGGCTGTGATGCCGGTCGCCGCCTGGATGCACGTCCAGACCACCATGGGGATTTGGTTATCTGCGTCTGTTAGATATACACCGTCGGGACAGGCATGGGGCTTGGCTTACAGGTGATATCTGGGCCAGCTTTGGTGAGTTTGATCATTTCCACCAGGCGGACAATATCAAAGACCCAAGACCTGGAACGTCAGTCAAAGCCGAGATCAAAGAGCAAAGCGTACTCACAGCCCACCGACGATAAACACCACGGACAGCAGCAGCCGCTGGTTCGTCGAGATCGGCAGAGCCCAGACCGTCTTCATCGGCATGGCGAGGACGATCAAGTCTGTGATGATGTTCGGGATCTGCATGCCGTAGTAGAAGGGCACTGGATCCATGCACGCGCCCTCGACGCTGCGGTCCCAGAACTTCCGGACGGGGATGCACTGCAGGGCTCCCACGATCCAGATGGCCAGCATCCAGAGGATAATGATGCCGGAGACGACATTGACGGCGATGACCATGCGTTTCGTGGAGAAGAGCCGCTTGTACAATGCGAGGATGGACAACTTGATGAAGGCGACGCAGCTCGTGTAGACGAAGGAATTGGACCATCCGATCTAACGGTGTCAGAATGCAATGTCGATATAGGAAAGCAGGTCAAACCTTGAAATAGACCTCCAGCTTCTCCTTGGGAATCATTGTGATGTGAGACCCCAGACCGTTGAACAGCACTGCACCAGTCAGCCACATCATCCTTCACTGCACGAGTTCTCACGCACGTATGACAACTCCGATTGAACAGCCATATTTGAACAGCTGCATCCGTATTAGCAACGACCTCTCCCACACCGTGACATCGCCTACCAAAGCAACGAGAATCAGATAGTCATCCAGGAAGAGCCCGGTCCCATTCAGCCGTCTAGCAAGAAGACGCACCCCAACAGCCGCAGTCGACAGAATAAAAGCGAAATACAGCGCGACAATAATCGACCGACGAAGACTCTCGTTCGGATGCTCGAAATCGCCCGGAACCCCGGCGCGTGCGATCTGGTCTGCAGACATAACGGCTCCCAAATCCGCTGCAGAAGCACGGAGCGTGGCGGCAGGAATTTGGAATGCAAAACTCTGGAAGTGCTGCAGCGCAGGAATAAATATTTCCAGATACACTGGACGCACCCCCTTTCGGTGTGTCAAATCCCCCCTCGTCGAGGGACGCTCTGCCTGTATGCATCACATTTCGGGGCTGGCCGGCGATGAGCATATCCAAAACGGAACGAAGGGGGTGAAGCCGGCGACCAGTGCTCCATGTGTTTGGCATTTACTGGTTTGATTGAGCTACGGGCAGTGCGTCGCAGATCATGTTGCCGAGGTGGAAGAAGAAACTATATCGGAAGTTCCTTGTCGACTACCGTGCAATAGGGCGATGGCAACCACGATAGCTGGCCAGGTATTGGGCAATTTATCGTGTATAGCGTACTGTCCATGCGTCTGTCCCTTGCTTGCGTCTTCGGGCTATTATTTCTGAGAACGTTAATGGAGCAACCGTGCTGATCGGATACATCACTTTCGAATGCGACTAGTGCAGTGCCTTGCAGATTCGGTGACTAAGGAGCTCCAGGAACAATGTCTTTGTATCTATGCTTTTCAAGTTGACTTTCGAGGCCATCGCGTCTGAATCACAAGATATCAAGACTGGTTGCATAGGCGACGACGTATCGAATCCAGAGAGTGATCTTCGACACATAGTGTAGGAGCCAGGACAGAATCTGATAGCCTAGAATAGCAAAATGATACGCCATCTGCGACAGGTCTACTCCACGAACGCTCGATCGCTTATGCACGACTTAATCTCCCGATCTGATCGTCCAATGGTGCTTCTATATAGTGCACTGTGGAGGTATCCGTAGACTGAGGATCACATAACGTTGCCACATGTGTCCACATGGCTTGTTCTATACCTGGTAGGAGTCTTACTAGGCGCCATGGAGTCATCTGAGCAGATACACTTATATTGTGAGTTCTTCAGAGAAACACCGAAGTTTATAAGACGTGTGACTTTGAGCGAGGTAAGGGTGCTCTATAGTACTGAAGACTATATACTGTCAATTCGACAACGCTATAATTACTATTGTCTATAATACGGCCCAGAACTACAAAGACAACTGCGTGCATATCAGCCCCTATTCATCCAGACTCTCCATCCACCATACACAGTCTAGTTCAAACCCTTCAGAATCTTGGGAATAAGCAGCTCATCATACTCCCACAGCGTCGTCTGGAAGTTCACCGAAAACGCGCCCCCAGTCCACCACGTCGAACGACCACCCTGCAGCGCCGTCAGATTCTGGAAGAATCCATTCTTAACATCAGCGACCGAGACGCGCGCGTGCATCGGCCCGTGGACAGAAAAGTCCACCCAGCTGACCGGCTCAGTCTTGTTGCTGGCACCCTCCAGCCTGCCCGCCCGGAGCAGCGTGTCGAAGTTATTCTGCACCAGCTGCTTCGCGCCACGCGCATCGAGCGTCCCATCGCCGACGATCGTCACGCGGAACAGATTGTCACCACCAATGTAGTCGATGCGGGCATTGAACGGCGTCTCCGGGAGGACGAGGTAGTTGTCCGGGGCGGCAGCCGCAGGGAGGTTAAAGTACGACATGTTGGTCGCGAAAGCGGCGTTGTTCACCAGCCCGGTGTACTCGTGCGAGTAGGTGAACTTAGACAGCACGGCGTGCTCGTTGCGGTCGAGGTCGAACGGCGCCATGTTGGCGTCGGTGGGCTCGATGGCGAGCAGCAGGCGGCGCGCGTGGATCTGCGTGACCTTGCCCGTCTTTGCGTTCTTCACCGTGAGGGACACACCGGTGGTGCTGCGGCGGCTTTGCACCACCGTGCTGGAGTACAGCACGTCGGCGCCGAGGCGCTTCGCGATGGCATCGTAGAGGTCCTGGTTGCGGCCGGACGCGGGGATGACCTGGTTCTCCGTGCCGACGAAGGCGCGCGCCATGGACGCGCCGAAGCCCTGCAGCACGAACATCGTCGTCTCGCGTGTCATGTTTCCCAGGCCCAGGCCGGTGGACTGCCAAATCAGCGGGATGGCGGCCTCCAGGCCGTGCTTGGTGATGAAGTCGCCGAAGGGGATGAGGAGGTCCGCCGGGATGGCGTCCGGGTGCGGGAAGTTGTCGTATCCGGGCTGCATGAGGTGCTCCCACGGCTCGACGATCTCGAGGAATTTGGCCATCGCCGCCATCTGGTCGGCCATCGGGGGTAGCTCGAAGTCAACGAGCGCCCCGGTCTTGAAGTCGATGTATTCCGTCGTGACGGCGACGTTGGTTGGGGTCTTGAGCGGAATGCCGAAGCGCTCGAAGAAGCCTGTGGCATTTCCGGTGTCCAGGAAAGTCTTGACGCCGTAGTCGTAAGGAATGCCCGTCTTGGGATCGACGTATGAGTCCACCATGCCACCCTGGGATGATGGCGTTAGCTGTGCTTGTTGCGGGGAAGGAAGGGGTACCTACCAGGATATCTTGTTTCTCGATCAGAGCGATGCTCTTACCAAAGTCGTCGCGAATGCGAACGGCAGCATAGGCACCAGAAGCGCCGCCTCCGACAATTACGACGTCTTTGTAGAGCTCGTGAGCGGCCGAGCTGGCCGAGACCGCCGCTGCAAGGCCGAGGAGGGTCGTAAAGGACCGCATATTTGGATTCTATCTTCCTGGACTCAATTGACAGAGAGTAGACTTTTCTCAGTTGCTGCCGGCATCGTCGGATCGTACGGATCAATGGTCCATTAAATAGAGGATCAAGACAGCTCCCGATACAAGAGCCGGGCCTGAACTAGGCCAAAGTGTGTCTCCATGGGGGATAGCTCCCTGGAGTGGAGGAGAGCGCCATCAGTGCTAAGAACGTCCCACCGGAGAATATGTGGCGGGGTGTTAGTATAAAAGTATGACGCAACGATTGGAGAGGACAAGCGTTCTTGATGAAGCCCAGAGTCCCTAGCTGGTAGTGCGACACCGGCGCAGTAGGCTTGCATCTTTAGGGCCTAGTATCCGCAGGGGTCTATCTCAGGCCACGTCTTCTAGCCACACACAATCGAATTCACCCTAAGTTCAAGACACCTAGGGCACGGAGCGGCCATCCGTTGGTGGAGGCTGCCCCGTTAGAATTTGCCCAGGAGCTCGTTATCGGACGGAGAATTCAGCATCCCCGTGGGTTGGTCGGCGTAGGGTATACATATAGTGGAGGTCTACGGAGATGAACGGAACGTATGATTCTTCTCGATATTAAAGACCGTGGGAGCCAAGCTACAGAAGCTGAGGAGGTTTCATAGTTGGGAGATTTGTTCCCTGCTGATGGGAAATGGTCCATTGACCATGTTGAAGACGAAGCCGAACCTGTGTGCTCTACATACTCCGACAGACTGGGGCATGGCTTGGGATTCGAGAAGTACTAGATGTAGAAAAGGGGAAATAAGCTCAGCTACACGAGGAAACAAACACTCGGTTATAAAGACAGCCGTGAATGCCGGTTAAATTGCGTTAAATGGCAGTGAAACTAGCGAGCGGCCCATCGAATCTAAACCGGCTTGTAGCATCCCAAGTAAGACACTATATCGACCAGGATCCGACTCCAGCACGACGACAATGGCGTGCAAAGGATATAAACCTCGATTAGCTCGTGGTCTCGCCTGACATCCCTGTCAGCTCATCTCCGACACGGATAATTCTGTTCATGTGGGAAATCCTTGGGGGTTGCATTGCCTGCACTAGAATCCTGACGGATTTTTATACTCAGACCCAAGAAACTCAAGACAAAAGTTTACTTCCGGCCTGAAAATGCCTTATCTGTATGGATTCTGCCTCTCCAGATGACACGACCACACTGTCGACTGCTCCGGACACCCACCCATTCAATGATCCATGCCCACAACGACAGGCAACGCCTCGGAAGTCGAGAATGACAGTCACTTGGGTATCATTATAGGCGTGCAGACGGCATTGACAGTACTTGCTGTCATTGTCGTCTCCCTGCGTCTATATGTTCGGACTAGGCTGGTCAGGAGTTTTGGGAGGGATGACTGGACGATGGCGATTGCTGGTGTATGACCTGCTTTTCTGAATGACTGATCTCAGCGAAAACTCGACTGACGCAGTGCAGCTTTGCTCTATAGGAGGCTGGATACTATACGTCTACAAGGCATGCCATGGCCTCGGCCGTCATATTCAATTCATCGACTCGATGGATCAGATGAGAATGAACCAAGCAGCGTTCTGGCAAGTCATCATCTGCTCAGCGACGGGGATGGCTTTTCTTAAGACATCCATTGCCTTGAATCTTCTGCGGTTCAGTCCGGCGAGATGGTATGCGGTGTGTCTATGGGCGAGTATAGGTATGCACACAGCCCAGTTGTTCAAAGGAGACATACACTGATGCGGACATAGGATTTGTCGTTGCCTACAATTTCATGGCCGCGATGACTTTTTTTCTGCACTGCAAGCCTATGCAGGCGCATTGGGATACCCGAATCAAAGATGCCAAGTGCTATCCAGTGAATCTGTTTGTCGATTTCGCTCTAATCAACACATGTATGCTCTCAACCAGCGATCGCTGCCTCATGCGGAGCTAACACACATGTTACAGCGTTCAACATCTTCACGGACGTCCTCTTTGCGACGGTCCCAATCCCGATTGTGTGGAACCTACAAATGAAGCGGCGTGTCCGCTTCTACCTCATCGGCGTCTTCAGTCTCGGTTATATGTTCGCATCCCTCCTCATATCGCGTTGACACAGACTTGCTGATGCTCAATAGTGCGGTGGGCATGGGCGTTGTGAAGGCGGTCTATCAGATCGCATATGCTACAGACCTTGATTCATTCTTGTATGTCCCAGTGCCAGTTCCCACCTTTCCATCAAAGCGCACACTAACACTCCTTCTAGCAATGATTCTATAATGTTCTGGGCACTGTACGTCCTCCACAGCCTTACGTCTTTAAAGCCATGCTAATCTGTGCGCAAAGTGTTCAGTTCAACATCGGAATCCTCGCCGCCTGCGTCCCGTCCCTAAAGCCCCTCGTCAGCAAGGCCCTTAAACTGTCCGAATACACAAACTCCCGTTCCCGCTCGCGGGGCGTCTACGGAAGCAGTGCGGGAGGTGCGTTCGCAACCAGCAGAAACAGCCGGCGCGTCTGGTCCATGCAAAGGAGGGACCAATACGCCCTGGAAGAGCTGCAGAGCAGCGATGCGTCGGGGCACAGGGATTCCGACGACGTTCAATTAACCGGAGCCTCGCGTGGGCCTGGGCCGAGCTATACAACGCAGGTAGATGCGGGTGCGGTGTCCGAGGAGGATGGGAGACACTCGCCAGGACGCCATGTCGAGAATGGGATTTTGAAAACGACACAATGTACGGTCGTGAGTATGCGAGCGGCTGACTAGATAGTTAATAGAGGCCCATAGGAATGGTTCCTAGAGTAATAGCAGATATCTTGGATGTTTCTCTTGATGCATCGGAGAGAGACCGCCCTACATGCTAGTCTCGACGCACCAAGACAACCCGTCGTCGATCTCCACCAATCTTTCACGTAATCGGAATGCATCTATGCGAGACTAAGACCAGACTAGCAGCAACAGAAACGAATGGAATGCTGAGAAATCAGCCCCCGTCAGCACTAAATTGGGCCGCAACTCTCATGGCGTCATGGCTGATTATGAATCCGCGTTTCCATGGCAGCTATATAACTCCATGAGCTATCTCCAACTAGTACACTGGAACAAATCATTGATCGCTCTAACTACGACTCACGACTACAAGAATGACGCTGAAATACCTCATTGCCGGCGCCACGGGCGGCCTTGGCGCGGAGGTGCTCAACTACTTTGTTAAGAACGTCCCTGCTGCCGAATACGCAGCGGGCTCGTCGCGAGAGTCGACACGGACAGATTTCGAATCGCGCGGTATTGCTTTCAGACATGTCAGCTACGATGACCCGGCGACGCTAGAGAAGGCGTTTGCCGATGTCGAGAATGTGCTGTTCGTCAGTACGCCCACCTTTGACGTGGAGCGGCGTAATATACAGCACAAGAATGTCATCAACGCGGCGAAAAAGATGAATGTTAAACATGTACGTTTGCTTGTACATCTGCGTCTAGGGGAGTGAGCTAACGGGTCCTAGGTGTGGTATACATCGCTTGCGTTTGGGGGTTTGAAGAGCGACTCGAAAGCCCTGGTACAACAGTCCCACTATGCAACAGAGCAATGGCTGAAAGAGTGAGAAACCAGCCTTAAATTCTACAATAAGGACTTCCGCTAATCATTCAGGTCTGGAATAAACTTCACCTCCATCCGCGAAGCCGTCTACGTCGACGCCTTCCCCCTATTCATCAACTGGTACCCCGAGAGCAAGCGGATTGCACTCCCCACCGACGGCCGCGTGTCACTCGCATTGCGCAGCGAGCTAGGCGAGGCGACAGCACGCCTCATGATCCAGGGCGGGCATGATCGCGAAATTGTCCTCCTCACACCGAACGAGTCTATCACGTACTCGGAGCTCGTGTCTGTCATCAACGAGACGACAGGTCGGCAGGTCAAGTTTGAGGTCGTCTCGGGCGAAGAGTTCGTGCAATGGGCGGCGGAGAAAGACCCAGGAGGCAAGGATGAGGCTTTCTTCCGCATGGTGCTGACTTGGCACGAGTCTATCGCGAAGGGGGATCTTGCGACGACGGATCCGTTGATGGGAGAGGTGTTGGGGAGGGAGGCCACGACGCCGAAGGATGCGGTGCGAAAGTTGCTATTGGAGAACCCGGATTATACCTGGCATCAGAACTACCCAAAACGGAAGTAGATAACTAGGAGCAGCACGCTAATATAATGCAATGAAATAAGCTATACTACTTAATCTGTCTCATGGTCCTGAATGAACGAATGGACCCCAAAGCATGGGATGCACCCCGCGACGTCTCATCTCCCCGATCGCCTCATGGAGTGCAAAGGGTGCCAGAGCAAAGTTTACATCCCGACCAGGCTCCTTCAGCTTTGCGTAGAACAGCCCGGCAAGTTCGGCGGAAACGGAATCGGACACCTTCCACAGTGTCGATATAACATGCGGTACTCCGGCGATATGGAACCCACCGGCAATGTGGATGCCCTCGTCACGGAGTCCCAGATCTTTGCTTGCTCCGGATTCGCAGGCCGACAAGTAGACGAGATTGCAGTTCTGTAGACTGAGTTTGAGAAGCGCTCGCACCGACAGCGGGGATGGCTTGGTAGGTGTTTCCTGGAGCATGATGACGCTCTGGGAAGGGTCTTTGCGATTAGCGCGAGCATGGCAGGCGAAGTGAGCTATTGTTGAACTCGACAGCTGCTGTATGACAGAGGCGGCGTTGGGTTGGTCCAACCGTTTGATGTGGAACGAAGGCGTGAGAGCCTCGTCGATCGCACGAATTTCTGGCTCGACGTCCAAATCCCCGTCCGGACCTAAACCTGGAGTTGTCGCCATGGCCGCAATGAGTGCCTCCAAGTTGGAATTTGGCTGTGTTCCCAATCGACGAGCGCTCTGTCGGGTAAAGTCCAGCGCCTTCAGAGAATTCGTGTACGAGGACACGGCCATGTCATGCACCGACATTGGCTCGCTGCCGTCAGAGGGAGTCTCGAAGTCTCCAGCAGCATGAATAGGTAGAACGCTGATCCATCCGGTCGAGACCCAGATGACTCGTGGCTTTCCAAATGGCCCACGCTCATATTTGCTCCAATCGATGCTGTCCATGACCGGCTTTGCGGCAGCGTACCAAAGCCACTTCATGACCGCCTGATACTCGGAGAGACATTTCGCTTGCTCTTCTCCCTTGGAAAAATCATGCTGTGCCATCATTAATCGCGCAGTGTACACCTTGACCTCCTCCATGTCAAAGGAAGGAAGCGGCAGATGGTAAACACCGTCTTTGGCTATCACCAATGCGTCACTTCGGTATGCGCTGCAATTGATAAAAACAATAGGAGCCTCCGCAGCGTACGTCTGAAGGTCCGGGGTAGTGTCTGGGGTCTTGAGAAACGATCCGAACTGCGGCAAAGCCCTGATCTGTTCGAGGACCTGGCGATACGCGTCCGAGTCGCGCTGCCGCTGCAGCCGATTCGCATCATCCGGAGAAATGGACGTCAAGTCGACTCCCCCAAGTTGCCGAGCAGACGAGCCTTGTTGGCTTAGTCGCTGTTGCAGAGTGCGGAACCTTCCAGCAAGTTCAGGGTTTGCGGCCTCAAGCTCGTCAAGCTGGGTAGGCCGTCCTTCAATGCGGTCCCAGATGAAAGCCCGTCCGGCTTCCAGCCGATCTATCACGATGTTTGGAGGATCTCCTGCACCGAGTGACAAAGCAGCGACGCTGCTGGGGACATACTGGTATTCCCGCACGAACTTCAACTGCTCCAACCTGTTGGTGTGCATGAGGATAGCTTCCGGGAGAAGCTCGAGGCTCATAAGAATGTAGTCGCGGGCTTTAGCGGGGTCTTGGAGCATGTCGTTGTAAAGTTTGGCGATGAGGGACGCGACGGTGATGCGAATGGCCGGCGACAGCGCCTTTACCTGCACAGTCTGTGTGTATGTATCAAGGGCTTTGAGACCATGGCTTTTGGCATCAGGGCCCAAGTTGCGCTCGTACATAGTGTAGAACAGCTCGGCTTGGGTCGAGATGCAATCCCAGTAATGCGGGTCGTCTCTACTCAGGACTTGCTGAGCTTCGTCGAATGCTCGTGCACTTGATTCAAAGTCTACCAGATTTCCGGTGGCCTGTGCGATCTTCTTGAGAGCGATAGCCTTGTTGGTCATGGCCATTCCACGAGATGCCGATGAGGCCGCGCCGCCGACCGCTATAGCCTTGTTATAGTAGTCGATCGCGTTTTCCAGGTCCGACAGTTGCTCAGTAGCCTTGAACGAAGTCAGATAGGCGTTGCCAACATGGGTGGCGAGTCCAGTTTTCAGGTCGTCGCTGAGTGAGACCGGTCCTTCAAGTGCTGTGATGAGCATCCTCTGTGTTTCCTTAAGGTCTTCGAGCTGTCGATTGATATCGAAACGAAGCTGCAGGGCGTAGCTGAGATTACCAACCCGTATAGCATATCGCGGATGGTGTTCGTCCATATGCAGCAGGCTTCGCCGATAGTATTTGATGGCCGATTCGATGTCGGCATCGGACCTCCAGTGGATGAATCTTTGGATCATCACGTACCCAAGTGCTGCATTCAGCATCAGGATATCAGCATGTTCGTAGCCCTTGTGAACCTGCTGCAGCACCTGCAACGCTTCCTTGTACGTCTCGATGGCTTTCTCGAGATGCTCTGGCACAGCCTCATGGCTGAACAGTCGAGAATACGCATTCCCCAGGTCATTCAGCACCAAGGCTCGAGAGGAAAGATCCTTTTTCATGAGCTGACTCGCTTGCGAAAACGCGACCGCCACCTTTCTTAGTATCTCTGGCAGTTGTGTGGTGTCGTACATTGCCCGAGTCGCTTTGCCCACGACCCATAGACAGTGGCTCTGGCTCTCATGGTCGGTGGGCCGGCATTTGGAGAAAGAACTCATGGCAGCAGAGATACACGCAACCATGTCTTGTGGTTGCCTGAGACGCTCGAATCTCACAACCAGAATCTGGGCGAGGAGGCGATAGTAGTCCCATAGGTTCTCGTTGGCCTGGTCCTGTGTGGCTTGCTGTGCGGATTCTGCGGCTCGGTTGAGGTCGGACAGCTCGCCGGTGAACTCGTACATGCTGTAGTGCATGGAGGCGCAACAGGCATGAGCTGGTCCTGGCGATGTATGTCCAGGTGGTAGCGCCTTGACGGCGTCTTCAGCTAGAGTCACAGCCTGTGTGAGTAGATCCTGGGCAACGATGCGGTCTGAACACCGATCTGCCTTGTTGCGACAGAATTCAGCAAACTTGGTCCTGACGGTGATTGAAGCAGGGGCGCATTCCATCGCTTTACGCCATACTTCGCGCGCCTTTTCCTCCTCCGCTGCGTCGCCAAAGATCTGCGCACCCTTCTCGTGTGCATTGGCGAGCTCGTTCGTAAAAAGCTCCCATTCGTGGGTTCCTGGATTCTCGTACGTGAGAGCTTTTTCAAAGAGGGCGATTGACTTGTTGAAGTCTTCCGCGGTCTTCTGTATGGTGAACCGTTCGAGATACGCCCGCGCAGCGTTGCGATGAATCATCCCGTATGGGGCATACGGTTTGGACGAAAGCCCTGGGTGTGCGTCGCAAAAATCAATTGCCTGGTCGTGGCACGATATCGACCCCGTGAGCTGCACAACTCTTTCCTCATCGCTGCCGGACGCCGTGCGGTATAGAAACTCCCCCTTGTTCGAGAGGTGTCTGGCACGCGTTGCCGACTCTCCAGCCAGCCCGATCGCTCTATCAAAATACCGACAGGCTTGCTCCTTGTCGCTGGCCTGGTTTGTCTCTGAATACCGGTTCAGACATACAACGGCAACATCGCAGGCCCATTCGCTCAGAATAGCATCTGTCTCCTTCCCAGTGTCTGCCGCTACTTTGTAATGCCTGATCGCCTCATTCAGATCAGCGATGTCTTTGGTCTTCTCCCACTTCCGCTGATACAACCGACCCATGTGGTTGTTGGACTTGCCTCGGCCGGGGTGTGCGGCAGGCACGTAGCGCAGAGACATGGCCTCCAAAGCAAAGGCCATGGATAGTTGCTCGTCGTCCTGCGTGGCGATGTATTGGGTGAGAGCCAGGTCGGATTGAATGTGGCACAGGCCGGGCCTGTCAGGGTGGTCTCCAGCATGTTGGACCGCGCATATCAGGGCCTTTGCTTTATGCGGCAGGCTGTCTAGGTAATTGGGATCATCGAAAAACGTGCCCGGCCGGAGATCATCTGTGAGGGGCTTGTCTTTGGCAAACGCATCTTTGGCAGCGTCTATGTAGGCCTGTGGGATTGTGGGTTGAGCAGGTTGAGCAGGTTGAGCAGGTTGAACAGGTTGAACAGGTTGATCAGGTTGAGCAGACTGAGCAGCCTGAGCAGGCTCAGTGGCCATGACTTCAGTGATCGATAGTGAAGTCTGAGAGACGTTTCCTTACCCCACGATGGAATGACATGCACTGGTGAATGCCCTCTTACTATATACCTATCATCATGCCACTTCCGACCCTGGTACCCCGTAAGCCATAAAATAAGCGAACGGTGTCAGCCTGGAAAAGCAATCATCATCCCAGTCAAGCGGCCGTCGCAGCTGAGTGCGGGGCATATCCACCTCGCAATGCTAGTGATATTGGGAATTCCTGACGAGCCCGTTTCCTCCAATCAGTCCGTCGGCGTAGCGAGAATCGCCCCGCGAGGCTGAATATTGGCGCCTCATTCTCTCCAGGTTGCCATCCTGCGGCGTCGCCTGGAATCTGCTTTTGTCTATCAAAACTGACTTCAAATTCGAGGACAGCATACTTGAGCTCTGTAGAGGCCGGTACGTGGATGTATTTCGCTGACTGAAGGCAAGCTTATTGAGCCCAGACTGTCACTTGAAGGATTTAGTCGGTCAACAATTCAAAACCGCCAAGATGTCCAACCTGGGTACCCTCTACCAGCAATCCATGCTGAAACACCCGTATGGTTACGCATTGTACGAGCCAGAGTCGTCACGCCTCCTCCAGCCCGGCTTCTGCGGCTACCTCACAGAGCTGGGGCAGTGGACGCCGCTGGTGGGCGTAGACAATCTGCCAATCAACCTCGGCGACGCATCATCTCTCACGAAGAATGGTCTCACATTCTTTGGACAATTCCACCGCGCGCCGTCTGACAAACGCGCCTGGGGCCCGAAGCTGTGCGGACAAGTCAAGCAACAAAAGATCGACCTGGAAGCGGGCGCGTCCCTCCTTCCGGCCGGCATCCCAGCAGACATCGGCGCTTTGTACCGGTACAGCAGCACCGGTGGGTTCGGGGCAGTCCTCATGACGCAGAGCCCGGTCGTCAAAGAGTTCGTGTACGGTGCGACGGCGTTCCGCCTGTGGTGCAAGGAGAACTCGGCCGCGATCCTCCAGAAATGGCCGGATGTCCGTGAGCGCGGGCTTATCATCGTGACGTCTACCTATACAACGCCTTTTGCAATGATGAATGCCTGGGTGGATAAAGAGAAGGAATTCTCCGTGGGGTTTAGGGCCGGCGTGGTGGAGATCGGGGAAGTCGGGCCCTCGACCACTTGGTATACGTCCAACAGTGAGGGCGGGTGGGTTTCTGCGGCGGCCAGCGGGCCTGATGAGAGGAAGGTTGTCTTCTTTGGCGGGCTTTATTTCAAGTATCGCCGACTGGCGGCTATACTGCCCCAGTCGCATGCTTTCAGTGCGGCTCCTGTCGAAAAGGCCAAGTTCCGCGACGTCGATGACCAGGGGAGGGAGTTCCGGATTGCTGATCAGGACGGCGATGATTTGTATGAGGTGATGGTTACATCGGAGGAATGTGGTGAGATTGCAGAGCTGCCTGGAGAAGCTGCAGAGGATGATGAGGATTTTTAACGTGTAGTTAGGTATGCCTGTTAGATTATACGCTACGCAGCCTGAAATGATATAGATATTTGCATTTGACATGAACGACTTTCCGATGAAATCAACTGTTGAGAGTGCTCATAATCCCGGTTATGGGATCATTCGGCCCTTTTGATCGGGGATTGGAAGATTTCAACGCATCGTCATGGTGAAACCAGACAGTTAATGGCAGCTGTGATGCTCTTCACTCTGCGGCTTATATTGTGACCAGGCTAGTAGCGAAGCACAGATAACTGCGCGCCGTATATTGCTGCCACTGAGCCCTTCACGAGCGATACTCCAGACCAGACTCAGGATCGAAATGGCCAGAAAGACCGGCTGCGCTTGGTGCAAGACTGCTGTCGTGGAGCCCGCAAGGAAGAGCTCGAGGACAGACTATCAACAGTTAAATGATTGTCGACATTCACGAGCTGGAGGCACATACCGGTAGCCAGCAACATGAACAGGACAACAATGCTGATCCTTCGGGGATTATCTCGAAGAGTGCACGATAGGAGCGGCCACTGACTGGCTCCGTAGTCGAAGGGTCCTCGCTAGGAGGTGGACACTTGTGGCATGACATTTTGGGCTGATGGTAATGAGGCACGTTATAACCACCCAGAACGAGGATTTTCAACAGGAATCCCAAGGTGCAACGGTCTGGAATAAGATGATTCTAGCCGGGGATGGTGGATTTGTTTACATTCCTTGACCCTTGCTTCCGTGAACAGGAGCGACATGCCGTTTCGTTTGTGTGCTACAAGACCAATTGTCCGACTATACAGTGCGAAGGTGAGCTCCTCGCATCTCGCATCTTCTCTGTCCAATAGAGCAGCAGATAAAAGGAACATGTATTAGAACGGAGAGTGTCTCTATTATAGTGCGACCATAGTAGTAGTAAGCTTTTCAGCACAGTATATGCTACACCCCAGAGGACTTATCCCTAAAGAACGGCAATATATATCTCTTCTTGCCCCCAACCCCCCCGGGTACCACTGGAAATGACTTCTTCCCATATACAACAGCAATGACCAGAAGAATTGGCAACGAGACCACCCAAAAGACCCAGTCAAACCGACTTCCAGGCAAGAACGTCTCATTCATAGAGAGTATAGCGGCGACCGTCGACAGAGGGATGAACAGGGTGGTCAAAACAGTGATCCTGGCCAAGCTTTTGGCGACTCGATTTGACGATTGAGCCTCTTCAACGGTCACAAACTGGAGGTAGGACTCCAGCAACATGTTCGTCATATTCAAGACCGTAGTACAGCTGTCGTGCACCGCAGTCCATCCGTCCCGTTCCCATGACGGGATTGCGGCGGTTCCACTGATAACATCCGGACTCAACCCCAGTGCGGTCATATTATCCTCGATTTCCTTCAGAAGGACATTCAGGCGAAACTTAACATTGACAATGAACCCGAAAAGTTCGTGCTGCCAGGTGGAAAGTGAACCGTCCATGAAACTTCGCAGGTAATCGCACCGATTGATTGCTTGGGAGTAGGAGAAGCGACTCTGTAGCCCCAGTAGATTTAGGTATCGACGGCGAAGGAACGCGAGAAATATCGATATGACGAGTTGTCTGGCTATGGAGGCGGATTGTTTGGGGTCGTTTGTCACGTCATGTGTACGCAAATTGGATAGAGATAGTATGTCTTCAAACATTGACACATAAGAAGGGCTGGGTGTGGCCCAAGTGGATGTATGGACGTTGGGGTATAATTCGTGGATATCGGGATATAGAGACCCCATTCCAGAGGATTCTGTGTCCGACGATTGAGGTTTGATCCTGACAATCTTGGACGTTTTGGTTGATTTGATAGTGTCGGCCAGTGGTGGGTCGACAAGTAGAACAGCTGCGACAGCGGGTTAGACAAAGGAGAGACAAGTGTGCTAGACCATGACCTTACCATCCCATGACCCATCGTCCCTTGCACCCGTGGCCCAAAATGACAGGGCGTGATAACTTTTGGGGTCGTCTACCAACGGACTCTTCGGATCGTACATGTAAAGGTACCGGTTGACATTCGAGTTCCACGCATATATATTATGATGTTCCGCGGGTTTCTCACAAAGAGAAATATGGTGAGATGTAGGGTATCTGATGATGAACCGGTCGTTACAGAAACGCGTAAATGGACTTCGATAGTTGAAGGTCGGTGTCGCTGGGTCGTACCAGTGAGCGGCGAAGAAGCTCGGGGGAACAGATAGATGACAACCGATCACTTCGATGAAATTCCGGGGTAGATCTTCCAGAACGAACAGTCGGCGTTTTGGAGTTCCTTGTTGCGGTAAATGGTCTGGCGTGAGGTAGCTTTGCAATTCTGTCGAGTCTTGAAAGATATGTGTTTCTGAGCACTCGCTTGCTGAATACTCCAGAACCGCAGCTCTACCCTGTTCTCGCTGTACTGGAGACTGATCTTGGAGGTTTGCAACGAATTGTGGAAAAGCTGACCGTAGTTGACGACTCAGTAGGGAGACATACTCTCCTTTGCAGTCGCTCATGCATTGTGATTTTGTCTCCCCGAGACGGTAGTGTGGTGGTGATGACATTGTACGTTGGCTTTACTTGAGTAGTTCATCCTGGAACAGGACCCAGGGGGGTGTCATAGTACGATATATGTCGTCGAAGGCCGCGCAACCCTTCACTGCTTTCGCCTCAGCCTTGTCCCAGGAATCATGTTCGGACGTAAGCTACCCCAACACAACATCATTTCCGCCACTACTCTCTGTTGAAGACTTTGTTCCGAGGCACGTACTTACGAAAGAACGGGAATGATCTGCGAATGGCGGGGAACGATGTTCAGGTACCTGGTCGTCAACGCATTTAGAGTTGAGCTTGCCAACAAATTGGAGGCGCGCATATTACGTCTCCTGTCAGGCAGCTGTCTGTTGGCCGCCATCTCGGTGGCGAAGCAGAACAAGCACGGAGCCAAGCACAAATCCAGAAAGGTGGCCGGTTAAAGCATGAATCACGCCAACTCCATGCGGAGAGGTTCCCGATGCAATCCCAAGATAACGGATGTCATCCTCCATCGGTGTCGGCATTGACTGGAATAGGGTACATTTCCCGGTCAGACCCTGCAACGGGCAGTGCCCAAGCCATACGTAGTATGTCTGACCCTGAGCCTGCTATCGCACGCGGCTGACGCCAACATTCATTTCTGATGTGGCCAACGAATTGCCACTCAGGGGTCGACGGCAGCTTAGGGGTGGCCACTGTCGAACACGATTCCATATCTTCTTCGCAGGTGGAGAGCATGCAGACCACGGTGAGAGGCAGATTCAAGCTAATGAATAGATAGGAGGCTGCAGGTCAACAAATGGTCTCGATGCATTACGAAGCACAATCACATAGTCAGATTTATGCATCTCGGACAATTATATTGCCGAGAATTATGCAGCTTTCGTGGGACTCATCATCTTGATGATAAACACGTTCTACAGGGGAAATGAGCACAGAGGAAACATCGTGCTTGTCCCCTTCCGAGAGGAAAAGGCTTCGGGACCGCCGCGCACAGCAAAACCTGCGGGACAAGAAACTACGCTATACCACCCAGCTGGAGGACCGAGTGGCCTACTGTGAACAACACCACGGCGATGAAGGAACTCAGCGCCTGTTGCAGCTGATTAAGGGACTGCGGAGTCAGAATGATGCACTCCTCAAGTGGAGAGAGAGATTGCTCTCTTTCGTCAATTCTTCGCCTGTAGATGCACCGGGGATATCCGCTGGGCACACAGCTGCTGGCCAAAGGACTCATCTAGCATCAGACCAATGCCGGATTCCTAACACATCCATGTCTGATGCGTTTTGTGTGCTCCCTGATCGTCTGCCGAACTTGGATCAGCCAGCCACAACATGTCCATCCGTGACCCCGGAGCCTCTTCTACCCAGCGTACACGACGTTTGGAAACGACTACCCTCGCATGAAGATGACTTTTCCGATGCCACCACCGTCTCTTGCCCGTGGTTGCTACACTTGGAACAGATCATCCCGTGCCCCGACATCCCATCTTCGCCCCTGGACATCCTCTATGGCTCTAAGACGAACGCCCTCGCAGACCTCATCAACAAAGCAACCCGCAGACGTCCACTCCGCGACCCCGAGCGTCTTGCGCTCGGCTGGCTGGTCTATCTCCTCACCCGATGGCTCATAGCGCCGAGTCCCACCACATACGATAATCTTCCAGCGTTTTTACGTCCCACAACGGAGCAGCTGGAGATCGTACATCCGATAGCGCTAGATTTCCCTCCGTGGCCAGGGTTCCGGGCAAATTTAGTTCGCCAATGGGATTCGCACCGGGGCTTCCGCGACGACCTCTTCGGAATGCTTGCGTGTTGCTCCAAGGTGCGATGGCCCTGGGGCGAGCCTGTTTTGGAGCGGGATGAAGGAAATGAGCTCCGCATGAAGCCGGACTTTTACAAGACGTTCACGAGTGAAGCGGGCTGGGGGTTGACGCCCGAGTTCATCGCGCGGTATCCGCAGCTCTTGGTTGGGGTAGATGTACATTCTGTCATCCATGAGGTTGCCTGACGCGGTCGATGTTTCCCGGGTCATCTTGGGATATGAGTAGAATTTATCTTCTATGATCTAGTATCTATGATCTATACAATTATGTTGACATTATCGCCTTGCGGTACTTCCTTCCGTGTTGCACCATGTCTCAGTTCTAAACCGCAACAACAGAAAAGTAGCTCACAGACCGCACCGGGTTACAGCTTCACCGGCCATTTTTCGCGAATCACCTTGCCATACCGCGTAAAAAACAACGGGATAGGCACAAACGCCAGCGCCAGAAAGCCGAGCAGTGAATTCCCCCACCCCAGACCAAGGGCATCGAACATAGCCGGACCAGCAAGCGGGAGAAGGGCTCCCACCAGCGATCGCGTGGCTGTCAGCGTCGCATTTGCGGACGCCGCGTGCGCAGAATAGCAATCGATCACATACGCCTGGACAGGCAGATAGACGCCCATCATGCCAATGCCGAACGGCATCATCCCGATAATGGGCACAATCCAGTGCACGTGCTTGTCAGCAGTCCAGCCGTACCAGAAGAAGCTGATCGGGAGGATGCACGAGAAGAAGATCATCAACGGGAGGCGCATCTCCGGCTCGTATTTGCCTTTGCGCTTCGTCAGTTTCACCACGATCCGGTCGTTGGTGGCGGCCACGAGTCCTAGGCCGAATAGGAAACCGATGCCAATGCCTAGATAGGCAAGCCCGGAGAGTCCTGTCGAGAAACCGTACTGTGTCTTGAATACGGTGGGTATGGTGGTGAAGAAGAGATAGAGAAGGCCGTATACAAGCGCCTGAACTCAGGTAGTTAGCGAAAGCAAGGGACACACTCGTTCAAGCAACTCTTACAATATACAGCGAAAGAAGCAGGACAATGGGCGACTTCACGAACAGCAAGACCGGCCTTTTCAGCCCTTGGATCAGAATCTGACTGGTCGACGCGACCTCACTGCCATCGTAGGCACTCCGTAAATCGCTCCTCCCGAGCTCCTTTGCCAGCTTTGCTGTTTTCCGCCGAATAAGCACCGGTGCATACGTCTCCTGGTTGAGAAGCTCTATCCCAAATGCCATGGTTCCACTCGCAATGAGGAGCACCCAGAAGACCCATCTCCAACCGACTTCTTCGCCCAAGAAGCCACCCGCAATAGGTCCGACCACAGGGCCCATCAACGGGCCCATGGCCCAGATAGACGTTGCCATTCCGCGTTTCTCGATTGGCATGAGGTCTGCAATGACCCCGGCTCCCAGGGTTATACAGCCGGATCCTCCGATACCCGCGAAGAACCGACAGATGATGAGCGTTTCGATGTTCTGCGCAAGGGCACATCCAATCTGCCAAACAACCAAGAACCAGTTTGCAGCGCCGAGCACAATTCGGCGGCCGTATATCTCGCTCAACGGGGCGAGGAAGAGGGGTCCGAACTAGACACAGATTGTATTGGTAAGCTTGGTGAACGACGCTTGAGTTCAGGCACTTACGGAATATCCCAAAATATAGATGCTAACTGTGAAAGACAGGATCGTCTCGTTCGTTTCGTTCAGGTCACCAGCCACATAACTCACTGCTGGGGAGAACATGCTCGATGCGAGAGGCGATATAAAGGTGAACGCGCTAATCAGCCCTATAAGTCCCCATTTACGACCAGTCGTAAAGTTCTGCGGGTTGTTCGGGTCATCCTGTCCCTCCCATCCTACCACGCCGCGATCTAGGTCGGTTTCGGGGAAGCGCCGCTGGACCAGGCTTGATGGTGCGGCACTTGCGTGCGTGGGATTCTTCTCTAGATCCGGCTCTGCGGTCCTCTGTTGGTTTTCGTCGGCGGTGGATGACGAGCTGGAGATGGATTTCTCGCGTTCAGGAGTAGCCATGATGGGAAGCGAGGATCTATCTTGAGCGCCGACGAAAATTTGGCTTTGCAAGGGGCGGAATCATAGACGGAATGAGACGATATTGGATAGATTGGAACGATCGGCGCATTTAAGTAAGAGAAGGCAGCTATGGAAACATGGTATCGGAGTTAAGAATTGGGAAGTATGGGTAGTAATGACCACTTATGAAGGAATACACCATTGAGATTGGGTCTAGGTATGCTTGCATGTCTGTTTTACTGCTTAGAAATGCCCTTTATGCATCAACTTCGTGGATACTGCAATGAACGCGTGGCCGTGATCTGAGTCCTGGAAGTTTATACTCCGATACTCTGCATAGTCAATTCTCTGAATGCGAGACTGTGGAACCAGTGTTGATTCAATTCTCCACATTCATAACGTGTCTACCAATTATGTAGCGGATAAGCCACGATGTTGAAGGCACTGAATCAGCGTCCCACAGACGAACGCAATGTCCATAAGAGCATTATCCCAGATTATCCTGCATAAGTGTATTCTGGCCCAATGATTGTTCACATCTATTCACAGTCTTGAATTTGAATCTAACATTCCTGAAGCTTCCACAGGGTTTATATCCTATGAATAAGAAGCTAACGGTTTATTGTTTCATCACTCCACCCATAGTCGACCCAGTCCCTGGAAATGTTCGGCTAAGATACCGATTGATCTGTCATATTATGACTATGGTTGATTGACGTTTTGTATTTGGCTGTACCCGATGTAGCCGGTTATCCCGAACCCTTCCACGTCGAGAACCCAAAGTACAGCTAACAGACATTGCTGCTGTCACTGGCTGCGTCCTCTCCTCTCTACTTTCTCTTATCACATAGTAGTTATTCGGGTAAGGGTTTTTTATTGGAACATATCCGATGCCCATAGCCGCTTCGACGTAACGTGGGACTCCCCACTCCGAGGGTGGAACATCCGATCTATATCATCTGGCCAACACCAAACGTATATCAGAAGAAATGAAGCAACTGAAAGACAACTATCTATAGGCTCAGATTTATTTCAAAATATTCACAACATCATGGGCTCTACTATTGACATCCCACTCCAGCCGTTACCCGTCCCGAGGACAGAAACCGTTGCATCAGGCCTTTCGCTTATCCCACCTCTTTCGCGGCGAGGATCTGGTCCTGGGATGATTGTACTAGTACCTGACGGCACTCCACATGCAATCAATATTGACAAGGGGGCGCCTTCGCCTGCATTGAAATGGGCGGAGGAAAGCTACACTGTCATCGAAATACGGGAATCTGCGCTTGACGAGGGAGATCCTCTAGTCCGTGCAATTGAAGAGCTCAGTAAGTATGAGAAGTGCACGCCAAAAGATGCCGTTGGGCTTGTGGGTTAGTACACCTTGTGTTGTTGCCGCTCTGGACCACGCGGTGCTGATATCTACCGCAGCCTATAGCCCGAAGTTATGGGCCAAAGCTGCATCGTCCAAGGCAATTGGACAGATTACAGCTGCGTCTATATATGCGGCAGTGTCCGAAATTGAATCCATAGCATCCACATCTGTCCCGATCGTTCAGCATCTCGCAGGTGTAGCGCCTCACAAGCTGCAACGCACGTCGGAGCTCTTCCAATACGCCTACGAGGACATGAAGACCCCTAACTTCGCCATACCGAATTCAACCGAATTCCACTATGGAACTGAAGCTGTCTCCCACACCCGAAACTTGACATTTTTGAAGAAACACATGGACGGTCCGTATTTCGATCTGGAGGCCATCTGGGATGAACACACGTATTTCGAATTCGACAATCGGTCTGTCGAGCACACGATGAGCACTATGGTGCAGGAGCCTTATGTGAACCACATTCCGACTGTTAGTATTTTCTTTTCTATCCACGTCATTCAGCATCCACCACTCACTCACTTTTATAGATCACGGGCGGAATAGGACGCGACCGGCTCACAGACTTCTACCGACACCACTTCATCTTTAACAACCCCAAAGACACAAAGATGGAGCTCATCAGCCGGACCGTCGGTATCGACCGCGTCGTTGACGAATTCATCATGACCTTTACCCATGACTCGGAGGTTGACTGGATGTGAGTGTCTACAAATCTCAACCAGCTGGCCGTGTGCTCATTTGTACAGCCTTCCCAAGGTTCCACCGACCGGTCGCAAACTCGAGATTCCGCTTACGGCGGTGGTGAATGTCCGAGGCGACCGGCTATATCACGAGCATATTTCATGGGACCAGGCGACCGTCTTGGTGCAGCTGGGCTTCTTGCCTGAATATCTCCCATATCCGTATCCCTTGCCTGATGGTCGGATTCCTGCGCCGGGGAAGAGATTTGAGGTTTTAGCTCCTACTGTTGGTGTGGATACTGTGAATAAGATGCGGGATAAGAATTCTGTGCCTTCGAATCAGTTGTTTGAGGGGGGTGTTCGGGAAGTATAGGTTTTGTCTGGGGTGGGTGGTGTCTAGATGTGGAATATATACTTCCAAATAGCCACATATTGCAGAAGTCATTATGCATCTCTACAAAGAGACGTTAACGAACATTATGTGACGTTCCTAGTTTGTTTACAGTTGATGGTTAGTAACATTGGATGATGGGCCATCACTGTCTTAGGTAGTTACTCCAGCTGGGTACATGGAAAAAGAGAGGCAGTGTGTAAGACCAGTCCATCCATACACACAGAGACAATACCTATAATATCCACATGTTATTGCACAAGGAAAGTACTAGGGTAATAGATAATACGACTAAAGTAATTGCATGCCTTCATCCACGGCTCGCCCATTCCCGATTAATCCCCCTATAGTCATGGATAGTATATCCCTCAAACATCTCCCTCCTCCATGTTGGTTTCCGCCAGCTCCTAACCCCCAAGTCCGAGAGAAGCATATCTGCATACGGAATTGCATCATAGACAAATTCCGGGTACCACTCCGAAAACCCGCAAGGATAGCGATGCTTGCCATATCGACTCATAAGGGCCGTTTGTCTGTAAACATCTGCCGCGTCAATCCGGAGCTTACCGTTCAAGTACGCATACACCCACAGCGCCTGGGTCTCGGCAATAATCACATTGCTAGTACTGTGAACCATCTTCATGTAGGCGAGCGAATAGTCGCCTAGCGTGGTGAGGCTGGGCGGCGCAATGCCTCTGTATAGACGGAAGGGGGTCACATTCTGCTTGTAGGGGATCCTGGAGGGCGGATTGCGAAGGTATGGGAATCGACCGAGGATTTCCTTATCCGCTTCGGAGTCTAGTTGCTCCCAGAATGCGTTCTCTTTTGTGTCGGAATAGCTGCTGGGAATGCCGAGTTGAGCATCCAGGCCGTCGGGTTTGTATTCCAGTGTCGAGCCTAGCTTCCAGCCTGTGATGGCAACCAAAGCGTCTGTCTGGATGCTGGTACCATCGGAGAAAGTGACTAATCCTGGAGCTGACAAGTGATCGATGTCCTTTATGGTGATCTTGACCTGGCCAGACCGGAGATAGTCGTGGATGTCGGACGGGTAGTTGAGGATACCCACTCTGGCTGACCAGAACAGACTGTGCAAAAGTTAGCAGTGAACGCAAACAACCATAACTTGATACTATACCTCTCACGTGGCTCTAGGTGCTCCAGACATTCCTCCTTCCGATACCCATTGGCATCAATGATATCCATGCGCATGCTCTCCCAGAACCTGTGGACAAACCATCTTCCGATGCGTGTTTGATGCAGCAGCTTGCGGATCCAGGAGAACCCATCAAAACCGCCCCATACGCACGGACTAAACCACGTGAAGTAGCGCATCGTTGCAAGGAGCTCGAGCTTCGTGATAGCGCCTGCAAATGGCACCCAAGGCGAAGCCATCCAGACACCGCCGCCGCCAGACTCGCGGATGATCCAGTCTACCTTTTTACCATTGGACGCCATCAGATGAACAACATCATATCCGGTTTTGGATGCGCCCACGACAGTCACTGACTTGACGGCCGGATTCTGTGCTATTCTAGCACCTTCAGACCGTAGCTGGGTGTGGTCGATGATGGGCCGGTTGAAATCCTCTTTACCGTCGATGTTGACGGGATTTGGGGTGGAGGATAACCCACTGCTGACGATGAGCTTGTAGCAGGTATACCGGAGTGGGCCAGAGCCCTTTCCTCCAGTTGTGCTTTCGGCGTACAGTCTCCATCCACTGTCGAGTTTCTCTGCTTGCAGGATGCGCGTGTTGAAATGCATCCGCCGACGCAAATCAAAGTGATCGGCAAAGTCGTTCAGATACCGGTGGAGCGTGTATCCAGAGATATGGCCATCTTCTTTGACGCCGTACTTCTCACCCATAGGAAAGTCACTGAACTCATACGTACCCCCAAGATTGTTAGTCTTGAGGCCTTCGTAGCAGTTTTCTTCCGCCCAGACGCCGCCTAAAGTTGGTCGCTGCGGATGTTAGAGCCGTACAATGAGGGCGAATGCATTGCGGCAATACTAACCTTTTCTATAAGTAGCAAGCTGGTGCCTGGTGACAGTTCAAGATACGTCTTTGCTGCGGCGAGACCCCCAATGCCGGCCCCAACCACAATCACCTCGGCATGTTCTGTGTGCACCATGATTCAGTCAACTTGGGAGATGGTTACGAAGCATAAGAAAATTCTGGTTGGAGGCGTCCGGATAATGTACCCATTCACACTGTCCTGCAACAAGCTTCCCCATCCCTTCTAGCGGCCAATTCGAGATACACGGCACAAGGAGTCCCTCGCAAAGTACCCACTGAAAGATAACACGCTCAGATATCAGACTTACGTGGGGAGAGTGGGGAACAACGGCAAAGAATGATAGCACCATTTTTCAAGGGTCCAGTATGGGGTATTCTCGTCCAGCATCCGTGTTGTATCGGAATTGTACCCTGGTCTTCTCGGTTACGGGGTATCTGAACCCCGCAACACCGGAGAAGTGCCCGACAGTGGGTTTGCTCTCATACTTCAGTTTGCACGTTGGGAGCAATATACTACTGTATGACGACTATACAAGAGCTCAACTGTCCTGATAATGATCACAGATGGAGAAACAAAAAGTCCCAATGCTCGTAACAGGCGTCATCGCTGTACCGTTGTGGGATGTGGAAAGGCCTTCACCCGGCTGTCCCACCTTCAGCGCCATGCGCTGAACCACTCTGCAAGCCAATGGGTCTGTAGTCGGTGCAATGCAACATTTAAGAGGCTGGACCTGTTGGGTATTTATTCCTCAAGCGTTTACACTCGATTGATGGATGGATGTTCTGATCCTTGGTAGAGCGTCATAAGGCTCGACACGTTGTCAAAGATAGTCTGGCAGGCGGTGCAGGGCTGGGAATTTTGCATACTCGCCGGAAGACCATATCTGGCATGCAAATCACCGAGACTCCTTGTCCCATTCCTCGCGCGGAGCTAGATGGGCTAGATGGGGGTGGCGTGCAGCCAACGACCTTCACCCCTGCCCTTCCAAGGAATGATGGAACGGCCTCAGATGCTGCCAATCAAACACACTGCCGGGAAGGGCAGCCCAGTCATGACAGTCCCATGGTGCCAGGATCCTCCCTGGATCCGACTAACATCACCAATGGAGGGAGCCCTATAGTGGACACGTGCGAGCTCGGAAGTATGTACTATGATGCGAGCTTCGATTTGGTCCATTTCGACGTGATGGGATTCAACGGCTCTCCGCTTGACGTTTCTCCCGGGTTTATGCATATGGCGGAACGTGATGAGGAAAATAGACAGCCAGGAGAGAGTCCGTTGACACCTTACTCACCGCGTAGTATGGAGTGGACGGGATTTGCCTCAAACAACCATACAACGCGACATGTGGAGCTACTGGCCATGGATAAACCCACGGTAGGTCGTTTCATCTCACGGACAAAGCATTAGCGCTGAACAATGGACTTGTGTAGTGCATTGAAACATTGATCCACGATATTGTCGACCAGACCTCTGAAAACGAAGGACACGCATTTTGGAGCCATACCCAATCGGAGAATGTCATACTGACCAACACTAAACGGGACGAAATCCTCCATCTCCTGGTGGACACTCGCCCCGTCTCGCGTGACGGCACACTTGTTGACGGCAACATACCGCTCCTATCGCTTGATAGCATGCAGGAATATCTAGATCTCTTTTTGCGCTATTTCAATACCTCGTATCCCATGGTCCATGTTGCCACCTTACAGATCAGCAGCGCTGACCCAATGTTCGTCCTGTCGATGATTATCCTAGGAGCGACATACAAAAACAAAGACGCCCATCAATTGTCTGTCACTCTCTACGATGCGGTGGTGCCGTATATCCTCAGCGGCCTCATCAGTATCCCGCTCCCGGACCTGTCGACGCTGCAGGCTTTCCTGATCCTCGAGTGTTACGGGATGTACAGGGCTGGACCGTACCAGCGGGAGAATGCTATGCTGATTCACACGCTCCTGTTTAGTGTGAGCATCTCTGTCAGGGGTAGGGTGTAAAGATACTGACTATTATAGGCGATCAGGAGAGTCTCTAGGTACCATGTCCGCGGAGGGATCACGCTGCCAAACCATTTGGCTTGCCACAATGGCCGCTGGAAGGCTTTTGCACGAGCGGAGCAGTATAAAAGGTACCCCCGTTCCATCTGCAGCATTGTTTATGTGTACCTAACACCAGCAGACTGATACTATTTGTATTTATGTGGGACACCCAGAACGTATCCTGTTACTCCGTGATGCCCAACATGTCAACCCAGACCATCCAAGTCCCCCTCCCATGTGCCCAGGAGGTATGGGAAGCGACCACGGAAGCCGCATGGGAGCAGGCCCACGCATCGCATGCAGAGCCAGCCAACTTCCACGACTCTGTAAAATCCCTCGTCGAGGAGCGCGGCAGCCACCATCGCGACCCGATGGACCGCCTTTCGCTGACGCTTTTGCTGCACGGGTTAATGTCCATGTGCAACGACATCGCCCATTTCGACAACCGCTCGATCTATCTCGGCGACATGGACCACGGCGAGGTATCATGGACACCTTGGCGGCGGCGTATGACCCACGCCTTGGAGACGTGGAAAGCCCGATATGATGTGTACACCATGGCATCCGTCCAACAGCGAGATGGATGGACGGCGCCGAACTACCGCGAAGAGGACATCGCCCTGCTTACGCTGTATCATACGGCGCATATCGTGATCAACTCCGACATTCGCCATCTGCAGGCCGCGGCCGGCGCAAAGGGCATCTTTGGCCATATTGTCATGCCCGAGGATCGACAGGAGAGCGCGAACTGGGTAAAGCAGTGGGTGCGCGGCCAGGCGGCGGCGGCGGACCATGCTGCGTGGCATGCGGCACAGATGCTGCGAGAGGGCATCCTGCATCTTAAGAATTGGGATGTTTATGGGGTGTTTCATTACCCGTGGTGTCTGGTTATTGCGACGCTGACGTGTTGGGCTTTTCATGCTTTTGGGTCGGCCTCCGAAGAGAGGACACAGTGTGCTCATGGGAATGCGTTGTATACTGATCAACGAGAGTCTCAGGAGGCGATGAACCATATGGTTTCGCTCATGGCATCGGTGTCGCCGGGCAATATTAGGCGTACGCTGAGAAGATGTTGCATCCATGGACTTACTATCGAGGTGGCTCGTTATCTGCAAGGGGTACGATGGACAGCTGCATTTGAGGCTATGAAGCTTTTAGACAAGTTATCCAGAGGCATATCGATATGATGAATATAGGCCTGATTTCTAAGGCAGTGAAGAACGATGAATCATGGAATCTGACTCCACTAATTAAATTTCACTAATTAAATGTGTCAAAAGTGGGGAAGTGGCGCCTTGTCGGGATGAGTGATTATGAATCATTTTCTGTCATTCAACTTGTTGACAGACAGCCACAAGTATATAATCGTTGTATTATAGCCTCTCCAGCATCAAGAATCCAGCATCCCTCATAGATACAACATCAAGTCGATCATTCCCTCCTTTCGCACTTCCATACTATCCACCATGCCGACAACATCAACCCCCATCGTCTTCTACGACATCGCCATGCGCCCCCCCACAGAGAAAACCTGCTGCTCACCAAATCCATGGAAAGCCCGCTTAGCCCTCAACTTCAAATCTCGCCCATACACAACCACATGGGTGCCTCTACCAGATGTTAGCAAAGTCCGCCGCAGTCTCAAAGTCCCCGCCTGTCGCAAATTCGCCGACGGCACGGACTTTTACACCCTACCAATCATCGAAGACCCCGCCACGAACTCCCTAGTCGGCGACTCCTTCGACATCGCCGTTTACCTCCAGAATACATACCCAGACGCCGGCGCAGGCGACCTATTTCCCCCCCAGAAACTCGACTACGTCTGCACGCCGGAGGTCGCGTCGCTTATTCCGCTCTCGGACTGCTCCGATAGCCAGTATCCGGAATACGCCAAGTTCAACGTTAATGTCGACGCGGCGTTTACCGCACATGTGCAACTGGCGCTGCAGGGCTTCCCGTTTGACCCCGCCACGGAGGAGGCCAGCAAGGCGGAGTTTGTGCGCCGCGCGGGAATGAAGAGCTGGGACGATTTTGCGCTGGTGGGCGAGGCGCGGGAGAAGGTGAAGGAGTCGTTCCGGAATACGCTTGGGGATTTGGCGGAGCTCTTCGCGAGGGACGATAGTGGACCGTTTCTTCTGGGGAGAACGGCTAGCTATGCGGATATGATTGTTGATGCATGGCTGCGGATGCTGCAGGCAACGTTGCCGGAGAGTGAATGGGTGGAGGTGAGGAGTTGGCATGGGGGGATTTTTGGGCGGTTGCATGATGCTTTGGATGTATATGCGCAGGTGAAGTAGCGGGTTTCAATTCTAAAATAGCCTGGAGATATTTAGCGGGTACTATTTTTTAGAGCAGCTTACAATGAAACGATAACCTAACGGCAGCTTCGAAGTGCACGAGACAGAATTTTTCGGCTGATAAGGACTAGCTATAAAGACATGCGTGTGGCGGTGTTCATATTTGGATACCCGATGGATATGGCATATATCTCTTGTATCCTGGCAAATAAGACACCATGCCTCGGGATTTGGAAAGTTCACGATCTGGGAGTATTGCGGAGAGTATTTCCTACACTCGACAGCAATTCTTTCGGACCTCTGGGGGCGTTGCTCGTTATGACCCTACCATAACCACCGTGGACTTGATATTGCTTCACTCTCAAGAACCAATTGTCACATCATAAATTCGCTGCAAGAGCATCCCTGCAGAGCGGACTAATAAATGAGAGCCGGTGTCCGAGCAACCGGTGGCAAGCAAGGTCGGTGTAGTCAATAGCGGCAGCCACGTGGAGGGTCATGAGGGTCAATTCCAGTAGGACTGTAGGTGGAACTCCAGGCCCTGTTGACCGAGGAGGGAGTGGCGTTTGAGTCTGTCATTCGCGGGGACGAGGAGGATGATGTTTATGTCGTTACTCTTGCTGAGGAGTTCAAGATGAAAGGGGGAGATAAGGACGAGGGATCTTAAGCTGGAGGACTCTTTTTCGCCCAGATCTGGAGCTTAGCGAAGATGCAGCATCACCATAGAGCCCCGCAAAGTTGCTCGTAGACTATTAAGGGTGAATGTGATTTATGTTAAGGTCTGTACGTTAGAATCATACATCCTAGTAGTATATGTGTCGCTATACGATTGTCGCGACTCTTGCCGAGATCCACCTACCCACCAACCTCACCATTTCAATTCCATGCACATTACCCCCCACCCCACAATCATGATAGCTCTTCCTACCGACATTATTCTCATGGTAGTAGACACCATCGACGAGTTCAAGGATCGTCGTAAGCTCTTGCAAGTCTGTCGCAGCTGGAGAAGCCTGTTGCTCCCCAAGGTCTACTCAAAAGTTACGCTCGACATTGATGAAAGCTTGGTTCCTCTGGCACACACAGTTCTCCTCAACCGGTCGATAGGAGCCACTGTCCGAGAACTGAGAATTCCGAACCTCTTCTGCAAGGCTGGCAAGAATGGCATTTATCATCCTGAGCTCTTCCGAGAAATCGTCAAACCCTTCACGGTGACCCCTGAAGATCTCACCGAATGGGAAGATTCCTTGGATGCCGGAGATGAAGAAGCGTGGCTTGTTGTAGTCTTGTTGTCTCTCAACAACCTCCGATATCTTGGGATGCGTCACCATTCGTATTCCTGGGATTTTACATTCCGAACAGTCGCGCAGTTGGCATCCAATTCGGTCTGTGTTCGGGGTTATGCACCTTTGTCGCATCTCGAAGAGGTCAACATAATGTCGGAGACTGTTTATCAAAACTTTCCAGCCGCTCGATTTGCCCCATTTTTCAGGCTCCCGTCCATGAGAGTGTTCCGTGCTGCTGGGGTCCACGAGGAACATGAGGGGAGGCGTGCTTCGTTTCCGTTTTCTCTGAATCTAGAACCTAAGTCCTCTCAGGTCAGGGAGATTATTCTCGACCATTCAAACTGCAGACGTGGAATGATCGAGTACGTTTCATCGTGTGCCAATCTGGAATACTTCGAGTATCAGCACTCCAACGCTGCCAATCACGGCGATGTGTGGCTAGATTTTCGACCACGGCGATTTCACATCGCGTTGTCTACCCAGAAACATAGTCTGCGCGTGCTACGCCTCAACGACCGCGGCAGTACAAAAGGGGTAGACGACCTTGGCATGGAAGATGAAGGCATTTACTCGGGGGACGATGTCGAAATTGAGCCTTGGTTCGGCAGCCTGGTCGATTTCACGGAGCTACGAGAACTGCGCATTCCAGTGCGTAATCTCTTGCAATCGGACTACAGACACCGTGGCTCCTCTTTGGAAGAAATTCTTCCGCGCAGCTTGGAGTATCTCTCTCTGGCTAAGACTGACCAGGCTGAGTTTGATATTGTCGAGCCTCAACTCTGCAGTCTACTTGCTCTCCGGAGTAAATGCTTTCCCGCTTTGCGAAAGCTGGTGATTCAGCTTTACCAGATGGAGTTAATTCCGGGGAAAGAACTTAGAAGTGCCAATAACGAGGGGAACTGTCGGGTTCCGCACAGCACGAAGGAAGTATTCGAGGAAGTGAGGAAAACGTGTGGGACAGAGGGTGTTAAGTTCTCTTTTGCCCATGACGGGGAATATCAAGTACTGGCTGATGGCAAGCTGGTTTGGGACAACGAGATGATCTAAGCGCTGTCCTAGTGTAGTTAATAGATAATTTAGTCTTGTGAGATTTGCACCGACAGCTTTAGGGCACGGGCTATTCCCTGACTAGATAATTGGTCAATGTGCAAGACTTATATTTGCACCCAAAACGGCAATAATCCGTAGAGTGTTCAACCAAAGTCTCCCTATTACGCTACGTCAGTTACTACGAGTTGAGGAAAGATGGGATGCAGAGTAATAGGCTCTCGAAGGCCATTCGGGTTCGGTTCGGTCATGGCCTTCTCGCCCGACTGCCGCCTATTGGCGGCCAGCTCTAGTGACCAGACACTGCGCCTCTGGGACCCGGTGACGGGCGTTTACGAAAACTTGGAATGTTGAATGAATAGTAACTATGCTCGAATTTTCCCGCGACGGTTTCTATCGCCAGACCAACTTCGGCGCCTTGAAATTCAATCCATGTGTGACATTCCTACATCTCGTCCGCCTCATGCGAATCTAGGCATCTCCATTGAGCGTGGGCAATTGATAAAGCTGAACGGTGAAAAGAGTCTCTGGCTTCCTGTCAAGTCTCCGCCCAGCTGTTCCAACCTAAATGAATACACTTGCCCTGGGACATGCATAAGGGCGGAATCATATAATTATAGATATATTTATAGGTATTTTTTTTTACTGTATAGCACTACTAAAACTAACTCTCTGCTCTTACTTGCTAGAATAATATTAAAAATAACTATCTTCTATATATAAAAGACATAGTCTTTTATCCAATGCTTGCGGTTTTCTGATGTATAAAATCCCTCTTTTGTAGTTTTATAACAGCTGGTTTAGATATAGTCTATAAAGTATTAAGTAAATCTTACAAATCTTACTAGATGTAGTATATGTATTTACCGGTTGATAGAAGACTGAGACCCTACCCTTCAGCTTGAAGGACGAGTATAAGTCTGGGCCCTGCTGAGTCGTACTGTCAAACCAGGGAGTCTCGTATCGGGTGCTGAGACCTCACCGCCCATACACATTGCCTTAGACAGTCCCTGCACCTCGCTCCTAGACATCACACCGGACCGCATGGCTCCGGAAATGACCCCGAACTGGCGGTCAAGATTGATCATAAATAGAGCCACACTCTTCACATAACACAGTCAACTTCACCAATTTATGGCCACCTTCAATATTCTTATAATACATCATGAAAATTGTCTTTGCCTCCTTCCTTCTTATCGCCACTGCCATGGCTCTGTCTCAAAATGATGCCGGAAATGTTTGTGCAAGCAAACAGACCGTGGTGTGTAACGGTCAAGGAAACGGTGGTCTCATCGCTCTAGGCAATGTTCTGCCTGGTGCACTAGGTGAGAATTGCGCTGCTGGCGAAGTCTACTGTTGCTCTCATGACGACATTGAACGGGTAAGTCGCTATCTAGCCTTTAATGATGGACATAGCAACTGACCGGTAACCCGACAGTCTGGCCTTGTGAACTTAGATCTACAGGCTCAGTGCTCTCTTAATCGTGTTCTTTAGGCGACTTCGCCGCTTAAATTTGGAGGACTCCTTATTGGGAGAGCCAGATTCAGTTCGAGGCTGGCAACGAACGAGACGCGCAAAAGATAACAAAAGCCACAGAAATAAAGAAGGGTCTCGGTCTCTGAGTGGTACTATAGCTCTCTATGGCTGAGGTACGGCCTTACGTATGAGGACTGGGGGGCATGGTATGGGAAGAATCAGGTAGAGAGGCCAGACGCCGATCCTGCACATCGGTAGAACTACCTTACCAACATTACATAATTGCTCAGGCTGGATGGCCGCATCTAAGTAGATTGGCTTCAATAACTCTGCTGGTGTGGAGTAAAGGCTCAGTAAGCCTTGATATCCCAATAGATAGACAGAGATAGCTAGCGTAGGGAAGAAGAAATAACGCAGGCTGTTACCTGACAGCCTTATGGCCAGTCTCGTGATGCGATTGCGCCAACTCGCTATCCTCATTAACTGCTACCGTACATATTATATTTAGAGGTATTCATATGGACTTCTGATGGATTGCTACTTCCGGTGGTTGATGAGAGTTCGGTATAAACCTTTTGACCCTAACTGGCCATAGCCCGCGATTTCGCTGTTAATTATAGTACCTGACAGGTCTATCCCAGGGAATCCTTTTGTTTGATCCGGAAAGCGGCGCGGGTGTCGCCTTTGTTGGCTCGCCGCAATCCTGAAGAACGGTTGAAAGGCCCTAAAGATTTGATAATCTCGTCACAAAATGACATCTATTTTACTGATCAAGGACAGACGGGAATGACCGATCGGTCTAGATGCCTATATCGGCTATCTCCCAGCGCCAAGCTAGACTGTCTTGTGTCTAACGGGATGGCTCGGAACGGATGTGTCCTATTCCCAGACGAGCGGTTCCTCTATGGAGCCACAACCTGACAGAATGCTGTCCGGAGGCTCCCGCTGCATGCAGATGGAACTACTTCCCAAGTCAGGATATGCTTTCAGTCTTTGGGATGTGCTGGTCCCCATGGTCTAGCCATAGACGAGGACGGGAATCTGCTCATTTACCATCCTCGCCTGGGCTCTGTGTTTGTAGTTAATACAGAAGGCGTTCCGAAGGCAATGATCGTGACAGCACCTAGTAGTGGAAAGAACCCGATGAACTGTATATTTGGACGTGAATATAGAAAGATACTGTTCATCACACGGATAGTATGAAGGGCAACGTGCAGTACGTGAGGTGGCATTGCAGAGGAGTCCGAGGGGGAAAGCCTGTCAGATAACGAAAGGTGTAATGTATACAAAGAAGACAAGCCAGAGAAGTCATCTATTCAGAATATACTATCAACTATCAAATGTCGGAGAGGTATCTGTGCAGATTGTCAATCGCCGCTGTCGCGCTGGCCAACTGCGCCCTGGAGGTGGCCGCTCCAATATGCGGCGTGCTGATGACATTCAGGTTTTCCCACAGCAATCCGTACTTTTCATGACTTGGAGGCTCTTGTTCGTGGCAATCTAGTCCGGCGCCCCACAGATAGCCCTCAGATAGTGCTCTGGTAAGGTCCCGCTCGTTCACAATGCCTCCCCGAGCTGCATTGATGAGAATCGCGTCCGGCTTCATCGCGCGAATACGGTCATATGTGATCATATCCCGGGTGTCCTTTGTAAGTGGCACGTGAATAGACAGGACATCAGCCCGTACGAGCACTTCATCGATGCTTCTCGCTCTGACATGCGGGATATGCTGCCAAATATTGTCCGGCGTATATGCATCATAAGCCACTATGTCCGCCGCAAAGCCACCCCGAAAGATTTCTGCAACAGTTCGTCCGATATTCCCCATGCCAATAATTCCGATGGTCTTCTGATACAGAGTCAACCCATTGCAGGTCTCCTTGGGGACAGGCTTCGACATCTGGCGAGTCGTGATGGACCGAATGCCGCGTGCAACTGACAGGGCGAGGGTGACAACAAGTTCAGCCACGTCGCGCGCGTTCGCCCCCGGCGTGTTGAGAATCTTGATTCCTCTTTTTACACAGGCGTCCTGGTCAATTTTTTCGATTCCTACGCCGTGCTTGCCAATAGCGACGAGGTTGGGGCAACTGGCGATGTCTTCGGCGGTAAGATACGAACTTCGGATCAACAAAGCGCGGGCATTTGCTCTCCAGTGTTGAAAGGCTTCATCGTGTGGCTGAATGATATTGAAAAGTGTCTTTGCGTGCTCGATGGCCTTCGGAGGGAATGGGTCGAGGACATAGACAGTTGATTTCTCCGAGCTGGCCGGCTGGCCAGTTGACATCAGATCATCAGCTCTGCTGGGCGGCATGTTGAGGTTGTTGGATGCTTCGAATTGACGCCTGATAGCCCACACAGTTGCCAGATTGTCTGCCATGGGTATATAGTCGGATTCAATGCACATATTATATGCCCGGATGTGACGGATCTTGTCCGCCGGGCATTGTCCGAAGCAGGTGTGCCATTAGTGATTCCACAATATGGGTTAACACATAGCACGTCGATTTCGGACAGACTCCTTCATCATTCTCTGAAGAGTGTGCGGAACTATCTCCGGTAACTGGTTCATACTCTGCTGCCCATGATGTCAGGCTCCCAGGTCGTTTGATATCAATGTATACTAGAACATGTCCCAACTTACTGTATCGTCTGCCGACTCCTGAAAACGCCAAAGAACTCTGCAGAGAACTTTGAGGGCGGAGAATCTCTCCCCAATGATGGTCAATAGTGCAGTGCACTTGCTCAGAACACTCGCTCCACTGGGTGATTCCAGCAAGGGTGACGACCTCCCCAGGACGATGATGACCGCCCCTGCAGAGAATACATCAAAGGCGTCGATAAATGACCCAGAGAAATATCCTTTCTCTAAGGCGTCGTATTCACCATTGATATACTCTCTGCAGACGGTCATTATATCCTGTTGGAGTGCTTGGGTAGGCCCGAGAATGCTCGTTCTCATCTGCCCAAGGCTACTAGTCCGTGCCATACAAACCAAAGCCCTACAGGTGAGCTGTCCTATCGCGCGGATTGTGCTCAATGGTTGACTGAAGCCTTCCGCACCCTTGGGTATGTCTCTCCAGTAACATAGCGCTTGATATTGAAAAATAGGGCCATGCTCTGGGGAGTCGCGCATATTGGATACGAGTCTAGCATGCATAAGAACGTGCGCCCTAAAGTCGAACCACTCTGACGGACTGTGCACATTCGATGGAAGCTTCAAAGCATCAGCATACGTGACTTGGTTTTGAAGGGTATCTTACCCTCAGTGTAATATCCCTATCTTCAATCCCGAACGGTCGATCCATTACGCAGCTAACGGCCCTGCAGGATGTAAGCCATTTACTTACAGCGAAGCGCAAGGAGGACACACCTATCAATAATGTACACATTCCAGAAAATGCGCCTTCTCTGTTCGATTTTGTCTGCAGATATACCACTATCAGGAAGTGGTTCTTTGTGAAATCTATACGATATGGCCTTCTTCGTGGCAAGTCCAAGCAGGTGCCATGTGGACCCTCCAGTCGATGTAAACATGGAGTGTACAATCAATAGAAGTATGCTGTGCAGCACCTTTACATCATCATTACAATCAAGTATCGCAGGGAATCTTTGCATCGCGGCAGTGTGTAGGCTGCTTGAGAACAACTCGCCTCCGGACCCTGGAGACAGGAGGGTCCCGATAGCGGCTGTCATATACACATTGAAGTCTCCGAAGGCTGTGTTCCGGTCCGTTGTCGATTCGTTGCGATGAAAGAAGGCGTCACAGTAACCTACCATCTCCGCCTCATCGAGATATGGACAGATGATTTTGGTCCGCTGCAGCAGGCTGTCCAGGCACCCTGTCATGAACTCCTTGCTGATATTGGGGGTGTGTCCCACCATAGGCATGTATCTAGATTTCTGGGACGGAGGTAGAGATTGTGTTGGGTCACTCCCAGAAATAGCTAGTGAAGCCCTAATCATGCTTCCTATGGCCAGCTCCTGAGGAAAGCCGCTCGCCTGGTCGCGCGGCTCTGCCATAGCATTGCGGGATAGAAAGCCAATCTCTCCCATGGCTGCCTGTACAGACCTCTCTGTGAGACTCGTTTGCTCGGTCAGCGACGTGGCATGAGATGTTTGCGGACTACTGTGCGTATCGTCTGCCGGGTCGGGGGGTGACTGTGAGCTCCTGGCACATTCGTCGCTTGCCTGGCATAGGCGCTGACGTCGAGTAAGATTGTCCAGATCTTCTGCCTTTCGTTTCAGGGATTCGATGTAGCTAGACTATTTGAGCCCTCATTTCATGGGTGACTAGATGGACATGGGGATCGTCCTTACTCTGGGAGTGCTGCATTAGAGAGTGCAGTTGCATCCTCAGCACCAGTTCGCGAAGGGACACTCCGTGGGCAGCAATCGGCCTTCGCCCCAACGCACGCGGTACATACTGGTAAAACCCTGTCGCACTGTCCCTTGTGTTAACAAGGTATTGTCCGATCTGGCCGTAGTGGGTCATTTCACCTTTTGCTTTCGTTTCCAGCATCTCTCACAAGCCTGGAGCCTCCTTCGCACTCTGGGCGTCCGCGGTGTGGCAGCTGTCCGATGGTTTTGCTCCATATTCATATCCGAATTGGGAGTATCGGAGCATCCACGGTGCGTCGGACACCCCCGGGCTATATGACCGGTTTTCTTGATGTGGAGAAGTTTTTTAGCCGGTGTATTTCCGGTCCCAATATTACGCGAGTTGTCTGATCACTCGGGTATTGTCCGGCAGCCTGGGTAGAAGATGGTCGATTGTATCCTCCGTCGGTATGTCAATCCCAGGTAATCGACATATCACACGGACAATGAACCAATGGTCCTTAGTAGATTGCTCAACCTGCTACTCAGAGACTAGGATCATGTCAATGTACATGCAAAGCTGACCTACGGTTAATAGTTACAGGATCCCACGGGGCTGTTCCGGTTATCATTCGCTTCCCCACATTCTTTTGCCGAGCGGGGGCGGGGGAGCGCTCTTTAGAATAGGACTCACGTCTCGATGTCGAGTCCAGAGGTTTGCATATGCACGAACTTCGAGTATCATAGGAGGGGCTCCAATAGGGACTGGGCCAGGCGGTATGCGCACTAGTAGCGAAATCAAGTTATTGCCTCGACTACCGGCCTGTCAATCCTGCTATACCAGGAAAGCCAAGGTGAACAGCGATATCCCCGAGAAATCCGGGAAATCTAAAGCTCCTGACAGCGGATTCATCAATAGTGTGACAATACTCGTCCAAAATGTACACCCTGTTCGATAAACGGTCATGTCTGTCTGACTGTGAGCCTTGACGGAAGTGAATCTGTTTCCAGAGAGTAAGTCTTTTCGTTGTATGATGCCTAATCAACGCATTAACCAAGCAGGTATATATATGAGCTAGAGAAACAGGTCCAAAGACTTCAAGAGGACTTGGCCGACACCGAAACGTCTGCGGGTCGTTTGCCGCCCTCTTTGTCGCCGTATGATGCGGCAGTTTCTGGCCATCCTTGCCAGAGCAGCTCTGCTACGGTCCCCCAGACGGGCGATGCGCCTAGGATTGATATGAGTCTCTCTCCCAATTTTACGGAAGGCTCCGGAATTAGGTAGTCTCAACATATTATTGTTTGCATCTGTCGAGATCTATAGCTAACAAAGAGTATCAGTTTTATGCGCGTTCTGTTTACAGACGCCGGATGGAGGGAGCGCAATCAAAAACTCCTACATAATTTATCCAAGGGAGCTAGTATGTTAGAGACTAGGGTGCAACAAAACTCACTGCCAGCAGCGGAGGAAGCACTGGTCGTGTTTAATAGCTAGTAAGGGCTTCTTACCACTGCCATTATACATATCTCTAACGTGGTACTACACAGCCTGGGCACGTCCCATATTCAGAACCCTTTCCTGCTGCGCAGTTATGTGCAAGAACTATACCAGTATGCATTCTCCGACAACGTGGCTGGTCAAAAGGAGGGTTCCAATGGGAGTTATTTATCGCAGCATCAGCTGTTTCGTACATTCATGATCCTAGCCATTGGGTCCATCCCACTATATCGGACGGGCAAACATCGACATCATCCATATGGGTATTTCCTTTCAGCCATGAAACATCTAGAGGTGGAATTTCTGTCGAAAGGCTTGGATTCAATCCAGGATCTTCTTCTGGTCAGCCGATTTGGCATATATCATCATATTGGTAGGACCCCTCCCTCCCCCCAAAGCCAGGTACCATAGCTAAAATCAAATGCTCTCAGGCACATCCATATGGGAACTAATTCAATTGAGTACTAGGATGTGCATTGAACTGGGTCTGCATAGATATCGCGCATTTACGGACACGAGTAGAAATCAACTTCTGGAGGAGCAATTGCGCAGACGGGTCTTCTGGCAATGCTACATGATGGACAGATACACCTCTGTGATGCTTGACCGTCCTCCTGCTATCCCGGACAGAGACATTGAAATTGGACTTCCCGCCAACGCTGACGACGAGGTACTCGACATCGCTAGCACATCAGGTGCGTTCCCCGATTTGGAATCTTTCCATCGAACGTGCGCTCCACAGGCCGATCCAGCCGATACTACAGAAATGTCGGTCTTCTTAATGTGCCTACGACTTCGTAAGATCACTTCAAAGATACATGCCAAGTTTCAGCAAAACAGCAGTACGGGTGCCGGACGCGAGACGTCACACATCGCTCTAGCAACCGCCAGCGGAACGATCTACGCGGATCTTGACCAGCTACTGCTGGAGCTAGAACATTGGCGACGCTTGGCTCCTGTCTTTCATAGCCCCAAGTGCTTATATGAAAGACAGGAATGGTACGATCTGCTTCTTATGCGGGAGAAGCTACTTCTCATACGTAAAGCGATTGACCTCGTGCCTAAGCGAAATAATGCACCGCCGCGAGACCTTCTCTGCATCTGTCTCGAGTATAGCGTTGGAACTATCAAGACCTTTTGCGCCCTGTTTGATAGGCAGCTGGTGACGTATACTCGCAGTTATTTCCAGACTCTTTTTACGGCGGGTTTGTCTGTGATGTTTTGCGTCTCCGTGGCAGCAGATCTTGATTGTCCGACCCTGGTACAGGCGACTGAAGCCGTGAGCCACGCCGAGAAGACGTTGAAACAGATGGTACAAGAGCTTCCGGATGCCATTCACTACGTCGCTCTGTACGAGGCATTGCGTGTAGACATTTTGCGCAAGCTGGGGAACTTCCAACGGCTCGACGCAGTCTCCGGTACCAACCAGGCCGAGCAACCCTATTCCCCTGGTGCTACATCTCAAACGAGAGAGATGCATTGCCGATATCTATCAGGTTCTGATATCCTTCGGCCAGCTCCCGGTATCCAAGAGACAGCTGCCGACCGTAACCATCAGTGGCCGGTGCTTACACACAATGAGGCAGAAAATCAGATGCTTTCCATGCAACCTCAGGAAGCTACGATGGAGAACCCATTGCTATCGTGGGACATCTTCGGCGATAACATCTTCTGGAGCATCGAGGCCGACATGTTGGGAGAATACGTGTATGGACATTCAGGCGCTGCCCCGTTCCTGTATGACGATGTATGAACAAAGTACTTAACCATCTAAGATACATGCGTTGAATGATCCGAATTTATTCCTTTTGCAGCCTCTCGCTAATGGCTGCATAATTCTGACTGATTTGCTTCAGTCCTGCCTGCAAGACAGATCCGTCCTGTCCACTCAATGACCACGTCGCACCCATACTGAACCACTTCTCCAAGATATCCAGTCTACCTCCAATTCCTCCAATACCAATGGGCTTTCCCGCTTTGATACCGGCATTGATAACCTTTGCAACCGCATCCTGGTACAACGGGCTATCGTACTTCCCCGGGACGCCGAGGTCCGCACACAGATCGTTCGAGCCCACCAGGACCCCATCGACACCCTCCACCGCAAAGATGTCCTCGGCCAGCTCAACCGCTGCCGGCGTCTCAATCATAGGAATAAGCATGGTGTGCAAATTCAGTACCTCGTTCTGCACTAGCGTCGGCACGTGCTGAAAGTTGAACGCCGCCTGGTTGTTCGTACACCCCCGGGAGCCTAGGGGAGCAAACTTGGCATACTTGACAATGTCTCTGACTTCCTGGACGGTTTCCACGTGTGGAACGACAACCGCAGAGGCTCCTGCGTCGAGAATGCGGCTGATGTGCCAGTGGGACTTGGATGGCGACCGGACGACGGGCGATACGCCGGCGTAGTTGCAGGCGAGAATGAGCTGAGACACCGTGCGCATGTCGAGGCCGGAGTGTTCCATGTCGATGAACACGGCGTGGATGCCGGCCATCTTGCACATCATGGGCATTTCATTGCCGGTGAAGAATTTGATGGACATGAGAGGGGTGATTTGGCCATTAAGGATTCTGGTTCGGAAGGGGTTTGAGATTGTGTAAGACTGTTCGATAGGGCCCATTTTGAGAGTGAGATGGGTTTCGGTAGGGATCAAAGAGATTGAATGCGCGGCGTGTAATTCAAGTTTGTTGGGAGATTCATGTAGATGAAACATACCACTTGGCTTTTATATACTGCTCGATTATTCTGCCCCTCCGGAATACAGTATCACTAAACTACTGGTGGCCGGAGAATACCCGATGGCGCTTCAGCTCTCCTCTCCGATCTTCGGAAATGTTCCTCTAGTGCGAGGGACGGCTTGGGCAGTCGTACCGTACACATTCTGGTGATTCTGACCATGCGTATCTTGCGGATAGTTGTCCTTTGTGAAATCAAAGAAGCCCGAAGAACAACGCACCGTTCCAGTTTGTGGGATGATACTCTGCCTGCCTGCTGCATGATCATGTCTATTCTCACCGTTATTCGGTCCACCTGACAAAAGCTATGTAGCTAGTGGAGACGCCTTTTAACTGAACCAGATGTAGCTCGTAAGAATAGGATAAGCAAACCACAAATTCCATCGACAGTCGAAGTGGGAAATTCAACTCAATCATGGATGTTAGCAGAAGACATTCAGTACCTACTGCGTCGAACCGGACCTTCAAATATCCGTGGTCTCTTTCTGACCCCTTGCGTTCGGTGAGGATTTAAAAGACTACTCGCTATCCCTTCCTCCAATGTTGCAATGACATGTTCTTCATCTATTCAAATGGGTGTCGAAAATACTATGCCGGATATTTGCCGCGAAGAGACCGACAATGGATCTCTCACGCCGGAAGAGGCAGTTATAGAAAAACATCTGCGACGAAGGATTGATATACTGATATTTCCGGTCGTCGCCCTCACATACTTTCTGAACTTGGCCGATCGGTGAGCGAAAACACCAGACAGGCGGTCCTCATATCCCTGTTGACTGTTGACAGAACAAACCTAGCATCTGCCCGACTACAGGGGCTTGAAAGTAGTTTAAAACTGGAGAACAACCAATTTCAGATCTGTGAGCCTTCATTCACCCTGCTAAAAAATGATTCTGACTAGGAGTTCGTGCCAACCAGGCGTTTTGATATTCTTCGTTGGTTTTCTCCTCGCACAGATCCCATTGAATCTCTTTCTTGCATCTATTCGCCGACCTTCTCTCTTCCTAGGCGGCTTCACTGTCCTCTGGGGCACCATCTCCGCCCTCACATCCCTGGTACAGAATTATGAGCAGATGGTTGCGTGTAGATTTCTACTCGGACTTGCCGGTAAGTATCCCTATTGGGCCTGGAATCCGTTGAGTTCTGTATACTGATACCTCGGTCCATATAGAAACGCCTTTCTACCCTGGAATGATATTCTACCTGTCCAAGTGGTATAAAATGGGCGAGCTGAACTTTCGTATAAGTATCCTGACTGGGGCGGGGTTCCTCAGCGGCGCTTTTGGAAGCCTCCTCGCAGCGGGGACGTTGCGGAACCTCGAGGGCGTTCGTGGACTGAGCTCGTGGTACATATTCCTAGACACCGGTTTCCAGTTTGCTTTAGCTAACCGCGTTGGGCCAGGAGATGGCTGTATATTATCGAGGGTTCGATAACAGGTATGGGTGTCCATCCACTCGGCCATGCTGACCCCATAGACAAATGCCCTAAAACTATATCACTGACGGGCTTATAGTGTTTATTGGGATCCTGCTATCTACAATCTTACCCGATTTTCCAGAAACTTGGACTGCCCTTTCTTCAGACGTGCGCCACGTTGCCATCAAGCGCCTGAGACGAGAGTCGAACTACACCGAGTCAAAGCCTCACGGGTGGAGAGATTATGTAGGAGCAATTGTGCTGGCTTTTCGAGACCCGCGGCTTTATGTGTTCGGCCTCGGCGGCATGGCCGCTTCAGTAGCGCTGGGAATCCAGAACTTCATGCCCACGTTGACAAGGACTTTGGGCTATAGCGACATCGTCTCACTATTGCTTGTGGCACCGCCTTATGTGTTTGTTTTCGTGTACATGCTCGGACACGGGGCGCTATGTGACCTAAGACAAGCGCGCTTCCTCTTTTGTATCTATCCCCTGCCGCTTTCTGCAGCCGGGTTCATCATGCTCATGACGCTGCGGTCATTTGCTGGCCGCTACGTGGGTCTGTTCCTGGCCATGCTCATATCCTCGGCAGGCTCCACTATGCTGACTTGGGCCACCGATACCATCTCCTATCCTGCATCAAAGAGGGCCGTGGTATTTGCTGCCATTAACATGGTGGGAAATACAGCAAGTATATGGACTCCAATGACATACCGGGATGAGGACTCCCCGCAGTATCAGCTAGCCTTGGGGATATGTACTGGGATGATTGCTGTTATGGCTCTGTGTGCAATGATTATTCGTTGGTTGGAGAAGAAAAAGGACGAAAGAGACCCTGATGTCGTTACCAGCGGTTCGCCTGTGACTGACTTGGGAGGGAAAGTTCCATGAGATGAGATCAATTCGGGGAGGAGTGCCTCTATAGTCCTCTTCTGCTGGATGCTTTATCTGGCTGGAAACAATGATCGTGCCATCTATAACATGCACCTAGGACATGGTATCCCTGCCTCTATGGTCTCCTTTGTATGGTCTTACTCTTTATAACTAGCATGAATTTCATTATTTCATCTTCGACATGAATACTACAAAGAGCTTTTTGACAATTGCCTTCAATAATGACAAAGAATATGTACAGAATTACATTGTGAGAGTACAACGGCAATGTCCGCTGAGACTTCTCGGCTTCTCTGTAGCAAAGGATATTAGTGTATGAAAATCGGATGATCCCTAGTAACATTAGCGGTGGGTTCATGGTAGTTCCAGGCATGATCCCAAGCTTCTTCATAAAGGTCACGATTACTTCTTGTATTCTTTATTGCTATCTTGGGAAGCATATCGAATTGGCCCGGGCAATTGAATATCGATGCGATCTAAATGTTACACCTCTCGCGGCTGAGCATAGATAGATATTTAAAGGGGGTCTAGGTGCTGCTTTGTGAACATAGGATTGTGATTTCACCTGGCAAATGGTAAGCGCCGTCTTCATTGTGCGAAAGGGCACAGTAGGAAGTTCATATCTAGTCCAGGACCAGTATTATCCGGATAACTAGGTAGATTCCTAACACCATGCCTGCATGTAGACCAGGCTCTTTTACATACTGTGGTTCTTTGCCGCTTTAGCGTGTGGGATATACCCTGAATATACCACAATTTCTTTGTATCACAATGCACCATAACTCATTGTCACTACCAGGGTGTGCTTGTCACTACAGCTTCTTGCATTCACGCAACGGCCTGCTCGTTTTCGTAAACTCCCTTTCAAAGTCGTACTCGACTGGCAACTTCCGTAGATAGAAGACTATATAAATGAGTATTTGTAGAGATCTCTCAATACCATAGCTATTGGTGTATAAACTACATCTTCCAGCAAGAGACTTTACAATCGCCAGCGCATTGCTGATAATTCGAACAGATAGCAGAGCCCGAGTTTCGACAAAAGACCCCACACCATGGAGCTCAATATGGGCTTCCTCTTCATTCTGCTTTCCGTTTTTAGATATCTCCGTCTCGTGGTCCACATCTTCTCCTTCTGGTTTCTCTACAAGCCTGCCCTGATTCCTCGTCAGCCTACATACTCTCGCAGAGACTGTTCTATTATCCTCCCCACAGTTGATCCGAGCAACCCAGACTTCGAGGAATGTCTTCTGTCATGTCTTCGAAACGGACCAGGGGAAATTATTATTGTCACTGTTGGTGAGAAGCTTACAACTTTGACAAAGACGCTGGTCTCCCCAATCCAGGCTCTATTTCCTGATACTGTCATTACTGTTGAAACAAGCAAGGTTGCTAACAAACGTTTGCAAGTTGCCCATGGCCTCCAGTTCGTCAAGACCAAGATCACCGTCCTCCTCGACGACCACGTCTTTTGGCCATCCAATAAGTTCCTACCGACAATCCTTGCTCCCTTCGAAGACCCCAAGGTTGGTGTAGTTGGTACTAATAAGCGCGTCCGCCGCACCGACAAGGGCTTCAACATCAGATCGTTCTGGAACATGCTTGGCGCTTTGTATTTGGAACGACACAACTTCGAGATTCGTGCAACGAATGCAATTGATGGCGGCGTCTTTGTCATCTCTGGTCGCACGTCAGCTTATCGATCGGCAATCATCCAAGATCCTTCTTTCATCAAGGACTTTACTAACGAGAAGTTTTTTTTCGGAAAGTTTGGCCCCCTCAATGCTGACGATGATAACTTCCTTACGCGCTGGGCAGTGCGGCACGGATGGGACATCAAGATCCAGTACTGCCCAGATGCATTGATTGAGACGACTCTAGGCACTTACCCCAAGTTCCTGTCTCAGTGCTTGCGCTGGGTGCGTACTACTTGGCGGAGCAACTCCGCCAGCCTGTTTACAGACCGTACGGTTTGGTGCAGACAGCCTTGGTGCGTGTATGCGGTGTACTTGACTTCGTTTGTCAACTTTGCGCTGTTCTACGATGGTGCGCTCATCTACACTCTGATGCACAGTTCGTGGGCGAGCCAGATGTGGCTTACTTGCTTGGCTGCGTGGATCTTCTTTACTAAACTGATCAAGCTTATCCCATACTTCCTCCGCGAGCCTCAGGATTTGGTCATGTTGCCGGGTTATTTCGCGTTCGCCTACTTCCACAGCCTCATCAAGCTCTACGCGGGTTTGACTTTCTGGGTTACCGCGTGGGGAGGCAGAGACCTAGACGCTGTCGGTCAGAAGTAGTCAATGATTACCTTGGTTGGTGGATTAGTCGCTTTTATAACATTCCAAAGGTGAAGTCCGCCTCAACATCTCCCAGACTTGGCCTGATATGCTTCATATCTCGTTAGGTGACTACGAGACCGCCTTGTCCCCTTATCTAAGGCTAGTGTTTCTATTCTTTTCATTGTAGATTGGGTTTCGGATTCATAGACATCGGGAAATTTGCTTTTATTAGAGAGTTGAGTTATCTGGCGTTAGCATAAAGCAGAACAGGACCTGGAGCAATGGTCATACAAAGAAAAAAAATGTTACACTGTTCATCCATTTCATGAACTAATGCGATTTGCAAGGCTATGTATCCTCCAGTATCCGATGAAATTGACAATATATGTCATCGGCTTATGCCAGCACTGTACTGATGAAGATGATACGCCGAAAGATTCAAACAGGGCGTTATCTGCGGAGAAGATTGCGGCGTGACGCTACACCTTTAAATTCCATTACTGTGGCTATGGTACAAGAGGGGGCCAAGAATGCATTGCTGACGCACACTAATTTTAGTATCCCGTGGTGTGCTTTGGATACCTGGTTAGCATGGAACTATGGGATCAAGGTTGCTAGCCTTATAATGTACGTATAGTTTCTGGGATACGTTAGGATGCTTCCTGCTTCATAGAATAATTTCCCTGTATGTTTTTGAAGCTACAACTCGGTGTTAGTGATCACAACTACAAATAAGTGATGTGTTACTACTCACGGAGGTCGACGTTGTGAATGCTGGTCTATACTACTTAGTTGACATGCAAAGCACCACCCCCACCACCCCCCTGTATCTCGCCTCACCAGAGGAGACCACGTCATATGAACGACATAAGGAAGGAATTCTGGCATAGCTTGCCCTCTGTCAGCATGGGAATTCTCTGGAGACGAGGTGGCTGGATGAATTCAGAGGATCATCCCTTGTTTCGGACCGGACGATATAGAAAGCAAATTTATGCATCAGCAATGTCTCAGACATGATACAATGCTCTCATAAATCAGGACTGCCAGCACACCTCAGGTTTTCTACCTGGTTCTAGGCATGATCCGTTTCATGTAGAACCATTCTCCGTCAGCATTCCTGCCAGCCATCCATCTTGACGTGGACTTTGCCTCAGCCGAATATGCAGCGTTATCAGCAAACGGCAGGGTCTACCCTTGCATCAAGGTACCATAAATTTCGACACACTGGAAACTTCACCTATCTTCATTATCCTGCAGTTGTAGCCAGCATTTATAGGCGACGGTCGAAAGTGTCTCTTTCAGCCCCCTCTGCGGAGGCGAAATATACACCCCGCCTGATCTTCTGGGGGCAGGCGCTGGAATGTACAACATGCCCCTTACCTCCCAGGAATGCTACCTATATCGGTCCAATGTACCCCGCGGCTAGGACTGGTGGCAAAGGCGGCTGGCTATCAATCCATCCCACCTGTCATTGTCATGCGGGCAAGGTTTGTCGGAGAAATGACTGCAGCAGGCTGGGTGAGACGCAATGCATCTACTGACATGCTTCGACATGTCCAGTTGCTTTATCTGCAGCTTGCCCCACGGGCTCCCCTCCTTTTCTCCATGCAATCCTATTCACCTAGCTCTGGTCATCTTATCTAGTAAAGAGCCACAGAACCAACCACCTCACCATCTATACTCCTATGATTACCATCTCCCGTATAAGCACGGAGTCGTTGTCGACTTCTCGACTCCCTCTGATCGAAATGGAGACAGCCATCCCAGACATCAGACGTCCCGCGGGTCGGAGTGACTCCGGAGACTCACAGACGTCTACCTTGAGAAATACCACACACCCTACTCGTGGATTCCGACGGCCCTTCCGGCGTTTCTTCCGACAAGATGGAAGCAATGGAATGGCTCGCAGTGATTTCATGAATCTTGCCGCTGGCAAGTCGTCGAGCAGCCTTGCTGGTAAGTCTTGGCAACAAGTATCTTATGTATACACCAGCTGATCATCGGTCAAGGCCTGAAATTGAAGTCTGTCATGTCTCTCAACCATATCCGCCGAAGATCGGCTGCCGATAGGATCATACAACAATCTTATGAAGAAGAACCTGCGTGGTGGGAGGATGGCATGGATGAGGCTGTTGATCGGTTACCTCTGCTTGGTGCTACCTCGCGTTCGACGATGATATGATCAACAGACGGCAACTCGCGGCTTGAGCTGGACTCTGCTGAGTATGATGTATTGGCTTCTCCTTGTGTAGCGGTGGCGCATGGTGTTCTGTTTATGTCAGGTTCTGATTTTGTCTTGAGTTGATGGTCTTTGCGTTAGGGAGACTGAATCGATATTCCTTTCCATGAGGTTATTTGCAGAGAAAGGTGTCTACGTATTTGCTGTTTCTACACGGTGTGCACTTAAGCTGTCACATATATATTCCACTGTTGTACAGTCAATTGCATGATCAATGGTATCTAAGAGACCAGCCTTGTTTCACAATATAATCATATAGATATCCGAGGGATACTGCAACAATTTGCATCATTCACGAGCGTAACGTGCTCAGTCTGGCAAGGCGATGCATCCTATACGGCCAAGGTAGACGATAGTGGCGGATAAGAGAAAGAAGAAAAAAAGCGGATTCACCGAATTCACCCCACAATCCGCATTCACTCACCGACCTACCACCGCAATCTTAAAAGTACTCACTGTTCCACTGACTGTGAATCCATGAAGACATAGATAGACATAGACATCTGGCATCGAACCCATCCATTCCAGACAATATGCCTGATAAGGACGCCGGAACGCCCCGCGTTTTTCTCTACCGACATGGTACGCATCACCACCCGGACCCACATATTTCATCATCTCGCTACAGGCCTAACAGCGCCCAGGAGAGACGGAATGGTCACAGAGCGGCCGGTACACCGGCATCAGCGAGCTCGAGCTGACAGAGCACGGCACCAAACAGGTCCTTGCGTCTGGCAAGATCCTGGTGGGAGCCGGAAGACTTATTGACCCCGAAAAACTTGCACATGTCTATATTAGTCCCCGCCGGCGGGCGGCGCATACCTTTGAGCTGGCTTTCAATGACGCCGACAAGCAGCAGCTCAAGGATGCGCAGAAGGTGTCTGAGACGGACCGTCTCGCCGAGTGGGATTATGGCCAGTATGAAGGTCTGTTGACCAAGGAGATCCGCGCGTTGAGGGCGGAACATGGTCTGGATAAGACCCGGCCGTGGGATATCTGGAGAGATGGTTGCGAGGATGGAGAGTAAGTTGCATATACACATGATTTTTCTTACACGAGCGGAATTGACTGTGCTCGTAGGTCCCCGGAACAAGTTGCTGCTCGCATCGACAGTCTTATAGCCGAAATTCGTGCTATCCATGCAGGCAATATGCACGGAGAGAATCCAAGTGATGTACTGCTTGTTGCCCATGGGCATACGCTGCGCGCGTTCACCAAGCGCTGGCTTGGCTATCCGATGGACTTTCCGCTGTCCATGATGCTGGAGCCTGGGGCTGTTGGTGTTCTGAGGTAAGACCGGTTGAAATTGGTACATTCGACTATACTGACTCCGTTTCAGCTACCAGCACCATAGCATCGACGAGCCTGCTTTTCTGGTTGGATACGGATTTCCGCTGCAAGAGTAATGGTCGATTACCCGAGTTCCAATACATCTTACCTGGTTTCTAGACGACATAAAATATTAGATTTCTCTATTGCTCTTGCAGAACGCGTCCTTTACTTCTCATAAATCCATCCTCCCAGCAACAAATACGTGGGGAGCGCCGACAAGCCGCTGATAATAGCCAAAGCCCATGCCATGGTCTTCCATCCAGCGTACTCCCGAATAAACCCAGCAAATAGAGGACCAACTATGCTCCCAAGAGCATAACTGCCCGTACATAGTCCGTACGCCTGCGCCACGGCACCACGTCGGCCAAAGAGGCCGGGTGCATCCTCTTCCTTCTCTTTAACCGCTCGATCAACCTCCAGCACCGCCGGAATCTGAACAAAGGACGAGATGAATCCCACTAGCGATAGCAGAACACAGAGCAAGATTTTATGTTCAATCGTGTTGTGCTCCACAAAGCGCAAAGAAACCAGCACTGGCACCGAGGCTACAAGGCTTGCGGATGACATGTAGCGCATGGATCTGGGCCATCTGTCACACATAATCCCCGTAACCGGGTCGAAAAAGAGAGGCAACGTCAAGGTGAGGAAGACCAGGCCGGAGCCCATTTGGGACCAGTGGAACATGTCATGGACGTATATAGGGAGGACTGCGTCGAAGGTGGTGGACAGAATAGCTGTCAGGCAATAGTTCCACATGCAAATAAGGATGCGTGGGCTGATTATGAGAGATAGTGTAGCTGGGAGACGGGCATCCCGGCGACCTTGGTTTATATCCGACAGGTCGGCATTCATGTTGACACTGCAGCATTTGCCAGAGTGCTCACCGTCGGGCCTAACCATCTCGTAGCAGTCCTGCGTGGGTAGGCCGGCCTTCACCTCACGGTCTGTTTCTTCATCTCGTCCAGCATGTCGCGTCTCAATCATAATGGCGCATAAGGTAGCGTCCACTCCTATAAGCGCGAACGCGATGATAAACACACTGTAGTACCCAGCTTTGTCATATAGAATCCCACCCAGTAACGGCCCCGTAGGCATACCAGCAGCCAGGCCAAAGGAAAGATATCCCAGATAGCGACCGAGACACGCGCTGCCCACGGTATCTACCAGCAATACGACTCCAATTGTATTGACAAATGCGGTACCTGCTCCTTGGAGCATCCTCCCTATCAACCACAGGGCCACCTTGTTCCCAACACAAAGCAGCGCAGTGCCGGTAGCAGAGAGTGCCAGCCCGCACAATAATGGCCGTCGGCGAGAGGATGTCTTATCGGCCAAGTACCCCACGATCGCTGTAGGAGTCAGTGGTGGTATTTAGTGAGAATGGGGCGATCATGCGTACGACACATGACGGATGTTGTTGCCGCTTGGACGGCAACTATGGTTGAGTTCCATACTTGTACTATACCCATATTAGAGTGTTGTTCTGGTTAAAGTGGCCATTGCGTACGTACCATCTTCGGGACGAAGTCCAACCCTGTCGCTCAAGGCTGTAGGTGTTACTGGGATGAACTAGATAGCTGGTCATCGGCTGTAATAGCACTCCAGGTGAGGTGCCATACCAGTCCATATAGAAATGAGTCCTAGGAATCGACTGAGTTCATTGTAGAAGGAACTAGGACGACGAAGATATTACCGTAAAGGTTGCAAATGTGACAACTGATGTGATGAACAGGCTTGGACATCTTTGAGATGCAAGTATACTCTTCCATCGCATGACCTGTGAGCTCGGGAGCGACCTTTCCAGATGACTGGGTCAGTCTTCCTCACGTAGATGGCGTTGGTTTCGAAGCAGTTTCGAATAATGAAATGAAACCCACCCAACAGCGCGGGAGAGACTAGAATCAGCCCAACTTTCAAAGGGAACTCCGTCTGATCTCGCATTCCAGAGACTGTCCCTTGCGTCGAAAGCCGGCCTTGAGTTGGGATGCATACCAGGGCATCAACCATCATGCTGCAACATCAGTTGCTGCAAATACAGAGCACGTTTGATAGGTATATTCCTAATGAACGGGAGACCCGCTCCACAGACGCCATAGTCGTAGGTGTTGGGCGTTGGTATCGAGTATATTTCAACGAAGCATGAATCATGGTTAAGAAAATAATGACTCCTCCGATCTTTTCGGCCCTGGTAGGAATAAAACCAGCCCAATGCCCCGCCCATGCCCTCATGGAATCCACTTTTGCTCCTCAGGTCCCAATCTAGCATTCTTCTTCTGATAAACCCACCATAGATAAAGCGATAGCACCAACCCTAGACACTGGCTGGCGCAATTCACCCCATGACCAAGTTGGTATCGCGGCACTTGCTGATCCTTGTATATCCACACACCGATGATCTGTCCTGGGCCAGAGAATGCAACGTTCAATCCACTTGCCAGCGATGCGGCGGTCGTGTTACGGACGTTATCCGATACCCAGGCACAGAGGGAGGGTAGAGATCCAAAAACACCGCATGCTGACAGCACAAGCATTGCGTAGCGGAGTTTGGGGGATGGTGTAGGGACGCATGCTGGATGACATCGTTAGCCTTGGTAATTCATTATAGAAGGTATCGGACTCACCGGGAATAAGGAAGGTGATCATTCCTAGCAGGAAAAAAACTGCTGCCACAAGACCGCGGCAATTATACTTGTCCGACATGTATGCTGCTGCTAGTGTCACCACGTACGCACAAGCATAAGGAGGGATAACAAAAAGCTGGGCTTCTAACCCGGTGTAACCGATTCCAGCCACAATCGAGGGAGAAAATAGGGACAGTGATGATACTCCGATTCCAGCGCAGAGATATATGATGTAGTGCATCCACAAACGCGGTTCCTGGAGTGTGGCCTTCGCATCATTCCAGTTGAGCTTATCGTCTCTTTGAAAGAGGATTGTCTGTTAGAATTGGGTAAGACATATCGATGATATTTACTCACCCTCGGGGGATGTTGGCACTAAACGAGCCCTGTAAAATCCGCTTTTCTTCCGCGCTGAGCCATTTCGCTTTTTCTGGATAGCTGGGGAGGAAGAGCACTATGGCGACAGACAGAAGCAGACACGGCAGGCCTTCGATTATGAACAACCAGCGCCAGGCTTGTAGTCCTCCCACATTGTTCATATGTCCTACCCCGTAGGCAATGGCGCCTAGGCTGGATGTTACCAATACCGTGACCAATTGGGTAAATGGTACTAACCGCCAAAAGCACCTGCCAGTGTAGCACTGCAAAGGAAGATGGCAATCCGGATCGCTCGTTCGCGTGGCCCATACCAAAAGCTTAGATAAAATATCATCCCCGGGAATACGCCAGCTTCACACGTGCCAAGAAAGAATCGAAGGGCCATGAGTGTTTGGATGTTATGTGCGCCTCCGATGGCTGCACATAGAGACCCGAACAAAGCAGTCAGAATTGCAAGCCATCTGTAAAATCATGAGACATCTCCATTGTAAGAGTAGCTGAACTGTGGAAATGGGCTAACGGACTCACACTGGTGGTGACAAAATCTTCAGCGCCATATTACTCGGTGCTTCAAAGATAGAGTATGCGACGAGGAAGAGCATCAAGGCTACTCGGTATTGGGAATCCGTCATCTGTATTGAGTCTATTAGATCGTCGGACGTGTCTTTGTTGAGGACCTTTGCGTTGCCTGTCGCCACTTAGTGATGATAGTGAATGTCTTGTCGGTATGCTGACCAATGTTTGACCTATCGAGGTAGCAGAGGAGATAGATCACAGCAACAAAGGGTAGGATCCGCCGATCAATCTTCCTATATATTCTATAGAGGGTCAGTTGTAACTTCTGCCGCCATGCCATGAAGGGCATCTACCGTGCGACTGCAGCATTGTCGGGAGGGTCACCAGGGACCTTAGCCTCTTCCATATGAGTACAGTCTTCGGTCGACTTTTCCATAGCCACAGATCCCGACGTTGGGACACTTGATTTCTGTCGTAGCGGTTGGATTGGAAGTCCTGAAGGTCGGGGCAATCCTACATGAGGGGTAAGGGCAGCAAACAAGGGATGGCGATCCCATTTATGCATGCTGGGTTGTACAGGACGAGGATTTCTGGCCTGTTCCCCGCAATGCTCTTTACTGTTGCTTTTCCGGGGCCCCGAATTACTTCTTGAGATGGAGAATATCGAGTCATGAGTGTATTTCATGGTAGATATGGGAGAATAGGTTGGATCTGGGATGTATGCGGTGTTGCCGATTGCTATGTTAGAAGGCGCCTAGATTATGAGGAACTCGATTATCCAGCCATCTACCGGAGAGAAAGTTCCAAGATAGGTTTTTCGATTAGCGCAGTTACATGCCCGGTCAACATCATTAGGTGCCTCTGAAATGCGTGGAGTGAGTCAACGTTGACCCAAGCATCAACTACTCTGGGAAGTATGGCATGTCTTTTCTTCTTATGAACCGCATTGAAAACAAAATCAAGTCTATAAATTCAATAACAAGCTGTAATATATAAATTTACACCCATTCTTCTCCATAGACACATTAATCTAAACCCCATTGCGCATATCCAAGTAAGCCATAGATGAATATTCTATCCCATCATCCCTGGTCAAGCCGCCACTTGAACCTGCTCAAATTCTTTGCTGAAAACATAATCTGTGTATCCCTTCGGCACCTGCGAGTACAGCGTCGCAGGATCCAACTGGTCAAAGGGAATCCCCGCCTTCACTCGAAATGGCAAGTCAGGGTTTGCAATATAAGGTCGGCCAAAGGCAACAGCCACGTCGTGTCCAGCGTATTCCTCATCGATAGCCTTCTTCGCAGACTCAGGAGTGAAGTTATTGGCCACGATCACTGGGCTTGCATCGCCATATGCCTCAAGAAGCCATTGCAAACTATCCCCGCTAGACTTGGCATCGGACTCGCACGCGTGCAGGTACGCCAGCTTGTACTTTGCTAGTTTCTTGACAAGGTCGGTAAACTGGGGCACAGGATCAGCCATCCGCATGCCCTGGTAGGTATTCCACGGACTGAGCCGGATGGCAGTCCGGTCGTTTCCAACAGCCTCGACAACAGCTTTGACGACCTCCTCCGCGAGCCTGGAACGGTTCTCAATGCTTCCACCCCATCGATCGGTCCGCTGGTTGCTTACGTCCTGGAGGAACTGGTCGATGAGATACCCGTTGGCGCCGTGGATCTCCACCCCGTCAAACCCAGCCTTGACGGCGTTCTTTGCTGCGGTGGCGAAGTCGGCAATGGCAGCTTGGATCTCGGCTTCCGTCGCGGGTCTGGGATAGTGCGTTTCGTCGCTGAATACACTCTTCATCGGGACGTCGCTGGCGGAGAGCAGGTCAAACCCGTGTTGCTGCTGGTAGCCAGGGTTGGCGGCTCGCCCGAGGGCCCACAGTTGCATGTAGATGTAGGACCCGTTGTCGTGGACGGCCTGGGTGACGTCTTTCCAGGCGGCTATCTGGGCGTCGTTGTAGATGCCCGGGACATTGGCGTATCCGCCGAACTGTGGGCTGATCACCGTTGCTTCTGTGATGAGGAGCGATCCGGGCACGGCGGCCCGTTGCCTGTAGTATTCTTTCACGGAGGCAAGAGGGACGTGATTTGTGTCGGCGCGCATCCGGGTCATTGGGGCCATGGCGATGCGCTGGCTGAGCTCCATACGCCCGACCTTTAGTGTTTCAAACAAGCGAGACATGGTCGTAGACGATGTTGTCTGTGGAGGGTTGGACGATTTCTTGGTATGTAGACACTGTTCAAGGGGGAAGGTGATTTATATACTGGGCCCTCTGTGGAGCTCAATGGCAATTATTTCTATATCTAAGCGATTACAACACCGGTCTCCGACCATTTTTCCATCTATTCCTGTCCGTGTTGGTCAGCATTTCGGACAAAGATCCTTCACGGTCCGAGCATAATTGGGGCATTAGTGGTTTTCTCGGGGGTTATGTATCGGCATTAGTAATATATCCGGTGTGCATTTGTCAGATATTCAGGAAGATGCTTCTGTGCACCTATTGCGAAGATGACTACTTTGTATAGACTTGTTGGTGCTAAGAAGAGACTAGTATTCTGCATGCATTGGCGAAGTCCTGACCCGATTGGGTGAAGCCCTGCAAGATGCATTCCAGCTATTTCTCCGCACTGTTACACATAACTACCCCGGGACATCATTCAAATCCACTGCCCTGACCATGAGTGCACAGCCACCCCCAAACGCCCTCATTAAGCGAATAGGCCTGAGAGAAGTATACGAAGATAGTGGCCGCCACTTCCAGCGCAGAATCGGCACCGAGCAGTGGACCGAGTTCCATCCCCAGCTCGCTGACATCCCATCGGCCGCAGCAGAGGATCCTCTCTACATCTCCCTTGTCCGCGAGAAGCAGGGAGAAGGCGAACCAAACCACTGGTCCATTTTTGTCCACCGCGAAAACCAGGATGGGTGGTTGTATCAGGTGACGGGCGATGCGGAATGCATGCAGTACGCGCATTCTCCCGAGCCAGTCAACATTGTGAATTCGGAAGCGTTTCTCGATATCTATAATCTGGCGACTGTTGGTGAGGAGGAGGTTATCACGCTTCGGGAGATTGTGGACAGTGAACCGCCTCCCAGAGCGGAGAGTCGCGCCTTGGTGACGGAGAACTGTCAGGGATGGGCGGTGCGGGTGATCTCGAGACTAGCTGAGAGGGGGGTTGTGCAGGAGAAGAAGTTGGAGATGGCGAGGTCGATGCTGGAACCTGTCTGATTTTCTCTAATGAGTAGTACGGTGGAGGTATTGAACACTATTTGATGCTTTGTCTCATCATCTCATGGCTTATCTTCTACTCGCCACTATGAATGTTGATACCTTGGCCGCTACAATCTTTCTTTTACAGTAGTGGGATAGAGGGATTCAGCGATACGGTATCAATCTAAGCCATCGTTGTTCATTAGTTGGATTATTTCCTATAATGTTTTACCCAGCGCTGTACTCACATAAGGGCACTGGTAAAGCGTAGGCAATGAAAGATACATCCTGTGCAATAAACATCATCCTCTACTCTCAGTTAATCAGCCCATCCAATATGATACTCAAGTCCCCCATTATCCCAACGGCAAAATCCTCTTCTTCGAGCTCCCACGGTACGCAACCAGCAGCTCCCAATCCAGCCCTAATCAGCCGATATCCACCAGCACGCGACTGCTCCACCAACTCTTCATTCGGCCATCTCAGAATCCCCGGTGTGTTCAATCCCACCCCCAGCTCAAGAATGACAGCTGTTGGCCGAGATGGCGATTCGACTTGCTGCGATACTTCATCGACAAAGCGCATCCATTCTCTTTCCTGCGCTCTGAAGGGCGAAGGGTTGAAGTAGTCTCCTCCGCGGACGCACAAGGTCAATTCGCCGCCGCAATACTTGCATCGTGGGACCTTGGATTCGTCTTGGAGGACCTGTGTCTTCTCATCAATGAACGGGAGCGCTGCGTCCACGAATGGACCGGACGGAAACACCGCATCCGGTCGACATTTGGCGTAGCACTGCAGGAACCGATATTGACCCTGTGGCGTGGAGATACGTTCGGATGGGAATCCATTATTGACGAACTGGCCATCCACGTTTGAGGTGCGCACAAAGTATTTGGAGGCGTGGAACCGGTTGGCGAGTGTACGTAGAGTTTTGTACAGTTTCGATGTTGGCCATTTCCGCACCATGTCCAAGTGAAGAAAGTAGTATCCCCATTTCTGTCTTGGGCTTTCCCATCCCGTGAATCCAAAAACATCGTATAGGCGGCTGAGTCCGAGGTTCCTAAATGCTGGGAAATGCTTCTGGAATAATTCCTGGGATGTGTAATCGAGGCCAATAGCAGCGGAAAGTCCTGCGCCAGCGGTGATGATAAGGAAGTCGGCTTCTTCGAGCCAGCTTCGAGCTTTCAGTATAGTTGGCGAGGCGATGGGGACAGGGCGTTGGAGGTTTGGTGTTGGTTGCCGAGCATTTCTCCCGCCACCTTCTTGTAGAATCATGAGTTCGTTGTCATAGAGCTCGTAGTCCCTTTGTAGAAAGGTGTCGAATATGATATCTGTCAATGTAGTTAAAGGATGATCGTATATCCATTGGGCGACAGTTTGAACGGCAATTCTTGCAGCCTCGGCTGGCGGATATGCGAACAATCCTGTTGAGATGCAACAGAATACTAGCACTTTTCTTCCGTCTGGGAGAGCGGGGAGAGAATTGGCGGTCTCAAGACACGATATGTAGCACTTTGATAATTGCTCCCTATGCACCAATGCCGGCATTTGCCCGTGGCCCAGCTGGGGACCGACGGTATGCAAGACATATTGTGCGGAGAGGTTGAACCCTGGTGTCACCTTGGCAGCTCCCACTGGCTCTGGATGACCTTGTTCTAACATCAGGGCATGACATGCATCGCGCAGGCGAGGTCCCGCTGCCGAATGGATGACATTGTCGATACAGCGGTGTTCTGGACGGAAGCATCCAAGTAAGCCGGAATTTGCTGCATTGACAATGGCTGTCACATCTGTCAGGGTGGTAATGTCGCCTTTCCATAGTGAAAGCCTGATCGTCTTTGGATTGTCTTCCCCTGAAACTGGATGTTCAAACACGAGGCGCGGAGATATAGATGCAGAAGGAGTTGTGACGTTATGGCTATTATGATACTTGATCACAGAGTCGATATGTTCCAAGACATCTGTAGGTATCGGGGTGGTCGGAGGTCGCTGACAGAGTAGTTGACGCATCACTTCTAGTTGTCCCCATGTGTCTAGTTGGAGAACCCAGTCAGGATGAGCATGGTGATGACACCTAAGATGTGATTTGGGATATTGAGCCTCCTGGGCGAGATACTGTATTGCCTGGGCCAGACAATAAGACATTTGTTTAGCCATGTTAGCTGGCGAGATTGTGAATGACAGATATATAACTCGGGTTCACTGTGCGGAAAGACCTTGACTGTGAAAATGATTCATGAAGGAGGGTTAACTAGAGACCTGACAATATAGAAAGATATTTTATCATCGGAGGGGTTTATATCTATAAAACTGCTGGCCACCTTCATCCAAGTACAAACAGTGCCGCCAATCACAGCTCAGTACGTGCATGCAAACATCATCCACAGCGGTTTGAGCTGTTTGATCTGTTTGTTCAACGGCATCACTGCCATTTCTGGCTAGACCATCCAGAGACAAGTGTTTGTTCAGTTTGTCGTGTTTGATGCCCCAATCTCTCCAACTCGACAAAGTCTCTGAACACCAGCTCATGCTTTGCCATTTGATCCTTAGAGCATTGACTGGAGCATGCTAGGCCCAGCAGACTGTCATGTTCCACTTTAGACAGACTCCGCAGTCGAAGCCTCCTTCTCCTCTTCCAATAACATACGAAGATACCCCCTAGCCGAGGATACCACCATCAAGAACAACACTAAAGTGCCCTGCACAACATAGCTGAACTTGAGGCAGCAACCCGTACGGCAAAAGCCGTCAGGAAAGGTGAGAACGAGAACTAGAATGACCCATGCTCTCCATAAGGTCAGCCTGAGGAAAACGAAACGTTCTTAAACATCCCGGGAAAGCGCCAGGGCCGATGGGCGCCCACAATGCCGGTTTAATGCTTACATGACGAAATATTTGCAGATAGTGCGATCAGCGAAGGTATCAATAGCGAAGCACCAGGAGCGCAGGCGCGAGGATGATTGCGGCGAGTGGGGGACGCCGTTGGCCTCGGGAGGCGGTACAGAGACCGTGGACACGATGGGATCCTTTTTCTCCATCTTGCGAAGCAGGCAGTAGAGATAGTCGTCCCTACTCAGAATCAAGATTGTTGAAGAACCATTAAAGGGTAGGGGCAGCGTGCCAGATGAAATACCAACGCTGGAATGGAGCATGACCTCTCACTAATGAGCACTAACAGCCCTAGGATGGGTCGTAAACCCAATGTGGTAACATGTCTCACTACGGACAGAGGCGAGCACCTAGCAACGAATTGATTGCTGTTACAGCCACTATGCTAATTTAGTGATGCAACGTCCCTACCACATGTCCAGAGGCTGTTAGAGACAAAGACCCCACCGTGACTGAGGTACTGGATATGCGTCTCTGGGAGGATCTAGTTGCATAAGGGCAGCTGAATCGCATAACATAACGTAGTATCACTTGAAAAAGGATCCATTCTACCAACCCAGCATTGCTCTTAGGCAATCACAAGCGAATTCGGAGGGCTGGCCACACCTCCGGTACTATTCAGGGATGCTATAGTCAGGAATAACACCCATCTCTGCTGCGCTTCCAGCTCTTTGGACACCTCTTCCAAGTCCCACATTTCGCCGATAGGTATTCCCAACGCGAGAGAAGATGGGCTTGTAGTACTGTGGAGTTAGCACTGAGGGAGAATAGCATAGGCACACACGGACTTTTTCCGGCTGCGGAGGTGGTTTGAACACGAGGGCTTGTTATAGTGTAGATGGGGGATTATATTTATAGTTCATTCACATGGAGTCTCAGGAACAGCAATCTTTGGTGGTATACAATCTCCAGTAGACTGTACAAAGATCTACAACACTCTTACCCGTATCGATTAGGTCAGGCAACATAGAGTTAGTGAGCGGCCGTCTATCTGCCTCGAGATCCACCGTCCAGTCTAATCGGGGCTGTGCGATCGCATTCATAAATCTTAGCCCATCACTAGAATTCATTCTACATGTAAACATGCGACAGTGAAGCATGGCACGCACCAGCCAGACTGCCCGGAAACGCACAGGGCCTCCTCGCCCTCGCAATACAACCCACGACTTCACCGACCACTCCAACAAGACATACACAGTCGTTGATCCCTTCCAGCGACGTTGTCCGAACCCCCATGTGATCACCAAGCTCAGCATTCACCTCTACTCTCTTGGACCGCTGCAACCAAGCCCGGAAGCCATTGGGCAGGAGCTGCTGAAATCAAACGACATCATTGACTGGGCCAATGCCCGCAACTGGTGGCCCCGCGTGGACGTGTACTCTCCGCTAGACAGCATCGAGGCATGCATTGAGCATCACCGGCGCGAGAAGACGTTTCGCAAGAATGCCAAGGAGGAGATGCATCGTGCTGCGGCTGCTACGACCGCAGATGAGGAAGACGCGGTGGGGGCAGTGCGTAAGCTGCGCGGAAAGGAACCGCTGCCTCATATTGTTCCTACATGGTGTCGTCGTCGGACGGCCTATGTTCTCTATCGTACCACGCCGGCGATTTATCGAAGTTTTATTCTGGTAGTCCCGGCTGACTGCACGACGTGGGAGGATATTCAGCAGAAGGGGCTGTGGATGGTCAGGTTTGACCAGGATGTACCTGGGGAGCTGACAGTGCAGATGGATGATGATGATGATGCGAGTGCGCAGGAATCGTTGATCGACGACGACCACGGTTGGGTGCACGTCGATAGGTGTACTAACTTGGGGCCGCCGCATCGTGTTGAACGTGTGTCGGTCAACAGTCTGGACGTCGAGGATCCGCCCATGAACCCCTTATACAATGAATGGGTGTCACTGGTCTCGCAGCTGTATGATTGCACGTATCGTCCTTGCTGCTGTGATGGCTGTGACGAGGGTGAGCCACATGAAAATTGCGAGGTTGAGATGTAAGTGTCTTTTTAGGGATAATGTTTTATCAGCTGACTGTTTTAGGTCGGAGCACTTTTTCAACGAGGATGGAGATTGTGTGGAATGTCGCAGAGCCGTTGAACAGTCACAGTAGGAGAATATTAGCAATAATAATGGTGACAAGATGAGCGCCTAGCTGTATATTACTATGGACTGCCCGGTCTCTTTGTCTCTGTTCGAGTATACTTCCAGCTCTTTGTTCAGACCTGATATCACCACTTAGAGTACCTCTGGTATAAGATCTTAATGGCCTTTTCATCTCTCAGCCTCATTGCGTGGCCAACCGGAGTATGGCCTTTCTTATCACCTTTGGCGATGTCTGTCCCAGCATCGACGAGTATAGTTATCCCATCAATATTACCTGCGAGCACAGCCCAACTCAACGGACTCCGTCCCTGAACATCAAGCAAGTCAGGGTCTGCTCCTCTTTCCAGCAGGCACTGGATAGTACGTCCTTCCTTGACCTCGGCAGCGTACGAAAGTGCACTTCGGCCTGTGATGTCGACATGGTCAACGTCTGCCCCATGAAGAGCATCGACAACCTCTGCATGCCCTGTCTTGGCCGCCACAATCAGCGGCGTTTGTAGGATGTTGCTGGTCAGATCTACTGGCACGCCGTGCTCAATCAACATCTTCACAATACCAGTGTGTCCATGGGATGCAGCAATGGCGATGTTTGGCCGGCCGTAGTATTGGGAGTACGGATTGGCCCCGTGGGCGAGCAGCATTCTGGCCAGCTGCTCAAACCCCATTTCACAGGCAATAGTCAGCGGCGTCCGCTTGGAAGGAATGTGCTTGGCCTCAATGTCTGCGCCGCGCTTCAGAAGCTCCTCGGCTACCTCGACGCGGTTCTCCTGGCAAGCGACTATCAATGGCGTTTCGCTGAGTGAATTAATAACGTCAATATCCGGCACCCTGTCATAGAAGATGTCCATAATTACAAGATTGGCTGAACACAGCCCCATGATATGGGGCGTCCTCTGAGCTGAGTCTACAGCCATCGGGTCCAGACCTCCCTGCAGCAGGAGGGAGACAACGCGGCCATTGTCTCCATCCACGGCATAATGCAGCGCCGTCCGATCCGACGTATCACGCGCATGGATAT